TACTCTCTTAAGTCTATCTCTTATACTTATTTATATTAAAACTCTTAAGTATATTCTTTATTAAGACTTCTAAGCTTCTTCTCTATTAAATAATCTAATTTAATAAGATATTAATCTTTCTTATCTTTATAATATCTAATAAAAAGAATAAGTATCTCTTTAATAAGATTAAAAAATTTACTTTTTTTAAGCTCTATTTAAGTAGACTTTATAATATTATTAATAAAATTAATATTATTAATATCTATAGCCTTCTAATCTTTAAATATAAGCTTTTATAGACTATTAATATAGTAAAACTACTTAAAAGTCTATATATTTTTAATAAGAAGATATCTAATAATCTAAATCTTAATTAGCTCTTTTATATTAATAAATACTAACTATAGCTAGAGTATTTAAAAAAGATAATTAAATATCTTTAAAGAAGAAAGAAGGAATAGAACTAATAGTAATTTTATTATATTAATAGTTATTCTAATAAGATTATAAATTAAATAGAGTTAATAAAAGCTATTTAAATAACTTATATATAAGATTCTAATTAATTAATTAATCTAATATTATAGAATTATATTATAGTTATAAACTCTTTAAGAGGAAATTTATAAGCTTTAGAATTTTATAAAATTCTATAGAAACTTTAATTTCTAAGCTTAAAAACTTAATTTTTAAGCTTAAAAACTTAATTTCTAAATATAAAAACTATTAGAATTTAATAAAATTATTAATTTTTAATTATATTTAATTATTTTAATTAGTTTTTAGTTAGTCTTAATTAATCTTAATTAATTAATCTATTAATTAAGATTAATTTAGTTATTCTTTAATTAATTAATCTATTAATTAAAATTAAATTAGTTTTAGTTAGTTAGACTAAGACTAAAGACTAAAAAGACTAATCTTATAACCCTATTTATAATAAAGTTATATTATTATTATAAACCCTCTTAAAGGGTTTATAACTATAGTATGATTCTATAATATTAGATTAATCAATCAATTAAGACCTTATATACAAGTCATTTAAGTAGCTTCTATTAACTCTATTTAATTTATAATCCTACTAAGATAACTATCAATATAGTAAAACCACTATACAGCATAGCATTAGTTTTATTCCTCCTTTCTTTCCTAAAGACACTTAACTATCTTCCTTAGATATTCTAGCTATAGCTAGTATTTCTTAATACTAAAGAGATAGTTAAGATTTAGATTATTAGATTATATCTCTTTAAGGATAATTAGACTCTTAAGTAGCTCTATAATATTAATAGTCTCTAATAGGCTGTATCTAAAGCCTAGAAGGCTATAGTTATTAATATTATTAATTCCTTTAATAGCTCTATATAGTTTATCTAGATTAGACTTAAAAAAGATAAACTTCTTAACTTTACTAAAGAGTTATCTATTCTTCTTATTAGATACTATAGAAATAAGAAAGAATAATATCTCTTTAGTAGCCTTAGATATATATATTAGTATTATATAGGGTTGTTTAATAGAGAATATACTTAAGAGTCTTAATATAGATAAGTATAAGAGATAGACTTAAGAGAGTAAGAGGATAGATTATTTTATATATATTTAAAACAACCTTTTAATAATAGTCTTAAAGTATATTATTATAGCTTATAGGATAGATTACTTATTATTAAAGAACTATTTATTATAATAATTTAATTATATCTATTATTATTAAATAGCTTATATATCTAGACTTATAAACTTATATATATAGATATCTAAATAAGTTGACTTATCAGCTAGCTATAGGCCAAACTATAGTTAAGAGGTTAAAAAGTCTAGGACTGATTTTAGATCTTAACTATAGTTAAGAGGTTTAAAAGTCTAAGACTAATTCTAGGCTTTAAACCTATATTAAAGATAGCTATCAGGCTTAAGGGCCTTTATAGTTAGAGGACTATACTTAATTAATTTATAATAATAATTATGTCCTTATTATTAGATACTGTTATAGTATCTCTAGAATATAGATATTATATTTATTATATCTCTTTTAACTATATTATATTAATAGTGTAACTTAGCTTATACCTAATAGATATATTAAAAACAAACAAAATAGATAGATAGATTATTATTATAAACTTTTTAAGAGAGAACTTATATTTAATAAACAAACTAAGAATTAATAAAATAATTTATTAAATAATTATTATTATAAATTAATTAAGTATAGTTTTATAATTATAAAGACTCTTAAGCTTAATAATTACTAATTATCTTTAATATATTTAAATTTAAGACTTAGAATTAATTCTAGACTTTTAAACCTCTTAACTATAGTTTAAGATCTAAAATTAGTTCTAAGCTTTTTAATCTCTTAACTATAATTTATATTATTCTATATACTTCTCTCTACTTTTTAAGAAGGCTAATTTTATAAGATATCTAGAGAAATCTAGTTTAGATCAGACTTAATATATCTTTTAACCTTATATCTTCCAGTATAAGATTTATTCTATAGAAATACTACTCAGTTATACACTCTATATTATTAACATACATAAGCCAGATCTATATACCAGCCAGAATGCAGTCTAACACCTACTGAGTCGGCACAGGTCCACAACCGCAACCGCCGGTGGGAGTACCTCAAGTGGAACTCGGACTACTTCAAGTGTGCAGAGCACGAGCTAGTTGGTAAGTTGGGATCTTTTCTTCATGCATTGTCCTGCAGGACCTGGGCATAGATCCGGTCAAGGTTGTGATGACAATGTTTTCATGCTAAACCGGCTCATCGTCCCAGGCCTTGTTCCAATCTCCCTTCGATTTCCCATCGTCTCATATCATCATATACTATGGCTCTGCAGCCACGTCCTATTCCATCCTGAAACCATCCTCTCGGTCAACGTACTCACATTTTACCAGACCCCCTCCTCTACGACACCCTTATCTGGCGCTTCCAGACATGCTGACATATGAGAAAGCCAGGATGCAAGCAAAATTGATACTGTCCTGCCTGAATTTCTTCCGTGATAGGGTGTGTGGGACCTCCATGGCCTTGACTTGCACAATCGCAGCAACTCCACCCACTCTCTGACATGGGGAAGACAACCAGGCAATTCGGCTTCATGCGGCTCTGCCTTTGAACACCAACACTCTTCCAACGGCGTCGAAGCGGCTCTTGCTCCGGTCGATATCATGTCTGGTCTGCATAAGAAGACCCACACGACCTCTCACAGGAAGACACGTCTCACATGATGCGGAATGCTCTCAACTTGGCGGATGCAGATAGAATCTCACAATTGCGCGATTCACTCAGCTACTGACCTTTCGAAGCCGATCCCAACGATAATCATAGAGCACATGCAATTGTCGTGCCACTATGACACCATCTCATGCACACAAAACAATCAAATACTTCCAGCAACCGTTGCTGCCTGTTTTCGGTGAAGACAGCCAATGACTGCCTTGAGAAAACGCCTGGCCATTTAGACTATGCATGCAGGGACGCCAGACTGGCTCAAAGTTCCACAGCTTTTATGCCTCACAGCTCAGCCTTACCATTGCCATTTACTCCATCTGTGTTATATAAGACTGTACTACAGTTGTCCATCTCAGGTCCTCCATCGACTGGCCTTCAACCAGAACCCAATCGATAATTTTGGTACTTCAGACTGAACCCTTTCCCCAAACCTGCTTTCAGTATATACACCCACCTAGCTTCATTGGCAACCGAGTCGAAACTAATCGCATCGTCGACAGCTGCCCTTCATCAGAAGTCTCCGTGAGAAATCATGCCGGACATCACACAGAACAACGAGCATGGCGATGATGCCTTCGACTGCGCTGCCGAAGCCTTCGACCAGCAGGCGCAAGAGGAGGCACAACAGGAGCATGCCCCGCAGCCGGACAGTCCTTCTGAGTCGGAGAAGAACGAATACTTTTTCAACAAATGAGGGCGTTCAGTGGACTTACATAGGAGTGAGTCGATGTGAAGAAGGGTATCGACGGCAAAACAAAGGCCCCACATTAGCTATTCGCTATCTTTGTAGCTGTTGATCTATGGAGCATCATCGCTTTTATGTTTCAACATCAAACCTATCTGTATGGAAGCAGTGCAGTGCGAAAATTTGACTAGTATTGGGAACATGATGTTTCCTTTAATACCTGATATATCGCAGTGAGTGTTATGACTTGACGTCTTCTAGTCACGCGATCTGGCCAGTCTTCACTTTCCCATCGAAGGTGAGGACGGCGTTCAGAAGCATTTAGGAGAAGGGGAAGGAAAGACAAGAAGAAGAAGAAAAAATTGCTCAGCATATGGTATGCATACAGGAATGTGTTTAGATGTATTGGACATATCACATGCATGTTCCCGGTCCATGCAGGTGGCGGAGGCAAGTTTGAATTTATTGTTTATAGAGTCTGAATTTAAAATAAGATCAAGAAAATACAAAATTCACCAGATGCAAATTATCGACCACACCAATGAGAAAGACAAACACGACCATGAAGAAAGCAAACAGGAGCACCAAATAAAGCAACCAAACCCAAATGCTGTAAAGGTAAGACTTGGATGCCTCCAAATCCAGCCAAGCAGACTCGGTACCGGTTGCCTCACTAGACTCCACAGAGCGCTTGAGGTTAACACAGCATAAATGAGCACACCCAAGAGATTGAATCGCAGCCATGCTCGCTTCTAAGCTGTCGCAACAGTATGTGCATACCAGGCATCTTCAGGATATACAGTCCGGGTCAGGAGCGCGAGACTATCAGACAGGAAGTTGCTGCGGGAGGACGGTGAGCCGCTGTAACCTAGACCACCTGCATTACAATTATAGATATCTCAAGACTACGCCGACACCTGGAGCCCCTCTAGGTTCTTCATTTATTGGGCAAAAAATGTCTAAGTATACACGATCCACAACCTAGCAATAAACGCTCGGCTGGACTGGCTCCATCAGACTGCAAGACCTATGCTGGTGCAGAAACCACACTCTCTGCAAGACACCGCAAACGGACGTCACTGTCTATAGCAGCATACGCCTGGGATCCTCAATGTACTCCTTGACCTTGACCAAGAACTGCACTGCTTCTCTGCCATCCAGAAGCCTGTGATCGTAGGTAAGGGCCAGATACATCATGGGTCGGATCTCGATCTTGCCATTGACAGCGACGGGGCGCTCCTTGATAGCATGGAGGCCCAGCACGGCACTCTGAGGAAGGTTGATGATGGGTGTACCCATAAGGGACCCGAACACACCGCCATTGCTGATGGTGAACGTGCCGCCGGCCATATCCTCGATGGTGAGCTTACCGTCACGGGCCTGAGTGGTAAGGTCAGTACTAGTCAATCGCATGTGTATCAACTGTGATGCCTAGGGATGCTAGGATCCAACAAGGCTTCGCAAGAGGCGTGTCAACGCGACACACGGAAGGGAACTACTTGCCTTCTTGCCCATATCAGCGATGGCCTTCTCGATGCCGACCATGTCCATGGTCTCCACGTTGCGCACAACGGGCGTCACCAAGCCCTTCTCCGTAGCGACAGCAACACTAATATCCACGTAATCGCGATAGACGATGGTGTCACCGCCGTTGGGTCCTTCGATGGATGCGTTGACCGCGGGCAGATCCCGCATAGCCAAGACGCACGCGCGGGAGAAGGCGCTCATGAATCCAAGTTTCACGCCCGTCTTCTTGAGGACGTCGTCCTTGTACAGCTTGCGGAACTCCATCAATGACGACATATCGACCTCGTTGAAGGTCGTCAGGGACGCGGCCGTGTTCTGGGATTGCTTGAGGCGCTCGGCGATTCGAAGGCGCATGCGATTCATCTTGACCTGGATCGGCGTACAGAGATTAGAAAGCGTGGCACGTGCATCGCGGTCAATGGGCCCGTGGCACTTACCTTGCGTTCCTCCCGACTTCCGAGAGTGGGCGTGGAGGACAAGGACTCCTTGGCGGCCGGCGGGGACTGTTTAGGGGACGGAGAGGGTTCCTTCTTCTCGGGAGCCGGCGGTGGCGGTGCCGGCTTGCTCTCCTCCTTCTTGGGAGGCTCTACCGTCTCTCGCGATGCTGGGGCGTCCTCCTTCTTGGCCTCATCCTTGGACTCGGACGGCGCCTGTTTGGCCCCATCGGAGGGTGCGCCTCCAAGCTCGATGCGGACGAGATCCTGGCCGACAGTGACGGTGTCTTCTTCGTTGGCGAGGAATTCCTTGATAGTACCTGCTTCAGGCGCGTTGACGGCAACGTCAATCTGTCAAACACGGTCCGGTCAGTCTTCTTCACGCAAGCTCGCCACAGAGGTAGCGCAGAGGCAGATTGCACTGCTTCCTGCGCGCGAGAGCCCGGGCTCACCTTGTCGGTCTCGATGGTAGCAATCTCCTCGTCCTGCTCGACAAAGTCGCCAACCTGTTTGGACCACTGCTTCAACGTTCCTTCCGATATGGACTCGGCCATCTGAGGCACTTTGACGACCCTGTCGGCATAGCTGCGGACCTGGCGGAAGTATAGAGGGAGAGCATACTGCTGCAGCGGCTGCTGGACCTGGCGCAGCCGGGCGCAACGGGTCACCGTCAACAGGCTTCTGGACAACATGGTGCCGAAAGGGGAAAGGAAAAATAAGGGCCAACTATGTGTCTAATCAGACCTGAGGGAATGAGCGCAGTCGATCGAGCGCCAATGGCAACCCAGAAGACTGAAGAGCAGGAGAGAGAAACGGATGGAAGGGGAGTGTCGATCAGGGGACTGAGAAAGCTGACAGATGGATTGATGCGATCGTAGGAATTAGGAAAGGGAAGATCGTGAGGTCCTATTCAAGATGGCCCTGCTAAAAAAAACATGGGAGAGCACTTCCCGAATTGTACCGTGCATGGGGGGGATCCAGTCAGCTCTCGAGCCGACGCATTGCTTGGTTCCTGGTACGAAAGCCGACCAGGCGTGGAAATAAATGGGGCCCCAGCGACAACACTGGCGCACTGGACCAGCCCAGCAGGCGATGTGCTGGTAGGTACACTCCTGTGGGACGATGTAGGTACCTGGACTCTTGGGAATAGCAATAGCGCGTAGCGCTGATGTTCTGCACTACACCTAACTTAGTGGCCCAAGCTCGAAGTATCGGCTCGGGAGGTAAAAAGCCGATCAGCGGCCTGGCCAATAGCATGTAGGCTTTTCGAAACCAAAACTTCCGGCTAAGGCAACAAGGCATCCACAACCTCGTCCTTTCACTCAAATCTGGTGGAAGCTCTCACAACAACCCGGACAGCCGTGCCTTTCGCAGAAATCCCCCATCGGTCGTCATTTCGAGACCCGGCAAGTCCCTCAATTGTATCGAAGGGCACCGATTGAAGCCACTTCACTTGCACGAGGGCGTCTGCGTCCCCCCTGCTTCCGTCCCGACCCGATTAACGTGTCGCCTTCCCTCCTCACTAGGGAGCAAGCAGACCACCCTCTCCGTATTAAGCCCACGGCTCCTTGACGGGCTGCATCATCAATTGCCCGCCATGTCCACCCGACAAGCTACCCTGTGAGCAGGCTCGATCCTCTCCCTCGCAAAGATAGGAAATACTGACGCCGACGGCCCCAACATAGCTCTTTATACCGGAGGTCGTTGAAGCTCGCTCTCGACTGGGCCGTCCACCGGCATCTCTGGCGCGGCCAGGCGCTCTACATACGTTCTCTCTTTGAGGCGAACCGAAACATCACAGACCCACGGCAACAAAGGGTATGTCCCGGGGAAGGAGACTGCGGACTCGCATTGCACAGGCACAAGATGGACTGGTTGCTAATCCGTCATCGTCATCCCATAGGCTCTGTTGAAGGAAACCGAGAAGCTTCTGGAAAAATGGAAGCATCCTGATCCCTACTGCCACCCAACGGCACCCGGAGGTATGTTGCGATCCACCTCTTGATAAGCTGCCCTTTGCGGCACTCCAGGCGGAGGAGACACTGACGGCAATCACTCAGGCTCAAAATATGAGAGAAACTTAGCTGCGCCCATTCTCGATCGTGAGTACCCCTCCTTCTACCCCGAACCGATGGTTTCTTTCTCTCTCGCCGAGGGAAGAAAGGAATGGGAAAAGCCGTGTCTGACTTGATTTTCACAGCCCCCCCACCACTGAAGTTCTAGGAAACGCTGGCATTTGGGACACATGGACGGGGGTCTTTTGCCAAGGATTGTACATATAGCGAGATAACGAGAAATCCAACCGAGCAAAATCAAATTGATAGAGACCACTTGCATCTTTTCTTGATGCCTCGAGGCCCTTCGCCAGGGGAAGCAACCGCCAGGGACGTTCCTTAGATACCGATGCTAGTCCCGCGAAGCCCACAAGACCGCGTCCGAAATAAATATGAATCCAAGCTAGTCTTCGCGAACGCAGGCAACGCGGTGCAGCGGCGAATCACAAGGTGTGGAAGCGACTTGCAATCGAAGTCCAAAAGATCCGAAATCGCAGACAGCACAGCGGAAGGTTGATCGTTCAAAAGATGTCTTCATTCATGACCATTTGCCGTAAAAGGGGATTAATGTACAACCCTGATGTTTAAAAAACGCAACCGTAAACCCTGTGATCCCAGTGACCCCATGTCATGACACCCAAAACAAGCCGACCAAATAATGGAGCAAAAAAACAAAAACACCAGACCACCCATTTACAACTCCTGGCTCGCGTTCTTGCCAGTCTTGCCGGTCTTCTTGGGCAGCAGGTCTGAAAGGAGGCACGTTAGTCATGGAGAGCGGAGACGCGAGTGTGTGGGGTAGCGGCTTACTCTGGTGGATGTTGGGCAGGACACCACCTTGTGCGATAGTGACGTGACCCAGCAGCTTGTTCAGCTCCTCATCGTTTCGGATGGCGAGCTGCAGGTGACGGGGGATGATGCGGGTCTTCTTGTTGTCGCGAGCAGCGTTGCCAGCCAACTCGAGAATCTCAGCAGCGAGGTACTCGAGGACGGCAGCGAGGTAGACCGGGGCACCGGCACCGACACGCTGGGCGTAGTTGCCCTTGCGGAGCAGACGGTGAACACGGCCGACGGGGAAAGCCAGACCGGCCTTGGAAGATCGGCTACAAAGACGGGTCAGTCTCGGGGGGTCAAAACAGCGAAGCAACTTGGATGGCCTGAGACGCGTCCCGATGAGACGAGACGCGTCAAGGCACATTGCAGACTCCCGAAGAGCCGCGGAGCCAACTTACGTTTGCGAGTTCTTGGAACCGCTGGCCTTGCCGCCGGACTTGCCGCCTCCAGTCATTTTGCTTGTTGTTTTGGGGGGTTGGAAAAGGTTGGAGATGTGGTTTAGCTGATGCTGGACACGAGGGTCGAGATGTTCGAGGACGAAAAGTAGCGGCTTGGATGAGAAATTTGGGGATGAAGATGGGAGGGACTTGAGGATTGGTGGGGGAGTTGGCAGTTAAGTAGTTTTCCCAGTGCGAGATGCGCGATCACGGATCACCACGCATGAGGATTGGCGCTAATCCGAAAGCGGCAGATTATTATTCGGGCGCGGCGTGGGAAAATGGAAATTTTGCGGCGGACAGGGGGGCGTGTGCCACCAACAACAGCTGCCTACAACAGATCAAATACGGCGCGCGGCGGTCTTTGCCCATTCTCCCCCACACTGATCCATCCACACACACTTTCAAAACATGACCTGCTGGTTGATTCGCGGTGAAGGAGGCATGTAGGTAGGCAAGTACCTAGGTACATCCTTACTTGACCTACCTCCTCTTTGCTATGAGTGTGATAGGTACCTAGGTAAGCCTCGCCCCCAGCTGCTTCGTCCATCGTGGAGGCGTGCGTCCAACTGGTGGGCTGGCCTACCCGCCGTGCATAGCGTGCTAGTCTCGGTCAAAGCAGGGTGCCGCAAGTACCAAGTATCATCGCCCATACCCTTGCGGGCACTACCTGTATGGATGCATATTTGCGTCGTTGAATTACAAGTAGACAAAGAGTAATGCCCATAGCTAGGACGTCGTGCCTTTTTGCCCCTTCTGTCTGGGAGGGCAGGAAATCAATGAATGGCAGCGCCAATCAATGACAGTTGATGCCAACCACTCACATCTTTATCCCATATCAACGAATGGATGTCAACTGGTCCTGGCTCCGACGGTCGAACTGATATGGCTATATCAAACCGAGCTCAAGTAGATTACTCTAAACTTCTTGACGCCATGGTCCTGCCGTGGACTCCTTGTTCTTCTTCCATTATCACCAGATACTGATCGTAATCCATCTCCTATAATCACTGAGGAGCCTGCCCACTTGGTTGGTATCGGGCTTCACGTCTCGTGCCTCTGCTGTCTGCCGGGTCACTGCCGAGTACCTTCAACCCCGTAGCGCACCAGTGGCTCTCTTGATAAGTCCAGTACGTTGGACTGCTTTCCCGATGTAGACACAGGAGCGGAGTTGGCATCGAGAGCGAGCCTCCGGGACATGGTGTGCGAGTGGAGATGTGCCATCGCCCATCAAAATGCAAGTGTCAGCGTCGGTTTGGCATCCACGCACCCACTCCCAGTCTCGTCTAGTTACTTCATTGGAGAAAGGCTTGGCCGAGAGGCCGTGACAGAGACTAGAGTACTGAGTGCGCACATGCACAGCGAGACAGGCAAGCCCAAGCCTTGCTGTTGATAACGACTTACGGAGTAGACACTACGGAGTACCTCCTTACTCTGTACTCTGTACTCTTAGGTACCTAAGGTAGGTATGGTTGGACGTGATCGCAGAGTGGCTGAGAGACGAGCAAGACCAGCTACCTAGTCCACATTGAGGTTGACCTTTGTCCACATTGGGGAAAATGCCAGAATGGGTAAACAACAAAATGCTATCAAATGCAACGCGAGTCCTCTTGCCTGGCAGGCTCTGGTTTTGCTGCTTGTTATGAAAGAACAGCCTACTCAAGTAGGTATTGTAAAGCAGTGGCTAGCGAGCGCGTTTGCAGGGGATATGGAGGCAGGCACGGCTTCGACGCGTCTGTGGGGCGGGCGCCTTCCTGGGCCCAGGTGGGTGATTTGTGAGTGGAAAATCAACGCTTGAACAGCTTCGGCCAAACATGAAGCTCCAGCTACCTGTGTAACTAGGTACCTGGGTACCAACCGCCCCTTCCGTGTGAGCTTCCCCTCCCGTCGAATTTCTGAATCAGGAATGGGCGTTGCCCCACGCACGGGCCACTCCACCGAGCAGGCCTCTGGCGCGTCAAATCAGTAGCTTTGGTGGCCCAAGTGGTTGGAGCTCTGGGCTGTCCACCCACCCCCTCCCCCAAAATAAAGGTCAAGTAATCAGTAAAGCCGCTAGGCTCTGTCGCGTCCACCTACAAAAACCTCACGCACCCCCCCATCTTTCCAATTCTCTCCTTCGACAACATTCATCATCGACTTTCTCTGCACGAACGACGACTCATCTCGCAGCATTCATCTGCCTCATCTCATCCAACTTTGCAACTTAATCCCACCACTTTTTCCAATCCGCCAAAATGCCCCCGAAGGCTGCTGACAAGAAGCCCGCCTCCAAGGCGCCCGCCACTGCCTCCAAGGCTCCCGAGAAGAAGGATGCCGGCAAGAAGACTGCCGCTTCCGGTGACAAGAAGAAGCGCACCAAGGCTCGCAAGGAGACCTACTCCTCCTACATCTACAAGGGTGAGTCGTCAACGCAAACATGCGCCTTGGGCGCAAGGAACGCGCCTCTGGCCGCGTCGCCTGCTCCCGCACAGACTCGCGCGCACATTACTGACGCCTTTCTCTCTCAGTCCTCAAGCAGGTCCACCCCGACACTGGTATCTCCAACCGTGCCATGTCGATCCTGAACTCGTTTGTCAACGGTATGTCTCATGGATGCCCACCTGGTACTGTTCCCCGACATTGACACTAATGTACGCGTCTAGACATTTTCGAGCGCGTCGCCACCGAGGCTTCCAAGCTGGCTGCCTACAACAAGAAGTCCACCATCTCCTCCCGCGAGATTCAGACCTCTGTCCGCCTGATCCTGCCTGGTGAGCTGGCCAAGCACGCTGTTTCTGAGGGTACCAAGGCCGTCACCAAGTACTCTTCATCCACGAAATAAGCATGTCTTTTCCTGCTTTTCTTGTTTTTCTCTAGGGCATCGGGATTTGCTTGGCATTTGGGTGTCATGATGAGACTGACCAAGGCCGCCCTGTTCCTTGGAGTCTCTTAATGCGTTACGGATGGTCTGCTTTTTATGGGGGCAATGTCTTCACGGTCAACGGGGTTTGCGGCTGTACAATACCTACAGAATAGGATTTTCGGAAATGAACTCTTGCACATGAACAATCAACAAGGAAGGCCTGCTTCTCAAACTCGCGCGTCGTGATTGCCTCTGATTTCTTGGCTAACGATTAGGAGAAAAAAATCCGCCCCGGTTCTCGCCAGGCGGCCTCTGATACCGGCAGCTGGGGGCGATGATGACGGCGCCCGAACGGTGATCCTGCGAGAGTTGAAGTACAGCTTGCAAAGAGAAAGACACGAGCGATCTGGTATTCTTATCCCAGACCGGCTTTCGTCCGTTTGACAACGTGGGTGATGGGCTGCTTGATCCCTTTGTTGTCCATTGCGCCCAGTGCCATACCGCTCATCCAGCCCATCTTCTCCAACATGGCGCGACCCCGATTCGATTCTGCGATCTCCGGGGCTGAACCGCCTACGACCTCGCCTTCGCGATAGGTGACAGCCGCGTGATTGATGCGGCCGCCCGCACCAGCCGGACGCTTCGGCGCGCGGCCCCTCTCGTCAGGACGTGGGAAGTGGCGGCGCCTGATGCGGGCAAACGCCGCCTCGAACGATGTCTCTCCAAACTTGGCCGTGTACTTGGTGCGGTGCAGGACCGGTCGTCGCTGGTCGCCGCTGCCGGTGGACTTGGACTTGATTTTGAAACGGTTGGCAATCTCGTGGACAATCTTGCGCGCAGACGCGTCCATGGGCGGAAGACGGAGGCTACACAGAGAGAGAAAGACCATATGTCAGTATATGTAGCTGAGCGGGAAGGCAGAATCGCCGGGACACAACGTACATCTCATCAGAGCCGAGGAGAAAGGCCCGTAGTTCCATGCTGAGAGCCTCCAGACTCAGGCCGCCCCTGTATTTGACGCGGGGATCATCGGGGTTCGCATGTTTGCCAAGGAGGCCCTGCGCCCTAAGCTCCTCTCGCTGCGCCTTTTTCTCCTTCTTGCGTAGCCGATCTTTCTGCCATGCTGTATGCAGCGCCTCTTCGAGTTCCGAATCAGACACGTCGAACGATGGGCGACCACGCGCACCCTTGGGTTTCTTGTTCAGGCTAGAAGCGGACCAGTTGGACAGGTCAAAGTTGTCAAATGCGTCAGCCAGGGCACTGGCGGATCGATCCTGCACTTTGCCCGGTGCGTCTAGATAGCCCCGTACCGAAGCCTTCTTACCTCTCGCCCGGGGCTTGGTGGATGTGGCATAACTCTCGTCGAATACGAGTAGCTCATCCCCGTCCAGCCCGAGCTCCTCCTGTTTGGCAAACAGCGCGGCGAGCTGGGCATCGTCGATATCGGCGTCCATACGATCAGCTTCTCTGTCGTCATCCATTCCATCTCCCAAAGCCTTGTCGTCTGAAGCAGGCGAGTGTCGGCTGCTCGGACCCATGTCGTCTCGCAAATCGCCGTCCTCCTCGTCTTGGAAAGAGCCACTTGCACTCTCGCTCGAATTATCTAATACGACAGCGTTGTAGGAGCCCTCTAGAGCCCGTGAGACAATCTGGTACTGCTGGAGAAGGCCTGCTATGCCGTCCTCGTCCATGTTCCTGATGTAATCGGCAAGGATGGCATCTTCGCCATCCTGCTCATCATCCGTATTACTGCGCACGGACGACTGTGTTCCATCGTCAGCAGGTCTTTCATAAGCGGTCCACGCCTGTGCAGGCGAGTCATCAAGCGCAGCTCGGGGTTGGTGCACGGGACGCTGGATTGTCGGCGGGTCAAGACTTGACTCGACCGCGGCAATCTCTCGCCGGATGGCCGTCATGCCCAAAGGCGGTGCTCCCTGCCAACCTTTTGACTCCCTGCCTCTGAAGAGGACGACATCCTCGCTCGAGTCCGACTCAGCGCCTGGTGAGCCGCGATCGTACTCTGGCACCGTGACTGGACGTCCGGAGGTTGTGCCAAGGGCTGGATCTCCGGCCGTGTCAAAGAAGAATGGCGCTATCGAGCTGGCATCCAGTGGATCTAGTTCTCTCAAAGAGGCGGCCGACTCGTTGTCTGCCGGGGCATTGTCTGGTCCATTTTTTGCTGGTGGGTGATGACCAGGAGAGTCAAGAATTCCGCCTGTGCCGACGTCGCCATTACCCCCGGTTCGAGCCACCGCTTCAACAGCGCCTGCCTTGCCTTGGCCGGCAGTGTCCTCCTCAGCATGCAGCTCCGGAAGAGGCTCGATGAGGCCGGCACTAACAAAGGCAACAGGCCTGTCCCTTAGCTTGGCGGCTCGGTCCCAGTCGGACGTGCCATGAGTCGTATTTCTGGCCTCGTCTTGCAACGTGAAGCCATGAGCTGTGGAAATGGCATTAGTAACTCGCGAGGAGGGACCGAGGAGGCCTTGCACCGGAGTTGACAGACCATTTGATGAGTGTGCATCTGCAAAGCTGCGAGAGAGAGCTTGGGGTGTTTCGAGATGCCGGGCAGGCCGAGTGGACGCCGCGGCAGCACGTAGACGGGCAGCCTTGGCCCCGCGTGCTCCCTTCTTGTTCTTAGCCATGCCTCCGGGATGGACGAAGCGCTCTATCCCGACGTCGAATGACAGATGGCGGGCTGATGATATCAAGCCCGGAAACGTGAGGCTCCGCAAACGTGGCTGAAATCTGACTCTTACTGGTGGGTCAGTCAGATCTGAGATTGCGTCGTCTGTGGCTTGGTTGCCTTGGTTGCGGTGACTAGTAGTAGAAGATCTGGCATTTGCCAACCAGCGAGAAAGAAGAAAGAAGCGAAAAAGTGAGGGAGGCCAAGCTGTCTTTGCTCTCCGTCTTTGCTCTTTGTGTTTGTGTGAGAAAGTACTTGTTTTCCTTTCCCTGTCTCTCTTCTTCGTTCTCTGCTTTGTGTCTCCAGTCAGTAAGGTAGCCGGGGCAAACAATCAACGAATGCACTCGACTCCACAGGAACCAGTTACCTTACGGAGTAGGTACGCGAATTTTGGACTTACCTATCGTTATCTAGGTACCTATCATTGGACAGTCCTTGAAGTAAGGTAGGTAGACGACAAAAACACCATCTGGCTTTTTTTGGACCAGAGAAGGGGTTCTAAGGGGCCTCCCTGCCTAGGTACTTATTTTATTGGGCACATAGAAAAATCGCTGGAAGCAAAGAGTACCATCTGTTCTCGTCCTTTGGTCCCAGGTCGCGGCTTATTGATCTGAGCACATAGGTCCGCATGCCTCGTAAATATGGTAGAATTGTTTCAAGACATTACCTAACTACCTACCTCAGGTCTCAGTCTCTGGACCGACACCACCCTTGCGTGATGGCTGGCGGCTTTGGCACTCGGTAGGTTGATTGACAGGAAGTCCCTTTCCTGGCCGGATGACTCCATGTCCATGATAAGCAGCCGGCTTGTAAGTACCTGCCTAGGTAGTTAGGTACCTCCCTCGTCATGAGTCTCTGTCGTGCTCCAGGGCTGTGGTGGTCGCCTGAATCTCAAGTGGGCCCCCCAAGTCCAGGCCTACGTCCATCCATGGATGCACCTGTTCAGTGGGGTTGGCTACCTACCCGGCCCCATCCATTAGCGGTAACAACGGAAGCCCACCTGATATCCCGAGCCACCTGCGGTCGGAATCCCCAACCTTCTGTCCTGCCTGACCTTACCTACGCTCATCTTAGCCAGCAGATCTACTTTTCGCAACCTCATCGGCACAATACCTAGGCTGTTTCCCATTATCACCGCCTGAATTCCCCTACGTGACGCTGTCTACAACAGTACTGCTCTCCAAACCCGTCAAACACCTTGGCCCAGTCCCTGTGCTGACTTGCACGCTGCTGTGTATGACGACGATGCGGGGATCCTGACGGGGCATTTCATCTGTTGTGATCATTCACGAATCCCCTACGCCCAGAGCTCACGTTCTGCTTGCATCCGCGTAGCTGCCTCAGCTTAATCTCGAGGTCACTGGAAAGAGAAGAAGAAAAAGGAAAAAACAACTCGACCCCCACGAAAACCCGTTCAGGTTCACACGGAGACCGATCTGGGCCCACATCATGGATGCCGCCGTAGCTGGAGCTGCAGACCTCGGCAGATATGGTCGCCGTATTGTCAAGATGATCTGGGACCCGGAGCCCGTCAACGATACCGCCGCAGATATTCCCGTCTGGTGCTTGGGGTGTTCGTATACCGTCGGGACTAGCAGAGACGCCGACCGTCAACACTCGGGTGCTCCAACTACTCCTCCACCACTGCCAGCCGCCTCGGCCACTGCTTCACACCCAGGCACGAATGCGGCGCCCGTCACGCCCCCCGACTCCGCCTCGAGCAGCTTCAGCTCCTCGCTGGCCTACGAAGACGCCGGTGACGACAGCGGCGGATGGCCCGTCGCCTTCCTGGACGACTTCGAGTCCCGTATCTGGATGACGTACCGGTCCAGCTTTGACTCCATCCCGAGATCTGCAGACCCCAAAGCCTCGACGGCTCTCTCCTTCTCCATGCGTCTGAGAACGCTAGGCGACCAGTCGGGCTTCACCTCCGATAGTGGATGGGGGTGCATGATCCGCTCCGGCCAATGTCTACTCGCAAACGCGCTGGCCATGCTCGAGCTCGGTCGAGGTGCGTCATAGGCCTCCTTTCCCCTCCTTTGGTGTCCTTCTGAATGTTACTGACGCGAGACCAGACTGGCGGAGAGGCGATAAGAGCGACCAGGAAAGGCAGCTCCTCTCTCTGTTTGCAGACGATCCGAGGGCGCCCTTCTCTATCCATAGTTTTGTCAGGCACGGCGCCGAGGCATGCGGAAAGTACCCCGGCGAGTGGTTTGGACCGTCAGCCACGACTCGATGTATCCAGTATGGGGACCCGGCATTCTTATTGTCTACATGTTGCCTGGCTGACACATGCACAGGGCGCTTACCAACGCGCGGCAGGGCCAGCTTCGTGTCTACTCCACGGGCGACCTCCCGGATGTCTATGAAGATACTTTTATGGCTACCGCCAAGCCGAACGACGAGGCGTTTCATCCTACTCTGATTCTGGTGAGCACAAGGCTCGGTATCGATAAGATCAACCCAGTCTACTGGGAGGCCCTCACATCCAGTCTACAGCTACCTCAGTCTGTAGGCATCGCTGGGTAGGTCCCCACACGACACCACCTCGCAGGTCTGCTTGCAATAATCTGACGCTGAATCCTCCAGGGGGCGCCCTTCCTCATCGCACTATTTTGTTGGTGCCCAGCGATGTCCTGACAACCAAGGTTCCTTTCTATACTACCTCGACCCTCACTTTACCCGCACCGCCCTCCCCTTCCACGAGCAGGTCGCCGATTACACGGCGGACGAAGTCGGTTCGTGTCACACGCGGCGGCTGCGGCGGCTTCATATACGCGAGATGGACCCGAGTATGCTCATAGCCTTTCTCATTCGAGACGAGGATGACTGGGAGACGTGGAAGAGCTCTGTCAAGCATGTCCAGGGAAAAGCCATCATTACCATATCACCAAACGACCCAGCCGGGGCTATGGCCCCTGGGCGGCACGAGGCTATTGACGAGGTCGAAACTCTGAGTGATGAAGACGATGCAGAGACCATCTTGGAGGCCTAGCCCCCCACACCTTGACCTCCGTCGGAGAGAGCTTGTCGCTGTCGGGCGGAGGGACACCAGTCAGTACAACACTGTTGCGGTGGTAATCTGGTAGACGGTGTATTGTCCTGTGCTAATCTTGATGACCTGGTTTCGGCAGGCCCACATCGTCCCCCTCAACATCCCAGGCGCAAGGAGCTGCGGGAGCGGGACGCCGCGATGATGCGTGATCGCAGGGATGGGCCATTGGTGTTGGCGTGCGTGGCGTGCCGTCCTCGCCACGGACCCCGCAGTGCTGCATTCCGGTATGGCATCAAGTCCTGCCAGTAGCAGTCTCTCACTTCTTGTTTTTCTTACCACCCTTGGCGGGCCTGGACGTAGCAGGGACTAGCTTAGCATGACCTAGTTCGTTGATATGCTCAAAGAGCTTGCTTCGGGACGGGAACGTTTGCTCGCAGATCGCGCATTGGTGCTATACAACTAGCAGTCAGTGCTCCGTCTCTCACCCTTCTCGAACCGAAACCTTGCCCTGGGGTTTGACAACATACCACATTACCCTGCTGCCCCTGGGCGACTTCTCGGGCTGCCTTTTTCTCCCTCTTGGCCTTGGCCCTGCCAACCTTCTTCGGCACAGGCTGGCTGTCCACGTTCAGAGTGGTGAATTGGGAGGGGAGCAACTCATCGGCGAGCTGTGTCGGGTCTGTAGGTTCGCCTTCCCGAGTCTGTGAGAGGAGACGGTCCTGCACAGAATGCCTCGGGGCATAGTCGTCATCATCCGAAATTTCGGAAGGAGAAGCGCTGGCAGCCGAGGATCGACCTGGCGAAGTCTGGCCTGCACCGTCGCCCTCGTCTCCTGTGTTTGCTTTTTCGAGCGATCTTTGGCCGTTGGAAGCTTGCTTTGGCTCAACGATAAACCCGTTTTCGGAGGCACTCGGGGCATGTAGGTTGGACGTCGCAGTCTGGGCGTCCACCTCGGGCCGCGCTTGCTCGGCGTCCAGCTCGAGAGCCGTATCCTGCTTTTTCATCTCCCGACGCAACTGCTGCACAGCCTTGATGTGTTTTTTGCTCTTCTCGTGCGCTTGGAACTGCTTCTCGCTCTTGAAGGACTTGTTGCAGACGACGCATTCAATCTGTTCCACCTCGGACTCCTCCTCGCTCATGGAGAACTCGCTGAGGTGATCTTCATCGAGCTCGCGGGACTTGATCCAGTCGGGCTCGGTATAATTGGCCAACTTTTCTTGGTTCGCCGCCCGAGAGCGGGCTGCCTGTGCGGCCACCGAGTCGCGCAGGGCTTTCTGCCGCTCAGCCTCGGACTGGCTGCTGGCGATGTATCTGGGATCCCTTTTCTTGACAAAGGCAACCAGGGATCTAACAGCGTCGTTGAAGTCACGGATGGCGTCGTCGCGGAACTTTCTGTTCTCCTTTTCCATCAGGCGGCGGATTCGGCGGTCGGGGGCCTCGGAGAGCCTATACTTGTCCTTCCAGCTAAAGGACTTCTTGGTGGAGAAACCCGACCAGGCATTGTAGAAGGGCCGGGCGGTGGATTCGTGGTCGTCGTCGGCTGAGCCAAAGGGAGGGTACTGCGGCACGGGCTGGCCGTCCCAGTTGCAGGCCGCCGCTTCCTCTGCAGCGAGCTGGTCGAAGGTGAGGTTGAGAATGCCAAAGAAGCCCCGGGGGCTGTCGTCGAAGGGGACGCTGGTGTTGAAGCGGCCCATGAGCGAGTAGAGCTCCTCGGTGGTGGTGACGCGCTGGTTATTGTGTTCGTAGGGGCTCGAGGAGTCCCCGTCGGGGTCGCCCCTTAGGATTGCATCGCGGTGGGAGTCGTACCAGGCCCGTTCCTGGGGATCGGAGAGGACCTCGTAGGCGGTCTGGACCTCGGCGAATTTCCTGGTCGCGTTCTGGACATCGTTGATGTTTCTGTCGGGATGTAGCTCGAGAGCCTTGCGCTTGTAGGCACGGCGTATCCTGCGACAGGAGGGAGCATGGTCAGACTGGCCGTGGGGCCGGGACACTGGGAGGAGGGAGGGCCTTGTAGATTAAGCTTACTCTTCGTCTGAGGCCTGGCGGTCGAGGCCGAGTAGCTCGTAATAGCAGGTCTTGACGGGAGAGGCCGCACCCTGCTCATTCTCGTCGCGTGAGGCTGACTGCCCTGCGCCCATCGTGGCGGCAAGTGCGTCGTTCCCTCCGGGCGAGCCCGCGGGTTGGTATGTTTTTCGGGTGTCTGTATTCTGTCTTGTGTTCAGTGTTGCCTCCGTTGCTGCTGTGGCGTGCAGATGTTTATGTATCGGCGAAACAGTAAGCTTTACACGGCCTTGTAGTGCGAAGAAAATCTTGGAAATGAGATCATCAATCACCCCCCAGGACTGTGCTGGCCTAGGTAGACCCGACCAGCGACAATGCAGGCGCGGGGTTATGCAGAGCTTGGAATTTTTGGGAGACTTGGCAACGAGGGGAGATCCAGAAAAAGATCCATCAGGTACATTAGGTAACTCAACTCAGAGTACCTGGTCGTGCGACTTCCGCACACTTGATATTAGGTACACTTGCAGTTCTGAGACAAAAGAGACAATCATCCTTCCAAAGGCTCTTATACATAAGGGACATATATATATGCTATTTCCTGAAGAAAAGAAATGTAGAGAAAAAGAGACAGATGGACAGGGGAGGACCTGGAAACTAAAGAAACTCCCTGCACCTGGCTTGGTCCTTCACTACTGACTTGCATGCTAAAGTGCGTGGATAGTATGCCTGCATTTTACAATCAACAATGTCAGAGAGGCGCGTGTTGGTAGAGCTGACCCAGTCTCTGGGGTAGGTCGTGAGATAGTCTAGAAGTCGGCGGTTTTGCGCATCTGGAAGCGCCAAGGTATTTCTATGCCTTCTTCTTGCTCATTGGTGGCCTCCCGAGCTGATGGCTACCTTACCTACTACCTAGGTAGTTCTTTCTCGACCCTCAGCACATCTGCCTCTTCCCAAACAATCCCCAACGCGACCCGAGCGAGAGTAAAAAGAGAATCCACCAGAGAGCGGGAAACAAGAACGTGGGCTGGCATCGCGCAGGCTAGCAGCGACTCGGGACTCGGGCGCAGGACCGACCTAGATCGAGGTTGCGAATTGACTACCTAAACTTACCTTGCCTACCTCAGTGCGGTCTACCTGTACCATACTAAATGTGGTCAGTACGAGGACGACGGCGGGGTGGGGAAAAATTTCCTCAAGGCCGCTCTGGACTTTGTCGTCCTGAAAATCGTCTCCCTAGGGACCCAGGGCCAGGCACTGAGCTTCGAACTACGACAAAAAGCGACACGTACGTTCTGCTTGTCATTCCCTAAAATGATCTCATCCTCGCGCTGCCCATGTCTGCTTCCCTCCGGTGCTCTACCCTCTCTGAAACCACTGGTCTTCGTTTCTCCATGATCTTCCTCTTCTACTAGTAGATGCGCCTGGGTCTTGGCACCGACTTCTGAGACCCCGAATTGCTGCTCATTTCTACGGCGTCGTCCGCGTTCCCGTCCCCGCTTCTCGCTCCATCCACCGCGCACTCCAGGTCGGCGCGCCGCGCTGCACTTGGCCACACACCGAGCGCGCGCTTCCAGTCCCTCTTCAGGGCCATCAAGGGCTTCGTACCGGAGCAGGGAGGGCCGTGCCTCCGGGACGAGCTCGGAGACTCGCACAGAGCTCGACTTGAAATTCATCCGGCTTCAAGGTGGGTGCATAGCAATAAGAGAAGAAGACGGCAGACGGAAGCAAATCATGTGCCGCCCCGGATCGAGACTGACAGTCTCTAGGCCATCCCACCTACATCATCGAAGACTAGCCAGCTGCTCCTATCTTGTAGCTTGCTATGTGCTGCAGTCCAAGTCTTGACTGACCTGTGACACCGGGTTGTTGGAAGTGCAATTTCACTCGCTCACGGGGCGGGACATCATCCTCGCAACCATGAAGTTCGGTCACGAATTCCAAGAGTTCCTGAACCGGGAAGGTAATGCGCCATCCAGGGAGAGAGAGAGAGAGCGAGAGTAGTACGCTCTGTGCAACCGCCCCTGGCCAGGGCTAACCATGCGCGCAGAGTATTCCGAATCTTGGCGCAAGGCCGCGGTGCCATACAGCCAACTCAAGAAATGTCTAAAGAGCATACAGCGGGAACTCAGAGAGCTCGGCCTGGATCCAGAAACGCTGCACCAGTTGCTCGCTACGCAGACTTCTTCCTCCGAGCCATTTGCTAAATATAAAATTGAAGGTGAGCATTGTGCAGGAACGCCATGTGGGACATGCGAACCTAACCGGCATTGGTCCTAGAAACAACTTCTCTGAGGCCGAAACTGACTGTTCTTGTCGACATCGAGGATGGCGTTGCCGTCGATGCCAGCCTGTCGCCGGCTTCGAGGGCGGTCTTGCGCAGCCTCGCCGCCAGGAGGAGCTCGACTGGGACCGCGCCGCCCGACAGTGCCATCCCCGCCCGGCAGACATCCGATGCGTTGTAAGGCCCTCCTCTTGGCGTAGCACCCCCCGGGCCTCGCTCGCGACTGTGCTGACCATTCTGCTACAGACCCGATCAGGTCCCTGCCGCTCCTCGGGACTCTGCGGCGCTTGTCAAGAGCAGCGACAGGAGGCTGGACCGCATAGAGGTGCCCCTGTCCTTTGACGGTGAGTTTTTCGACTTGCTACGGCGCGACTTTGACAACATGGACGAGCTGCAAAAGGATCAGGAGGGAGCTATGAGCAACGACATCGCGGCCCTCGGCGGCATGTTGTCCGAGCTCACAAAGCCCTCCAGCCTGCTCTCCAAGAGCGACCTGACCAGGTGGCGCGAGATCTTTGAACTATACGTCGATGCCCAGGTCTTCTTTGCCACCCAGGAGAGAGACCACGGCGCAAGAGACAGCGAAAAGGCGCTGGAGCGCCTGGTCTGGTTCCAGAATCAGATCGAGAAGCGCGGCTTGCGTGACAAGTTCAAGCTGCCGCAGAGCCAGGAAGCGTACGACAAGTTTCTCATCCTCAACCGCGACCTCGTCCGATACCTCAAATTTCAGGAGTACAACAGGGTTGCCGTGCAAAAAATACTCAAAAGTCTGTGCATACCCACGGGCATCCCCGCCCACTCTGGTCAAGAGGTGATGCTGACGTGGCCCTTTAGAATTTGACAAACGAACGGCGCTCGGCGTGTCGCGCACGTTCCCGAAAGCCATCCAGGCGCGAGGGATCATGACGGAATCGATGGCCAAGAACGTCTGCGCCGAGATGTCACAACAGCTGGTCTCGACCGTCCCTCGGATCGACGACTACACGTGTCCTGTCTGTCTCAGTCTCGCGTGGCTGCCCGTGCGCCTGAAGTGCCGTCATGTGTTTTGTGTGCGCTGCGTCATCAAGCTGCAGCGCGAGAGGAAGCGCCACTGTCCTCTCTGCCGCGAGGACGTCGTCATGCAAGCCGACCTGGGTAGGTGTCTTGGCTGTTTGCCCGCCGGGCCTTTGGATTTGGCGCAATGTTTGACTGACACGTTTGGCTCTGATGTAGACAACCTAGACCACGATCTCACCAAGTTTCTCGAAAAATACTTTCGGAAGGAGGCCAAGGAGAAGCAGACGGCCAACGAGATAGAGCGCGGTATTGAGCTCTTCGGCCCCAATTACAAGCATAACTCCTGTGTCCTCATGTGATGCACTGCGGTTGAAATGCTCTGCCTTATTTCTTCGCTCGGTCGCCTAACCCGTCACAGGACACCCACACTACGGCGGGGTGCATTAATAGCCAGAGTCTACCATATTCGCGTGTATCTGCATCGGGGAGGGCGGCAAGGTCATAGACAATACCCTCCAGCGCTATACAGCATCACTGGATTTCAGATAATAGCGGAAGCGTTTTATTTTCTGTGTACTTGGATTTAATACGATGGTTTGCTTGGTCGCATGACTGACTGGACCGCTCCTTGGGGGAAATGAGATGGCCTATGATGCTAGTTACAAGACAAGGACTGCGAATCAAGCAGTGACTATGCGAGACCAGATGCATCCTTGCCGCGGAAACACACGTAGAACGCCTTCAGGGCAGCGTGGCCTTGGTGGCTGCGTCCAATGCCCGCTGAAATACGGACCGGAGCTCGGCCGTCTCCTCCAAGCCGACGCTGATGCGGATCAAGTCGGCGTCCACGCCAAGCGAGGCGGCCCAGTCGAGCTCTTGGTAGTGGGCAAGCAGCACATACGGCGACGTCAGGGTGAAGTTGGTGCCCAGGCTGGGCCCTTTGGCCGTCTCGATGGCGTCGTAGAAGGCCACGGCGTGGGCCTTGTGGTGGAACGTAACAGACAGCAGACCGCCGTAGCCGCCCGTGGGCAGCTTGACGGCGTCATAGTTGGGACGCGAGTGGTTGTACTTGGGGTAATGGACCGACTTGGTCAGGGGGCTGGCTCGTAGCACCTCGCAGATGGCCTCGGCGTTGCTGTTGATGCGGTCTATGCGCGAGGCGAAGTCGCGGCTATTGCGCTCCATGAAGATGACGTCCTCGGGCCAGTAGGCATCGTCGTAGAGAGCGGCGGCTGCGGACTTGAGAGCTCCGTAGAAGCGACCTCGCGGGTTGAGTATGAGGCTGCCGCCCATGACGTTGCAGTCGCCCGAGAATATCTTGGTGAGGCTGCTGACGACGACGTCGGCAAAGGGCAGCAGGTTGACGTTGGCAAAGGTGCCAATGGTCTCGTCGATGACGACAGCGAAATCATACTTGTCGGCGAGCTGCCGGATCCTGACGAGATTGGGGCAGGTGAGGAGCGGGTTGCCGGGGAATTCGCAGAACAGACCGAGAATCTCCTCGCCACCCTGCAGCCGAGTCTCTAGCTCGTCCAGCTCCTCCTCCGAGGCGCGGCCGTAGAACAGGCAGCCGGGGCCAAACTTCTCGAGTATCTTGAGCGTGTCGACGTAGGGGAAGCCAAAGCTGACGCTCTTCCGCTCGCCCCGGGCGCGCAGCAGGTACTGGTGGGCGTTGAAGATGGCGTTCATCCCCGTTGGGTAGAGATAGATGTCGTCCTCCCTGAGGTCGACGACGCCGCGGGTGTTGGGGCCCATGTCGGGCGACGGGGCCGCCGACGAGTCGGCATCGACTGCCACGGCGCCGGCGATGCGCCGGCGGATGGCCGATTTGGCCCGCTGGACGAGCGACAAGTCCAGGTTCCGGCCGAAGCGCTCCTCGAGGAAGCGGAGGGTCTCCTCGGCGTCGCGACCATCTTCGGCGATGGGCTGGCCGCCATTGGCGTTGCCGGGAGGCGTCGGCCGCGCGGGCGACTGCTGGTCGATGGACATGGGGCGCTGGTACCGCTTCGGGCCTCTCGGTTTGGGACTTGTCCGGCGGGCCTCTTGCTTGGGCGCCAGGAGCCCGTCCTTGAAGAGACCGTGGCTGAACTCGGCTCGCCGGCTCGAGACGCCTTCGCCCGAGTGTTGCCAGTACTGCTTGGCGAGGGGGAAGTCGTCCTGGTGGAACAGAACCGCCGAGATGGCGGGTGCTAGGGACTTCAGGGGTGCCGCGTCGGGCTTGCTCAGGTCCAGGCCAAAATGCATGCTGTCGAGCAGGTCGGGACGCGAGGGCGAGCGGGCCTGCATGAAGCGCAGGCAACGGGACGCCGCGGCCTCTGTGGGGAAGAGCATGGCCTGCTGGCCCGGTCTGCCATGCTTCTCGGTGATATCCTGAGCAAACGCCTGGATGCTCCTGTGGACAAAAAACCTTTGACGCCGAGGGCGGCCTTGGTCAGCACGGGTGTCGCACCAGGTCCGGGGAAGAGCTCACCTGGGGTACCCGGTGACCATACGTGAGGTCACCCAGTGCGCGCCTTCCTCATAGCCGACGTTGGCATTCCACGTCGGCAGCGAGACGCTGACAGCCTATTGCGTGCAGGTTAACATCCAGCTCACCGGGGCTTCTTGGGGCGCGGGCCATCCAGGTCAATGCTCACATGGGCCGTGTCCGGGGGGATCGACTCCCCGAGAGCAATGGTAGACATGTCACCAGGAACTCGTGGGAATATGCGCTGGGTTCCGATCACCGGCTGCTGGTCCGTAGCCTAGCGACGGGTGTTGCGCTCGAGCAGCGTGTCCGGGAGGACGTGTGGGCGCGGCAGGCGGATGAGGTGAGCAACCCGAAGAAGCTTCTCTTCTCTTCTCACAAGACCAAGTGAATGCAGTTTGAAGAGGGTGTGTGATGGCAACAGCTTATCCGTCCTAACAACATGAAAAAGAAAGGAAAAAAGGCCGAAGGACTGTGACTGTGCCTTTTCCACGCTAAGATTGATAGGTCGGTACTATGTGTGTACCCTGGAGAGTAGCCAAGGCCGGATACCGGTGGATGAATGACACTCCTTCTTCTGTGAGTCAGGCTGATGCGTGCGTCTCTGGCGGCGGGACTTTCCAGGTGTTTGATGTTTGGAGAACACAGCGCAGGGCTTGATGATGGATGATTCGCAAATTCCGGGGTCGGAGTGGATTTGGTGGAGGGAGGAAGAGTACGGAGGGGTACTTTGTCTCTTCTCCGAAGCAGAGGTAAAACTGGGCAAGAGGGGGCGGCCAGTGGCCCGATTGGGATGGAATGCCCGCCGCCGCATCATCAAATGATACAAATGAGATAGATACCTCCCTCTCTCGTAGAACACAGCGAAGATACCATCCGGCAAATACTTTTCGACTCTCTCTCCATCACATGACTGTTAGGAAGCAGAGGTTGAGGCCAAAGGAATCTGTGTGATCGTGTTCGTCAGTCCAAATGAAGTATATGACTCTCTCTCTCCCTCCCCATATATCTACCTATATATATATACCTATATATCTGTTGTAATATTTTGCTTCCTGCAACATGCACACTACCTCTCTCCTCTCGAGGCTTCTCCCCCGGTCATCAACGTTGTACATTGGTCAATGCATACCATCGTTCCAGCAAAAAGGTTATTTCTCCTATGTCCACGAGCCTCCCCTTGCGATGTCAGTGCTGCGAGATTCCCAGCCCGACGCCACCATCGCTTCCCATGCTGGCACTGCTGCCGCCTCGGCCCCTGCGCAGCTGCGGGCCCTGCCCAACCGCGGCCTCCACCTCGTGCGGAGGCATGCTGCTGCCAAACTGGATGACCCTGCCGTCGCCGAGCCTGATGCCCCCGGACCCAGACCTCGACATGGCCTCGCCCCCCGACGACGACGCGACAGAGGGGGGCGTGGCGAACCCGCGCGACGAGGTCCCGGGACTCCGCCCACCGCCGCGCCCCCGCGTCGGGCCCTGGCTGCGTGACCGGCCGCGGTCCGAGACGGCGGCGGCGGCACCGCCCCGGCGGAACAGCCGCGCCGTGGCGGGCGACGTCGTGAACAGGCTGGCCGAGCCGGAGCGGCGCCGCCCGCCGTGCTTCTCTTCGTAACGCGCATAGCTTGTGTCCACCTCCATGAACGAGTCGCGCGCGCGCGGCGACGGCTCCGTCTCGACCAACGAGGGACTGCGCGGGTGCGGTAGTATGTCGAGTGCCGCCCACTTGTCGAGTGAGGCGGCATGGGGCGGCAGCGAGGACAGGCGCTGCTGCTGCTGCTGCTGCTGCTGCTGCTGTTGTTGTCGGGACTGCTGGAGGTGGCCCTCCGGCCAGGGGATGGGGACGGAGCCGACGCTGCCAGCAGTGGCTGCGTGGCCGGATGAGGACTGTGCGCTTGGGTCGCGGCTCATGGGCTCCGAGGTGTAGCCCTCCGGTGACGAGACCCCGTGGGGATGGGCAGGGGGATGCACCTGGAGCGTGTATGGGTACGGAGGTCCGGCAAAGGGGAAGGATCTGCTCATGGCGTCGCCGGCGATGCCGTGAGCGAGGTCCGACGCGTCGATATGGCCGTTGCCAGGCCTGTAAGCCAGGTTAGCAGCCCCTGCGGTGCTGTGATGACCAGGCACCGAGTGCAGGCTGCTCGTCATGTTGGACTCCACCCGCAGGCCTGGGAGGTCAAACGGCTGAAAGACCTGCCCTGGACTCGAGTTGGCGGTTCTCACTCCTGGATAGGCCGCCTGCGGTGGAGATCCCACGGCGCCGGCAGCCGCCTTGTTGAGGATGCGCGCATCCAACCCCGCGATCATGGTTTGGGAGTCTGGAGACACGGGAACGGCGACGGGGACGGCAATGGGCACAAAGACCGGCTGCGTCTGGTTGGTCTGATCGGCGGCGGCCATGGCCCCCTGCAGAGCGTTGCCCTCGTGGAGGCGTCTGAGTGTGGCGGCCGTCCAGCTCGCGGGTGGGCTCGAGACCCTCGAAAGCCCGCTGGAGAAGTTGGGGGGCGAGATAGTGTAGTCGTCGTCTGAAGAGGGCCCGGCCTGCGCATTGGCGTAGCTGTTCCTACCCACCCTGAGGCGCGGGCGGAGCGTGGTGCCCGACGAGGTTCGCACGTGCTCGGGAAAGGAGGGCCCTGAAGCGCCGGGGGACGGCGGCGCGGCTCGTTTGATCTTGTTCAAGGTCGACTCGGCGTCGCTGTCTGCCGTCACCATCCGCGACTGGCTTCCCGGCCGAGTCGATGCGCGGGGCCGGAAGATGGACCCCTTTGCAGTCTCGCGGCTGATGCTGCTTCTTGGGTCGCCCACTTTGGGGTCTCTCCATGCGCCGGCGCGGTCGTGGTAGCGCCGAGCTTCGGTCCGCTTGATGGTTCGGTGGCTGGGGCCCGAGCCTCGGCACTCGCCAGACCTTGGTGTCACGGGGCTGCTGAAGCTGCTCGAGATGCCGGGTGCTTCCTGCCTCTCGACCCTTTCCAGGTGCGGAGGCACGGGCGTCGCGCTGACGGTGGCGTCGTCTTCTTCGTCCTGATAAGGCACAGAAGGAATCAGAGCTTGGTTGGGGTACGGCACGTGAAAGTGATACGGGTTGAATTCGCCGGGCATGATGATGGTGGGCGAGGAGTACTGCTGCGCGTCGTCGTCTGCCACGGCATACCATTCGTCCGCCAGGGTGTAGCTCTGCTGGCTTGCTGGCGTCTCCGAGTCGAGCTCGGACGAGCTGCTGGCCCTTTCAAACACCGACGTCGAGGGGACGTCTCCAGACCCGTCGACGATCTGGCCCTGAAAAGTCTGCGAGAGCCTGTCGATGGCCTCCCGCATCTGGTCATAGCGCTCCTCGACCGCCTTGCGGGAGCCCGGCAGCTGGTCGCGGCCTCTCTTCTCGAGCCGGTTCAGGTGCTCGAGCAGTCGCTTTCCGTGGATCGAGTACCTTCGATAGTCGTCGGGCAGGCCGACGCGCGGGTCTTCTCTGATGCGCTTGTCGGCCTCGTCAAAGGACCGGCAAAAGACGGCAGCCGAACGCTCGAGCCAGAAGGAATGCTGCTTGTCCTCCGTCAGGGTCTCGATGAAGAAGGCCTGGACGACACTGTGGATGCGGAGGATGTCGATATACTCGGCCGTCCTGTCGAAGCTCTTCCTGGAGCTCCAGGACCCGGCAGACGAGATCTCGTCCGTCTCGGTGCGCTCGACCAGAGCAAAAGCAATCAGAACCTTGAGAGTGTTGTTCAGTGTCAATCGGCTGCGAGAGGCGTCCCGCGTCTTGACGGGCGTCCTGCTGTCCAGGGCGCTCAGTCCTGTGCGCGTGCACGATACGTGGGTCAGCATTTGTCCCGTTGATCATTGGAAAGAGTGGCTGTCCACGCACCTAGTGTCAGCATCTCGACCGGGATATGCTGGTCGTAGAAGACCAGGATGGACATGAGGTTCAGAGCTGCGCTGGCCCCTCGGTCCTTGAGCTGGTCCCAGACCGCCCGGTACGCAGGCAGGCTTCCCACCCTCGGCCGGTTCTTGTAGGATCGGAGGTACTTGGAGAGCGGCTCTCTGGTGGCCTTGAGATGCTGAGCTGCCACGTGGATCATGAGGGGCAGCCGGCCCATCAGCTCGACCAGGTCATGTGCCCGGCTGCGATCGTCCTGCGTCCAGGGTTTCCTCTTCTCCATCTCGAGCAGGAGGAGGTCCTGCGCCTCGGCCACCGGTAGGAGACCGAGCTCCATGATTTGCGGGTTGTCAAATTCGTAGTCGCCCGAGACTGCGCGCTCCGTCGAGGTGAAGACGATGCTCGTGTTCTTGGCGTCCGGGATGAACCTCTTGAGGCCGGGCTCGTCAAAGTGAATGCCGTCAAAGACGAGGAGCCAGTCCTCGAAGCTGTTGAACCACTTGCGTACAATGTCGACAATCTTTCGAGGGTCGCGTAGCTCGTCGAAGCCCTGCTGCGCCAGGTCCTCCATCGATTCGCGCAGTGCCTCGTCCTTGGCTATCCGCCAGTACCACGACTCCATCTCCTGGACCGACTTTGCGCGCACCCAGTAGATGCCGCCGGGATAGTCTTCTCTGTGACCGAAGACGTACTGGCGTGCAAGGTGCGTCTTGCCTCCGCCCGGCAGGCATTGTATCAAGACGGCCGAGGTCCCTACGGACCGCCGGCGCGGGTCCATGAGCTTCCTGTGCAACTCGTCCAGCTCTGCCTCACGTCCGACAAAATACGAATTGGGACGAAATGGCTTGGGCACGATGAAGAGCGGGTCAATTGGGTCTTGCGATTCAAAGTCGGCAAGGGCTGGCCGAGCCGGGACCGACACGAGGGGCAAGGGCGAGGTTGGGACCAAGTCCTGTTGTGGTTTCGAGGGCAATGCCGTTTGACTATGGGGATCAACTACGGAGAGCACCAGCATCAGCAGACTTGCCCGAACATGTTCCTATTCTTGTACCAGCTCGTTCCTCGGCTACCACTTCTTCTCCTCAGAGCGCGATCCTGCGCATTGCCGAGCTCAGCCAGAGCTGGAGGTGCGTGTACTGACCGGCACTGGAACTCACTGCGGTGGGAAAGCGTGCGACCTACCAGTGCCCATAGGCTGTCCGGCCGTTCCGGCAGCGTCCTTTGCGCACACAACGGTCAGCATTACCACCGTAGCCTCACAGCGGTGCGCGTGCGGGTTCTTACCTGGTGCGCCCGGGAGATCTCGCGAATCTCCAGGGCATCCCGTACCTGGCGATCCCCAGTCTCTACCTCCCACCGGGTCTCGATGACTGGCGGAGCATCCGTCACCCACTCCCGGATCGCCGTCGACACCGTACGATAGCCGGGGGCATTGACGCTATCAAACTTGCACATGCCCGAGTGAGTTGCCTCGATCCCATAGTACGTCACCCCGGGCAGTTGGGGGCTGGCCGAGTCCGCATCCACGACCAATGTCCTGGGTGCCAAAGGCGATTAGCGGAGCTCTGGGCGTGGGCCTATCAAGCCATGATGACCCGGGCTGGGGGCCGGTTCGGGGGAACAGGGAGTTTCTCCTCACTTGGTGCCTTTGAGATCCGTCTTTAGGCTCTCGTGAGCCATATGAATGTGGAAGCGCTGGTAGATATCGAGGAAGTGGTTGTTGATCTCTTGGAGGCGCTCGTTGTCCTTTTTGAGGGTCTTGAGCAGAATTGACTCGGACTCGAAGAACTTCTTGGGCAGCACGACGTCGGACATGGCTTGTAAGACATGGCCCCATCGGGCAAGGCCGGAGCCGGTGTGCGGCGTGCCCAGGAAGATGATGGCGTATGTTGAGACGTAGATGGAGCGAAAGTCCTCGTGCTGCCGGTTGCGAACATCGCTGGAATAGAGGAGGGCTCGCTTCAGCAGGATGCCGCCCAGACTGTGCGCCACCCAGATGATGGGGTTCCGCATCGTCTCCTCGCTCTTGCGATAGGTCGTCAGGTGCGTGATGAGGGTTTGAGCATGCTGGAACACAAAGTTGTCACTCGCACTCCTGGAGGCGCACGTCAGTAACCGCTGGGCACCGGCAGCGACGAGCACGCCGGGAATGGGATGGTGGGCATCTACCTATCGTTGCTCTTGGCGTACACATCGGCATTGTAGCCGTAGACTAGTATATTGGCCTGCTTCCCCTTCAAGGACTCGGGAAGAAGGTCGGTGGGCCAAAAGACCTTGTTGGAGGCCGTCCATGTCCTCTTTGGGTCGCCGTTCAGGCCGTGGACGAGAACAATGTCAACCTTGGCTTCCGGGTGGGTGTGGACGCCGCTGACTTCGAAGCGCGATATGTGGTCCTTGTTGATGGACGCCTGGGAGATACAGTCAGAGAGAACAAGCCCTTTTTATACACGGTCGTGCAGGGTTATTTTTTGCGTGGACGAAACCATCGTCAGACATTTATGCGATCATCAACGTCGAGCGAGGACGTTTCTCCATAAGCGACGTGCCGATGCGGGCCGTGCCGCACTTGCAGGAGCACGATGCATTTGTTGTAGTAGACCCGCCGTGGACGGGCGAAGAGAAGGCAAAGAAGCAGCTCTCGACGATGTAAAAAACAGACACAACATACCATGACAAGTCAACACAACTCAGGACTGCCTTGTACCGTAGTAGGTTGGCAGGCTGGGTTGATGACGATGGGTGAGAAGTGCTCCTAAGCCATGTGCAGGCGTCGGATGGAAAAAGGAGAAGAGGAGGACGTCCCGGAAACAAGTACACGGGATGGAAGGCCCCGTGCACGAATATGTGTACCGAGAGATCCAGAGATCAATGATGGGGTTTGTGTAAAGGGCCCTCGGTCATAAGATAGCAGTGAGATGAGGTGATGACGAGTACTGGTCGTATCGTAGTAGCATTGGTAGTATATAAAGACGGCGGAGGGAGTGGATGCCTGAGTATACGATGGGGGCGACGTCGACGGCGACGGCGACGGCGACGATGACGGCAGTCCCTGCAGCGCTGCTGGGTCTGCAGGAGAAGACCGGCAAAGCAGAAAGAAAGGCGGCCTCACGCGCGCCCAGAGGCCCGGGAAATGCAATGCCCTTCTTATGGACACTTGACGTGAGGTACTTATGAGTGAATGGTCGAGCTGCGTGTGCTGCGCGTGGCCCCAGTGCCCCAAGCCCAAGGTTGATGGGAGCCAGGTCCGGCGGGCGGCGCTGCAAGGTTGTAGTCGGTAGACAACTGTGCTGTAGGGCTTAGTACTGCTTGGCCTGCCTCCTTAGAAAGCGAGACGGTAGAGGAGAGGAGATGGCATCACGGCTCCCGCGTCATGTGCAGACAAGGTCCATAAAAGGGGGCCGCCGAATGAGAGAATTATGTCAGGGCACTCTGTCTGGGGAGGCAAAAAGGCGGGCTTGGGGGATCTCATCTCTGTCACCACCCTGTCACCACCGTTCGAGACATTGATTTGCTTTTGGTTTGTGGTCACAGGGGGCCGCCTGATGCCAAAGCCATTCTGGGAGGTGGCAGCTGAGCCTCTTGGACAGGGGGGGGGGGGGGGGGTTGGGGATTTGTTCCATGCACGCCCCGTGCCCATCCGTTGATGGATCCCTCCTCCTCCATCCACCCATCCATCCATGTCGTCCATGAACGGAGTCTTCCAAGCTTGGGAAGGTGACATCAGCAATCAACTACTTACTCCGTACCTATATAGTGTACTGTAGTCATGATCCCTATAAATCCATTCCATTAAACGGACGACATTGGCATATGGACCTCTCCTCACGCCCCTCCCTCGTGCTCGGTCCCAAAACATCGTGGCGCCGACGGGGAGGCTCTGCAGAGGTGATTATACAAGTACCTGGGTTATGTTCCTACCTTTCCTGACATAAGACGGGCGCATCAAAGATGGAGAGACGATGACGGAACTGCGTCGAATCGCCCTTGGTCACCGAAAGTAAAACCCAACAATCTGTCTGCGTGGCCACTGGCCACAGTACCGAGAGTACTTACTCCGGACAATAGCGGGAGCATTGAGCAGCTGGCGCGCGTGCTTTGACTCGGCTTTACTTGTACAATACGTAGGGCTGCTGTGATTTGTCCCTGGATGCGCTGTCACCGACAATGAGAGAACGAACCCATCCCTGGATCTCCCCCGTTTTTCTACCCCAGCCATCCTGCAGGTGCCCAGTCGTGTTGCGCCGGCGCCCGTCTGGGCGGCCCCCAAACCTTCGCTTCTGCCGTCCACGGGTGTTCGGGGCGGTGCGTTCCCTCGCCTAGTGGTGGGTATTTTTAGCGCCGCCCAGTCCACCAAAGCGCCCAAGCAAGCAAAAGCTACCTTTAGGGCTAAGTAAAGTAGTTAGGTACCTACAGGTAGGCAGTCTACCTGGAAGAAGCATCATTGAACCTTGGAACTCCATCGACACATTGTTTGACTGGCCGGCTGCACATTTACCTAGCTACATGGTTAGGTAATGTTGGCTGCACCCTTCAGCCGCACCCTCGCCCCCGGGAGGAGTCGCGATTGTGCGACTGGCAAGCGGTTGGACGAACTAAGGTACACCAAGTTATTTACTGGTACACTCACTGCCTCGGTTTAGGCACAGTCAGACTTGCTGCACGGAGAATATCTTTGCCAGCCATTCCCTATAATCAAGGTATAGTTTCTATTTGCCGCTCTGACTTCGCTTGGTGAGAGAGTACAAAGACAAGAGCCAACGCTCCAAATCGATGGCAGAGATGTACGTACAGTTCCACCCCGGCTTGAACAGCGCGCCAGCGGTAGCAGGCGGGCGGCTGAACTAAAGATATTTGTCAGATCCGTACCCGGGCGCTGCACCGTGCCCCCATCAGCCTCTCGGCCCCCGGGCTGATGACTCTGTCTGGATGCGCCTTGGCGGAAGCTGGGTGTGCGCGCTGCACTGCTCATTTGCGCATCGAGCGCCCCGGCGGCCTTTGGTGATCCTGAAACAGACATGTGTGTCTGTCCAAGAAAGAGCGGGAATGTAGACGCCCAAGGTTGGTTGCACGGCCGCCTGACTGTATCTGCTGCTGTCATCTCCATTCATCGAGCTCGGTGGCGCAGTCCACAAAACAGTCGGTCAGCTAGACCGTCGCCGTTTGGTTCTGCACTCGCTCCAATGGCCCTTTGCGTGGGTCTCGTCCCGTAGTGCTAGATGATGATTAGTATGCATTCGGTATCGACCGAGGTGCACACATACAAGCCCGGGTTCAGGGAGGCGACGACGCAGGGATGGCGCTCTCTACATCTTCTCAAGTGCGAGCGCCCCGGGAGAGACGTCTGCCTGGTATCGGATCCCCTCTTCGTGTTGAACTGTTCTCAAGACTGCTGCCTTGCCTCGATGGCAAGAGCCTGCCCAACCAAGCTTGTGCGACGCGTATCTCTCTTCAATCAGTCCTGATCGGATTACGCACCCGAGGAGCCAGAGGCATGACAGGCGTCAACAAAGGGCATGCAAGATCAAACGTGTTCTCAGCTGCTGTGCCACCTGCCGCTACTCAGTCGGTGTCTCTGCGTCATGCCTTGGGCGCAAGCATGATCACGTATTCTCGACTGCTGTGCCCGAACTGGACCATGTCCTTGTCGCGGAGCTCTAGGTACCGGCTGCCTGGCACCTTGTCCTTGTTGAGCAATGACCCATTGGCACTCTCAAGGTCGATCAGGTAGGGTCTGACGCGGCCGACCCTGTCGCCATATTCGTTGCGTTTCTCGATGTACCGGAACTGGATCACGGCATGCTGCTTGCTGATGCTGGGGTGCTCTGCAAGCAGGTCGACCACGGCGCTTTCGCGGCCCACCAGCCAGCAACTGCGCAGGCTCAGCTCGATCGTGTCCACAATCTCTGGTCCCTTGAAGACGAAGAGCTTCCACTCGTCCTTGGGCGGCGGCTTCCGCGCCTCTGGGGGTTCGTGGTATTTGAGCGTGATTGTGGACCCGTCTGCCTGGGTGACGACGTTGGAAGCGGCGGCCAGGATGCCGGTATTGCCAAAATTGGCCTTCTCCTTGGGCGGCTCAGGCTCTTCGCCGGTGGTCACGAGGGCATACGAATCAGCCTGCGACGGAAGCGGGCCGCCGCGCTTGACTGGTCGGGCTTCGTCGCCGGGGCTGTCGTCCCGCGCCGACCGTTTCGATCCTCGCTGTGGCCCTTGCCCGTCTCTTGATCGATGCCTTCTTCGCTCTCGGAGACGACTTTCCGACCCCTCCCTTCTCAACCTGTCATGCCGCGACGGTCTATCCCTATCCCTATCCCTACCCCGCTCTCTCTCTCTGTACGAATTCCGATTCCGATCCCGCTCCCGCTGCCGATCCTGGTCTCGGTCTCGGTCTCGGTCTCTGCTCCGGTCCCTCTCGCGCTCGTGCTCGCGATGATGTGACCTGCCCTCTTTCGATTCTGGCGTCCTTGACCTGCGTCGGCGGTGTTCGCGGTGTCGATTGTGTCTGTCGTCTCCTCCATCATCGCCGCTTCTCCTTGTGCTTCTCTGTCGATCTTTGCCCTCACCAGAGCTGTCATGCCTTTCCCGGTGGTCGCGGTCGCGGCCGCGGCCCGGGGGCAGATAGTCCATAGCTCCCTGTGGCTATCTGGTGTTTCTCCGCTGCTAATAATGCGCTCAGCAGAGCAGAAACAACGGAACACTGCCTTGTAGTAATGAAAGAAAAATGATGGGTCCAGCACGTTGGTCTTGAAATGCTGGAGCCTCATGGATCTTGGACACCCAGCTAGAGCATGTTGGAGCTAAAAGCGAAAGTACCTTAAACGACTTCATAAAAAAAAAATCGCTTAGTCATCAACAATATGCCATAATATGGAATAAGTAATGTAGGTATATGCTTCTTGCTTCAGTGCGTCAACCGATGAATAGGCTGCTTTCTCTGCTCAAATTCCTCCAATACATGGGCTTCATGTGATATATGTAGAATCTACCGTGCTCTCTCTACGGTATGTTATGCCAGCGTAAACTCAGGAATTTCCCCCATCTCGCTCTTCGTATCCCCCGCAAGTCTATACGATATCCTCCACCGCAACTTAATCGACTGGACTTTTTGACTCCGGTTACCTGCATGCCAGACCTCCATGGACTGGGTGATACCCTGTTTTTGATTCGCTTCAAGCGTCCTCCCCGACTGTGGCTGCATCTGCAACTCATAACCCTAGCATTCCGTTAGACCTTACTGCTCGATATCGCGCGAGGGGGGTACACACCTTTGTGACTGCGATCTGAAAGTGCAACTCGTTCACAGCTTGCATCGTGTTGTTCGAGAAGAAGAACTGGAGGGCGATCGCGTTCCCGCCAGCCGACCCACGGTTGGCAAGCAGGTCGATCTTGACGATGGAGTTGCTCACGACCAGGCTGTGCTCTTTGGGCTGCGAGGGAACCTCGGGCGGCAGGGCCGAGGAGAAGGACCATTCGTCTTCGTCCCCAGCGACAGCCGAGGGGCCAGCTTGTTGGACAGCAGCTGGGGTGCTCGGTTTGGAAGAAAGAGAGGGCGACTTCAACGAGGCGAATGGGTCCGAACTGGGCTGAGGAGGGGGCGCGAATGCCGAGGACTGATAGTTTGGCTGGGGAGTGCCCGTCTGGGACGCTGGCAAAGCAGAAGAGAACGTCGAAAAGGGCGAGAAGGCTCCTGCAGGTGGCGAAGGAGAAGCGACTGGGCCTTTGGCGCTGTTATTCTCCGTCATGGACGACAGCAGAGCAGGTCCTGGCACATCTATGCAGTTCGTCAGTCAGTCAGAGCTGTGCTGTGCTGGGCCGTGATAGAATGATCGCGACTTACTCGCATTGGCGCCAAAACCCAGCGATATCCCACCTCCTTGCCCAAAGGTGCTCGGCTCGCCGATGCTGAGACCAAGAAGATCGTTCTCGAGACCGCCCGGCTGCGTGCTGGCTTGGCCTGGAGCGGGGGCTCCGTCGGCTTCGGCCTCGGCCTCGGCGTCAAAATCGATCAGGGAGAGCTCGTTGGCGGCAGATTTGCCCGCCGTCGTGGTCGAGACGGGTGCTCCGGCTGCGATCTTCTGCGCACCGTCCACATCTCCCTTCTTCATGAGCCTGTATCGTTCAACAGTCCTGTGTATGCTATCGTTGATCTCCAGGAGCTTGGCGACAGCCTCGTGGTCATCGGACTCCTCCTCGCACATCTTCTGGATCTTGGGCTGCGCACTGGACAGGGCCGAAGCGAGTTCATGGAACACATCACCGTCTTGCATTTTATCACCGGGCTTGAAACTCTCCAGTCTCTCCTCCAACAGCCTGGCCTTGGCCTGGATCTTGCTGACCTCCTCAGCGGCCTTGGCGCGATAGTCCACCTTGGACCGTGTGTCGTACCCCGCCATGATCTTCATGAGCCGGTTGGCCTCCTGAAGGTCTTCGGGCGTGCCCCTGCGAATAAGCTCCTGCAGCTTGGCCGACTGGGCTTCCCGCTCCTCCTCCTCCATCTCCTCGGCCGATTTCAGGTTCTGCTCTTGTTAGCCCTGCGTCCCCACGGCGCCCCAAGGCGCTCGCTACCTGTGGATACACAAAGGTGACACGTACATCGCTAGGGTTCAGCACTGCGGCATCTTCTCTTCGTACTTCGGGAAAGGTGTATCCCTTGTAGCTCAGCAGCCGGTGCATGTCTCGGATGAAGCCAAGATCCTCCTTGTATCTACTCGTCTCGCATATCGTGCCCCTCCACTCCTCAATCGCCTCGAGAATCTTCATTTGAACTCGGGTAGGCCGGATCGGCGGTCGCTCAGGAAACCTGCGCACGAGCTCATTGAGAAACTCCTTGGTGCTGATCTGGAGGTGAAAGGGGTAGCCGCAGTTCTTGACGCATATGTCGAGCAGGTTGAGGGCGAGCAGCGCCACGTTGGGGTTGCGGTGGTTGATGTAGTTCACGATGGCGGTCGCAGCCTCTCGGGGCGCCGAGCCTTTCTTGGAATTGATCAGGTCAGATATCTCGAGGTTCAGGGCCAGGTTCGGCTCGTAGTTCTCGGGGCTGCATGCGCCCTGGATGAAGCGTTGAAGCTGTGACGGAGCCGGATGTCCGGCCTCTCCCCATCGATCGCGCGCAGCGTAGCGCGCAGATGCCGCCTCCATCTCGACAGCCTGTCGTCTGGTGTCTTGAGTTGAAGCAGGGCCGGGGTCGTTGGTGTCGAGCGGCCGACTGGTTGGGTGATTCTGCGGCCAGGGGACCAAGTAGGCAGACGAGTATGGTTCTCCTCGACCGCCAGGCGGGCGGAAGGTTGGTTGAGACGCTCGTTGCCAGGCGAGTCGAGAAATGGGTTGGCAAATGAATTGGTCTGACTACAAGTAGTTAGGCCTTGCGGACTAGATGGTCAAGAAAGGCGAGAAGTATGCAATGGAAAGGGTGTGTCGGGGAACTTTTGGCCCAGAGTGATGCTTGAGGCAGTGATGGGCGGGGTGGGGGGGTTGGTGGGTGACAGCAAGCTGGATCCATCATTGATTGCTATGGAGCTGGCTGCCTACCGTAGTACTTCAATCTTGGCTTGGGAGGTAACTACCTGTTAACTATTATCTTATCTCCTTTCCTTAGGTACCTATAGGTACCTAATCTCATGAATTGACCCCGCCAAAAATTATTCTACAAGACCAACACCATCGACCCCAGACACTCGAGACCAGAGTTCGACCGTCTTCTCACACAAGAAACGGCGTGGACTCCAGGCCCAACGAAAAGATATCGGACTACTGTACGGCAACTATGGTCCGCCACAAAAAGGATTTCAACCACAAGGGCCGAAAGCCACATCCTGGCGGGCCCCGCCAGCGGGGAGGGCCTTCCTCCAGAGAGGACGGCGGCGACGGATTTGCGACGGGGCGTCCAGCCTTCAAGGCTGCCTGTTGGGACCTGGGACATTGCGACCCGAAGCGCTGCTCGGGAAAGAAGCTGCTCAAGCTCGGCCTCATGCGCGATCTGCATGTCGGACAGCGCCACAACGGGGTCATCATCACGCCCAATGGAAAACACGTCCTCAGCCCTGCCGACTCGGACCTGCTAGACCAGTACGGCGCTGCCGTCGTGGAGTGCTCGTGGGCGCGGACAAAGGAAATACAGTGGAGCAAGGTCGGCGGCAAGTGCGAGCGCCTCCTGCCATACCTCGTCGCCGCCAACACAGTCAACTACGGCAAGCCCTGGCGACTGAACTGCGTCGAAGCCCTCGCCGCCGCCTTTTACATCTGCGGCCACCCGGACTGGGCCCGCGATATCCTGGCCCCCTTCTCCTATGGAGAAGCCTTCCTCGAGATCAACAGTAGCTTGCTGAAGAAATACGCGGCCTGCGACGATGAACCCGCCATCAAGAAGACAGAAGAGGAGTGGATGGAGAGACTAGAACGAGAATACCTCGAAAGCAGGGATGGCGGCAACGCCGACGATCTATGGGAGGGGGGCAACTCAAATCGAAGAAACCCTGCCATGTCTGACGACGAGGATGACACAGCCGAGGATGCCGAGGGCGAGGAGGACGAGACGGAAGAAGAAGACGCCGACGAGAGATCGGAAGGGGCCCGTGACGGTATCTATTTGGGCAAGCAGCCCTCCTCATCCCGCGAGGAGGAGCAGGCGGAAGGAGCCGAAGACAAGGACCCGTTTGCGATATCCGACGACAGCGACGAGGAGGCAGAAATGGAAGAGATCCGCAGAAAGATCCTCGCATCGAAACCGTTTGCGAACCCCGAGGACACGGGGCAGAGGAAAGTCCCCGAAACGATCGCGAGGCCACAACAGTTCAAGGTAGACTCGGATGTCGAGGCTGATTCGGACAATGGTGAGGACGACGAGTTCGACAACATCATCAATGCTACGCCGGTCACGGACAAGACGGGCCTGGCGCGGCTCGAGAAGGAGAGATCCAGGGCGACCACCACGACCCGTAGCTTCATGTTCAACGCTGTCTCGGCACCAAAGCGTGGCTAAGATTCCCGGGTTCCTCAACGGGGATAGGAGCCGAGAACCCTGTATTCTATCTATCTCTATCGTAGCAAGGTGTGTCGTGTGTACTATACAACCTCACCGCCCTGGCGGCTCGGAACAGCTCATGCCGTCTGGATTATCTTACATGTTGTACATCGAGCATTGCCTCGTTGGGCACATGTCTATAGACTTCTCCGCTCCTTGATCTCTTCGTAGGCCTGAATCTGGTCGCCCTGCTTGAAGTCTTGCCATTCGTCAAAAGAAAGGCCACACTCTGCCCCCTTTCGCATCTCTGCCACGTCTTTCTTGCCGTGCTTCAAGGACTCGAGTTTTCCTAAGTGATTGTCAGCATGCACAAAATACGCTGGCCCGGAGTCGTGAACACGGAGCGGCGGAGACATACCGTCAAAGACTTTTTCACCGTTGCGCATCACGCGATACAATGCGCTACGGGTGACCTGACCGTTTCTGACTCGACAGCCCGCAATGTTCTTGTACACGCGGCCCTTGACATTGATGGGAAACACCTGGAGAACCTCTGCTTCGCCGAGCACCCGCGTGGAAATGGTCGGAGTGAGCTTCTCAGACAGCTTGGCCCTCACGGCATCGGTGAGATGGTAGATGACGGTATGATCGAGAATATCGACCCCGGCTTCCTCTGCCTTGCGCTTCATATTGCCGGGAATCGCGTTGTTGAAGTTGATGATGGAGCTGTTGGAAGTGGCGGCGTGCTCGATGTCAAACTCGGTGATTTGCCCGGGCGCGGAGCGCAGCACCGCGGGCCGGACCTCGTTATTGCCGATCTCCAAGACGGCGGCGCACACCGCCTCAACAGAGCCCATCACATCGCCCTTGACGGTAAAGTTCACGACGGCAGAGCCTGGTGCCTCGTCCGAGACGGACGACTCCTCGCCATCAGGCACCACCTCTTGTGGGGAAGCTGCCCCCTTCTCCTTCTCCTTCCCCCTCTCCTTCTCCCTCTTCTCCTGTAGTGCCAACTCATTAGCGCTCTTCTCCCGGTCCCTGAGCTCCTGCCTGTAGTGAGCAGCATCCTTGGCTCTACCCTCGTCCGGGGCCTGCAGCACCTGATCGCCTGCAGCGGGAGGCTCTCGCCACCCAAGGATCTCCACTGGGGTGGAGGGGGGGGCCTCCTCAAGTTCGACTCCAGCCTCACTACGCAGGCTTCTAACGCGGGCCCACGTGGTGCCTGCCACGATAATATCGCCCTTGCGAAGGGTGCCCCTCTTCACCAAGACCGTGGCCACTTTGCCGACAGGCTTGATGCTGGACTCCAGAACCCATCCCTCGGCCATGCCGTCGGATTCTGCCCGCATGTCAAGGATCTCGGACAGTGTCAGGATGTTTTCTTCAAGGTCTGGCATGCCTTGGCCAGTTTTGCCGCTGACGCAGACGACTTGGACGTCGCCTCCGTAATCCTCAATCTCGACGCCGTGACGTGCGAGATCGGCCTTGACCTGCTCGACTCGCGCCTCGTCCTTGTCGATCTTGTTGATGGCCACAATGATGGGCACATTGGCCGACTGCGCGTGTTTGAGCGCCTCTAGAGTCTGCGGCTTGACGCTGTCGTCGGCCGCGACGACGAGAATGACAATATCTGTGACATTGGCCCCGCGCTGCCGCATGGTGAGGAACGCGGCGTGCCCGGGGGTGTCAAGAAAGGTGATCTGGCGGCCAGCAGACAGCCTCACGGAGAAGGCACCTATGTGCTGCGTAATACCTCCGTGCTCCTGCGCCGCAACCGACGTTTTCCGCAACCAGTCAAGCATGGTGGTCTTGCCGTGATCAACGTGGCCCATGATGGTCACGATAGGTGGCCGGGTCGGCAGCGCAGAGGGGTCCGCGGGCGCGGGTCTGGGTTTCAGGTCCACCGACTCTCCCGTATCCACGGACGGCTCGAACCCGTACTCCTGGGCAATCAAGGCCGCGGTCTCGCCCGACATGATACTGTCTTGGCTGATGTCTTCAAAGCCAAGCTCGGCCAGCTGCTCCAGGAATAGGTCGGGCTTCACGCCCAACGCGACACCCAGATTCGCCACGCTGATTAGCTCGGGAAGGAAGATGGGCGTGGGCTGATTCTGCTTCGCTTCGAGCTCTCGCTCTTTTCGGGCCCTCTTGGCCTCTTTCTGTCGACGACGTGCTTCTGCCCGCTCGGCAGCCTCCTCATCGTAATCCTCGTCTTCTTCCTCTTGATACCGGCTGTGACGACGAGATACGGCTTTACCCCTCTGCACTGACCGATGCGCGACCTCCCTCTCGCGACGATCCGATCGGACGTCAGAAGGATCCGCGGGGGATGGCGGCACCTCCTCAACAGACCGTCTGTCGCGTTGGGACCGTTGCTTCCGACCTCGTTGCTCGGTATCCATGTTTGACGAGCCAGCATAGCCTGGGGTTGTGGTCGCAGTGGAAGCTCCGATGGTATCGACAGCTCGGCCCCCTGGCCAGGACGCATCAGAGTCCTTGAACACATTTCCAGGACCCAGAGGTGCTCGGCTCAAAGACGTCTCGGACACAGGCACTTGTCGTGGCGAGGACGGGCTCTTACGTCTTGTGAGTTGTCCCCACTCTTGACGGATTGGCGCCGCATCTATATCTAAGCTGCCCAGCTTGTGAGGCGTTCTGGAGGACGGCGCAGCGCGAGGGGTCTGACGATGACTTGGGCGCTCATGCGTTCTGGCGAGATCGATACCCCCTAGCGTCTTTTGTATGGCATTTGAAGTTGACAGGCCCCCGGAAAGTCCTGAACGGCTATGATCGAGCCTTCCGAACGGCCTAGCCCGCGGCCGGGCGTGATTAGGTTCCGTGTCCGCTTGAATCTTTGTAGGTGCGCTTGAACGGGTGTCGAGAGACTTTGCAGCTGGGGCATTCTGACCCATGCTCATAGGTGTTCCCATCGGTCGGGGTTCTGGGCCCGAATGTCCACCTGGGTCATTCCGACCCATGCTCGAAGGTATTCCTATAGGCTTGGGGGCTGGGCGAGTGTTAGTGCTGGTGCCTTCGGCGACGCTCCCGGGGAGACACTGAGAGGACTGACTGTTCTTTTGGTGCTCGAGTGCGCGGCTACGGGTCGCCATTTCGTGAGGCAAAAGGGCATCGAGAGGCCTGTCCTCCCGCTTCGACGGCGGCAGGGTGGCTTGATCGTTAGGCCGGGTCGGCTGACTGCTACCCCAGGAAGCTCCCCATGACGAGGATGCAGGCGGACGAGGTGCATCTCCGGGAGCGCGCAGTGCTGAGGATTGCGTAAAAGCGCGCAATGAGCTGCTGCAGGGCTGGCAGGGCCTGAACGGCGTTGGAAAGACTCGCGAGCTATAAGGCACACGGCTCCCGCAGCGGCACAACACGCAGACGGATGAATATCGTCGTTCCTGGCAAAGGCAACCACTGTCAATGACGGCTGCGCATGGGGATCGTATCAGGGCTTGCGAGACTTACGCTCCATAGCTGCCGGCGCATTGTATATGAGGCACTGGCGTCCAGATGAGGAGGGGAGAGCTTGGCAGAAAATCACCAGTAAAGCTCCGTGGTGGTCATGGCAGCAGCTCAGAATAAATTTTGGGCGGTAATTAGCTGGAGCGGGCCCATAACGATGGTCGCCACTTGCGCGGTTGACAATTCCAGGGACCCAGGCCATCGATCCATTGAACAGGTTCGGTAATCTTGCTGCCGACCACCGGCGGGCTCACCTCAGTGCTGAGCTGGTTAGGTACATGTAACTCATGTCCTAGCACTGTGTAGGTAGCCCTTGGAAGGGGCAGGTGCCACTACAAAAGTACCTACAGACAGTGGTAATGTGCACAAAGATAAGGTACACACCCATTGATGTCCAATTGATTAACTAAGCCGTGACGCTACTACTGTAGACTCCATCCATAGAGAGGTGGAGGAGGTACTTGCAAGCGGCAAGCTCGATGCTCGATGCTTTTTCCCCCGTCCACGTACTGCCAAGATCTCAACTTGACCTCCTTTTCCACAAGAGCTCTCCCCTTCGACGCAATTGGCCAGCACGGCATAGTCCATCGTCTCCACGACCGAAATTCAAACCAGGACAATCGCTACAAGTACTACTGCGAGAGCATCTTGGACCATGGCCAAGCCCAAAAGCAGGGGCGCTCCCTCTACACGACAGGCGGGAACTGCCCTCTCGCTTCCCAAACCGTTCAGAGCCGCACCCTCTGTCCTCGAACCCTTTTACTCGACCCTGTCCGAGAAGCACGTCTACATAGCCCATCTCGACCTCAAGCCCAAGGCTTTCAAGCGGAAAATCTTCGTCGTGCCCGTGCTCATGAACGTCGCCGTCGTGCTCTTGTTTCTCTGGAGGGTACGGTACATCGGTCCGTACTACGTGCAACTGCTGGCCTCAGCGCTCGGATATGCCAACGAGACGACCGTCGCATCCAAGGATCTTGCGTGGGGAGAGCTGATCTCCCTCGTTCTTCGGCGGGGCTTCACGTTTATGCTGGATCTATGCTTGGTCATCTTTGTGTGGCCCTGGCCCGTTGAATTCTGCTTCGCTCGGGGCGGCAACCCCGTCGCGTGGAGATGGAAGGTGGGCTTCCGGGACAAGGAGATCTATGTGCGCCGGAGCCGAGACTGGGACCGAACACTGGGCGACTTTCTCTACGGTGACCAGGGCAGAAACGTCCTGCTCTCCATGGTGAAGCTGGCAACCAACCCCATGCTTCTCCGGGAAAAGACGGGGTACTTGACCATGAATGGCGATTGGGACCTCGACTGGGGCGCCATGGTGTGTGCCACGACACTCGTCGATAACAAGGCCGTGGCCATGGACACGTTTCGCACGTTGGTCCTGCTACACAGCGACCAGCACGGCTGGCTGTCTCTCGACATGAACGCAGATCAGAGCGCCAAAGAAGATGATAGACGGAGGCAGGTCTTTGCCTTCCGAGACGGCCTGGCCAGGATCGGCAAGGAGGAGCTCTTCTTCAGGTGGATCGAAATGATGCAGTTCGAATCATCGCAGCCCAGCGGGTTCGGCCCCGAGAAACAGGTCGAGGTCGCCGCCAAGGTTCGTGAGCTGTTCCAGTCGAACGGGGTGGATTTCGACGAGTTCTGGAAGGAGAGTGTGGGCTCGGACCCGGCAGACGGGCTCTGATCTTCGAATACACGCGGTGCAGCAGGGACGGATTGGGCCAGACTAGCGGGAGACAAAGGGTTGCATGTGCTCTTTCTACGGGGCGCTCTACTCTCCGTCCCCATCTTGGGCCTCGTTCGACTTTTCAGTCCAGATGGTGCGTCCTCACGAGCGCCCTGCTACGCAAGCCTCCTAAGCTTGTGAAGACGCACCCCAATCGTTCTATTTGGCCTTCTTGCCTTTCGCCTTGGGCCCCATGGCCGCTTCGCGCTTCTTCGCCTCCTTGGCCTCCAACTCGGCTCTCCTCTCCTGCTCCCGAGCGTCGCGTTCCTCCTTTTCGGCCTGCAAGCAGATTGATGGGTTAGCACAGGAAGTGGTAAGCGGGGAGCGTTGCCAAGCGTATGCAGACCTGTTTCCTGGCAGCCTCGGCCGCTCGTTTCTCGCGGATGATCTTGAGGCGGGCCAGATCGGCCTTGGCCTCGTCGGTCTTGCCCTGCTCGTGCAGCTTCTGATATCTCTCCTTGGCAAGCTGCGCCTCCATCGACTCTCGCTCGCGACGGTTTGGCGTGCTCACATTCATAGCCTTGACGCCCTCGGCCGTCTCATCGACGGCCTTGTTGACCTTGGTCTGGTTGCGCGCGGCCCGAGAGTGGTTCGGATTGGCAGGCATATCGTCGTCGCTGTCCTCGCCCGAGTCGCTGGGGGGCAGATCGCCGACCTGGACGGCCTGGCCGCGGGCGCGGGCGACGGCTGCGTCCTTGCGCGCCTTCTTCTCCTTCTTGCGCTCCTCACGGCTCAGGGCAGCGGCGCTGGTCTGGGAAGGACCGGCATCGTCGGAGTCCTCCTCCTCCTCCTCAGACTCGTCCTCTTCCGAGTCTTCTTCTTCGTCTGAACTACCAGAGTCCTTCTTTGCATCCGCGCTCCACATGCTTATCTCATTTCCATCGGCGTCGACCGGCCGAAGGTCACGCGAGAAATGCTTGCCTCCTAAAGGAAGAAGGTGATTGTGTGTCAGTTGCGTGTCGTATCGCCAACAGTGGCAGCTTTCAGCTCCGCTTCGAGTGCGGGGAAACAAGAGACGTGGCTTACCTCCTCGGGTGAACTTTCTAAACTTGCCGCCTCGGCCACGCGAGTTGGAACCTGGTTGACCTCCCGCCATGGTGGAATAAGTGCGTCGAGCGGTAGCGAGCAAAGCAACAGGGGAAAACGAGTCGCGAGCCAGGTGTGGGAATGCGGGCAGAGGTTGTCCAGTAACTCAAGGTAGATCTGAGCGCCAAAATAGAGTGACCGTGCTAGACAGGCTTTCGCCAGGCGGACCAGCAAATAGTGAGTGTAGGAGGCGGCAGCTTCGTGACGGTTGAGACAGTGTTCGAGGTTGCACCCAAGGTAAAGTAATGATCATTTATCCAAGAGGGGCATTGGAAAATGCATGGAGAAATCCTAGCCACTGACGACGGCTTGATTGGTCCGCAACAGCGCCCAACGCCCTTCAGTAGCCCTGATGATAGGTACCTAAGGTACTTCGTAAGATGCCTAAAAGTCAGTGCCCCGCCGCCTGTTGCCCCACTGTCGTCTGGTGAAAGGACTAGGTACCCGACTCCCCAAAGGTCCTCCCGAGTCTTGCGCTTTACACGAGTTGTGATTGGCTTGAGGACCAGAATGACTCTGCGTGCACAGACCGCACACATGGATCAAGCGAGACCCGTCAGTATTTGAGTCTTGGAAATCCAGGCTCTCTCTCTCTCTTCCTCTCCTCCTTTCTCCTCCATCTGAAAACAAATCCTTCATATTCACTCTGGCTTTAGCCTCATCAATGGCAGGTCTTGGAGGGGAAATTGGAGGAGAGAGGAAACCTTTTCTTTCGACCACTTACCCTCTGGCCTGTTGCAGCCCTTTTGAGTTGCCGTTGGGTACCAGAGAAATTTTCTGTTCGATACAAATTTTCAGCAGCCAAGTCGAGTTTCTCTGTTGGATTGTACAGGAGTCGACCGTGTGACATGTCGATCTCTCGACCTGCCTGGCGCAATCATTGATGTTCTCCTCTGGCTCTCGAGCTCTGGCCACTGTGGCTGATGATGATTGTCTCGGTCAATATAACTACACGTGCGTGGGCGCTGTGGGATCTCTTGGGCAGTGGTTGTCACATAAAATACTCTGCCAAACGGTGACTCTGCTCTCTCCTTCGCCAGGTCTCGTAACATCGTCGATCTGTGATTCGTCATGGCACACATCTTGTTGAAGACCGTATGCTATGCCTGGATTAGCCAATCTATGCCTGGATTAGCCAGTTGTTGCATTGCACAGACTGCCTGTCACCACTCCGTGCTCTGTGATGACTACTTGTATGGATGTGAGGGTGCTGCGTGGCCCGTGCTCAAGCTTTCCGTGATCTGTCTGATATCATTGCCGTCGAAATGGAGCTAGCTGGAGGTATCTCGGCTTGTGCCCAGGCACTGTGCATGCATCGAACCCCTCACCACCACAAGCCAAGCTGCTTGCCGTCAGCCATTGTCCCTCCTTCCAACACACTCACGGTCCTCTTTGCTGCTCTTGACTGACAGTCGACTTTTACTCCGCACTTGGACACCTTCGTGTTACCAGACCCCAGAATCTCATGTCCAGCAGAATGGCCTCCTGCATCTTCTGCAAGATCATCAAAGGTATCATGCCACCCAACCCCGAAGCGATGCGACCATGCTTTGCCTTTTGCGAGCGAGCGCGCGCTGAGACCTCCTTTCTAGGGGATATCCCTTGCTTCAAGCTCTTTGAGAGCGACAAGACGCTCGCATTCATTGACATCAACCCGCTGAGCCGTGGTCATGCTGTACGTCGCCTGCTTGGCCCCGGACCACCGGCCAACTCCTTTCGCTAACCAGAGCACTTCTGCTCTGCTCCCTGACAGCTCGTCATTCCCAAGTTCCACGGCGAGAAGCTACATGACATCCCGGATGAGCACCTGACCGAGCTGCTGGTATGACACTCCCACCATCTCTCGCCGTGCCCAGTTGGCGATCAGGAGCCCTTCTTTGGCTGACGAGAATGCGCCATTACAAGCCCGTCGCAAAGAAGATTGCCCAGGCAGTGGGCGCGAATGACTACAACATTCTCCAGAACAACGGTGCCATCGCCCACCAGGAAGTCGGCCACGTACGTACACATGACACCCAACCCCTCTGAGTGTTGACGTAGGAAATGACAAGCTTGGCTGACATATCCCTACCGTGTGTAGGTTCATTTCCACATGGTAAGTACACATCATCCATGGCCAAGGATGCAGAACTGATCAGTCGATCAAGATCCCCAAACCGAACCAAACAGAAGGCCTCGGCATTGGCTGGCCCCAGCAAAAGACCGACATGGACAAGCTCAAGGCACTGTTCGAGGAGGTCAAGGGCAAGATGTGATGCTTCAAAACACCCATGCACATGTCACATCGCCCTGGAATAGGCGAGCCCGGATTTTGGCAGTCGGAGTTAGGGGAGTGGCTGGGGGGGGGGGGCTTATTTCTGGGCAATCAATGCACGCTGATATCCATTACGAGTTCCATCTCTATTGCGCGTGCTCGTATGTATTTCCAGGGCGATATTTGGTGGAGGCCTGCGCGGATCGACCATGCTTTCGAGACGGCAAGGCCCGTCCGAGGACAATGAGGCCGGGCCGGCTAGTCGACATCATCCGCCGTGGTCACCACCGCCTCGACATTGCCCGGCCCAGCCCCTGAAGAGGACGCACCGGGACTTGGTCCGGCGGGGTAGTAGTCTACCTCGCCATTCGGCTTCAGCATGCCGATTCTATCGTAGAGCGACCTGGCCCGGATGTAAGGGTCCACCTTCCAGTAGTCCTCGTGCATCTTCTTTGCGATCTCCTCTCGCTGTTTCTTGTGCGCCTGTGCCGCGTCCCCTTCGGGTTCCTGGAGCCAGCGCAAGGTCGCCTCCTCGAATTCCTTATAGATGTGCTCCCGCTCGCTGAGCAGCTTGTCTCTCGTTGCTGTGTCCTTCATCTTGTCATTCTCGCCGGGGATGGGCTCGACATAGCTATACTCCCAGTCCTCACCTCCCTCGAGTTCCTTGAGGATCCGGCTCGGCTCAATAAACTCTTCCATCTCCTTGGCATTGTTGGTGAAGTGTACTTTGTTAGCGACCACCGGATCCAGCCAGCCGCGGATGATCTTCCAGATGCCTGGGCACGGTGTCAGAGCAGGGAGCGATTGGGGGGGTGAATTACGAAGCGCAGAATCTCCATGGGAGCATATCATACGGACCTTGGAATATCCAGGGGGCTTTATGTACGAGGACGGCGCCCAGGGACTCGGGATAGTTGGCCTCAAAACACTTGATCATGAACTTGACGGGCGTGTAATCCTAGACGAACAGGGAGTCAGCACAGCCTCCCCTCCCCCAGCCAGGTGGTGGTAGTGACAGGGGACGCACCATGTTTGCCATGGAAAAGCTAGTCATGTCAAAGACGACAGTCTGTGCACGCGTGTGGTCAGCCAAGGTTGCTCCGAGGTACGCCGATGCCAGTATACTCACGGCGGTGTCCACGGGCGGCGTCAGGACCATGCGGGCCGTCTCGATGATATAGACGGTATACTTCTCCAGGCTCTCCTCGCACTGCTCGCCTTGCTTGTGCAGGCGGACCCGGACCACGCAGATGGGCCGGCCGCTCTTGTCAACGCCATGCAAGAAGCTCTTCCCCATGCGGATCTGGGCCATGAAATCGTGGCCCAACTGCTTGGCCTGCGCGTCGGTACCTTGCTCGCCCTCGACAGCGGCAGCTTCGCCGTTCTTCATGATGTCGTCGTCCACGTGCATGCCGTGGGCTCTCCAGTTCATGGTCGAGACCAGCATGACCAGGGCCTTGTCCACATCCCACTTGCGGGCCCGCAGGAAGCGCAGCACCAGGGCATCCGGGTGGTCATGCTTGACCATGCTCCAGATGGTTGCGCGGATGGACTCGGGCGACTGGCTCGCCAACGTGTCGAAGAAGTGCTTGGTCTGGCCGTACTTGTCGTCCTCGCTCTCCTTGATGGGGGTGATGGCGCCAGACGCGGAGCGCTTCGAGGTCACAGAGTCAGCGTCAGCGTCCTTTTTCCCTTTCCTGGAGAACAGGCCAAGCCTCTTCTTTTTGGTCTTGTCGGCGGCTGCCGGCTCCAACCTGTCCCCGTCGGCGTCCTTGGTCGCCTCGGTCTCGGCCTCGCCAGCGCCCGTTGTATTGACACCGCGATCTTCCGGGGTGACGGCGCATATCTGGAAAACGAGAGCCCACAGCTTGCGGAGCTTCTCCTCCTCCTCCGGGGTGAGGTTCCCGGGGCGGCCGGGGGCTACTTCAGCCGGCATGGCCAGCGACTCTTGCAAAGCGGCGTTGGTTGTCTCCGGCTCGTGGACTGTCCCCGTCGGCCTGTCTATGGCAGAGTAGGAGACGGCTGCAAGAAGGACGGCTACGGCGGCAAGAGCTGTGAGCAGAGTAGGGCTGAGGCTCGACGCGTGAAGGGGGCCGATCGCTTTGGGAGAGAGATGCCTGTTTGGCCTCGCACGCGCAGCGGCGGTGGCACGGTCTCTTGCGAGCGACGCTACCAGAGAGTGCGTCGGGGCGCGGTAAGTGAAGCTGGTAGCAATGCGACACGATCCCAGCGACAAGTTGCGCAGCGCTCGCATATGGTCCTCTACAGGATCTCGCAGGCGATTGTGCGGCAGAGGAGGAGCTTGTCTGGAAAGCCAATGTCAGCGGGGTAGAGATACAGACAACTCGAGGTCGAGGCAGGTTGGAGGGCTGCAGCTCGGGGAATGGGTGCGGGAGGAAGAAAGAGGGTATCGCGGCGCTGCTCCAATGTGTGCACAGGAGAACAAGCCGTTGAGGAAAAAAGACTGGAGTGTCTAGTGGCAGTTGGAGGCACGATGCGGCGCGCGCGGGTGACCAAGATGACGACACGAGGGGCACTAAAGCAAAAGCGAAGAGCGGAGGCGAGGGACTATTAGCACAGACCTTAGCTACCTCTGTACCTCAAGTAGGGACTGTAGTGGGAGCTCCTTCTTTTGTCTCAGCAGGCCCGGTACGAAGTAGTTAGACCTGGAAGGTGGTGGGAGTTGGAATTGAGGCTCAATGCAATGCGATGATCATCGCGACCAGATACATAGGTAGTCCCTGGATGCTGACATTTGTCCTGCGATCTGTGAAGACCCAAGAAAAGGGCCGGATACAGCGGCGGCTGTGGGGGTGACCCGACTAGCCATGCCCCTGGGCTGGTCCCGTTCCTCGATTAACTACCTAGGTAGTTACAAGTAGGTATTAGGTAGCGACAGTTGAGGCGCATCCCGAGGCCTCCGCAGGCGAGGCGGCGCTACTTGTACAATACAATGCACCGAGCGCAAGGAGATGGGTCAATCCAGATCCAGGACAATGATACCTGGGAAGTAAGTTGAGTACATACAAAAAGTAGTTGAAATTGTGCCAGCTGAGGCTGGGCTTTCCATGTGCTTGCTACGGGCGGCGCCGTGTTCCGAGAGTTTGGCAAGTCTACGGGACAGCCCGGACCTGATTCTCTTCAGCAAGTCTTGTCAACTCCAGTCTCAGCTTGATCCAATTTTGAACCCTATTGCACCTGGAAAGTCTCCCCACCACCAAAGCCGGGTTTCCCTCTATTGCCTCTAACTACCTACCTTAGGTATTGGCTCTATTGGGCTGGGGTGGGTGGCTCAGGTGGCCACCAAAAAGGTGCCCCTGTCAACGGCGGATGAAGCAAAACAACCCGGCCCCCCCCCCCCACTGAAAATTAACAGTGGAGGCACCACGTTGCCCTGCAATCAACCTTGGGAGCGCGTCAAGCACTTGTGCCCGTTGTCCAAAACACGCGCCGCCGTCATCATTGGCGGGGTCATGATCCAACTTTGAACACACAAAACACCATCCATCTCGCGACCGGGGACTTGGCTCTAGAGACAGCACGGCCACGGCTTCTGTACCCATCAGTTGTATCAACCCTCCATGTCTTCAGAAGACCAACCTTCGGCCCGCAAGCGGTCGACATCCCGCACACGAACCTCGCGGCCCACGACACCGCTGAGGCCCTCTTCACGCTCATCCTTCAGGGAGTCGGCCCGCGAGAGCGTGCATGGCGATGCGCCTTTCCCCCTCAACACATTCGAGCCCGCCTTTGCCGAACTTTCTGACGCCATGGCCGATCTTGAAGCCAACATGATGCACTTCCAGCTCATGCACGAGAGCCTCGCTCGCTTCAGCGAGAGTTTCGCCAGCTTCATGTATGGCCTCAACATGAATGCCTTTTGCGTCGACTTCCCAGAGGTCCGTTCCCCCTTGGAGGTGTTTTTTTTCGTAGAGCTTCTGAGTGGGCAGCCCTGTGCTAAAACCCTAGGCGACGCAGGGTCCGATCGCAGAGTCTTTTCGACGAGCAAGACAGCAACAGGATGAGCAAGGTGAGTCGGGCGCGGGCCAGTCCATACACCCGCCACATGCGAGACAACCTCTTACATGCATGGCAGAAACCCAGCGGCCCACCGAAAAACACACCGGGGAGGCGGACGGAGAGACAACCTTCATGTGAGTGCGCATGTCCTGTCCTGGCCCGTCATCCAACCCCACGTACAAGTACTTATTTTCGAGTCTGTAGGACTACGGATACGTCATTTGTCGAGAACCCGCCCACCTCGTCCAAGGCAACGCCGACATCGAGATACCAGACACCACGAGCATCGCGCATGCCCGCCCCCACGACAAGGGCCGGAGGCGGCAGCCGGGGCACTGCCAACAGCCGAGGAGGATCTCGCGGTACCCGGGCCAGTGGGCTGGCAAGACCACGGGGTCGGGGTATCAGATAGACAGAACCAAGTGCATCAGATGCACCATGCTTGAAACTCTGTCGCGGGCGGATGCCCTGAGGACAGCAGTTCAGCCACCGACACGCCGCGCGTATACCGCTAATAACGGCACCATCGCCTGCGGTACAGGCGTAATTTTTGCGGGCGCCAGTAATAACCAACGGCCCTCATACTCGAGCCCAGACACGCAGGCGACATTCGATAGGCCTTGCTGGCTTGGATGCAGGAAGGAAGACGGAGCTGTAGCATGTGAGGGTGAAAAGGTGGAGTTGGTTGACGGAATGGGGGTGCTTCAGGGCCGTACTTAAGTCGTAGCGTAGCGGATGTCGCTGCGGGACCCTTGAAAAGTGTAACATGCTCCTGTAGGTTAGGTACTCAAGAACTCTGTTTCTTTTTCAAAACGGATACTTGAAGCCATTCGTCGTACATAGCGCCATCACGGCACTCTAGGAGCATCACACTGCATTCCGAACCAGTCTCCAAAGTCTCCAGCCGTTGTCCACCTGCAAGCCCTTTCTCACCCACCGCGGCGCATGAGTTGGCCGCCTTTTTCCATGGTCCATCCCCCGCCGCCATGTCGACGAGCGCCGTTCGCTACGTGACGGGAACGAAAAAGAACCCGCTCGGGCTCGTCTATCTCCAATGCCATGTGAAGCCTGGCGCCAGTAAATCCCGCGAGGGCGTGACGGCGCTGACAGACGAAGCGGTCGAAGTGTGCATCGCAGCGCAAGCACAGGACGGCGAGGCCAACAAGGCCACCTTGGCGCTCCTCAGCAAGGTGGGTAGTCTCGGTTCCCCGGTCTCCAACACCCTCGCTGTCATCGCGCGCGTGCCAGTCCCCGCACAATCTCACCCCCTTCGCAGGTACTCGGCCGGCCCAAGTCCGACTTGCGCATTGCGCGAGGCATGAAGTCAAGGGACAAGACCATCGTTGTCGAGGGCATGTCCCCCGAGTCCAACCCCGAAGACCTTGTCGATGCCGTTCAGGCGCTTCTTCTACAGGCAGCCGAGAGCACGAAATGATCTCAATCCTTTGTCGACGAGTTCAGCAGGCCCACCTCCCAGTAGTACTTGTACGAAGGACGGAGTAGTACGCTCTAGAGAGCTCTGCCAAAATGATGTCATTCCGCTCAGAGGAGCAACGGGAGTCGTCTTTGCATCGTCACGGCAGGGTTAGAAACATGATACCATCACCCCGTTGGTCTGCCATGACCTCGGACGAAGCCATGCCTAGTTCCGTGCATTTGCATCAGACAGGTACATTACGACAGAAGGTAGTTACAAGTAGTTGGGCATTGGACCTGGTGAAACCTCATCAGCCCTGGTGCCACCGTGCGAGGGACCACAAGGGGGAGGGATTCAGCCGTCAGTTTTATGGGGTAATCTAGTTATCTCCTTGTTAGCGCTTCATGACGCACTTCCAACCTCCATCTCATCTCAAACTTCAAGGTGCAGGCAGACTTGGCCATTTTGCAGCTCGACAAATATTCATATCTGCCTTCGTGACTAGGACCCGGTGCATTCCCGAGACCACTCACGCACGCACGCACGCACTCTTCCATCGACAGCATGTTCCGCACATTGAGGCCTTTGACCAATCTGGGTGCGCGCCGCACCGTGAGCCGGGGCTTCCACTCGAGCCGTCCGGCGTTTGTCAAGGTCGGCGATGAGATCCCCAATCTCGACGTCCTGGTGGAGGACTCTCCCGGCAACAAGGTCAACCTTGCCAAGGAGTTCTCGACCAAGGACGGGCTGATCATTGGCGTGCCCGCTGCCTTCTCGGGTGCGTGCTCGCAGTCCCACGTGCCCTCCTATATGATGCACCCAAGCATCAAAGACGTGGGCCAGGTGTTTGTCGTCTCGGTCAACGATCCCTTTGTGTGAGTCGCCCCCCCCCCCGGGCCAGCCTGGCGAAGAAAACCCTCGGGCTCGTCTCGTGCAACGTGCTGACCGTGGATGATACGACAGGATGAAGGCCTGGGCGGAAGCCATGGACCCAGCCAAGCAGACCAACGTGAGTATCGCAAGCCGCATGCGTGAGCAGAGCGGCAGCCGTCTCCGGAGTCGCGAGTGTAGGTAGACATCGCTGACGAGTTGCAAGTTTCGGTTCCTCGGCGACCCGACTGCTGCCTTCACCAAAGCCCTGGACGTTGCCTTTGACGGCTCGGCCATCTTTGGCGGGCTTCGCTCCAAGCGCTATGCGATTCTTGTCGAGAATGGCCGGGTCAAGTCGGCTGCCGTCGAGCCCGACAGCACCGGCACCTCGGGTACGTATTAGACGTGAAAGCCGTGTACTTTGTGGGGTATACCAGGCTCGTGCTGACCGCGCATGATGAACAGTCTCGATGGCCGACAAGGTCCTGGGGCCTCCCCAGACTGTGGACTGGAATGCTTGAGGCTGCTTGCCCAGGGTATCACGCTTGGTTCACTTGCTTGGTTCGGTCTCAGGTGTCCAGTCCAGGAAGAGTTTGAAAAAGGATAACGAGTCGCAGATGAACGAGTTTGGAAAATGAATGAGCACCGTCCTGGGAGACTTTACAGTCCATCCATCTTACCATGATATTGATGTGACACGCAAGGCCGTACTTAGTCGCACGATTTGAAACCCTATAGAACGTAACTAATATCGTGGATGTTCTTCTGATAAGAGTCACTCTGTGGCCTCTGCTCCAAGAGGATCTCGCCTTCACTTCATTCCAGGTATTCGTCAAATACATAGGTAGGTAGGTATAAAGTCGTGAAGTTAGGTAGATTCGGCGGTGGGAGGTCCTCACTAGAAGCAGATCCATGGCAGGCTCGCCTTGGAACGAACGAACCCCAGTTCTGTCTGCAGGGCTGTTTTTAGGCTCCTTGCAGCAGTGGCCGGGCGGGGTTGCCCCCCCCCTGCGAAGCGCTATTCTTGTCTCAATAGCGCAGTGAACCAGGGCACTACGCAGCCACAGCCAGCCCTGGAGGAGAGGAAGCAGGCAGCACCCGGCCGCCAAAAGCAAAAAAACGGGGCCCCTCCCCACCGCATGACACAGTCAGTCATCCATCCCAACGCACCTATCGCCGCCGAACACCACACCTGAGACCCTCTGCCTTATCCTGCCTAAGGGCCAGGGCCTCTTTCGTCAGTACCTACCTTAACTAATACACAGGTGTAGACCCCGTATCTTCTCCCGCCTTGTTGGTGCCTTGTCAGATTACCTGATCATCATCTCCGACTGCCAACGTCAACCCTCTGGGACCTCTTCTCTCTCCCTCTCTTCTCTTCCTTGTTTTTCTCGACCGCTCGCGAGATCGGTCGGTCTCTAGTCTCCAAACCTCTCCAGCCAACTTTAACACCCACTCTCGTCTTGGGCCTGCGATTCCTCCTCAACAACTCTTGCAACCTCCCCATATGACCTCATTTGTACTTACCTAACCCTGTGACCGGGACGCCTTACATCTCATCCCTCCCTCGAACTCTTCAGAACGTGAAAGTCGCCTCAGATATCAGCAACGGTCGCATCCTCGCCTTCCTGATCGGTCGCCCGCTTGCCTCCGCCCCCCTCCAACCCCCCCTCAAGGTGCTCGTCAAGGTCTCCGACGAGCCCTCCAACGACACCCACCATTCCGCCCACTACGCGAAAGCGCAAGGCCGCTGAGGCGACGATAGCCTTTCCTCTCGAGGAGGCTCTTAGCAACAAGAAGATCTTAGCCTCAGCCGCCCCCGACGCCGCCCCTCCCACCCCGCTGACAAACGTCTCCAACACCATGGATTCCGAAGACGACTTCATCTCGGCCGCCTCCAGCGACGATGACCTATTGCAAGATGATAGTGACAACGAGGACTTGTCAGATCCTGAAGGTACGTACATCGCTCTCCTCACCCCCTCTGGCTCCGGCCTGTCCGTTTTGCCTGGTTGCACCGTCCTGATCCTCCTGCTTGTACCCCCCCACAGGCTTCGACGACTTTGACGACGAGCCCGAGCCGGATCTCGGCGTCATCAAGGACTCGATCCACGGGAAAAAGGTCCCTTACGATATCAACTTCACTGTTTACAAACCCGAGGACATCCACAAGCAGCAAGATGACCTCATGGACGAGGTCAACATGATTCTGGAGATGACCAAGGAGGACGCTGCCATACTGCTGCGTCACTTCCGCTGGAATAAAGAGCGCCTGATCGAGGATTACATGGACAACCCGGCCAAGGTGCTCGAGGCCGCCGGGCTGGGTCCCGACGTGGGCGGCTCGCCACGGCTGCAGGCCGTCCCGGGCTTCGTTTGCGACATCTGCTGCGAGGACGAGGAAGGCCTGCAGTCGTTCGCCCTACGATGTGGCCATCGCTACTGCGTAGACTGCTATAGACATTACCTAACACAAAAGATTCGCTCCGAGGGCGAGGCCGCCCGCATCCAGTGCCCGTCGGTCGGCTGCCACCGCATCATCGACGCCAAGTCCCTGGATCTGCTCGTCACCCCGGATCTGCAGGGCCGCTACCGCGAGCTGCTTGACAGGACGTACGTCGAGGACAAGGACACGCTGAAGTGGTGCCCGGCACCCGACTGCGCCAACGCCATCGACTGCCCGGTCAAGAGAAAGGATCTCGGCAGGATAGTCCCCACGGTGGCCTGCGACTGCGGGCACCGGTTCTGCTTCGGGTGCAGCCACAGCGACCACCAGCCGGCGCCGTGCGAGCTGGTCAAGAGCTGGCTCAAGAAGTGCGCCGACGACTCGGAGACGGCCAACTGGATCTCGGCCAACACCAAGGAGTGCCCCAGGTGCAGCTCTACTATAGAGAAGAACGGCGGCTGCAACCACATGACGTGTCGCAAGTGCAAGCACGAGTTTTGCTGGATGTGCATGGGCCTCTGGTCGGAGCACGGCACGAGCTGGTACAACTGCAACCGGTACGAGGAGAGGAGCGGCTCCGAGGCCCGCGATGCCCAGGCCAAGTCGCGCGTCTCCCTCGAGCGGTACCTGCACTACTACAACCGCTACGCCAACCACGAGCAGTCGGCGCGCCTGGACAAGGACATCTACCAGAAGACGGAGAGGAAGATGGTGCAGCTGCAGACGGCGTCGGGCATGTCGTGGATCGAGGTGCAGTACCTGAACGCGGCGTCCCAGGCATTACAGACGTGCCGGCAGACTCTCAAGTGGACGTATGCCTTCGCCTTTTACCTGGCCCGCAACAACCTGACGGAGATATTCGAGGACAATCAGAAGGACCTCGAGATGGCCGTCGAGGCGCTGTCGCAGATGTTTGAGAAGCCCATCGGCGAGCTCAACGACTCGAAGCTCAAGGTGGATATTATGGACAAGACGGCTTACTGCAACAAACGCCGCGTGATTCTCCTCGAAGACGCTGCGGACAACTTGGCCAACGGTACGTGCTGGACCACAAGAACCCTCAGTCCCGCCCCCATCCCCCCCCCTTGGTCCTGCATTCCCTCCACGATGATCTTTGACGTGGTAAACTGATTGAACCGAACCCAAACGCTAGGTCGCTGGACGTTTAATACGGACCTCCTTTCTGCCTCAACCCCGGGTCCCAACACCCGCCGTTAGACGATGCTGTATTAATTCTTTTTTTTTTTCATGCCTCTTCCTGCTCGAGACGCATGCATTGCGACTGAGCGTGTGCATGGCTAGTAGCATTTACGGTGTTGAATGAACCTTGGAGCAAATAGATGAGCGGTGTCGTACTAGGTCAGCCTCGAGAGGGCAGGGGAGAGAGATACTCATGATCCGTCCTGGATCGTCGACGACACACACCACTTGATACTGCCACTGAGCTGTGGTGGGCAAGAGCGCAAGCCAGACCAGTATCAAGCGGAGGAAGTTGTCTGATGCAATTCAGTAGGCAATGAGTCGGCCGTCCGTCACGTGCATTGGGATGGGCAGACATGGTTTAGCAAAGACAGATAGAGAGGCGCCGGGAGCACTCAAGGGTCTTGTCAGCATTTTTTGAGATGAGCGTCGGCAGGCGGTGTTCAAGTGTACATTTTTTCCCCCCTTCCTTCTTAACGACAAGGAACAACAACAGATTGGTCTTTTGCTTCCTGGCCAGATTATGGGTGGTGAGTACAATAGGGAGGCAGATAACTCAAAGGTCAGGAATTGCAGACTGTCTGGCCTGTGCTTGGACCTAGGTCTGGGTCTCGGTCTGGGCACCAAACCTACGTCAGCTAGCAGCTTGTGCTCCTCTCGGCGGCTACAGCCGTTTCTCACTACCGGATGTTGGTCCTGGTGAAGAGCATGGGTACGGGCGCGCGCCTTACCGCGAAAAGGATTACCCGCTGGGCGTAGTCGTAGAGGGGTGGGCCGGGAGCCGGGCTTTGTCGGGAAAGGGGACCACGGTTTGCGTGCCTTTACCGAGCCGACTGGGGCATCCGACAGCGGCGGAGACCTAGTCCTACGATGGGCTTGAGATGGCGGCCCTTGGCTTGAGCGAGGTCGGCGGAGAAGAAACCTGCCAGAGCATTTGAAGTCTATATCTACGTGTCTCCTTCGTGATTCCAAGCCGGGGGGAGGGGGATATTTGCGGCTTGATGAGGGCGCGCGCAAGCTGAGCCGCGGAAGGTCGACCGCGGGAGGATACCCGTGAGAGGCCGGGCCTCGACAAACCGAGCAGCCTGAGTAAAGGATCAGTCAGACAAATGCTTGGGTGGTAATAACTAGTTACAAGTAGTCGTCGTTCTGTAGAGGGGCGGCGGGGCGGCCACGGACCCGGGTCACCTCTCTTCCACGCTGGAGGACAGGACACTAAGAGCATACCTAGCCCCTAGCTAGCCTGGTGCCATCTACTTGTACAAGTACAAGTAGGCACCTAAGATACCTAACTCCCGAACGGGGGTGGACGAGGGGACGGTTCCACGTCCGCTCCTCGGGGGTGGCCCTCCCCTTGAAAACCCCAAATTCCCCAGCAGCGACCCTTGCCGCCGTTTTGCTCCGGCCCAGGTGCAAAGCACATGTAGATTTTATCGTGTCTCTTTCTTTTCTTCTCCCTTTTTCCTTTCTTCTATTTCGTGGTGATCTATCTCCCTGCTCCGCCCACGAGCGAGTTCCATTTGCGAGTCGTCGTCGGTCTCTTCTGTGCCCAGCATACAAAAGCTCCGAGTATAGCCGTTGCGAGCCTTTACCCGCCCTCGGCGCATCCCCTCCGCGACCTTGACCTCGACCGCGTCCGTTTGCGCATCCCCGCGATTTCTCGAGCTGCTTTCTCTCTCTCTCTCTCTACGGCCCGCAAGATCCCTTCCCTCCGTCGTTGCCCGCTCAAGATGCCGTCCGCCGCCTTGTGTATGCGCACTCTCCGGGCGTACTCCAAGTACGGCCCACGGGTAGGTCAATCCCGACCCCTTCCCGGCCTTTGTTCACCGGCCGGGTGTGTGTCTGTGTCTATGTCTATGTCTATGTCTATGTATGCGCATGTGTATGTGTTTGTGGACTGACGTTTTCTCCCTCTCTCTTGCCACGAACTAGCATGCAGCTCTGTTCGCCCGGGCCTTCTCGGCCACGTCGCGCCGTGCCGAGATCAACAAGGTCTATCCTTCGGCCGCCGAGGCCCTCAAGGACATGAAGGCCGACTCGACGCTGCTGTGCGGCGGTTTCGGCCTCTGCGGAGTGCCCGACACCCTGATCGACCAGGTCCTCGAGAAGCCCGAGATCACGGGCCTGACGGCCGTGTCCAACAACGCCGGCACCGACAAGAGCGGGCTGGGCAAGCTGCTCAAGACCAAGCAGATCAAGAAGATGATCGCCTCGTACATTGGCGAGAACAAGACGTTTGAGCAGATGTACCTCACCGGCGAGGTCGAGCTCGAGCTGACGCCCCAGGGCACCCTGGCCGAGCGCTGCGCCGCCGGCGGCAAGGGCATCCCGGCCTTCTACACCCCGGCCGCCTTTGGCACCGTCGTCCAGACCGGCGAGCTGGCCCTGCGCAACAACCCGGACGGCACCGCCGCCGAGTTCTCGTACCCCAAGGACGTCAAGGTCTTCAACGGCAAGTCGTACCTGCTCGAGCACAGCATCGCCGGCGACTACGCCTTCGTCAAGGCCTACCGCGCCGACAAGCTCGGCAACTGCCAGTTCCGCCTCGCCGCCCACAACTTCAACGGCGCCATGGGCCGCAACGCAAAGATGACCATTGTCGAGGCCGAGGAGATTGTCGAGCCCGGCGAGATCCCCCCCGAGGCCGTCCACCTGCCCGGCATCTACGTCAAGCGCGTCATCAAGAGCACCGCCCCCAAGAGCATCGAGAAGTACACCTGGGCCAAGGACGACACGCAGGACGCCGCCGCCGCCAACAAGGTCCTCGGCACCGGCGACACGGCCGCCAAGCGGGAGCGCATCGTCCGCCGCGCCGCCAAGGAGTTCAAGAACGGCATGTACGCCAACCTGGGCATCGGCATGCCCATGCTCGCGCCGGGCTTCGTCGGCCCGGACGTCGAGGTCCAGCTCCAGAGCGAGAACGGCATCCTGGGCCTCGGCCCCTACCCGCAAAAGGGCGAGGAGGACGCCGACCTCATCAACGCCGGCAAGGAGACGGTCACGCTCAACCCGGGCGCCGCCGTCTTCGGCAGCGAGGAGAGCTTCGGCATGATCCGCAGCGGCCGCATCAACCTGACCATCCTCGGCGCCATGCAGGTCAGCGCCTCCGGCGACCTCGCCAACTGGATGCTGCCCGGCAAGGTCAAGGGCTTCGGCGGCGCCATGGATCTGGTCAGCAACCCCTCGGCGACCAAGGTCGTCGTCACCATGGAGCACACCGACAAGAAGGGCAACCCCAAGATCGTCAAGCAGTGCGCCTTCCCCCTGACCGGCAAGGCCTGCGTGTCGAGAATCATTACCGAGCTGGTGAGTACCAATTTGCCCCATCTGTCCCCCTACTCCCCGGCGGGGAACCCGTCAACTCCGAAGGCGTATCCAGCAACTGACCAGGTCCTATCTTGCTTCGCTTAGGGTGTGTTCGATGTCGACTTTGCTCACGGCCTGACCCTGATCGAGATTGCCGATGGCGTGACGGTCGACGAGATCAAGAGCAAGACCGAGGCGCCCTTCCACGTTGCCGACGATCTCAAGGCCATGCTGTAAACAGAGAAAGTTGGCGCCGTGATGTACCCAGGGTCCGACGACGGCGACGTGGGGAAGGATGCGGTCTCCAAGCCGGCTGTCGCCGGAGCGGCCAAACAGCAAACCGTATTTTATCACCGACAAAAGCAGCCGTTTTCATTTCCCTTGTAGAGATACCATGTCAATAAAACAAATGTACCGCAGTTGTAGCTTTCAGGAGTCGAATTGTATGCTTATCAGCGGAATACCTGCACTTGTGGTCTTTCCAATGGTTCGCATTTGGGCCTGGGCTCCGAGCCAGCCATGATGCTGATGGCCCTTTGGCTTTTGCGGTTCCTCGGGAGCATCCCGCCATCTACTGGCGCGAAGTATGGAAGAGGTGATCCTTTGCCTAGCCAAAGGGCCCTTGAAGAGAGATATTGACGGCTTCCCCTAGCAGAGCCATGAGGGCTCGTATCTTATACTATAGCAGCGAGCATCAATATACTACAAGTGTGGCGCTACACCAGGTATTCGTTTGTATATGAGCCTGTGTGATGTTGTAGTTGTGGTGTAACAGCGAATTCAGAAAAAAATAGACCATGCACACATGAGACAATGGGTTTGTATTCTGCTCCGCCTGCATCGTATACGTTGCGTACATGGTTTCATTCTCGATCGTTACAGTCGGAGGTGAAAGACATTCACTACATGGATACAAAACACCGCCAAGGAAACAGACCGTCACTCCTTTCCATAACCCCAGGACAAACTCCCCGTCACAGTTCCTGCATCCAAAAACAAAAATCCCATCCAACCAAAGAAGCAAATATGACCAGCCGCTCCCTTTCCAAGCCTGCGTGTGCCGTGTGCCTGCAATCGACGCGGTGTCGCACTGCTGGGCGGTCGGACGAAGACTCAGAACCCATGACCCAGTGCTTGATATGGCAAGCTTGGGTCCTGAGCGGGACGCAATCTCCTCTCCTCCATTCCGTAGAGTTTGCCACGTCGGCGCCCGAGGGGCTCCATGAAGGAGATGACCAGTCCTGGTGCTAGGCAGAGGACGAAGCCGACGGAACGTGCAGACAAGCGAGGAGGGGATGCGAGCATGGAAACAAATCAGCGGCGAGAAAGAAAAAAAAAAAAAGAATGCGCCAGAGGGGCCTGCAGAATGGGCGGGCATTGGCGTCATGAGCAGGGTGCGCTGCCCTCAGGACGAGGGAGCGTTGGCGCCGTTGATGCCCCAGTAGGGTTCTGCATTGAAGGTGGCCTGCTCGACCTTCTTCCACGGGTCGTTGTAGGCAGTGAAGAGGATGAGATCGGCCGGGTTGGCGGCAAAGGCCCCAGTGATGCAGTCGAGCGCGATCTTCTGGTTCGCCAGGCTGGGCACGGCAACGCGGTTGCTCGAGCCCTGCCACGGCCAGCCAGTCTCGGTGATGACGATGCGCTTGGACTGGTCGGTGAGCTTGCTGCGGACGTTGGCGATCTGTCTCGTGATAAAGTCGCCGGCCTGGGCTGCGGTAATGGTGCCGTCAAAGAAGGGATGCATGTTGAGGGCGCAGTAGTCCGACTTGTCGCACAGGCTGGGGTGGCTCAGCGCGGCCATGAACGTGTCGACGGTGACGACGGGCCCGGTGTATCCTACGGCCCGGAGCTGGCCGCGGACTGTCTCGATGGCGGCAAGGACCTGCTCGACGCTGGCCTGGCCGCTGTTGATGAGCTCGTTGCCGACGCTCACGGTATCGACACAGGACCAGTCGCTGCTGACGCCGCTGGTAATGGTGCTGACCTGGGAGGCGAGGTCCGTGAGGTGGAAGATGCCGAGGAAGAGCTTGACGCCGACGGCCTTGGCGGCAGCGACACAGTTGGCCACCTGGTTGCAGTCGACGCCGTAGAGGCGGATGGTCGAGTAGACGCCCGCGAAGCTCTGGAAGTCGCTGAGCACCTGCGCGGCCGACTTGCAGGTGCCGTCGCCGTTGTAAGGCGAGTAGGCAACACCGTGAAGGTTGCCAAAGGTCGAGTTTGACGGCACGGCAGGGGCAGGGGCAGGGGCAGGGGAAGCGCCGCCACTGGCGCCGGCTCCAGAACCGGACGAGGGCGGAGCCGCCTGCTGGGCGCCGGCAGCAGGCGTGGGGACGGCTCCGACGGGCCCAACGACCTGTACAGAGGCATAGATCGCGGGAGCACCGATGACGGTGACCGTGGCACCGACTGCCACGGCGGCCTGGGTGGGCGGCGGCACAAGGGCGACGAGTTTGGTGACGGTCGAGCACGGCTGGCCGTCCTTGTTGATGTAGACGAGGACCCGCGAGGCCTGGGTCGGGGCGGCGACAGCAGGATCAACGATGGTGATCATGTCGGCACTGGCCGTGACAGCGTCCCTCTCGTGAAGATGGGCGTGGCGGCGCTCTAGTAGGCAAGGAAGCTGTCAGCGCCTCGACCATCTCGACACGTCGGACCGGATCAGACACTTACTCGAGGGCCCAGCACTGGCGGCACCCAGCAGCGCCAGCAGGGATAGCGATGCTACTGCTGCCTTCATGGTTTCCGTTCTCCTTGTTTGTTTGTTCTCTTTAACCTGTTGTACACACAAGACACACGAGACGCGGGCAAGGCGATGATGCTATTCAAAAAGGAGGGACGGCAGAAAGCAATAACGAGTGAAGATGATAAGGAGCGACTGTTAGATGGAGACAACGTCCATTCTAGGTGAGAGAGACTAGGTCGGCGAGGCGTTTGACGAGGGATAGATGAGTCCTATAAGTCGAGACACACGGGGACAGGCCGCGGATGGCTGGGGCCCGGGTTATAAGAGAGACGACGCCACTGATTTTGGCGTGTGCTGCCGTGTGCCCACGGTCAAGCGCGGGCGGCGTGTGTGGCATGCATCTGCTTCGTCACCTTGAGAGGCCAGTGTTTACCGGGCATTGTCTGCTTTGGGCGGCCAGCGAGGAATGCGAGGAATGGGAGGTTGGCGATTCTGGCTTAAGAGTTGCGCCGTTGGAATGTGGCCAAGCCAGCCGTCGCAGGGTCTTGGAATGCGCCGAGCCCAAAGAGGCACAACACAGCAGGATGAGGAAATAGACAGATGGCTTTCCAACTGAAGAGAAAAGAAAAGGAAAAAGGAAAAAGGGAAGAGGGAAAATACCTAGAAGGCTACCTACGTATCCTGGGTACGTTGGGAGGGACTGCGTGCAGCAGGCTAGCTATCCCACAACCGAGACTCGGCTCTGTCCTTTTTCACTGTGTCTCTCCAAGTTCACAAACCGCCCCACGCCCAAACAACAGACTCGCCGCTTGGCTCATGCCTCGCAGCAGCTCGCTTCACGGGCAAGCAGGCTGGGCAGTACCGACCGGGCTGGTAGGCAGGCAGGCACGAAGAATCGAGAGTGAGGGAGCTTCCCCTCACCCGAGGCCGTGTGGGATGGAGATTGTCCTCTTCCTCTGGACAAGAACAACCCCAACGGCATACCTACCTATCCCCCTCCCCCATTCGTGTGGCGGCCATGAAAGGCGAGCTAATGCGAAGGGGGGTCGAATGAGAAAGATGATCATTAACATTAATTTATCTAGGTAAAACGCGCCCCTCTGGGCGCAGGTATGTAACTCTAATTGCACGACGCTTGGTGCGGTGTCCGCCTCTTCCGCCTGGCTGCCCGCCTGGCTACCTGCCTGGCTACCTGCCTTGAGGGTTTTGCCATTGGTTAGTGCAAGTCGATCAAGAAATTCAAGTACCTAGCATCAATCATGTCTGTTGTGCAAGGTGAGACCTTCTCGTAAAGTGCACCGCTGCCCATGTTGTCCCTGTTGTGTATCCCGGGGTCCATGCCATGCCGGAAAAACAACAACAAAAGAGCGACTCAAGCGGCCCCAGGTGTCCCGGCCTTGTGATTCTTGCGTGTCATGACCTTGGTAATGGCGTGGCGGATCGTAACTCCGGCCTTCTCAATGTCCTTCTTGGATAAGCCGGACGTGATGCACACCTTGAGAGCCGGCTGCGGCCTCCAGCTATCCTTGGGGTTGATGCTGCTCGCCACAGGCGCGAGCTTGAGTCGCGTGATGAGTACGCCGTTGGCCAGTGCCTGCCAAGGTGTCAGCCATGTTACAGATAGCAAGACGAACGAGAATGCCCCAGTAGAGCAGCCACGTGCAAGGAACAAAAGGCAGATGACAACTCACCTCGTCGACGCAGTCTTGCAGAAGCCTCTCCTGGTCCTCGGCGCTCAGCCTCCTCGCCTGCACCACCTCTGGCTTGAGGACTAGGAGCATGATGGGGTTCTCCGGTGCGCTCGTGCACAAAACCCAGTCGCTACGCGGGTCCAGCTGCGCTTTCATGGTCTTGATATTTTCCCTGCACTGCGCCAGGATCTCCGGGTTTGACTGAATGATGTTGAGCGTCTCGCTTGCCGTCACGGCAAGCATGGCCGGCAGAGCCGCCGAAAAGGTGTAGGACGCGGCTGTGATGCGCTGGTGGTCCACGACGTCTTTGGTGCCGGCGCAGAAGCCACCGCCGGCGCACAGCGGGCCGGCCAGGGAACCAATGATCATGTCGACCTGGGATGGATCGACATTCTGGGCCTCGGTGAGGCCCCTGCCCGTGCGCCCGAGGACGCCAAAAGACCAGGTTTCGTCGAGGATGATGCGGAACTTGTACTTCTCCTTCAGTTCGATCTGCGTCGACACCAGCAACTTGTCAGCGACAGCCCACCTCTCACCTTGGCGTTGGACCGGACAGCGGGTTGGGGGTCGGGGTCGCGTGCACACTCACCAGCTTGGGAAGATCGGTACAATCCCCCGTGATCTCAAATAAGCCCTCGGTGACGATGAACCTCCGGGTGAGCTTCTTCTGCTGGGCCTGCTCCTGCGCGACCTTGCGCATCTGGGTCTCTAGGTCCCGCATGTCGCCGTGGTTGTACCATCGGATATTGCTCCTAGAGATCTCTAGGCCCTTGCGGATCGAGTAGTTGACCGCCTTGTCGGCGATGATGACGTCTCCTCTCTTGCAAAAGGCCGGTATCACGCTGGAGATGGTCGAAAAGGCCTGTGCATAGACGATGCATCCCTCGGTGCCCAGGTACGCAGCAATGTCGGCTTCGGTCTTCATGTGGACGTCCTGGGTGCCGTAGAACTGGGGCGGGCCGCAGGGGCCGACACCGTAGGTGCGCAGGGTCTGGATCGCCTTCTCCTTGATCTGCTCATTGGCATTGAAGTTATAAAAGTTGTATGAAGCCAGGTTCGTGACGGTTCGGCCATTGGACAGTTTGGACTTGGGACCAGTCGGTCTACATGGACACAGAGATGGCCGGGGTCAGTCGACAGACAGCACAGCAGCCGAAGGAGATGGTCTCGAGACATACCCTACAATGACAGGTAAGCGCTCGCTCTCGAGCTCCTCCATGGCCGTCTGGGGCGGGACCAGCGGCTCCGGCACCCACTCGTCGATGAGCTCGTCAATCTCCTGTTGCGCTCTCGTTAGCAGAGGTCTTGGTTTTGTCCGGGGCGACACGGGCAGGCACGACTCCGGCGGCAGCAGTCACCACGTACATCGTCGCGCAGTTTGATGAAGTTCTGCTTCTGCGTAGAGTAGGACGGCGCGAGGAGGTATCGTATGAAGAAGATGACGAGGACGAGCTCGATGGCGGAGCGGATAGGGTCGTTCTGGTAGCTCGACCGCACATAGCGAATGAGGACGGCCGAGCCTGGCACTTTCTGGAAGGCGTGGGCCGCTTCGTGCACCCACGCCGCCAGTTGAGTTTGCAAATCGTCCAGATCCATGGTAAAGGGCGCGATCACATGGGGAACGGCAGAGGTCGGCGAGGTTGCGGATGAGTATGAGGAGCAAATGGATTGATTGAACGCGAAAGAAAAGGAGGCTCCCATGGCGTCGCGTGGGTGGGTGGGGGAGCAACCCCTTCTACCTAGGTATACATGCTAGGCGTATGTGGCCCGGTAGAGCAAGGGGGTATCCCTCATGTACCGAACGAATTACGCCCTGAAAAGTCAGCACCCGCGTCCAGGGGGGAATTTCTCCAAGTAAACCGTGCACTCCCGGCGCATCCGCCGCCCTAATTTACAAGTCCAGATGGAGTGAGTATCTGAGTGACGCAACCGCAACAGTATTGAGTGCTGTGTGGCGAGAGCATTGCCAAAGCATTGCCAACTGCTCTGCGTTTTTTCGTAACGCCGTCTTGCCTTGAATAGTGTCATTATCTAGAAAAGAGGGAGATCAGACTCCCCTCTGCTCCACTACGTATTTCCATATGGCAGTGCCCTTGGACCTAGGCGTTGGAGTGAAATGGTCTCCCCAGGCACCTCTTGACCTTTGGCCTCCAACCCGTAGGTAGTGTTCGGACAGCTTACCACGGGCCGCGACAGGCCTACTCAACCCTAGAACCCAGGAACAAGCATGCAGGACACACACACAAACAACTGGTACTGTTGGTCATCATCATATCGGTCTGCTGGATTCATTACAACCATCCTCTAGAGCTAGCTAAAGCCATGATGCAAACTTATGCCAAACGACTCGTACCCCAGGGCCAGTAGGCACACATAGGCCACCGAAGATACCAAGATACATTAAGATACACAGAGCGCCCGTTTGTGCCAGTATAGTGACTCCTCTTGGCTCCCCATCCCTGAAATCAATCCGAGCAATAAACGGGAGAAGACAAAACAGCAATGCGCAGGACAAGGCAAGGCACAAACTCAAGAGAGAAAAAGAAAACACGGAAGCCAAATCTATGCATGTGTATGTTTGCTTATTTTCCATTGGGGCACAACTTCAACGACTTTTGCCTTGTCCCTCTGGCCGCGTTGACTGCCAGTGCGACACAGACGAATGTCTCTCAACGAGCACCGTCCTTTTCTTTTTCTGTTTAGAAGAGCTTGATCCTCCTCGAGTTGGCGTTGTCCGTCGACTTGGCGTCACCCGTCCCCGTTGGGTTGGCGGGATTAAGGGCAGTGCCGGTCTCAGTCCGGCCGCGGGTGTTGTTGTTGTCCAAGTTGGTGGGCTGGACAAGCTTGGTGTCCTTGAGCTGGTTCATTACACTGGCCGGGATCTTGCTGCCGGCGACGATGGGACCGACGATCAAGCCCACAAAAACGACCAGCAGGACAAAGTAGAGGACAGCGAAGCGAATAACACGCTTCCTCCGAAGCTTGGACTGCTTCATCGAGTAGATGGGCGGGCGGATTTGCCGGCTATGCGCAAGGCTGTTAGCGGGTATTTCGCGGGCAAGAAAATAGGAGAACATACCTAGGGCGGAGCCAGAAGAGCATGATAGAGTGCAGCTTGTCAATCTGGGGGATCAGGATAAAGGGCAACATCAGGAAGAGGATAAAGTGGCCCAGAATAAAGTCGCCAGCAAACATGCTCAGCTCGGTGATTTTGCACAGGAACTCTCTGGCCGGTTGAGAGACCGAATGCCATCCCATAGAATACCATTTGCCCGTCCAGAACGCGATGTTTGCCTGGTCCGTCTTGAACTCGCGCGTAAGCGCCAGAGACACGATGAGCTTGACGATGAACCGCTGGATGGCGACGACGGCGATCATGCCGGCGAGCGTCTTGGTAAAGTCGAAGCCTTCGAGGAAGAACATGACCTCGAAGAAGGCAAGCATCATCACGACGGCGACGCCGTGGGCGATGGCGGCGAGAACGCTGCCAAACTTCTTGCAGCACATGCTCAAGAGCGGACCCATGCAGCACGCCATGGCGAACATGGCTGCCAAGACGCCCATGTTGACGGCGATGGGTCCCGCCGCAACGATAGCAAGACGAAGCAGCGAAGCCGTCGGCTCGGAGCCACGCTTGCGCGGGTCGTCCTCGTTACCGCTGACCTGGTCTTTCGGTGTCACGCCCGTCTGCGCGTTGATGAACAGGTAGGGGATGACGGTGACGGCCACCAGAATGAGAGGGGCAATGATCTCTCCGAATAGCAGGTTGGTCGTGGCTGCTCGCGGCACATCGGACGAGAGCTTGCCCGAGGGGTCGCCGATGGCCTTGCGCTTGTAGCCCGTGATCCTTGTCCTCGACAGCCGGCTGTAGGCGATCCACGACGACGCGTGAGAACGAGAGTTGCCGCGCGACAGCCAGCGGAGGAAATCGCGGTAGTCGATGAAGAAATCGTTCCACGCAAACTGGTGCGGATTGTACAGGAAGGGCGAGACGACGAGCGCCAGCATGGTGAGCCAGAAGTAGGTCAGGGCGGCCTGCCAGATGGTCAAGGTGGCAAAAAGGAGCATCATCAAGAGCCGGGCGCCGAAATAGATGGATGGACCCGCAAAGCGCGAGAACAGGACACCAAAGGGAATGCGGGCCGTGGCAAAGCCACGACCAGTACCGATGTAGCGGGCGCCACCAAACGAGAGGTTCTGCTGGACCGAGTTGGCGTAGATCTGGCACACAAACACCTCGAAGAAGGGCGAGAAGGAGAAGAACTGCTTGAGGAACCGAGTGACGGCACGCCACACGCCGCGCTCCGTACCTTCCTGGACGACAAGGGGAATGTACGACAAGAAGAAGACGAAGAAGATGGAGAGAATGCAGCGATAGATCCAGTCCATGAGCGCGTCCGTGTTCTGGCAGCCAGTCGGGAACATGGGATCGGTGATGGGGACGTTACGGTTGTAGTCGCAGGGGATCGTCTCGTGCCTCAGAGCGCCAAGGTTGAGGCAGGTGATCATGAAGACTTGGACAGACGCCATGATGAGCATGTTGTTGATGTGGAAACCGGGGTGCGCATAGTAGAATGACAGGAAGCGGTCAATCGGGAGCTGGGTGCCGAGGTAGTAGTACTCGCGCGAGAGCATTTGCTCGCCCATACCCGTGCCGATCTTGGTGGTGAAGTTCAGAATGGAGCCGAAACCAAGATCACGGCCCTTGCCGCACTGGTAGTACTCGCAGTGCTTGATCCTGCCACCACGGAGAATGGCGTTCATACCAGCGTAGATATCCTCGTTCAGATGGAGACCCTTTTGCGCCTTGGAGACACCGCCGCGCGTCGTCATGAAGATACCGTTGAGGAAATCGGGGTGACCATAATGCAGCTTGCCACCAATCTGGGCCAGCGTACGCGCAAACAAGGTACCGAACGTCTGCTCCTTACCGGCAGCGACATCTCCGAGGATACCAATGTTCTCCGAGAAAATGTACTCGCGCGCACCAAGAATGGCGACGGGGGCGGGTCCTTTGTTCTTGACACCGGGCGTGTAGGGCGAAACGTCATCCGTCTTCATCTCCTCAAACTCGGCCAGGACGCTGCGGATCTTGAGGCACTCCTCTAGGTAGTTGTCCTGGTTGGCGTCGATGAGCTGGATGTACTCGCCGCGGTAGAAGATGAGCGAGTGGTTCTGGTTGTCCGACTTGCCGTCACCGAGAATAGGGTTGCCAGACAGCTGGATACGGAACTTGGGCCGGCGCATGCCGTTCTCCATGATCTCCGAGTGTCCGTCGATGAGAGCCGAGTAGAGGCGGGGCTCCTCGCCCTCGACCAGGGGAGGCTCCTCGTCCAGGTAGGCAATCTGCAGGTCCGGGTAGGCCCGGAGCAGGAACTCGGCATTCTCCATCTCCTCCTTCTTGAACTTGGCGTAGCGCTGCATCGAGACGATGAGCTTGAACTTGCGTCGGGCCATGCGCTCAAGCTCGCGCTCGAGCTTGTCCGAGTTGCCGCCAAACATTTGGACAACCTCGGGGTTCTCGACGCGGTAGAGCAGCTTGATGGCGCGGCTGTAGTTCATGAAGCCCGAGATGGTGCGGTAGAGAGTCTGCGAACGCAGAGAGGCCCAGATACGGGTCCGCAGCGTGTACTCGGGTGCGGACGACTTGAAGCCGATGCAGTAGAAGGGGAGATCGTCAATCTTGCTCTTGGCGGTGTCCTTCTCGTTCTTCTCCAGATCGCCGTTGAACTGTGAGGTCTCGTCGGCCAAAATCTTGGTGTCCTTGACAAAGCAGTCCCACTCGTGAGGGTGGAGCTGCTTGAGGTACTCGAGAAGCGTGACACGCGAGTAGGGCTCGTCCTCGCGGATAATTTCGCGCAGGGACAGAAGGATCTTCTCGCTGTAGTGGGGGATCAGGACCGTAAAGGTGGGCATGTTGTCGACGGGCAGGGGCTCGGGGATGGGCGTCGAGAGCGACTGGGCAAAGAAGGACACACGGCGTTCGGCCTCGCTGTAGGCGGGGAAGAACTCCGTCTTGAACGAGTGGTCTTCCTGCGAGACGAAGAAGGTCGGCGCCCGGAGGGTCCGCTTGCCTTCCTGCTCCGAGGGCACCTGGTGGTAGAGCAGCTTCTGCACGTGGTCGATGGCCAACAGGTGCTCGCGGTACATGGAGATGACGATGGCGTTCCAGACTTGGGAGATGAGCACCTTGGGCTTGTACTTGATCTCCATGTCGGTCGTGGCGAGGACCTTGGAGTAGATGCGCTTCGGGAGGCGCGAGAAGACGTTTCGCCAGGGTGTCAAGATGGACGAGCCAATGTAAAAGGAGCGGGCCAGCGAGAAGACGGTGTTGACCAGGACGTAGGTGAGATAGGTATCGAGGAAGAAGAACAGCAGGTCACAGACGGTCATGAGGCCCAGCAGAATCTGCGGCTGGTACTTGCAGAGGTACTGCTTGACGATCGTGTCTCCCAAGCAGCTGTCCACGTTCATAAGCGCGAGGTAGCGGATGGGGTCACGGAACGACATAGTCAAGTAGACGTAGGACTCGGCAAACTTGAAGGCAAAAACGATGAGCCAGAGGCCAAAAGACATGGCCATGTCGTTGCCAGAGAGGCGCGGGTAGCTGGCGGTGAAGGTCTGGCTGGCGACGTAGCGCCGCGAGTTCTTGGTCAGGTAGCTGCCGAAGAGTCCGCCGAGGGGCATGATGGAGAAGAAGAAGTACGTGGCGACGGCGATGAAGAATTGCACGATACCCAGGATGAGGGCGATCTTGCCTTTCTGCTTGTCCAGGTAAGCCTCCGTGGTCTTTTCCGGCATGAAGATGTAGACGCCGGGGCCAACATTGATGACGAGGATGACGAGCAGGAAGAGCAGGCGCTTGGTGAGGTGCTGCGCTCCGGCCCAGCGGCGCGGGACATAGGCCCACTCGGCGAGGGTGGCCAAAACCTGGATGAGAGCCGCTATGCCTCCTCCGAAACCGACGATGGACCACTGCGCCGAGGCCGGCGGCTGCTGGTTCCGCTGCTGCTCGTACCCGGGGACCAGGAGGGTGGGCGCGTTGTGAGCGGTGTAGAACCACCACATGGTCAAGTGGATGACCCAGATGCGGTTGAAGTTGACGAGGATGTGGAACCAGGAGCGCGTCTCCTTGTACGTCTTGAAGAAGCATTTCTTCCAGTTGACGTCCTTAAGCTTCAGGAAGCGCTCGGCAGGCGGGCACTCGACGAGCTTGCTCTTGTCCTGCAAGACGATGCGCTCGATGCCTTCGGGGTACCAGAAGAGCTGGTTGCAGTCGTCGTAGCCGATGATCTTGTTGTGATCGCGCTCCCGCCTGATGTAGACGCCATTGACGATCTCGTAACCCTGGTCGCGTATGTAGGCATAGAGGGGCGTGATGACGTCGTTCAAAAAGGTAAACTCCTCGACCGGCTCCACCTGGTTCTGGCAGGCGGGCGAGTTGAGGTAGTCGTCGGCGCACTTGAAGATGAAGCACAGGCACTCGGGCATGAAGCGCACCTGGTTGGCCTCGCCCCAGCAGAGCAGGTAGAGGGCGATCTGGCGCACGCGGTCATGCTGAGACATGCGGTTCATCCGTGTCTTCCAGCGGTACTCGGCCGCCTCGAGAGACTCGTCGCCCTCGAGATCCTCCAGGGTCTCGGCCTCGGTCTGGCCCTCGGCAGCCTTCTTCTTCTTGCTCTTGTTCTTGCGGCGGGCGCCCTTGCCCTTCATGTTGGCAAAGCCGACAGCGTCGTCCAGGTCGAGGTGGGCGGCAAAGTACCACTTGCGGTAGTTGGCATTGTCACCACCGATGTAGTCGGCGTGGAGAGAGAGCAGAGCCTGGTTCGGCGACATGCGGGACGCCCGCGAATCGAGAAGCGTCATAAAGTGGTCGTACATGTTGCGCATGCTGTCGCGCTGGAAGCCAAACTTGGCCGTCAGGTCGAGGAAGATGTCCTCGACTTCTTCCTTGGAGAGCGGGATCTGGGCGTCCGAGGTCCAGGCGGGGTACGGCTCACGCGAGCGTTGGCCGGCGGGGAGCACATTGCCATAGTCCATGCCGTAGTTGGGCGTGGAGGCACCCGACGACCGGTTGCCGCCGTACGAGATCTGGGAGGAGGGCGGGCGGTAGCCACGGCTGCCCATCTGACCATCGTTATAGCCGTGGTACTGCTCGTCGCCCCGGCCGTAGTAGTCCATGTCCGTAGCACGGGCCATATCGGACCTCATGGTGAAGTCGCTAAAGGTCTCGGAATCTTCTTCCGAGCCGCCCCGATGGCGGCCACCGTTGCCATAGCCGCCTTGGTCGTAGCCCTGATCATAGTAGCCATCATTATAATACTCATTTTGGTACTGATCATGCCCGTCATAGTAGCCACCGTCGTGGTGGTACGGGTTGTTGGCGTCGGCATTGTAGTATCCCCTAGGCGAAAGCAATGCGAAGTTAGCAACAAGTGTCCTACTAGTTCTTGTCCGATGAACAAGTGAAAGCGTGGAGACCTACGATTCATCGTAGTAACCATCGCCGCCGCCATTGTGCCCAGCGCGGCCATCGTAGCCATTCTGGTCATAATACTGTTGCTGGTGGTCGTCTTGGTAGTAAGAATCGGTGTTGCCGCCACCTGGACGGCCGTAGCCGTCATCATAGTCGTGATGGCCTTGCTGGCCCTGGCCCTGGCCTTGGTAACCAGACATGATGAGATGGCTAGACAATCAAGAGTCGTTAGCAGGCCGTTGCGTCGCGTTCTCGCAAGGGCGGTCCCTCGGCCTTGGATAGACTGACCTGTTTAATCAATCATGTAGATAAAACGAGAGCGATGACGAGACGTCGACTGAATTGATGTGATCGGCCAGTTGGTCCTTTGTGTCCTCCTAGATCTGGGGGATGCGGCAGCAAATGGTCTCGATGCTCAGCGACGGACCGGCGACGCAAGACACAATCGATACTCGGGCAGGATTTGAGATGTGTCTGACTGGGAGCTCAGGAGACTAGAACAACCGAGTTGTCGCTCTGGGAAAATGAACCGTCGGGCGACAGGTACTATCGACGACCCTAAGGGTTGTTGGCAGATCGGCGTGATTGCTGTAGTCTTTTTGTTTTGTTTTGTTTTTTGCTTTCTTTATCAAACGATGGACTCGAGGAAGGGAGGTATCCTCAAAACGACCAAGCTGATGCCCGCTCAGGCTATCGCCTTGTCCTCGTGCTCGTCCGGGTCCCGGGGGAGCAGTGACTGAGGCAGGTAGGCGAGCAAACGACGGAGACAGTCAAGAACGAGAAACTGTCCCTCCTATCAATGGCGACGCACCCGCGATGTCGTTGCCGATGAAATGAGAGAAACAAGAGGAAAAGGAAGGGGAGTTTCAGGAGCGAGCGTAGTGGAGGGAGTGTGAGAAGAGAAAAAGAGAGGCAGGTAGGAATTCTCGAAAGGGAGAAACAGGTACCTGGCAGGATGAACGGGACTTGGATGAACAAGCACCAGATTGGCTCAGGTGGTTAGGGGGGGTGGGAGAGGATCAGTGGAGGGAGGCGACACTGCGAGCGGCGGGCTCTATTTTGGTTTGGTGGTGGTATGAGGGAAAGGGGAAGGGGAAAAAAAAAGGGAGGCAGTCAGTGGTTGGAGTGCCAGTGAGCACTGCGTGGAGGTACCTTCAATAAACGTGTGCGCGCTCTGTGTTTTCAAGTACCCTCCCTCCCTTTTTCTTTTCTCTCTCAGGAATTGGGAATGGGAGTGCACTGCTAGGAGGTACCTAGAGCCAACACAGCACACTGTGCATTGGAGCCCTGTTTCGTGATGGTCGGAAAACTGGGGTGGGGGTAAGGGAAGATTGCTCCGCCGCCATGGTCCATCCACTCTTTGGAACTACGGAGTACGTACAAAGGACCTGCCTCGATTGATGGCCTGATAGGTACTACCAAGGGAGGCAGGCAGTGGGTGGAGAGATGGTGCTTACACGGTGTCTATCTACGGGTAAATACGAGCACATACTGTCTATCAGCAAAATCCTACACCAACACGCAACGCGCAAACGCTACCACCGAGACCATTGCTGCTGAGCGTGCTGCTTTAGTCCAGAAAGTACCCCACAGGCGCAAACGCGGCGCGATTCTAAAGCGGCGACGACCGATGCCTCTAACAGGAGCGAGGTATGCAGTCAGGAACCGGGACGAGGCACGCGTTGCTCACCATTCAGTGTCAGCTCCCCCCTGAAAAGCCTGTCTTGACCCCTGGAGCCGGCGCTGAAAAGAGCGGGCCCCGGCGCAGGCGGGACGCCAGTGATTTGCTGGCCGCCGCTGGGCGGGGCGCCCTGAGGAGAACGGGTCGAATCCGCCGCCACTGCGTAAGTAACCGCTAGATACCTACAAGTACGTACCCGCTCGGAAGGCAGAAGCACATTGGATGCTTGACAAGAATCACCGGCCTTTCAATGAATCCCCCAAGTCCATTCAGGGCCGTTCTGCTCGTCGGCGGCATCAGAGTAAACGCAAAATGCTTCATGCTTCTCAACAATCCTGTATTATCTCAAGGGTGCTACCCAGAAGGTACCTTATATCCGGGTGTGCCGGAGGCACTACTTGGGTGCTGGCTTCAAAGCATCAAACTGAAGGGCGGCTGAATGGCATGGCATACCTCAAGTCCTCCAGGGAGGCTCTCGGGCAACCAGTCGCATTCCTCACGTCTGAGTGTGCAAGGTCCGTACGAGGGTCCACCTGTAGTCACTCATCGCTAGGTACCTACCTAGGTACTTTGCGCAGTGCCCCGCCCTGGCCCAAAGTCAATCGCCACCTCAGCCACGACAGATCCCCTCACTACCAGGTCTGGAAAGCCAAAGTAACTATCCAACGTACCTACCTACCTACCTTAGGTACGCCTAGATAGGTACAAGGAGTAGCAGCTGGTCCTATGTGAGTGCTCATTCCAGATGGTACTTACGAAAGTCAGGCCAGTACCATAGGTAGCCAACCTCGTGGCCCGGCAAGTTCGCAAATTGCACATGCAGGATTTGGACACCATGACGACGATTTTTGCAGGGAAGCAATCTGTACCTGAGACGGGCAGGTGGAAAACAGGTTTGAGATGCAGCCATCCCTGCTGCACCCAACACGACTCTGAAGAGTACTTTGGGATTTATTAACACCGGCTTTATGCTGTTCCTCGGGGCGGAATTAGAATCAAGTGCGTAGTTATTTGCTTGAAAAGGCTGTGCGGTGACGTCTGCGCTCTGCGTTCCCTGCTTTCGAGTTCCTGGGCTTGCCGTTGCAGAGTGTAGGGTGATTGATGGCAATCGCTTCTTGGGAACTCTACGAAGTACCTGTCAAGAGGTCGAGTTTTCCCTTCGAGGCGGGCATGGACTTTGGGAATGGCGTCTCGGGGTGGATTTTGGGCCCTTTTCGATGCTGCACAATCCAAAAGCGCCATCCAGCACAATTGGTGTGGAAGGTGGGTAGGTATTCCGTACCTCCATGTCACTACCTCCGGACACACAGTACGGAGTACAGATAGCCTGTGCACAGCGCGTGTCGGGCCCATAGGGTTCTATTTAGGGAATGATGGGATAAAAACCCCAACGAAGTTCTCTGGACCGGACCATCAAGACGCCACAACTTCGTGACGGCCAACACCCATGTCTACATATCTATGTAGTTGGGACCATCAGCATGTCGCCCAGACTTGACAAGCTTCGTGCCCCGAACTGCCATATTGGGCGGGCTGACCACATCTCCTGACCAGAAAACGTCCCTCAGCACAGCAACGGGATTCCCAAAGGTACATGGCCATGATTCCGGAAAGTTGCAAGACAGGAAGAACAGCAATGGGGTGAAACAATTCAGCAATGCAGCATGGCTGTCCATCCCCATGGCTCAAGCTTGTGTGTGCTGAAGGAAGAAAAAAATTCACACAGGATATCCAGCTAGGAGCCTTTTGAGCGGAGACGTGCCGATCAAATCGGCGTGGATCACGATCGCCCTGGTGGAGGCGCGGTAACTTTGTTCAAAGGAAAATGAGAGTGCGCGGTCAATGCCGTTGGTACTTTCTATCATAGCGGTAGCAGAACTTTAACGGTCCTGGGTATCCACCCGTCGATGAAGGCTTTTTTTTCTTCTTTTTCTTCGAGAAAAAAGAACCAGTTCTGGTTTCCATTTGAGTTTGAGTTGCTCTACAGTGGCTGAGTGGATAGCCTTGAGCTTGCTGAATATCGGTCTAATTGCGATTTACAAACAGTCAATTCAAATTCAATGAGAGTCCATATACCGAGATGAACATGGGGGCATTGACAGGGGATGGATGGCTTTTGACATTCTGTAAATCACCAGTATGGTCAGCAGTACCTACTTACCTTAGCTTGCTAGGTAGGTAAGTGCCCGTGGCTTGGGTGCCTTTGTAGGTAGCAAGCTGTGCGTGTGGCTCGACTTAGGTAAGCATGTGCGCAGTGCAGAGTTGCCGTGCCAACAGCCCGCCCCGTATTGACATTTCATCACCAAGACAGGTACTTGTAAGTATTACATACCTTACTCATTGATCCTATCTTGCAGCCGTCCAAGCAGCCGCATAGTTGTCGACCTAGTGCTCACTGCCATCAAGTCCACGGTCAGGCCTTTGACTCGGGCGACAGACAGACATACCATGGCCAGGTTACGGCAACATCACGGAGAAGATGGAGATGACGGACCTGGCTCCGGTGCTGCAATGGGCACCAGGCCAAAGCCGCTCCATGAGCTGTCGTCGGCCCAGAAGAAAGACCAACGCGGGGTCCGGCGGAGACGGAAGCTGGGTCAAATCAGCGACAATGCTCTCCTGCGCCCCTGGGCCTCGGGCGACACTCGTCAAGAGCGGGCAGGGCCTAGTCTGGATCTACCGCCTAGCAAGCCCTCGAGGGAGATCTCTGTGGCGTTGAGGTCCAGGATACGTCGCAATGAGGCAAGCACTGAGAAATACAGCAGTCCAAAAGGCCAGCAAGACGCCGACATTTCCGGCTGGCAAGACGATTCCGACGACCAGTATTCGGAATACTGCAGCTCACCCAGCGCGAGTACCTACGATACTGAAGACGACTCAATCGTGTCCATGTCCAAGTCCAACACAACACGCTCACACACCCGTATCAGATCGGTCGCTCCACCAAAAAGCAGTGTGAAGGAGGAGGAGAGGATGCAGATCACCCGCGCAGCGCAAGAGGCATTACAGGATGCCATTCGTGACAGGTCGGCAAGCCCCGGGGCGCCCGACCAGTCGCAGGGTGACTCCCAGCCGTCTTGCAGTGACAGCGCCAGCGACCATGGGCCCGATGAGCCAAGCGACGTCTTCTTCTCCGCGGACGAGGCCTTGACAGGCCGCTCTTCGAGCCCGGTGAGGTGAGTAGGCCACACCGTAATCAGGTTTCGTAGCCACCAGCTAACCAGTTGCTTGGGTTAAAGACCGACAGATCGGGAGGAGGATGCGTCTGACCGGCCTCGACCGGCCACGCCATGCGAGGATCTCGGCCCAACTCACCGGGGGCTCGTGTCCCCGACCAAGAAGCTGCCGCGGATCCCCAAGACGCCGCACCGTCCCAGCATGGACGTCTTCTGGGACCAGGATCAGGTCGACGGCTGGAACCTCGAGCACTCGCCGCGGAAGCTCTTCCAGCCAACGTCGCAAGGAGGCCGATCCGCCCCGAGCCCGAAGAAGGCGGCGCCCAAGCGCCAGACAAAGGCCTCGTTCAACAGCAGGAAGCATGCAATCGCCGACGAGTTCTTGCAGGAGCTGGACGACCGCATTACGGGAGGGCAGCTTCGGGACCTGGCGAGGCCGACGGGCGGCGTCAAGATTGTATGGAGCAACCGGCTCAACACCACGGCCGGGCGCGCCAACTGGAAGCGAGAGACGGTGCGAACGCGGACAGGCAGTGCCGATAGTGACACGGCCGTCCAGCACAGGCACCACGCCTCGATCGAGCTGGCCGAAAAGGTGATTGATGACGAGAACAGGCTGCTCAACGTCATTGCACACGAGTTTTGTCACCTGGCCAATTTCATGGTGTCCGGCATCGCCACCAACCCCCACGGCAAGGAGTTCAAGGTGTGGGCTCGGAAATGTTCGCAAGCATTCGGCGACAGGGGCATCCAGGTGACTACGAAGCACTCGTACGAGATCGACTTCAAGTACACGTGGGAGTGCACAGAGTGCGGCATGGAGTTCAAGCGCCATTCCAAGAGCATCGACCCGTCGCGGCATCGGTGCGGCTCGTGCAAGAGTCTGCTGAAGCAGACGAAGCCAGTGCCCAGGGGCACGGGGAAGCCAAGCGAATACCAGGCGTTTGTCAAGGAGCAGATGAAGATAGTCAAGGCAGAGAACCCGGCGAGTCCTCAAAAGGAGATACTACGGCTCGTGGCTAGCAGGTGGAGCGCCGAGACCAGGACAAAGCGCACCCTTGTCGCGCCGAGCACGACGGGCGAAGATATGGACAACATCACGACTAACCTCGCCGACCTCGCTATAGACAAGACGGCCTGAGGAGGAGTGGCTGCTGTTTAATTTTTGAGAAACCAAATGATACCCAGCGGGCCCCGCGCTTTTTCATATCGTTCATTACATGTCATGTCTGTTGGTCTGTATCTGAAGTGTGAGAATTCACGAACCATCTGCGTGCTCCCACACTACCCGCCCAGCTTCACGGCGCCGGGGGATACCGCATCCCAGCGACTCCGGGTGGTCTCGTCAGACCTCGTTGAAAAGATTCCAATCGTTGACGCGGAAAGTGTCCCAGATCTTTGCCGCGAACTCGACGGCGTCCCCGATGAGTTGTCCTTGCTTGCCCAGCTCCAGGTCCACCTCCTCCTCATCGTACTCGCCCTTGATGTGCGGGACGTTGATGGTGACCAGGATGTCAGTCGACTCCTTCTCGAGGCGTAGCAGCGTCAGGATGATGGCTGTGAAGTCGGGCGAAGACGTCGCGTCCTTGCCCGGGTCGGGCTTGGGGGTCTGCGTGGCTATCAAGGTGTAGGCAGGAATGTCTTCACTGCGGCGCGCGGGCGGGCGGAAAGCAAGAGCCCAGGTCGTTAGTAGGAACTGCCCCCTTGGAGAAGAAGGGATGGGGTCCGACCTACTCGAGACGAGAGAACTGCGTGTCCGTGGTGTTCCAGACCTTGGTCGTCTCGACGTCGGAGCCGACGAGGTCCTCGAGGTGTGTGGTGAGCGCCCTCCCGTCGATCTCGGCGCTGCTTCCCGAGGGACCGACCCGCTCGCATATCTCAAAGATGATGCTCGTGAAGCCGTCCTTGTCGATATAGACCTCCTGGTTGTCGGGCACCTGGCGCAACTTGCTGGGTATAGGAGTGAGTGGACCGTTTGCGAACCGACTGCATTGAGACGACGACGACGACGAGGCTCGGGCCCGGGGGGAAGCAGTAGACCTACCTGACATCGGCAAAGTTGTCGGGCAGCTCGACCGACAGCGCGCCTCCGAACAACGGGGTGTTTCTGTAAATGGTCATCACTGCGTGTCTCGTGCGTAGGGTGCTTGGTCACGGCCGGCTGACGCTCGCGCCTGGAACAAAATGGTGACAAGCTGTGGAGAAAGAGGTGCGGGGGAGGTGTTGGTCCAGCGAGAAGGCCTCGGAGACGGGCGCTGAGAGAGTCGGAGGCAGCTCGTAAAGACGTCTGGAGGTTCACAGTGTTGCAGAGGAGGGGGCGCCGGACTCGATGCTTTGTATGCTCTCTCGGGATATCGTCAGGGTCGATAGTTGGAGCCTGACACGGCCTCGCCGTTTTGGAGCTGGCTGTGACGTACCAGGCTGGGCGGGCTGGATAAGGAGGGGCAGCCCCGCCCACTTCCCATCTGCCAGCCGTATGAATACACGTCAATAATTATGTACTTGTACTCGACTCCTACTTTTCATGAGCCTTGTCCATTGCTTGTCCGAGGTTGGGACAGCAATTTGAAACAAAATAGCACGCGTTGGTGTCTCGGGGCAATTCTTTGTATTTAATTTGACTACAGTGGTATTGGGTTAACCTCTACGCGATAGTCTGGTAGGCAAAGCTAAGAACATGCATGTTCTGGTAGACGCGTCAAACTCGCAGGGAAAGGAGACCTGGGACTCTTGTTGTATTCGGTACCTCTCCTGTGTCTCTCTGGCTTTCAGGCATGGACAATAAGGTGAGGTACCTAGGTAGGTAGTCCCAGCGCTGGCGGCTGCGTGTTGCTGCAACCATGGGCGGCCTCTGGGTCTGTCGAACGGCTCACAGTCGGTCGATCCAAGCTGCAGCTGTTGGAAGCACGAGAGTGTCAGGTTGGGTGGGCTCTATGTTGATGCTGCAGGTGGGCTTCTGTAGTACCTGGAATTACCCCGGAACACCAAGAACTGAGGGATATGACCTGCGAAGCACCAGCTGCTCGTGGGCGGGCAGGCATGCCGATATTCACGTTTATATATATATATAAGGATCTCACTACCTTGGCTCGTACGGGATTCACAGGAGTCGGACCTCAGACAACAACATTTCTTCTTTCGATAGCAAAGGAAGTGGACTTGGAGCTGCTTGGATCGAGGTCGTGTTTAAGACCACCCACGATGAGCACCGCGACGTGTGAGAGGAGCACAAATTACATTTATATATAAGTGTCAAGTGTTAGAAGTATAGAAAAAAAATAACCGGAAGCAAATAACCCAGGAAAGTCTGCACAGGTATGACCACTCCATGGTTGCCCATGGGATACGAACAACACCGTCCATTGATAAATAACAAGTTTAAAAAAAAAAATACCGGACACCACCACCCCGAGCTCGTACGTTGTCATCCACACGCCGAACGATAATCAAATGTCTGCTTTCTGCCTGCGCAAGAGTGGTCTAGTCACACAAAGTCCGTCCTGTATACCATCCTATACTGTCGTAATGCTGTTTCCTCTGTCGTGTCCTCCTCAGCGATAGGAGCGGGTGCTTCTGCGGCTGCCGACGCAGCTGATGCTGTCGCTGGGCGCCACGCTCCCCGCGTCGTCATCCCAGTCCGCATGGCTGCTGCCGACGCCGCTCGGCGGGAGCGGGACGCGGTGTGCCGAGGCCTCGCTCGGCGGCAGGGCGACGTGCCGAGCCGACACGTAGCTCCGGGCGCGATCCAGCCCCGGGCGGTGCATGCTCGCCGACGACGCGGCTGGGACCTTGACGGTGGCTGTGGTCGCGCGGCTCCCGGCGCGCGAGCGGGGCGGAGCAGTCGACGGCGGCATGGTCTGCGCCGTCGGCGCGGGGGGCCGGACCGTGCTCGAGGAGCGGCGACTCCTGGCCGACACGTAACTCTCCCGGTCGGCGGCCGTGTCGTACGAGCTGCGGCGGGTCGAGTGCACGGAGCGCGGCGGCTGGGCGGCGCTGTGCTTGGAGCTCGCGTAGCTGCGATGGTCAGCCTCGGTGAGGAGCAGAGGCTCGCGCCCGCTGGGCGCTTCGCTCCTGGTGCGGACAGAGGGGCTCGGGTTGGCCCGGTACCGCACCGAGGAGTGCCGGCTGCGGCCGTCGTCGGCGGCGGCGGCGGCGCCAAGGTCCTCGACGCCCTGGTATCTCGACGGCTCGACCTGGCTGTACCGCGCGATCATGGTGGGCGGGGGCCGGCGCTCGGCGACGGGCGTGTACTCGTCGGGATAGCGGATCTTCTCGACGGTCCTCTCCACCTCGACGACGCGGTTGAGACGGTCGGGATACGGGTCCGGGAAGGTCGCCCTGCGCTGGAAGGTGGGCGCTTCGAACCCGTCTTGCGGGCCGGCACGCCCGCGGTCGTCGCTGCTCTTGATCATCGAGTAGGTCACGGCAGCGCCGGCGGCGACGCCGACCGCGGCGCCCAGGAACCCGACGACGCCGGCGGTGGTGAGGCCGCGGGAGCCCTCGCGCGGCGACGGTTTCGGGTCCAGCACCGACGTCGTGGTGACACTCCTCCTCAGGATGGTGGCGCCGGGCGCATCGTCAAAGTGGCGGCCCGGTCGCCTGGCTAGTGCCATGGCAGATTCCGCCGCCCTCGACGGAGGCGACGAGGCAGCCACGTCGTAGTTCCAGTCCATGATCCGGTTCACCTCGTCATGGGTCGACTGGGTCCTGCGCACCGTCGAGCCTCCATACTCGGCAGGGTAGGACTGGGGAGGGACATAGACCACCTCCATCCTGTTTCCGTCTAGATCCGACACTCTGGCGCGGTCGCTGCCAAGGTGGAAAGCACCCGAGCCGCCGGGTACGACGGACCCGTTGTCGAGGCCACTGTGGGGGCCGTCGGCGAGGGAGCCTGTGGTGGACAGGGAGGCTGAGGAACCGGGATAGGCTCGGAGGGCAAACGAGTAGAACTCCTTGACCACCTCGGGAGACCCGGCGCTGAGGACGATCCGGGAATGTTTCAGCGGCTGGGCGCTGCTGTGCGCGTTGACCTCGCGGAGTTGGAATACTGGCGTCTGCGCGCCGAACGTGACGGTAGGGATGCCCTGTTCGGAACCGGCTGAGAGATATCGCAGCCCTAGAGCCTGCGTGACGGCAGAGTAAAACGAGGTGGAAGATGGGAGATGGGACACCTCGAGGAACGGGAGCATCGAGTATATGAGAGGAAGTAAATACCCCAGAAGAGGTAATGTGCGACGGTCGAGCCTGGGCGCTCGATATTAAAAGAGAGGGGGCGAAGGATGGTATAGTGTGGATAGCCCGGTACGTGTGTATGTGTGACCCGGTGCAGAAAGGCCCGGATGAGGCAGTGTGACAAGGCCTTGGAGGTGGTGGGAGAGCCCAGGGGAAAAGAAGAGGAGAAGCCCGTGTCGAGGACAGGGCTCTTGTGTGTGTGTGTGTGTGTGTGTAGGGATGCCACTCAGCGGGTGGGTGGGTAGGTCGAGAATTTGGATGGCAGAGATCGGTGAGGCACAGAGTTGATGCAACACAGACACGGGTAGAGGGGGGAAAAGAGGTAGAGATGGACGCAGAGGTACAGCTCCAGGAGATCAAGTGTCTTTAAAACGCTCGGGCTCACCGCTCGCAGTGCACGCAGAGCACGCAGAGTGAGGCGGGTTGTTTGGGCTGTGAGGAGGCCAGACTGCTGTTCATCATCAAGACTTGGGTATCGACATGGGAAAGCCACGAAGCCAAGCAAGCCGTGACAAGAGACGAGGGAGTGAGCGTACGCTGACTGCTCTCTCTTGGGGTGATCTGCCCGCCCTGTGAACTCACCGAATCCACTGGATGGAGAGGATGGAGAGGATGGAGAGAGGATCCGTATCCGTCTAGTGTGTCATAATGTGTGGCTCCATCTGCTTGTACACGGAGCCTGATAGCTTCATTGTCGACAGCACATCTTGGGCCCTGCTCGATGGAGGCCGGCCAGCCAGCCAGCCACCCCTGCTGAGGGAGGACGAATGGGGCATCCATCGAGGACCTAGGTAGGTACCTTGGTGCGGGTAGCATGATGGAGCACGAAGCATGCCCAAACACGTCCCGTTCTGGGAAGCTCTTCTTCCAGACCCTGCCGCCAACCCGGGCGGTAACCGCTCAGCAGGAGAGATGTGATGCGGGCATGCAAGGTGATTGATTGGGGCGGGCCGTAATGACTCTGTGTGCGTGTGTGTGTGTGTCGCAAGGCACTCTCGAAACCCCCTCTTCGACTGGAGTGAGGTGAAGTGGTGGACTGGGTGCCACCCATCTTCCCCCCCCCCCCCCCCCTGTGTGCTGGCACACCTATCCGAGAGCCCCAAGTCTGACTGGCTCCCGTCGACTCGCCCCGCCACCCCGCGGCCCGCGCCCCGGTTTTCTCGACACTTTACACCCGTTTTACACGTCGCTCCCGCTCAACTATGCCCAGGACGAGGAAAGCGTGAAAAGGGTGTCTGTCTTTGTCGTGGCGTCCAATTCCTTCAGCTAGGCATCCGGCGGCTACCGTGCCTTGTGTGTGCGTCCCCTCCGTACAGACCCCTGGATCGAGGCAACTGGATTGGAGGCAATGAGCCCCCCAGTGGCCCCAATGACCTGTCTCTCCCGAGTCCCCGTCATCGTCATGCAGGCGGCGCACGGCGAGATTAGGTGCTCAGGCAGCCATGCATCTTCACACCGGGTGTCACGGCCTCTCGTCTGCACACACGACTTGCTACCGAGCTACCTACCTAGTCCGCAGACAGGCCGGCAGACGCGGTTGTGCACATGAGCGCAGGGTTCTCGGTAATAGCTTCTGGCTCATGCTCCTGGCCATCATCATACAGAGGGTTCGAACCGGGCTCAACGCGGGCTCAACGCTCGGGCAGGATGGTAGGTATCACACAATCTTGGGCCCAGTTCCCATACTCCGTACAGTAATGTAGTAATGTTGGCATGCATGCATGTACGACCACCTGTTGCCTGTCTGGGTGTGTCCGTCGCAGCAGCCCAAGGCCCGTGGACCAGAGACCATTGGGCTCGTGACGATCGCATGCAGCGGCCTCATCCATCTGCGGCTCTCTCGTGAGGGAGGGCATCATGTCTACACAAGTCAGGCAAAGCAAAACGGACCATGCTTGGGAAAGTGTCCCACCCTCTCAATGACTCGCTATCAGAACCGCTACAGATTTCAGTTTGGTCGTGCAACGGGTGGTTTCGACACCCACCCTCTGATTCCCACTCTGGCGAATGGCCGTGTGGTCGGCCTCGACGCGTCCTGTTGTAGCCCGCGCACCAGCTCGCAGGCATTCGCCAAGTCATGTTCACATTGCCTCCCCCCCCCCCTCCAGTTGGCTAGGTGCCTCCCGTTTCCAACGTGAAGGCATTTGTCCCGGCCCAGCGTCAAGCCAGGCGAGCGACCCATGCATATATTCCCAACCCTCTGCCGCCTTGCGGGCATGTAAAGCGAACGGATCCTCGTCGCCCTCCCCGGACGACTCCCAGCATATCGCAAAAGAATGTGTGGGTCTGGCAGGTCAGTAACAACGGCGGCGAACCGCACGAGAAGAAAGCAAAAGGAAGAGGTGGGCAGGTTGAAATGCACCACCAAGACGGCTGAAAGCGTCTTGGATCCGTTGTTGAACGCCCCCCATGTTTTGGTTGTAAAAACAGCGATAGCGTGAGCACAGACGACCCAAGTTTCCGGGAGCCTCCGGCAGACGGCCGCAATGTTGTATAGCGGCTTCTGCTCAGCGGCCCCGGCCTTTCGCCTCCAAGATGAGCAAAAAGCACACAGGCAAAGAAAGAAGCACGGCGGCCTTCTATCCCACATTTTCTCCGGCTATGATCCTCGCGCACACTCTCTCTCTCTCTCTCTTGCCATGACCATGCCACTGACCCGTCCGCGCCCGGCCTCACGAGGGTGCCACGGCAACACCAAGCGGCCTGCTTACAGAATGCCCCACGAGTCTTCGGCGGCATGGCAGAATTTGCTGCAGGCGACACTGGCCGACAGGCTGTAGTTGCTGATGGAGATCTTCTCGTCCACGAAGGCATCGGCAAAATTGTCGGCGCCCTTGGCCATGGCTCCGACAAAGACGCAGATGCTCTCGTTCTCGTCGAGCGTGTCGATGTAGTCGCGCACACGCACGACGCGCTCGTCAAAACTCAGGGTGATCTTACGGCAGTTGGGGGGGAGGTGGTCGGTGATGGGGTTCTGGATGACGCGGAGCAGCTTCTCCTGCGAGTTAGTAGAGCGGATCGAGAGGCGGTGGAGCAGCTGCACCATCAAGCCGGCGAAGCGCTTGAACGTGCGGGGGATGCGGACCGAAGGCGAGACCTCAATGAGGACGCCTTTGGCGGTCTGGATGTAGATCTGCAGCCTGCCTGCCTTGTTGATGGGCGAGTCAAGGAGGGTAAGGAGGCACTGGATGGATGCAGCAAGGGTCAGGTCAGCTATACAGATCGGGGAGCCAAGAACGGGGAGCCAAGAACGGGGAGGGGAGGAAAAGGTGAGAGGGATGGGCAGACCTGGTGCGTGATGTCAGGTCGAGCATCGCTAATGTCGCGGTTCATCTTGCGCATGACACCGATGTGCTCGTCGCTGTTGAGGAGCGAGTACTTTTCCTCGCGGTGGGCACCGAGCCGGCTCGGACCGCCGCCGTGCGAGGCCTTGTACGTCTCGAGGCTGGCATTGGAGAGGACGACGATGAGTCGCTTGGTGTCTTTGTCCGAGTGTGTGATGGGGACATGCTGCTCGGGCACCAGCTGTGGGAGGGCCGGCGGCGGGAGGGATTGTGTGCCTGGCATTTTGGGGCAAAGGGTCAGAGGACGGAGATGCCAATGAGGAGACGGAGGTGAGACGAGGGAGGAACGGGAGGAGCCCAAGGGCCTTGTTCGGCTTTGACAATGCGACTTTTGGAATAAGAATGCACACAGAGGAAGAAGGGGGCTGTCCCATCTGTGCAAGTCTTGTCGCTTGGCAAGCTGAGGTAGATTGCAGCTGCTGTTGGACACGCGAGCAGCCAAGGCCTCATCGCGTCCCGCATGTGCCTTTGCAGGCCTGCCTGGGACACCCGGACCGCACATCAATGATATGTGGTCAACCCACAACAACATAAACGACCTCTTTCACCCTCCCAATGACGAGCCATATTGCGCCCGGACGTTGCTCGATCGAATGAGAAGGAAACCTTGGGCCAAGGAGAAGAGGGTAGGTCCAGACTTACGTGGTCGTTTGCCCAAGGATGACATTGTCAGAAGGGAGCGGTGTTGGGCGGGCAGGACGAGGTGTAGGTACGGCGACAAGAGGCAGCAATTGAGCGCTCACTACCTAGAGAAATCAATCGAGTGAGATCCTTCCTTGTCTGTAGGGATTGAGGCCGGAGCAGAGATGTGAAGATGCGGTGACGAGGGAAGGGATGCTTTCGGGGGTTGGCTGGCTGACAGGAAACAGAGTCCAAAAAGTTTTCGGTAAGAGGCAGAAGCTACGCAGGGTGCTAAGGCAGCCAGCGACCTACCGCCAGCTCCCCCTCACAAGCTGATGCTCACCTCCACCTCACACCTCAAGGGCTGGTTTTTTTTTTCGTGGGCCCCTCTCCAGTCGTCGTCCCCCAATGGAAAGCCCTGCCTCTGCCGGGCGCTGGACCGAGCCATAACTATACTTGTAAAGCGCGAGCTATCCTGGAAGTAGGTAGAAGTAGGTAGTCTTGCAGTCTAGATATCCCCTCACCTGGCTGATGAACGAGCTTGCACGTGCTCTCTCTCCTTATGGGTACCTTAGTATTTTGGCCTTTATCAACCAAGCTTGATGTGAGCTTTCCAACTTCCAAGGCTTCATACTGACCTCTACCGATTCTGAGGAAACCCGACTGCAGGACCAAACCCATCGCCGCATATTATGCACTCGCTGCCGTCGGTGGATTCTCAGCTTTCTACCTAGGTATGTCTCGGGGCAGGCAAGCAAGTGAGTGAGAAAAACAAAAGCAAGAATAAAGGCATAGGTAGATTGCAACAAAAGGGGGGTTTCTCATCCCTGTGGCTGTAGCAGTCACCCAGCCTCTGTCTTGCAAAGTTCAGTCAGGTACAAGTAGTTAGTTACCCAACAATTTCTGGACAAAACAAACAGATGTGGATGTGATGCCTCTTTGGTTTTGCCTACCTTAGGTACGCAATCCAAGAGAGACAAGACAGACTGAGCCTGCGTTTCCCGACATTCAAACATGGGGGAGCTCTGCAGACTGCAGAGGACCTCGGTACCAAGCCTCTAGCGAACCCAAACCCCAGGGCTAGGTCCCGGCCTTAGTAAGCGGGGTGCAGTAATAGCACTCATACCACAGAGGTGTTCGATGAAGAAGAGACGAGAACTCGCCCGGTCTCTTCTTCTACTTATTCTACTTTTCTACTCGGTACTTATGAAAGTACCGAGGAATCTAGAAGCGCGTCAGCCATTCTCCTTTCTTCATGCTAGACTCCAGCGACCGGGTGCAGTCCACCTTAGTCAGTGGGGGAGGCCCCGGCGGCGACTGGAGCCTCCCGAGGTCCCTTGGCCACGGGCTCAGCAATTCATCCGTTCTGATCGGCGTTTCGCTTTCTGTCGGAGATCTGCCAGCCCGGCCGCAGCTTGGCCTTCAACACCAATCCCAACCTGACGGCCTTTCTCCCATGGCTTAACTCGAGTCGATAGATTACCCGTCTCGAAAGCTCAAAAATCAGCCCACTCTGCGACCAACTGGCTTTGCCGCCCTGGTCCTAGCTCGCTCACTCGAAATGAGTCTGTGGGATTCCCTGCTCCTGCGGGATGGTCAGCAGTCATCCCGCCCGGACGACTTGGCTGAGTAATGTGATGAGAAGGAGAGAAAAAAAATAAGAGAAAAAGAGGAAAAAATTACACACTTGTCCTGACTTTGCGGTTTCCCTTGGGTGAGTGCTCTGGCCATGTCGTCTGGAGTTTGGTACATCTGCCCGCGGAAAGTCGTGCGAGGGGAGATTCATCTAAAGTACCGAATGTACAGTTCGGATTTGGCACGCCCGCATCTCCAATCTCCCATCTCCTTCTCAGCCCAATGGAACGCGTTCAGACGTTTCGCCAAGAGATCTGGCTCCTTGCATAAGCACCCAGAGCTCCGGCATTCGTCATGGCATGTTTCAGACTGGCCGGCTCCCTGGGGGTTCGTACGTGCGCAGCCTGTTCCATCCCATCATCCGTCGAGACTGGAGACACGAGGACGGGGATGACGACTGCCCTGCTGGGCTTAGTATCGATCTAGTTTGACATAAGCTTAAATTTGGCAGCGCTAGGTGGTCTCTGTCCCCAACGGTGCTGTTCAATGCCGGAACTCGGGTGAACCAACGCTCTCTCTCCTCTCACATACCTAGGTAGTTACAGAGCGCGCCATGGCTTGACATCCTTTCTCCAACACTCACATCCGCCATTGCCATTGCCATTGCCATGGCCATGCCCTCACCCACGCCTCTTGAGAGATATCTTGCCCCTGCTGTGCTTGAAGGGACGCTTCTGGAAAGCAAGACATGCCAGCTGTTGGTCCGGGAAGTGACATAAGTCCTTTCCCTGGAGTCCCGAGGACCCCCGGCCAGGACAGGGAATAGGGGGCCAGCTTGCGGAGATAAATCTTCCAACCCCATGTTCCGTCTTTTCTCTGACACACGCCGCGTCTCAGACGTGGGCGTGCTTGCGTGCGCATGCCGCCTCTGCGAAGATGCACACGGACCGCTGGGCCAATGGCCAGCCAGCCTTACCAGCCTCCACGACGACCTTGCTCTCTCACTGCTCCCTCCCCTGCAGCCGGCGAGGCTAGACTCGAGCTCCCATCCGACTCGTCAGCACTCCTCTACGTGGTCATGCCTGCGCACAACTATAGCATCTCCCCGCCATGGCTCGCTCACTACCTGTCGCCGGTGTATGCCAGGCCACAAGCCCTTGATCTGAGCGGCAGGTCTACCAACGAAGAAGAGGTAATTACAAGTGTCAGTGTAGGTAAAGCTGCTCGTTTCTCAGAGATACATCTGGGATATCCATCTCTACTCCTGCTCCAGCGGCATGCACAGCAGACTCAAGGGACTGAAGAGAAAGAGAGAGAGATATTACAAATCTACGCATGACGTTGGCCGAGCTGGCTGAAAGGGAGACCTGGCCGCTTCATTCCGTTGATGGTCGCCCCCCGTCAAGCACAAACAAACAGCTCAGTTGCTGTCCTGGTCTGCCATGCACCATGCACCGTCCCTCTCCCTTCTTCTGCTCCACCTTCATCAGACGCAGCCGCCAGCTCAGCCGCTCTTCCGAGATCAGAGACGTCAAGGTAAACGTCAACGTCCTGCCGGAATCGAGACCGCGAGCCAGCCAGCCAGCCAGCCAGCCTGCCTGCCTGCCTGCCACCTGCTGCTCTGTTTCCCCATGCACCCGCAACCGCCCGGCGGCGAGGCTTCCACCCTCTCTGGCTCTTGGCACCCTGTGACGGGCACACCCTCATGTTCGGTTTCAACACCTCAATGCGTCTACGGGATCTCCCTTCCCTACGCCCTGATCTCCCAAAGCGACACTTGCCTCTGCGATCTTCGCGCCCATCACCCTCTGCCTGCCGTCTTTGCCAAGAGGGATAAAGACTCTCCTATGGCCATCCCTCTCGCCGGATTGCCTCTGCTCGCCCGTCAGAGTCCTGCGATATAACCCTCAACTCCTTGACGTCCGAGGCACCACCACCTTTCCCTCCCCTTTTCTCTCTCTTTCATTCTCCCACCACCCTCGCTTTTTAGATAGTCTTGCCAGCCAAGTCTACAGGATCACGTTGACCGTGCATCCCCCTTTCGCTCCTTATCGTCTCTTCGTGTGTTGTTGTGCGCCGTCTCTAAAGGGGATCGACCTTGCCGCCTTCGTCTTCTTTCCTTCGAGTCTCGGCACCATACATTCGTTTACTTCATCGAAGCCATGGTGTCGACGAAGCTCTTGAGCGCAGCGGCGCTCTTCTCCTTGGCTCTCGCCCAGAACAACAACAACAATAATAACAACAATGGGCAAAATGGAGGCAACAACAACAACAACAACAACAATGGGCAAAATGGAGGCAACAACAACAACAACAACAATAATAATAATGGGGGCGCGAACCAGGCACAGGGTGGAGGCGCAGACTCGACTCAGCTGCTGCCGAATGCCATCCAGACCGGATCTTTCTTCGACGGGCAGCAGGCTCTAGGCGCCAGTGACGAGCAAGTTGCTGCCGCTACCTCCAAGAACAACTTTATCAACTTTTGCGCCGGCAAGACCCTGACCAACGGCCTCCAGATCACGGATGGCTCGTGCAACGGCATTGGTAAGCTTACAGCCAACCCCCCAACCCCGAACGAGAATCGTCTTCCCGCTCGGCGTACCGGTACTAACGTGTGCGTCCCTGCAGTCATGGGCGACATCCCTGCCAAGAACAAGATGATCTCCAGCATCATCACCTTCCCCCAAGCCGGCCAGACGATCGAGAGCGGCAAGGACTTCAACATCAGCGTCCAGGTGAACGGCCTCCAGGCAGGCGCCTTCACCAACGCCGTCGCCACCTACTACTCGTCGCCCCAGACGCTCAACGGCCAGGGCAACGTCATTGGCCACACCCACGTTACCGTGCAGGACCTCGGTAAGAGCCTCAACCCGAGCACGCCTCCAGACCCCACGCAGTTTGCCTTCTTCAAGGGCATCAACGACGCCGGCAACGGCCAGGGCCTCCTGCAGGCCGTCGTCACCGGAGGCCTGCCCCCAGGACAGTTCCGCGTCTGCACCCTCACCTCGTCCTCCAACCACCAGCCCGTCATCATGCCCGTCGCCCAGCGCGGCTCCCAGGACGACTGCACCAAGTTCACCGTCAACGGCAACGACAACGACATCAACGAGGCTGCCAACAACGGCGCAAAGGGCCAAGACGCCGCCGCCCAGGCCCAGCAGGCAGTTGACCTTGGCGCCGGTGCCATCGAGAACAATGGAGGAAACCAGAACAACAACAACAATGGCGGCAACCAACAGCAGGGTGGCAACCAGGGTGGCAACCAAGGCAACCAGAACCAGGGAGGCCAGGGCAACCAGGGCCAGGGCAATCAGGGCCAGCAGGGAGGCAACCAGAGAGGCCAACAGGGAGGCCAGCAAGGAGGCCAGCAGGGAGGCAACCAGGGAGGCAACCAAGCCCAGGGCCAGCAGGGTCAGGCTCAGCAGGGCCAGCAGGGTCAGGCTCAGCAGGGCCAGGCTCAGCAGGGCCAAGCTCAGCAGGGCCAGGCCCAGGGTCAAAAAGCCCAGGCAGCCGGTGGAAACCAACAAGCGCAGCAGCAAGGACAGCAAGGACAGCAAGCCAAGGCTCAGGGCGAGCAGAAAGCAGCCGGCCAGCAAGCTCAGGGAGGACAGGCAGGCGGACAAGACAAGAACCAGGCCCAGCGTAAGCTTGCTTCCCAGCCTATGAACTCCCCAAGGACTTCGCTAACCTTTCAAACCTCTTTTACAGAGAAGGACCAGAACCAGAATGAGGGTGCCAAGAATGCCCGCCTAGCACGTCTGGCCCGTAGACGCTTCATTGCCTAGACTCCCCCCCCCCCCCTTATTTCTTCCTTCTATATTTTGCAACGTCCGGGTTGGGGATATGTACCATTTCTGCTATGGAGCAGCTTCTATTACAAAGGGACACGTCGATGTCGACGTCGACAAGGTAGAATTGTGGTATGTGGGCTCGATGAGCTGTTTGCACAGCTGGTCTGCAGATTGATGATTTCTTTTTAATATACACAACACACATATCGCTATGCCAGGGGCCTCCGAGCGCAAGAGTTGGTGACAATGTGTGCACACATCCCACGGGCGGCGCTTGTTTGCCGAGTAAGTCGGCTGATGATGGTATCAGTCGTGCGACCTAGCCTCCTCAGGGAGATTTACATAGAGTTTCAAGGATTCATGTTTGCCACCCTATGCTCTTAAATCTTTCCCTCATTGTATCTCACCAAAAAGCAGTGTTTCCCCTCTCTACCAATTGGCCAGCTCGTCTGGCTGTGCTGTCAATCACGAGGCTCCCGGGTCAAGCCCGGGCCGAGGAGTTGTCCCTTCAACTCCTTCAATATTCTTGGTCTTGTTTCAGCTTTGTAGATCCTTGTTCTCCCTGCATTTTATCACTCTGTTGTGTTTCTCCTTTCCTGGGAAGGAGAAGTCTCAAAAGTGCATTGTTGTGGCTATGCATGTGCAGTCTCTCATATTCATGGAATCAATCTTCGACTGCTGGTAATTGTGGCACTTGGCATGTTCTCTGTGACTGCTAACACAAACAGAGGAGCATTTGCAACACTGCCAACACCATAAGCACCTCAAACACGCCCACGATCTCAAAGGTAAATATTTTTGCAATTTCAAATTTTGTGCACGCTACGAGTCTGTTCAGTGGCACTGCTTCAATTGATTGATCTTGACCGCTCCGGTGCCGTATCCCTGTTCAATAAGACTCTATCCCCCAAACACCTTATCCATTCCATATAATTGTGGTAGGTAGGTAGGCAGGCAGGCCATGCCTTGCTCCCTGACTCCCTGACTCCTTACGACTGCTCCTTCTCGAGAGCCTCCAGCTCCTTGAGTACGGAGGACTTGGTGGCAATCTTCTTGATCTGAGTATCTTCGAGCTTCTCCCCACCGGCATGGCGCATCTCGAGGTCCTCGATAGCCCGGATCTTCTTTTGGAGACTGCGCATCTTCTTGGCGTTGGGGTTCTGCGCCAGCGAGGACGCATTGTCGCCGTTGACGTTGGCGCCAGCTTGGGCGGCCGGGGGCTGGGCTCCCTGGGCGCCGTCACGCTGGTGCTGGTGCCCAGGCCCGCGGGCCTGGCTATGGTCACGGTTCCGGTGGGTGTTGCTCCGGTTGCGGCCGCCGTGCATGTTATTGCGCGACTGGCTTCGCGAATGGTGGTGCCCACGACGCTCGGGGCTGCGCCCCTCGTGGCCCGAGCCGTTGCCAAAGTCGCGCGGCGGGGGTGCCAAGCCTCCGTTGTCACCGCCCGCACCGGCGTTGCCTTCAGAGTCCTTCGCCTTCTTGTTGCCACGCTTCTTCTTGTTCTTGAGGGCCGCCTTGGACAAGTTCTCATTGCCATCGGCGGGCTCCGCGCCGGGGACGGCCGAGGCTGCTCCTGGTACGCTGGCCGGCTCAGCGAATTCGGCGCCGGGAATCGCTCTACGTGTCCGGCCGAATCCGTTGGGGCCAATGTTTGGCAGACCGTTGCTCATCACGTGGGCGGCACCACCCTCGTCCTCGCGCTTGAAGTGGAGGGGCGTGAGGGCACCACGAGCGCCGGGAGGACGATAAGCGCCGGCCGGCTTTGAGGGAGTCTTGATGGTGCCGAGATACGCCAGGGCCGAGCTGTGCGGTGTCGGCACCGGGTGCATGGGGTCGGCCTGACTGTTGATCTGGTCGGCCGGGATGGGTCGCCAGAGGACATTGTACAACTCGACCATATCCTCGTTGTACATGATGCCGCCTCCGACATGCCACAACTTGACGCCGTTGTCGACGCGCAGGCGCGGCGAGGTCGTGGCGGTCATGATGTAGCGGCTGTCGGGGCTCCACTGGCAGACACTGGGGTTGCCGCTTTCGATAGTGCAGATCTTCTTGTAGTCCTTTTCCAAGTCGTACACATCGATCTGGCCGGCCAAGTTACCAAAGCCGGCGACAAGCACGAAACGTCCGGTGGGCGAGAAGATGATGGTGTTGCGCGGCCCGATAGGGAACGAGTGCTGGGCGACCGCACGGTGGTTGAAGATGGTCGTCTTGGCCGGCATGTAGCCATAGATGACACCAAACTCCCTCGAGTTTGGCGACCACGAGACATCGTGGATGGGCCCCTCCTTGTCGAGAGAGACGCGGGCGTCGAAGCCTCCGCTGGCACTGAGCAGGTAGAGCGTCGTCTCTCCGTAGTAACTCTTGTTGGACTTGTCGACATCGGTCTGAGCCAGCACGATCAGGCTCGAACCCTGCGCGTTCCACTTCAACTGCACTTTATCACCCTTGAAAAAGGTCTTCTGCGAGACGGGCGAGGTGAACTGAGGCACGTTGAACACCTTCACTGCGGCGGGTTGACCCTAGACAACTGAGCATTAGTCTCGCTCCTGACCAGAGGAAGCGGGGTTGGTCTGCTTACCTTGCGCTCGGGGACAAAGACAGCAACTGAATGTGTTCGTCCAGGGGCAACGGCGAAATTGGTGACTCCCTCGACCCTCAGCTTGTTCCACACCGTCCTGAGGTCACCGCTCTCGTAGAACTGGACCTCGTTTGTCACGAGCCGGGCACAGAACGCCTCGTCATCGGTGTACTGCAGGTTCCAGCCCGACTGCGATTTCTGGACGAACTGGCCATGGGGTTGCTTCTCGGCGCCCTCTGGCAGGTCCTCGACGGTGCGCCAGACCTTGAAGTTCTTGGTGGCATCGCCGGCCTCGTCCTTGGCCGGCCTTTCCCAGGTGCTGAGATAGGTCCCGCGCGGCGAGAAGCCCAGCTCAAAGACATTGGGGATGACGAGAGACGTCAGGACAGAGCCGATGGAGGCATCGACGACGCAGACCACTTCGTTGGTCGCCCAAGCAAAGTAACGTCCGCAGGGAGAATAGATACAGCACCGAAGGTTGCCCTCAGGCTTGGCGAAGCCAGCAAGAGCCTGATAGACGGGATCGGCGTCAAAGACGCCGATGGCCTTCTGGGTTCGGTACGCAAACTGGAGCGGGCTGGCCATGACTAGTTAAAGTCACAGATGTTATCGCAGCGGCGCGTAAACTCTTCAATGATAAACAACGTTCTGGAAAGTGAGATCCTTGCGGCCTCCTCGGGTCTCTTGGCAGTCAAGTACGGTCTTCTCGCGGGAGGGTCGTCTGCCGGTTTGCCACCTTTCGAGGAGAATGTCGAGGGAGATCGGCGGGGCAGGCAGGTCTGGGGAGCGACGACAAGTATCTTGTGGCTGGCTGGAGATGGGTGCAGAGCGGGAGATGGCTGTCGGTCGACGCTGGTGACGGCGGACGGACGGTGACTCTGGGCTGCACGTGCGAGATGGGGTGCGCGCGACTCAGGCTTTGGCGTGACGAGGACAAAGGCACTCGAAGAGGGGCGGATGAGATGGGTTCAAGGATGGAGAACGGTGAGTAGGAAAAGAAGAGAAATTGACAGGCGCACCCTGGGGACAGGATTGACGGCGCGGAGCGTGTTGCGACCTGGTGGTGGAGCTCGAAGGAGGGAGGGGAGACGGGGAAGGGAAAAGGGAAGAAGAGAAAGTCGGTGTCGTGATTATTTTTTTCTGGTTCCTTTTTTTTCGTTGTTTGAGAATTTGCCTAGGGATGCCCCACGTTAAGGCTGCGCCAGCCAGCCAGCCAGCCAGCCAGCCGAGTGACGCCCAAGGCACTCTCTCACTCGTCACTCCAGGTACCCGAGCACCTCCCTAGGCTCAGTTGGGTTGGGTGGTCTGGCCCCTTCGGCAGTGGATGGCATTCCCCTAGAAATCCGCTATCCCATCGGCAGCGCGTACCTAGGTAGGTACCTCCAGGGCACGAGGGCTAGACCGTCTTGGCCCAGCTCGGGCCCATTCATACTTCACATGCATGTTTGTAGGTACTTGTGGCTGACTAACCATGGCAACGACAATCCATTTACTCGGCCATTTCAACTACATTCTCCAGTCGGACTTGAGCAGTTTGTATAGACTCGAGCTCACCATCCTTTGCCCGGGTCTGACGGGATTCATCGTCGATCCAGTTACTAGCACAGATACCTAGGTTGTTTGATCTTTTGCTTGGCTCGAAAGCTCCTTTCTGACCTGCATGTAGCTGCAAATAGCAATAGGATGCGTGCTACCCAGACTTATACGTCTGCAAGAAACTCTACAGCCTTCCATGCATCACATCTGGCAATATCAGAGCCCCAGTGCATAATGACAGGTGAAGGTGTCCACATGCAATGTTTTTGGTCTTGTGGCTCACAGGAATCACAATGCCTATGAAATATGTCAGTTGGAAGTGCTCCGTCATCTGCTTGGAGGTACAATGACGCATGCCAATGGATGCGCTGAGAATCTGAGGTAGCGTCTCAAAGAGAAATCACCTCTGGGTCACTTTCGTCTCAGTCCTGAGTTGCCTGCAAGCCAAATCTCGCGGCGACTCACCTGCCTGCTCGGTTAAATTTTCTATCTTGCGGTGCAGGGGACCTCACTAGAAATATCCTCACACCGAACACCGTTTTGAGGCAACAGACCTCGCGCCAGGCTCACTTCAATCCTCTGGCACTAAAAAAAAACAAAAGCCCTTGGTGAGGAGAGCCTCAAGGTAAATAGTGAGTAGGCTGTCTGCCATATTTCCTCCTCTCTTATCCACTCTCAAATCTCGTATCAAGACACTGACAGGACCACATGGAATTTCCAGACCAGACACAGCAGCAGGAGAGCTAAGGAAGGGCAAAAATAAGAGAGCCCCTTCTATCAAATCCCCAGCTCTATAGTGTCAGACTCACAACAGCCTGTATCTACTTTCACGACATATCTTGATACCTCGCACATCATGCCGTCTCACCGGAGACTGTTCAACAACTTCATGGCCCGCGTCGACGGAAGCGGCTCTGCACAGCAGTCCAGGGCCGAGGACCGGCAGGACAGCCCGGCTTCGGGCCAGCAAGTCGGCATTTATGCGGGTCTGCCAGAGGCACAAGCTGCCGGAAGCAGCGCCGAGTTACCTAGTACGTTCCGGAATGCGGCCTATGCACCTTGGAAAATCAAAATCAACCAATCGTTGCCTAATCACCCCCTTCTACTCCCTCCTCATCATTCTGGGCCCCTCCTAATCCCTGGGACTGACCTTTTCTTTCAGCTTCTGATGACCTCGCTCTCAAAGACACCAGTCTCCTCAAGCCCTCCTCTTCTGGCCTCGACTCGACGTCCACCGGCTCCGAGGAAGACATCGAGGACTTCCCGACTCCATTCCAATCATCGACTGACCAGTTCGGACTTGCCCAGCAAGCTCTGATCCAATTTCTTCGCAGCTACCGGCCCACCCCCGCCAAATCTGATCGCGCCGGTACCATGGACAACCAGACGATGGGCCAAGATTCGGCCGATGGCATGCCATCAGCCAGCTCGCTCTCCGATACCAGCATCATCCTCTCTGAGGAGGATCATATGCTGGACATGGTTTATGTGAGGCCGCGCAAACACCAGTTCAACGAGCTCCTTCGCCGAGTCACCGAGTTCAAAAAGGGCATCCAGATGACAGATGCCGCTGGCAACATCAGCTACCATGCTTGCAACGTGAGTGATCATCCCCTCCCCCCATGTCCTTGCTTGTCAAATGATTCTCTCCCACTTTTCTCTCACTCTGAAATTCTATGCGTTTGATGAACATCTTCCGCGACACTCTTGAGTCCCCTTCTCGCGTCCTTTGTGAGATACAAAATTGCTAACATGAGAACTCGCTCCAAGTGGGAGGCTGGAAATCCCTCGGACGGAGCCGTAGCTCCCCTGATCAACCAGATCCAGGACATGGGCAAGGAGGACCTCCTCATGCTCGCCAAGAACCTCATCGACAGCAACCCTTGGATGCAGCTGCACGACTTCCCCTACACCCGCTGGAACAAGACCAGCCACATGGGCACCATCCTCTCCCAGGGAAACGAGAAGAGCATCTACGTCGAGTTCCAGTACAAGCGCATCTCTGGTGCCGACTACACCCTCGGCTACGCCTGCTCGTACGAGCCGGGCCGCGTCCTGGCCAAGCTCAAGGACATCCCCATCGTCACTGAGGACGACGACAACGACTGCAACAACGACGACGACATGACCGGCATCAAGCAAGAGCCATCCGCCACCAACGAGGAGACCGTCGACACAAAGGGCAAAGGCGTCGACCGTTCCTCTCCTCCCCCGGCTGGCCCGACTCGCGTCCTCAGCCTGAACCTCAAGGATGATCCCGAGGCCGAGAAGGCTCCGGCTTCCGACGAGGCTGCTGCTGCTGCTGCAGCAGCCGCCAAGGCAGCGGCCGCCGAAGGCGAGCGCATCAAGAAGTCCTGGGTCTACATCGTCCGCGCGATCGCCATCCCCGCGCCTCCCGGTTCGTACTTCAACGCCTTCACGGGCCCGCCCATCCCCGACCGCCGCTACACCCTCCTCGGCGAGGGCGGCTGGGTCGTCCCGCCCCTCGAGGAGCGCGAGGCCCTGCGCAAGAAGCGTGCCAGCGAGTACGCGCCGCTCAAGCAGCCGGGCTACAAGCGCACCCGCCTGCACTCGGACGTGGCCGCGCCCGCCGTCCCCGACCGCTCGGACTGGCTGCCGGGCCCCATCTCGTTCGGCTCCGACCCCGAGGTCTGGCTCGAGGTGGCGGACCCGTGCAAGGAGGACGTCTACTGGCTCATCTGGAACCTGCTGGCGGGCAAGCAGTACCGGGGCTTCCGCTGCGGCGTCGGCTTCGGCCTCAACCGCGACGACCCCGGCACAGACGAGTTCCGCCGCCTGGTGGCCGAGAAGAACCCCTTCACCTCGCCGTCCATGGCTGCGCGCACCCATTCGGCAAACTGCTAAATGTCTGTCTGGCAGATCATCAAGTACCGCCCTATCTGTGGACGGTTTGTGGTTGGGGTGGACGTGGATTTGCATCGTTGTGCTCAAAATACGGGCCTTCCTGGGATTGATCTTCCGTCTCGGAAGATATGACTTTAACACTGCAACAAAAGAGGTTACTACAAGACAAAAACTGGCAACGCCTGTTATTCCATTTTTGACAGAGAAGTTGATGTGGCTTTTGTCTGAGGCTGCTTCTTCGTGGCACACAGAGTTTTCACTACTTATAAATGGTAGAGCACATAACTACAATTGAAGGATGCAACTTATCATAACGATTGAAACCCCGATGTGATTGAGAGAGTCGCCAAGAGCAGGTGAATGTTAGGGCTTCTTAACATGTATTGTCCGCAATTATTATATTTTCTCTCCCTAGGCAGATAGTGATGATGTCTTCACCTACCCGTTCCTTCACACAGGGACTCGCTCGAGTAGTGGTAGCCTAAATGATCCCACAGAGGTGTGTTGTAACTGGCTCAACTATCCTACGGCTCCTAGATTGAGACACCTGCTGGCAAGCGTCGCCTAAATCTCCAATGTCATCATGTCTGTGTATGTAGCTCATGGGAAACGTAGCTCGTTCTGGAGCTCGTGTGGTAAAGCAAAGATGCAGCAAACCCCAACCAACCATACTATAGCTATGCAGGAAAGCAAAGTGAAATAAGGTGCGAGCGAGTGACAAAAGAGGCCGTCTCAAGAGTCGAATGAGACCCATTCCCGAGCCGTCTATAATCGTGTGCCATAATCATGGCCCGGAAGTAAGACCATTCTTACGAGGAGGCTTTGACGTCTCCCAAGATATCCCGCATGTCCCACTCTGCTCTTTGAGCCTTCTCTAGAACCGCCTTGCCCTTGGCTGAGAGCTCCGGCTTGCCCCCGTTCCCCGTCACCTGCTCGAAAAAGACGGGTTTCCAGACCTCGCCAGTCTGCTCGCGGTGTCTTGCCTTCTCTCGCTGTCGCTCTTCAAGCTCCTGCTTAACCGTAGTCGCACGAGAGAATTGCTTGGCGAGAATGGCCTCCGTGACACCACCCCAGAGGCGCAGAGATTCGTTCTCCAACTGTTTGTCCTTGGGCGGGAGGGACTTGGGTGCGACACTGAGAGGCCCAATGTCGATGATGGTGATTTGCTCCTCGGGCGGGTGAGAGTCCTAGCACGCTATCAGCTTCCGCGATTTGCAAAGGGGACGCCGAAACCGGCGAGTGTGGCACTTACTATAGGTTTGGGCCCAAGGGTGAAAACCACCTTGTCTTTCCACACTCCGCCAAGGCGAACAAGAATGTCCTCCTCGGGGACATCACGGATGCGAGATTTGTCGTCGTTGTCCGGATCGTACCGAAATATTATGCCTTCGACTTTGTTGGTCGAACGACCCAGCCAGCCGTCATCGTAATAATGGAGGATAGCCTTGAGCTTCGTCTCTGGGCAGGTAATGAACGCCATGTCGCCTACTGAGACGCTCAGGGCGCCGCGCAAGATGCCGCCAAGGTGAGCGGCGGGGTGGGTGAGTTGATAGGTCTCATGGCCGCGCTTCTCGACCGTGATAAAGATGCCCAGGTTGTGCTCGCCGGGCATGACCTTGATGCTGGTGCCGGTGAACTTGGCAGTGATCTGATCGAAGCCCCGAGCATGCAGACCCCTCTCGGGACAGCTGATATAAAAAGCGCTCACAGGCGGATGATGTGATGTTTGTTCGGTCAGGTACGACACTCTCACTTTGGGCTTGGTCGGGTCGGTTCCGGTCTGCGCCACCGAGACAGTCGAGGCCGCCTTGGAATCGCCAGATCCCAGACCTGCCGGAACAGCAAGCTTCCCGGACTTGATACTGGACGCACCACTGCCAGGCTTGCTATCCCTCTTGGGACCCAGCTTATTGGTATCGATCCTCGGGGCGTTGTCTTCGGCCTCCCAATTACAGCGGAAGAACTCGCCGAGACACGAGTTGTAGGGCTTGCAAGGCCGGCCCTTGGCGTATTTTAGGTCTTTAGTGAACCAAAAACGTAGTACCTCCAGCATCCGGTCGAGCGGCTCGTCAGAAGTGCCGATGGCGATGAAGGTGTTGGGCGCATCGAGGTAATTCCAGTATTCGAGGTTGGGAGTGGGCTCGAGAAGCTGCGACGGCAGGGAGAAGCGGACAGAGGCAAGATCGGCTACACCTATGAACCTGCGTTTTGGGCCATTGTCGTTAGCCGTGCCACGAATGAAGCCACGAGTCGTCAAGAAGGGCAGTTGTGATCGGCTTGCGTCTGGGCACAAAAACCAGGAACAAAGCCACCAGAGTGTAAAGGCGACTCACTTCCTCAGGATGGACAGGAATGTTTTGAGTTTTGAGCCGTCGCTCTGCGGCTCCTCAGCTGTATGCTGAGCAGCTGCGTCGGCCATGCTGCAAAACAGTGGTTCCTTCTGCGACGGAGCGCTAACCGGGGAGGTGGAGAATGGCGGTGTTGCAGCTGGGCTCTCCCTGCTTCAGGTTGCGACGGCGGCAGCGATGCTGATTTCCTGATGATGTTTTGCCTGTTTAGGACCCAGGGCACTTCTTTGATGGATGAGACAGGTCTTTGTCGGTGGACAAGAGAACGAGGCAGCAGCATGCAGCGTCGTCGGTGGAGGTGAGATTTGGAGGTTGTTAGAGGATCGATGACGGCGGTTTGCGATGGCGTAACTGAGACAAACGAGGTGGGGGCCTTTCCTTTGTGGAAAAGCTTCTTCTGGCGCGGGCGGGCTGAGGCGATAAGGGCCTGGGCCCAGAGGCGCTTAGCGGCAGATGTCACTCAGCTAGTTAGGCGGCACAAGCCACGAGGCAAACGTCAGCCACGCACGTCGTGCCGTCAGGGTGTTGCAAGGAGGTATGAGGAGGAGGAGGAGAAGAAGAAGAAGAGGAAGAAAAAGAGGGCTGCCCAGCACGAATATACAAGTAACGAAGGGAGGGTGCTCGTGTCGTGATAGAAAGCTAGTCTAGATGTCTCAAGTGCTTGCACTTCCCCATCCGCACTGCTTATCTGTCAAATAGACTACTGACCTAGTACCTACAGTGGCCCAACCGACAGCGGCGGCAAGTGCTGGGCTAGGCTTTAGCAGGCCAGAAGCAGCGGGCTCTGGCGGAACTGGTCGCACTGGGAGCCAATCATTTCACCACGAGACGCCATCTCCATCGTTGAGCCGTTTCGACAGCACAATGGCAAGTTCCTCCCTCTCACCGCCCAAGACACCTCTGGGGAAGAGCAATCCGGCGCAAGGCCGAGCCAGCATAGCAGTATTTGGTTTTGGTGAGGTCGCGCGGCGCGAGACTTGGCAGGCACAAAGCGTCCAGTAGCGGACAGAGCATGCATGTGCCCATACGTACAGAAACGACCCCCGATCACGGCCCGGATCACTCCCCAATGACGTGGGTGGACTAGACTTGAAGGGGTTGGTTGGTTGTGTATTAGTGTCCAAGACTGACAAGACTGACAGCATTGACTGACAGCTGGAGGCGCAACCTCAAGACCAGACAGCTTGGAGGGCACGCGCGCTGCTACTGCGACTGTCAACTGAGTTAACTCCTCAGGGATAACACTCTGCAATGCGGCGTCGCTTGTTGATGCGACCTTTGACATTGACCTACTCCGTAGCTAGCCTCCGGCCTCCTTCAACCTGCCAAAGCTACTTTACCTCATCCGTAGACCGAGAGGATTGGGGTTCCTTGCATCGTCATACCCGGCTCTCGAATATTCCGTACCTTGCATGAATACGAGTTGATCAACATCAGGGTCCTGTGGAGGGGCGAGCTCCTATCCTGGAATCCCACGAGCTCGTCTCTCGATGGGGGCTAATGTTAAGCATGACAAGCAATAACCCGCACCCGGGGACGAGTGACAAGTGCGTCAAGTACCTCAGCGGAGCTCAGGGTCGCAGAGGGTCCCAAGAGGGTTGTAGAGGGTCGTGTGGTGTAGTCGTTTCGACCACTAACTGCATTTGGCCGCTACAATGTCGTCGTATTGAGCATGTTCATGACACCTTGGGGGGGCTGCACAATGAAGTTGTTCCAAGGTTTTTGAATGCTACGCAGCAGGTGGAGCGAGCAAGGGACCAATGCCAAACATTGCTGGGACAGCCTGGGAGCCGCGCCCCCCGGCCGTAGTGCGGTGGTGCCTGGAAACTGCCGTTGGCCGTTGCGTTGATCGGCATCCAGGGTCCTCTGCCGGCAGAACACTGACTCGTCCACAGGCGGGCAGATCTTTCGCCTCAAGGGCAAACATCACCGGCATTGCCTGAGCGCGCTGCATCGCCCCCCGAATACGAGTCAGAGGGATTGGCAGTGGCGAACGGAGAGCAGGGCCGGCGCGCGGGAGGTGTGCCAGCCGGCCAAACCGGTCGGAGCTGGAGATGCTTTAGCCATGGAGCCCAAGTCCTCGGGTGGGCTCCCTGACCAAGTTCCAAGGTCTGGCGTGCGTCTGCATGTACTACTTCGTAGAGCCATCGACTCATGCCTGTCAAGCAACGTGGGGATGATCGAATTTGGCTGAAAGGGCAGCCGCCGATCACTTTAAAAATAGGAAGATGTACTCCAGGAATCCGACGGAGGTTCATAACGCATGGACTGGGCGTACAAGAAGATATGGGTGTTCTCCTTTCCGGTGCTGGGACGGACCCCTGGATGGGCAATGATCAACCGGCATCAAGGGAACTGTGGATGGGTTCGAGAAAAGCGCATGGAAGCAAGTACGGAGTAGGCAGACAAGGCAGACCAGCAACATGGGATCCGGGATAGCTAACAAATCGGGTATCCGACCGGACGTTCATTAGCAATCAGGGACCTTCCAGGGACCTGCCAGCACCTCCCCCCCTTTTCCCCCGTTCTATTTTGTACGTGACCCAGAGGGAGAGGGCAGCAAGTGATTTTTTTTTCTACAGTCGCTGATGGTGTGTCTGTAAATGTAAAGATCGACATCCATCGACCCTCGATCAGGTAGGCTCTCCGTCAATAATGGATGTGAATCAGCGTGGCGAAGCACAGAGGAGGGGCCACCGAGTGGTCCGCATAGCCAAAGGAAATGCTTTATCGGCCTTGGATACTCAGCTGCCGGTCAAGGCTTCCAAGGAAGCTGCCGGCCAAGTGGACTCTCTACGAGTGACGCTCAACTCTTTTCGGGAATTCTGGGGCAGGCTGTTGCTATAGGGCTGGGGTCTGGTTTACGCGAAGAGGACGCTTCCCCTTGCGAGGTTCCATCAGGACCCTCCACAGAGCGCTTCCCCGAAGACCGGCGCGTGCGCGCTGCGTCCAAGAACCCTGGATAGTCTATCGCTCTAGTTGGCCACGGTCGGGTCAGTGCTCGTCTCCAATGCGAGGATGTTGCTGGCGGTTGTCAAGGGCCTGCTGAGGGCAGAGTACCTACTCCGTAAGGGCAGGCAAGGGTCGCGTGGTTCTCTTCGTCGGATCAAGATGTGAGGTCGCATTTGCCCCTGGATGACATCTGCACCCTGTGAGGATCAGTTGAAGGTCGTCCAGGGGCTTGATGAAGATTGTGTGTAGATATCTCCAAGACATAAGCGGGTTGTTGGGCCTATCACTTGAAGACAGCAAAGCCGACGGGCGAGGTTCTCGACCTCCCTAGAGTCAGGCATAACTACCTAGGTACTTGTCAGAGGGTGTTCTACCCTCTATCGCCCGACCTCAACCTCTAGTCACTCCGTATCTGCATCCTCCCAGGCCACTCTGTCTGTGTGGTGTGCATCCCATGAGCCTCTGACCACCATGACGCGTCCGCTGGGGAAGGAAATGTTCGCTAGCCATTAAGCGAAGGCATTACCAACTTTTCCCGACCTACTTGTACAGACCAAGCTCGCATGTGTCTCCGTAGGGGTCCATCCATGATGGCATGGTGTCGTGGGATGGTGGCAGCGGACAGTCGGCCGGCTTGCTCTCAGTGTCTGGCAGTGCAGGAAGAGAGCCACAAACACCCGACCAGCCAGACCACCCACCCGACTCTTGAGCGAGTTGTGAGTTGTGTGCTGGGGAGGATGGACCCCTAGCGCGCGCTTCGCCCGAAATGCTCAGTCCCGTCCCTGGGATTGTGGACATTGCGGGGACGACAGGCCAGCATCCACCGTTGCATTTGCCCTCTCCGCGCACATAAGCGATCTCGCTAGATGTGCAGAGTGTACAGTCCGCGCGCGCTGACATGATCGCATTGGGTCACATCGCGACGCTTGGCAGCCTCTTTACCTGACGGATTGTGAGTACAGGTAGGTATGCGCTTGAGTCGCCAGAGGCTCTAGCCACTCCTGGACACAAACTCCGCAACTTGCCTGTCCATATAGCCCGGAACCATGCTGGGTGCTAAGAACCCACGATGCGAGGCCCCAGCAGTTTCTCCATCTGTGCAGTGCCCTGGCTCTCTGGGCGCCTTCGTCTTCTCTCAAGATGGAGTGGCCCGCCCAAAGCGGCTCTCTGCCTCTGTGTGTACGGAGCTACTGCTCGGGTCAGGCCGACAGATGTGTTGTGTGTGTGCACGCACGGTTGCGTCATCTCCGTCGCCAACCACACAGACAAAATCATGCCCGACAGACCGTACAACTTCCAAGATTGTGTGTTTGTCAGCGATTAGACGTCTTTCGGCATGCCACCTGCCCTAATAAGCAGGCAAGGGAATTGTGCTCTGGGGTCCGCACTGCACACTTGATCGGTGGACATGGTGTGTTGGGCTCTGTTCAGCACGAAGAACACACACACACACAAACACACACACACACACACACTCTCTCTCTCTCTCTCTCTCTCTCTCTCTCTCCCTCCCTCTAGCGCGCCGTCAGCGACACACCGGGGACTACAGCTAGGTAGACAGGCCGGCATCGCGAATGGCGGTGCGCACGAATCAGAGTGGTGCTTCTTGGTTGTGGACAGCGACACATGACCACATCAGAGATGCAGTTTCAGCTTTCGCATGGCGCGCTGCGGACCGCCATTGGGTGGCAGGTCCGAAACTCGCCCGCGTGGGCGTTTCAAGCCGTGGGATGCCGGCCGGCGACTTCTTGTGCAATGTCGTGAATGCTGTGCTGAGCGCCGTGCATAATACCGCTGGCAGCATGGAAACATGCAAGCTTTCCACTGCTCTTCCATAGCGCGAGCTCCTTGCCTCCTTGGTATGTAGCTATCCGGAGGCTTACCCGACGACTTGAATGCCAAGATCTACCAAATGATGTTGCATCAGGTGCGCGAGGCGCGCATCTCATTCTGTGTGTACTCCGCATCCCACCTGTTGACTCTTCTGTCATTACATACCTACTGCAGTTGAATGGGCGATTTAGTAGCTATTTCCCAAATTTACGCAACCTCGCCGTATACCGCCGGAGTGGCTGCAAGCGGATTTATATTCTTTCAAGGTCACCATTGGGTGCCCGTCCAATTCAACGGCATAGCCCCGCCGCGGAGCCTCGCGGGTTGTAACAAGAAGGCAGAGGATGGGCTCTAGGACGAGATCAATAGAACATCTCTCTCTCGCTCTCTTTCACCTGTGATAGTGATGGGGAGCATCACCCGCACGGGGCGACATCGTCGCCATGCCGGCTGTTTACAAAGCAGCGATGCTCTTCCTCTGTATCTTCGAATCTCGATCGGGCCAGCGAGCCACCAAGCACGTGCCGAAGCTCCGCCGACATCTTCAGGATTACTGATGCGATCCACCGGATGGGCTTTCGTGAATGCAGGCTCCGGCCTTGTTTTCTGCGTTCTGAATGGTATCAACTTTGTGTGTGCCGTGATCCCCGTCAGACAGCACACTAAGTGGCATTGCGGGCCTTTAGCCTGCTAGGCAAGGAACTCGCCCCCAGCCCGTGGCACGTATCTGATCACTTGAGCAGAATCGCATGTACGATATGACCTGTGCTGACAGCCTATCGCAGTCCCTTTTCTCGTGGATGGTCCTCGCTGCGTGCCGCGGCCGGAAATGCCTGAGTGCAAAGTTAATTTATGACGACAAGTCTATGCGTCCCGCGCTCAACGACATGGGTATCCACGAAGGTGCATGGTCCCTGGAACAAGGAAAGAGAAAAAGGACAAGACCCTGAACAACATCCTTCTAGAGCTTCCAGAGTTACTTTTTGGAACAACCAGCCTCTCGGTGTGGGTGCGACTCTTGGAGGCAAAGATCAGCACGACGAATGTCTGCCAAGAGGGCCTGCTGGCTCAAGAGTTGGAACTCATGCTCTGTGCTTGTCCGGGACCTTGACGATAGCCCACTGAAGGGGGGGCAAAATGGGCGAGAAGCTGCGGGCTAAAATGACAAGTAAGATTTCCACTGGCTAATTGCGAGACATGCTGACACAAGTGCCACGAGGACGGACCCTGCTCGGATTGTTTGACAGCGGACGGGACAGACAGAGTTTGTTTGAGAAGTTGGCTGTGAAGTGCAAAAGCCGAAACGGTTCTGAAGGACCGTTTCCGTTTATCTGTGCAGGTTCTCCCCGAATGCAAGCCATGACGTCATGGCATAGTAATGGCGCGCCTGTGGGGGGGCCCGCCCGCCCGCCTCTGTCGACGGCGCCTTGGGCGCATGTTCCCGCATGCTTTGGCAACCCCACCGGCATGTCCACAAGTGCTTTGTTTGTAGCATTATTCCCGTCCCCCCCCCCCCCAAAACCAAAAAAAAAAAAAAAAAAAAAACTGCTTCACCAGACAAGGGGAGAACGGGGGCTATGGGCGGACATGACAGGCAGCTGGTCGCAAAATATAATGTAAAAGCTGGGGCAGCTTGTTCAGTGCATCCAGTGGCAGTGGGAACAAATGGAATGGACGGGCAAGAGGACAGAAAGAGGAAAAGAGTTGAAGAGTTTGCGGAGATTGGCTGGACGGGGATCATGCCGACGTCGAGACAGGCGTGGCCCCCCGCCTTAGCCTTCTTGGCTCGATAAAGGAATACCTACAAGTAGTACTTGTACTTACCTGGACGAAGCACACTGTGGCGACAGCGCCATTTGGGCCAGCCACAAACAGCCACGGCCTGCTCGCCGAGCGCTCGCTGATTTGAGGATAAAAATATGGCAGAACGACGATCTGGAGTCCAGGATGCACAGCTAGCTAGCGATGGCGATAAACTTGTCGATCCCACGGATGCTGGTGATCATTAGACTGAAGCGCCCTGGGCCACGTCTCTCGCAGCACGCAAGGGATATCGGTCTCGCCGTCTGGGTGTGTACAAGTAGAGACAAGGATGCATTTATTCCTCCGCATACTGATCCGCCTCTTTCCATGAGAACAGAACAAAACAGAACAGAACAGTGGTCGCCAGCGCTTGCAGAACTGACGCGAGATCACTCCAGTTGAGGTTGCGGACCACGAGAGATTGGATATGGGATAAGGTAGTCTGCTGAAGAAAGCATCGTGTCGCGGGCACGAATGAATCGCCGTTGGTCATCTCCATACTGTTGCCTCCATAATCCCCGCAAGTTAAAAGGTCGTTGACATGTGCAATCCTACCTATCTATCCCTTCTTGCATGAAGGGTTCACACCCTCTAAGCGAGCCGCTCAGCCATCGGTATGATATGATGGTAGGCCGGGCACCACTACCGTGGGCTTGCGTGAGAATACCATACCTCTAAGTGCGATATGATAGCAGGCATGAGCCGGAACATGCTTGCATGCCAGCGGCCCTATGTCAGGATTAGGAATAAGCTACGAAGTAGTGATCACGGGGTTGGCGACTGGGCTGGAGATCCGGGCGGCTCTCGATGCTCCGATCCAATGGCCAGCGTGTCTATCGTCGTTGGGAACAGGACCGCGCACCATGGCGACATCACTCCTGTGACAAGTATGCACGACACGACTCGCCTGGGCTTCTTTCTCCCTCCCCGAAAATGCGGTGTGGAGGTGAAAGGATCGGACCTGGCAAATGGCGATGTAGGGAGCACGCATTTCCATAAATCGGTCTTCGATAGACCATGGGCGTCTTGTATTGCACCAGCCATAGTACCTCGAGGTAATTGCGCGCCGGTAAGGGAAATTAAGTACAGGAAGGGAGGCCGGAACTTGCTGCATCCCTGCCGAATTTGTTCAATGTTTGTTTTCCCCTCCCCACTCAAGCCACGACGCAGAATGGCCTGATTGGGGAGAAAGAGGGGGGGGCACCGGCTGCCACTGAGGTCGACGTGTTGGTGGCTTTGTCTCGCACTAACAATTATTTTAATTTAGGGCTCTACAGGCTACAGGGGAGCTGTGGCTCCCTGGTCCTTGTCTTGACGAGAGGATTTTCCCATGTTCCCAAAACTGTCGTCGCCACCTGGGCACCCTCTCGACGTTTTGGTCCGACCAGAAGGCCCCCGTCCGTACGGTGTGGTTGGTGTCAGTGGCTCGCATTATCAACCTGCGCGCGAAGGCCTTTGAACTACCTAGGTATAGGCACCTCGCCCCCGCACGCCGTCTCCGTAACTGCATAAAGTATCTTGGTACAGTAAGCTATGTAGGGACCTAGGTAGAGTAGAGCATCCTTTTGCAAAAATTAGAAGGGTTTCTAAAGCTGCGAACAAGTTCAGATACACAAAGGTTCTTCATGGATGGATCAGGCAGTGGCTAGGGTCTCCAGTACAACAAGTATGTCACTGTGGCCTGTGGCGGGTCTTTGGTCGTCGTCGGCCGTTCCTCGCAAGGGCCACCACCCCTGTCATATCGTTGCGCAATTGTTGCGATACATCGACTTCAAGTACCTTTCTTCTCCGACATGCCCCCAACTTCAATGCCTGGCCTGTCTCCCCACCCATTTTTCCTCCCTCGACCTAGTGACTCCGTAGCTTTCTACTCTCTCTCACCTGGCATGGTACCTAAGGTATGGCACAGAGAAGAGGGTCCCGCCTCGGCCATCGTCAGTCCAGCTCATGCGCTCTCCACCGTATCGTCTTTTCCGTTTTCCACACCCTCCTCTCCGTCTATCCAGACACCCCGTGCTGCTTTGCACCCACCACCCACGCATGGCCGTCCGTCTCTCCCCCAGTCCAGTCCAGTCTCGTCTCGTCTGCTCTGCTCTTCGTCTCTCTTCATGCTGGTGCAGTGGGCGAGTACATCTCCTCTCTCACCTCTCTTCTGCCAGTCTTAAAGGCCAGCATCTGTCGCCCATTCCATCATATATCCAGGGGTCTCCACCGTGACCCTGTCAATGTATTGTCGGGTGTCTTTACCTCGTCCTCTAGCTCTCCGCCTGTCGACTCCAAAAGAGGTATATACAATAGCCACACCCTTCTTCACCACCCAGGGACCGTCTTCTCGATTCATATAACACCTCCCATCTATTTCCTTTTACCGCCTCGCCTTTCTCTGCTCCCGACACCAAACGCCAAACTCGGCCCAGACTTGGCCCTTTCGACTCTTTTAGGTCTGTCTCTCGTTCGCACCTGACCTGCCCACGTTTCAAAACGACAACGAATATCGCAACCACTTTGCTCGGTACCTTTTTTTTTTCCCATTCTAAACACCGCCGTTTTAATATTTGTCTCCGGTTACATCGCGCTCTGTCTTGATGCTTTCATGAACCTTCTGCGCCGAGACCAGCTCCCTAGACGAGAAGCCTCTTTGAATCGCTTCACATTGCCAACACCTTGAACCCTTCTTCGCACCGAGGCCTTCGAGATTAACTGCAAACCCGGCTTGGTGTAGCTTCAGCCAAGACCGCCGCTTCGCTGCCAGAGAGCAACCCGGTATCAGCATCTGCTTGCCCGCGACTGACTTCACCTGCAATCCTGCTGTCCTCGCGCGGGACACTGGGCTTCACCATGTTTCGCCAAAGGTACGTCCCTCTTTACTGCTCCTCCGTGACCCGGTCCAAGCATCGCCCGCGTCATTGTGGCAGGCAAGACATGTCTCAAGGCATGTGCGCATAGCTTCAGATGTCTTTCCAAAAGCACAACTTTGCCTGCCGCTCCAGGATATCTTGTCACTGACCAAGCTTCCACACCTACAGAACCAGCTCCCAAAAGCCGGGAGATGAGTTGTTGGCCAACTTTCGACAACAGTTTCCAGAGGTGGCCACGGCTGCATCCTCAACATCACCAGCAGGACCGGCCAGAACAGTGACTGCTGATCAACCTGGCATGCCCGTGACTGGCCAGGAGCGGTATGTATTCCATTTTCCTATACAGACATCGGGTTCGCCCTTCTTCTGCAAGGTGCTCTCTGTCTCCCTCCTCTCGCATGCGCATCATGGGATAAAATGCGCTGCCCCAAACTCGTACTGCGACACCGCGGGGTAACTCGCGCGGAACACCGCCGAGGGAGCTCACCCCTGCTTTTTAGCAAACGAGGAAGACTCTGGGCAGCGCCCTGCTTGGCGGTTCTTCCATCCTTCTGCGTATTGTGTGGCTGACATGTGTCGGTGATAGGAGCCACAGCCTCAGCCAGGAGGCTTTCCGTGACCAAGATCCTACCCCTCGTGCCTCGGGGAACGATCCATGGAGATTCACACCGTCACTGCTGGACCCCAACTCCTTTTCTTTCGCCAGCTTCGCCAACCAGCCCCCAGGTTACTACACTCCAACTCCAGGAGGCACCAACACCCTTTATCATCCGCAGGCTGGTGATTTGCATACTCCTACGCTCGGCCTGGGCATGGGACTCGGCACACCTCTGTCCATGCCCACGTCTGAGGGCGCGATCCACCCCGGCTCGACCATGATGGACTTGGCAGGCTTTCAGCAAGGCCTGCATCAGCAACACTTTCACCCGTTCAATCCGTTCATCCAGCCACCGCCGCCTCAGCAATCGTTCGCGCCGTCGACCTTTGTTCACCAGGACACTGGGTATGAGACCATGGACCAAGACGGGTCGCCGATGGACTCCGATCCTGCAGACGAACGCATGGGCTCTATCGACAGTGCTTTCCACAACCAGTCTTCCATGGTTGGTTTCCAGCCGAGGCAGTTTGGTATGGTTATGGATGCTGGGCTGCCGCCTTCGGCCGAGAAGTTCCGCTTCCACTCGACTCTGAACGCGCCGACCGCTATGATCAAACACGCCGACGAGATCCCAGTCACCTATTTGAATAAGGGGCAGGCGTACTCGCTCTCCATCATCGACACAGCCTCGACTCTGCCCATCATTCCGGGCACGCGCTATCGCACCTACGTAAGGGTCTCATTTGAAGACGAGCAGCAGCGCCAGAAGCCGGGGGTATGTTGGAGCTTGTGGAAGGAGGGGCGCGGTACGAACGAGGCGCACCAGAGAGGTGGGAAGCTCCAGGCTGTCGAGTATGTGGAGGCCGGGCAGCCGGCCGAGGGGGACGACAAGAGAACGCGCATCGAACTCGAATCGTCCTCATTCGACGGCTTCTCGGTCTTGTGGACCCCTGGGATCCACGGAGCAGGCGAATGCAGTATCGCGGTCCGGTTCAACTTCCTCTCCACCGACTTCAGCCACTCCAAGGGAGTCAAAGGCATCCCGGTTCGCCTCTGCGCCAAGACCACGGCCATGTCCACGGACCCGGCCTCTACGAGCCCAGACTCGTCGACTGCCGAGATTTGTTACTGCAAGGTCAAATTGTTCAGAGACCACGGTGCCGAGCGAAAGCTGTCCAACGACATTGCGCACGTCAAGAAGACGATCGACAAGCTGAAGCAACAGATCGCGCAAGCCGAGAGCGGTATGAAGGACTTTGGCAAACGCAAGCGACCCAGCGGATCACACGCCAAGGGCCACGATGCGCAAAGAGTTGGCAAAGCTCAAAAGCACAAACGGACATGGTCAATGTCGTCCACAAGTTCGGCCGGAGGCGGTCGGCCCCCCATCGAAGAAGATCTCCACTTTAAGCTCCAGACGCTCCAGGACATGTTTACCAGCACGAGGCCCGTGAGCGTCCTTTACCTCAAGGGGGAAGACATGGACGATCCTGATCTGCACCCAGTGTCACTTCCCGGCGAGTCAACAGACATTGCCAAGGTCGAGTCTCGGGAGGGTAGTAGCGCATGGCAAGCACGGAGCGGGCGGAGTTCGATTGCCGGCTCCTCGCTAGTATCACCCTCGCCAAGCTCCTTGTCGCTACACTCACAGGTATCGGCCACAGGACCCAACGCGCAGTGGCAGGAGTTCCACGACGATTCATCCGCGACAAGACAGGGTTCCGACCAACCCACCAAGGTGAACAAGATGGATGATGCAGGCACTCTGAGCGGCTGGATCGAGGCGCTCGGCGTCGACCATTCGTATCGGCCTCCGGCCGAGCGTGCGGCGAAGCCTGTCGCTTGCTTTTACATCCTCCGTCGCGGCACGGCCGACCCGGAGCCCCGCGGATTCCATCGCGCCGTCTATCTGATGCAGAGAAACCTCCGGGAGTTCGTGACACGGGTAGCGGCCAAGTGGAACCTCGACCCGTCCAAGGCTGTGCGGACCGTGCATGTGTTGCAGCGGGGACTCGAAGTCGAAATGGATGACGACGTGATCGCAGAGCTTGCCGAAGGTCAGGATATGGTCCTCGAGGTCAACGAGGTCGGGAGCTCCTCGCAGGCCAAGAGAGAGTGGGAGATGTCATTAGACGTCCCTGGGGACGGATCATCTGCGCGCACGGCAACTCAGGGCGGCTACGAGCTGCGCCTGACCTTCTGAGGGGGGAACACGTGCATGCATGTGTCCTTGTCTTCGCCGTGACGACCGGGACCACCCCATTCATCCGGTGCCGACGAGTCCAAACGCCGGGCCGGAGTGTTTACTACTACTTTCTTAAAGCTCGGTCTCTTATCTGACGAGCATGATGAATACGACTTCACGGGTTGGGTTGTTTTCTTTTTCTATATATATCTTTACTTCGTCGGCGTTGTTGATCTTTTATCAAGATACCAGGCCCCTTCCTCAGGGTCTCTTTTCACCATATATTAGTCTCCCAGCGTCATTTTCCGGGACGATACTATCATTTTCTGCGTTCTAGAGGGAGGTCAAGGATTGAAACTCATTGTTGCATTTTCTTTGTCTACCTACCTCACGGCTATATGCTGCGGAATCCCGCGGCAACGATTTAGAAGGACGCAGTTATCACCGTCTCGCAACCGTCGATCACCATTGGCTACCCTTTCCATCTACCTATTGTATTACGGGTCATGGATAGATGGGTCTGGATGGCCGACCCATCATTGGGTCTCTTCTCTGGGAAGGGAAATTGGATACACACAGCCAGGCTTCTGCCAGAAGCGTCGCGATCAGACCCACGCAAGGGTGTTTCGCGACGTTTGATGCGGGGAGCAGCGCCTTGTCGCTGCAATATCGGGTTCACTCTGGTCTTAGTGGGGTCGTACCTGACAATCCATGGAACAAGGCGGATTGGATTAGCGAGCAACACAAGAACAAAAAGGGCATGGATTCAGGACCTCAGCGTGCCGGATCTGATGTCCGTTTCTAGAACGTCGCACGAGATTATGGTCCATGCTGGCTGGGGGGAGAGAAATATCAAAGAGCTTGGTGCAATGACGTGGACGGAGCAATGCTGATTGGGGAGAGACCATGCATAGGTGCAATTTCGCAGTGCACGCGAACGGAAGGGCAAGCATCTCTCGACATTGACATGGAGCATTTACCAGGGAACACACCACAAAGTCACATCACGTATTTCAAACCATTCATTCCGAGACTTCCTCCTCTTCCCTACCTACCCTTGGTGCTACTCTACCTGCCTAGCCCTGTTTTCCCTTGTCTGTCTACCTCCAGTCCCTACCTCCAACTGTATTCTATTCCCTCAACCCACCCACCACGTCAACTACCGTCTCCCGAAAGAGAGAGGAAAGTGTTGCCTTTTCCCCCCAGGAGGATGGATGGGCAAGGATAATGTCTAATCTACTGTACCTGTAATCATAATTTGTTTGTGTACATAGAGATGTATGTATGTGTAATGGGAAAGCAAGGTACTTCTGCACGACTGGTCTGCTCACTATTAGCCAGGCAGCTCTCTCTCTCTCTCTCTCTCTGCCTGGTTCTGGCTCATCTCGGCGGGTTGACACTTTAATCTTGCAGTGTTTGGGACCCAGGCGGGCGGGCGGTAGGCAGATTGCCCAAGTTAGTGGAATAACAAAGGTCGAAGGAGGCTCCGGATCGGGCGCGTCGAGCCCCTTCAAACACGACCATCATACACTTAATTCCCTAGAGGGAGGGCCTTGTGGGCTGTGGTAGGCTCCCCAAGGTCTCCCAGGGCTCCCTAGGGTTGGCTAGCACGGGCGCCACAGTCGGGCCTCGATCGATTCTGGGCCTGTGGACGTGATGGGGACACCCTTCCCCCCCCTCGTCCACTCGGGCAATTTCCATCAAATTGCGAAATCTGGCCGCTGGAGAATGGGCGTGGACCGTTGCATTGGATCTGAGATGGGAGGGTGATCTCGTCGTTCGGGCTGGCCCCACTGTTTCATCTCATCGCCTGTCAATGTTGCGGTGATTGCGTTTTTTTTTTTTGCTTTGTTTTATGGAAGTCGATGGAAGCTACCTGTTTAGCATCTACCTCTCGATCTTTGAGACGAAACACGACCAAGTGAGCGGAGCGAGTGTTTGTTTTCCTCTCTGTAAGATTGGATCTTCGAACTGAACAATGCATGGGTGGTCGGAGCTTTTGATCCGACCCCACGGTCTCCATTTTCCTATCTGGGGGGAAAAACGGGAAAAACGGCTCTCACAACACGCACAGTCATGCTGGTGAAGGAGACATCACAGTGTCGACAGGATCCCATTCGTCACCCTATCGCACAGCGGTGGTGCCGGAGCCAAGGAAGCCAAGCAAGAGCACGATGGGGACGCATACGGAGCAGAAACGGTTCAATCTAGAGACGGAGCCTCACCATGTACGGGAGAAACGAAATGGAGAAAGAAAATAGACATCTACACCCACACCTCCCCAACGATGGCGTAACTTTGTGGAAGGTAGACGCGCCGCTGGCGCGGCAAAAAATGTGGCGCTGTGAGCACATGGTATCTAATCACGGGAGCGTTGTTGGAATAGGTACTGGAGTGTTCAGACACGATCGAAGCTGGCGTCCTCGATTGGATTGCCTCGTAAAAACGGAGCATGTCGGGAAAACGGTGCAGGTCGCATCGCATCGAATCGCATCGGATCGTCGCCTAGGGCTGGCATGCACAGCCACAGAGATCGGCAGCGCCAGCTGCTTGGGTGCCCAATAGCGGCGTCTCACAAGCCACTTTGCAGATGTGGCGAGTGTTGCGCGTCCCTTCCCATCAGTCTCTTTCTTTCCTGTGTCTCGAGACGGCGTAAAGCTTTTAGGGACAAGACGGTCTAGAATCGGGAGCATGGACCAAGGGGACTTTTGACAGGCTATGCCGAGAAAAGGACTTGGAGAGGGAAAACGAATGGTCAATTCGCCATGTCGACAACCCCTCGCCTCGCGCACTTCCGCCCCTCGGCACTCGTGGCTCACAGCACTAAAGAGGAAAAAAATGAGCTGAAAAGCTAGACGGTCGCTCGGGAGCGGAGCCTTCCGCCCCAAGTACTTTAGTCTATCTTGGACCAGAGCTGTTGTCCAGGCACGGGCACACAGTCGAGTACGGATAGAGCAGATTACGTTGAACCGAGACTGGGTTGAACCGCCTAATTCTCGTTCTCCGCTGTGGTACTTACTGACCATGTCGAGAAAGTATCCTCTTTTTCTACTTCTCCCAAAAAGAGGATAATGCTTAATGCCTAGGTACTGTCTTGACAGTACAAGACTTGACCCCATACAGGCCCAATTACGGAGTTGGGTAAAGACACTACTTACCCATAACGGCCTACGTTGCGAAACTAGGCTGCCCGTCCACGCAGCCTCACTGGCCGGCTTTGTATCCCACCATGTCTTGAGGAGGTGTCAGCCCCACTCCAGCTCCGTTTTTGGGTACCGATGAAGGATGAGACGGTGCCACAGACTAGCGTTTCAGCGCCCTCCAGCGCCATGAGCTGGCCGCCAATACTTGCCCTCCAACACGACTCCAGCGCGGACTAAAACGGTAGCACCGTTATTAGTCGTCCACCAGCGCTTTCGGAGTCGTCCCTTTGCTCGATGGCCAATATTACCCCTGAAAGCCATCTTTTCCACTTTCACTTTAGCATATCGTCGTGTCCAATCCACGACGAGCCTCTTGTCATACTTGTGCCATGAGAGAGACAAAGAACAGCCCATGCCGACGTCACGGCCGGGCTCCTTGAACTGAAAAGACCTCTCCATTGGCCATTGGGGCGCCCTCCAGCCATGGACCGCCGGCAGCTTCATGCTCCGGTCATGGATAGAGGACGGCGCTATTGATGCTGCAGCAGCCGGGCCACGATCGAGGGCACCTGCTACACTCCCCAAGGCGGGCAACGATTGACCTCCATGGGATGAGGGGGTTTGCGTAGGAGCCCATTTTGAACGACCAAAGCGACCAAACGCGGGTATATCAGCAACAGCGTGGTCAACCGCAAGCCCTCCGGCTTGCTGCAGCACAACCACCAAAGTCTACACGGCTCGTTTGAAGAAAGGCTGGGCGATGCAAGACTGCGATACCTGGATCATTCCGGCAACGCGGCATCGTCTCCTTCTGCCAAGTGTTCGGACAATCTGGCATCTGGCATCACGATCTTGTCATTGCACAGCCAGGTGCAGGGGGGGTCAATGCCACGAGTGTCAGCGCAAGAGATCAATCTCGACCGGTCGGCAAATCTCTCGGCACGCAGAATCGCGCGACTGAGAGTCATCCGAGGGGCGCCAAGCCTGGGGGAGCCAGCAGCATGCATACTGCATGTGTCAATGTCAGATCTCTTGCTGCCTTGTGTTGGTTCTGCAACGGCCATGCCTAGGTGAGCACCCTTGGACCGAGAACGAGGGGAGAAAAGGGACCCTGAGAATGCGTCTGTCTCCTCCAAAAGTCACTTGATCGATCTACGGCACCATGGTCCCTTGTGGTTGGTATTGAGTCCATCTGCATCTGCATGCACCTCGCGCCTGCATGCAGACCCCAACGGACGAGGGTGCTGTATTGGGCGAGACATGGAGACACCAGAGGCGTCCCGTACCGGTACCTACGGTGGAGTTTTTCCTCAAGGAGTGTCAAAGGTCTCACTCGCCACAGCCGGCGGCTCGATAGTGGCGCCCGGCAGCGCTAACCGTCGAACTGAGACCCGCGTGAGGGGAAAAGAGGGGAGGGGCGTGTGCTGCATAGGTAGCACAGTGACTGGAAGCTCATGTATGTGCTGCGTGCGTTGCGGAAGTTGTGGTGGCACCCCTTTTATTGGCACAGTGTTCCCGATGCGGGTATCCGACTGCCGATCCTGTTCTATCAGGGCCAGCCAGAATCTTCTTGCACCTCCGGTCCTTCCCTCCGGCGAATCAAAGCCGCAAAAAGACCGAATTCGCCAACTGCGTCCGCCGACCTGCCATCCCGGCGTAGGCTTCATGTCGCTTTCTCCTTGGCTCGAACGAGGAGTACCGGAGATAAGGCCGAGCTGTGAGCAGGCAAAGCGATTGGCCTCTCTCTCCTCTTGCAGGGCCTTTGCTAGGCCGCCTAGGCCCTTGCGCCTTATGATGGCTCGACACATGCCTGCCACGCCTGCGGCACTGATGATGTGTTATCCGCGTGTCCGCCGGGTGCATAAGGCCAATCACGGAGCGGATATGCAGGGTTTCAGCTGATCAGGGGGGAGGAAGAGAGTTCGTCTCGAGGGCCTCGACTGCGCGGCAGTTCGTTGGCAAAGTTAGATGTCAGCATGTCGTTCTGCTACATCAGCCACACGTTTTGACGACAAGCGCAACTAGTTTTGCGGGAGACGCTTGAGGAGATCAGCAGCACGAGCATTCGTGGCTTGAATCGGACGACTGCCTAGTTGGGCGTTCTTTGTTTGTGCATGTTCTGGAACAGTTTCGCCACGAGAGATTGTGATAGAGCATCGAACCAAGCGATTCCCATGTGTTGAGCCACAGTTGGGGAAGCGTAAGTACCTCTCTATCAGACGGGGGTTAGAGTTCGACTAGCACCAGACTGTGGCTTGTGGATGCGCAAAGCAGAGACTGCAGATCTCTTCCTCACTAGCCACAACGCCACAGGGTCCGAAGAGGGGGGCCTGGGTTGTACGTGCGGTGAATGGGTTCAGTATATCGATGCTGGAAAGGCGGGCGAGGCCTGTCCTCCGAGATACATTGCTCGTAAGTCCTTTGCCACAGCCAATCTAGTGGCTGGCCAGATGCGTGAGGGGGAAGGAAGTCAAGCCACAGTCAGGGTCTGGGAGGAAAAGAGGAATTGATCGTCTCCATGCGTCGCATCGAGACCGGGATCCAATGGCATCGCTCGATGAGAAGAGTCGCTTTCCTCAAAGGGTAACCTAACCCATTTGCCACCAGGGTGGGCGTGAGCATATGAATCGTGGCTGGGAGGCAGCCCAGAGCTCGGCGACATCACGGCTGTGAACGAAAGCCACAGTGTAGAATGGAAAAGGTCTGTGGCCGCGTATCCGGTGTGGTTCAGATGGGTTGTTCGTCATATGGCGATGATCCTGTGATGATCATCCCCGTCATTGTGGTGGGTTGTGAGCGCCACAGGTGGCTTGAGCACAGTTTCGAAAGTTCGAAATGGGGGGTCAAGCCACACAGGTAAAGTGTAAGTCCATGATCGACGCCCCAAAATTGCCTCTTTGAGAATGCCCTCAGATTCTGCGAGGCGGTGCGATTGGCCGGAGCGGGGTCGGGTGGCCAAGGTATGATGCGGGATCGGCGGGGACGGGCGAACAACGGCCGTTGCGGGAGAACCCCCGCCTCGCCAGAGGTCACCGCGAGCCGGAGTACATGCCGCTGCCAATTGCGCATGACATCCCTCACTTTCTTTTGTCCTACGGTGATCGTGACGCACGTATGATTGCGGGGCGTGGACGGAAGAGGAAAAGGAGCACCTAGGGAGTCCTCTCATGGTGTTGCTGCTATTCTTAGCAACAGACTTCAAGCTCAAAGGTATTTCTTGTAACTTCAAGTTGCGAGACATCTTGGGAGAACATCGTCATGTGGATACCAATGAGCCGGGAAAAGAGGAAACCTCAGACCGCAAATCACCTTGTTACGTTGGCGGTCGTCAGCAGCAGCAGCAGCATAATGACAGTTTTCGTGCTCACAAATCGGCATTCGAAGTCAGAGCATAGAAAGGGACTTCATAACATCAATGCTAACTGTGAAGTCTGACCACGATGTAACATGTCTCAATGCTCTGAAGGGCAGCTTCAGTCGATGCCACTGGCAGGACCCTGTCTTTCTTCGATGATCATAGAGCTGAGATTCACTCCGTTATCTCCTTTTGCGCCCATAGCATCACCCATTTACCACGCTGTATTGGCGGGCTCTACTAAACATCTAAATGGCGTCTTGAGGTTTTCGATTTGCACTTGTAGGACTTTGCATATCCGACGAGATCATATGTCAGTAGTTGAAACATTCCCGTCCTCCTCTGCAGTGACATCTAGACCTTTTAGCCTATTTGAGTGTTGACCCTGGAGATGGTATTACCAGAAAGGTATCAGCCAAGCTTGACACTCACTCATGCACACCTGAATCTGGTCTTTGATATAGGGCTTTAGACCGCACACATCATGTCGAAGACTCGAAAGCATACGGCGCGGTGGTATAAGAGCATATTAAGAAGGGAACATAATTACAAGATGGCGTAGTAGGCATTCGCTTGTATATATATGATGGCTTGAGAGGGCGAGGAAGTAAATGGAGCTTGTTGTTTCAGCATTGATGATAAGAGTCGCTCCATTGTATGCCACGGTCCCCTATGACCGTGAATACAAGCAGATCATCTTCTCTAGATCTCATGGGGAAGTTATCAGTTGACAAGGGTACATGAGTACCTGCCATTTTCCATTTCTTAGCCATGTTCCCAATATACCCTTTCGCGGAAACAAGTCAACACGACGAAGCCCCTTCCTCTCCTGACTATACCCGCCCTTCATTATATGTGTGTATTAGACAGTTTCCGGAAGCCTCTTGAGCTGCCAAACCTAGGGGTTATTGATCCCACTACCACTGTGTTCAGCCATGGGTTGAACTTGAGGTAGACTGGGCCAAATTTCCATCATTATATCATCCATCATGCTGACGCCAAGCTCGAATCCTTTGGGCAGCTGGCCATATAATCTTGTGGGATGATAGGAGGGTCTGAGAGTCATCACGGAGCGTTGGCTTTTCTTCTCCTATCTCAAATAGACCTTTCTCATATTCCTTCTTTAAACTTCCCATCACAAAATCGCGTATGCAGAACACATCCAGGCCCAGCATAAGATAATCGTGTGAGATAGACCTGGTCTACATTGCTAACTGTTGAGAACATGCTTCATGATTTGACAAACTTCATCATACTGGCTAGTTGACAGAGGCCCCTGCGGAGATATGACTAGATTGGAAGACAGTGTAAACCTAGAAGACTAACCAATCAAGACATCAAATAATAGGAGCCCACCCTGAGCATTCGGGGTTCAGTGATGGCTCTCAGGTGTAATGCGTCGCATACAATCAAGAAAGTTCACTTTGTACGAACGAAGGACTGGTTCTCTCCAAGTAACGCATTGAAAAGAAAAGTGCTTTTGGGTCTATGGCAAGGAGAGATTGCTGGCAACGGACAGCGCAATTGAACTAATGTGAGCAATCACCTCGCTCGTATGTTTCTTTCAAGGGCACCGTCATGCTCCATTCTCCCGCAGCATGGTCGTCGTCGTGGTTCGGTGTCAATGACGCCATGTGTCGTCCTGCAAATTCCTCGAGCTAGACACGAAGAGGCAAGACATGGACAGGGCTTTAATGAAGAACACAGCATCTCAGTTAAAAAGCCCAAGTCCATGACACGAGCACGACTTCGTGCGCGCATGATACTATGGGAGACAGCTTACACGCCCCCGTGAGGCCAGCAAGGCATACCTGCGACTGGAAGAGCTGTTCATGTCATTATTATTTGCTAAGATACATGTGCGTATTCGAGGCAGAGAGTGGAAAACTACATGACAGATATTAGAGTGCCCCTGAAGCCCCTGATCCATCCATATTTGTTGGTGTTACAAAGTACAAGGTCCAGTAGAGAATCAGTTCTCTTGCCGCGCCTTATTCTTGGGTATCGACTCCTCCAGACTGTTATTCGCTTTAGGCATCCACGAAGCTCTTGACATTGTTGAGCCAGGCCAGGTACTCCTTCTGCTCCTTCATGTCCATGTAGTCGGGCACAAAGACAGCAAGCGCCTGGGTGATGCCGCGCTCCTCGAGGTATCGCTCCATCAGCACCTGCAGATCCTCATCGAGGCTGCCAAAGGGTGGGCCGGGATAGACGTCCTGCGCCTTGTGGGAGACCTCGGCGGTCGTGCTGTGAGCCATGGCGGCGTCGGCGTAGTAGTACATGTTGTCGACCATGATGCCGCCGTCCTGGGCTGTAGCCTCAATGTTGAGAGCGCCCTTGCCATCCTTCTCGATGACGATGTTCAGGCGGCAGGGGACGGGAGCCTCGCCACCGACCATGTCCTCCACCTCGTCGGCAAGGTCGCCGGCGGTACGGCCCTCCTGGGAAGCCGGAGCACGGGAGCCATCGATATCTTCGTCAGCCAGGGCGGCATCCTCGTCATACATTTCCGGGTCGTAGTTGGCGAGGTCAGCGAGCGAGAAGGTCACGGTGATCCTGAGGGAAGCACATGTTAGAATAGGCTGTCCCGCTGAAGCGAGCACAGGGAACCAATGCGGAAGCGCGCAACTCACTTTTCGTTGCCGTAGGTGCGTCTCAGGGTAACCTCCTCCTTGCCAGCGATGTCCTCGACCTCGAACAGACCACTCTCCAGGAAGTCCTTGACACTGGCGGGCTCAGGCTCGTTCTCCTTGACCTCGGTCTCGTACTGGATCTCGCTATCGAGCTTGGCCGACAGCTCCTCGTCGACCTCGCTGTTGGCCGGCGCCCTCCGGAAGAGGGAGGTCGAGAAAGCCGAGGTCTGTTGGGGTTTGATAGATGCGAAGGAAGATCTGAGGATGGAGGCCGACCGGGCAACAGTCGCTGGCGATGATCGCCTGATGGCCATCGAGGAGAGGCCGCCAAGGGCACGAGGCGCGGAGCGCGCAAAGGCTCGCATTGACATCATGATGCTCAGGTGAGGAAAGGACAAGTGTCTAAGTTTGCAACTACCCAGAATCTGAACAAGGAGGTGATATCGAAAGGAGAGATGGAAAGCGACGGGTTGCGATGATGCAGCTAGTGGAATTGTAAAGTTCCAAGCTAAATTTTTCGAGGAGGTGGTCCCGACCACAGCTAATGGACGGACAGCCAATCAAACTTGGCATACACCATAATTATAGTACAAGTCCATGAACCCCGATGTTTGGATCTTCATTCTTCAGTCAGGAGATCCCCACCACCATTGATGGCCAACACGTCTGCACCTTCTGGAAGAGTCTTTGGCAAAGGATGTGGCTTGGACATAGCAAGAAGAACATTTACTATCGTAGATCCTCAAGTTATGTGTTTTGAGGCTACAGGGCCATTTTAATGGGAACTATTAATTTCGCCGACTGGAAGGCGTGCCGAACAGTGTTTGATATCAGGAGGCTCCCACCAACAGGCGTTTTGAATCCTTTTCAGTATGGTGAACAGGGGAAGAAACCTCTGCAACATCGTGTCATTTTTGTTTCTTGGCAAGATTGGTCTCAAAGAATGCACCGAGAAACAAGCTTATTGAGCCCGTGGACCCAGTCGTTCAGAGTCTGTTCAGAAATATCGATGCCCTGTGGTGCGTCTGTCGCTTCTGCTTTTGCGTTCATAAATCAGAGGTGACGTTTTGTCACTGCTCTTGCTCTGCAGGTGCCCTGTCCCCATCGCCACATAACCTGCCCATGTTATCGCGTGGCGAGGAAGACTTGATAGCCTTCTATAGCTGCATATGCTAGACTGGCAAGACTGGGTGTTTGCAAGGAAGATAGATGAACGATGTGTTCAGAAAGACCGACCATTCCTCGAATCCCCTGGGCTTTGCAACAGCTTCGAAAGGCGCCTTGAGGGATTTGTTCATAGCGAGACGAAGGCTGGCTGCAACCTGGCCATTCCTAGGCCTCTGCGTAACCCAAACAAGCATGTCACTGCATGCTCGTGCCGACTGAAAGGATGGTCTGGGTGTTGTATAGCCAGACCGTGGCAGCGTGATGAATACGCAGCGCTTGTGGGCAATCAGTGGTCTCCCTTGGGAGGAAAGCTAGACGGGCTGACCGTGCCCGACTCTGATATCCTGACCCAGGCTAACGTCGTCAAGTACGTCCAGGATCCTTCCCAGCGCTCTAGGAGGGCCACATTGTCCTCGGTCGTGAGCTCCGGCAGTACTGAGGAGATATGAGTATGTGATATTGGGACACCATGCGGATAAACTTACAGAGCCCATTCTTGTATTCCTTCTCCAGAGTAGCGATCTTGAGTTTGAGAAGGTCTTCTCTGGCGCTCGCTGGTCTGCCGGGTCTCCGAGCCTTCTTGACCGCTTCAAACTCCTCGTCGTGCTGGTGCACGTAGCTATCACGACGAACAAGGCTTTAGAACATACCAACAGGAAACTTGTCAAAAGATTTGTTTGAGACTCACGCTCTGATCTTCTGCTGAACCGCCTCGGGAGAGAGGGGCTTGTATCCGTTCTCTTGCACTGCGTCTTGAAAGAAGGCGACGCGCTCGACTTTGGAAGCTGTGTGAGCTTGATATCTCCGAGGAAAAAAGGGGGAAATGGGGGGGCTGGCGGACTCATTGGTTGTTCATTCTTCTTTCTAGAGGCCGCAATCTTCTCAAGTCGCTCATCTCGGACCTGCGCTTTGTGAAGGCGCTTGGAGTCGCGAGATCCCTGGTGGAGAGCGCCGATATTGCCTTGCCTCTTCTTGGCAATCTGCTTCCTCGTCTTGGCGAGTGTGGACGGCATTGTGTATTTGCGGAGTAGTAATCCGTTGCACAACTTGAAACAGGTCTCGCTGGGTACTTGTCGAAGCCGGCAGCCTGATCAAGGATCTTCTTTGATTCTGGATGCTATCCATCCTCATGATAAAAATTTTAGTGGGGGCACACCTGAATCAGAGAGGGGCTTGCGCACTGGTGCTTCCTGTGGTGGGGTGCATGACGGGCGGTCCAGGCCTGGGACTTGGGATTGAAGCCACTAACAAGCCTGCACTAACTGCCTAACTACAAGTACCTTCAGCGTTGTATAGCCCGTTGCTCTGGAAATGCCAGATCAGCCCGACTTAACCCAAAGAGGCAATGGAGCTTGCGGCGCCTTCCCCCTAGTCTCGACGCGCTTACACTGGTCAGGGACGACGCGCCTGATTGCCATTGATTGCCTGCTGTGCTTGGAGATGTCTGTGAGCTTAGTTACCTTACCAATTCCCTCGCATGCCGCGTCCAGCTGGCATCCTGCTTTTCTCAAGAGGTTTCCTTGCATGTTACGGACTGGAATATCGATTCTTGCCACTTCCTCGAACACACGATTCGTCACCCGGTGCAGTTTACCGCCCTGATTCTCGCGTCGCCCAATTCATGAAGACGAAGAGCTGTCTCAGTCCACTCGTCACGCGCAATATCACACACCTCACCACTTCGTTTGTAATTGAGAGTCTGGGAAGTCCCCGCTGGCATCTGTACTCTGCATCAACAATGCAGGCTGTATGAGAAGATCTGTCAGCTGTCCTTCAACGTTGTGCATAGCGCGTCATTGTTGCTTTCTTGTTACATATCCATAACCACGGACAGCCGCGTCCGGCTTCCACTGCTGGACCATGGGCATCTCCGGTATGTCCACCAACCGCTCGACGTGGCTGCTTGTGTCTGACCCAGCTAGGATTACTGCCTCTTCTCAAATCTATCCAGAGGCCTACAGAGCTCAAGAAGTATGCCGGCGAAACATTCGCCGTTGACGCGTACGGATGGCTACACCGTGGCACCATCTCCTGCGCCGTCGAGTTGGCTCAAGGCAAGCCAACAAGGAGGTCAGTAACCCTCCCAATCGTACTCTATCTCTTGATGCGTGGCATGCTCACAGGGTACCAGATATGTCGACTTTGCTATGCATCGTGTGCGCATGATGAAACACTTTGGAGTCACGCCTTATCTAGTCTTTGACGGTGACTTCCTCCCCAGCAAAGCTGCAACAGAGGCGTCTCGGGCAAAACGACGCGAGGAGACTCGCAAGGCCGGACTGGAGCTGTTGAAAGCCGGCAAGCCCTCTCAGGCACACCAAGAGCTCCAAAAATCGATTGACGTGACCCCCGAAATGGCCCGTCATTTGATCGAAGACTTGAAGGAAGCGGGCATACCGTACGTTGTAGCGCCGTACGAAGCAGACGCCCAGATGGTCTACCTCGAGCGCCAGGGCCTGGTCACGGGCATCGTCTCGGAAGACTCCGACCTGCTTGTCTTTGGCGCCAAACGGCTGCTCACCAAGCTCGACCAGCACGGGGAGTGCGTGGAGATCAACCGGCGTGACTTCTGTGCCTGTCGCGAGGTCTCCTTGACGGGCTGGACGGATGCAGAATTTCGACAGATGGCCATTCTGAGCGGTTGCGATTATCTGCAGGGCATTGGCAACATGGGGTTGAAAACAGCTTACCGCATGATCAGGAAGTACAAGACCCCGGAAAGGGTCATCCGCATGGTCCAGTTCGACGGCAAATTCAAGGTGTCGGAGAACTACTTGGCGGCCTTCAAGCAAGCCGAGCTAACCTTTCTCCACCAACGCGTCTTCTGTCCCAAGCAACAGGAATTGGTGCTGCTTTCCGCACCCGACTCTGGCCTCGACGTCGAAGAAATGCCCTTCATTGGGGCCAAGGTGCCCCCAGAACTGGCCCGCGCTGTCGCTGTTGGCGACGTCAATCCCATCACCAAAGAGCCCATCGTTATTGCTTCGATGCCGAGGAAACGAATGGCGAGCCAGCCATCGGCCACACCGGCCTCCAACCAGAGTCGGCAAGCGGTCAAGCCTATCGATTCATATTTCAAGGGCCACCGCCGCATACCGATGGGAGAGATGGACCCCAACTGCTTTGCGGTCGAGCCTCGTCGGGTTGCCGCCCTCACGCAGAATGGGCTCACGCCTCGTGTGTTTCCGCTACCACGGCCATATCTCGAAAGCCCGACGGGCCTACAGTCGGCCAGTGTATCACGCCCGTATGTGACAGCTCCTACACTCCGGAGGCGCACCGAACCAATCGGGAATCTGTTGAATCTCAGCCGGATTGGATCAAACTCGACCCGGCGAAGAACCGAAGGGTCGGCCTCGACAGCTGATGAGATAGGCACCGGCCTGCCCTCGAGACCGCCTAAAAAGGCACGGCTCTGCCATGACGTCGAGGCTGAGGAGTCTGAGCGAACACAGGGGGAACGCAGTAAATTCTTTCCCGCTCCAAAGAGCAGCACACTCAAAGCCAGAAAGCAGGATCCTGTGATTATGTCTGATGATTCGATCGAAGAAGCAATGCTGAGCCTTCCGGACCTTGATGAGTGGCATTCCGCCAAATCGACGAAGCCGGTGCCCATGTTGCAGATCTTTCAGGATTGCACCGAGCCTCCAGTGGGTACAGACACCTCGACTGCTCAGGGAGATGCGAAGGGCGACGAAGGCCAAGTACCCGATACTGTAGAGGTCCCTGCCAGCTCGCCGCCGGCAAGCCTGGGCAACGCCGTCGGGGTGACGGTGCTTTCTCAAACACCAGCCAGGCCGGCTCTCCAGCAGTTCTCTTACACCCCGAAGCCAGCAGCGGGTGCTGCCAGGATGGCTTACGGACTGCCGACTCCTGTCTCGAGCGCACATGAGCCGACCTCGAATCAACCAGCACACCAACCTATCGATACCCCTACCCCCCTGCAGACTCCGCTACAGCGCATGGGGGCGAACGCCTTGAAGAGACACGTTGGATCGGCAAGGGCTGCATCATCTGCATCCAAGGCGGCTGGTTCAATGCAAGAGCCGAAGTCACCCAGAACACCTTTGGCTTCCTTGCCGGTAAACCCGGCGTTTGTCCCACTCCCGAGAGTTGAACTGGACGAAGTCGAGGCCCTGAACAGGCCTCTGGGCAGCGAGGATCAAATTATTCCCGATAGCGATGGGGAGAACGAGGCCGAGCTGGATGTCGACGAAAAGCGGCCGAGCCCAGCGAGGCGTTTGGACTTGTCGAGATTTGTGTATTCGTGAAGGAGCATTGGGGTTCTCGGCGTATAAGCTGCTTTATGGTCATTTTGAGATGCAACTTTGGCATAGCGTAGGAGTCAGGGGCATGTGTTTATTTGGGACTTGGAAGTATTTGGCGTCCCTAGTCATGGTGTTTCACGGGTACATAGATAGCAGGTCAAGGATACGAGGCGGCCAGGCGGCCAAGCAGGCGAGTCTGTGGTGGTGTTCTAGATATACCATACATGAACATCTTCATGTTAGACTTTGAGCTGAAATACATCCTGTTCGAAATATCACTCTGTTGGGGGGGGGATTCGCGTCCCATTGGACAAATATTCATCAGCCAGTAGTGCACCTCTCTATGGCAAGTCCTTGTATCTTGGAGGACTAATGGCCGGACCTAAACAGGCATTGCTTCAACACCTTGACAAAGGCAATGGATGACAATACCTATAATTGCTTGCTTGGAGCGGCATCATTAATACAAGTAAAGCTGGAGTGGAGTGGTTCCCGCTTGAGGAAGGATTCCCCACTAAAAAACGGCTCTCACCGCCCTCCTCTGGGGCAGAAATGAGCGCCAAGATTTCGCTCCACACCAGAAAATTTCCAGTCCCCTCATGCAAAATTGAGTGGTGCTGTCTTGTCCCGTCCGCCTTCAATCTTAGCGCCCAGCCAAAATAATCTGAACCAGCCATTCGAACTTTTCGGTCGTGCGAGCAACCCCAGGCACGTTGCAGACCTCTGTCCTTCCTCTACGCAACGCCCGGAAGAACGATCTGTCCGTCGCAGCCGTAGCGAGTGACATTTTCGACCGGAACAGCTCTTCGAGGGACCAAGTGCCCAGCAGCGGTCCAAGATGGCGGATACGTCTTTGCAGGTGGGTGTGCTGCCTGCGAACCCCGCTTGATTGAAAAAAAAGGTTGCGGCGGTGATGGAACAGGACGCTGATTGATTCTGCGTATCTCAGGACCGAATCCGCGGGCATGCCATGGCTGTCGATGGCCTCTTGTCATTGATACCGGCAAAGATGTATTACGGCGAGGATACAAGTGTACGTGGATGCTCACATCCCCGTCTGCATTTCCATCTAGCACCCCAGCCTGCTCCTTGACGCCCTACAAGACGCCCGCTGGAGCAACCGCATTCGTGTCAATCCTGTAGATCTGAATGGACATGGGCTGACTCTACTCGATGTAGGATCAATGGAGTAAAAAGAAGCAGACCAAGGAGGAGAAGAAAGCAGCACAGCGCCGCAACCTCGATCCTGATAACGAGCGGAACAAGAGTGTCAAGGAGATCATGGATGAGCGAGCGAGGAAGCGAAAGCTCGAGGAGTTGGAAGAACAAGGGGATGATGGCAAGCAGGGCAAGGCAGCACAAGGCACGGCCAAGATCCCCACCGCCAACAAGGGCACGCCTCAGAAGACACCAAAGAAGGCCAAGGCCGACAGGAGCGAGTCGAACAAGAAGCAAAAGATCTCTACACAGCCAGAGCAGTCAACGCCAGCCATGCCTTCTATCGAAGAGTCCCAGCAGACACCAAAGAAACAGGCTCAGGTCGGAAAGAAGGCGGATAAAAAGAAGTCAAAAGCGAGCAAGGTGACTCGTGCTGCAGAGGACTTGCCAAAGCAGGACCCCGGCCTGACGCCGGAGACTGATATTCCAGACCAACCCGAGCCGAGCGTCGAGCATGATCCGGAGATCGCGTCTGCCCCTTCTGAAGACGGCCGTGACGGCCATATTCCAGCGCGTGACGACGTGATGCCAGGCTTCGACTTCTCCGGTCTGGCACCAGAAGAAGACGTCCCTGGCGACTCGTCATCACAAGCATCGGCCCCGCAATCTCCGACCTTTGATATTTCTTTACCTGCCAAGAACGATTCACTGGAGCCTGCGAGCGCGACGACGTCCATTTCTTCGACAGTACCACCGTCCGAGAAGCCAAAACACATCAAGCTCCCGAGCGACACCTCGGCCCTGCGAGTTCGTCTCGCAGCCAGGATTGAGGCTCTCCGGGCAGCACGCAAAGCTGACGGAGCCGACGGAAGTCCTATCCGCACCCGACAGGAACTGATCGAGTCTAGGCGTGTGAAGCAAGCTCAACGCAAGGCGCACAAGAAGGAACTGAGGCAAAAGGCCAAGGAGGAAGAGGAGCGGAAACGCGAGGAGGCCCTTGCCAGTGCCCGGACGTCGCCCGGGAGCATCATGAGCCCGCTGATCGGCATGGGCACGGAGGACGACGGCTCAGCCAACCACTTGGCGTTTGGCCGCATCGCTTTTGGTGATGGCGCGCAGATGTCGCACGACCTCAGCTACGTCAAGGACGCAAAGTCCAAGAAGGGTGCCGCGGACCCCAAGACCGCCTTGGCCAAGCTCGAAGCGCAGAAGAAGCGTATCTCGGCTCTGGACGCTGACAAGCGCAAGGAGGTCCTCGAGAAGGAGACGTGGCTGGCGGCGCGGCGGAGGGCCGAGGGCGAGAAAATCCGCGACGACGAGGCTCTGCTCAAGAAGGCCGTCAAGCGCAAGGAGAAGGCCAAGAAGAGAAGCGAGCGCGAGTGGAAGGAGCGCGCCAAGGGGGTGGAGGACGCCATCAAGGGCCGCCAGAAGAAGCGCGAGGAGAACCTGCGCAAGCGGAGGGACGACAAGCTGATGGGCAAGGGCAAGAAGAAGGGAGGCGCCGGCGGTAGCAAGAAAGGCAGGGCTGGGTTCGAGGGCACATTTGGCGGCGGCAAGAGAAAGTAGCCATGGGCCACTGCTGCCACTGGGGGCGGGCCGTTCTGTGAAAAGCGAGGATGATGTTTGCTATTATACCTATGTGTTTTGGAACCGGGGCCCAGGGAAGGCCGGAGGTCTCAAAAAAAAAACCTGCATCTTATGGCGTCGGCGTAGCTTAGGTCTTGCGGCGATGCGACCAGCGCATCTGCAATGAATGCATTTACGATTTTGTCAACACTTCAACAACAGTTGTTCTAATGTTGATTGAAGAGAGGCCTCTCTGACCCTTCTCCGCCGTCTCCCTCGATGGGGTGGCCAATGCTGTCGATTGCTTGGCCGAAACAAAACAGTCAGATACAAGCACAAACACACAAATACATGCACACATCTGTCGGATTGCATGTTCATAAACACGTAAAACAACTCTGTTGAAGCTGTGCTTGAAAAGGTATAGATAGACATGTGCGCCGAAACGTTGAAATCACCAAAACCTCAAGAGAAACTCGCATCCCAGCCCGCACACCTTCTACAATACGCCCCAAGACACACCCTATTTGCCGAGGGACCAGAGTCGTGTACTTCATGCAGCCTTGGAACGGTGTCAATCCACAATAGGCAGACCCAAGCCGTCCCAGAGCACGTCCGAGGAAGCCGGACGGACCCTTCCCAGCCTCGAGCCCGTGATGGGATCATTCCCTTACCTCGTCACTACCTGCTTTTTTGCTGTTCTTTTTGAGAAAACTGAGTGCTCTCCCTAGTATGATTAAATGGTCGTAATAGATCGGTGTCTTGGTGGTCGTGAGAACTCGGAGAATGGGGAGTGTTTAGAGAAGGGAGTCGAGACGGGTGAAGACGCTCAGACAAGCAGCGACGACCTCGAGTTGCAACTCCTTATCCTTGGCCTTGTTGACCTCCTACAAAAGCGCCATTGTCAGTCAATGGCATGTGTATGTGTGGGTGGGCAAAAGAAAGTCCTTACCTCGGCAATAACCTGCGGCAGGTTGGCACCGATGCCATTGCCCGTCGCCTTCTTCCCAAACGGCCACTGGCTGTACTCGGCGAGCAGCTCGTCGGTCTGAGTGAAGGCCCTCTCGCGGGCCTCGTGGCCCAAAGTGCTGAGCGCGTTCTCGAGGACGTTAGCGGCGTACGCGGCGCAGACCATGGCGATGGTGCGTGTGTAGCGGAACTCGAGGTTCTCGGGGAGGAACTGGGAGCCGGGGAGCACGACGGTGCGCTGGGTGAGGACATTGCGGACGCGGCGGCGGATCTCTTCCTTTGCGCCGCCGTCGGCTACGGGGTGAGTGGCCATGTCGAAAAGGAGGAAGTTGCGCTTCTCCGTGCGCAGAATGCCCTTGTCGACGAGGCCCTTGGCCAGTCGCTCGCGGACCTGCTTGAGCTGGTAACCAATCTTCATCAAGTTCCACGTCTCGCCTGTGCCAGAAACACCACGTTAGCCGACTGTTTCCCATATGGCTGGGGCTCCCCAGCGTGATTTGCAGCCTTACCGCTCATCAAGTCAATCCAGGAGCTGACGCTCATCTGCTCGCTGGCCTTCATCATCTTCAGCGCCTCGTCTAGGAGGACCTCGCCGGTCAATGTGTCGTCGACCACCTCGATGATCCGGTCGGCGAGGGGGAAGCGTCTCCTGGCGGGGTCTTTCTGCATGCTGATTCGGCCTCGGAACGCCAGCTCGAGAACGATGCATCCTCGAAGCGCATATGAGATGTTGTCGTTCCAGAATGACAGATAGCCCTGTTGTGTTGCGTTGCGCGAATGTCAGCATTAACTAGATCACGGGTGGACCGTGTTCGGTGCCAAGCCAAGTTTGCATACCTGCTTGTCCTTCAGGCCCAAGAGCAGGACCTCCTCCATCAGTGTGAGCTTGGGCTGCTTGCTCCGCTCAGCACTCTCGCTCATGTCGCGAGGGTCGTAGGCAATCTTGTGTCCATTCTCGCCCTTCTCGTAGCTGGTCTCGGGCGCGCTGTCCTTGAAGTTGCTGGGCGAGTCGGTCCGCCCTGCGCTGCTGCCCTCCCCATCCGCGCTGGTTGCTGCGCCAGCGCCTCGACGGCGAGTCAATCCGGAAGACATGGTCCCTGGGACGGTGCGAGTGCTTGGGCCAAATTGCTATGTGAGAGAGGCCGAACCAAGCAGAACGGCAGGAGAGATTGTCGGTCGGTGAGGAGTCCTACAGAGGTCGCGTTGGAAGTCTCGATCTGCACCAAGGGATTAGCTACGCCGACCGAGAGCCGCTCCCGCGCGCTGCGACGCAGAATACTCACTCCCAATTGAAAAAGAGGTACCAATGGGCTGCGCGCTGGATTGCGTTGTGCCAAATGGATGGGTTGAAAGGAGGGAGCCGTGGGCGGCAGAAGGAAAAAAAGAATCTCGGTGCCTGAGGGCGAGACCGGGGTCAAGGAATGAGTGGAGAGGAGGAACAAGGTGCTTCCTGCAGCAGCAACCTTGGGAACGTAAGGCTCGCACAGGGTCGACGGCGTCTGTGCAAGTGCGGAGGCGATCTGGTGTCTGGTCGTGGTGATGGGCGAGGAGGAACTGGAGATGTCGTCTCGTGCCCCTTGTTTGCTGGCCTGGCGGGAATTTCTGGGGTGGGCTGTCACTGGATTGAGAAGGGCGGGCGAATTGGCGATTGGCCAGCTAAGCTGTCTGGTTTATCTTTAGGGATCTTTTGGTGTAACTCCAAGCCTCGCAGTGCTCCCAATAGGGATATTGGGGGCCACTTGGGGCGAACAGCTCAGCCTCAAAATCCATTGAGGTGATGTCCGGGGTGGTCCAGTTCAAGCTAGGGGGCTTTCAGTGGACCAGCCCGCACCCTAGCGTGTGGGAGATATTGATAAATTGTCATCTTCAGGGTTCAACTAGGGAAGCCCAGCATTTTAGATAGCCCCCCCCATACTCTCATTCTCTCTCCCTTGGCCTGTGCTCGATGTATCGACTGGCAAAACCTCGATCTCATTTACGAAGAGCTTGTACTTGTAGTCTAAGTTCTCTACGGAGGCTTCTCTATGCGTGACATGATCCTGCAAAGAGAAGTTTTCAGAATACCAGTCCCTTCCTTTTCTTCACCTCTACATGGTACTTCTACTCCTTGCCGACCTGAAGTTGTGAACACGTTTCCATCATGAGTTGTCAGCGATGAGCTTCGACGGGTATCATTGCCACTGGACCAGCCAGTAGGTATCTATATACCAGGTATATATATATATCTGAGCGTGATGGGTGAAAATCGTTCTTATGTGTGAGTAGTGCTGTCCGTCCGCCTCTTGAAATCGGTGATCATCCCGTTGCTCACAGTCGGACATTCAGAAACAACTCACCAGGCTTGCCGCAACCTGCCCATTGCTGCCACTGCTTCCTGAGTTTCCATGCGGCCAGAAGGAAATAAGCTTCTTGGTCTGGCGACGCCTGTCCGAGCTCCTGCAAGCTTCGCAGCGAGCGGACAAAGGTTGGATCCAGATACTTATCCTTCAAGCCGCCAGCCTGCCCCCAGAACTCGGACCACAGCCTTCCCCAGCTCAAGTCTGCGATGTTGACGGGGGTTGCGAACACTAGACTCTTGTCGAGAACTGGCCGCATCTGCGTGATGTAACTGAGCAGCATCAGCAGCCATACCCCTCTGACCAGCGTCGTCCTGGACGCCTGGTCGCCATCGAATAACGGCAGCAGAACCCTCAGAGCCTGCACAAGACTCGGCAGAGAGCTTAGGTACAGGTCGAATGCCGGCTTGCCCCTTTTGTGGCTTCCGCATACCAATGCTGTCGAGAGGTCGGCCAACTGGCCCAGTAACTCGGGTGTATCGCCCAGACCGAGAAGTCGGACATACTCGATGACAGCAGACCTGGCCACCGGGTTTGATAGGACGAGGGCTACCTGCTCATAGCCGGGTGCTGATTTGATGACCCCACTGAACCTGCCGTCGTGAGCAAGCCTCGACATGATGGCTTCCGGGGCCAGCAGGCTCGTCGGAGTATCCTCTAGCGCAGGGTCCGACAGTACCTCCGAGATGGCGGCGTCGCCGTCCAGAGATGCCAGGACGAGTGACTCGACGAGGAGGATAGACGACTTTAGCTCAACAGCGTGGCTCAGGTGAAGAAGAGGCCCTCCGAGCTCTCCAAAGAGCCCGTACAACAATGGCTTGTCGTGCGGGAGCAACAGCTGCTCTTGAAGCCACTGACTGCGGAACATCTGCGATCTCCCATACTGCAGGCTGAAGAAGTCTATATATGCGCGTTGATATCTGGTGCATTCCCCATTAGAGACTCAACCGCCTGGCCCTGTTCCGGAACATAACTTACTTGGCGTCGCCCAAATGCTGCAGCATGTCATCCACGCTCAGGATCCTTCCTGGCGACAGACTCCACGCTGGAAATTGACCCTTGCCGTCACTATAAACGGACTCGAGCTGCGCCGGAGTTCCACCCAAAAGCTCGACGGTTCCCAGAGCCTGCCTCTCAGTCAACATAATGTCTTCACTACCAAGTTCGTCTAATGAACATACCAGAGGGATAAAGTTGTGCTGTCCGACCTCGTCTATCAGAGCCCGTTCCACATGGTTTCTGGTCAAGAGCCGCTCGAAGGCGCACCGGCTTCTGGTTCCAAACATGCTTGGCATTCCGAGACTCTGTCGAGCTCAACGAACTGAAGCTCGATAACGAGGACCAGCTTTGTCGCATGGTCGAGCATGACTCTTCCCGAGGCATCACCTTATATATCTAGGTCGAAAGAGTCATCTGCTGCCATGCAGGAAAGATGCCTGCCCACTCCGCGTCCAGGACAGTTTTTGGGCGATACATCCGAGGTAGGCTTTGACCACGGCCGCTTCTGAGCCTCTAGGCAGGTCAAGCGGACTTCGATGCCTCCAGGTCCGGAAGCCGCGGGGTTGGCAAGGCGAAATATTTCAAAGCCACGCTGGATGTGTCATGCGAATGATGAAGCATTCTGAGCGGACACCTTGCCGGAGAGATGCCGGAATCTGGAAAGCGAAAACGAGCCGAGACTCTTCGCAGCCGCTACCATTTTTTGGCGGTCCAGTCAACCGTCGACTGGTGGCCCCGCTGATGCCAGCCTTATGACGTTCCCCTGTCGGACTCGTTCGAATTAAAGGGCACCACCCTCCTTCAGGGCCCTGGCTGCTCACTGCATGAGGGCAAGCTGTGTGAGGCAAACAAGGCAGCCATATTCTCAACGACGGCGGCCGGCAATGCACGCAACATCGAGGTCCTTGAGCAGTCAGCCCTACCAGATCGCAGATCTTAACACATCCGGGGAGGGAAGGGCTGATACGACCGAAAGCAGTCACATTATGCCTCTATATGTCTACCCAAATAAGACGCTACGTGGTCAGGAAAGAGTCAGCCGCAGACAGGGCTGCCTGCTTCAGAGTAGGGAATAAACAACCGATCCTGAACTGAATTGGCCGTGCGCGCGTCGTGTGCGACATCTTGGTGATAATGGCCGGCAACGATGTGTCGCATCGTTACAGCATGACTTTCCCTATCTGGAGCATGGCGAGTTTGATGACCAGCATAAGCATCAGCGAGGGCTGATTCTTTCGCCTCGCTTTGTGCGGCTGAGAAGGTTGTCCTTTTTTTGGCGCCTCGGGAGAAGTCGAGCGAGGTGCAGCAGCACCTGGATAACAAAGCCGGCGTATCGGCGGGACCTCGACATGCACGACCTCGTTTTCCCCTCTGGGTTTAACCGGCCGCCCCGGACCGCCTCTCTCTATGTCCATATCTGCACAGGCTTCTGGAAACAAGCACTCGAGTGCGTGGCTTTTTCCGAGAATACACACACTTCAGCCCATGCTCTTGACAATGGCTTTTGCTGCTTTTGCTTCAAAAGGGGCCTCGAGAGCCACAAGCTCAGAAGAGCAAGCATACCAGGCAGCCTTGCAATGTCTTACTCCACTTTCCTACATCTCTGTATTTCAGGTTGCCTAGAAAGTGGCAAACCGACATGAGAGGGAACCAGACGGTATCAGAGGGTATCGACATGTAGTCATGGCACGTCTCCCTGATGATGGAAGCTCTGAACGCCTATGCTCATAGCCGAAAGGAGGGCGGAACCTCGGTAGACTCAGACTCACACCGTGTTCAAGGGCGCCTTGTTTGCACCGCTTTATTTGAGTGAGCCTGGTCTCGAGCGAGATGCGAGCTGCTTCCCCAATGGCGTACCACGGGTTGCGTCAAGGACGCCGTACAACCTCGCACAGTGAGCCATGCCAGCTGCAGAGTTGGACAGACCGACAGGATCTGTGTCATACGAGACTATCTCTCGTACCTGTCTCGAAGCGCAATTTCAATGGCGCGCGTGTGCAACTCATGCTCACCAGAGCTTTGACAGCTGCAGATCCCGTCCCTTCTGACGGCTGCCTGAGCCCGCACGGAAGCGGTCCCTTTGTGACACCTCTTCATCAATATGCAGGAGCACCGTCGCTCGGGTAGCCGATGCACTCTTACCGAGCTTGCATGATCGTGCGTGCATACGATCCAGCAGCCGGGAGGGTTGAGCCGGGCGGCCGTTGTGGCTGCATCGCAGCAAGATCAGGCAAGTTCAGCCAGCCCCTTAGGCTACCTGCATGATCCGGCCAAGCTAGTAGTATGACAAGAACCTCTGAGTAGCTAGGCCAGGTCAAGGCCACGTCGAGACGAGATTGAAGGGTGTGAGTGCCCATCTCTGACCAGCTGGCAGGCCCTTCGGACCATCCTTCTTCATACACACATGTTTCACAGCCACGAGACTATCAGCTTCTTCATCTGTCCCTGTTTCAATTCGAGTTACGCTTGTGGTCTCTGAGCTTGGCCTGGTGCAATTTGACGGAAGGCGATTCGGGCAGATCGTCCGAGGTCTCGGCGGGCCTGGCTGGAGGGTGAGTGGTGGTGAGACCGCCATAGGAGCAAGCTCTGTCGTCTCTCTCTGAGACGCGTGCACGTATTCTGGAATGGCGAGAGAGAAGTCCATGCTGGGAGACTCATGATGGCCTTGTGCAGAATTGCCACATGGGTATAGGGGCATCATGATATAAAGCTCTGGCATCGCCGTTGGTTTCATATCACGGTCACTATCTTCCTCTTGAAGTCAACCGCTCCATAGTCACTCGTTTAGCATTCAAACTGTCTCCTGTCATTCGTTCTACTCTTCTGTTCTCGTCCTCACCTGATTCGTGATGCGTGTCACGGGTCTCCTGGGCTTGGCCTCGATGGGCCTGGCCAGCGTCGCCGCAGCTGCGGAGGACCTGCTTTTCTACGACGCCATGACTTACAACGAATTCAAAGAAGCTACCAATGTGCTGAACTACACAGGTGAGTCTACTAGCCAGCCGTGCCGCCCTGTGGGTAGACCTATCTCCCCTGACCCAGCCTCACAGCGCACATCGCCTCCGACGCCGAGTGGCGAAGCATGACCACTGCCGATTTTGCCCAGTACAAGGCCATCATCGTTCCCGATCCCAATTGTGGCAAGAAGGACAAGATCCAGTTCCTCGAAGACACAAAAGCAACCTGGTCCCCCGCCATCACCGGAAATATCATCCTCATCGGCACCGACCCAACCTTCCACTCCTCTTTCCAACCTGGGGCTCTGGACCTCATCGACGGCAGCGTCAAGTTTGCTGCCTCGGGCAACGGTACCGGGCTGTACTTTTCTTTGTCTTGCTACTATGACAGCCAGACGACGTCGACAGTCGATGTCCTCTCCGAGTTCGGCACTTTCACCGTCCGCGGAAGGCTCAGCTGCTACAACGACGCCCATCTCGTCGCCAACTCGTCCGCCTTGGCCACGGTCGACGATGCCACCCTGAGTAATTGGTCGTGCAGTGTCCACGAGGTCTTCTCCGGCTATCCGACCAAGGGAATCAATAGTTTTGAACCCCTCGCCATCGCTAAGGGCGCTACCGGCGACGGAGAGAAAGACTTTGCAGACGGCACCAGCGGCATTCCCTACATCATCTCGCGCGGAGCCACCCCGGTCGGTTGTGGCAATGGACGGACTGACTCCGAGTTCGGCGAAGAATGCGATGATGGCGACGATAATGGGACTCCTGGGAGCCTATGCTCCAAATCTTGCAAGTGTCTATACGGCATGATATCCCCTGGAGACTGTAGGACCAACTCGACGACGACCAGCGCCAGCGCCAGCGCCAGCGCCAGTAGCACGGTAGTCTCCTCTTCTGCCTCTTCCGAATCGGGAGCGTCGTCGACTACAAACGGAGGCATCTTCACCAATTCCAGGTAGGGTCTCGCTGTGGCTCGCTGATGCTGGACGTCTGTTGACCTTTCTCGCATTTCTAGCACCGACGCCCCCACGAGTTCTGGTTCTCTCTCCGGAAGCTGGACTGGAACAATGGTTCTCACGACTGCCGTGTAAGTTAATATCTGATCTTACCCTTAAGATGATTCCATGACTAGAACGTCTGTATCACAGATCATCCACTTCAACGCAGTCGACCCTCCCGCCCTGGACAAATGCGACTGCTGTGGACACAGCTACGACAAGGTGAGATAGCCTGGCGCCGTCCAGAGCCGATATTTAAGAGTTGTCTAACACCGGAATGCTTGCTATAGCCGCAACGTATCCGAATCGACCTCGTCTGACAGAGGCGGAGTGACAGAGAGCACAAGCGAGTCCTCAATCTGGGTGACTGGAACCGGCACCGACGCAAATCCGACACCGACATCAGGCACCATCTCTGCAAACAGCACCAGGACCATCCCGTGGATCAACTCCACGAGCTCAGGGCTGACGACGCCTTCCGTCATAACGTCCACAATCACCCCTGGTAATAGCGTGGTCACCGTGACCGTCTTCCCGCCGGGATGGCCCACTGGTGGAACGCCGCCACCATCCAGTGTACCGAACAATGCGTCAGCAACGGATTCGGGCACTTCAACGGGCACAGCTTCCAGCTCATCAATCTCGCCCGGAAGTAGCGCCAACTCTACGTTCCTCTCCTGGTCGACTGCAACAACGCCACAAGTTGGCTGGACTACGGCGAGCGAGAGCGAGGGGACCCCGGCTCCCTCGTGGACGGGTACTACCTCTGGCGCAGAGAACACGACGTCATCAACGACTACTACCACGTCCACGTCAACTATCAGCGTGACATCCAACGGCAACAAAACAACGGCAGGGTCTTCCTCAGTTGTGACGAGGACAATTACAAACGGCGGCATCATCGTGACCCTGACGATCCAACCCTCAGAGACCGCTCCGACGGGACAGATCCCCAGCTCGTCCGCCATCACAGAGACCGCTACGGGATCCGCAGGTTTGCCATCGAACGCAACAAGTACCAGCCAAGGAAGCCCGAACTCGGGCAACAGCACTCGAACCACACTGCAACCCAGCAACACTCGACTACCCTCGGAGAGCGTCCGGGTAATTGTCTCTACAATCTTCCCAGGGACTGAAGTCACGACAGTTACACTGTATCCTCCGTCCCACTCAGTCTCGACACTGCTTACGCGCGTGACTACCGGACTAAGCAGAAGCACAAACGGCTCAACCGTGAGCGGGTCTCAGGCGCAGACTGCAACAGGGTCTTTCGCATCATCAAACGCGCCCTCTGCCACTTCAAGTCCGGAAGTGACATCTTCGACGATCCGGGAGGGGAGCACCGCCTCGACAGGCCAGGTACATTCGTCGTCAGAGACAAGCCATACGACACGCTCCCCCAGCGAATCACAAACGGGCTCGGCTTTGTCCTTGACAACGGCCACCTGGTCCAATGGGAATAGTACGCAAACAGAGCAGGAGACGACTACGCCTAAGACGCAAAGTGGCTACAGCACAAAATCGTCGACCACTTCTCAGACTGGCCATATCCACAGTGTTTGGTTGGGCTCGACGGGTTCAGAGTCCGAGGCGTCCCCTACCCAAAGCTTGACAAGTGTGACCCTGGTCAGCTCTGGAAGCACAATAGTCACCGCTTTGCCCCTTGGAGGCAGCGAGACAGCGTCCGCAGCCAGCAGTCTTGGCTCGGCGTCAACCTCAACCCCCACATCGACCTCGACGTCGCTCTCCATCACGGAGATCACGGCAACTAGCTCTTCTAGTAAGGTGGTTTCGTCCGAATCTGGATCAGTCTCGACATTACCCTCTGGACTGCATTCCTCGGCTGGTGCTTCGTCCGCGACCGGCTCCGCAGAACACGAGACTTCAACCGCAGAGACCTCGTCCAAGCCATGGCCGACCAAGTTCAGCACTCGTCACAGCACGTATCCACACTCCGCACCAAAGACAATTACCGGATACCCAGCACCCTCACCCTCTCAGTACTATGGGTCCTCCGCTCCAAGTTCATGGACCAACCCCTGGACACTCAAGACCTCCATCCTTCCAGTATCTACGGAATCAGAGCCTGACTGCGAGGCCGAAACCGAGGCTGCTTCCAGTACAGAGTATCACTCACGGGCTACAAGTCTGGAAAGCACAGGTAGTGTCTCATCTAAGGCGCTCCCCACGTCAGCGAGCCAGTGCGGTGGGTACATGGGTGTTGAAATCATAATCATCACCGAGATCACAGAGGTTTGCGATGAAGAGAACAGTAGTAAGTCCAAGCAATGTTGACTAGGCTTGGCTGTGTATTGTTCACCTGACTGACCTTCTCTAGCCACATCCACAGTCACCGAGGAGCTGTCAACTCTCACCCGGTCCATGTGCCATACCTCGACTGAAGGATATCCCTGCTATGCATGCGTGATAGGCACACCAACGGCAGGAGACGAGGCCACAGTCACTGTGGTAAGTATTCATGTCCCCTCTCCTTCACGCATGGGCTCACATCGCGGCCAAGTCATCCTGCTCTGCTTCCCTGGCAGATCGCATGAGAACGATAACGGTGCAGCTCTGCAGCACCTGTACAACGAGCACACTAGTGACAAGTCTCCCTGGGTACACCCCCGGAAGCCCGTGCCACGGCTGCGTGGCATACGGTCAACCTCCTGAGCTCCCTCCGGTCAGCACCTATGCTGTTGACGGCGGGAGCGGCCAGGTTGCCAACCCAGCCCGGCAACCTGCCGCTCCAGAGACTTCTGTCCCCACCGCGCTGGCGACTGTCCCGGGGGATGGCGGCCTGGCCAACGCCGGCGCTTCGTGCGAGGGTGATGCCGACTGTGAAGCGCAGCTTACCGTGACGTCGGCACTGACAAAGACCGCGACGCTCAAGGCACCTTACACGCCCACATCCACGCCATACGGCTACTACACGGCTGCTGGCTCTCGGATCCGCCGAGCTGGCAACTTTGGAGGTTTTGGTGTCATCGGGGGCATGGCGTATGCCCTGTTTGCCCTGTGAAACGAAACCGGCACAGAAGAGGCCCAAATGAACGAGACTGCATGGTCATCGAGAGCAGTCTGGCTGGACCATTGGTAGAGTTTGCATTACAGGAAGGCAGGACGCAGATGGAAGGATTTTATAATCTACACGTACACGCTCATTAAACATAAATACAACTTTGCCTCCTACGCTGCTCTTCTGTATGCTCTGCTCGGCCCCAGTTCTCATGCAGAGACGGCCGTCCATCCAAGACGCTTGGAGGTTTGCTCTCCGCGGAGTCTCACCTAGCGAAACCAACGCCGGTTAGACTCGGGGTCTGACGGGACGGACGGACATGGCTCAGCGGGTACCGGGACATCCCATTGGCCCAAGGCGGTCCTCCTATTGGCCGCGAGGACAACAGCATTGCATTTCTGTGCCGCAAGCACTTCCCTGATTGGACGGCTTTGCCCATGATTTCCGGAACCGTACTCCGTAGAGAGCTTGGGACAGAAGTAACAGGAAGATCGCTTCGTCAGGATGAGGGGTTAATGACAGATGGTGGAACTCGAGGTGGGGGTGAGCGATAGCACCGCGAGTCGATCCCAGGACGCTTGAGGTTGTGTATAAATGCATGATGCTTTCCCCTCTCTTGTCTCCCTCGGGCTGGGTAGTTTTGGTCATTCAAGACTTTGTGCTTTCGAACCCTCCGCAACAGTAACACCGCATCCATCAACTCCATCGTCGTCCCGGCACGCCGTGATAAAAGAGACCAAAAAAAGACAAACAGATAGAACAAAGTACCATTGCTCTCTCTCTTTCTCTAAAGCTTGCCCTTTCTCGACCCTGAAATGCGACTGGCTAACACATACCACCGTCTCTCTTCTCACAGGAACCCGTTCGGAACATCTGGTACATCCAGCCCCGACTCTGAAAAGACGGAAGCCATGGACCTTTTCAATGGTTGCTGCATCCAAGATGATCATTCAGGTAATTATCTGAGCGCATGAGCCGGTGCCAATCCTTGGACCCTGCCTCCAGTTCATCGTCCCTCGAGCACGATGGGCTGGAGGTGGCAGACTTGGAGCGGCTGAGATTATACGGCCGCAACTTGATCTGGATAATACCAGCGAAAGGATCATGCTCCGCCTCCCCTTGACATTGCACTAGAGAACAAGGTCATCCTAACAGTCCCAGATCAAAAATGGCTCCCTCTGCCGTCTCTCCCGAGCTAGCCCACCGTGTGCCCGTCCTGGCCAACAAGAAGGTCGAGGGCTCCAACAACGGTAATGGCGTGCAGGCCTCCAAGCAGGAGGGCCTCACCAAGGACGTCGAGTCCATGTTGGGCAACTGGTCCAACTTTACCTTTGCTCCCATCCGCGAGAGCCAGGTCTCGCGCGCCATGACTCGGCGCTACTTTGCCGACCTCGACGCCTACGCCGAGTCGGACATTGTCATCATCGGCGCCGGCTCCTGCGGCCTGAGCGCGGCCTACACGCTCGGCAAGCTGCGCCCGGACCTGCGCATCGCCATCGTCGAGGCCGGCGTGTCGCCCGGAGGCGGCGCCTGGCTCGGCGGCCAGCTCTTCAGCGCCATGGTGATGCGCAAGCCGGCCGATGCCTTCCTCGACGAGGTCGGCGTGCCGTACGAGGACGAGGGCCACTTTGTCGTCGTCAAGCACGCCGCCCTCTTCACCAGCACCGTGTTGAGCAAGGTGCTGCAGATGCCCAACATCAAGCTGTTCAACGCCACGGCCGTCGAGGACCTCATCACGCGCCGCGACGCCGGCACGGGCGATGTGCGCATCGCCGGCGTCGTCACCAACTGGACTCTCGTCTCGATGCATCACGACGACCAGTCGTGCATGGACCCCAACACCATCAACGCGCCCATGATCATCTCGACCACGGGCCACGACGGTAAGGATTGCTTCGTCCCTCCGCGTTCAGGAACAGACACGCTGACCTACCTACCTTTTTGTTCTCCCCAGGCCCCTTCGGTGCCTTCTCCGTCAAGCGCCTTGTCAGCATGAAGCAGCTCGAGCAGCTCGGCGGCATGCGCGGTCTCGACATGCAGACGGCCGAGGACGCCATCGTCAAGAACACGCGCGAGATTGTGCCTGGTCTTGTCGTCGGAGGCATGGAGCTCTCCGAGGTCGACGGTGCCAACCGCATGGGTAAGTCTGGGCTTGCACGCCGGATAACAATGAGACTCTGGACTCTAATGTGAACTTTGATAGGCCCGACCTTTGGTGCCATGGCCCTCAGCGGTGTCAAGGCCGCCGAGGAGGTGCTCAAGGTGTTTGACCTCCGCAAGGCCGAGAACTCCCAGTAAGCTTGAGAAGGGTTTCTCAGGGCAACAACTGCCTCGCCTTGTGCGAAAGCGGGTAGTCACTTGAAGCCGGAGCATTTCTGTGTATCGTCAGGTGGATATGTGTACCGTCGGTCCTTTTTTTACTCGTACACTCTTGATCATACATAGTCGCGTCTGTGAAATGAATAAACCAAGTCACTCTTTTCAAGATCCCGATTGTACTCCGTAGGATCGGGTCTCGCGACATGAGCACGAACTGCAGTAGTGCAGTCGATCTTTGTCGGACAGGCAAACAACAGTCTCGGCCCTGGTTACACAGGATGGCCACGACGGTCTGTGTTGAGGGTGAATCAATCAAGTTAGACTGCAAACCGTGGTCCGGGTAGACCATGGTACCGGATCCTGAACTGTGCTTACTGCCTCTCCACCTCTCCTGATGACTCGGCTGGGGCGTCTCATTTCCGCTGCTGCTCAGCCCCATCGCATTACCGCATTGCCACGGATTGTCACTTGTTCGCATTCGACCCTCTCTGCTCACGCGCGGCTAACGAGACGCAGTCATGAAAAGCGCGCACATCTCAGTCCTACGTGGCCGTGCCAAAGCGAATCGTGATGCACCATCTCCTGCAATCTAATGCCAAAGAAGACCACGCGCCAAGAGGTGATGTCGACACCTCTAGGCAACACTTAACAGCGCAAGCAAAACGGCACCCACTGGACTCACTAACACCGTTAAGTTAGCCGACTTGGGAGCCGAGCAGGCACAGCCGTGGACCCTGAAACGCTCCAGACTAGCGCCAACAACCAGCCCTTGACGTGGAGTGACGGGACTGTCTGTGAGACACTCGCCGCATCCAGGGCTCATTTCCCGCTCGCAGGATCACAGAGACCCAGCAGTGCTTACGGAGGAGCTTGGGCATGCATGCCCCATGTTGCATGCCTGCGAGGAGGCACATACAGAGCACAGCGTCCTGGATGGACCCCTTGCTCTCCACACATCAGTTTCTGGGAACGTCTATTGATCGAGGTTTGCTCTGCTCATGCCTCTCCATGACAACGAGTCTCTGCATACCAACAAACGGTCCAATATGGTTTGTGTCCCTGTTCTATTCCTGGTCCCTCCACAGTCAGAAGGATCATTTGGCATGTCGCCGTCTTTTCCGGCTTTGACAGGACGTTTTCGCCCTGAGCGAGGATGCCATCCGACGGCTGAACCCTAGTCTGCTCCAATGGGGATCACTGTCTATCCAACGGTTGCTGTTGGGGGCCGGGAACCGTTTCTTTGGTCAAGAATACGCGTGTTCCTAATTTCCTTCACCGAGAGACTCCTCGAGCATGGCCGTCAAGGCAGGCCAAGAGGCCGCCAGAAGGAAGAAAACATCCGGCAGACTTGTGACCAGGCGGTCAACAACAAACTTGATGGTATCGACATTCAGCTTTCGAAAGCGATCAACTGCCCTGAAGGGTTTACCTACTCCGTACTGAACACATCCCAGCCCCGCCAAGCACCGGTGCTCAGCCGCAGCGCCGCTGCTAGCCCCAAAGTGGACGACTGAACCAAGACCGGCCTGTCGGAAATCAAGGTCAACATCGCGACGTGCCTGTGTGGAACCCCCCGGCTCCAATGGCTTCATCCACATGGCGCTGTCTCCGCCAATGGCACCGATGTGGCTGTACTTGTAAAAGTACGTGCGCCGGCGAGCTTGTCACCGCAGACCAGGCAGGGGCCCGTCCCTTTCCCAAGGCTGACTCCCAGAGGGAAAATCACCGCACTCTTCACGACCCGTTGTTAGACGCGAACCCTCGTCCGTGTCCGGGTCCCTTGTTCCTACTCGTCAAGAATCATTAGACAGGCAAGCAGCCAGGCCCAGTCAAGGGCAACGGCTCCCCACACTTCCTGTTCTTGGTGAACCCAAGACCCCAGGTCTCTTTATATATAGTAACTCGCCGTCTCATAGCACGCGAGATCGTGCCATTCACAGCCACAAGTTTGCTGAAGGTGATATCATGAAATGAATATATGATTCTTTGTGACGGCTTGGGATTTATACCTTTATAAGCCCCCCTCCCCCCCTCCAGCCCTACGGCCCAGTCCAAGGCCACTTCCGCTTCGACAAGGAAGATACCACTGCTAGCTGGACACCAGAGGAATTAAAGTGTTGGGCTGGAACGGACCTGAGTCGACGATTCATATCAGTGAAACCAACCAGGATGGGATATCACCAGAACCAAGCGCAGTTCGACCGTGCCAAATGGCGGAAGCGGTTCTTGTTGCCGTGCTGGGCCATACAGATCTGCCTGTTGATGGCACTCATAGGCATCTTCTCGTACCGGATATCAGAGACGGTTGCGCACTACGAGGAGAATGACAAGAAGGGCAACTTGCCCGTCGTGGAGATGGTGTAAGTGGCCTCCTTGTATCATGCACAACCGAGAGGCGCGTTGGCTGATCACAGAGAACTAGTTGGGAATGCACCAACATCGGCCTCTCGCTCTTGTCGCTACTCCTCAACACCATGGAGGTGGCCAAGATGGTCTCCGAGACCCTGACGCCGTTCTTCATGCTCTTCACCCACACCATCAAGCTCACCAGCGCCGCCGCCATCCTCGCGCTCGACGTTGTTCAGTTCCTCGCCCGCGGCAGAGACATCTGGTCGACCACTGGTCTGGCAATCGACATTGGCTTCATGTAGGATAAAGCCCCCTAGCCCCAAGTCCTGCGAGAGAGTCAAGAAAGCACTAACCCGGGCTTTGTTTTGGCTCTGTACAGCGTTGCCACCCTCATCCCCACTATCTACGCCTTCATCACCTTCCGCCGCCTCTCCCGCTACGACGACTACCACCACCCCGTCAACGTCAAGGCCTACGGCTTCAGCAACGACGAGCACGTCGAGCTCGGGCACGCCGTCGACATCCGCGCGGGCGGCCCGTACGACCGGCACCTCTCGACCGAGTACCACTCGCCGCAGTCGCGCAGCCGCTCCGCCTCGGCCGCCTCGTCGGTGCCGACGCTCAGCTCGCTGCGCCGCAAGTCGACGGGGGGCCCGACCGTGACCGTCGACTACGTGGCGGCCCCGATGGCGGCGCGGCGCGAGAGCTACGACCACAAGCGCGACACGCAGTTCGAGGAGTACGTCTCGCGCCGGGCGTCGGTGCACCTCAAGGAGGACATTGACCGGGCCGTCGGCGCCGAGTTCGGCTGGGGCGGCGGCGCAGCCTCGTTGTCCTCGGCGCGCAACAGCCTCGACCGGTCCGACAGCGTCGTCGTGGGCGGCGGCGTCGTGGCGAGCGGGCGCCCGCGCGACTCGGTCGGCCGCACGCGCAGCTGGGCCAGCGAGCAGGGGCTCGTGGCCGTGCCCGAGGAGGAGTTCGACGACAACAACCCGCTGCTGGACCAGAACCGGCGCCCGTCGAGCGAGGACGAGAGGGTGCCGCACCCACGGCGTCTCGACAACGGGTCCAACGGCCAGGACATGAGCAGGGCGGTCAGCCCGCCGTCGGCCGAGGTGGAGCTTGAGAACAGGAAGAGGAGGAGGGATCAATGAGTAGATGCGAAGAGAGAAGAGGGAGGGAAAGAAGAAAAAAACAACCGGCGAAGTGGCGTTTGCATTCTCGTTCTTATGTTTCTTGTTGATACCCATTCTTGGTGTTGTTTATATACAGCATAACTTGGTCGGTTCAAAGGGTTCGCGGGAATTTGGTTTTGAAGATCATTCGCTACCAGGGACGCCCCTACTGGTAAACATGTCTCGTTATGAGCAAGTGTATCCGTTCCTCAGGGGACCGGAAGGGCGTGGCGTCAATACACAATGTCAATTCCTAAAAAGAAACTGCCATAAAAGCCAAGTAACAGGCACTCGCGTGCTACCTCTTCTTCCAGCGCACCCGGCCAACCCACGCCGCGAACCTGCGGATCTCGTCCTGCTCCAGCAGCAGCTCGACCGTGTAGTACCGGCGCGCGAGGTCCTCGTGGCCCGCGAACCGGTGCACGGCGGCGTGGCACGCGCCGCAGAGCCACGCCACGCTCTGCAGCTCGTCGGCGCGCCTCCACCGCCTGCGGACGGCCTTGTCGTGCACGAGCCGCGGGACCAGGTGGTGGTACGTCAGGGCGACCCAGTCCCGGCCGCAGATCTCGCACGCGTCGGCCCGGCCGGCCGCCGACCGGGGCGCGGGAGGCGCGGCGCTGGCGCGGGCTACGTACGCCGACAGGGCCGAGGCCAGGAGCTCGTCGACGCCCCGCGTGGCCTCGTCGGCCAGGCCGTAGGTGCGCAGCGAGTCGGCGACGGACGGGTCCAGCGCGGCGGGCAGGATGGCCTCGGCGACCCGCGCGCCGGTGAGAGTGGCCGGGTCGTAGCGGGTCTGCAGCGCGTCGGCGTTGTCGGCCCAGGCCTGGTGCGTGAGGTCCTGCAGGTCCGCGGGCAGGTCGTCAAAGGCCTCGGAGGCGACGTAGTCGATGAAATCGGCCAGGTCCGCGGCGTCGTCATCATCCGCGGGACCTGCCTCCGGCGCGGCCGGCGGGGGGAGCCCGCCGATGGCCGCTACGGGCGCCCTTGACCTTTTCGAGCCGCGCCTATGCGGTTTCTTCTTCTTCTGAGGCGAAGACAGTTGTTCTATCAAGATCTCCGAAAACGCCTCGCGGAACTTTTCGTAATTCTCGGCCCTGACTCCATCCCGGGGGCCCTCTCGGCCCATGATGCGAACGTACCCTCAAGTCGGCATAAGGTTCTAGGACGATTCTTGGCCCGTGCCTTGTTGTCCTGGGAATGGTTGATCGCAGCAGAAAAGAGGGTCGTTTGTGTCGTGTTTCTCCTGTTAGGATCGATGACGCCGATGGCCGGGCTCGATATCTGGGGAAGTGGGTTTCATCATCCCGAGGTTACCTCCGGCCCCGCACCGTTCACTGTACACTAGAAATCTCATGTCTAGTAACCTCTCACATCCTGGATGACTGTTAGACCAAACCCGATACATAGCGGCAAAATGGCTTCAGGCAAGACTGTGATTGCTTTTGACTTGTACGGAACCCTGCTCTCGACCGACTCGATCGCCAAAGAGCTGGCCACACACCTCGGCCACGACAAGGCCCAAGAGGTCGCCTCACTATGGCGAAGATACCAGTTGGAGTATACATGGAGGCTTAACAGCATGGGTATGTGACGACTTGTCCGCGGCCCACGGCAAAGACCGCTAATAGTCCATCAGGAATATATCGCTCTTTCAGTGAGTGCACGAGGGGCGCGCTGCAACATGCTGTCACCGAGCTGGGGTTGACTCTCTCGTCCACCGACGAATCGGATCTGATGAGAGCCTATAACTCACTGCATACCTTTCCGGAGGTGGCCGGAGCGCTCGAGAGAGCCGCAGAGAACGACATGGTCGATGTCTACATCTTCTCAAATGGAACTGATGACATGATCCGGGCATCGGTCACGACTTCACCTGATCTCAAGCCCCACGCAGGTCTGTTCAAGGACATGATCTCGGTGGAGGAAGTCCAGGTGTTCAAACCGACGCGAAACTCATACACTCATCTTCAGAAAAGAGTGGGCAAGGAGGAGGGGGCAGACGACCTGTGGCTGGTCAGCGCAAACCCCTTTGATGTTATCGGAGCCAAAGCGGCAGGGCTACGAGTGGCCTGGATCGACCGCGCCGGGAAGGGCTGGGCCGACAGGCTTGGCGATGTGATTGGGGGCTTGAAGCCTGACATCATAGCAAATGGAGTGGACAAGGCAGTCTTGGAGATCATGGATGCATCGAGGAAGTAGTAACTGAGAGGGGGGGGGGGGGGGGGGTATATTGATCCAAGTACTTGTGATAGTTTCAAACAAACAGCAGGGCCATCAAGAACATCGCATTTTAGAAAATTGCAGCGCCAGAGATCAAACCCATTTACTGGAGGCTCTGCACCAGCTTGACGAGTTTCTCCGAGAGAAGGTCGACGTCGTTGGGGAATCTGGCAGTGATGTAGTTGTAGTTTGGGTCTTCGACAACGAAACTGACCATGATACACATCAGTCAAAACGACACCCTGAATGTGATGTGGTATGGCTCGCAGCGAAGAACCATGCGTGGGGTCCACGCCGAAGGAGTAAGGTATTTGTACTCACGGTCGCATTCCCAGGCTGTTTTTGTACTGCTCCTTGTCGTTCCTGAGGTTCTTCCTCACCTACATACCCCCGCACATGCTTGTTATCCCTTGCTCGCTCGCTCGGGCCGGGGCTCGATGGAGGGGCGAGACTTACGCTCATTTCGACATCTTCGCTTCCCTGCCCGTACGTCTTGTAGTAGTCTCCCAGAAATGCTCTCGTGCCCCAAAAGGCGACCTGCTCGAACCTGGCGGGGAGCGAGGTGGTGGTGCAGTCATAGATGACACTCTTGCCATCGTCACCCTTGGACTCCGACAGGACCATGACACCATGGCAGACAGCACCGACGACTTTCTTCCCAGGCTTCTTGGTCTGGGGGAAGTACGAGGCGAACAGCTTATGGACGGTGTCAGAGTCGATGAGCTGGCGGACAGACTTCTCGTGGCCTCCTGGAAGGAAGCACATGTCAAACTGGTCCAGCGAGAAGCCTTGGGCAGACCAGGCCAAGGGGTTCTTGCACTCTTCCGAGGCTACCATCTTGCGGTACATTCCTACGGCCTCTTGCTTGGCACCCTGCGATGCGGGACGGACGGGGCCGTGGTTAGACAAGTGGCAGCTCATGCGACAATCCGAGGGTCTCTCCATACCAGCAGCTTCTGGATAACGCCCTCGCACATGCGCCTGTCGCACTCTGGGGCCTTGCCATTCTCTGTAGCAAAGCGGACATCAAAGCCGGCCTCCTTGAAGGCCGTGTATGGAACGGCGGTTTCTAGGCCGAGATGCAGCAATTAGCAAGGGCTCCGTATCTCGTCTCTGCGTCCCGAAACAGTGGAATGGGGAAACGGGCTCCGCAAGCAGGGCTGGAGTGGCGCCTAGTCGGGTCCGTCGCGTAGGACTTGCGCCCGATTGAGCTGTCGTTGCTCCGACGCAGTGCTACTCACCTGTAGGATCATGGCCATAGTCGGCCATCAATATGAGGACCTTGGGCGAAGTGGCCATGGCGGACGCTCTGCAACCGGGGATTGGTGATAGTACTGAAGCAGGCTTTACAGGGTTGGTAGAACGATAGATTGATGACCTGGAATGGCGATTGCACATACGGCCAAATCAAATCCCCATTCTCTTGCACCCCGGGCAGCTCCATGCGGGCTCTGGTGGGGGTCTCTCTGCCTGAGTGATAGCATCGATGCTACTCTTCTCTCTCTCTACTCTGTCTCCATCTTTCTCTGCTTCTATTCCGTACTTAAACTGCAGGCATTTCGTCCATCTTCTTCGTACGACTACTCTTTTCTCGTCTATTGTCCCTCTGTTAGTTTCTTGCCAATGCTGGCGAGAAGATTCACATGCCAGAACGAGAGAGCAAGACGATTGGTTCCCCGAACGATCTCTACCTTGCCTCTTACAGAGGACGCTCACAAACTTTAGGAGGTAAGACATGTCTGACGATCCTGCCGCCTTCTATGATTGGTATCGCAGCGAACCCAGCATCAGGGTCTGGCGGGCAAGCCGTGTGGGAAAGGGTCAAGACCTTCAACGAATCTGACCTCTGGCCATGACTTGCTGCTGTAAGGCGGCTTGCGTGTACGCCTGTGTGGAGAGCGCTGAAAGAGTGCTGAAACGGCTCCGTCGATGATTGGAGGTTCAGCATCTGGGAGTGTGACATGCCAAGCCAGAGGCATAAGCATCGGTATCGGCCCGCCGTACAGTCAAGGGAGGAGGAGGAGCCTGACGGCAACGGTGGAGTTACCCAATTTCACCCTTCATTCCCATTCACACCCTTCCCCCCGTCCCCCGTCATCGCTCGTGGTGGTCAGCATTCTCAGCCACCGCCAGCTTCGGCCTCTTCTCTGTTGTCTTAGGTGCTCGGCATGTCCTAGGTAAGTACGTGGGAATGGCCAAGACGTCGAGCAGGGATGGGGATGGAGGGAGGAGGAAGAAGAAGAGACGGACTGGAGACATGCTCAGCCCTGTGACCCAACCACCCACACCCCCCTGTCGCCATCCCCACGGGGCGCAAACATCGCGCCTCCTTGCACATCCTTTTCGTGTGCCAAACGCAGTCTTTCCCATGTGACAGCATAAGTGCAGAGCACAAGAGGTTCATGCCTCAAGTCCAGTTGCCTTGTCTCACTTGCCCTCCTCCTCAGAGAGGTCGGTCTCTCTCTCTCTCTCTCTGATTAAAAGCCTGTCTCTGCCCGTCGTGAGCCACCATCGCACGCCTGGCCCTTTCTCCATTCTCTCTGGGCTGTCTGTGATGCCTTCACACCCATCAGCATTGGCTATTCCAACGAGCCTGTAAGCCTCAGTCAAGACCTCATCATGGCCTCGACCAAGTTCTACGGCGCCCAGCTCGGCGGCAAGACCGTCATCAACTACAGCTACACCGACTCGCCGCTGAGGCTGCTGAGGTGGGACATATTCTACTTCTTCAAGTTCGCCTGGGCATGGCTCTACATTGTCTGGCCCTTCACGCCCACCGATTCTGGCGCCCTCGATGAACTGGCCCTGACCCTGCCGAATGTGTGGGCCATGTTTGTGCACGCTGTGCTCTTCGTCCTGCAGCTGGCCTTCCTCCTCTCGATCCCCTTTGCCCTTGTTCTACCAGCGTATCTCACCGGTCTGGCCATGGCCATCTTCTTTACCTTTAACTGGCTTCTGTGCATGCTACTGAATGGTTCGGGTGTCGAATACACCTCTGATCCCAAGTACACCCCGGACGCAGAAGCCTACGCGAACGAGCAATGGGTCTTTTTGAATGGAGTGGCCGTGGGGTAAGTAGTGCCTCGGAGGAGCCTTGTTCTAGCAGCACCGTCAGCTAATAGAAGGGTGGTGGGCTGGTGGCAGTGAGCATTGGATGAAGGGCAATTTGAACCGCTTGGCTCTGACGTTCAAACGCCCCGTGCTGGGCATCCACAACCGAACGTAGGTCGCGCTGCCTTGTCACGTTGCACGGCTGTGTCTCCTCTAACCTCTGACAGGAGCGGCATCATATTCGATGTGATTGAATGTCTGATTCAGCGCAATTTCGGCTACGCCACCAACGATATCCGCGTGTGCTACAAGATAGTCAAGGAGAAGCTGTACAACCCTCAGTTCTCCAAGGTCGTCTTCATCTTGCACTCGCAGGGCGGCATCGAGGGCGGTATGGTGTGTGACTGGCTCCTCCAGGAACTGCCGCAAGACCTGCTGGCCAAGCTCGAGGTCTACACCTTCGGCTGTGCCTCGAACCACTTCAACAACCCGCATCGCCACGTCAACTGGCAGCACCAAGCACTCAGCCATCCCGTCCAGGCATCCGCGGACACTGCTGCCCCTCCAGTCCCGAGCACGACGCCCAAGAAGGGAGCCGGCCGCACGAACGGAGCCAGCAAGAACGACAGGCGGACGTCGCCGTCCCAGGCCCAGGCCAACGGGACGGACTGTCGCACGCAGGCGCTGCGGCTGCTGACCGAGACGTCGTCGCTCCACCCGACCGACACCAGCGGCCTCGCCATCGGCCACATCGAGCACTACGCGCACACCACCGACTTTGTCGCCGTGTGGGGCATCCTGCACTTTGCCACCACGGCCCGGTCCTCGCACATGCTGCCGCGCTTCAAGGGCCGGGTCTTTGCGCGCACGTCGCCCCGGGGCGGCCACCAGCTCTGCCAGCACTACCTCGACGGCATGTTCCCGCTCGAGCGGAACCCCAAGACGGGCGAGTTCCTGGGCGCCGCCGAGAAGGGCAACGAGTTCATGGAGAGCGACATCGTGCTGGGCCGGGACGGGGACGAGAGCGCCGACGTCAGGGAGGCGTATCAAGGCTCCTGGATCGGCGAAGCTCTCGCCGAGACCCCGGACGACATGGCGGCGGCCGCGGACAGCACGGTCAAGATCCACGGCGGGACCCCCGTCGCCAGTCGGAGCGGCACGAGGAGGGTCAAGGTCAAGGATCTGAGCCGGCTGTGGCTCTACCGCAACGGCAGGGTCCCGGACGAAAAGCCGCCCCTGCTGCACCAGGAACCGGACGGAGTGGTCAGGGGTGCGACTCTGTAGGGTGGAGGCTGGCACAGCGGATATTCGAAGAGCGATTTCTGCAGCCCCGAATATATCCTTACTCCCCAAGGCTGGCTTATTAGAGAGGGGGATATAGTCTAGAGCCCCAAGGGGAAGCACCATTACAGCTCCACAGAGGGCATCAAGGACGGCGAAGTGGTTCTGCACCGCGACGGGAATGAGCGCATGTGTGCTGGAAGGGCTGCTATGTGTGTTTGCCAACCCGGGACCAAGCAACGGAGAAGAGACCCAGGGGTGGAAGGTATCGTTGAGCGAGCTTGTATTATTATTACCATGCAATTGAGCGTACTGTAATCTGACTTCGCTTTCCCAGTAATGTTGTATATCCAGGACGTTGTGTGTTCCGAGTCAAGTCCCGGTCTTTGACGATATGTGAAGCTGTGGTCTGCTCTAATAGACGTCTAGCTGAGTATCTTCCCGAGCTCGTGACAGGGCTGTATAAGTTGGGACCTCTGTACAACGCCGCCTTTATAGGTTGGCAAGGTCCTCGACCGCTTATTTGATCCATCAGTCTGGCGCTCGTTGCTGATGTGAGAAAATCAAATATTCGTCCAGCCAATTCTTTTTCAAACTAGATCTGGAGGGAGGTTTGGCAGCTCTCACTCCGTCAACACTGCCGAGCATCCACGGCAACACTCGAGGCCTTATGACTTGGGGGAGAGAGAGAGAGAATGTGTGTGTGTGTTTGTCGGCCCTCACTTAATCCCCATATCCTCACTGACAAAGTTTTCTCCTCATCCTTCCTTGCTCCTCCCACCGTACCCGCTAAACGAGACCCGGCAAGGATACGACCCGACCGGGTGCGCAGCGCCGGCCTCGACCATGTACGCCCTGTCGCCGTCGACGCCCGACAGGTCCAGCGCCGCGGCCGCGGGGCGTCCCCTCTCGGCGTCGATCTCGGCGTAGCAGTCGCGCACGTCGAACTCGCGCACCACGCACGCCAGCACGGCCTTGACCTCGGTGAAGACGAGCTGCTGGCCGACGCACAGGCGCGGCCCCTGCTCGAAGGGCCGCCAGGCGCCGCGCGGCGGGTACAGCTCGTGGCCCGGCGCGACGAGCCACCGCTCCGGCAGGAAGTCGTGCGGGCGCACCCACGCCCGCGGGTTGCGGTGCGTCCCGTAGTGCGAGATGAGCACGCTGATGCCCTCGGTCGGGTACTTTTGTCCCTGCGCGTCGACAAGCTCGAGCTCCCGGCTGCCCTCGCGGATGCCCTGCGCCGGCGGGAACAGGCGCATCGTCTCCTTGATCACGGCCAGCGTGTAGGGCAGGGCGTTGAGCAGGGCCGGGTCGCGCTCTATCTGGGCGGGGACGTCGTCCCTGCCGTCGTCTCCCAACCCGGTGCCGAAGACGGCGTCGTGCTCGGCGCGGATGCGGGCCAGCACCTCCGGGTGCCGGTAGATGTTGTGGTAGCAAAAGACGATGGTGGCGGCCGACGAGTCGTAGCCGGCGAAGAAGAACATGCGCATGTTGCGCACGGCCATGGTCATGAACTCGGCGTCGAGCGCCGCGGCGCCGCGCTTACCCGGCTGCGACATGTAGTCCTCGATGGCGAGGTCCATGACGGAGCGGTACCGCTCCGCCCGGCCCGTCGCCTCGGCCGCGCGGTAGCTGCGGAAGCGCGACTCGACCTGCGCCCGGATGTGCGAGTCGAGGTCCCGGCTGTTGCGCCAGTTGCCGTACAGGTACAGCGGGCTCAGGCGCTCCATCATCTTCTGCGGCGCGTAGTTGGAGAACTTGAGCGCGAGCTGCCGGATCATGGCGTCGGCGAGCGGGTGCCGCGCGTGCTGCGTGTCGAGGCTGACGTTGAGCACGACCTCGCCGATGATGTCGATGATGAGGCTCAGCGTCATGGGCTCCATCTCGAAGCGCCCGCCCTCGCGGGCCCGATGCCGCAGGAGGTCCCGGTAGACCGAGATCTTGGACGCGATGACGGGCACCTCGTTGGCGATGTTGTTGGCGCTGAAGCCCGGCGTGAACAGGTTGTGGAGGTACTTCCAGGCCGCATCGTTGGAGTCGAACAGCGAGGGCCCGCCCGTGATGGGCAGGAACCAGGCCTTGAGGACCGCGGGTTTCCGCGCGCCCGTGATGGGATGGGTGGTGGCCTGGGTGGCCATGTCCGGGTCCGTGACGACGAGCAAGGGCTCGGTCATGGGCCACAGGTCCAGGTAGAAGGCGCCATTGTGCTTGATCGTCTTGCCCACGCCGTTGACGATGTATGTGCTGTGCGCCTTGGGCGGCAGGGCATTGACCATCTTGGCTGCGGCGATCATGTTGCCTAGGAACGGGTTCCACGCGGGCGTGGGCTGTTTTGTGTGTGTCAGCACAGCATTCAGCCTCGTTTGAACTATTCGACCCGAGGTCTGAATAGGAGGGCCAACAACAAACCTTTCCAAGCCTCTTCATCCGCCAGACGTGGCCCCTATATCTCCACCACTTGCGCCCGGCGACTTGCAGCACCAGCAGCACGCCGAGAAGCACGCCGATGTGTAGAGCTCCCAGCCGGACGCCCAGGACATCGAGTTGGCGGCCACTGTCGGCGGCAGCTCGAGCCATCTGGGCCGTGGTGTCTTCGCCCATCTTGGAGCTGTCGAGTGGGCAATATCTCACAACCCGTCCCTGATGAAGTCACGGAAACCTTTGGTGCCCAGTGCGTGTCTCAGTCTCGCTTCTGTCCTCTCGCTAGATACAGCACACCGGTCCTTGGGAGCAGCAGCAGCCTGCTCTTGATGCCATCAACTGCGCGAGAGAACTCCTGGCCGCAAATCAGCATGCTCCCTCTGGAAATTACTCCTGCTGACACTGGTCGTCCTTCCGGAGGTATATCGCACTAATCAACGTTGTTGTGGGTGGCCTCGTCTCGCGCAACTACAGTGCACCTGTAATCTCACCCTTGTACAAGGAATTGGAGTTCTAGTCCGAGCTTGTCGGACTCGAAGCATTTCTCTGCAATGGATTATCCCACTACCTGTAGCTATTACAAAGACCAGATGATATGCCTTGTACAGGGTCACCCTTATGAGCTCAATACCCCCTTGCAATGGCCCGCTGTGCACCTTTGAAAAGAACAGTACGCGCACAGGGTCATTTCATCTCTCCTTTGCATTGCCGATCTTAGAGCTTACTTGGAACGGATGACTCTAAGCATCATGAATAAACGAAATGATTGCTATATCACTCTTCTGAGTCCTTTTCACCACACTAATGACCTGTTACGGAAGTCCGGTTATGCAAAGGCCACAGTCGCTAAGCAGCAAAGGCCACCCTCTCTGCCTCTGTTACTCAACCCTCATCGCGCCCAATCCCGTCCCTACACGTAAATAATTCAGATAGAGTAGACCTGAAGGGCCAGCCAGCCAGCCAGCCACCTCTAGAAGCTGCGCAGGGCCCTCCCCCTGTTCTCCAGCGCCGCCTTCACCACCGTGATGCCCCACGCGCTCTCGAACCCGTGCGGCACGCCGGGGTACAGGTGGAACTCGACCTCGACGTTCTCCCGGGCCAGCCGCGCCGCGTACTCGACGCACTCGTCCCGGAACAGGTCCAGCCCGCCGACGTCGATGTACGTCGGCGGCAGGCCCGCGAGGCTGGCCGCCCGCGCGGGCGCCGCGTAGGCGCTGACGTCGGCCTCGGGCTTCCCGCGCCTGCCCGCGCCGACGTAGGCGTCCCACGCCATGGCGTTCTCCTCGGCCTTCCACGTCAGGAACGGGAGCGCGGGCCAGTCGGCCGGGTAGCGGGTCGTCGTGCGGTCGTCGAGCATCGGGTAGACGAGGATCTGCTTGGCCAGCGGCGGGTCCAGCCCCGCGTCGCGCGCCATGAGCGCCGCCCCGGCCGCGATGTTGCCGCCGGCGCTGTCGCCAAACACGGCGATGCGGGCCGGGTCGACGTTGAACTCGGCCGCGCGCCGCGACAGCCACTGCAGCGCCGCGAAGCAGTCCTCGACACCCGCGGGGCCCGGGTGCTCGGGCGCGAGCCGGTAGTCCACGGCCCAGTACTGCACGCCCGCCTGGGCGACGTAGCGCGCGATCTGGGGCGCAAAGATCTCGACCGACCCGCTGACGAGGCCACCGCCGTGGGTCATGACCACCGCCGGCAGGGGCTCCGCGCTGGCCGCCTGCTCGGCCGTGGCGAAGCGGACAAAGTCGAACCTGGTCCCGTCGAGGCTCTCGACCTCGAATTTGGTCTCCTGCACGTCTGGCGGGTACGGCAATGCTCGGAAGAGCGCTGCCAGGATCGGATCGCTCCTCGCCCGGATTTCAAGGACGCTCCGGGATGGCGGAGGCGGGTTTGCAGGGATCCTATGCTTCACGACGGCCCAATATTCCGGATCATAGCGCAGCTTGCAAGCCGCCGTGGTAGGAGCCGTGGTAGGAGCCGTCGCCATCGCGAATAATGCACCGCATGCAGCAGCAAGGCGAACGATCAGGCACTCGGGAAAAGCTATGCACCAGTCTGCGCCTCTCGAGACAAGAGTTGACAAAATATAAATCCCCACGAATTGCGGTATTAGTGGCAGTGTGGGGACATCAACCGGATCCGTGGGAAACAATCCCGTCGGTGATTTACATCCCACATCCACTTTCAACAGCTGCTTGGAGATCACAGTGCTTGTCGTGAGCGACAAGAACCGTGGGGCCGATGCCAGACAGTCTGGGCCCGCTAACGGTAAAATGGGACGGTCTTCCGACTGCTTGGTAACCCCGGCGGCTGATTTCCATAAAAGCCGCGATTTTAAAGCAATAAAGAGAACATCACGAAAAGCCACAAGAAGCTGAGAAGCACGTTGACTTGATGCTGCAACCCACGGTAGGGGCGATATGATTAGCAACCATAACAATCAGGACTGCAACGGGAGTGACAAGGGCTCAATGGTATCGACTGAAGTATCCTCTGCCGTAAACTCCAGGATGTTGAGATTTCAGAGGCCCTCACATGCTTTCTCGCACAGAGCACGGTCTATGTGACAGGTTTGAGCCCCAGGCGAATAACAATTGAGTACATAGTAGACACTACCAAGGTCGGCAAGCGAATTTCAGGATTCTCCTGGCCAAAATTCAAACCCTTACAAGTGCTACAGTGAACACAAGTAATATGGCGAGTCTAGCAATCGTTGGCCGACGTCCATGAACGGCATTCGCACTAGAAAACCCCGCAGACATGTATCGTTTACCTGGGAGTTCCATGCCCAAGCAATCCTCCAAGCCCTGTATTGCCTTTGTGGCCCCAACCCCCCTCTCATTGTAGCTCTCCGGAACCTGACACCACAGGTAGCATCCCTCGACCTGATAGACCTCACTAGGCCAGCAACAGGTCTCCATGGGTCCGCGAGTGGAGTTGGATCCTACTTTCTTGGGCATGACGACTATGCTGATATCACCGGGAAGGGAGGCTCTGTCGAGGTCCATCGCAGTGCTCGGCGGGCATTTGTGGCTGTGCGTTCCGTTCCCCATATCGAATGTAGGAGAGTGATCAAGCCGTATACAAGTGCCGAAAATAGAGTCTCGGTGGGCAGGCTTGCGTTGAGTGGAAATGTACTCCCCCGAGGGTGGTCGAATGGTATGAAGCTTCTTCAATGGAGGTAAGTTGGAAGATGAAAGTGAAAATAAGTGACGTGGATACACTGCCAATCAAGAGTGGTGTCCTCGACGTCTCTTTCTAAGTCACCAACCTTTATGCCAGCCGAGAGGAGATTGTCCGGTGACAGAAAATGCTTCTCAAAACCCGCGCAATCGAGCGTGATCTCTGGTCCTAGGGGGTTGCGAAATAGAACCAGAGATTCTGAAACATAGCTCCGATACATATCAACAACCCTTATTGTTCTTCACTACAGTTTGTGAAACATCTATACCAAAGACTAAATCTCTTTGGAAACTAATCAGCTGTTTGCCAGCCAAATTTGGAATGTCTGGTGACGTAAAAGTCTTCTCAAAACCTACACAACCAAGTGTAACCTCTGGTCTATCACAGCCAGGATGAGATTGTATGGTGACATGAAAGACTTCTCAAAATCTATACAACCGAGTGCAATCTCTGGTTCAAGCTAATTAAGATGAGGTCGTCCGGCGACATAAAGGTCTTCTCAAAACTCGCGCAATCGAGCGCGATTTCTGGTCCTACAACATTGCGAGAGCTAGCCCCAATATGTCAGCAACCCCAACCTCTCGTCGTTCCGTTTGCGAGATACATTACCTCTCAAACAATAGGTCCATGTTGGATGTAGAAAGAGCTTAGTGTTTGGTCATCATATAAAGATTGTGAAGCGGTATTCTATTCGGCTTGAACGCCATAAGATCGCTACATCTGGTATCCCTTTGACGGCCGCAACTGCAGTCACATGCAATTCTTGCCCTTTTAAGTAACCAGATTCCCTGATCTATCCCTGTCTCTGCTACTCTGATTAGCCGAAGATCACCGGTATCCACGTGACTGCAGTTGCGGCCGTCAAAGGGATACAAGATGAGCAGATATCGGATCGTGTTAAAACCTCAACCATAATTATATATAGTATATAGAGCAACAGAAACATGTATTCAAGGGGTTATAACTCGACATATAGCTGATCTTGAAATACTGTATAATTCAGTCAATCCCATTGGGGCCTGAACCCTTTTCATCATTCTTCTTGATCAACATCTCCTTGATCCTTCAATAAGTCCTATACCACCTTTTTCTTTCTGTCTTAATTCCATGCTCGTCTACCAACCCCACCAGCCTGAGTAAGGACATCCACTACAATGCCGCTCCATCTACTTGCCAGCATTAGCTTCGCGATAGGCCAAACAGCGCTGTTTCTCTAGTCTCCCACTCTTCAAGACATATGTGTAGACTTGAAGTCTTATAAGCCAACTTCAGTCTTTATCATTGAAGCTTAGAACCTCCACCGCTCTCAATTGCATGGCTATTCATGCTCATCAGAGCTGAAAACTGGACAATCTGAGGCTTACCCTCTGTCCTTCGTGGTAGACGAGTTCGAGTTCGGGTTCGACAACCTGACCGTCAGCAATGAGACACATTCCGTAGATGGGGACGAATCGGTTGATTGCGGCCGAATCGTCAGCGACAACGAGGCTATAATATCCTGCACGATATCACTTCCAGCGACTGACCTTCACCTCCAACCCGTCACCGTTGCGAAGCGTCAAAGTTGCTTTCCTCGGGGAGACCTCGACCCGCAGAATATCCATCTCGCTCTTGAGTACACCCAGTTCAACATATCCGATTCTTTGGGCAATTCTACATCTCACGGAGAACGTTGTATCGTCAGACGAGGTGGAAGAGGGGGGATCTTCGATGCGAACGGGCACCGCGAGCACGCGCTTGAACAGAGTCATGACCACTCTGCTTCGACGAGTGGCGGTTTCGAAATGGAAGAAACGCACACGACCGGCAATGATTATAGCTGTGATGGCAAGCCTGGAGATACTATGATGTCGCCAAACAAGAATAACGTGGGGTGGCGCTTCTATCGTGTGCATGATTATAGGTACGTCCGAACAATTGGTTTTCAGTACATTGACTATAATGAGCCTTGTTGGCGATCCCTCCACCGCAAACTTTACGGAAACCAGCGATAGTGAACACTCGGATGGCGATTAGTATGGGCCCCTTTCTCTTCAGCCATTCTCTGCAGATATCAACTTCTCTCATAGGAGAGCAAAAGATGTGGTGATACCTGTTAGCTTCAATCCTGATCGGTAAATGCCAACAGGAGTAAGGTTTCATTTCGATGTGGCCTCAAGCAACGCAAGTCCCAGCTTATCACCGAGTTATCAGTTGCGCAAAATGGACCCGACCACACCATTGTAGCTGCACCATACGGATTAAGGCGGGGTGGCAACGATCTGTGATGGACACATTTACCGAGGAGACGGAAGGATCGGGGGTCCAGGTACTAGGAGTCGTTCGATGGGCAGAGGAATCATTCTGGAAGCTCGCATCGCGGCCCCCGCCAGATCAGAGTTGTCAAGGACGCGAAGGGGGGCAGCTGAAAAGCCTGGAGACATGTCTAGTAAGCAGCCCCTTGGCAAACTCTGAGGAGGTCGAAGGGTGGGGTTCTCGATCTCAACACCATCCACCGATTCCCACAGCTGTCGTGAATAAGAACCCAAGCCCCACCGCAGTACACAATCGCGGCCTTGCGAGCATTGCGGTCTGGAGGAGGGCCTGCTTCGTTGCGGTGTACCTAGCATTGCAGAGATTCGGTCCGGCCTGCGTAAGGGGAGTAGCGTCCTGCACCTTGAGGAGAATCGTGCGAGTCCCGGCAAGTTCACAAGACCAGGTACCTAGATGGAGGAAGCCAAGGATGGTACTATCCGTAACCTACCTGACTCTGGTCTGGAAGCTCTTGGTACGGTAGCCGAGTTGCTCTGGGGATGGTTCCACCAGCGGAGGTTGTCCCTGCCCAAAGGCTGGGCCAGCACGGACAGAGAAGCGTCCTGGACGGACCAAACCAAAGGCCAACTAGTTCGAATGCCTTAGGGCTGACGGAATGCCGGCTTGGGGCCAGGGCAAAGGAGGTTTCCGAGGTATCCAGAAGTTCGGATCCGAGAGAGCAGAACTATTGAGTTCATAATAGAACAAACTAAGGAGCGTACTAGCTATGGTGTTCACTATGGACGGGGTGAACAAGGGGTAACTACGGAGTAGGAGCTGCTTGCAGATCGGGAGACATACCGAGACAACAAGCCAGTGAGCGCAGCGATTACCGATGCGAAGGTTCAGTCGTTGTACACGACCCCGTCACCAGCCGTTCAGCTTGCATCCTTGGACCCTTGAATCATGGGGGGAAGGGGAGAGGTGGCTCCTGGGAATGATGCGATTGGCGAGGGAGCTTGTCGGATGGCAGCGCTCGTCTTTCCGCAGGTGAAAGACAGCGGGTCACACAGGAGCAAGTGGGCGTAGAGAATCCTCCGGGTTTAAGACATGGGAAGATTGACATGATTCAAAAAGGCAAGTCCAGTCCAATGGGAGCCAATGGAAGTGGCCACGCCCTTTTTGATTCTCGTAAACGCGCATGTTGAGACGCGGGAGGCGAGGGGAAGAAAGGCCAACCATTCGCAGCACCCACCTGGTCTCTTGATGTTTTTCTTCTCTTCCTGTCGTGGGAAATAGGATGTTCTCCCTCCTACCCGCCGTAGATTGTAGTAGTCCGAAGGCATTTTAGTCCACGACCGTGCGGACAATGAAAAGGGTTCAGGGCGGCGGGACGGGCAAATTCGAAACCCCGAATTAATTCGGAGGGTGTGAAGAGACCGCTGATGCCATGCGGTAGCGCGATTCCAGTTGAGTTTCGTCACTGTAGCGTAGGCCGCGGGACGCGGGCCTTGGTACGTGTTGGGACAACGGCGGCAGAGAGGTCCACAGATGCGACAGTCTTTGAGATCGAGAGATCTAAGAGCTAGCGAGAATGGCGGCAAACACACAAACTTACGCGTAAACAGCTGACCTCGCGATCGATGTAGCCGTGGATACCACAGAGGCGTGTTCAGTAATCAAAGAGAGAAATAAATAGCTGACTAAAAATGACATCTAAAGAGGAGAGCAAAGCAAAGGGGTTGTTAATTATTCAACCATTCAGCGATGGCTTGCGGACAATGTGCTCCGAGTGAAGATCACTGAGCCACAAGTTGTGGCGGCAGCCTAACCTGTAGCGAACCAGGGCAGGCGGACTTGGGCGCAGAATCCCATGCTGATGAAACATGGGATTTAGCATTTTATCGGTTCACTAACTAGGTACAAGCCAGCCGAGGCGAGTCGCCACAACAAATGACAGCATGCCTGGCGGCCTATTCGCTGTGCAATACCTTTTTCTGCTTGGGTGCCTGGGTGCTAGTAGGGAGCTATCAAAAGGGTTAAAATGATGAGAAATCAAGTATCATTCCTCTGGGTTTTGCACCCAGATGGCCAAAGCTTGCCGGAGCGTGGATGTCATGAGAGGTAATGTCTGCAACCAGGCCCCAATCGAGGGATGCGACAGGCTACTTTTTGCCTGTGGGCGAGCGAGCAGGTTTAGATTGGCTTTCCAGCACAGCGATCCGACTAGTACCAGTGGAGGGGGACCGCTGTGATCCGCAACGGGAACCCCTCCCTCCCCCATCAAGGTACCTTGGGTACTTATCGCCTCGATCAGTGACCTTTGAAGCAGGTCCGGGTGGTGGGTCCAGCAGGCCTGGGAGCTAAGCAGCCGCAGATTGTTAACGGCGTTTGTAGTCCTTTGTCACTGTCGAGGTACCCGCACTCCCGATGAGTGTGCCTGCTTCACAGCTCTCGATCGTCTGCTGAACACCCAGCCGGATGCTTTGCTCCGGGCCACGTCCTGCACGACGGCACATGTTCCAAAACAAACTGAGCAGAGGCCTCGCCAGCTCAAGATCTGCCTCTTGGAACTCGCTCGAAGTTCCATAAACCATCAAGAACCATGCATGTTTCTGCCCCAGAAGGTTCTCTCTCCCGAGACCACCTGCTCCAAGGCGCATTAGACAAGTCTGACGTAGGTTCTAACGTGCAAGCAAGCCACACCCGCAACTCTGCTCTACCTGGCAGGCTCGACGTCATTTCCCACATTGCCTCCATTCTGCCTCCATGTTGGCGATAATGAATAACTGGATATTGGATACTGGACATCCACACACGCCTCTGACTGCCGACGCCACTTGCCAAGGCTGGGCGATAAGCCGTTCGTTACCTTGATATCTCACCTGTTGCCATCCGCATCGGGCAGTGGGCCACACTTTCTGTTTCATCAGGCGGCCGTCAAGCTCTTTTATCAAAGAGTGTGATGTCGCACCATCCGTTCACCGGAAGTTGTCGTCCCACCCCAAGTACAGGAGACACCCCCCAGTCCGCTCAGCCGTACGCACAGTCAACGGGATGGGATGGGAACGACAACCCCCAGCCGATCAATACAAGTACGGCAAGGGGCCCGGACACTGGGACCATTTAACTCAACCAACCTGGTGAGCTGGCCTCCGTCGGCCCACGGAAGTTTCTGGACAAAAGCTCGCCAACTTTGCCGTAACTGGTTGTCTCTTTGTTATCTTCTGTTGACAAATCAATTCGGCCGAGATTGAAACGTCCCAGCCGACTGTTTCGGTCGGGCTTGGTCACGGCAATTCGACGCTTCCAGCAAGCAACGGAATCAACCCGTCCAGCAGGAGTGCACCCAAGGGACAACGTTTGAGCTAGGACACTGGGCCAGAAGTTAACTTCAACTTCTGTAAGGGTTGTGTCACAAGTGTGGAGAAGGTGCTCGGCGCTCGCTGGCATAATTAGGTACCTAGGTAGGTATGAGGGTATCTTACTACTCCCGGCTCCCCACGTTGCCGGAACTGATGGGATTTCTCCACTGCTAGCCTCCAGACAGAACCGGATTTGTGCAGGAAATATGAAGTAAGATTGACAGGTCTGTGGATTGGCAAGATTGGGTTCCCTGAGGGTGTGTACGTTCAGGTGTGGCTGTTGGGATGGCTGATCTCGAGGTCGCCGACCGCCCTGTCATGGGTGGTCGATCCATACCAGCGGGCGTCGTCGATATGGTTATCTTTTTCTTTCTTTCTTAACCCGGGAGATTTCGCATAAGAAATCAAGTGCCCTGGCGCCCCTGACTAGCGGTGCCCCTGGATGTCTTCTTTCCCCTCAGAGAGAGTCCGAGAGTACCTAGGTAGAGTGCGAAAGCGAAGAGAAAGCGAAAGCTGGAGAGTACCGTATTCGCATTCACTAATCATTGGGCGCATGCACGACTGGAGGACCCGGGCACGCACTGCAAGTCGACCAGTGTGGGCTCATTGGCCCACGGCGCCCTGGCCGGTCCCGGTGGAGGCAGCGCCACGATTGGTGTTGCTGAACTGGGTGGGTGGTGCAGCTGGCGTGAGTGGTCTCTGGGAGGGTTTCTCTGCCTCTCTGCCAGGGAACTAGAGAGGTACTTGCAAAAGTACCTGTCGCTAACAATTCCAGCGCCCCATCGAGATCGATCGTCGCTGCTATGTCCCGATCCCAGCGGTTTCCTGGGACGCACGATCGATGTTTCTTGCTCAACGAGAGGAGCAAGACAAGACACCAGCGCAGAAGGCCTAGCTACCTATAGGTAGGTACCACGTCCCATGTCAACGCACCGCACCATTGCCTGCTTGGGAGGGCCCTTGCCGTTGCATTTCTTGTCTCGGAGCAACTCTACCTCTTCACAGGTGTCGGTACAGGTCAAGTATCCCATTGAGCCAGCATGTAACTAACTACCTAGGTAGCTCTGTAGCTTTTTTCTGCACCATCGCCCACCTGCAAGGGTTGCTGGACGCTACCCGCCGCCCGCACATTGCCCACGTCCAGAGTTATTATATAGACTTCAGGCACCCGTATCGCCGGGCCATCTGGTCCTTTGATCCCTCCTCCTACCAACAATACATGTTTGATGAACCTGTGTGTCTGTGTAGCCACCAGAAGGACTTTTGTTTCACATAACAACTCACAACACCAACCGCGTCCCAGACTTACACACAAGCACAGTATCTCACGAACTCGTGCTTATACTTGCTTGCGTGTCAACCATACATCGTGCAGTCTTCTGGGTTATACACCCTAGCTCGACCTGTGCTGTCGGCTTCCAAGAAGTCGTCTTTTCTACCAGCTTCTAGGCTGTCAACTTCACACATTCTCAGAACAAGTGTTGCCATGCCGAAGCGTCCTTCCGACACTCCCGCCCCCGGGCCGGCTCCCCTTGACAAACTCATGAAGAAAGTCAGTGGACTCACCCTATGCTGCTCTCGCCGAGCCAGAACCAGTCTTTCTAACCAACCCCAGACCGAGCGTAGCCATGAAGAAAACCAGGAGAGAGCCTACATCGCCGCCTCGCGGAGAGCTGACCGCAGCATCGAGGCCCGAGTGCAGTCCGCGCGCATGGCCTCCGAGATCCACAAGAAGAGGACCGGAAAGGGATTCAAGATCTCGGAGGAGATCGTCATGAAGGAGGAGATGTACGAGGAGGAGGAGGACGATCTGCCCCGCCAGTACCGCGCCCTCGCAGCGCACATGCAGACGAGCAACGGCGAGCTCAACAGCAGGCTCTCCGCCTACATTACCAGCAACGTCGCCATGAGGACCCTGGCCCGCGAGCAGGAAGTCCACCGGATGTTTGCCGAGCAGTTCCCCAACGCGTCTCAGATCTCACAGCAGCTGTCTCGATCCATGTACATGCAGCCTCTGCAGCAGCAGCAGCAGCAGCAGCAGCAGCAGCAGCAGCAGCATCGGAGCCCGATCTCGCCGACTTTCCCAGAGATGAACTACGCAGCTGACCAATTCAAGAGGGAGCGGTCGCACTCGATCGCTCCTTCGGTCGACATGTCGCCTCGCACATCTATCGCCATGGCCCCCAGCCCAAGCCCGGCTATGCGCAACGGCTCCTTGGACGGCCCTATGTCACCCCCCGTCCTGTCGCCCGGATCGCAGTCCACCGAGACTACCCAGTCTACTTCGCTCCATCGCAACGGCTCGAGTTACCAGTCGTCGACATACTCGGCTCGGCCATCCACAGCGGCTACGGCCGAGCCTCTCTCCATGCCGATGCCTTCCATGCCCACCTCGTCCTCTTTCACGTCCGAGTTCCCTCCCGAGCTTAAGCAGCTCGCTGGTCCTGGGCTCGACTGGAACGACCCGATGGCGAGCAGCTTCATGGGCCTTGACGGCGGCTTCGGCGGAGACTCTAGCTTGAGCTTTGACTGGATGAATTATGTCACCATGCCTGGCGGACAGAGTACGATGCCGGCTATGGACGATCCGACGCCCAAGTACTTCTTTGACCAGGACGTGGCCGCCGCCGCGCCTTCCTTTGACCTCCCGGCCTCTCAGAGCACGGTTGGCACGCCGGGTGCTGGCGGCGATTCGTGGGAATCATGGCTGCACACCGACCAGTTCGCTGCCGAGGACCAGCATTGACCGTCGAGCGCTGCACAAATGGGCCGCTCGCAGGTCTGTCTCGTCCTAGGCTTTGGCATCTTGGATGATCTGCGTCCAATCTAATATCCCACCACTATGACGATTTCTTCTTTCTTTTTCCATCTTACGGCAATTCGGCGTTCTTACTGGATATCTCGCTTTGGACCCAGAGTTTCGGGGCTCGCCTCCTTCCACAAGGCCAAAGAACCTTCTTTGCCCGGTATATCTTTTTCCATCTCTATTTTTAATCTTTTCAGGGCCCCTGGTCCCTTCGGCGAAAGGCGGCATTGGACCCTCGTGTGTAGAGGGCGAGAGAGATACCCCCTTTCCGATGTGCTATCAGGCACATTTATTGCATTAGACGGAGCAAACAAAGCGGGCGGAGTTTTTTCTTGGGCGGGCAGGCTTTGAGGCCCTTGCCCACCGGATCGCATCATGGATTATTACATCTACTTGGTTAACGCGAGACCACATCTCCCATATTACTGGTTGAGAATCACGAGAGATACCCCCGGCCGCGAGGCGAAAGGACGAAACACGAGTGAAGCGGGGGGCGGGGGGAGGGAGGGCAAGAGAGCCAGGAGAAAACGCAGGAGATCTGTTTCCTGGCCACTCGGCAGCGTCTTTCCAAGGGCTGGAATATGCTCGACTTGAGGCGCTGTTCAGAGTGGCGGCGAATACACAAGAAAGCCAGCTATTATTATTGGCATATTTGCTCTTTGGGAAATGGGGGGAGGCAACAAACGGTGGATTGACGTGGGAAAGGGTACAACCAGGCGCGCTCCTCTGCCTGCTTTTTTTGTTTCCATCAAGGGATCCGCGAAAGAAGGGAAGGCGGCTCTAATGATACCATGATTTTGAGGAGGGGGAGGGGGCCAAAAATCGGCCTTCGAGGAGAGAGCTATGAACTGTTGGGTTGTGCGAGAAAGCGCCTTCTCGAAAAACAACACGAAATCAGAGAAAAAATAGTATAATCTCGAGAAAATCATTTGGTACATGCCTCGTATTGACTCGTGATACTTTTGACATGACCGTGTGCTGTCATGTCCTCTTTAAACAAAGGCCTATCTGTGGTGAGGATCTGTGGTGAGGCACCAAGCACATTCGAACAACTCTCCATAAGGACAGTCAAAGGGTATCATCTGCTATTATGCGGCGCATAAATGACTTTCTGGATTTCTAGGTGCTCGTCTCCGCCCTCGCCGCCATCCTGTCGCGCGTCAAGCCGACCATGTTCGGATTCGCCCTGCCGCCCCCGAACCCCTTCCTCCCACCGCCGCGCCCGCCCTCCTGCGGCCCGGCCGCCTTGAGCCTGGGCGTGGCGGCCACGCGCGCGTCCTCCGGGTCGACCTCCTTGGCCCAGCGCACCCAGTCGCTGCGCCGGTTCTTCCACAGGTCGCCCCTCCACGAGCGCCAGACGCTGCGCCCCGTCCACGAGTCGCGCAGGCCCTTCTCCTGCGCGCCGAGGCGCGCCATGACGGCCTCCTTGAGGTGGAAGGGCACGGCGATGCCGCCGCCGCTGTCGCCGCCCCCGCGCGAGGGCGCCGCGATGACGGCGTTGAGCACGTTGTGGCCCTGCTGCGAGGCGGCGAGGGCGACGGCGTGCGGCATGAGGGCTGCGACCAGCGACTTGTGGAACACGGGGTTCTGCGAGGGCGTCTCGAGCGCCTTCACCAGCACGTTGGCCGTGGCCGGCGCGGTGGCGAGCTTGAGGATGTCGTCGGACGAGAGGGCGAGCAGAGACTTCTGGATCGCCTTCTGCGGCGAGCCGTGGATGCCGAGAAGGGTGATGACCAGCTGGCTTCCGTGGGACACCATGGCCGACTTGTTCTTGACGAATCCCTGCGGTTCGTCCTTCTTTGGTGCGGACTCGTCTGCGTCGAGGAAGCACAGTTTGGTGACCAGTGCATCGCCTTCGGCCTCGTAGGCCGCACAGACAGCTTTGAGAAGAGTATCGATTTCCGGCCTCGCGTTTCGTACATCACAGCGTTCGAAGAGAGCTTTGAGGACGTTAAATCGCCCCTTTTCCACGAGGACCGGCACTTGGGACAGGGTCTTGTTGACGGCCTCGACTAGATCCTCCTTGCTCATCCGGTTGAGGGCCTTGATTGCGGGGTAGGAAGCAATATCATTGCGGAGGAAGCTGTGTATCCTCGGCGCGAGGATGTTGGTATTCAAGGCTTTGAATATCCTGCCCGGGCAGTTGGAAATCAGCGTTTCCAACAGCCTAGAGCCGATCGGGTCATAGAGTAGAGTATTGACGAGGTCATAAGCAGGAGAATCGGTACTGCTGAGGGAGGCCGGTGCACCAGGGAGAAGCCGCTCCAACAGAGTGGGTTCTTCTGTCTGTTCTTCTTCCTTCTCCCCCTTCTTGCTTTTCTTCTTCTTCTGGTTCACCGAGAGGTCCAGGTCGAGCAATAGCTGAAGCACTGGATTGCCGGTCGGATGCGTAGCCAGGACGCGGAGGGCCGTCGAATCCATGGCCGCTGTCGTGTCGGCAATGATTTTTCGGATGGCCAATGCGAAAGAGTCTGGAACAGCTCTGGTATCGGAGGCCAGCTCGCCCGACAAGGCCGAAGCGCCAGCCACCGTGATGTGTTCTTTCTTCTTGCTCTGTATTAGTGACTTTGTGGAAACCTGATCGAGAGGACGCCCTGACAGAACAACAAGGAGGACTCTCAGAGTGTGAGATGCGAACCGGTCTGACATGATGTAGGTCAGATGTGCTTCGAGCTCGTCAAGCGTCAAGAGAAACAGTTCTTCCATCGCCGCAGCGGGCTTGGCCTCTTCGCTACCCTCTTCCACCGCCTCTTCCACGCCATTCGCAAGCTCCTGTGTGACCACTGGGGCAGACTGAATGAACAGCTTCTCGCAGCAGTGGCTCGCGAACCGGTGCGTAACGAGGGACGCAAAATGGCCCGCAAACGCCTCGAACAGGTGCTTCTTTTGCCTCGTGTTGGACAGCAGGATCAGCCGCTCCATCAACCGCGAGCACGATTGACTGCTTGCCAGCTTGAGCTCCTTGCCCTCAGCCTCCTTGTACACGTTCTCGAGGAAGACGTCGCGGTCTTCGGCCGAGCCAAAGTCGTTCAGCTCGAGCAGCTCGTCCGCCCTTCGGAAGTATTCCTGCTCCTCGTCCGCCAGCATACCGAAGAACTCTCGCTCCGGGGCTTGACCGCCGCCACCACCCCCTCCTCTCCCTACATGTGGCCCCTGTTCATGGGCATTTCCGTCGTCAAGGGGAATGTAGTCCTGGCCATCTCCCTCACCATCTCCCTCTGGCTCTCCGTCCTGTACTCGTTGACGTTTGGTCGCGCGGTTCTCGTCGTCGGCGACTTCCCTGTCACGCTTCTTCTTGCGCTTCTCGTCGCGAATGAGCTGACGCTTGGACTTTCGGGCACCCATCTTCGTATTTTGTATAGGAGGGGGGCGAAGGACTCTGGGCTTGGTTAATTGAAGAGTATCCTTAACTGTACCTAATGTTACTACAATGGCAGAATAATTTTTTTAGGCGGGGATCGTTATCTTATCGGTATCGATTGTTGCTCCACCGGATGAAACGGTCGGGGTGCATTGCTGTTTTCCAGGGTCCTCTTCAGCCCCTAGGTACCTAGCCTAGGTATCTCTTTACTGCCTGTTTTACTTGATTGGGCGATAGCTTCCGGTTCTTTTGTTGGTTCTGAGAGGGAATGAGGCGTGTAATATATTGGTTGTACATCGTCTACGTGATGTCTATGGTCTCTATTAACCTAGGTATCTTATATGATCTAGTCTGTATCAGAATCTTTGACTTTTCTCCTTTTTCTTCTTCTTTTTCTAGCTCTCCATCTCCTTTCCAATCTCCTCAATGGCACGCACAAGCCCCTCGACCGTGCCCCTGAGCGTCTGCCAGTTCACCACGACGCGAAAGAAACTGCCCCTTTCGCCAGGGGAAAAGTCCACCATGAAGCCTCTCGAGATCAGCTTGTGCACCATGTCTCTCGTCCTCGCCGTGTTGCCCTCATTGCTATCGGACAGCCTGCCCCCAGGCGCGTAGTAGAAGCACACCTGCAGGCAAGGAGGCGGGTTAGTCGACACGAGAACGAAGTTGTCCTTCTTCTGCACGAGGGTCGCCAGATAGGCCGCCATGTCAAAGGCGTGGTCTATCTGCCGCTCGAAGCCGGCAGCGCCGTGGAAGATCCACGACAAGGCGAGCTTGAGACTGTCGCCCTTGCGGCCGCACTGCAGGGTCAGGTCCGCCAGGTCCCACACCTCTTCCGACTCGGCATCATCGTTGTGGAACAAGTATCCCGCCGGCAGGGTGTTGGCCTTGTGGAAGATGCTCATGTCGCGGCCCAGCAGGAAGGAGCAGCTCACGGGCACGTTCATCATCTTGTGAGGGTTCATGGTGATGGTGTCAGCCAGGTGGGAGCCGCGCAGCTTGTGGCGCTGCTGGGCGGAGAAGATGGCCGGGCCGCCCCAGCTGCCGTCGATGTGCATCCACAGATTGAACTCCTTACAGACATCCGAAATCTCCTCGAAAGGATCGAAGGAGCCCATGACGGTGGTGCCAGCAGTGGCATTGACATAGAGCGGCGTCTTTCCCTCAGCCTTGGCCTTGAGCACGAGCTCACGCAGCTTGGAGGGGATCATGCGGCCCTCGGAGTCGACCGGGACAGACCAGGCATTGTTTGAGCCTATGCCGCATATTTGGGCAGCCTTCTTCACCGAGTAGTGACCGTGCGCACTCGTGAAGAGGATGAACTGATGCGGCGCATTACCGTCGGCCTTGGACTCCGGGTAAAGGGTGTTGCGGGCGATGACGATGGAGGTCAAGTTGGAGGCACTACCCCCAGACATGGTGAGACCTCCTGCCCTGGGGCCATCGAAACCGAAGCGCCTCGCGAGTGCACGTCCCGACGCCTTCTCGATGACGGTGAGCGCGGGCGAAACTTGGAATACATGCAGCTGTGGCCAAGGTCAACAAGAGTCCTTTGGGCGGGTTTACATGCCATGCAGAGGAACCTACGTTTGTGTTCAGTATGGACAGCAACAGCTCTGAAGCCACACCGACCTGCACTGTATCAGTAGTTTACTCGGGTCTGTCCTGGCGCGGTGCGACTCACAGCGTTGGTGCTGGAATAGAGCTTGTCCATGAAGCCCTGGTCCCAGGTGTTGACACTGTAGCGGAGCACATCTTGCATCACCCGTACCAGGCCCTCCTTACCTTGGCCTTCGCCCTCGGGCAGAGAGAACTTGAGGGCCTGGAGCAGCTCCTGCGGCGTCTTGGTCTCTACCAAGCTGGTCCTCGTCGGCGCGTGGCCGTTGGAGCCGTTGGAGCCGTTGGAGCCATTGGTGGCCGGAGCACCTCCCCGACTCTTGGTTGCGGCGGCCTCGTCGGCAGCGCCAATGAAGGGAATGGCTAGGCTCTTGACGGCATCGATAAGCTGTAGGTCAACTATTTAGTAAGGTTGGCCCCGTGTTGAATTTATGCACCGCGATAAGGCCGCAATCTCACATCTGAAACTTCCTGGGCCCTGTTCAGGGTCTCGGGGCTTGCCAACGAGGCCCCCTTTGTGCCATTACTTTGCGTCATGGTCTTACAGTGTGGGTGGTGGTGGCGCTTTGCCGCTGTAGGTTGTGTTACCCCTCCCGCAGCTGGTTAGGTCGGAATGTGCATAGAATAAACTCTCAAAACCAAGTCTTTGCACCCCCTGAAGGATATCTGCACAATCTGTCATGCACTACAAGACGGGTGGGTGGACGTGATGGGAATCGTTGTCAACCCGTTGAGCGATTATATCATCACGAAAGATTTGCAAGGTGCACGCAATTGTTGCATGACTCCATGAAATGCTTATAGCCGAGGCCAGTCAGGGAACCAAAACTCAGTCAGCATATTACCTAGCCCATACGTCGCGGCTAATACAGATGGAGGCGCTAGTATGTTATTTCTCGATGAATTGGCACTGTAAGTAAGTGGTGGAGTGCCGTTGAAGTAAAAGTCCGGCAGACGCCACTCACCAGAAGGTACTGTGCTCGAGTATCTAGAGTAGCCAGCCGCATTATTTCCGGCCCAGCACCACTGGCCAATTTTGGGTCAGGTTTGGAAGCTTAAGCAGCCGCTGAGGGAGGTATTGGACCAGCCGGCACCGACACCGACACCGATCCCCTCGGTCAGTGATGCCCCAATCAAGGGCCTGCTGGGCTCCAATTGGAATTCTTCAACGGATCAACTGCCGCTCATGCTGCATGCACGCAAGGATGCCTTTGAACGAGCCAAAGCTCGAGCTGCTTTTGGCATGGATGATGCATTCCAAATCTGTACGGTTGCAGTGTTCAAGGACCGCGCGAAACAAACGCCGCGACCAATCGCAATGCGGAAAAGACGACGGAATATACCATGCTGCTGCTGCTTGGGTTGATATCGGCACTCGTAATGGTGGAGAGGGGACGACCAAGAACAATGCCAAATCAAATGTGTCCAGACCGGCAGGTGGACGATCCGTGCTCGTCCAAGATAGGTAAACACGACCCAATGTTTCGAAACGTTGACTGCCTCCGTGACGAGCCTGTTTGTGTTACTCAAAGTCGCATGACCATGAAACTTGCTGGCGCGCATAATTAGCTGCTGCTGTCTTCTTGTCGAGTGTTTGCATTCACAGGTGACAGGGCTTACCGCGCAGGGCGAGGTGCATGCGGAGATTTGCCGAGAGTAGACAAGATCTCCGCTCGGGCAACCTGGAAGGCACTGGCGGTGCCGTTTCCGAGCGGCGTGTAGGCTTCAAGGGTGTCTATTCATGTTGTCGATGGATTAATTCCGCGATGCCTCACGGCACGGAGTCGCAGGCTGCCCAAGGTTTGCCAGGCTTACTAGGCAGGCTAGCACGTCCGTTGCTTGTCTGCTTTCGTCGACCGGCAGCTATCTGTGCTGTGGCTAGCGGGCCACAGCCCCATCTGTCAGGCGGGCTCGAGGCGGGCTCGAGGGATGCAAGTCAAACCAAAAGAGAACGGCCACTGCACGATCCTTGTCAGCACGTGGAGATTCGGACATATTTTCTGGGGAGCCAGTTCCCTAGAACGCACAGGCAATTCACCTCAACGGGCATGGCGAGACGACGATCGAAGCAGGCGGCGGGCTCGGCCATTTCCGAGGGGATGATTTATTCATGCTGAATCGAGGTCAGCTCCCAGCACCTCTATGGGTGCCTGGAATGAGCAGGCAGGTACTTACCATGTCAAGAAAGGGGCCTTCTTGCGGCGAGTGCTCGCTTCTTGTCGTCCCCCACGGTGGATGGTGGATCAATTGATCAATGTGTTCAATCGAGGCTTGACAGGGCGGACGGTGGTTTGCCTCGGCGCTGATCAACTGCCGCTTCGGGCGACAACGGCGCTGTGCTTGGGCTAGCAGCAACACCAAGGCGATCCATCTCGAAACCCTGCAACATGGATCACAGCCTGACACTTACAAGTACGAAAAGAATACCGAGTACGGAGATGGAGATATCTACTTGTACTTGTACTCCTTACCTTACGAGTGATGATGGCCTGACCCCTGGTAGATTCACACACAAAGGCCAGAATGGCCAACTACAGCCACACAAAGGTCTATAAGCAGCAGGACCCTGAAAATAATGCTCCGCAGTCGCAGCTTGAGGTTACAACGGCCACCGACTGGGTGGGTATGCCGTCTCGGCCTATCTTGTCCAGAGCAAGCGAGAGACAAACAGGAAACACGCCGTCGGCCTATCGAGAGCACGAGCACATTGTGGATAGAGGACACTCCGTAGGTCTGCTAGTTAGGTGGTCTGTCCGGAGACTCTATGCGCGCAGCAAACCTCACAAGCAGCCAATGGATCGATCCCTTTCGAACTACATACCTCTTTGGTACGGTACGGAGTCAGTAACAAGAGCTACTCCGTAAAGGGGTTCTGTTTCCCAATCGTGTGTGAAAATTTTCCTCAGTGCTGCATGCATGCACGCGCGCAACCCGGCACACATCCTGGGCAATAGTGGTGGGCGCGAAAAGACAATCCATTTGAACCCCAGTCGATGATCGCTGGGTCTCCGGTGGAGGAGGAAACAAAAAGAGAGAACATGAAGCAAAGTGAAGAAGTACGTACTGTAAGGTACCTACCCTCAGGCCAACTCGTTCAATTGCACTTGTCCGCTCTGTGTTTCCTGCTTGCTAGGCCTCGATCCTTCGAGTTTCGAGTTTCGAGTTTCTCTTCTTGTCTTCTCCTTCTCCTCGCAGGCTCCTCACACTCTCGTCGATTTTCCAGTCACAGCAGCTCCGTCTCTTCTTCCTTTCCTGCCCTCGTTCATACGTGATTGATCACACGGTCTTGAAGCGTCCCTTCCCTTCCCTTCCCTTTCCCTTCCCTTTCCCTTCCCTTTCCTGACCTCACGACCCCTTTTCACTACATATCCGAGTCGACGCAAGGCAGTCACATCTGCAGGCGCATCCTCTCTTGCTCCTGCCCATTCGGTGCTTCCCCGCCTCCACAGAGCCTAATCATCCTCCAACCACGGCAGCCAAAGCTTCGGTTGCGGAACGCGCAAATTGAGGTTGGCCTCTCCTTTTTTTGCACCCCAATTCATATCCTCCTATCCGTGAACCGACGCGCACATATTCTCTCCCGGGAAACCATCCGGAGAAACACAGCTATCACGACGCCTACTTCTTCGACCGGACCCTCACAAATATTAGCCCCACTAGATGAAGCTCTATTTCCTTCAAAGACTCGATCAATTTCTCATTGCGATCCTCCGTCGCGGTTTCCCCTCCCCAAGCCTGTTCAGACCAACAACGCCCAGCTATTGGCATTGACAAGCCGCCCAGTTCGCGCCGCGTCGCTACTAGACCAGCCAAGTTCCCATCTACTAAAGCCAGCCCAGCCCGCCTGGCCACGTTTTCTTCCACTCTTCTCGCCCGGTAGACTCGCGCTACCCCACCAGGGTCCAGCGGCCGTCCCGGCAATCAGAGACACTCTGACGCATCTTCCCACCCAAAAAAAAAAGATAATCACAAGAAGTACACCAGACACGCCTTCACGCGCACACGCGACACCCCGAGGGACCATGCCGCACTCGGCGCACCCGTCCAACTCGCAGCCCCCGGTTCCCATCTCCATCACCATCTGCGGCGACGGCGGTTGCGGAAAGTCGTCGATAACACTGCGCCTCGTCCGCTCCCAGTGGACCTCCGAGTATGACCCGACCATCGAGGACAGCTACAGCATCACGCGCCGCATCGATGGCGCCACCTACCACCTCGCCCTGACCGACACGGCCGGCCAGGAGGAGTACAGGGGGATGTGGGCTTCGTCCAACCTCGGCGCCGACGCCTTCCTGCTCGTCTACGACATCACGTCGGCCGACTCGCTCGAGGCCCTGCAGTACTTCAACGACCTGATCGACATGGAGGCCGAGACGCGCCTCGACAACGCCGCCCGCGCGCGCCGCGCCGGCGTCCACGACAGCAGCGGCGGGGCGCGCACCGTGCCCCCAGTCAAGATCATCGCGGGCAACAAGTGCGACTTGCAGGAGAGCCGGCAGGTGACGGCCGCGCAAGGCCTGGACTGGGCCCGCCGGCACGGGTGCGGCTTCATGGAGACGAGCGCGCGCCTCGAGGTCAACATCGAGGAGACGTTTGCGCTCATCGTGCGGCGCGTCGCCGAGGCGCGCCGCCTGGCCGAGCTGGGCGTCGTCGACCACGACACGGCGCAGATGGATCGCCGGGGCATGACGAAACCCCTGAGCCCACTGCCGACGAGCGAGAGCGAGAAGAGCGGCGGCGGCGGAAATGGAAACGGCTCTGGTGGCGGAGGGAAGCAGAGGGCTGTGGGCCTGCGGGGGCCCAACTTCAAGGGCGGCAGCTTCGGTCGAGACGACGACGGCAAGGGGTTCTGGAAGACGCTGAGGTGCTGGTAGAGGTCGGAAGCATGGCTACCTGTCCTCTTGGTGACTTGGTCCGTAGGGGGGAACGATACAAGAGCGGACGAACGGACGAACGACTATGCGATCACGGTCGATTTTGACATTTCTCGGAGCTGGGCTAGCATGGCATTCTGGTTTTGATGTTTCTTTTATCCTTGTGTGTCTTTCTGTTGATGCCTCGTCAATAGACAGACGAGGAATTGGAGGATGAGAGCCGGGAAGAGGAGGAGGAACTTGCAAACTTGAGAGCGAGCCTGACACCTTTTGCTTTTTGATTCCCCGCTGTCCTTGAGAGCATGCGTGCGAGGCGAAAACAGAACATGTAGCACAGCGACTTTGACATTCGGAGGTCTCTTTTTTTTACTATCAGCATTGCTGTGGAGGGCAAAGGGGTGTCGTCATTTCCAAGGGATATACCTTTTTTTTCTGGCGTTGATTCGTGTCTCTGTGGAGGGTTTTAGCAGGCAAGCAGAGGAAAGTGGACGACTATACACTAATGAAGTTTGCATTTACACGGGGCTGTTGGCATGAGGAGACGCGAATGTGATGTATCCGGTCAATCCTCAGGGTGGCGGCCATGGGTCGATCAAGGGACAGTCATGCACCTTGTGTCAGTGAAGCGTAAATGTCTGGTGGATGCGTGTGAATTTCAAAAGAATACGGGAGATGAGAAGAGCAGTTTGGCGCTGCAGGAGCTGACGTCGGTCGCTCCTTCAGCCTCTATGTTCAAGTATAAACCTTTCTAAGTCCCTGTCCCAAAAACGCCAGTCGTGATATCCCATGCGCCCATGCTGATCCCTTACGTTGGTTGTATGTGTGCAAAACATTATGCAATATCTCAATTGCCATCCGATGCATGCCTCTCTCTCCAGCTGCCGGTGCGGTCTAGGCCTTCTTGTTGGTCTTGTCGACCCACTCCCTCCACTTCTTGTAGTCGGCGTACTCGAGGCTCTCCTTCTTGCCCTGGTAGCGCACGACGCTCAGCTCGACGTCGCGCCAGCGGTCCTTCTTGCCCATCCAGCCGGCCTTGCGCATGAGGCTGACCAGCGTCTCCTCCTTGGTCCACCCTTGCTCGACGGCCACGTCGGGCAGGTAGGTGGCGCCGTAGCGGCGGCCGTGGTGCGAGAAGCTGATGCGGATGCCGTGGGTGCCGAGCTCCCAGTCGTCGGCCGAGGCGGCGTCCTCGAAGTCGGTGAGCAGGGTGACGGCGACCTCGAGCGAGGGCAGCTCGCGGGCGGCGACGGGGTCGAAGCGCACGTCCTGCAGGGCCGAGGTCAGGGCGTACGACGAGAGGCCCTCCTCGAGCGGCTGCGGCTCAAAGGTGCCGATGCAGCCGCGCAGGCTGTGGCCGTGGCGCGGGGAGACGGTGTTCCAGGTCACGAAGAGCGGGGACTCGTCCTCCTCCTCCTCCTCGTCTTCTTCGTCGTCGTCGTCGTCCTCGCCGGGCAGCGACGAGAGGGACGTCATGGGCGTGTCCGCGCCGCCGCTGCCGTCGCCGCCGTCCGAGGAGGACTGCTGCGCGCCTGTGGAGAGGCTGGTGGTGGAGGTGGAGGTGGACGACGAGCCCGTCGAGGCGTCGGCCAGGCGGCGCAGGGCGGGCAGGCGCTTGGCGAGGCCGTCTGGGCCGGAGGAGCCGGCGGTGGCCTTGGCGTACTCGAGGAAGGACTTTTGCACCTCCTTGAGGGACAGGGGCTCGCGGTCCTGGAGCTCGGCGGCCAGCACCTCGAAGCAGTAGAGGCAGTGGGCGGGTGTAGCCATTACGCACGCTTGCAGTTCACACAGGTTGTCTTTTTTGCCAAGGTGTGAAATTTCGACCTTGAACTTGCTTTAAATAGACCCAGGTTTCTTTCTCGATGTGGCAAAAAGTCGGAAGACACAAGTTTTCACAAGGGAGACAATAGTATTTCGGTGCTGGTGCTGGTGCTGCGAGTGTGGGCACTCACTCTCCCGTAACCGGCAAAGGCAGAGAAAGCCGGGTCCGTGATCCGCACCGAGAAATGTCCGAAGACGGGGCTGGGTGTGCGGCAATGAGCTTGTTTACTGAAAGGGCACCCGAATCTCTGTTAGCCGGAGACTTGGTGGGGAGGGGGAGAGTGCGTGGTGGGAAGCGCTGAGGAATGGAAAAGGGGAGAGAGAGTAGGAAGAAGAGAGAAAACGAGAGAAAGGGTCTAGAGAGGGAGGCAGTGAGGTTGAAGGCCTGGATGGACGAGTCAGCCCAAAGTCCGGCCCGCTTCCAATTGGTAACCTTGGAACGGTTGTTAGTGGGCGTGTGCCGCTAAATCGAGCACATTTTGGACCCCGCTTTCGTGTCCTCCCCCGCATTTGGGCACTGTAAGCACTGTACGAGGTCAGCACATCACATGCATCATCATCCATCCTCCTCAGCGCTTGAGATAGCGTTATCTTATCGCATCTGTGCCTTGATGTTCCAGGCTCACCATACCCACTTCTGCTGCCACCATCTGCGGATCGAGAATCAGAGGTGATCGCCTATGCCCGACTCGGAAGCAACCAACTCAGTCCTAATGGCCACCTGTCGATAGCTGAGCCGAACGGCGGCGCACTGAATCACAGTGATGGAGCGAGCAGTTGGCCCGATGAGGGAGCTGTACATGTGCTGGGCGACGGCCTCCCTGCAGCCAGCCATTTGAATGGTTCCAGCCTTCATTCACCCAGGTCGTCATCCGTGGCTTGCTGCATCAAGCGCCCGAGAACAGGAGAGAACTCACTCTTTCAAATCAGCAGAAAAGGACCGTCAAATCGATTGGACTAGGGCGGCCCATTCAGTATTTGGCTTTTGAGCTTTTGAATGGGAGCTCAATCTTTGGATGATTGATCCTCTTTGATTTGGAGTGCAGCCAACAAGGACCCGGAGAAACACGCTTCGTCTTGTCTTGGCCAGGGCATGAAGGCACCAGCATGTGCCTGGCCAGCTCGACAAGATGTGGAACACGGAAGCTCGGGAAAGGGGCGGGAGGCTGTCTGATCTCCAGGCCCAGAACAGGGGTCTGTGACAAGACCCCCCATTCAGCCCGTCGCCCCGATTTGCAGTGCCAGCCTCGATACTCCCCGCCTTATCACTGTTGCAACCCAACTGAGCAGTCCAAGTTCTTGTCGACAGGGTATCTTACCCCATGGCGGCGGTTTCCTTGCTTCTTGCGGCAGTCGACTGGTTTCACCTCTCATCGGTTAAAGCTTCTTCGCCTTTAGCACACGCTAACGAAATTAACGTAGTAGGGGTATCTCCTTGACTCGGGACTCGAGTAGTTATGGAGCATCTCTTCTATCCCCTACCTTTCATTACGCGTCATTCGCAGGCCTGGGCTGTGCTCAGATCTAGGCTGTGCTCCTCTTCCTGGGAAGAGCCTCAAAGGATTCATGTTCGAGGCCCGCGATGGCAAGTGCCAAGGGTCTTGTCATGGCGGTTGTGGAAACCAAGCGAAGTCCGAGGGTCAGCCACCAACAGGGCCGCACCTTGGCCTGTTTCCCCCGTGGCCGGATAGACAGGAGTCTTGGGGATACGGGATAGAACCCTGAAAAGGTGAGAAACGGATGGGATTGTCCGTGGCGATGATCAGATCTCCTGCGTCGTCATGCCTTGGCGGCTGAAACCAGCCGGCCGCACATCTCCAAGTCGATCAAGCCTTGGGACCGTGATGCAGAATAAAAGCCCCTTCTCCCGTCCTGCCGTAGATTCCTCTCTTCTTTCTCTGCTCTCTATCTCTTTCTTCGCCGTCTATTTTCTTGTATTGAAATCTTACCTGCTCGTCGCCGGCCGACATCATCGCTCATTCTTGTCATCAACCGAGTTGAACTCAAATCACACCAACAGTCAAAATGAAGTACACCGTCTGCATCCTTGCCCTCGCCTCCGTCGCCTTCGGCGTCACTATCCAGGAGCGCAATGGTTCGTGGCAACTCGAAACCTACGGGATGTGACATGATCGAGTCCCACAGCATGCTAACATGAAGCATAGAGTTCATCAAGCGCCAGGCCAACACCCAGGATGCCGTCCCCGTCAACGTTGCCGCGATGACCGATGCGAACGGCAACGTCAAGCAGTTTGACTCCAAGGGAGTCTACCTCGACATGCAGGCCAAGGGTCTGTAAAGGATCAAGGCGCGTCGCCAGGTCAGCAAAGCTACGGGGGATGAGCGTGCATCCAGAACTCGATCAGACACGCAAAGAAAATAAAACAACAAGCCCATACGACGGCGTTGTACAGCATTTAATTTTGAGGATCACGATAGACTAGCAACAACCATCTTGGGACTTCAGACGTTTCTTGTTTGCGGGAGGAACCAGTTGGGATTGTTTGCAGCACAGGATGATCAGGGATCGCGGCATACCAGCGTCCGATCTTTGGAGCAAATAAGCTTACATTCAATACAACCTTTTGGCAAATGCCACCCTTTACCAGTTCCGGGGTCTACGGCCTAGGCCCAGTCCTGCACAAGAGATTTCTTCTTCCCCTGCACTGTCGGTACTCACTACCGTCAGTTCCAAGGGCAAGTCTGGAGATGTGAAACGCGGACCAAAAACACCCGTGCTCCACCCATGAAACCACGCCTTTTTCGTGAATACCATGCCGGTCGAGACCTTGCGGGCTCTTATAGAAGCTATGATTGCGATTTAACTCCCTGTTGTTGACAGCCGAGACTATGGCCGAAAGGCTACTGTTGCTCTGGCATCATTGGCAGTTCAAGTCGACTCGGGTCACTGTCCAGGCGCACGCACATCTGCGTTCATTCTGACGTGTCAGGAAGAGGTATTGCTGATCCAGGAGGTTTTATAACGCTCAAAAACAATGCTCTCATTGATTCCGATTCATCAAGTTTTTGGTTGGCAGTGGCTCTTTCAGGTCGAGCCACAAACTAACCTCGGTGCATCACTAATCAGACACAGGCCCATTTCCTCTCCTCCCGCATCCAGCATCCGGGATACTTGATCTCTTGATCTCCTGATCTCCTCTTACAGCAGGTCGGCCAGCTTCTCGCAGGCCTGGCCCGTGTTGACGCCCCAGGTCGTGGGCTTGGCCTGCAGGTACAGGGTGCCGTCCTCGACGACGCAGTCGCAGTACGAGCCGTTCTGGAGCTCGTCGACGACGCGCAGCGCCACGACGCCCTTGGCCAGCTCCTCGTTGAGCGCCTCGCGCATCATGTCGTCCTCGCCAAACTTGAGGTACTCGAGCGTGTAGGCGGCGCCGTCAAAGTACGAGTGCGCGATGTTGCCGAGGCTGCGCTGCCAGTCGTCGCGCAGGTCCGTCCCGGGCCGCTTGCTCTCCGCCTCGAGGCGCGCGCAGACGGCCTCGAAGCCGGGGTCCAGCTTGATGTCCTCGCGCTGCAGCAGCTTGGCGATCTTGGCGCGGACCTCGTCGATCTTGGGGTCGTACTCCTCGCGCACGCCCTGGCGCGCGAGGTAGCTCATCTTGGTGGTCGAGCCCTCGGCGGGCTCGGCCTCGTTGAGGGCGCGCGAGAGGCTCGCCGACGGCTCGAGCGCCTGGTCGACGTTGGTGCCGAGGCAGCCCTCGCGGAAGAGGATGACGAGCTTGCGGTCGCGCACCTCGGCGCCGCAGTAGCTGTACTTCTCGTGCTCGTCGAGGTCCATCTGCAGCACGTGCGCCGAGCAGATGCCGTTGACCTCGGCGACGCCCGCGTCGCCCTGGTACTGCTTGAAGTACTTGAGCTGGAAGATGGCGCCCTCGACATACGCCGCCAGGCAGCTGCCCACCGACTCCTTGGCCCAGCCGTCGCCGTGGTAGGGCCAGATGGCCGCCGGGTCGATGTCGACGGTCCAGGCCGTGCCCAGGACCTCGGACAGCTGCTTCTCTAGGTCGTCCTTCTTGGACTCCCAGTCATCGCGGACTGTGGGACCAAGGCTTTTGTGTCAGCTTTTAGATGCCCACGTCTTTGGTGACTTGAGGAGGGTGAAAGGGGCCCATACTGTTCTTCCGGACGGCGAGGGGAAGCTTCGCGGGGGGAGGGAGACGAGGCATTGTGATGGGGCGAGAAGAGAGGAGCTCAGTGAACCTCGTTGGACTGCTGCTAGTGCTGGTGGGAGGGAGAGAGGGGAGGTAACTGGAGACAGAAGAGCCAGCTTTTATAACTGAGTGATGGAGGACAGAACGTGGCATCTCAATAGGCAACCAAGCTCTTCTTCATATATGTGACAGAACTCCGCTCGCTCAAAAGCCGCCCCGGTCTTGTAGGGTGCGGCTGGCGGAGTCGGCATCCGTCTTGCTGCACATCGATCCCCTTCTTGGGGCTTCGCCGAGTGAGTCTTCTGCATCCTTGCCCTCGACGGTCATAGCTAATCTGCCTGGTTTTCAGCCCTGAGGCCCGAACGAGCGTAGTCTGTTGGTTAATGAGGGTAAATGAGTGGGCGTTCGTTAGCTGGCCCGGTTAGCGCTGGTGATGTCTCTTGTGCTGAGAGTGTGAGCGTGGCTTAGACAACCCGCAACTGGAGCTACCCCTGAAACAGCCGCGGTTGACTTATAACGTCGTCCAGAGCGTTTTAAGGTTGATGGGCATCTCGGCACATTGCAGAGGCAGAAGCTGGAGCTCTAGCATGAACGGTGGTCCCGAAGCCGTCCGATCCGGTCTGGTTGTCTCGAAGACTCAACAACAAAGACCACCACGACACACGTCGCCCAGCTTGTGCGTCCAACCCACAGACAAACTACACAGGAAATCTAGCGCAACATAACCCCCCTCCCTTGTAACTACCTTTGGTTCCGCGGCCGTGGACGTGCATCGGGGAATCGGTGTACTTCGTTGGAGAAAAGGAGAAAAACGCCCACAAAGACAACTGGGGCCCGGCCGGCCACTTGCACTGCCCATCACTTCAGCTCTGCGGACTAGTGTCTTGGCACCGACACCTCCCCGTCACGCCGGCCCGCGTGTCGTGTTAAATGGACTGCCGATGAATACCTGGTGATATCATGGGCCCTGCCAGTGCATCACTCGTGGGAATTGCTTTGTGGACGGGAGCTTCCGAGGACATACAATCTCTCGTCGTCCGACTTTCCACAAGAAACAAGATACCAAAATCAGAGGTAGGCCACCAAGGAAAGGAGCTCTTCTCTCTCTCATAAACCTGCAGCATATCATGGCCTCCACAACGCTGTAAGTGAATCAAGTCCGCAAATCATCCGATTCGAGATTGGGTCCCCCTTATCCACAGCAAGAAGAAGAAGAAAAATGCTGTCCATAATTCCACACCATGCCGACTAACTGACAACCTAAAAAAAGCCCCCTCAAGGTGCGCCTCGCGATCCGCGACCAGTGGGAGCCCGAGGACAAGCCCCTGCGCAAGTCGCTGGCCGGCCTGCGCGAGCTGCTCGGCCACGACGTCGAGGTCGAGCCCGAGTGGCAGCAGCTGCTGGCCGAGCTCGACCCGTTCTACGAGGACAAGGGCCGCTTCGTCGCCGTCGTCGCGGGCTGCGTCGAGGCGTGGTGCAAGGCCCTGCTCGAGCTGCTCGAGAACGAGGCCAACGCCGAGTGGACCGACACTCTGCTCGAGAAGCTGAAGGCGTGGTCGCGCCTGCGGCTGTTCATCGAGGTTTGTTTGTTTGCTCGCTCGAAAAAAAAATGATGGCAAGAATATGGAAGGGCTGACGGCGGACCAGGTATCGTCCACGGCATCCGCCTCGACATCCTGGTCCAACGAGCGGGTCGCTTTCATCATCAACCTGCCCAAGAAGCAGCTCATCGACCCCTTTGAGCTGTACCCGGCCTTCTCCGGCGCCCTGCTCGACTGCTTCGACGACGGCAGCAGCACCAACAACACCACGAAGAAGAAGCCGGCAGCAGACGACGCAGCGCCGGCGGGCGCGGGCGACGACTGGGCCGACGTCGAGATGGACAGGTCCACGGGCAAGCCCGACGTGAAGGAACCCACCACCACAGCGGCCGCCGCAGCGCCCGTCTTCCTCCCGCAGGCCGCCTCCCTCCCGCGGCCGGACCACCTCCTCCTCCAGCCGCCGTACTACCTCTCCGTCGCGCAGCACGGCGACGCCCGCGTCGCCGTCACGGCCTCGCACGCACCCTCCCTGCAGCTGCTGCACGACTACCTCGCGCGCTGGTGCCGGACGGACCCGCAGGACGCGCGGCGCCCGCCCGCCGTGCGGTGCGAGCTGCACGCGTCCGCCTTCGGCCTCGGCGCCGCCATGCACGACCGCCTGACGCTCAGCGTCGACGAGCGCGCGCGCGCCCGCTTCGCCGTCAACCCCGCCATCGTGCTGGCGCTCGTCGAGGGCGTGCTGGGCTACGAGCGGGTCAGCAACGGGCCCGGCGAGTGGACCTTCCGGAGGGGCACGGCTCTGAGGACAGCGTAGGTCGTGAAAAAGGGGCCAGGGCCCATGGAAGGGAAGGGAGCAGGTTTTTTTGGGGATTGAGATGTGTGGGATAACGGGGGTGAGAGCTAGCTCTTCACAACCCAAAAAGATGTACTTTTATGATACTCTCAAGTTAACCGACAAGCATCGGCATCTTTGTCCCGGACAAGGTTTTCATGCTGAAAAGAAAACCATGCAAGTACTTGATCACATATACAACGAAAGAGTCACGACACTTTTCACACGATGTTTACACAAGTTTTCGTCAATTGTGCCACGTCTCTCGAACGTCTCCGAGACAGATCAACGATACATACAAAAAAGCAAGGCTTCTAAGATAACCAACAAAAAGGAAAAAAGAAAGATGTGTGTATCCTCCCCAAACGCCCCAGGACTGTCGAGTCTGGATCACTGAAACCCTCAGAAAAAAAGTCTTTTTTAACTCATCATAGCAAACCCAAGGTAAAAAAAAAGGACAATTTCCCTGTCTGTCTAATAATTGAGTTCCCAGAGGAGCAGATCCCTCTTGGTCTTCTCGGCGTCGTCGCTCCCGCCGAGCTCGCCTCCCTCTGGCACGCTATTATCCGCCACCGCTGTGTTGGACCCCGACGCGGGCAGGGGCCTCTAGCCCGTCAGCTGGCTGACAGTGTTCTTGGTCTGCTTCCACAGGCCGTTGCCGTGGGGCCAGGTCCAGTTCTTGAGGAAGGGCGGGTCGATGCCGTTCTCAAAGGCCTCGTTGCGGGCTTTGATCTGCGAGTTCTGCAGGAACTGGCGGGCCGTGGCGCCGCGGTTGTGCAGGTGCGGCATGCGGTCGAGGGCGTCCATGGCCAGGCTGAAGCGGTCCGTCTGGTTGCGGATGGCCAGCTCGAGGGGCGTGTCGATGTTGCCCTTCTCCTTGTAGCCGCGCACGTGCAGGTTCTGGTTGCCGGGGCGCTTGTACGTCAGGCGGTGCACCAGCCAGGGGTACGAGTGGAAGTTGAAGATGACGGGCTTGTCGACGGTGAAGAGGGCGGTCCACTCGGCGTCGGTGAGGCCGTGCGGGTGGTCGACGGGGCTGATCAGCTTGAACAGATCGACCACGTTGACGAAGCGGATCTTGAGCTCGGGGAAGTGCTGCAGCAGCAGGTCGATGGCGGCCAGGGACTCGTGGGTGGGAATGTCACCCGCCGCGGCCATGACCAGGTCAGGCTCCTCGCCGGCGTCGGTGGAGAACTGAGGCCAGATGCCGATACCCTTGGTGCAGTGCTCGATGGCGTGCTCCATGTCCAGGTACTGGAGATGCTCCTGCTTGTCGGCAACAACGACGTTGACGTAGTTGGTGGAGCGCAGGCAGTGGTCCATGACGGAGAGCAGGCAGTTCCCATCAGGCGGGAGGTAGATGCGGACGACCTCGGGGCTCTTGTTGGCGACGACGTCGAGGAAGCCAGGGTCTTGGTGGGTGAAGCCGTTGTGGTCCTGGCGCCAGACGACGGCAGTCAGAAGGATGTTGAGCGAGGCGACCTTGACGCGCCACTCGACCTCGAGGCACTTCTCGATCCACTTGCAGTGCTGTAGAGGGAAAGATTGTTAGTACGGTCCAATCGCAAACAAAAAAAGGGTAACAGAATAATGGGGAACCTACCTGGTTGACCATCGAGTCAATAACGTGGATGAAAGGCTCGTAGCTGTTGAGCAGTCCGTGGCGGCCGGACAGGACGTATCCCTCGAGCCAGCCCTCGCAGGTGTGCTCGGACAGGATCTCCATGACACGGCCCTCGGGGGCCAGGTTACCGCCGTCCTTGTCCTCTTCAAAGTACTCGCCCATCCAGACCTTCTTGCCGGCCTCGTAGACGTGGTCGAGCTTGTTGGACTGGGTCTCGTCAGGGCCGAACAGACGGAAGTTGGTCATGTTGTTGGCAACGACGTCCCTCAGGAAGGAGGCCATGTTGCGCATGCTGGCGTCCCAGGTGACACCAGACTTGTCGACCTTGATGGCGTAGTCGCGGAAGTCGGGCATGCGCAGGGGCTTCTTGATGGCACCGCCGTTGGCGACGGGGTTGGCGCTCATACGGCGGGTGCCAGTCGGGCACAGCGCCTTGAGCTCGGGAAGGATCTTGCCGTCGGGGAACAGGCGCTCGGGCTCGTAGCTTCGCATCCACTTCTCGAGAAGCTCGAGGTGCTTGGGGTTCTCGTGGATATCGGTGATGGGGACCTGGTGGGCGCGCCAGAAACCCTCGAGGTAGTTGTCGTCGATCTTGCGGGGACCGGTCCAGCCCTTGGGCGAGCGGAGGACGATCATGGGCCACATGGGCCGTTTCGCCTTGCCGCTGTCGCGGCACTGCTTCTGGATCTTCTTGATCTCGAGGACACAGTGCTCGAGAGTGGCGGCCATGGCCTGGTGCATGGACTCGACCTCGTCACCCTCGACAAAGTAGGGCTGCCAGCCGTAGCCGAGGAAGAGATACTCGAGCTCCTTGTGTGAGATACGGGCCAGAAGGGTGGGGTTGTTGATCTTGTAGCCGTTGAGGTGGAGGACGGGAAGGACGGCACCGTCCGTGATGGGGTTCAGGAACTTGGTGCTGTGCCACGAGGTGGCCAGGGGGCCGGTCTCGGCCTCACCGTCACCAACCATGGTCAGCGCGATCAGGTCCGGGTGGTCGAAGACGGAGCCGAAGGCGTGGGAAATGGAGTAGCCCAGCTCACCACCCTCGTGGATGGAGCCGGGAGTTTCGGGGGTGGCGTGGGAGCCGACGCCGCCGGGGAAGGAGAAGTACTTGAAGAACTTCTGCATACCCTCGGGATCCTCCGACTTCTCGGGGTAGACCTCGGAGTAGGTGCCTTCGAGGTAGGCCTGGGAAAGCACGGCCGGGGCGCCGTGGCCGGGGCCGGAAACGAAGTAGGCATCTAGGTCGTACTTCTTGATCAGGCGGTTGAAGTGCATGTATGTGAAGATCTGGCCGGGAGCGGAGCCGAAGTGGCCGAGCAGACGGGCCTTGCAGTGCTCGAGCTTGAGGGGGTCCTTGAGCAGCGGGTTGTTGCGGAGGTAGATCATGCCGAGGGAGAGGTACAAGCTGGCCTTGAAAAAGTCGTTGTACTTCTCGATCTCGTCTTTGGAGAGGGGCTGGCCCTTGACGGTGGAGCGAGCCGGCCCATAAGGGCTGATGCTCTCGACGTCGGTCTTGACCTCCTCGGGCATCTTTGTGTGTTATGAGGGTTGAAGGGCGGAGGATGAGGGTTGGGGGGGGCCCTTGGGCAGTTCTGCGCGAGAGAGTGCTTGATTTACAACAAAACCGGGAGCAAATACAGCCTACACCTTCGCTGCGAGAATATAGTGTTTGCGGTGCTGTGTGAGCTTGCTGCGAGTGAATCAATCACAGGCAGACAATGAGTTGAGTGTATGGGATTCAATGAATCGTCGTCAGTGAACCTCGCGGATCCTTGGCGACTCTAAGAGGCAAGTAGGTCTGAGGAGTGAGAGGAGTGAGAGGGAAGGAGGAGGGGGGAGCTTGGAACGGGTGACATCAAGACAGGAGGGCGACTGGTTTTATAGCTACGTACTTTTGTCTTGGAAGCAAAGTCAAAAGGGTGCCTGCACAGCTTGGTGCGGCATGGAAAACGTGTATTCCAGGACAGCCCTCCTCCACTTTACTCGCCTGCCGTCGTGCTGTGGGATGTCATGGATGGATGGGAGAGGCAAGATCCGAGTCGGTCCATTCCACTAGAGCTAGCCAGGAGGAGGAGGAGGAGGAGTGCCAGACAAGCCAGACAAGGAACCACTGCGGCGGAATACAAGGGAGGCCCTCCCGCCGACCGCCCCGTTTCTTCTCTCGTGGGATGGACACGGATACGGCATGCGTTATCCAGTTCTTTCCTCCTTCCAGCTTCCAGAAGTTATGCTGGCTTGGGTCAAATCGATGGACAAAAGGCGGCCAGAACTACCTGATGTTGGAGGGGCATGTACTTCTGCACGAGCTCCCACATCAGGTACCCACAGCTCCCTGGCAGCGTCTCCACCGCCTGATCGCTACAAAGGATTACTGTGGGGACCTACCCTTACTCGAGTACCCGATTGACTTATCATGGGTATTTTCTGGCGCAACGAGAACATCAGATGCTTTTCTGATTTCTGCCCGCCTCCTCCAACCCAGTCTCCGACTTCACCATCCAACCATCCAACCTCCGTCCTCCGTGCCACGCGTGCCTCCTTGCCAACCCCCTCCTCATCCAGTCGACTATCCCAGACCCGCAACGTGCGACGCTTGCGATGCTTGCGAGCCATTTATTTTTGGATTCCCACGCTCCAAAGCCGTCCGTGGCAGCGAGGCAGGAGAGCCAAGGTCTCGGCATGCAATTGCAATCTCTTTAGTGTCATCTACTTGTACATAGGATGTTCGCAGCTGCCGGGCTGGCCATGCTGGCCCAGAAGCACGCACTCCCGGGCCCCTTCTTCGTACAGCATCAGAAAGCACGTTACTCCGTCGCTGGCCGCCGCACACGTATGTGTAGGTAGCTGAGAGTGCATCAATGATCTTCCAAGGTGGGGGAGGGGCCAATTGACCGCGGGCCTGGCCTGCCGCCGGCCCCGAACTTTAAAGTGGGCGGCGCAGATGCATGGGAAACAAACGAGGACGAAAAGGTGGTCTGATTGCTGATGGTGTCGATGTCACAGAATCCACTACGGAGGTACCTGACGTCGCAGCTGGCCGTTTTCGTTCGGCCACCAGGGTCACCCAATCTGACGGTGAAGAGCGAAGATTTCGATTGCCCGTTGCTGTCCCAGACAGCCAGGAGCGCCAGTGCCGGAATGCATCTGGCAGGAGATCTCCTCTGAATCCACTGACTGCATGTAACAATGCAAAAACGCCACCCTCCATGTCGCTATTGCGGGTCTGGATAGCTTCGTTGCCGTGGCCTCCAACCAGGAAACCGGATATCCACACGAGATTCTCTATCTTGGACGGCCCTTTTCGCCCAGTCGCTCAAACCCCAAGCCTCTGCTGCCTCCTTGCAATCAACCCCTCCGTATCGGTCCTTTGGTCACCTCACTAGGTGCAGAATCGAGTCGCCCACGTAGTGAGACTCATGACCTGACACACGGCCTCGAGTCAGCCGTAGCTGGAACTACCATACCTATCCGTCGCCTGGCCTTCGCCTAGCATACCGGCGGTGTATCTGGTCGTTGTTGCAAGAGGGAGAAATGACAGGTAGGCAGATCTGTACTTTGCCAGAACAGGCAAGTCCAACTTAGTGTGCCAAGGCGCGTGTAAAATCGCAACTTAGGTTGTTAATCTTCACTCGCCATACATTAGTGACTGACGACCTTACCTTCATAACCGCTGCTGGTTGATTGAACCCTGAATGGCTTGATGGCTCACGCTTGTTTCTTGGAGGAGCATAATGAACATGGCAAGTCTGCCGACGGCACTGGCCTGCACTGACGGCCAGCTCCGCCAGAGAGGCTCTTGGGCGAGCCAATGCAACACAATACACACATTACATACGCTTCGTGTGTGACCTGCAGAAAGCATCTGATTCTGTGGCATATACGGTATATGCCGACTGAATAGTCTTGTCAGAAGTGCCGCGAAACCACCACGATGCCGGAAACATCTCCTGAGGTCGCCACAAATATAGGGCTGAAGAGACGCAACACTCGCAGAACCCCTTCTGCAAGCCTTGCAACTGGTGATCGAAACCTGCACCCCCCACTCCACGGACAGCGGCTTTCAAGCTTCTCTTGACCACTGCTGCTCACGACCACCGGGATCGGGGCCGATCCATTTGGCATGCCGGCCGCGGAACCCCTCGCCTTTCCTGACCTAGTCGGTGTCGACCGGGTCCCGCACGATACACCCCCCTGGGCCGCCATATCATTGACATGAACAGTCATCATCTTCCAAGTTCTCTTCCTCACCAAGAATGGCGACCTGCCACAAGAGAGCTCCCCACTCATTGCTCTCAAGTAGGTGGGTAGCTTGTCCTGTAGCTGAGAAGCCCCACCCGCGACGTTTTAACCGCATCCCTGATGTCCACGTACTAGACTACCTAGGTACCTAGCTAAGATTGTACGAAAAAGGCTCCGTGGGGTACGCAGTATGCAGGGCTTCCCTTGTATGGCCTGAGATACATCACAAGCGACAAAATATCATGATGTTTTCCCGTTGCCTGCGCCGGAGCAGCGCCGGATCAGTCCACCGCCTCTCTCTTGAGATATATCCTTTTTTTTTTCTTCTCCCTTTTGCACTGCTCCTGCCTGATCCTTACTCCGTTCCTTGCTCGACCCTATCTCGATGGGCACCGGCCCAACACTCGATTCGCAGAAGCTGATCACCATCATGGCTTTTTTGTGTGCAGACGATGACATATCCCCGCGACGGAGATGGAGACTGTTGACCGATGTTTGCTGCTGATGGAAAAGCCAACACCTCTGGGGAATGTGCAGACTTTGTTTTCGTCGCAAATGGATCTCTTACCGTCCCGTGTACTTGCGTTGCAGCATCATTCACTTCACTGACTGGTCCGGTGGGGGGGGGGGGGAATCACAGTGGCCTCCCGGATCCTCTGCGGACGATCGTCTCGTGCCTCTTGGGTGGAGCTGCGCACTGGCTGACAAGAAATTGCGCATATCAGCGAAGCCGCCGACCGTTGGAGCTGTTCCTGCAATAATGCGGAGAGGGAGGGTCGCTAGAGAGGTTGATCGGCCACCGAGGGCGCCCGGGACGAGATACGAATAGAGAGAGCTCCGACGACCTGCGATCGCAAACCTGCTGCGATGGTATCTGTCCCGTTTCCACAACCTTGGAAGGGGACGCCTTGAGGGCCCAGAGCAAGGCAAAGGACAAGAAGACCAACCTGACAAAATCATATCTGAACACCCTTTGCTTTCTTGCTATTAGTTCTGTGTGTGCGTGCACCACAAGTATCACTTGAGGACTAAAACACAGGAATTCGGAGCATGCGAAACCGCCGGACCCGACAAAAGCCCCGCGAACCATGGAGCGTTGTCCCGTCTTCAATGTAGCGAAATCCCCAACAAACTCTTGTTAGCGTGCCGTGCCCGCTGCGACACATCGCCCCAGAAAAATCGATTGCTTCAACAATGGTGAGAAGCGACCACGGTAGCAAAAGATGCAGCTCAAAGAGTCCACATCTCTAGAGGTTGTAATACACATTGCCAGAAATGCTCGTCCATAGAAAGGGGCGTCTCGAACTCAAAAGGGGCGTTTCGAACTTCATCTCAACCGGGAATCTCTTGCCAAAGTAGCCATTTGGGCCACCATTTGAGCTTCACCAGGGTCAGATTCCATCTGAATAGCTAACATTTAACACTTGGACTAAAAGGGGGAAAAGCGGACGTTGCAGATTTCAAAGAGAAGGAGGTATCATTAGAATCAGATTTGAACAAGCTAAAGTACATCATTTCATGCCTCCCGGGACACTTGAGAGGCATTCACAAAGATGCCCCCCGGTGACTCGCGCTTGCACACGGATCCGCAATCATGAGCCGACTCCCATTATGAGGTTGCCCGCACAGCAGGTCCCGACGAAGCTGCACGGCTCGGTATGTTGACCATCTCGCTGACATTGTCCGCTCGAACGTACGCCAGGTAGTACGGCTCCCCTTTCGTCGAAAGTTCCTCCATCACTGCTCGCGAATCGGTCTCTTCATAGACATTGCTGTCGTTGTACTTGCGCCACAGACCCTTCTCAAAGTCGTAGATCCAGACCCAGTAGTGCCCTGAGCTCCGGGTCTTACCCATGTGGCAGATTACTGCATGGAGGAGATATTTGTGGTCTGTCATATCAACGAAGAGGTTGTCAAGTTCTGCGCGAACTTCGGCGTCGTCCGAGTTCTGATCAGTCGGCGGGCCCGTCATTAGGCCTCTGTCGATCGCTTCCGTGATGTTCTCGAAGGGCACTCCCATAGTGACATCCTCCTCCTGCTGTTCATCCTGAACAGAGCAATCAATGCCGAGTGCCCGGGTCGGGGCGTCGATGATGGTGAATCCCTCCAGGTCAGAATCGTCCTCAGGGTTGCTGACCATCATTGTATCGTACTCGAGGGCAGTCACCTCGTCAATCTCGTCACTGGGGGCCTGAGTTGCTCCGTCCGGTTGAGCCGGAGACTGTTCTTGCGGTCCCGGCTTGGGAGCACTGATCGTCTTGAGCCGCTCGTGCAGATTCCAGCTTCGCTTTCTGCGTGCCATGAGATCCGAGTCCCAACTGGCGTCCATGTAACGATCGAGAGAGAGTACTTCGGGTATTACGATCGGGTTCGTGTTCTTGTGCGTGCTCGACGTAGATCGCTGAATGCAGATATGGAGAATGGGAGGCAATTGTGCAATGGAAGCGAAGCGCTGGTTCTTGTCGCCTTCGCCGAAATACTCCATGCCGAAGTTGACGTCGAGGGCGTCTAGGAGTGTGATGGTTTTCGTAGGTGAAGGGAAAGCAGTGACCCAACGGGTCGACGCAACATTGCGGCTGTAGTTCTGCTGCGATCCCATCTTTGTGTAATCCACAATTTTCCAGAAGAAGGTGTCCATGATGGGATCAGTCTGGGAGTCGGTGTCTCGGTCCACGCCCGTCGGCTTGATGGCCGCACGAAGGTGACCGATGATGTTCCCCATGACCTCTTCAACATCCTGCTGATCGGTCCCTGTGACGCTACTGTCGTTCAGCGCTTTGATAATCTTGTCCTGTACTGAGGCCTCAATCTTGGAAGACGGAGCAGCGATGGCGCCCTCCATCATTCCCTGCTGACTTGGTGATGTAACTACACCCTGCATATCGTCGCCGACCGCCGAGGGAGGAGATCCGTCCATGTCGACATCTTCGATGATCTCAGTCCGCGGCTTTTCCCCCATGCTTCCGCGGCTGTCCTGCCTGGAAATGCTGACATATCCGGGGTCCTGAACCTCGTCTATCTGGTCGACAAGGGTCTGTGAACTGACGCTACTGGATGACTCAATCCTGTCAGGATCGGCGATTGCGTTCACGGTGACTTGAGGCCCGTCCGAACGGGCCGGCGGGATTGGGGGGGTTGGGGACGGCCTGGCGGGTAGCGGAGGTGGACGGGGTAGATCTTTGTCGCCCTCATTTGCTCCGGTGTGCTCCGAAGCCTTGACGAGCTGAATGGCACCATCGTCCTCGAGTTGCTTCGAGGTCTTCAGAGCTGCGAGAGCAAGTTGCTGCCGTGGTTTGACAAAGACCTCGCTGGAGCCTTGCAGCGCAGTGAAGAGGGTACAGAGTTCTGTGACGACTGTGGCTCGCATGTTAGCTCGTCCTTGTAAACATCCAGACTGATCAAACTTGGACCTACATTGCTGGCCTGCAAACGCCTGCCCGACATCGATGGCGGCAGAGCCCGGGTCTATCCGTCGCTGGGCGACATTCTCTGGCGTGATGTCCAAGAAGTACCGTTCCCGGTTGAGAACAATCTCGCGGACTGATTTGACGGTAAAGAGGTATTGGAGGATGCTGTTCAGATAACAAGTGTTTCTGATGTTTTGCAGCCCCACGGGCAGAGACATGTTCACCTCAACAGGTGGTGCGAGACCGTCTTGGCCAAACTGGGATGTAGTCCCCGCGACGGACATGCCCGCCTTGTCTGACATCAGGGCGGCAGCCGCATGCTGCAGTATTATGCTGTGACGGGTATCGCCGATCACTCGCATAGCTGTAGCCACCATGAGATAGTCTTTGTCTCCTTCCTATACAATGGTTAGGGTACATGTACAGTCGTCAACTGCATGGTGTCGTTACAAGTACTGACCTGAGCTAGAACCGGCGCGGTGCTTGCTATGAATTCTGGGTCTGTGTCTCGATCGAAGCCCAGATACTGCAAGGCGCCTTGATAATCCAGAGCGCCCTGTGCATGCTCGAGCAACCTGTCATTGTGGGTTTCTCTCGCAATCTTGACCAGCTTATCGATATGGGCCCCCTTTTGCATCGGAGACGAGTCGGAAAAGGCTAGGTATTTACCTATGACAATGTCGTCAGGGACTGGGGGGGTGAGACCAAAATAGTCATAAGCAGCGTCGAGAGCCTTGTTTGTGCGCGTTTGAGCATCCTTCAGGGACATCTCGGTAGCTCGACGAATCTCGTCATCCTCGAACAGAGGCGGTGGAGCATCTCTTACGGAGGCATAGGATGCGATCTTCACGTCCAGTTCCTCATTGCCACGCCCCTGAGACAGGTTTTGAAGAGCGGTGAAGAGAGTTGGCTCATACTGAGGACATGTCTGCAGCTGGCAGGTGAACGCATACCAGAATATTGACTCGTGCAGAGCTGGGATGATACCCAGGGTATCAAAATCGTTGGGATCGTAGTTTTTGGGGTTGACCTTTGTCTCGGCTATGGCGTCGTCTATGCCAAGTGCCTGTTTCAGGTGGTCAATCGCCAGGTGTGGCTTCATGTCCTCGCGGTCTGTGTGGTATTGTAGAGTCTCTATTTCGCTCTTGAGATCTTGAAAGAATGCCAGTCGCGAGCCGATGGGAGCGGGCCTGAGCATCTCTGGGCTGGGAACCTTCCACACCTCTGCCTCAGGAGTAGTGAATTCTTCAAACTCTAGGAATCGGAACAATTCGATCGTGTCTGCATCGTTGCCGAACTGGATGTAGAATTTCTTGTTGCGCTTATCAACTTTGCGCTCGTGCTTGACCGTGTCGGTTTTTGGCTCGACAATGTCCCTCAAGTAGATCCAGAGGTACATGAGCGGATCCGGGCTCATTTCTTGAAGATCCTTGAACCTGTCAGGATCTTCCCGGACCGCTTTCTGTCTTCGGGCCAAGACCCGGGCATCATCCCTGAGGAAGTCGATGAAGCGAGCAGGCAACCGAGGCTGGGAGATCTCGAGACGCACTGCGAATGAGCACGTCTTTGATGAACACTGGTAAGTCACGGCTCCAACCAGGGGGTAGTACTTGTCATTCGGTTCTAGAAGCTCGGAAGATGCCAGCTCGGAGCCGGTATAAACTAGGTGGTGGAAGAAGTCTTTGAAGTTGCGGCTTCCGCACAGCCCGGGCCCTCCACTATGCGTGATACGGAAAACGAAATGATACCGGCAGTGCCTGCAGGTACAGGACAATTTCTGGATGTGAACAGGGTTGCTGCCGGTACCCATTACGCCAGACTCGCATTGGTGACCGATAATGAGCAGCTCGTGACGATCTCTGATCATCTCGACCCTGCCATTAGAAGCAACAGGTTCAGGAGCTTCGGCGGCGCACCCGATATCGAGTTCCTTGGGCGCATCTTGCTTGAGCGGTCCCGCCAACAGATCCTCGATCCATTTTGGCGTCAGTCGACCTGACTCCGTATTAGTATTTGTGGATATATAAGTCCAATCAAGAGGGAAAGTATGCTACCTAGTCGACCAAAATAGTGATGCTCCGACTCGGCGAGCTGCGCTCCTCTGTTCTGAGGCACATCAGGCTGGCCCGAGATACCACTATGTGATGGGTGCATGACCGCCATCGCTGTTGGTAAGCCTTGGTATGAGTGGAAAGGGTCGCAATAAGTCCTCCGTAACTGCCACTCGCATAAAGAGGCTCGCCGACAGTGTGGAAGGCCCAAAGGTGGTGGACCCTCTCGTTGATGCCGGCGGAAGCTAGTCAAGACAGGTAGCTTCGTGAAGCTTTCTCCCAAATCAGGATGAACGACGAGTTTGAAGGAACCGGACTCCAGCTGGCCCAAGGAAGGAGGAAAAAGAAAAAGAAGAAGACAGGAAGCAACAGGAAAGAAGAACGACTCAATCCGCAGTAATCGCTTTCTCCAGGCCACAAGAATGTCAGAGGATGACTGACAAACTTACGCGGCTGAAATGTGAGTGCGTAAAGTCGTGGCAAGTGACAGGTACCGCTGACGTAGCATTGCCGCCGCGCCTCATCAGCCAAACTTGCAGGTGCTTTCTTGCCAAAAGTACAGCGGAAGAGCCTGGGTAGCCGAGTCACTAAGGGCGACAGAAGTTGTACACTCCAGAGAGGCCAAAACTTAAGCCCCACTGTACCTCCTGACTGTCCAGCTGCCAGGCGAGGTGATTAGGCAGGCACCTGCGAAAGTTGAGACAGGCCAACGCCCGTTCACGTGACGGCCGCACCACCTGTAAAAAAGTGCACTGCTTTCGCCCCAGCCAATCAAAGCCGACCTAATCTGCTCGGTTAATCCAACATCTTGCGATCCAGAGCTTTGGCTGCCAGCTGCTTCTCTTCTCGCAGCGCAACCCTTCCAACCCGACCCTCTTCACAATCATCAGACCCCAGCAAAAATGCCGTCTGGGCACGACGAAGGCTACCACCCCAAGGATGCCGTCCGCTCCGCCATCACTGGCGCCTTGGTGAGCGGCGGTGCCGGTCTCTTCGCCTCGGCCATCCAGAATTCCCTGCAGAAGCAGAACGTCGGCGCGTGGGGTGTTTTCACCCGCACTGGCGGTACCATTGCGACCTTTGGTACGCCTCGGGCTCCTAGTGAAATAGCCAATTGGCCCATGTATCGCTAATTGAACGTCATTTTCAGCTGCTGTCGGTGGTGTGTTCGAGTTCTCGCGTCATGCCGCGGCCAACCTTCGTGAGAAGGACGATCACTACAACTCGGGTATCGGCGGTTTCCTCGCCGGTTCCATCCTTGGTCTTAGGAGTGAGTTGAATCTCCAGAACCCCTCCACTTGTAGGTGACATTGGCTGATCCCAGTGTAGCGGGACGTATGCCTCGAATTCTTGGCTACGGCGCCTTCGCTGCCGTTGTCCTTGCCGCCTATGACTACACCGGTGGTAGTCTAATGGGCTACAAGAAGGACCCCGAGGTCGACGAGTATGAGAGGAAAGAGAAGCTGCGGCTGAACAGGAGGAGACCCATGGAGGAGACAATTGCTGAGCTCGGCGAGGGTCGGGGATTGGGTGAGTAGAATTGGAAACTGTCGCCTGTGTGCAAAGAATGCTTTCGCTGACCCCTACAGCTATTCACCCCCCTGGATTCGAGGAGCGGAGACGCCAGAGGCTCAAGGAGAAGTATGGTGTCGAGATCAACCCCGTGTCTGCCGATCCCGCTGCGTAGGGCATCGCGGGGAGCTCGGAGCGCGTTGTACATATAGAACGGAGTGAACTGGATGGTCCCGTCTCCTCCCAAATCGGACAAGCATTGTAACTTGCTCTGCTTTGTCATCTGCACTGTGACATTGTCTGTTAAAATCGAATTTCTCAAGACATTGTCCTCAAAAGGTATGTACCCTTGCTCCTCCCCATCCGTCTTCCCTTTGTATCGCACCTTTTTCAACATGATGAGAGATTTGAGGCTGTTTATGAATTCGTCCATGACGAATATGTTTACACAAACCACCATATTGTTCTATCTTTTTTCTGATATTGAAAACTTCACGTTCCTACTGGCCTTCCCAAATCCTTCGAATCAAGCAATAAAGGCTGACATGACGTCTACCAGAGCACGTGGGTTTGACCTGGCGCCCATTTGATTGAAACCAATTACCTACTCTAGCATTTCCTTGAGCCATCAAAAGACCAATATACATTTTGTTGCATACCCTGAGCGCCAGCCAGCCATTTCCTTGAAAATATAATACAGCCTTGCCCCTGTTCAGCGTGTTTCGTGACGCCGTCTGTCCCGGAATACATCATTACAACGCTTTCACCGACTTGAAAAACGGGTTAGCCAGCAATTTAGCATCCGCAGCAACCAGCTCTTTCAACTTGGAAACCATCTCCTCCTTGGTCATCTCGCCGTCCTGGACCTGCTCCTTCCACCGTACGAGGATCGCCTTGAGCATGGCGCTGCCTTGCTCAACATCCTCCTTGCTATATTCCAGACCAAGTGATGCGTCGTGCTTTGTAGTAAAGTCCTCGAGCTCGTCGGCCTTGCGCTTCGCCATCCGCACAACCTTGTCGGGGAACCGGACAAGCTCGGCGACATGGATACCAAAGCTCTGGTCACAGATGCCCGGCTCGACCTTGTACAGCAATGTCACCTCTCGCTTCTGATCCTCGCTCGACTTGTTGCCTTCTGTGCCGCTAATGTGCGCCGTGACATGGAGATTGGTGACCTGTGGGTATTGGTCGGCCAGCGCTGTGAGTTCGTGGAAGTGCGTGGCGAACAAGGCAAAGCACCCGATCTCCTTGACGATATGCTCAGAGATGGCCCATGCCAGGCCGAAGCCGTCATAGGTTGACGTGCCGCGACCGAGCTCGTCAATGATGATGAGGGACTCTGCGGTGGCCGACTTGAGGATGTTTGCCGTCTCCAGCATCTCAGCCATGAACGTGGACACACCCTTGAGCTGCGAGTCACTGGCGCCGACGCGCGCCAAGATGGAATCGAAAATGGTCAGCTCCGCCTCGGAACAGGGGACGAAGCAGCCGATTTGGGCCATGAGACTGATCACTCCAATCTGCCTGATGTATGTCGATTTACCGCCCATATTGGGACCAGTTATGATGAGGAAGGCCGACTTGTCGCGGGTCAGCTCCACGTCGTTGGTGATGAACTGGATGTCATCTTGCATCTCCATGCAAGGGTGACGCGCTTCTCTGAGAATGGTCTGGCCCTCACCTCGGGGGTGAATCTTGGGCCGCACATACGAGGTGGGCGCGTGGACAGAGCAGTGGGCAAAGGAGACGATGACATCCAGATGCGCAAGCACGCCGCCGAGCTTCTCAAGGACGGGGCAGTACGACGCAGCGACGCCGACGACCTCGCTCACGAGACTGCTCTGGGTGCGGTTGTAGTTCTGAGACAACTGATCAAACTCGCGACGGAGGCCCTGCAGCGTCTTGGTCGTGAAGTAGACTCCGTTCTTCTGGGTGGAGCACTCCTGGTACTTGGACTTGTTGCGAATACAGCCGGCCTCGGTCCGCGTCAACCGCATGCACCAGCCATGGACCTTGTGGTTCTCCAGGAAGATCTTCTTTTCCCTCTCCTGGCCGAGATCATTGGCAGCATCGTAGAACTCCCGGTCCATGTCGGTCCGGAGCCGATCCAATTTCTTCCGGATGATCCGCAGACTGTCGTCGAATTCGGGTTTGATGATGAATTCGTGGTTGTCCAGAGCATCGAGGTCAACCGTTGTCTCGACCATCTCTTGCAACTTGCCCAGGCTGTCGGACAGTTCCCGAAGCTTGGTAGTGTATGCAGCATCCAAGGGATCACGATACGTCTCATCCATCACACCCTCGAGGGTGCCTAGGAAGCCAGGGAGACGAATGATCACCTGGTATGCCCTGACGACGTCTTCGAGATTCGCCTTCTTGCGCTGGAAACGCTTCGCCAGGCGGTAAAGGTCAGGCACCGAGCGCAGGTGCTCCTCTTGCATGATTTGCCGGAGCTCTGTATCATTGACAAATGCCTCCACAAGAATCTGTCGCTTCTCGATTTCATCTTTGCTCATCAGTGGTTGCTTGAGCCACTGCGACAGAAGCCTGCTACCAACGGCTGTCTTGCAATGATTCAACAAGCCGTACACGCTCATTGTCTTGGCACCATCCCGCGCTCCAGGCATGAGGTTGAGTGCCTTGAGTGCGGCGGCGTCGAGCTTCATATATTGAGACAGATCGTGCTGGTACAGTTGGTACTGGCCAAAGTTGGAAGGATCCTGTAAGACACCCAAGTATTTGATCAGCGCCGCAGCCGAGCCCATGGCCAACTTGAGGTCGGTCTGGGGAAGCAGCGATGCCGCCCGTTCATCTTTCAAAAGCCTTGTGAGGTCTTGCTCGATATCCTTGACGCCGAAGTCACCGGCTGATCGTTCAGAGATCGCCACTCCGCAGTTGTCGATAATCTGCTTGAGCTTGGTGAGCTCGGGATCCTTGTCTTTGTCGGCCTTGTCGGCCTGGATCAGGCATTCTCGGACGCCCAGTTGGATCAAGAGTGCCTCGAAGTTCGAGTACAGGTCATTGTCGAGGAACTCGCTGACACCAAGCTCTCGCACGCTGGCATCTGCGAAACAGACACCTACTGTCCTTGCCTCGCTGGCCTTGGCTGAGAACTTGACAGCTATGATCATAGGAGCAGCCTCAAACTGCCCGCCCAGTTCATCCTCCACATCTTGAAGATTTCCGGGCGATGCCTGCTTGACAATCTTCCAGTTCATCCTACCACCTGTGCTCGACCAGATTTCGACTCGTTTTCCCAGCTTGAAGAGTGCCTCGCGGAGGAATTGTCGGAACACAGTGATGGTCATGGTTACCGATGGAAGCCCTGTGTGGTCGCTTTTCCCGAGCTGTCGGACTACCGAAGTAGTCTTATAAACCTAACAAGAGGTGTTAGTCCTTAACCTCGCAATGCAATCCGGTTGGTGCGTAGTGGACGACTCACAGTTCTAGCAATGAAGTTTGCATCTTCCCCATGAGCCGTATACCAATCTCCGCGGTCAAAGATCCGGACCGTATCATCGTTGACGACGGGCAATGACTTGAAGAACCGGATGAAGCCGTGCTCATCGTCGACCTATGTAGAGGAGCGTCAGTGATGTGGCTCAACTTTGTGGTAGCAAGAATACCTTCATACTCTCAGTTCTGGCCGGGAAGACATGACGAATGAACCACACCGCAAAAGTCAACCATAGAAGAAACAACTGCAGCAGATTGAAGGCACTAAATGATTCCCGAACTCGTGGCGCCGATGTCAATGGAAATACACGATCCACCTCGAAGTTGCACTTGGGGAGCTTGAAACGCGTTCCCCCGGAATCCATTAAAGACGAAGACGCGACGCGAAATGCACTAACTATATCCATTCGGGGAAGTGGCGCTGTTCACCGCCTCAATTGTGCGGTCCCTGCCGTTTCTGCCACTGGAACCAGCCAGAAAAAAAAAAGTGATGAAGGTCAGAACCCCGCCAGAGCACCACCTCTTGTAAGTACTCACCTTGCGCCGAGCATGGGAGCCCACCTTTGCCATTTTGACAAGCTTGCCTGGTGAAGCTACTCAAATGATTATGGCCGATCCGGCAGTCCTGGAAAACCAACAGCTACCTCCCCTGGCTACTGAGAATGGCGATCGTGGGCCTGTTTCGGAGGTCTCCGCGATGTCACAACTCGATCAAGATATGGGCGAAGTCGATGTGCAGCAACCGCGAGAGGCTCCCAGAAAAGATGGTATAGATCCGCCAACCCTATCAAAGAGCCAGTTGAAGAAATTAAAGCGCAGGCAGTTGTGGGAGGAGCAGAAGGAGGATCGCAAGGTGAAGAGGAAGGAAAAGCGACACAGTCAACGAGCGAGAAAACGAGCCGAGAGGGACGTGAAGATCGCAGAGGCCAAGGCAGCGGGCTTGGATCCTCTTGAGGTCCTCAGGAACGGACGGCCTACTCCTCACCCGAAATGGGTGGTACCCCTCACCCTGATCATCGACTGCGACTTCGAAAAATATATGAGCGAGAAGGAGCTGGTCTCTCTGTCGAGCCAGATCACGCGATCCTACTCAGACAACCGTCTCAGCAAGTACCAAACCCATCTCTTCTTGAGCTCTTGGAAGGGGTTCTTGAAGACGCGGTACGAGACAGTTCTACATGACAATCACAAAAGATGGAAAAACACATATACTGTGGAGGGCGACTTTCTCGAAGCCGCCAAAGCGGCACATACCTTGATGAAGGGAGCGGATGGAGGAACACTGCCCGAGATCTTGAAGCAAGGATCACAACATACATCTATAAAGGGTGATGCCGACTCAACGCCCGTCCCAGAACCCGAGATCGCTGAGGGCGATGCTTCCGTGGTCTACCTCACGTCCGACTCACCATACACACTTGAGAGGCTTGAGCCTTACACAAGTTATGTGATTGGAGGGATCGTCGACAAGAATAGGGAGAAAGGTCTCTGCTACAAAATTGCGAGGGAAAAGGGCGTCCGGACAGCCAAGTTGCCGATTGGAGAATACATGATCATGGCGAGCAGGCAAGTCCTGACAACAAATCAAGTCGTTGAGATTATGACGAAATGGCTCGAGTTTGGGGATTGGGGGGTCGCTTTTGACGCTGCGATACCGAAGAGAAAAGGCGGCAAGCTGCGCAGTGCGAGTGAAGACCAGGATGAAGAGGGTGCAGAAGACGATGGAGAAGTGGACGCAGAGGATGGCGAAAACAACGGCGATGAGGCCGTCGAGGTCACAGCTCGAGAGACGGAGGGCGCAGCAGATGTCTAGACACTGAGACGGCGTGAACTGGAAACACCAGAGGCGTCTTCATACCCATACCTTACAATCAAGAAGGGCGCTTGGGAAGGGCCACTTGATGGCTTTTCTTGAAGCCGGCCCAGACGCGGGCATCGCCAGGCTCGCAGCAGAATAAACTGCGATCAAAGTGCTCTGGTCTTACACGATGTCCAAAAGGCAGGTGTTATAGTCAGGTCTGGTAGTGTATCCATCACGCTGTGGGTGTCACTACGACAAGGGCTTGTGAAAGAGGGCCCCAAGGGTGACGGGCCTCGGCTTCCTGATGACCCCTGGATGCATTGAGTGTGGTGTCAAGGTTGAACTACAATAGACATTGCAACATACTCGGGCAAAGATTCAGCTAGACAGGAGCTCTAAGTCTCCAAAACAGCATCCTGTGCTGTAGTAAACTCATCAACCATTGGCGCGCGTAAAGAACCCGGGAGAGTTGCTCTTCTGGGGTAGTCCATCCTCCTCCTCCGTCCCCTGTGGAGTGTCCCCGCCATTCCGTCATTTGCTCAAGTGCCGCTCCAGTGCCGCCCGAGTTCTGACCCCATGTTTTCGGCTGCCAACCCCAATTATCCGTCTCTTGGCTATCAACAGAGCTAGGGTCTTCAATACGCCGAGACTATCACGAGGATGGGCCGTTTCCAAGCCGGGTTTGTCGGGGCCGACGAGAGCCAAAGTCCTCCAACCGGCTTAACTTTGTGAACTGCAAGTGGCACCATGGAGACGACTGGCAACCAGGTTGCTGGGACTTATAAACGCCTCATTGACCTCGTGAAGGTTGCAACATGAATGGACAGTTGACACGTTCGTCGAAAAGCTGCCAAACATGCTCATCCATACTGTGGTCCTTTGCCTGAGTGCAGCCGTCTCGACTGTGCTCGGCACACCCCTGCAACATGCTGTAGCTCCGACCACCTTCTCCAACAAGGTGATTTTCACGCCGCCACAGGACTACACCGACCCTCGCGTCCTGTATGCGCGCACTGTAGAGCTCGCAGACGGCACGCTGTTGGCCACTTGGGAGAACTACTCGCCGGAGCCGCCGCTGGTGTACTTCCCCATCTACGAGTCCAAGGACTATGGCGTCTCCTGGAAGATGATCTCCAAGGTCACCGACGACGTCAACAACTGGGGCCTGCGTTACCAGCCGTTCCTGTACGAGCTGCCCGAGGACCTCGGCGAGTTCAAGGCCGGCACCATCCTGTGCGCCGGCAACAGCATCCCGACGGACCTGAGCCAGACTCGCATCGATGTCTACGCCAGCACGGACAAGGGCCACACCTGGGAGTTTGTCAGCCATGTCGCGGCCGGTGGTGTTGCGAAGCCCAACAACGGCGAGACGCCCGTGTGGGAGCCCTTCCTCATGTAAGCTCTGCCCCAAGCACTCTCTACAAGAGAACGAACCCGAGTGATACAATTGGGCTCACGCACAAACTTATCTGTAGGATGTACAAGTCTCAGATGATCCTCTACTACTCTGACCAGCGAGATCCCAAGTATGGCCAGAAGCTCGTCCACCAGACGTCCTCGGACCTCCGCACCTGGGACCCGCCCGTCGACGACGTCGCGCACAGCCCCTACACCGCCCGGCCCGGCATGACCACCGTGGCGCGCCTCCCGGACGGCCGCTACATCATGAGCTACGAGTACGGCGGCGGGCCCGGAGCAGGGTCGGGCTACACCTTCCCCGTGTTCTACCGGATCGCCGAGGACCCGCGGCAGTTTGCCCGCGCGGCGGACCACCCGGTCAAGGCCGGCTCGACCGTGCCCATCGGATCGCCGTACGTGACGTGGTCGTCGGTGGGCGGCCGGGACGGCTCCATCGTCGTCAGCGACGGGACCGGCAGCCGGATCTTTGTGAACCGGGCGATGGGCGACGAGTCGAAGTGGGTGGCGTACTCGGTGCCGCAGCCCGAGGCGTACACGCGGCACCTGCGGGTGCTGAATGCGGACCCGAGCAAGCTGCTCATCATGGGCGCGGGCCACCTGCCGCCGAGCACGACGAACAAAGTGAGCCTGAGCGTGGTGGACTTGAAGCAGCTCATGAACCTTTGAATGATCTTTGAAGGGTCTTGAGAACATGGATGGGTACAGTGTTCATTAGTTACCAAAACTCCATAAAAGACAAAGTCTTGATCCTTTCATGCCCGGTTGCCGTACGTCATATATGCCGTGATGCCATGCTGTGCATGCATTCAGAAATCCATCGCATCAGCCTCCCTCTTTACCTTGACGTCCCTCTCGTCCTTCATAAGATTCAGTACAAACGACCTGAACTGTTCGATATAAGGTCTTAAACTCGTCTTTTCCCAATCCTGGAGCGGCTTGCCTCCATTGGCGTCGCCGTCCTCCTTCCACTCGTCAATTTCTTGCAGCAGGCCCTGCACGGTGGGGACGCCAAGGGGGTCAAAGTCCTCCAAGGCGGCAGTGTCGATGGGAACACACACCCTGCCTGTGCCGGGATGGACGACGAAGGGGCTCTTGAGCAAATGGTTGAGCTTCTTGCTGACCTCGATATCGAGGCGAGGGTAGGTATACTCCAAGACGATGTCCTGCTTCGCCTCCTTCAAAGCTTTGGGGTCTAGATGCTTGCTTACGCCACTCTTTGCCAGGGTATCGATATCCGCCCACTTTGAGGTCGAGGCCCTGCCAGGAGCGGAATCCCACTTCTTTTGTAAGGCCTCGTTGAGTGTCTTGTCCGGAAGGAGCTGCAGCAGTTTCTTAGACCGCTCTTCAGACTCCCAGGGGTTCTGCTCCTCGAGGACATCCTCTTGGAAATGCGTCTTGAGGATGTCCAGGCTCCTCGTCAGGTGCGGGTGAAGAGGGCGCTTGACATTGACCTTCTTCCCACTCTGTGAGCCGCCGCGGATGACTTCCAGGTATCCCGCAATGGCTCTCCGCTTCTGGTCGTCCATCACCCGCGCCTTCTTGTCGCAGACCCAGGCGTGGGCACCACGTCGACCGGAGTACACCCACATGATGTGTTTGAAGCCGAAGTCCTCTCGCAAGGCGATGTCGATGACTTTGATGGCCATGGTCATGAACTGCCAGCATTTGTTGCAGATGTTGGCCTTGTCGCAGCAGGTACGGATCTCGTCGTAGTCGGTCAAATCTATATCGAAGCACAGCTCCTTGGAAAGAGGCTTAAACGCGGAGGAGTTGCGTAGAGTCTTGCGCTCACGGGGATTCGTGTTGTAGACCGGCCCGATTTCGAAACGCGAAGGCATGAGGCGCAACACGTCTTTGCGAAGACTAGGGTCACCATTAGTCCAGTGATGAGCTACAGGCTGAATGATTCAAATGCCTACAGGTCTGATGTTTGGAAGGATTGGTAGCGGAGGTACGCATCGTTCTGTAAAGTAAAGGCAAACTCGCGATGGCCGAAGTCTGGGGTAGGAGTGGGACTGTGGTTGAGCCATTGGAAAAGATAACGCCAGGGAAAGAGTCTCTGGTAAAAGCTGCGCATCAATCCTGGATCGGACGCCTTGAGAGACGCGATGTCACTGTTGATGATCAGCTGTTGGATCGCATCGCGAGAACGGCCGGACGGCAACTTACCCAAGAGGAGCGCTGGTGCCGGGAGGACTGGAGGCATCCTGCGGACGCGAGCTAGGAAATTCTTCATCGGAGTCTTCAAACAGATCCTCGAGTTTGGTCTCTTTCTTCACGTCTCCTGTACCGGGCTGCGCCTCGACCACAGGCAGCTCGGTCATGTCGACATCGCCATCCGTTGCTCGTGAGACCTGGCTGTCGCCGTTGGTAGGCTCGGTCGCCTCTTGGCTGTCCACATCCATGTCTGGCTTCGGGGGCGAGTTCCCGGCAGAAGGGATTGAGTGAGGCATGGTTCCAGGGCATATGAAGACTGCGATCGCGAAATCTTCAAGACGGGTTGAATTTCAAGGTTGAGATCGCAATGGTGCTTATCCCCCGCCCACACTTCCTGAAAGACGCGTCGACGCGTCCAGCACTTTAATGGGGTGCACGAGCCAGTCCCTCCTTACTTGCGTGCTATAAGTCAGGAAGGTAGGTACGTACCTACCCGCTGAACGGATGTACCAATCGGTTCAACCACGGCTAAACTAGCGCTTTACATCATCAGTAAAAGGAAACCTGAACTGGTGGTCAGTTGATGCTCGCATGCAATAGGGATGCTTTCCAATGCATTGAAGACCGCTTGCCAAGGATCGCGTGGCGAGCCACCAGCATCATCGGCCGCTATATATGTCAACAAGCAAAGTGCAGGACAGACAGCCTTGGGCATTCCAGTTCCTGTAGATAACTGCTTTCTTATTTCTTATTAATCCCCTTTTCCATTGCGATTCCTGGTGTTTTATTCGGTGACTCGTAGCTGGCTATCTTAGGTACCTATACCTACTGGGGTCATTTTTTAGTGGCGCGGCTGGGCATCTCGGCCGACCCTGTTCCCGGTGCATCCTGGACGTCATTCCACAGCGCAGCAGCCCACACCCACTCTCCCAGGCCCGCGGGACGCCAACCCGACAACTACTTGTACTTCGGAAAGCTTGCGGAGTGCTTCCGGTTTTCTTCTCTCCTTCTCCTTCTCCTGAAGGGCGTGCTTTGCTGGGCGTGCAGCTGTTATCGCCATATTTCGCCATGTCTCGGCTTCGGCTCACCATCGAGAACGGGAGATTCTGCGACTCGAGCGGAAGACAGGTGACCCTGCGAGGCATCAATGTCGCAGGGGATGCCAAGTTCCCCAGCGAGCCAGCCCAGCCGTCGCATGTCGACACCGACTTTTATGACGGCGACAATGTCAACTTCCACCAGCGACCCTTTCCCAAGGAGGACGCTCATATCCATTTCTCCAAGCTGAAACGCTATGGCTACAACACCATTCGCTACGTCTTCACCTGGGAGGCACTCGAGGCGGCCGGGCCGGGCCAGTATGACGAGGAGTGGATTGCACACACCATTGAGATCCTCAGGGTTGCCAAAGACTATGGCTTCTATGTGTTCATGGACCCGCATCAGGACGTGGTATGCATGTGCTGTCCGAGCAGAATCAAAGCCCCATGCTGACTTGGTCCCAGTGGTCTCGCTACTCCGGCGGTTCTGGCGCGCCCATGTGGACGCTTTACGCATGCGGCCTGAACCCACAGAGCTTCGCGGCCACCGAGGCTGCCATTGTGCACAATACGTACCCTGATCCCGACGAGTTCCCCAGAATGATCTGGTCGACCAATTACTACCGCCTTGCTGCGGCCACCATATTCACCCTTTTCTTCGGCGGTCGGCAATTTGCGCCCAAGTGCATCCTCGACGGCGTGAACATCCAAGATTACCTGCAAGGGCACTTCTTGCGGGCAATTGCTCACCTGGCGCAGAGGATACGGGAGGCGGGAGATCTCGAGAACGACGTGGTATTCGGGTGGGAGAGTCTGAATGAACCCAACAAGGGCGCGATCGGAACTCAAGACATCAGCCAGATACCCAAGGAGCAGGCGTTGAAGAAAGGCACTAGCCCGACGATGTGGCAGGCCATGCTGACCGGCATGGGGAGAGCCTGCGAGATCGACACGTGGGACATAGGTGGTCTCGGCCCGTACAAAGTCGGCCGGACCTTGGTGGACCCCCACGGAGAGATTGCATGGCTGCCAGCCGACTATGACGAGTCCAGGTATGGCTGGAAGCGCGATCCGGGATGGAAGCTCGGCGAATGTCTGTGGGCTCAGCACGGTGTCTGGGATCCCGCCAACGACGAGCTGCTGCAAAAGGACTATTTTGCCAAAGACCCTTCGACGGGCAAGGAGATTGACTACCCCTACTTTACCAACAACTACTTTATGGACTTCTTCCGCAAGTTCAAGCAAACGGTGCGAGCGCAGCACCCGGACGCAATCATCCTCCTTCAGGGGCCAACCTTGGAGATCCCGCCCACGATCAAAGGGACAGAAGATGACGACCCCAAGCTCGCGTACGCGCCGCATTACTACGACGGAATCACCCTCATGACCAAGAAATGGAACCGCACATGGAACGTGGACGTATTGGGTGTTTTGCGTGGTAGATATCTCCACCCGGCCTTTGCGATCAAGATAGGGGAGACGGCGATTCGCAACTGCTTCCGAGACCAGCTTGCTGCGATACGGCAGGAAGGCCTCGACCACTTGGGAAACCACCCTTGTGTTCTGACCGAGTTTGGCATCCCTTACGACATGGATGACAAGCATGCGTACAAGACGGGAGACTTTTCGAGCCAGTCTGCCGCCATGGATGCCAACCACTTTGCCATCGAAGGATCCCTCATGGGAGGCTACACGTTGTGGCTGTACATGGCCCAGGTGAGTAAACGTGATGCTGCGCAAGATGTGCTTCCACTGACACATCCATAGAACGACCACGAAAGGGGAGATCAGTGGAATGGAGAGGACCTGTCGATCTTTTCCTTGGACGACACCGAACTCCCTACGGATCCTGTGCCGAAGAGTCCAGACCTGTCGCAATCGACAAGCAATCTGGGCAAAATGGCAACCGCTAGCTCGTCAAGGACAGATACGCTCGAGGCCGAGACTAGTGTTACGCCGGCGAATCTGAAGAGGGCACTCAGCTCTCCTTCCATCTCGTCCGAGCCCGGAACAGCTGATCCGGAACTCACAAACGCACCGGGTTACCGGGCAGCAGAGGCGTATGTTCGCCCTTCGCCAATCTCAACCGTGGGGACCATCTCACATTACACTTTTGACCTTCGCAAGTGCGAGTTTACCCTGAAGATCCAGGCAAAGGAGACGGGGACGGAGACTCCCACGACGGTATTCCTGCCGGAGTATCATTTCCCCAAGAACACGTGCATTGTGGAAGTATCCTCGGGCAAGTGGGAGATCTCGTCAGACGACGACGAGACCGCGATGATACAAAAGTTCAGGTGGTGGCACGCTGGCGGCGAGCAGAGCCTCAAGATCACCGGGCTTATCAGGCGCCACAACTACGTCGAGGGCGTGAGCGACGAAGGCGGGTACTATGAACAGCTCAATGCGTGGGTTGGGCAGGGCAATTGCACCATCATGTAAGATGTGTCAGCCGTCTGACGGAATGCTGTGTATGCCTCGAGTCACGCAGTGTGCATGTATGTGGCTGGAGTTCAAGGCGTTGGTCAGACTGTCGAGTTTCTTCTGCCTGGATTGACACTGGGAGGGCTTTTACTGTGCACTCGGTCGGGTCTATAGATAGAATCGCTCTATGTCAAACTGAGTGACCCTTATGGCCTCGCTCCACGCACAGTGTACCTATGTCGGTCGTCCGGTTTAAGCAGACCTTAGGGCAACCTTGTCCCAGGTGCAGCGTAATATAAAAATCGCTTCCAATATTAGCCGCAGTCAGATCACGAATTCACAACGAGGGGGGCCGTGAGCCAAGGCGTAGACGGGGATGACAGTCCTAGGAACAGAGAGCCTGCGAGAAGAGAATGCCGTGTAATCGGCGACCAACCCGTCCATGTTCGATGCAGGCCTTAGTGGTGCGATGCATGTCTGTCACCGCATCACCCAGCTGCATGCATATTCGAGAATGTGGTAGTGGTCAGGCAGGTCTATGGAGGGCAATCGAGAAGGACCAGCGCCCTGGTTGGCTTGCCGAGAGGGCTGCTAACCCGAAACTGTCAAGAGTCGCCGTTGGACGGGCGCTTCGCAGGCCAGTCAGAGGAGATTCATCAGCGGTTTCAGTGCCCACCCACCCGCCGCCGGAGCATTTCCCGCCCCACCACCAGGTCCCTACCACACCGAATTGATGCGGTATGCTGCCCCTTGGCATTTGCTAAAGACCCTGTCGTGGGCCCCATTGCGTTTCCACAAGCCAAACCGGGCTTGATTGTCGGGGAGAGCTGCCTCCCAGGCTTTCTGGATAGCGCCCCAAATGCCCCCCTCTACTACCAGCAACTACGTACGACGGTCACGTCGCTAGAGGGCTGGTTCCCGCTCTTGTGGAGGGGACAGCTCGGCTCCCTTCGAATGGTCAAATGGGACCATGGGAAGCAGTCTGCTGCTGTGGAGAAATGGGTGGCTTTACCTCCACAATGTGCCTCGTAAAGTCGGTAAGTGGATGTAGGTCAGGTAGGTACTTGTAGGTACCTCCAGGGCTGGGCTTGGGATGGCTGGTGGTGCGTGTACCCATGTCGCAGGGCGCTGCCGCCACGACAACAGTACTTGTACGCGGACCGATCGGTCGGCAATCCTGGAGACCGGCGATCCATGAACTTTTAGAAACCTCAAACTTCGAGATGCTAGCCTGCTCCGTGCTTTTGCTCTCTCCTGTCGCATAGATTGTCGAGAAGTGGTGGGTGTAAGCCTTGTCTTGTCGTTATCACGGACGCACGTGGATGCAGCTTGTCTTTGCCCGCACCTCTCGTCTTTCGTCTTTTTGTCTCTCGACCACCCCATCCTGCACCCCTGCTTGCAGCAACCCAAACACTTGGGCGAATCACCATCGACAGAGCGGTGCTGCAGTCCCACGACCAGCCGTCGCAAAACCTCTCTCCCTCTCGCTGTTCTGCCCATCTCCGCATACGACCCTAGATACTGCGCTGCGTGTACCGAGTAGCTGCCCAAAGACATCGCCGACGAATTTGACTACGACGAGGCCACCCTGCCTCTTCCAGAGCATCGCAAATACTCACATTCGAGATCCCACCCGGTCCACATTGGACGGGCACGCTGCCGAACCCTCTCAGTCAACGTCCATCTCGATCTGGCCCGACTATGGGCACCGGCTGAGTCTTCACTCTCCCTGCGCCAGGGTTCTGTGTTAAGCTCGGATCGGCTTTGCGATTCGACACTGGCGCCACGAAGCTGGACACAGGTTGTGAAGAGAGGCTCTTGGTCTTGCACCACTGGTCACGTCTGAGCATCCTCGACACCTTGCTTTGCTTGCTTCGCTTGAGCTATCCAGCAGCAGCTCGACATCTTTCGACCTCTACACCCCTAGATGACGAGATTGTCACCAGATCGCGGGCGTCGAACACCAACAACATAAGACTCGTGTGCGAGCAGCCCTGCGTCAATTCCTCTTCCCGACGGAACTTGCCCGGGAAGTCAACATTAGTTTCTTCGCATACACGCCGTCAACTCTTTCTCTGAGACCGTCGCCATGTATCCAAACGGGCAAAGGGACCCTTCGCGGCCCTTTCAGATGCCGCCGCCACCACCGCCAATGTCCCCTCCCAACGCCTCGACCCTGGGCCCCGGCATGATGAACATACCTCCCCCTCCGCCAAGATACCCAAGTGCTCCTGGACATCTCGGCCCGGCTGGCCTTCCACCGCCTCCTGGACCGCCGCCGGGAAGTGCTCTGAACCAACAAGCGCCGTGGCATAGTACTTGGGGTCGCATGTACGATAGTCGGGGGACTTTTGTCCCACCGCCTCCACCGACGCAGCATACAACAAATTACAATCCGAAGCTTCACGCGGGAGCGGCTCCCGGCCAAATCATCACTATCCCTCCTCCACCTCCCCCAAGCGAGCAGATGTCTGCGACGTATATCCCGCAGGGCGACACATATGGTGAAGGTGTCGGTATCCCCGGACTGGGTGGTATAGCGGATGAGATGATGGCGCCCATGGCGGGACACAGCCCATGGGCACAGGCTGCTGGCCACGGTCAGCCCGGCGGCGGTTCGACTCCGCTAGACGACCAAGCTGGACGGGACAGGCTCTACCCGAGCGGCTTGCAAAACAGAGGCGCTTCGACGGCAAGTAATGCTACGACATCTGGCGGAGTTCCTCATGAGCTTGCCGTTCAGTGGCCGCTTGATAAGGTGCTGCTGTGGCTACAAGGCAACAACTTCTCGAAGGATTGGCAAGAGACGTTCAAGGGACTCAATCTGCATGGAGCGCACTTCCTCGAGCTTGGCAGTGCCCATGGTGGGCGCGGCAACTTTGGTATGATGCATCAGCAGGTTTACCCAAGGCTGGCGCAAGAGTGTACCACGAGTGGTACTGGCTGGGACCAGACGCGGGAGCGAGACGAAGGCAAGAGGATGAGACGTCTTATCCGTGCAATAGTGACTGGTCGCCCTGTCGATCTCGCCAAAATGACCACATCACACACGCGAAAGGAATCCATCTCGGGAGGGCAGATGAGCCTTCCGAGTGCTGGTACTGACGCCGGTGACTCTCCGAATGTATGTCTTGACCGACACAACTATTGGGATTCCATTGCAATTACTGACAGAGGATGGACAGACACCCATCAAGGCGCCAGGTCCTGGATTTTCGGGCCGGAGAGTGTCGACCACGAGGACGACCACGATGCCCACATTGACTAACAGCACCATGAGCTCAGACAACAGCCATAGGAACTTACTGAAGCATATTGACGCAGACGGCCGCCGGCAAAGTCCCACCGCCAGCGAGCCCGGCGAAGCAGGCGGTGCCCGTGTCATCGGCAAGGACAGCCCGAGCGGCAGCCCAAATCTCCCCATACAAGCACAGTTCGCCTCATCGACCCCGAACCTGTCGGCGTCACCGCATAGTGCACGATTCGGACATCGCTCGCGGAACAGTACGGATTCTCTGTCATCCAACGCGGCTCACTACGGATCTGGAGTGCCTCCGGAGGCTAGCCAGATGCTGCGGAATGGTATGAACATTGACGAGATCATGAGCAGTACCCGCAACGGAGAGGGGCGAAGATACGGCCATGAAAGCCGACATTCCCCGCTCGAGTCTGGGGACAGGTCTGCCGGCACGGAGCCCCCTTCAAGTGCAAAAGAGAAATCCTTCCTCTCGTTCCTGTCGAGGAAGAAGAGACAGGAGAATAACGGCACTTACCCATCGCCGGAAGACCTAGAATCGCCAACAAGTCCGGCGCTTAACTTCAAACCCAGCTCGCTGGGCACCAGGACGGGCCATTCCAGCGAAACCTCGCTCGATCGACCCAATTCCTACTTTTCCGTACTTGACCCGAAAGCTAAACGCTCACTTATGGGCCGCGCTTTTGTTCTAGCCACTGCAGATCATTGGAACTACCGAATGGTGGACGTAACAGACGTTGAGAATGCCACTGAGCTGCGGCAAACCATCTGCATCAATGTCGGGTTGCCTGATGCCGATGCACACATCTATGTCACCGAGCTGGGCAAATTCGATCACGACGATGCCCTGGATGATATCAGACTGCTAACGAACAGGAAGCTCAAGGCAGACGGCTCTGGCAGCCTCAAGCTTTATGTCCAGCCCAAAGCCATGGCTGGTCTCGGCGTCAATGTGGCTGCCGAGGGACAGCTATCGCCCTCTTACGTGCCCCCCGGCTTTTCCAGGGATGAGGATGCCTACGCACGCCTCAACGGCCAGCGTCCCCGATCGAGCTCGTCACCGCCTTCCTCGAGACAGAACTCGACTGCCGTACCGGCGCAGAACGACAGGGATGACAAGGCGCTGGCGCAAGAGGCCACTGATTACAGAGCGGAGATGGCGAGAAAGGGACAAGCCTATCTGGAGAAACGAAGGCAAGCAGCCTTGAAAGAAAACTCTCCTTCCGAGAGTGCCTCTTATGGTATTGTTGGCAGGAACGTCGACTTCGACCAACCTCGCGGCTCTCCCTTCGAAGACAAGCATCCCGACAAGCTGTTCCCCCAGAGGCGAGCACCGGCTCCCCCCGGCGATCCTTCTGCGACTCTAATCAAAGCCAACTCGTTGAGCAAGAAGACGGGCGATCGCATGCGATTGTCACAAGGCAGCATAGAGGGCTACCCTCGGCGACCGTCAACTTCGACAGGTGAAATGCCCGAGATGTCGGAAGCCGGCAAGAGGCGACCAGCGCTCGCCACCAACCCCGCAGGAGGTATCAAGTCCGCACTGGCCGGCATGGGCCGGGGCTTTGCTGGCCTTGGGCATCCAAGTCGCAGTCTCTCGCCAAACCGGGTCGCGTCTGCGCCCGTGAATGCAAACACGGAGAACTCTGGTTTCGACCAGCAGCGAGGTAAGCGAACGTCCAAAGTCGATTTCATATCAAAGGACGGCGGAGATGCGTCTGGCCGGGGCAGCTCTCCGTCCGGGTCGCTGAGCAGTGGCACGTGGAGCAAGGATCACTTGCCATTGTTTGTGCCCGACTACTCGCCCGGTGGTGCCCTGCTGGCTCCTAGTGACTTCAACAATGATCTCGTCCACAAAGTCGGTCGTGACAGTGACAGCGTTGCTAAGACTCGCACTGCAGGATCACACAATCAACGCGCTCCTTTCCCGGGCGACTTGACGCCAGCGTCGCGAATGAGCGCCAACTTCGCCCGGATCGAGTCTGCTCCTCTGCCGAGGCGTAAGAGCCATGGGCCAGATGTCAATTTTGTCGAGACCGAGGTCAACTTCTCGCGGCCTGCGCCAGCCGCCCAGCCGGCTGCCCAGGACGAGGATTCGGGTGACGACTCTGACGATGGTCTGTTTGCTGTTCCGATCTCTTCCCGAAGCCAGGGTAACGACAAAGGGAAAGGAACAGCGACCCCGACGCAGGGCAAGGAGGGCAATGCCAGCGGCTCGGTAGAGCGACGCCCGAGTTTGACATTGAATACTACGCGTACTTCGCGGGCAGGCAAGGGTCTTTCGGTATCCTTTAACTCTCCACAGTCGGCCAACCCCAAGACGGGCGAGGGTGACGACGACGAGTCTGCTCGGAGTTCGAGAAGCTCGCAGCGCACCCCGGCTTCCGATGCGTGGGAGTCGGAGAACGATAGCATGCTCAACAGACGTAAGTCTTTCATCGAGAAGGATGTTTGGGCTGTCCGTCCCCCTACCGATGCGCTTATCGACAACCTCGAGGACTTCTTCCCGAACCTCAACGTCGATCAGCCGGTGCTCGAAGACGGCGAGGTAGAGATGCCGCCGTCCCCGATTGCGGAAGCCGACGAGAACGTGCAAGAGCAAGCCAAGTCTCCGGCGCCAACACCGTCCATGCCCACGTCGCCTCCTCCTGCCATTCCTCCCTCTCGCACTGCTTCTCTCTACAATGAAAGCGACACCCTCGGCTCCGATGAGTCCACCCTCAAAGCACTGGAGCGCCCCGCATCTATCCAGTCTGTTGCACAGCGAAGTGTGCGCCGCTCCGGCGGCCTAGGCCGCATGAAGTCCATCCGTGAGGTGGCGCGTGGCGCACATGAGGCGAACAAGAGGTTCACGCAGACACAAATTGCCCAGCAGCCGGCCGCAGCGAGCAAGAGCAGCAATAACAACTCGGCCCTGCTGCGCCGCAAGTCGACCAAGATGTTCAATGCCAATATCGTGCAGATCCGGCCAGACAGGGGCTCCATCGTCATGCCACAGATTCCACAGGACGTCCTACCCAAGCGACAGACGACGTTCCGTTGGTTCAAGGGTCAGCTTATTGGGAAGGGCACTTATGGGCGCGTCTACCTGGGTATGAATGCCACGACGGGTGAGTTCTTGGCCGTCAAGGAGGTCGAGGTCAACCCCAAGGCGGCGCAGGGCGACAAGAACAAGATGCGGGAGATGGTGGCTGCTCTCGACCAGGAGATCGACACCATGCAGCATCTCGACCACGTCAACATCGTGCAGTACCTGGGGTGCGAGAGGAAGGAGACCAGCATCAGCATCTTCCTCGAGTACATCTCCGGTGGCTCCATCGGCTCGTGTCTCCGCAAGCACGGCAAGTTTGAGGAGTCGGTCGTGGCCAGCCTGACCCGGCAGACCCTCTCGGGCCTGGCGTACCTGCACCGCGAGGGCATCCTGCACCGCGACCTCAAGGCGGACAACATCCTGCTGGACGTGGACGGCACGTGCAAGATCTCGGACTTTGGCATCAGCAAGAAGACGGACGACATCTACGGCAACGACAAGTCCAACAACATGCAGGGCTCGGTGTTCTGGATGGCGCCCGAGGTGATCCGGTCGCAGGGCCAGGGCTACTCGGCCAAGGTGGACATCTGGTCGCTCGGCTGCGTGGTGCTCGAGATGTTTGCGGGCCGGCGGCCGTGGAGCAAGGAGGAGGCCGTGGGCGCGATTTACAAGATTGCCAACGGGGAGACGCCGCCCATCCCCGAGGACGTGCAGATGACCATCAGCCCGTACGCGATCGCCTTTATGCTTGACTGTTTTACTGTGTAAGTCTTCTTGAGTCTGCCTGGCTCTTGGCCCCCCCTGGGAGAAGAAGTGACTGTTGCTGACCACGGTATGGCCCATGTTATAGCAATCCGTCGGAACGGCCGACGGCCAACAAGCTCCTCTCGCAGCACCCCTTCTGCGAGCTGGACCCCAACTACAACTTTAATGACACGGAGCTGTATGCCAAGATCAGGGGTACATTCCGGTAGAGATATAGGGGGGGACTTTGTATCTGAGATATCTATTCTTTTTCCTTTTTCTCTCTTTGTCTTTTCTTTGGATGAGATGGACGAGGCACTTTCTCCATTCTGCGTGCAAGCGATGGCGCATTTCTGGGATCTATCTATCTGTTCTTGACGCTGTTTCTCTCAACTCAGGTTTCTTGCAGGTTACGTGTACATATAATATCAGAGCCGTGGGAAGGCGGCTCAAATATCTTGGACAAGTGCAGGGCTCTTGTCGACTGGGGCAGAGTGATGTCACGGGCCCCAAGGTTGAATATAGGACATAGGAAGATCGAAATAGACAGACAGGATGACATTCGACAATCGGATCCGGATTTTGGTTCTCGCTCCAACCAGTCAGTCCGTGCCTGGCAAGGACACGTGCTATTTCCAGGGAGAAATGGAGTTTCCTTCGTCGAGTGTCCTCTGGGACTTTGCACGTGGCATCGACACCGAGCATTCCCGGAAGACGAGATGCCGTTTCTCGAGAACATTGAAACCCATGCAATGCAGCTAAAAAGCCCCATCTTTCTCCGCAACTGTGCCCCGACAATGCGACCTGCCTCCCCCCTCTTTGTAGGTAGGTACAGGTAGGTACTTACCACTCGTACTTGCCGTAAGTAGGTAAGTTACTCTAATAGATAGGCAGGAGCTGACCAGGTAATTTATTCGGCAGTCTAGAGGCACATGGGCGAGAAAATACCAGACAGCTGCCAGCCGCATCCGAGTGCTTCATCCTGCCGTAATCGGGAAACATGCTACTGGTATTGATCAGTGCCAGAGCTGGCGGGCGGCGGCCACTGTGCAGGGGTACAGGGATACAGGGGGTTTTTCTTCTTCATCTCATCTTGCTCGTGTTGGACTGGTGGATGGGATGGGATGGGGCGCCGAATAGTTAGTTCGAGGAGCTTGAACGCCACGCGCAAGCAGCACGAGCTGCACCAATCCGGCCTAGCTAAGAGCCCTGAACTCGGCCACTCCCCGGCTGAAGGTCCGAAAGGAATGGAGCTGGAGGACCCTTGGGAAAAGATGCATGCATGCATGTCAGCAATGCGTGCACGTTGCGATGCCATCTTGGAGGAAGCCAAGGGCCTAATCTCGATATAGGTACGAAGTAGGTAGGGATAGCGTTGCCTTCGAAGCGAGCTCTGGTCCCCTTCTTGGTCCCCTTTCCTGTGCTTGTACTCCGTACAGACTCCAACCGGCGCCTGCGAGTTCAGCGGCCTCGCGAGAACAAGCTTGTTTGGCTGGCATGGGCGGTCGACGTGATGGGGTTGCTAAAATGCATTAGTGAAGTCGTTTTCCCATTCGAGATTCGGAACCCCCAGTTATCTGTCATCGATTCCGCTTGGACTTGTCGATGTGCCTATCCGCCCTCTTGAGGCTGTCATGTGTCATGTCATCTTTCATTCCAAGCCAAAAGGAGTGGCGTCGGGTAAAATGACGAGAATTATCATCAATTTGCAGTGCTTCCTTCCATCTCTGTGTCTCCTCTAACTACCTTGCACCACAGCTGCCATTGGACGAGCCTGCAGCCCGGAGCAAAGACCTAAACCACTCTCACTCTGGGGCGCCCGCCTCTTCTCCGGATCAAGGCTCGCCAGCTCGTTCCCTCTTTCGGCCTCCTTGTTGGTGAGATCGTCCCACGGATATCGGCCTAGTTGAGACATCTGCCAAGACTTGTTCCCATTCCACGCCTTGTACCCTTTTCTTCTTTTTCTCGTGCTGCCCACCCACACACCTCCGCTCGCTCGCTTTTACCCTGTCGCCGCCCGCTGCAAGCACCAATACCGGACATGCTTCCTCCTCCTCCTCCTGGGCCACTATCATCTCAAGGTTCCGTCCGTTTCTTGGCATTCTGGATCGTGCGCCGCGTCTGGCCCCAGATGCGAGCTTTCCCCGTTCCTGGCTTGCTCTGGACACGATGCTCATATGTAATATTTGTCTCTGATCTATCTTAATGATATGCGCGCACGCGATTTCCTTGGCTCGCCTCTCGTCTGCTCTTCCCGTCCCCCGTCCTGCCTGAGTTTTGCTGTCCTCTGCTCGTGATACCCTGTCCCTGCTCTTTTGCTCTTTATTTCTCTCTCTCTCTCTCTCGCTCGCCATTGCACCATTTCTCAAATACAGTCTACCTCTCTTCGCAAAAGCCCCGTTGTCCTCCATCTCCATCAGACCCGCCGTCGCGGTTCGCTAAGAAATCAAGCGTGTGCCTTTTGCCGATCACTGACATCGCCCCCCCACGAAATGTCGGAGCTGGCACCTTGAGGAGCCCCAGCCAGCTATTTGCCCTCTTTGCGAGACCGCTCACGCGACACTGGATCGCTGCGAATCCGCCGCGTCGAGCAACTGCTCGCACAAACCAACAGCTCGGTTTCCCCCTCCTGCCTGCCTGCCTGCCTGCTGCTCTGGAGGGCGTCGGCACCCCGGGCCCTTGACCGGTTCGACACATCCAGCTCCGCAGGGCCTGGCAAAGGTGCTGTCGCTACCATGTTCCGCTTCCGCAGGTATCGCGTCTTTGTGATATGTGCTGCTATCCTGCTCCTCCTGCTCCTGCGCATGTCCCAGAACGCCCAGTGGGAAGACAGCGCCGCCTCCATCTACAAGCAGTACACCCACTCCGGCCCCAAGTCGAGACCTGAAAATGGCGTCACCAGGCCGGAGAATGCGCGCCCCGTCGAGGTTGAGAAGCAGCCCCCTCCCGTACAGGATGTGCCCGTCAAGGAGTCGGAAGCGTTCAAACCCATCGAGCCAGTAGACCTTCCAGAGCTCAAGTCCAGCAAGGAGACCAATGGCCGCTTCGGCCTGCCCACGCCAGAGCAGACGGCCGGTGTCGAGGTGCCATTGCCAACCGAACCCCTCGTCGGCGATGCCACGCTGGTTCCGGCCGACGCATCTAAGCCCACTGTGGCACCTGACATTCCGGACCGGCCTCTTCCCAAGATCGACGAGTTGTTTCCCGAAAAGCAGGAGAAGCCTCTGCATGTGCAAAATCCCCCGGGGGCCTACATCCAGGACTCGCTCTCCGCCACCAGCACGATCCACTGGCGGAAACCGCGCGAGCACTTCCCAGTCCCGGAGGAGTCCATCATCACGCTGCCCACCGGCAGTCCAAAGCCGATCCCGCGAGTCCAACACCAATTCACTGCAGAGTCCGACGATGCTCGAGAGCAGCGCGAGTGGCGGCTGTCCAAGATCAAACAAGAGGCAAAGGTTGCTTGGGCAGCATATCGCGAGCACGCCTGGCTGCATGACGAGCTCATGCCTGTTTCTGGCAAATTCAAGGACCCCTTCTGCGGCTGGGCTGCGACCTTGGTCGACTCGCTCGACACTCTATGGATCATGGGCTTGCAGGAGGAGTTTGACGAGGCCTATTTGGCCCTCGACCAGATCGATTTCACAACCAGCCCCTTCAGGTCCGAAATACCTGTGTTCGAGACGACCATCCGCTATCTGGGTGGCCTACTCGGCGCGTACGATGTCACAGGCGGTATCAATGGCAAGTATCCTCGGCTCCTCGCCAAGGCCGTAGAACTAGCCGAGATCCTCATGGGCGTCTTTGACACACCCAACCGCATGCCCATTTTGTACTACAACTGGAAGCCTACCTTTACCTCGCAGCCGCACCGGGCGTCGACCATGGCCGGCGTCGCTGAGCTGGGCACCCTCCTCATGGAGTTCACGCGCCTCGCCCAGCTCACGGGCCGCAACAAGTACTACGACGCTGTTGCGCGTATCACAGACGCCCTCGAGGAATACCAGAATCGCGGTCTCGGCATCCCGGGCATCTTCCCACAGAATCTCGATATCTCCGGGTGCAACAGGACCGCCACGTCTCTGCGGGACATCGACAACAGCAGCCAGGGCGCACAGTACCAGTTTGATTTCCTCGATGACAAGGGAGGTGAAGGGTACAAGCCGTACGGGAGCAAGGACAAGAAGGTGTCCAATGCGGCGCCCGACCTGGAACTTGACATCCGACCTGGCAGCCAGCCCGGCGAGCCTGGTACCGCTGCGATTCGCAAGATCGAACCAGAGAAGCAGATCGAGAAGCGAGGTGCCAATGTGACGCTAAATGACCTTGAGCTTGAGGACAAGCCGGCTGCGGCGACCCCGACGGCGGCTGCGGCGTCCATGAAACAGCGAGAGGGGGTTGAGACGAAGCCGGCCACTGTCCCCAGCGTCCAGAACACACGCGCGCCGCCGTTGGCGGCAGACGGACGGTCTGCGGAGTGGGATTGCGTCCCCCAAAATATCACAAGCGGCGGCTACGGCTCCGATTCGTACAGCATGGGTGGCAGTCAGGATTCTGCATATGAGTACTTCCCCAAGGTCTGTAGTCTCTCCACTAAGAACTCCTCAGGCCGCAATAGACACTGACAGATCCCACAGGAGTACCTCCTCTTGGGCGGACTCGAAGAGAAGTATCGTACCATGCACGAGAAGACTGTCGCTGGCGTCAAAAAGTACTTGCTCTTCCGCCCTATGATCCGGGACACCAAGCGCAACTTGCTCTTCTCCGCCAAGGTGACCAGCAACGGTGGCACCAAGCCGAACGATCTCACCTACGATTACGAGGTTACGCACCTGACGTGTTTCCTAGGCGGCATGTTCGGACTCGGCGGCCGGATTTTCAACTCGCCCGAGGATATCGAGATTGGCAAGCGGCTGACGGACGGCTGCGTCTGGGCCTACGAGGTCATGCCGACGGGCGTCATGCCCGAGTACGCCTCCATCCTGCCCTGTGAGTCGACGACTGGCGAGTGCGAGTTCAACCAGACGATGTGGCACGAGAAGTTGGATCCGGGGTCGGAGTGGCGCGACCGCCAGCTCGACCAGTACCTAGTGCAGGTTGAGGAGTGGCAGGCCAAGAAGGACGAGCTGCTCAAGATCCAGCAGCGCAAGAAGCTGGCAGAGAACGAGGCCATGTGGACCATGCCTAAGAAGACGCCCCCTACCCCCGAGCCAGTGGAGCGACAGGGCGAGGAGACGCTGTACGACTCGGGGTCTGCAGGCAACAGCACGAACCCACAGCCTGAGAAAGAGGACGCGAGTGGCGGCCAATCAGCCGCATCAGCTCCCGGAGTTGACTCGTCTGCCTCTTCCTCCTCCCCTTCTTCTTCCACCTCTAAGCATGAGAAGCGCGCTGCCGTACCGCCCTCAGCGGAAGAGAGGAAGAAGATCAAGGAGAATCTGGAGATGCTCAAGGAAAAGGAAAAGAAGCTCGAGGCCGAGCTTGACCTCAACAATGCCGTCGGCACCGAGCACTACAGCGGCCACCGCGGCTACATGGCGGGCGACACGGCCGGGGGCGCCCAAGACCAGACGGTCATGACCGACGAAGCGCTGGAAGCGCTCCTGCCGCCGGAGCCCATGAAGCCGCTGACGCACGCCGAGTACGTGAGCAACCGGATCAAGAACGAGCGCATCCCGCCCGGCTTCACGAGCCTCCGGGACCGGCGGTACATCCTGCGGCCCGAGGCCATCGAGTCGGTCTGGTACATGTACCGCATCACGGGCGACGCGGCCTGGCAGGACAAAGGGTGGGACATGTGGCGCGCCATCATGGCGGCGTGCAAGACGGGCACGGCGCACAGCGCCATCGACGACGTGGCCGACCTTGGCGGCGCCGACGGCAGGCCGCAGGCGACCGACTCGATGGAGAGCTTCTGGATCGCCGAGACGCTCAAGTACTTCTACCTGCTCTACAGCGAGCCCGACGTCATGAGCCTCGACGAGTGGGTGTTCAACACGGAGGCGCACCCCTTCAAGCGACCCGTCTGAAAAGGGAGACGATTGGATACGGGGAATTCGGGGCCTCTTTCTTCGCTTCTTGGGGGGGAGGTCCTTCAGATGAAGGGCGGAAAACAACAAGCGCGCCCACAGGAGGAATCCAGATTGTTGGGGGTTCCCCTCTTTTTTGAAGATGAATTATAGAACCAGCACTCCCTGTTCGACGGGGGGATTGCCTTTGTTGGATCCGACATGGCCTAACGACATTCGTGGTTGGTTTTGGACAAGACACGAAAGGCGTAAAGTACTACTTTGTATAGAGGAAAGTGGCGCGGCGATACGTCCGTCCGCCCCTTGAAGACGGCAAGAGGATGAAATCGGCAGCCCACAGGCGTCGGATGGAACACGGACTATCACGAGCCGTGGGGGATCAGACAGTACTGAATAGTTGGGAGAGGAAGAAGCATGAGACGAATTTGGATATCCACGATTGACACGATATAAAATGCAAAATTTAATTTACGCAATTCAAAGTCCATCATTGCATTGGTCTATTCTACTTAGGTATAAAATCATCCATGACCGCTCTTCTTTCCTTTGCGTGCGCCCCAAGACTCGTCTTTGGACGACGGCCTTTTCTTCCAGTCGACATGTCAGTCGTCTCAAAACATTGGTGAATCTCCTCAAACTATTATCGGTGTTCCCCATTTGTCTCAAAAATTCGCTCCCTCGAGTTCCTTTTCTCCCCCCCCTCAGCTGCACGTTATGGGCTCTTGCTCGCACCTAAACCAACTCAAATCGCAACCCTTCCGAAACTACACAACTCGAAGCACTGTGACAAGGAAATATAGCACACTGAAAATGAGAAAAAGATGGGTGGAGGGGAACAATCTCTGGATCCCAGAAGAAGACTTGGTGTGAAGGGGGAAAAAAAAAGGAACCAAATTCAAATGTCTCATAAAACTCCGTACCCCTGATGCTGTGCTGTTGACATGTCTTTTTCCGCGGGATGAGGTGGTCGTGTTGGTGGTTATGGTGGTGGTGTATGTGCCGCCGCGTGTATGTAAAAAGTCGTGGGGAGGTCATCATGTACATGAGCGCAAATTCAACAACAGTCAGCGTCCCCCCAAAACATCGCAGAAATGCCCGCCCCCCCTTCTCTCTCCTTCCGGACCTGACTTGTTTCCCCGGGGAAAACTTCCCAATTATAGTTCAACACACCCCCCTTGGCCCCGTCCCTCGACTCGGTCTCTCTCGTGAATGGAAAAAATCGTAGTGGCATAACGCTCTGGCGCTCTCTCTCTCTCTCTCATATCTCCCGCATCGGGCCTCTTCAGATCTAAGCAACCGGACTAACCGGCCATATCGTTCAGCACGCGGATACTCAGGATCATGACAAGCAGGCCGATCGTGACGATGATCAGCAGGGTGAAGCTGAACCAGCCCATAACCATGGCACTTGTGCCCACTCCCGACTTGACCGAACCGTTGGCTAGGTCTTGGGCAATGATGCTGGCGGCCACAGAGGCCGTGTGCTGCCACAAGACCGAGACCAGGACGAAGATGGAGGCGATGAAGATGATTGCCAGCGCGATCTGCGAGACGGGCCGGCTGGGGAACGGCTTGACCTCGCGCTCGGAGCCCTCGCTGTCCTCCTCCTCGTGCCAGCCGGGGAAGGTGGCGAGCAGGAGCAGGCAGATGAAGGCGAAGATGATGGCAATGATGATCAGGTAAGGGAAGACGATCATGTCCTTGAACTGGCTGGCGAGCCAGATCAGGTTCAGAGGGTCCTGATCCACGCTGACCTCGTTGGCCAGCGCGGTAGCGTTATTACTGCACAGCCACGAGCCGCCGTCCGGGTTGACGCAGATGCCAAAGTAGCCGACGCGCGCCTGGAGGTGGGCGCTGCCGACAATGTTGGAGATGGCGGTGTTGACATTGTAGTCAACCTGCGCCGTGTCGGGCACGGCCTGGTAGTGCTGGTAGTAGAGGGAGAGGAGGAAGATGTCTGGGATCAGCGGACTTGATGATGAGCAGCCCGCCAATAATAATGCTGCGTAGAGACATATCGGTCAGTTCCCGTCTGCTGCACGTTTGCTGGTGGGTAAGGGTTGATGGTCCGTTGGAATGCGGGATGTTCCACTTGGCACATGGCAATCAGGAGCTTCTTTTACTTACATAGGAGGATTATAGCCACAGCTATCAGAATCATCAACACATGGTGGTATCCCAGGAACGGTACGAACCCTAGGGAGGATCAATTAGCAAAAAGGTGAACTGCCGAGACGCATTTCTGGTGAAAGGGAAAGGAGATCCGACGTACTGTACCACCCGATCTGAAATGCTGGCATCCCGGTGAAGTGCTTGATGCTTCAGCCGTCTGGCGATGTCAACGAGTGAGCTCCCAGTCCCGTCCTCCCCAAACGGAGCGACGGTAGGGCTTGGAGAGCACCTGCCACGCCTAGAAGGCTAGGCTTGTGGCTGCCGGTGTGTGAGTGTATCGGGCTTTCTCCTCGAGTCGAAGGCGGTCGAGACGAGCGACGCTGCTGCTGAGGAGGCAGATTGGCAACGTGCTCTCGCGGTGGAATGCGGCTGCTCTAGCAAGGCTCGACTTAGATCGAGATGGGTATCGATATCGATATCGCTGGAATGAAAGCCGCGCAGCCGGTATGCGCGCGCGCTCGGAGGTGCAGATCTAGGTTTGTCCTTTTGGGGTGGATAGCGGCAGGCGAGGAATTCTGGACACTAGCTCGCTTCACGTCAGACAATGTATGTCTAGATGGCTCTCGATAATGCAATGCAAAGCTTGCGCTGGAATGCAAAACGAGCGGAGGATGAAAAAGGTATGGAAAGATGGGGTGGGAGACTTAATTCTCTGGTAGTAGCTTTGCTCAGTCTTCAGGAATGTGAAGATGGAGGTTTGGGTTGCGTGCTGCAGTCGACAGACAGTCTAGTAGTAGGGTCGAGGAGGGAGAAGATCCAGCCGCGAAACTGGCTAGGTGGAATTATTCAGTGGCTGGTCGTCTGCGTTACCGTCTGGTTGCAATTGGCCCTGCCATTCCCTTTTTCCTCTTGGGCCTGGCTGGTGATGCAGTGGCCAGCAAAGTAAATAAAAGAGGGGGTTGGTTGCCCGGGGCGATGGGCACCACCCCTGCAGTCCTCTGTAAAGGATGGCCTGAAGGGGCAAGTGCTGGGGCTGTGGCCCCACCGATCCAGGCGATCCAGGCATGGTGTCCGCTGTTTTAGAGCCTTTTTAGCGGGCTCGCCTCGCCGATGGCGCCGGCCGCCGCGCCTGCAGGGACCTCTCACGAGCTTTGCCAAGGTTTGAGAGCACAGGATTGGGCCAAGAAGTTGTAGCCTGGCCTGGGCCTCCCCATGACGTCTGGTTCTGGTTGGACCAACGCTTTGTTTCGTCACTCGCCGCTTTCTCCGTACAGTTATCCGCGGAGCCACAGCGTGTTGTTGCATGATCAGCTCTGCTCTAGACTAATACGCCAATGTCGGTACGGACGGAGTACGCGCGCGCCCAAGCCGGAGGAGCCGCCCAGCATTCCCTCCAAAGTGTATTAAGATGCAGTACCTACCTACACAGTCTGTCTTGAAACGGCCTCTCTATGTTGGGAGATTTGGGCATTATAGCTTTTCGAATACGGCCGTCGAGAAGAACTAGTATGGATCGATAACTACCGCAATAAATAATCAAGGCTGGAGGGATGCAAGCTGGATTACGAGGCTCAATCAGCTTGGCACGACATTGGCCGGGAGACCGTTCATAGGCATTGAACACGAAGCCTGCCTAGACAAGAGTAATACCATGCTTACTATAGACAGTCTTCTATGCCCCCTGCATGCTGTTTCTCGTAGGTACTCAAGTCACTACAGCGAGCGATGCTCATGTATCTCACCAATACTCGACGCATATTCAAACAAGGCAATGCATATCAATCAGTTGCAATGTACCCGAGGAAAATATTCTCTGTTCCCTGGGTCGTTTGTGTGTTTTTGAAAATCATTACAATCATCATTCAATCAATTCATGCTGCCGCTAATGCCACATGCCAAATGCCAAATGCGCCTCAACGTCTCCGTCTGAACTTGCTGTTGTAGCCAGGACCACCCTTTGACCCATTGTTCCGCAGCTTCAACCTCTTGAAGTTGGCGTGGGCCAGCTCGTTGACCTTCTTTGCCGCCCGTTTGATCTTGCCGTCTTTGGGCGCAGCAGTTTTCTTGGCTGGCTTCTGACCCTCGTCTCCCGAGTCGGCAAACTCGGACCCAGAGCCCACGTCATCGGCAGCAGCGCCATCCGCACCCGCCGTCGTGGTGTCCACTTGCGTCTCTGGCACCACCTCATCCTCATCTCCGTTGCCCAATGCGGGCCTCTTCGCCCTAGATGGTCTCATGTTGACCCGGCGCGTTGTGCGCTTCTGCCCCTTCTTCTTGTACACCTTCAACGGCTGTCCACGATCCAGGCCCCCTTCTTCTGGGGCACTGTCATACATGCCCTCGTCGTCAAAGCCGCCCAATGGCAGATGCACCTGGCTGTCTTCAACAATCGTGTCGTCCTGTTCAGGTTTGGCCTTGGCTGTCCGCTTCGGCTGGTTCATCTCGTTCTCCATCTCATGCAATGCCTCCAGGTCGTCATCCAGCTTCTCCTCCTCCAGCTTGCGTAAACTTGCCACCACGCTACTGAGACCACGTACAAGAGGTTTCCGGGGTAATCTGATCGGGTCCGGGGACTTGAATGCGCCATTCTCGTCCACCGGCGCCAGCGGAGCCCTCCGCAGGAAGGCAGGCGTGGCGAATTGCAATTTCGATACTGAACCGGGTGTTCGTAGTAGGCCTTGGGAATTTGCATCTCGATTCTTGAGCGGCGTCATAAAGCTGTCGAGCATGTTCCGTTTGCCAGATGATACCGGCGTCCGGCCAAGTTTGGTGTCGCTATCGACTTCACCCGTGCCTGTCTGTTTGCTCGGGGTAGCTTGGACACCAGCAAGATACTGTGCTTTCCCCTCTCCCGTGGAGCGCGACGGCGTGGCGGCCTCGGCACTCGGCAGCAAATCAAACAGGCCGAGCACTCGCCCATCACGCTGCGGTGTAGGACCTATGGAGGTAGGTACGGCCGGGCTGAAGAGCTTCCGCGCCGTCGAGGGGGTCGCGACTGCATCGGGATGGTTCTGGAAGCGAGCGTTTGAAGGAGTTTGTGTCTGCGTCCGGGTCTTCTTCGACGGAGTCTCGGTAGCGGGTGCCGACTTGCGCTTCCTCGACTGACTATCATTTTTCTGCGGAGGCGGGATCTTGCCGGAGATGATATCTCGGAGTCTGTTGTAAGTTTTGTACTTTTGGGCTTGAGGAGGGGAGCAAGGCAGAGTCAGTCAACAATTCGAGCTATCGGGATCCCCTTCCCGAGGGAGATACTTTGGGGCGCGAGGGAAGCATACCGATATCAGGGTTCTGCTTGATTGCATCTCGACTGGGCTTCTTGCCCTCGTGCTCCTTGGCCCATGTGTTCTCCCACGTCTTGAGCTGTACACGTAGATCCTGGGATTCCTTCTCGTACCGCTCCCTCTCTGCTACATCCATCGTTTAATAATACCAAAAGATACAGCGTTGAAAAATGTCAGGGGGACAGGGTGGGACGTGCAGACATAGCCATGCTGAGAGCCGTCTGTGGTGGATGTAATACTTTTTAGTACTTGTGAGAGTGGTGAGAGTGACGCGCTTGGCGGCACGCGTCTTTGCAGATGGCTGGCGGATCTGCCCGCGACAAAGATGGATGTTGGTGGTGGGTGCAGCGCGTTCCTTTTTAGCGGTGTTGCCCCACTAAGAAACGACATCAGCTCCAATGCGTTGCAGAGCTACCTAGCTACATAGGTTATGAGGTTATGTACCTCTGCATATGACTATGACTGATTGGTAAACATGGAGCATCAAATTCTTCTTGGAGAAAACTGATCCCAGTACAATTCTCGAGAATATTCTATGCAGCTTGAATTCATAAACTTTCGGGATATCATTGCCAGCCATCTGGCAGAGCGTAGTGGGATTGGATCTTTCACACTTGAAGTGTAAGCCTACCTTGCCTACTTAAGTACCTACATAGGTACCTAGTTATTTGGTTTCTGGGTTTAGCGGGAATCTAGGGCAAGTCTGATCTGGTAGCTTTAGCTTTTAGGGAGGTAACAAGGATCTCGGGGGTTCTGAGGAATTGACATGTCGCCACCAAAGACACTAGCAGTAGACCATTTATTTATTAGGTACACATCATCGACATACTATGCTTATCAAAGAACAATGATCTCGCTGACCTCTTTCTGAATCATATTCCCGCATCGCTTCTTGCGCCTCTGCTTTGCATCTATCAACATCGCCCATGGACTCATGGCGTGACAGTCCAAGCGATATTCAGGCCAAAGTGCTGCAGCACACACTGGACGAGATCCATTCATCTCATCAAGCCAGCGGCGAGAGCAACGGCGATGAAGACTGTTGTGTCATCTGCCTTGAGAACGTGTCAGAGCCCTGTGTAGCACATCCTTGTGCACATCACAACTTTGACTTCTTGTGCCTGGTCAGCTGGCTACAGGAGCAGGCAGCCTGCCCTCTTTGCAAGTCTCAAGTGCAAGAAGTTCGCTATGAGTTCAGTCAGGACAGAAAGCGGTGGAAGACATACAAGGTTGGCAGCCAGAAACAGCCCGAGACAACTTCCAGTGCTGCAGCTGGGAGGTCGACTGGACTATATCAGAGGACACGGCTGGCGCAACATCGCCAGCGAAGAGAGTATCGCCCCCGCCCGCAGGTAACGCCAGATGAGGCGATACTGCGGCGGCGAGACATATACAGCAACCAGCTCTATTCCCTACACGTAGGGTCAAATCGGCTGTCACGCTACAAAGACCTCACCCCGGATCTCTTCGAGACTGATCCAGAACTCGTCTCCCGTGCCAGGAAATGGATCCGTCGGGAGCTGCAAGTCTTCCAGTTCCTGTCCGCTGGGACCGTCGCCGAGGCCAGGCAGGACGCAGCCGGTAGCAGAAGACGCGCGGACAATGCTGAATTCTTGCTCGAATACATCATCGCAATCCTCAAGACTATCGACACCCAGGGGAGCTGTGGGCAAGCTGAGGATATGCTGCAGGAGTTTCTAGGACGGGAGAATACCAGGCTCTTCCTCCATGAACTTAGAGCATGGCTAAGGAGCCCATACACCTCCCTGGAGGACTGGGATCGGCACGTGCAATACGACCGATCCAAGAAGAGGACGCCCCGCGCAGCGAGTGCCGCTGCAGGTGGTGGTGATGATGGCTCGAGCAACGGCGAGTCCTCCCAGGGTCGTCGCAGCGGAGGCTCTCATTGGCGTCCCCGAAACTCAAATAGGCATCACCCGTACCGAGGCCAGCGGGATCGGAACTATGCTCGGCTAAGAGAAGCATCGCGAAGATGGGCACCCGATTGAACTCGCCTGTATCACGCAACGTTGCTCCAACGTGCACACCATTCCTCAACCTCGGACTCGTCAGGATCGCAAGGAAAGCTTGACAAGCCAACAAAGAGGCTGTGCAACTAGTGCAAATAATAACACGAAGAAGCATCTTTTCTCGATGTGACGAGCCGCGACCCTCCGTCACTACCCTGGATGATGTCAGAGGACCCCGGGACGGTAGCACAATGACTGTGGAATGAAGCAGTCATCCCTGCTCAGAATCCTAGGACGAATCGAAGAGCGGAATGGATGCGGAAGAGCACCGGGGGCGGGCAATGCAAGATTCCGGATAGTCTTACCGAGAGATGGGATCTACTTTTCAGCTCGAGCCCCAGCCCCAACGACTAGCTCGATCACTTCACGCCTCTCGCACGATCTTCTGGGGCTATGCAGAGACACCAACGGCTCGACCACGGTCAATATCTAATGCGCCTTGCCATTGACCTCGTTTGTCGTTTCTGCCTGCGGAGTTAAGGTCCCCCTCAGATTCGGAGCTCATTATGATTCATCTCACTTCAGACGGGGTTCCGAGAAACCCGGCGACGGAGGCTACTCCGAATTGCTTGTGAGAAATGGATATCACTTAGATGGTCTATATCTATGCAAGTACTTGCCTTTGAGTTCACCTTCCAGAAGGAGGGTGTTTCCATCATACTCATCGAGGTGGCAAAGAAAAGTCCATCATGCAGCTCCGTCTTACACCTTGCCTAGCCTTGCTGGCCGCTCCGTCCGTCCACGGCTTTCTCTTGCCAAACCTCACTGGCCCATACTCCGTTGGCACTGTATCCCTCGAGCTGATCGATTACAAGCGCAATGATAACTTCGCCCCAGTCCCTCAACCAAGGGACCTGATGGTCTCTGTCTTCTATCCCACAAGCAGCAGTGACAACTTCACCCTCGCTCCTGACTGCTCTCCCAAGGTGGCAAGCTTTCTAGACACGTTGTACGGGCTCCCGGAGGGATTGGCGGAGTCGTTCTCCTCGCAAGCGTACGAAAATGCGCCTGTCCGGCGCACAGAGAGGCCCATGCCCGTTGTGCTCTTCTCACCGGGCTTTGGCGCCTTGCGCCAGGGGTACACTGCGCTCGTGTCTGATGTCGCCAGTCATGGCTATCTGGTCATCGCTGTAGACCATCCTTTCGACAGCTCAATCATCGAATATCCCGACGGCCGAACCGTCTTGGCCAACCTGACGATGCAGCCTTGGGACTTCCCTGGTGGTATCGACGGAGCTCTGTACATGCGTGTTGCTGATCTGCAGTTCGTTCTGGACTCGTTGTCAAACGAAACCATCACGCAGCAGATACCGGGCCTGAAGTCGGCTAGGATCCAAAGGGACCGTGTTTGCTCCTTTGGCCACTCCTTCGGCGGCGCCGCTTCCATCCAGGTCATGAAGAACGACACGCGTTTCAGGTGTGGAATCAACATGGACGGCGGCCTGTACGGCTCGGTAGTGACGGAGGGCACGGACAGGCCGGCCATGATCATGGCCAGCAGCGTTCATCCGGCAGGGAGCATCGAGTCCTGGCCCGCATTCTGGGAACATGCGAACGGCTACAAAAGATTTATGCGGATCAACGGGACAACCCACGGGTCATTCCTGGACTTCGCTGCGGTCCTGGACGCAGTCGGGCCCCTTGTGCCTCCCGAGTTCAGGTCGAGCTTTGGGACCATCGGGGGTGCTCGAATGCTGGACATTGAGAGCGCGTATAGTACTGCTTTCTTTGGCAAATTCTTGAAGGGGGGCAGGTGCTCGGGCAGACTGCTCGACGGCGATAATGTCAAGTATCCCGAGGTCACCTTTGACAATTCGAACCCGTAGCTTGGCCCCGAAGGATCGCAGCACATGGTGTACCATAGGCTAAGCAGGCAGATACTGCACGGTATACTGTTCTACCAATCACGAAGTGTCTCTTGATGATACTGATACAAAAAAAGGGTTCTACCCTTTTTTTTGCAAACTTTTTTTGGCGTTGGGCAAACTCACGGTCTCAATCATTCAATCAATGTCGCGCGGAAATGTCGGGATTGATGTGTCCGCTGATTTATAAGCCAAAAACCACCCACTCGGCCCTGGTATGTCTCATTGACTGACATGAAGCCCCCGCACGAGGCTCTCCTCATAAGGCGATACTTGAAAAGAGAAGATATATTCGTCCATCGTAATACAGTCACACTTGCTTTGACAGTAACCCCCGTCTTCCGATGAAAAGGGTGAGCAAAGTCGCCCAGTCACTACGCAACAGACGACCGTTCTCAAGCACGTCGCCCGCCATGACCCAGTTCGACATCGTCATGACCTCGGACAAGGTCTGCCCCTTCTGCTACCTGGGCAAGAAGCGGCTCGACCGCGCCATCGACGCCTACAAGCGCACCGTGCCCGGCGGCGGCGGCGACACCTTCAACGTCTCGTACCGCGCCTTCTACCTGAACCCGTACGCGCCGGCCAGGGGCGTGCCCATCCGCGAGGCCATGGCCGAGAAGTTCGGCGCCGCGCGCTTCGAGCCCATGAAGGCGCGGCTGCAGGCCATGGGCAAGAGCGAGGGCATCGACTTCACCTTCGAGTGCCTGACGGGCAGCACGCGCGACGCGCACCGCCTCGACAAGCTGACCCGCACCAAAGGGCCCGGGGTCGAGGAGGCCGTGGCGCAGGTCGTCTACGAGGAGTACTTTGAGAAGGGCGGCGACATCACCTCGCGCGACATGCTGGTCGCGGCGGCCGCCAAGGGCGGCGTCGACCCGGCCGAGGCGCGGGCGTGGCTCGAGAGCGACGCGGGCGGCGAGCAGGTCGACCGGGAGGCCAGGGACGCCGTGCGCGAGGGCATCCACGGCGTGCCGCACTTTGAGATCAACGGCGAGTTCCACATTGGCGGCGCCGAGGACGTGCAGACGTTTGTGACCGAGTTTGTCAGGGCGAAGGAGGCGGCCGAGGCCAAGTCTGGCTAAAGATTGCTAGGGCGTTCTGTGCGGGTTGTTTCCGGGAGTCATTTGGTTCCTTCTCGTTCCCAGGTGTGTGTCGTTCGAGGCCCGCACGGGGCTGTAGGTTGAGTGTAAGGGTATCATTTCAAGGTGTCTAAAGAATACTAAAAGAAAAAAGGGGCCGAGTCTCGCGTTCATCACATGCCCAGCAAGCCTCCAAGGTCTTTCTCCATAGCTCGTAACCTCTCCTGCATCTCTCTCTTCTTCTTCTCCAGCTCGCGCACCTCTTCCTCCTCTCTCCTCAAGTCCTCCTCCGTCATCTGGCCGTTCGCAGCCTCCTCTTCCTCCTGCTCCTCGTCTTCCCCGTCGCCCATCCAGTCCTTGTTCATGCTCTCGAGCCGCCCGGCCTGATCCGCTACTTTGGCCTCGTAGTACGCCAGCGTGTTGGCCTGGTTCGCCCTCCGCTGCCGCAGGGCCGGTATCCGCTCACGGGCCCCCGGCAGCGCGTATACAGTGCAGAGCTTCTCCGCGCCCTGCAGCAGCACCTCGACGTCGACCTCGCCCGGGCCGCGCCGCGAGATCTGCGCGTGGAGATCCCCGCCCAGGACCGCAGCGACAGCGGTGTGGCGGCGGGGCTGGACCGCCGAGGCGCGCGCCGTGGGAGGGCCGGTAGTCACCTCGCCGCCGGCTACGTTGAAGACGGTGCGCCGCCGGCTCTGGGCCGATGGGGCCTGGGGCGGTTCAGCGGAGGATGGTGCTTGCGCGGTCGGCGGTGGCGGCGGTGGCGGTACGGAAAAGAGCGCGCGCTCGTGCGCCTCTGTGTCGCGGATCAGGGAGGTGATGTCAGGATTGGACAGGAGAGCATTGGTGAAGATTTTCGGAGGAGGAAATCTAGAGAATTTCAATTTGACGTTCCATGCGGGAGGGTTCTGTCGTGTTGAAGATCACTTACGGTAGGCTGTCAATCCCTTGGCACGATGCCGTGATCTGTTCCAAATGCGCCGAAAGGAGCGACATGGCAACGAATGGCTTTCCGCCCCCGGCGTCAGACAGGTGTGTAGGGGCGGTCGGTGATTGTTCAGCAGGCACACGCTCACGTATGAGAAGTGAAAGCGCTGGTGACTGGGTCGATGATAGAATGCAGTGTAGAGTGCCCGGTTATTTACTTTTCGAAGGACTGTATGATAGCATGGCAAATGGTGAACGCGACAAATCAATACAGCACGCGCACAGCACTAAAGCGCTCCGACCCCGCCGTGTGGCTGCTGGTAGGGGTAGGCCCCGCGCCTAAGCCACAGCAGCACACGGGTTCGCCCGTCAAGAATGACTCTTGTTGTAGTGGAGAAGACAATCAAGCTAAGATTTTGGCCCTTGTTATGTCCATCGGCCTACAGCTACAGGCCCCAAGCGGGCGTCAGAATAGTTGACGGAAGTTCATCAGCAGCTACCTCATCGTTAACAGTCGATCTCCATGTCCTTGCCCTGTAGTTAACTCGGAAGGGCTACCTATCCCACGACCTAAATCCGATGGGCTCAATGGATGCCCAAGTAGTTACTTCTGTTAGCAGTCCGTCAACTAATCTGACCATCACTTGCACCCCATCCGGGACACAACACCAAGTCGACCCCGGCTAAAACACGTCTGCAGAGACCGCTGGCTCCAGCGGTGTGTTTTTTTCTGGACCTGAGACTCCATCCGGATCCCAGGACGTACATGAAATTTTATTTCGGGCGGGCAGGGTTTCCGAGCATTGCTGCCCAAGCTGCCGCTATCTTGGCCGACATAGGCTGATGGAACCGAATGGCTCGTCACTCGTCGTCCACAGTCCACTCTGTCGCCCTCCGACCCGCTCCGTAAAGCGCGCTCTCAAGCCTCTTGTTTTATGCATGAGATGTTGGCGCAACGTCAGTCCATTGTTGGCAAAAGTATAAGAGTTCTTGTGTGCCCGGGCGACCGACGTGTTGCCGACCACTAGCAGAGTCGAGTGCAGTCTCAGCATTCCCGCCACACTCGAGGTTTTTTTTTTTTGAAAAATACAACAAGAGGTAGAGCCGGATCCTGCTCTCTCTCGTACCTACATAGTACTAATAAGCAGCCACATCGACGCGGTGAAACCCCCGTGTCTCAATTTGCAAGGACTGGGTGATAGCAAAAAAAAAAAAAAGGCCGCAAGCAAGCAAACAACACCGAACATCGGACGACGGACCGATACGATTCCTTTTTCATCTCAGACTTCTCTTCTCCGACCGGATCTGTCCCGTGTGTCTTGTTGGGCACACTTGACATACAAGCATACAAGAAGAGAGAGCATCCTTCTCTTGTCGCCGCCCCCAAACCAACCCGGAGCATTTCTTATCTGCCCCATCAGGTGGTCATTGGATCCGGCCTCTGCATCGACTACTGGACAGTCTTCCGGCAACTGCATAGCAGAAAGGTTCAATCCAGGACGTTCTGCCGTCTTCTGGTTCTTTGTGTCTCCCGAGCCAGCCAGCGCATACTCGCACAAGAAACACGCAGACGCGCATTCGGGCCAGTTTTGCACATTGGCGAACACACAACGAACACGCCAATCTGACAGCTGCCACTTTAACTCGGTAGCTCTCATTCGATCCGGATCGCCGCAGCAGCAGCAGCAGCACCGCCACCACCACCACCACCAGTCCATCCATTGGATCCTCATCCCAACTCCCCGTCCCGTCCTGTCCGCACATCGCTCGTGCCCACTCCCTCACCCGCGCACACACACTCACACGCGCAAAGCACTCACGCCAAGCTCTTTCTTCCCTCCTATCTTTCCCTCTCCTCCGTCACCTCCTACGACCACCCAATTCTTGACTGGTCTGATCCATTCCGCGCAACTTCGGATCCCGATCTTGCGCGCTGTCACTCTTCCTGCGCCGCCCTGAGCTCGAATCTATCATGACAACCAACCGACATCCACTATCCTCTCCTTACTGGAGGTTCATACTTTGGGTGACGCCTTGAAATACCCTACCACGTCTCCATCTTGTCGCTATCGCTTCCTCTCTCTTCCCCGCGATATCTCGACCTTGCTACTTTTATTTTCAGTCCTCCCCCCCAGCCTACCCCACATTCAGTCGCAATCGATAAGATCCCACCCGTGTGGCATCGAAATATCCATAACTTAAACCACACCTCTTATTGACTGAATCTGAAACATCAATTCTGGGGCGAATCCCGTCAGCTCGGGCCACAATGCCGCGGCCGAAGACGCCAAAGAAGCCCAGCAGCCTGGGGGCTTTTCCGGCTGCAGGTCCAACATCGCCGCCACAGACGCCGAGAACGGCCTCACCTGCCAACAGTCGCAACAAGGGTCCGGCCGCTCGAGGGCCTCAGTCAAAGAACCAAGCCCGATCCATGTCGAAACAGCCGAACCTGCAGCCTTTCGGTGACGGACACAATTTCAGTTACCGTCCAGACTCTGTCCGTGCCGACCAATTGTCGCCGCGGTCTTCCTCCTCGGCAAGCGGCGGTGAGGACTCGGATGCGGAGTCTTCCGAGAGCGACAGCCCCCCTCGCTCCCTCTGCTCCGACCGGCCCAAGCCAAGCCCCTCGCCAGTGCCCGTCCAGATCCAGACTACTACTGCGAGGGTCATTACTGAAGCCACTTTCGTCTTGGAAGAGCTCGACGACAGCGATGACGACGATGATGACATAGAGGTCATCCGCCCCCACGCCATCGAGTACGCCGAGTCGGATCGAAGCCGGTCCCGCTCACGCGCCCCCAGAGAACTCGATCGCAAGATGATGGACGAGCTGCGCAACCTCAATTGCAGCACGTCCGAGTCGGAGGCATCGGATGACTCTGACGACTCGGATCTCGAGGAAGACGACGAGATGCAGGCGTTCCTGCTCAAGCAGCGCGAAGAAAAGCGCCGGAAGCGGATGAGCCAGGGCAGCGTGAGCAAGCGCACCATCAGCGAGAGCATCGGGAGCGGCTCCGACCGGGAAGACATCCGTGACTTCCTCGATGCTTCCGAGCTGGGCTCCAGCGCCCGCCGGCTCCGCCGAAAGGTCGGGAACCGCCATAGCCTGCAGTTCGCCGACCCCCCACCCCCGCCCATCCATGAGCTCGACGAGCCGGACAGCAGCGACGACGACATGCTCGAGGTCGCCGAGGTGCTGGCCAAAGAGCTCCCATATTATCACTATATCAGCATGGAGGTCGATTCTCCGTGAGTTCTGCCCGGGCCATTTTTCGGCAGGGCTTGTTGATCAGCATCATACGTTTTGACGACATGAATGACGGCGTGACGATTTTAATGCATTTCGGGCATAGCACACGAAGCGCAACGATGGGATACTCGTGGAAGGGTATCATTTCTTCATGAGTTTAATGAACACTATTATTCAACATTTCTTCATTCTTCCTGTTCTTTATTCTGTTTCTTGCCGAACCGCCCTTCGGCGGTGGGCAAACCTTGTTGGGATGAGTGAGGGCTCACCGCTCCTATCCCCTTTAGACAGGTATTATACTGGTATTTTTGGTTTCATCAAATTGGACATGGCTTTGGATTGGGAGGGGCGAAAGATATTAGACTGGCGTTGGCCGGATGATCAGGAGCCCATGCGCTCCGTTCTAAGCTGTCCTGACCTTGCGGCTTGTGCTTGTATCAGTACCATTTTCGCTTGTCCAAATACCAGTTCTTAGATCTCGGCTCAAGGGCAATCTTTCTCCAGAAAATCTTGAACACCCTCTGTGATAGGATACGAATCACTGAGTGCTTGAGAAATTCAAGATTAATTGATCATTTCAACTCTGATCATTGATTCAATGTTACATCTGTATCCCGATGCACCTTGACTGTTCAAATGTGATGTCTGATTTGATGGAAGACTTGACGGAATATCACTTTGGCCGAGATAGGTTAGATCGGGACCTGCGCACGGACCACTTTCTCGCTAAGCAAGATAAGATTATTGATACATCCCTCCAACCACGATATCGTACATGGATCGCAGTTGCCTCACGGGTACCAGACACGCCTCAAACCATCACCACATTATTTGCGCGAATCTTCGTGGGGATTCGACACACTCCTGCAAAGTGGTGACAAGCTTCAAGATACTCCATGGTTGCTTCCAACCTTCACCATTGACGCGATACATTGTTCAACCTGCTCGCGAGCTGAGCCACTCCCTTTCATTCACTCCTCAAGACATCGCACCCAGGCTTCCTCTTACCTTACCCCCATCCACTCGAGCGAATCAACAAGCCGAAGCATATCGTCGCAAAAGTTATCTCCTCACCGACACATCATCACCAGAGCAACACGTTTAGCAAGTGCTCTCTGAAGACGCCGGCTATGAATCAAACACCCCAGGGCGGCCAACCGGCCCCTGCCAATATGGGCAACCCCCAACCTCAAGCGAACCGGTCCATACCCATGTACAAGCCCGAACAAATGCGAGCCATTCCCTTCCTTAGCCAGGAAGAAAAGACAAAGTACGAGAATGGCCTGCAACAACTTTGGAGAGTGCACGATTCCCACGCCGAGGGTTCAGCGGAGAAGGCCCAAGCCAAGAAGAGAATACAGGAGTTCGGCGGCATGCTACACAAGAAGGTACGGGAGCGACGGGCGTCTCAGCAAGCATCTCAACAGCAGGACCAGGCAGCCGGCAGCCAGCCCGCGCAGCCTCAACAACCAGCTAATGCTGGTACACAGGCGACTCTCGCGCAGGCCGGAGCCCAGGGGGGGGGCCCTCCGGCAAACACTAATGCCGCCGGAACACCCGTACCCCAGGCTGCCGCGCCCGCCGCGGCGGCTCCAGCCCAGCCCCAGGCCCAGCAGCAGGGAGCCCAGGCAGGACAACCCGCACAGACCCAAACTCAGAAAATACCCGATCACCTCCTCACTCACGTCAACCAGATGACGTATATCCCGCCGCCCAAGGTGGCGGAGCTTGGAGCGGAAGGTGTGAGCAAGTGGCAGGAGGAGATGAGGCGGCGGTACGGCAACAGCTTGGTGCAGATGGAGGTGGCCCGTAGCTCGATCCAAAAGATTGAGCAAACGATCAAAACTCGAAACGAGAGACAGCAGCCTCTCAATGCGGAGGAGCAGAAGAACGTGGACTTCAGGAAGCAGACGTTCAACAAGGCCTACGCCGAAGCCGCTGGCTTCGTGAACAACTTTCGCAAACAGCAGGAGGCCATCAAGAATGCTCAGGCGAACGTGGCGCAAAAGGCTGCGGCTGCAAACGTTGCCGCAGCCGCGCAGCCCGGCAGGCCCCCTGCAGGCCCACAACAAGCCGGTCCGGGTGCCGGACCAGCGGGCAATGCGGCGCTTCAGAGCTCGCAGGCTAACATCAACGGTGCTTTCGAAGCGGCCAAGAAGGAGCAAATTGCAGCTGCGGGCCGTATGCCAGGAGCGAATGGAATTGGAGTCAGCCAGCAGTCACAACCTTCTCAGATTGCAGCCACCTCGGGCCCACAGCAAGCTTCACCTGTCACTCAGACGCAACCTGCAGCGGTCGGTCAAGTGAACATTAAATCGGAGCCTGGCGCTCATCAGCAGCACCAACCCCAACCACACCCACCTCCCGTCAACACTGCCCTTGCAGCAGCCAAAGCCGGCATCCCATCTGCAGGTACACCAACTCAGAGTGCCAATCGCGTTGCAACTCCACAATCAGCGACTCCGGCAGGAGGACCCGTTTCATTCTCACATCAGGCTGCACTTGCTGCAGCAGCTGACAAGCAGCGCGTCAACTCGGCATCAGGAAGCATGCCTGGTTCTGGCCACCCGGGAGCCCAAAGCGCGGGCACGCCGGGCAGCGCGGGCGTCATGGGAGCCGCAGCTCAGGCTCATCCGCATGCGCACCCCACCCAGCCTCAGCAGACACTGCAGTCCCGACTTCCCATCCCGAAGCAGCTCCCCGAGAAGGCCACACAGGTTCCCCAGCCGGTCTCCATGGGAGGCGGCGTGGGTGCAGGCCGCCCGACCTATAGTGCCGGTGGAGGCGTCGCCGGCGGCGTCATGGGCCAGCCCGCCGTCAACAAGATCCCAGCTCTGCAGCTTGAGGGCGAGGGCGAGCGCGTCCTGAACAAGAAGAAGCTCGATGAGCTCGTTCGCCAGGTCAGCGGCGGCACGGCCGAGGGCCAAGAGGGCAACATGCTCACCCCGGAGGTCGAAGAGGTAAGAGAGTATCACACTGCTAGCGCTGGTTCTGCATGAAATGTTAGCTAACAGGATGCAATCAAATATAGTCCGTCCTTAATCTGGCAGACTCGTTCGTCGACGACGTGCTGCAGACAGCCTGCCGCATCGCCAAGGAGCGCGGCTCCAAGATTCTCGAAATCCGCGACCTCCAGCTGGTCCTCGAGCGAGGCTACAACATCCGCATTCCCGGCTACTCCTCGGATGAGCTTAGGACGGTGCGCAAAGTGCAGCCATCGCCGGCGTGGATTGCCAAGATGAGCGCTGTACAGGCGGCCAAGGTGATGCCGGGCAAGGGCGACTTGTAGGAGGTTCATATCTTGAGGGGAAGGACTCGGGTGTCGGGGGTCCATACAATGGCTGACGGGATCCTTGTGTGTATGTGTGAGAGGGGACAGCCTCCTGGTGAGGGAGAGCTCGGCCAGGGAGTGATGCTACGATGGTAGCGGCGGCACAGGCGTTTGTTTTATGGAATATCCATCGGAGCGTGACTGATCCTTTCTTCTGGCGCGGGACAATAACGGCACGGTCAGGCATTTGTATTTTTTTGGGAGGCAACACCACCTAGATAGATAGGTTTATGGAGCCATATCTCTTTTCAATTCTGCGAGGACGGCACTTGTCTCATGACAGGCAGCTGTGTGTTATGTCTGCATAGCATAAAAATAGTGAATGGATGCATGCATGCATCGATGCATCTTAATGCTGTTCAAGTACATGTGTGTAGGCATCAATGTCGACAACGTCATTGGCGCTGCTTGGCTCCATTCCCAAGGATGGATGGATAGATAACTGGAGGTCACTAGCTGGAGGCTGAGAGTGCCCAAAGAGACGCCCAAGGCGCTAAATAGTCAGCAGTGGACGGCAGTAGAATCAGAGCGATAGGCAATGACTTGGACATGCACTGCACCTGCAGGCGGGAAAGTGCAGCCTTTGAGCGCAGCTAGAGAATGCTCCCAGGGCTACTGTTCAAAAATACTTGCTTTGTTCACCAGAGCTTGCTGGGCTGACAAGTATAAGTACTTACCTCCTGTGTGTCTTCCCATCTATGTCGAAGTGGGTCCAAGAGTCGCCCTGGCCAATGAAAGGGAGATAAGACTCGGCCAGCGCATCCAGGCTTCGGGCTCTTTCTTTTCCTTCATTACGCGCAACACACGCTACAGCCTACTGGAGATCTGCTTGCCAGCTGGTGCGTGGTCGCTTCTCGTGTGGTCACTCACTGCTGAGCTCTGAACCTTGCTTGCATCACCTTGACAAAGCACATCCACCATTCTCAACACCTCCCCCCAACCATCACATCATTAACGCACATCCAACTCGACGGCTTTTCCATTTCACTTAGCAGCCGCGCAAGATCCCATCTTCCTCCAAAGAACCCAGCGCGGCGCAGGGTTGGAACAGCATCACTCCTCGTGTCCAGGTGACTCTCGACTGCCTCGTGCTGCTACCCGCCCTGGTCCTCAAGCAAGCAATCAAGCCGACTTTTGGCCACACGACCGCGAGCCGCGAATCCATCGTATCACTGCGAGACCACCTAGCGGAAGCCTTCTCACCTCAAGCTCAGCAGCTTCTCTCTGCTGCTTTCTTTCCGCAATCCCCCCTCCTAACAACATCTCGACTAGCCTTGTGCAAGCATGCCGAGCAAAACACCCCATAGCAACGGCAACGAGCCTGTCGAGAACGGCATCCGGAACAACCAGGACGTCGAGATGAAGGATGACTCGTCTTCATTAAAGGGAAAGGGCAAGAAGGGTGCCAAGGATGGTGATGACGAGATGACCGTGGTCGTGCCTCCTTCCAAAGCCTCCAAGCAGTCATCCAAGCCTCCTTCCAAGGACGCTGATGCCGATGTCGCCATGGAGGACTCTGACGAGCTTGCTGAGGGCGAGGTCAAGGTCGACCCTGTTGTCCAGACTGTGTCTGGTATGTCCTCTGCCAGCAATCATTTTATCTATTGACCTGGATTACTGACCTTTGCATTTACCTCTGCAGACATCAAGAGCAATTTCGCCCTCCTAGATCGCGCCATCGCTCTCTTCGATGCTCGATTCTCCCTGCGCGCCCTGCGCTCGATTTCATCTATCCGCAAGCGCCTCACACCCGATATCCTCGCCCAGGTCATCACCGAGACGTTCCCTGCAAATGCTGCCTCCAGCGCCACTGCGAAGCACTTGCTCGCCGCCATCGGCAAGGAAGGTTTGCCATTGGGCCGCCAGCCTGGCCCCGAGGTGGAGGTCGACTCGGAAGCCAAGGCACCGGCCAAGAACGGCAACAAGAAGGAGAACAAGGAGATCATTCCCGAGGTCGACCTCTTCCTCGGCATCCTCATCCAGGTCTACCTTTTCGACTCGAAGCAGTTCCAGCGCGGCGCCGACTTCTCAAAATACCTGTCTGAGCGTATTCACTCCCTCAACCGCAGGACGCTTGATTCGCTCGCTGCCAAGGTCTACTTCTACTACTCTCTCTTCTGCGAGAACGTCGCGCCCCTGCCCCCATCACCACAGTCGCCAATCGTCTCGATCCGCCCGACCCTGCTTGCCGCCCTGCGGACGGCCGTCCTCCGCAAGGATATCGACACCCAGGCCTCCGTCATCGTCCTGCTTCTGCGAAACTACCTCCTGACTTCCCACATTGCTCAAGCCGACCTCCTCGTCTCACACACCCAGTTCCCCGACAACGCCGCCAACAACCAGGTCGCCCGCTTCCTGTACTACCTTGGCCGCATCCGCGCCATCCAGCTTCGCTACACCGAGGCCCACGAGCACCTGACCGCCGCCACCCGCAAGGCGCCCTCAAGTGCATGCGCCGTTGGTTTCTCGCAGACGGCCACAAAGCTCCTGATGGTGGTCGAGCTACTGATGGGTGACATTCCTGACCGTGCGACTTTCCGCATGCCGACGATGGAGCAGGCTCTGCACCCGTACTTCCTCCTGGTGCAGGCTGTGCGCATTGGCAACCTCGAGGACTTTGAGACCACTATCGCCGACAATGCCGATGTTTTCCGCAAGGACGGCACCTACACGCTGATCCTGCGCCTGCGGCAAAACGTCATCAAGACTGGCATCCGCATGATGTCGCTGTCCTACAGCCGCATCTCCCTGCGTGACATCTGCATCCGCCTGCAGCTCGGTAGCGAGGAGTCGGCTGAGTACATCGTTGCCAAAGCCATCCGCGACGGTGTCATCGAGGCGACTCTTGACCGCGAGCGTGGCTTCATGAAGAGCAAGGAGATTGGTGATGTCTATGCGACGAGAGAGCCTGGCGAGGCCTTCCACGACCGCATCAGGGCTTGTCTCGCTCTCCACGATGAGAGTGTGAAGGTACGTACTATTCTCCGTCTGCGAAACATTGCCGTTTAGGAAAACGATAGGAGGCTGACAACACTGGTATCGTACAGGCTATGCGCTTCCCCATGAATCAGCACCGTCTCGAGCTCAAAAATGCACAGGAAGCCCGCGAGCGGGAGCGGGAGATGGCCAAGGAGATACAAGAGGGCGACCTGGACGAGGACGATCTGGGCGGCGACTTTGAGGGCATGTAAGACTTGTTCGATATGGAGAGGGTATTTTTCACGTTCCTTGTTACCACCATCCTCTTTTCTCCCGTGTACTTTTTTTTTTGAACTGGCCAAAGGAGAGAGAGGAGAGAGAGGCGAAGGGAACAAGATAGACTTGGCTGGAGTGGAGGAGGCAGTAAGCAGCTCCTTGTAATTTAGAGGGAGCGGGAAGAACAGAGAGGGGAATTCGAAGACTTTATTTTCTGCAACGCCATTGACAGGCTCGTGTCTTGTGTCAATTTTGCATCAATCATATCCCCATCTTCGCTATCGTCATTCATGTACTAGAACCACGGCAACGAAGAACTTGCCTCGTCCCGGCCGGCGGCAACAGAGATCTCCCTCGGCGGGGGACGGATGGACGGGCGTGTTTGTGGTACTTTTCTTTTTGTAGTTGTGATACTTTTCTTTTTGTAGTTGTGATACTTTTCTTTACTCGTCCTTGGGCTTTGAAAACATCTTTAACGACTTGGCTGAGAATTCCCTACTCGGCGTAGATGAGTATTGATGGATACAAGTGATACTACGTGTCTCATGTGCAATGTCCAACTGAGGCTTTTCGAAAGAAAGGGGCACGAAATCTTACGCAGGAGTAGAACATTCAGAGAAGAGAATTCTGTGGCTTTTGTATTTATAGTCTGCGAGAGATATTAAAAGAAAAACATGTACGTACGTACGACATGTGTCGAAAAAATCCCCCCAAAAAAGAAAAAGGTATCCTAAATTGCCTGAAATGCATCCATCCGCCTTTCCCCCTTTTTCCCTTTATACCCTCGTACTCCTCCTGTTGATCCCCCTTCAGTCTTTTCATTCTGCAATGTCCCGTCTCCTTCCCCTTCTTGCCACCGTTCTTTGAAAGATTAGTTTTTGTAAGCATCCGGAAACCGCATTACCACCCCCCACACCCCTCCCCCCCCCCCCCCCCCCCCCCCCCCCCCCCTTCGTTTTCCCCAGCCTGCCCAGCCTGGCCTCCAACCCCCTCTTTCTTTCCCGCAAACCGAGAAAATAAGAAAAAAACTCAGAGCCCCAGGATCCTGACACTCATGGTCGTCGTCGCCGTCGTGGTATACCGCACGGTGGTAGTCTCGTGCACCGTCGTCGCCGCGTCGTGCACCGTCACCACGGCCGCGGCGGCCTGCACCCTGCCGCCCGGGCCGCCGTCCTGGCTTCCGCCCCTCCCGCCGCCACCTCTGTCGTCATCGTTGCCGTTGCCGTTGCCATTGTCGTTGCCGTTGTTGCCAGGGGCCCCCCGGTCGGGCCGTCCGCCGGCAGGCGACGGGGCGTTGGTGGGCTTGAGAGGGAAAGTGATCGGGGTGATGACCAGCGTGAAGGAAGGGTTGGGCGCCGGCCCGGTAGGCTTGGGGTCCTGCGCCGCGGGCGGCTCGCGGGCAGCGGTAGTTGACGTCGGGGCGGGAGCAGGCGTCGTCGGCGGGGCGGGGTCGCTGGCCGTGGTTCTGATGGTCTCGGTCGTGCGGATGGTCAGCATAGTGGTCCTGGTCTGGACCACCTCCCTGGGCGTGCTGCTGCTCGTCGTGGCGGGCGTGAACGTCTGCGTGACAGTCGACGACGCCTCGGTCACGGTGATAATGCCGCCTCCGCCGCCCGTAGCACTGATGCTGCTACTGCTGCTGCTGCTTTCAGAAATCCCCAGGACGCTCTCGGCCTTGGTCTTGTCCACGCACCCGACCATCACGCCAGCAAGCCCATCCGCAGGCATCGGAAAGCAGGCCTGGCCGCCGCTGCAGGTCTCCTTGACCGCGAAGACGCCGCCGGACCCGCATATGTTCAAGTTCCCGCCGATGCAGGCCACCTGGCCGCTGGTGCAGGCTGTGTCTGCCGTGACGCCGGCGTAGATGCTCTGGATGGCTTTGGCCGAGCCGACGTTGCTCGAGAATATGCTCTTGGGTAGGGCCGAATTGGCTGGTGGCATCGTGACCAGAATCGTCGGGACCTCGGTATTCACCTTGCCTACAGGGCTCCGCCGCGTGGTTGATTCGCTTGTCGCAGCGGGAACGGTAGGCGTTGGGGTCGATGCGGTCTGTTGGGGAGCAGTAGTGGAAGGCGAGGTGGTAGACTGAGGTCCTCCCGAGGTTGATGAGCTGGAGGTCGCGCTCGTGGACGTTGAGGCCGCTGCCGTAGTGGAAGTAGTAACCCCTCCGGTGCTCGTTGAGCTAGTCACCGTTGAGCTTGAAGACGTGTCGGGGCCAGGTGGAATAACAGTAACCTGTGTCGTGACGGCGTCACGCGGGGAGCTTGATGAGGTGGCCGACGTGCTAGTAGTGCTCTCTGTTACAGACGGCGAGTTAGTCGTCGAAGAAGTGCGCGAGTTCGGCGCAAGGGGCCCGAGCGAGACCGAAGATGCCATGCCAGCGGAAGTACCAGACGACGACGTCGTCGCATCCGGACTCGAGCTTGCCGAAGGTGTTATTCGGGGCAGGGCAGTCCCTATCGTCGTTACGGCATTCTGGCTCGTACCGGTGCCCACGGTTGTGGTACTACTGCTAGAGGAAGTAGTAGTCAAGGTCGTAGTCGGCTCAGAACCAGGAGTAGATATCGAGGTCGAGCCATCACTTTCTGTCAGTGTAGGCTCTTGAGCGGCGGGGTCCTTGGTGGAGGACAACGTGGACGACACAGCAACGGTACTAGAGTTGCTGAAGCCGTTCTGCCGTTTCCATCTGTTCCCAGCCATCGCGGCTGGAGCAGCGTATCCCGGCCACGACGCAGCATCGCGAGCCGGCTCTATTCGATCCCTGCTCGACGTCAGTCTGTATTTCTATATCTCCAAGGTCGAGATCTTGCAAGGCTGAACTCACCGTTCATATGCTTTGCCAGCATGTCTCAGAGGTCCGGCCTCCGCGCTGGAAAGCAGGAACAGGGGTATGATTATTAAGTTGGTGATCTGCATTTTTTTTCTCGTGTCTTGCGTCTCGAGTGTAGCGTGTGTCAAGGAGAGAAAAGTGGGAAGCAGAAGCGCCGAGGGCAGCGTCTGCGAGAGGTATGAGAAGAGATTAAGGCCCCCTGATGGCCCAGCCGCCTGGGCTGTGATTCACAAAGGGCAGCAAACAGTGACACTGTTCAGGTGTTGTTTTGAGACAAGGAACGGATAGTGACAAAGACTCTGCGACGAGCCAAGATCCAGATATTCTAAGCACAAGGAAGGACAAAGGAGATGAATGAGCGTATGAGTTCCCGCTTGAGATCTGCGCACAGAAGCGAAACAAGTGTAAGAGAGAGAGAGAGATAGCAGGAGAAACAAAGAGACGAAAAAAAGTGGGAGAGATCGACGAGCAAGAACAAACGAAGGAAGAAAGGAAAGCCGATCAGGTGTCAAGAGATGCGGAGGCGAGCAAGTGACGAAACATTTGTAAGGCGAGCGCGTCGTCTTGTACTGCTGTCGCAGCCGCGTCTCTGAGCAAACCACGTACAGCCCCTCCAGGAAGCTTCCCACAACGCGTAGGCCAGAATGGACGAACGTATGGCCGTCGCAGGCCAGGCCCGACAAGCGAGATCAACCTACCCATGCCGGCATAAGCTACTCGACGTCAGGCCCAGCCGTATGTCCTTGCGGCTTGCATGACATCTGGCATGATGGGCCAGGGTAGTGGATTGGGCAGTGGACGACCATGAGTCGAGGCGTCAAGCCTCCGAGCACTCGCTCTCGGTGGCGGCGGTCTTCTCAGCTTCTTGGAGGGCAACGATCAGCGGCAGCCAATGCTCTGCCGTCGGTCGTCCTAGACCTCATCTCCTTGAGACCAGGTCACCCAACCCTCCAGGCTCTTGCAGGCCTGGATCGAGAGGACGAGGTCGCTAAGCGCCTTGGGGCGACGGGCCATCCCAATCGTTGAGCGTTTCCAGAGGTCGTCAAAACAGGCGCGCGGGCGTCTATTATTGGCCGGCGCTTCCTGCCCCGTGTTGGCGGGACCAGGGTCTCCGGGCGCCGCTGGCCAATCGCCGGGAGCTCACCACTCCAAGTTGCGGCAGCAGTGGTCAATGCACTAGAAATTACCCTAATTGGCAAGGAGCTCCAGTGGAGTCTTGCACCACACCTCCCGGGACCCCATCCGAGACCTGCCCGGCTGCCCGGCAGGGCAATGGTGCAGTTTCAAGCCAGCATGACCCGAGAAAGACGGTCTGGGTGAGAATGAGACTTGAAAGATGCAAATGGACTGCCTGCTGGCTTTGGATTTGAGGCGGTGCTCGTATGGAGATCTATGGCACTGATCAATAAGACATGTCAATTTAAAACCAACCTTGAAGGTAGTAGAAATAACAAATCAACCCACGGAGTTGACATGTAACAATATAAATATTTTCATCGCTGGACTGTATAATAATCGTGGCCCTGACGAGAAAACATCCTCGAGACTACAGTCGCGGCTTCTGAGCTTGCTTACTGGCTCGTTTGAAGAGGGCAATACACCCTGTTGAGCGTGCCAGTCATCGTTGCCTCGTCCTTTGCAGATCCCTCATGATATTGGTCTCCTTCCCATATGAGCTATGTTCAAACAATGCAATATCTTGCCATCAGGAACATGGATCCCAAGGCGCTACTCATCCTTCGCTATGCTACGTGCCATGCCCCAACTGATGCAACCAGTTCACAGGTCTGTCCAGATACGCTCCATGACAACAGGCGTTTCCTCACGGCTGTCCGCTCCTCCCGCTCCTAACTCATCGGGACTCTCTCGAAACCGCTTGGCAAGCGGCGAACCGAACATCTCGGATCTCCGCACCAAACGGCGTTTCATAGCCGTGCGGCGCTCCGAACCGCTCGTGCTCGTGCTCGGCGTCAGGGAGCCCCGAGCCGCAGCGGGGGGCTCGTCAGTGCCCGAGTCCCCCTTTTCCGTCGCGCTGTCGGTCGTCTCCGAGTCCGCCTCGGTGATCTCCAGGTCCAAAGCAGCTCCGGTATCGACTGCTGCCGCCGTTCTGCCCACGCCTGCGTCCTCGGCCGCGCCATGCGGCTCATCACAGAGTGAACCTAGCCAGGCCTCGCGAAATGCCAGGCCCAGGGCCGTCGCAATCTGTCTTGCGACGCTGTTGCCCACAGAGCGCCACATGTCCGCGGGGCTCCCCAGCAGAACCTCGTCGTCTGGTATCCCCTGGGCTCGACGGACTTCCATGATCGTGAGCGGCCGTTGCTGTCGCCAGTGCAACCAGCGCCCCACCCGAGCATCGGTAGGGGCACAGCTCGTCGTGACCGTCGACATCAGGGCTCTTGGGTCGACGCGCGTCCAGCCATGAGATTCTGGGGAGACTCTCTTGACGCCCTTTGGTGGAAAGCATGCCCTCTCGGCAGCAGTCATGACGCCTTGGCCTTCCGTCCACTCCTTTCCATTTTGACCATACCAGGCTTTGGCAAAACCCATTCCGTAGGGTTGAGTCGGGATGCTTTGAATCTGTGCACGAAGCTGCCTTGTCACCCCCACACTGAGGCGATGGTCTGGGAACCGCACGCAGATGCCCGGCTTGCCCTCCTGGATATCGGGGAGGTCTTTAGTAGCCTCCTCCGAGCTGACAAAGCTGAAAGCAGTAGCCTGGTCTCTGATCTCAATGTACGGCTCATCGTTGCTGAGTCTGCCAAGACGCCTCTTGCCCCGCTTGAGATATCCAGGGTAATGGGAATGGGAGGGAGATGGCACTGATGGGAGCCGTACTCCAGGAGCTGCAAAGAGGAGAAAGACACGAGATCTTTTCTGAGGGGCACCATGAGACCAAGCATTGCCTAGCATGATTTCTGCCTGGTAGCCCAGGCCGAGGAGGGCACAGATCAGCTGCGAGAAGCAATCTTCTGACTTTTTTGGTCCCTTTTCGACAATAGTCGGCACGTTCTCCAAAATGCCATACCTTGGTCGGTAGAAGTCGATAAAGGAAGCAAACGACGCCACCAGCGACCTGTTCTTCGCCTGCAATGGCGTCTGCTTGTTGGGCGTCAACAAAGAGAATCCGGGACAAGGACTGCCTCCAGAGATGAATGCGACCTCTCCAGGAGCGGGGACGCTCTTCGAGAAGAGGCCTTCTAGTCCGGATCGGAGGAGATTATCCACGGACCCAAGGAAAGGCCATACTGCCTCGGGAGATCTGGTGTTCGCCATGTATGTATGAAGTGCGTTCGGCGACATGTCGTTTGCCCACTTGACTTCAATCACCCCGCTCTCTTCCAATCCTCTTCCAAAATTGCCACAGCCACAGAACAGATCGAGCGCTGCAAGCTTGGCACACGGCTTGTCTGGGTCAAAGCCTTGTCGCAGAGAGCTCGGTTTGTGAGTTATGCGCTCATAGCGCACCGTCTCGCCATCGGAAACTCGCCTGCTGGTCGCGTAAAAGATATTGCCAACTCCATTACGGTCGTATGGGGTGGGTATCTTGCTGCCGTGGTCGAAAGTTCTCAACGTACACCGGGCCGTGATCGCTGAAACATGGGCGGTGACAAACTCATCCGTGTACACGAGTTCGTTTGCCGGGGCACCGGAGCCCGGCTCTATTTCGGCTCGCCGGAGAAGGATGCGCAACGAGACAAAGTCTTGGAAATCTTCTGTCCAGAGCCTAGCGACTTCAACTGGCTCAAGTCTCGCACTGTGGCCAAGTTGAGCAAGGACGGTGTCCCCAGCTGCGTACTTTGCAGCGGCAGTTGCAGTATCCTTGCGTCGATGACAACATTCCAGATCGCTCTTTTTCAGAGTGACCCAGCGACGTTGGCCATGCATGTACATTTGTCTGATGAAGAACTCGGCGATTGTGGTAGGTCCTCCAAACCATTCAACACTGTGTGTCCCGAACACCTCGTCCTCTTCAATATTGCTGTTCGGACCTTCATCACAAGTACAATGATCTGAAAGGAAGAGCTCCTTCTTCCAGGGATATCTCATGTGTCGACAGGGGGTATCAATTGGATGGTAAAGCCAAGCGACATCGAAGAGGCGGAGGCCCCGTTTGTTGACTGTGATCCCTTGAACAAGGCCATACCACTTATCGTCGCATGCCGAATGTTTGGAGGCCTCTATTTTCCATTTGGTTCCTGTTGCTAACCCGTCTCTGGAGGTGGAGATGACATCTCCAAGTCGAATGTTGTCAATCATATCCTTCCTAGTCAGACTGTGGGCTGGGGTCTGTAGGAAGGGTTCGCCAATGACAGGCTCAGCTGTGGACTTCTCGTGTTCACTGGCCACTGGTTGCAGGATCTTGCCAAGTTGCATGTGCTTGAAGCAGTTGTATATGTACCTCGTGACGACCGTCGGCCGAATTTCTTTGGTATCCTCGCACGGTAGGATCTCCTGCTGGAATCGATCAAGTGATAGAATCTCTTGGAAAATTGGCAGATACTTGGAACGACGATCCAGGAATTCTGACATGATATTGTTTGTCTCTTTCCAGAGATGATCGATGTTGGCGACGACGGCCGTTCGGAAATCGTCACGGCCAAATGCTGCCCGCCATCTTTGAAACGCCAGCGAGTCGCCATGATGTCGATGGAGCCATTCGCTAAATTCGCTCTGGAAGTTGCGGATGTAAACAGGCCGTTTCGTCTGCGCTATGGCGTCGCAGTAGTCCACAAAATGTTTCCCAAGATCGGCAACCCAGAGGAACGGCGTGAAAAAGCGTTTATACTCGATCGAAGGGGTTGTGAGCCTGTAATAGACTTCCCGGTTCTCATTGTACAATGACCGTATCCAAATCTGACCGTTAATCGAGGATGCGTCTTCCCCGTCCTCTCCTGTCTCTCCGTAGTTGCCGATCGGAAGTTCTCGGAAAGGCACTTTACGAACGTAGTGGCGGATATCGCCGTGCTCAAGAACACCATTGAAGTACATGGGATTGGGTCCATTCTTGGTCGAGAGACAATGCAAGGAACGCATCTCATTTCCGTTCTTCTCGCTGTCGATGTAGATAGAGAAGTTGTGCAGCACGATGTCGGTCCACTCATTGGAAGAATCCATCGAGGGAAGAAACTTTTGCAGCACCTCGGCTTCGGTCAATTCTGGAGCGTCTGGGAGTTGAGAGGCGGTATGCAACGCAGGATGGACCAGAGTTGATCGTGGGAGATCTACTGAGAAGACCTTTGTAGGTCTTGCTATCGTGCGAAGTCCTTCTTGCTCCTCGGTGTCCTCCGATGACTCGCCAAAAGTATCTGATGTGATTACGAAATCTCCTTCACTGTCTTCGGGGTCATAGTCGGCAACTTCGACTTCCAGGAGTGTTTCGTCAGGCACAGCCAGTGCTGCGGATGATGAGATGGACCCATCTTCCTCGGAGCCTTCCGTTGTGTCGACGGCTCCAGGTGAACCTGTCAAATAGACGAGGTCCTCTAGTGATGGCGGCATTGTGGAATACCAAAGAAGGCAAAAAGCTCTCAGTCACCGTGGGCGTGTTCCCATGAGCGGGCTGAATGGCTGGAAGTCCACTCGTATATTTCAGGAGATGACCAAGATCAGAGTCACTGGTCTCTTTCTGATTAGCAGCTTTGGAAATCGAGTGACAGAAGGACAAACACAGACCGACTCGAGATTGGGCTAAGTGTGAGCCGAGGATGGGGACAAAGAACTTGGCCGGTGACGCACAGTTGAGGCTTGGGTCGTCAGTTTGACCACCAGATGAAATCGGGCCCAAGGAGCCAAGGAGCCGACTAGCCAACAATACAATTCTTCGACTCGTGTGACTCGTTTTTTCGTCCCATTGCTGTTATATTGTTGAGATCCGGTGTGACATCTGCGCAGTGAAAGCAAGGGCTGAGTATTCCAAGAAAAAAGACCCAGACTCCAGAAGGATTGCCTTGAAGACAAAAAAAGGCTAGATAGTAAATAATCCCCCCCCAAAAAGAGTGAGCGACAGAGAGCCTTGCTCTTGGCTCTTGATGCCTTTCCCAAAATATCTCGATATTCATTCCTGGTTCAGAATCCCACAGTCGCGATAGACGCGTTTTGAGAGTAGCTTATATCTAGACCAATCAAAAGCGCCAATTGCTCCTTCCGGCCCCACTTTCAAGCACAGCGCAGGGGCAGGTGTTGTTCTTGTTCGCGGTATTAGAGTGAGTTGTGAGAATCGTTAAAAACCGACTTGATGGATGGCAAGGCTCTTGGACTCCGATTAACGTGCCATTTTCTACTGGTGGAATGGCAGCCCGTCGCGGCAGTGGTCACGAACATTATCTAGTCCCTCCTTTGGAAATTTTTTAAAAAAAATTGATTCAGGGTATCTTATGTGAACTTGAACATTCAGAGACATTTCTCGTCGTCTTCCTCGTCTTCGTCTCTGTCCTCGCATCTATCTATACACAGCTCAGCGACGCCAGCTCTTGGCTCCTGTGATGTGCAGACCGAACCCACGGTTGCGACAAACCTGGTTCGAAGTTGTGACTCATGTAGTCTTCCACATCCTCATCACTTGGCCAGAGCCAAGTGCACCCCCTCTCCTGCTGCAGCTGCAACAATCTGCTCTTGATCTCCCCCGAAATGTGGGGAGCCATGTGATCCTTACTCAGGGTCCGGAAGAAGGTCATGATCTCTGTCATGATCGCATGCTGTTTGTGGCTGGGGTCTTTGGCGTCCTCTAGCACAGTGTCATCGTCCCAAGACTGCAGAATCCACCGCATGACATGTGCTATCTCAGCAGTATCGCCAAGACCTGCCATGACCCGTACGTACTTGTGGAGATGTGCAGCGTTCAATTCATGCGAAAGGGTCGAAAACTTCAGTTCGACTTGGCCTCGCCGGCCACTAGAGGAGCATTCGGTGAGTTGGCGGAAACTCCGGGTTAGGGCACTGTGCGCTTTTTGGACCCAATCAACCTTGGTTTCGTGCGAGGCTCCTGTCTCATTGTTACGCTCCGTCCCGTGACTGGCTGCCCCTGCGCCCCTGGGCTCATCGAATTCCAAGACTCTTTGGGTCACCTGGCAAAGACTGTCGAAGAGAGAAGGGTCGAGGCCCATCATGTCTCTGACCGGAGTGAATACCTTCATGAACAATGACAAGGATTCGATCGCCTCAATCTCTCGGTTTCTGGCTTCTGAATTGGTGACAATGACGTTTCGCTGCGCCAGAGTACGCAGGATTGTGTGCCAGGGGGCTTTGTACCTGCGCCCGTCCCGGGTCATAGGCGACAGTCGAACACCGCAAAGCTTGATTGCATGGTGCACAGCGCCGACCCAATGAGCGTGATGCTCTCGCCCAGTCCCGAGATTGGCTCTGGGTTGTATCCTGCATAGCAAAGATATGTATGCGTTGAATTCAGGCAGAGATATTCGCCTCAGTGTATCGGCAGATGGTTTTAGAGGCGACTGGGTGGGAAGCACCTCGAGTGCTGATATTGTCTCCTTATCGAGGCCACTATCGTGAAAATACTGCAAGGCCTTTGGGACCGAGCGAGCGTTCTGTACGAGGATGGCCAAGCACTGGCCGACAGGGCGTGTCCCTTCACGCAGCATTTGATGGTATAAATCTTTCACTGATGGTGGGGTCAACCTCGCCCGCTCAAAATCGCTGAGGCTCTGGTCGTAGACGGGGAAGAGTTCCTTCGAGTCTCCAGGGAGCAAGGAGGAAGCTTGACTTATGCCAGTCGCGTAGAGCTTCGCAAACATCTCCGCATAGACTTGGAAGTTTGGCTTGACACCGGCTTGGGGTGGCTTTTGAAACAAATTCCACGCCTCATGAGCATTGCGGGTGGCCTTGACTCGAGCCGCCCAAGTGGAAAACATGTTCAGAGCCGCCAATGATCCGGCCCATTGCTTGGGTGCCAGCGATCTTGTTTGGATGGTGGGTGAATCGTCCAGGACGGCACCACCAAGAACGGCGAGAGCACGGTCACATTCCTCGTCAGCATAGCCAGTCTCGTGCATGAGCATACCGGCCTTGACGCTACGACTGAGGTCATCCTGGAGTCGTCTCCTCTCATCCAGACCATCCCACTCTTGTCGATAGGGCGGCCAAGTCTTGGCTAATCTTGATGCAACCTTCGCTTCACCGGCAGACTTTTTAAGCCCGATCATGACTCTCCGCATAGCCCTGTAGCTTGCTCGGTCAATGATGAGAGGCCTCTGCGAGGAGATGGACATGGAGAGGAGCGTTTTTTGAGCTCGCCAGTTGTACCGCATCTGTGAGACAGGGCTCGATGGCGATGTGTTCTGAAATAGCTGCAGTGCGTGGTTGAAAACGAAACATCGCTGCGCGTAGCTGCTCTTCCGCCTGGAACCCTGCGCAGGGATCGCCTCGATATATGACGATGCCAAGCGCGCGATGGATGTAATTGCGGAGGGCCAGACTCGTAGGCAATGGTGCACAAGAAGCCTCAACAGCATCACGAAATGATGCGGAGTCATGTTGATCTTCGGGTCCAACGAACGGCGGACGGCCCCGAAGGGCAACTGCATGTCGGCCTCTAAATGTTGGGTTCGAACATGATGCCGTGCAACATAGTTCAGAACAGAGGTAATGGACGGTCCTTGTCGGAGCGTCTCGTCTTTCCTGAGTAGCTGGAAAAGAAGAAATATCGGTTTCGGAGTAGGTGTTGACACGAATCGAGCAATGCGAGCATCGCCGTCTTCTGCTCCCAGTATCCACGACCAGTGGCGAATGTCATCTTGGGTCACTCCCTTGAAAGATAGGCTGCTTAGCTGAGCCCTCCAGGCCTGCTCATCGCCGAGACACTCGCCCAAACTGGTCTGTATTTGTTCCTCGTCTTTCCTGATGAGCGCCTGAAGTGTCACTACCGGCAGCCGAAGGCTTTGAGACCCGGCGGTCGACCTGAAGAGATTCCAATGGTGCCATGATAGAGCGGATGACCTCCCCTTCACCCGGAGCGCAAGGACGGCATTTGGGGACGTTGGCAGGTATTTTGGAAATCGGGGCTTTGGACGAGGTTGGTGTGGCCGTGATTCTGTCGGTGGGAGGTCGGGAGGAGCCGTTCGGCGTTCCAGAACGCTAATACTCGACTGCCAGCGCCGAGGGTCTCTAAGCCAGAGCGAATTCTTGCAATACAATCAGCATCCATGCTTGCTTTACGGAGAAGAGAGATACAACTTACCCTGGGCCGGGTAGCCCAATGAGCGCATCTGGCACAGCCCCTCATGGAGGCAATTCTCGACGTGAGCATTGGGGATACTCTTCAATCATCTTGAAGGTCCCAATATATTTGACAGCAGGAGTGATGTCGCTAGGCAATTTGGTTGTCAAACCAAAAGGTACTCAATCTCGAGACCCAAAGGCGCCGAGCGGTCCATGTCCTAGAAATCTTGGAGTCACGTGAAGATGTTTTTTTAATGGTACTTTGTACAGCGGCAGTCAATGGTGGGTCTGTCGCGCTAGACACAAGTACCTCCTCTCGACAGACGAGTACGAAGTACGCTACAGTCTCCCCGCGCCTATCAAGGTGAGCTTGGTGGGAATGCCAATAGGTCTCGTGCACCAGGCATGAGGATCGTAAACCAGGGGAATGCAGCTGTCCACTCTTCAAGTGGCCGCCCTGGGAGCCTCAACATCCAAAGACAAACAAGATTTCTTCAGTCGTGGAGTATATTATCTCTCCTCGTGGCGGCGTGCACCTGGCTCCTAGCTCTACGTTTGCTCCACCAGAGGGAAAGCTATCTGGCCAACCCCCATTTGCTAGTCTGGAAAAGCCAATAGGGCACCCATGGTCGGCCCATCGCGGCGATAACCTGCAATCGGTAGACTCGGGGAGGGGTCTCGGTCCTCTTTCACGATCATGGCACCCCTGAAGCGCAAAAGAGTCGAGCAGGAACCGCCAGAAGCGACAGTGACGCGCCGTGCGACGCGTCAAACCTCAATCCCCCCACTCCCAGCTCAGCCTGATCCCGAACCCCGACGCCGCCGACCGCGAGCCATCTCCCCCGACGAGGCAGCCCAGGCCAACGGCGTTGGCGACAAGAAGGCCTCGAACGGCGCGTCTGCACCGGCGATCAGAGCGCCCAAGACGATGAAGCAGACCGCCGCGACCGCGGAGCCCACCAAAACTACGAGATCGACGAGACATGGTGCCGATGATGGCGGAAGTCTTCCCAATGGCATTGAGAACCAAAGGCCAGGACCTGTGAACTCGTCCGCAATCCCTCCCCCCACAACGCAACGCCCACCGATGAAGAGGACGGGCCCGCCGAAGAAACCGCTCCAGTCGCATCAGCAGACTGTGGGTGTCACCAAGCCGATCACGATCGCGACGTCTGGTCCAGCCATCCAACCTCCGCAGCACGACACCAATGGCACTGCCAGTCCACAGAAGCCCAATAGCCGTCCCGATCGCAACATCGATAAAGTCGTGTTGGGCAACATATGCTTTCGAGCGTGGTACCCCTCTTACTATGGGAAGGAGGTGCTCGGCGACGTTGCGAGCAGCAACGCCAAGACTCCAGTCAACGGCGGCAGTCACGACGATGGAGGTGCCAAGCAAGCGGGCCGCCGTGACCGTGATCACCAGCCCATGCTAGATCGCCTCTACGTCTGCCCGTGCTGTTTCAAATACTCAAAGGAGCTGGTCGCGTGGTGGGAGCATGTGCGAGTATGCGAGCAGCGTGGGTTCGTCCCCGGCCGAAAGATCTATGTACACCCCAAACCGAAGAGGATACCGCAGGAGACACCTGTACCTATCCCGATCCCAAGACCCTTCAAGAAGAAGAAGCCAGATCCGCCGCCGCCTGTCATACCGCAGAGCATCCAACAGGATGTTGGGGAGTGGAGCATTTGGGAAGTCGATGGAGAGAAAGACGTGGTACGTATCTTGTGGTTTCTCTAACACCAAGCAACCTCCGCTAATTCCCTGCGCAGCTGTTCTGTCAGAATCTGTCTCTGTTTGCAAAACTGTTCCTCGATAACAAGTCCGTTTTCTTCGACGTGACTGGCTTCAATTACTTTCTACTTGTCTTTACGCCAAAGGCCGAGCCAGCGACCGGTGACATTGCGCCGAGGCACCATATCGTGGGCTTCTTCTCAAAAGAGAAGATATCGTGGGACAACAACAATTTAGCGTGTATCTTGGTATTCCCGCCATGGCAGAGGAAGGGCTTGGGGGCGCTTCTCATGGGTGTATCGTACGAAATATCGAGACGCGAGGGTGTACTCGGTGGGCCAGAGAAGCCCATCTCGGATCTGGGCAAGAAGGGCTACAAACGATTTTGGGCTGGTGAGGTCGCAAGGTGGATCTTGACTCTGGAATTGTCAACGCAGGATGGCGAGGAGACCATTGTCGACGTGGAGGAGTGCAGCAAAGCAACATGGATTGCTCCCGAGGACTGTCTGCTCGTCTTGCGGGAGATGGGGCTTGTCGAAGACGCCGGCATGGGGCAGCCGAAGCGGAAGGAACCCGTGCAGCATGAGGAGCAGGCCGAGGAGCAGGAGGAAGAGCCCAAGCCGGCCCCGGACGTGCCGCGAGTCAAGCTGTCTAAGGCGGCGGTTCAGCAATGGGTCTCGGCTAACGGTCTGAACCTGGCTCGGAGCTGCGACCCGGCAGGCTTCGTGGAGGGCTACGCGATCAAGCAGCCAGTGGAGGCAGAGGAGGCCTAGTATTGTGAGGCCTAGTATGATACCCACACATGTGTCAGCTTGGGATGGGCTGGCTTTTTCCTGTAATAGGGCATGATGACCTTTATGATAATTTGAAACACCAGTGAGCTGTCCTCCGTACGTGATTGTGGGCATGGACGTGTCGTACCTATACGTAGTTACCTAGGTACGGGAGCTCCCGTGGTTTTTACCTACAAAAACGGCGCTAAATCTTTGCTTCAAAAAATTGGTATCCAGACCCGTACCGAGCAAAGAAGCCCGACCTGGAAAGCGTGCTTACGCTTGACCTAATACGTACGTGAACGCATTGGGAGCTTCTAACATCCCAACATTGAAGTGGTTTTGCTTGCCGGAAGACCGAGCCTTGCTTGTACATACTTACAACCTGCCAGGTAATTTTCGTAGCTACATGTACCTATGTATCGAACCAATGTCCGAAGGTTCCCGACACTCACAGATTGTAACCAACAACCAACATGAACCGCATGGCATCTGAAAGTTATAGTCACTCGGAGCTCACATCAGCTTAGGTCGTACCTTAAAGGAAGGTAGGTACTACATTGGTCTGGCGGATGCCTAGCTCTGACGGCGAAGGGGATATCCGGGCAAGAGATGGTTCCGCGTTTTCCCCGTGCAGGAGATGCCTGACGTTGGTTTTGAGGCTCCAAGGCATGCAGGGGACGGTTGCTTTGGGAAGCTATCCTCTTTTTTTAGCGGCCAGATAAGCCCCTGTAGTGGAGGGTACAACCTGCGGAACATGACGGGAATCCCAGCCAAACCTACCAACATGCTACCTACTTGTAGTAGGGATAGACGGAAGAAAAAAAACTTAGAAGGTAAAATAAAGCTCAACACACCAAGGAAAAATTTTCACCGAGATGTTTTAGGGGAATAGCTAGCATCTTCGGAGCACCCACTACTTCGTACAAACCTCATTTCCTTTGGAACGGGTACTTGCCTTAGATCCCCTATGCTCCCCTGAAACATTGTACCGTCCATATCTACCTGGCAGGGCTACGAGAGAGGCGCGTTCACCTTGCCAGCTGGCAAAAGAGCTCCCTTTTTTCCATCTCGGTTATTGCGCCGATGCTAGGATACCAGACGCGATCGAGATTTTTCATTGGCAGATCCCAGCCCCGAAATTGCTACGCTGATTGTTTGGAAAGGGGATCCCGACCCATGGGATTGTTGCAGGTACCTTACCCTTGGCCTTGCTACTACCCTGGTGACCTACCTAGCAGGGAAGTGTGAGCTACCCCCTGAAGCTCTCAGTCCATTTCGTCGGAGCTTCCTGATGGCACGGGATGGAAAGAAAACAGGGTTTGCGCGATGAGCTCATACTTCGTAGGAGGCTGCCCGTGTACTTGTAGTCGAAGTCTGACACTTTGATGGTGTGCTCCCTGACTCTTGTTCCCATGAAATGGAATTCGCCCATGCTCATCTCGGCTCCCTATTCTCACCGTGTTTCATTGATTAGTTGACTCGCCCGTCGCAAGGTTTGTTGTGTGCGGATATGTTGGCATGATTATGTTCTGATAGAATTTGTCCTCCAACGCGGCTGCACGGGCAAAGCTCGGCTCAAAAAAAAATTCATGTCGGTCGGTACCAAGGCGAGATAAGGTCGCAGCTAGGTACCCGGTGCCCTGGAAAGCTTGCAGATTGTTGTCGCGTCAATCGCTGCAGGTGCTGGAAAAAGACAGTGTGGCAGCCGCCTGCATCTGCCAGGGCGTGCCGGCAACCCTGGATTCTTTTTTTTTTTTTTTCTGCCATTGCCTTGGCCGCCAAGTGGGGACTTCAGTGGGGGTCACTGATGAATGGACAGCGAGTGTGTGCCGGCCGCGGGTATCGTTGCGTGGGATTTCGGGAGCCCCCTACAAGGGTGCGAAATTCTCTGCCGTCGTCGTTTGCGTCCTGCAGCAAGAGCTCCTCGAGAGCTTCCAATGGAGTGGTGACTCGACAGACATCCACAAGCAACCCGAATTCTAGAGAGGGGAGTCCGGCGATAATAAATAATGCGCCCTTTTCCCTGTGTGGGCCTCGTGGTCCTGCTGGGCGCTGGCCAGCAGCGTTTGCAAATTCCTGATACTTGACCCTAGCTCCGTAGAGCTATGGAGCTGACTCCATCCACACGAATCATGGCCGGCCGTGCCAAGGCCTGTCCGTCAGCCTCAGGCGTGAAACCCAGCATCTAGCCATGTGCCAGGGTGCCGTTTGGCTGCGATCTGGCCAGTCCCGACATCGCCCGAGTGAATCATGGCCCCTTCACTTCCCTGTCCTACCTCCTTCTCACTTTCTCATCAGCTGGCGAGCACTTCCCAATGCGGTGCTCCCACCAAATAATTCACTCGCCAGCCCAGGCCACTAGGTCCACAATATCAATGATGGAGTGGAATCGTGATGGGTATCCTCTCCATTCACCCATTGGCCTATGATATCCCTCAAACGACACTACCCTCCTCGGTCCGTTCGTTGCCCTGAGCTCCCATAGCCGGTAGACCGACCACATGTTCTTCTCCCTTCGTTCCTCTGAAAAAGTTCTCACTCTCTCTTTCCACCCACACCAAGCTTCTTCCACGAGCTCTTGATATCTTTCTTTCCTCCTCTTCGCATTACCGTCCTTTCTTGTCCTCTCCAGACAATCCTCTCCCCTCCATCAATCACAATGGCCTCCACTCGTGTCCTTGCCTCTCGCCTGGCTTCGTCCATGGCTGCTTCGACCACCAAGGTCGCTCGCCCTGCCATGCGCCTGCAGGCTGCCGCTTCCAAGCGCACCATCACTGGTATGTCACCTCGATCCTCACCCGAGAGCTTCGATAGCTCCCAAGGCTTCGATGCAATGGAGTCGAGTCGAAAAATTTTTGCCGTCCACCATCTCGACATCGAAGGTTAACACGAAGGAATCAACACAGGCATGACCAAGGCCAGCCCCCTTCAGACCCTGAAGCGCCAGCAGGCCCCCTCCACCATCCTGGCCTCCAGCAAGGCTTTCCAGGTCTCTTCCCGCCGCATGTACAGCTCTGAGATCGCTCAGGCTATGGTCGAGGTCTCCAAGAACCTGGGTATGGGTTCCGCTGCCATCGGTCTGACTGGTGCCGGTATCGGTATCGGTCTCGTCTTCGCCGCCCTCCTGAACGGTGTTGCCCGCAACCCTGCCCTCCGTGGCCAGCTCTTCTCCTACGCCATTCTGGGTTTCGCCTTCGTCGAGGCCATTGGTCTTTTCGACCTCATGGTTGCCCTCATGGCCAAGTTCGTAAGTGCCACCGTGGTCCCGTCTCTGCCCAAAAATGGCTCATTCGACTAACCTTGGCATGCAGACGTAAACAATTCCTTCAAACTCGAAGGAGCTCTTGGCCATCCCCTACAGGGATGGGTCACTGGGGGTGTAGGAGTGTACGAGGTGTGTGCTTAGACGTGGTCGACCGGTAGACAAAAGGAGGAGAATTATAGACTCTGGAGCGGTCACTGGACATAGAGGTGCTGCATACTTGGAGATCCCTTGGAGCATAGATCTCGGCGGGCTTGCATCAAGTCATCGGGACTACCTTGTAAATTAGCGAATCTCATTCCCGATTCAAGACCATACAAACCGCGCAAAATAATTTTCTTTTGTCGACACATTCCCAATTGCAGGGAAAGCGTGCCAATACCAACGTGATTTTCGAGAAGCAGAGAAACACGGCAACAACGGAAAATCACTCACCAAAGCCAAGGTTCGCATGCCTCACTCGAATCTGAACTGGCCAAGTCAGGCCCACAAACTTCATAGCGCACTCCACCAACAAGTCGCACGATGCCCACAGAGCGAGTCCAGAAACGGGCTTCGTGCCAAATTGCTCGAGTAGCTTGCATATTCCAAGGATAGCCACTGTCGATCGACTCTACTAGAGAGCTTGGCCGATGTCCACAAAGGTAAACAAGACCGGTCGTACCGCGCGAGGGCCGACATGCTTCGTTTCGATGGCCATGGAGCTTGACCACGTGGGCCATCGAACGAGCACATAAGAGGTCGCCATCCGTCGGCCGGGCATCTGACCCTTCCTAGGGACGGGCCTCAGTAGGGTCCGTTGTCCTGACTGCCCCGTTGATGCTCCCTAGAAGTCTGGGGAAGGGCATATCATGAACTTCCCCAGGCTGGGGAAAACGGGCGGGCGTACGGGCCATCTGGTGGGGACTTCCCCGGAATCGTGCCCTTAGGGCCATTTCCCCATACTGACGGAGCGAGTGCTCGACGTCAAGTCATCCAGAGCTTGATACATCGCGACTTTCTGCAATTGCAACTGGAGGGAAAGAGTTGGAGTTGGATTGATGGGATGAAGTGAGGTTGAAATTACCTTGTCCTTCCCCTCACGGCGCCGTCATGTGATATGCCGGCTGTCGAAATCCCTGCGACTTACCCCAATCTTGACACACAGGCCCAACCAGTACAAGCGGCAGGAACGGCAAACCCTTACCCCTCACCAGTCTTTTCCTTTCTGAGAGGTTGCCATCACCCCGATCTCTATTGCCGGAATGTCTGGCAAGGATTTGAGTGTCAACTGGGGGCCTTGATTGGTGGCATCCCCTGGGAGCGAGGCCGCGAGTCGAAGGTGTGGAGGGACTCTCTGCGGATTCGAGGCCAGTGGACTGATTATGCGGGAAATTCGGTTCTCTAGCAGCTTGGAGGGACCGTGGGTGGTTCCTTTTCACAGCCAGTTCCTCATCGGTTTGCGAAGACGACGGCCGACTGTTGAGTGGCATCGGTTCTCCATCAATGCACGTTGGGTTACATGGTCCACAGAAGTGGCGTCAACACACTCCCTCATGAGCAGATGGTGTTTGAACCAGTTTTGAATCTCGGTGCGGAAGAAAATATTGGATTGATTCCAAGGAGAAAAGGAACTCTGCGTTTGGGCGAAGCGCTCGTGACCAAGCGGAGAGTCTGGGGAAGGGGATCTGGAGCCAGAGAAGGTGTGGCGGTCTCCGGCTCCTTCCAGTTTAGGGCTACGCCAGGGGGCTGGTGGCCACCCAAATCGTGCTCACTTTACCAGAGATGTACGTACTTCGTACAGGCACCCAGTTTGGGGGGATCCTCGCTTCATTACGAATGATCCCATCCGGAACGAGTTCGAGACAGAATCTTACTGCTTATTCAATCGTCCTGAAGATACAGGCGACGTTCCGGATACACTTACTAATGGACAGAGGCAACTTGTTGATAGTACACGCCTTCAAAACTGCTCGACGGCCTCAATAGCCGAGAGAATCGACTTGGCCAAGACTTTACCCAACGCAAGAGCACATCGATGCGCGATTACCTCGTCTCCTCTTCCACCTTGCGCCCCTCCCATCCAACCGACTTCCTTGCCTCTCAACTCCCCATTGTCCCCTGCGAGAGCTCGGCGTCCACGAACCAGACACGTATACGAGCCATTGATGAGCCAGTCGAAGTTCAGAGTAATGTGTCATTCGTCGGCAGCATTCGTGAATGGAGGCTTGCCGCTGCCTCCTGTTGGATATCCTTGATGCTGTCACAATCCCGGTGGACTTGTCGGTTTTGAACGATATTATACGAGACGTGAGCTTGGTTCACATTCCGTTCCTCTAACGCTCTCGCATATACTCCGCCACGTACCTTCAGCAGTGGGAATACTTGCCCATCCCACCCGGTTCTCGACACCTTCAGGATTGCAGCGGTTTCACCGTAAACAAAGGACATCACACACTGGTCAACAGTGACATGTTTTGATCTTGTGCTTCTGTGGATGAGTGTCACATTTGCAGGATGGTATCATAATATGTATGCGGACCTCCCGAAGTTTGACTGCTTAACTGTGCCTCCATAATGTTCAGCGTGTAAATACACGATATTGCGCCGGGTGCCCCTTTGCGGAGATGATTATACGAAACAGCCCCGACTTTACTGTCGAAAAACATTTCCCCTGCTGTAGTCTGCGGGATGTTCTCATGGAAAGTACTCTACAGCAAGACATGGCACTGGTGATGACGAGCAAAAACAGTAGTAATCACTTGGTTTGAATTGGCTTAACCTGCCTCGGATAGTTATCGATGTGTACGAGTGCGTTTTTATGTAATAGAGCCAGCGATATATAAGGGCATGTTCTCGCTCATCGCTGCTGATCATTATATATGAAGATGTGACCCCTGGCCGCGGGACCCCGTGAGGCACTTATGGGCCAATGGCCCCCTTGATGCAGATGTCAAAAGGTAAAGGTATCGACTGTAACAACTTCTTCTCCAGCCACCTGCTCCGACGCTGTTGATGCATAACACGAAGTGAAGCTGTGCCCCTAGGACTGTGTGTATCTACAACTGATGGTTGTTTGTTTTTGTGGCGGGATGATGGCAATTGTCTGTCTCGGGTCAGTTGTCCCAGTCGCATATTTTGAATTCTCTGTTCTTTTGGAAAGAAATCTCAGGACTGCTTACCTCGCCATTGGTGACATTGGTTTTCGACTTTCCCAACCCCGTGGACACACACTCCACCCCCTCTGACAAGCCCGTTGACAGCAATGTCACGGTGTTGACCACCGCCGGTTTTGCTGTAGATATACGTTAGACACCAGTCCCTACGCCGTCTGTATCGTAATCACTAACCGATCGTTATCCCCACTCTGTTGATTGGCACCTCGAACCTGTAAACGCTTCCGTTTGGACCCTCGAAGGCTATTCTGGCAACCTCCAATGTTCCGCCCAATGGGCGGGCGAGCGCCAGGCACCAGAGAAGGCAGAACGAAATGAAGGCATACATTGCGAGATGGCGAGATGGCGATAGCTCTTCTATTCGAGACAGACAGTTTGATCGGCGGTTTTGCGTTGGTCGTCTTGGGATGCCGTTTTTGAAGAACAAGCAAGGCCTCAATTGCAGATCACTTGCTATTATTATACTATGCTAAATCATGGTACTCTTTCCTTCCAAGGGCGGCCTTCCGCCGCAATAATAAAAGGCTCCGTTCAAGGGAATCGCCCTTAGGTAGGTTGGGACTCTACCACCTCTGCCCAGGGATGAGGGTGGGTGCGTTGTAGATAGCGTCACTTATCCCTTGAGATATTTGCCCCTCCGAATGCCACGCGAGGAGCTTGGTGCTGTTTCCGCCTCTATTCATCTAATATTTGAAATCAAACGCCGAAATTAGGTGGGTTCGGCTGCAAAGGGAACGAATTCAATCGGGCGCAATCTACGAGAGGCTGTGGGTATGGTCAAATCACACTTCACGCACAAAACACTGCACCCAATCAAAGGAACTGACATGTGGCGTCAATCATTTCAAATTCGTATCGTAACAGCTAGTTGTCTTATTATTATTGGTAACTTCTTGAGCGGCCCCCTGGGTTATAGTTGCTTGGATAGAGCCTCCCGTTCGGTATGCCTGGCACCGTGAACTTCCTCTTCGGAGGCGGAAAGGTAATGATGAGATCCCACATGTCGGAAATGCTAGCCCTTCTTGCAGGAAGCATGCTGTACTGTAGACTATACAGGTTCTTGCGATTGATAGGCGGGACGAACTTGCCAGTCAGGAGACATAGAAGAACACGCGGCGATAGATAGTGCTTCCGTATCCGTGATCCCATTTGGAAATACTGATCAAACATCGCTTTGAACGATAGAGGTATGGACTGCACAAGAGTTAGCAACGGAGCTTGCAGATCTTGCAGGCAGAAGCAATTTTACCTTGAGGTAGATCACGGATGTCGTAGCTTGGGTGGATTTCTCCGAAGGAGTATCTTTGGTGTCTCGGAGCTCGAATCGAATGCCGCCTGGACAGTGTCAGTCACATTGGACGGGGATATCGAAGTATTTTCAAGAGCTGAGCTCTTACCTGGCAATCTTCTCGGGTCCTTGATCCGCAACATGAGCGCGAAGAGTGGGAAGTGATTCAGGCATGACAATAGGGTATCAAAGACTGCCTTTAACATGATGATAGCCATCCTGGCCACGGCGAAATTAAGGTAGAACACCACGACTGTCGGGAGGAGAAAGAATAGCAAAGTGAAGAGGATAGTGCCAACAAGGAGCTGGTCTAGGTCGTAGTCGCAAGAATCGATACGGTTCCGCAGGACGTTGTGTTTCTTGCCACGAAACAGGTGAAAGAGGGACACGAGGATCGTCAGCTGCCAGTGGAAGATGCGAGCCGAGGCGAGGTAGAAGGAGTAGATGTGGACTGTCAGTATAGACAGGAGATCAGAAAAGAGCGCAATCGGCATGCTGGCTCCGCCAAAGCTCGAGAAGCCGATGAACCACACCACCTGCGGCAGGCTTGGACGGAGGAGTTCTATGCAACCTGGAAAAAATTAAGCAAGGCGCACTGTTTGAAGCAGAGCATGGATAAACCTACTTGACCAATAGTCTATAACCCATAGGAAAAGGTCACCGAGGAACGCGGCAAGCTCGGTGTTGAGCTTCAGCCCAGCTGGCCAGCCCATCAACCACGAAATACTGCTCTGTAGAGCCTCGACTGTATACCTGGTTAATATGGAGCTGATCTGGTCTGCGACCCATTCTGCATTGTCGATAATGTACGATCCTAGAGCAATGCCAATGATGACATCGTTCGCGACAAGCCATAGGCTGTTGTAGAATCGTATGTAATCTGGATGGCTGGTCGTGACGCTTTCCCAGTCGTTCTTCCTCTTCCTCAATTTCACATACTGCATCGGCCAGTAGCAAAACTGCAACAGCCTGATCTCGACCTGCTGCGCCGTTGCCGAGACGTCTTTGAGAGCGGCGTACCGAGGCTGAGCTCGCCACTCGAGGATCAGCAACAGCAGCTCCGCCGCGCATCTATGCCCCATCAGCGCGAACCCGAAGCCCATCCGGATGACTGGAAACAGATAAAGTGTGACGAGCTCCCACAGCCAAACGCTGACAAAGTCCCTCATGGTAGTCGCGGATTCGACGACACGCTCAGAGATACTAAGACTTCGCTTGGGTCGAGTTCCGACGAGTGACACATTTCGTTGCAGCAGCTTCTCGATCTCCCAAGCCCAGTTGATCTGATGAACGATTTTGGGGAGCGACTGTTCTTTCGGGGACGGCGCACGTTTGACCACTGAATGCTGCTTCAACTTTTCGACCAATCTCTGTTTCTTCTCCTTTCGAATGCGCTCCTGCCTCTCGTCCTCGGCCTCAATGTCATCGGCTGGCTCGATACGCAAGCCTCCGTGTTTGTCCTCCAGCGCCAGTGATATCGGCACCAGAGATATGTACTGCATTCTTTGGGGTAGTGGTCGTTGAAAAAGCACAATCTGAAAGTTGTCTGCCCTCGGACAAGAAACCCGAGGAACACGGATGCCGGGCCCCGTAGTAACGCGTATCCATGACGAGTCTACGTCGACGGCCTCTGCATTGTTCGATATGCCAAGCACATGCATGGCAGGCTGGCAACATAGGTCGAAGATGCGAGACACAGCATGGGGGGCGTTCTTCAGCAAAGTGCCTGCTTTGAGAGCAAACTCGACTTTCCGCGCCTGTACTCGGACGTGATTAGCGGGAAAAGCAGTCCAACTCGTCGATCGCAAAGTGTCGCGGACTGCGCCCTACCTCGACATCGTCCAGTATGGCCACAACGAATACATCCAGTGTGGAATTCCTCCACCCCACCACTACCCCAGGTCGGTCAGACTTGGCAATGTCTGTCGGCCAGAATATTCGCATCAAGCCATCTTGATCTGGCATGGCAAGCGACTGAGAAGAGCGGATCGAACGTTAGAACGATCCTCTCCGTCTCAGTTGCTCGCGTGCAGATATCCCTGATCCAGGCGACCGCGGGTGCTTCCCAGCTCTATTAGTATAAGTCCGGGTCCGTGGGGGGTCGGGTCTAGGGATAGTACCAGGTTCGCCTCCCTCGTCGCAAGTCGTTCAACGGGTATGTATATCACGAGGAAGAAGAGCGTGAGCAGCGCGAAAGCTCTTGCGGCGCGAGTCTGCCAAGGAGGATCTCTCGTTAGCATCTGTGCTGAGCGACAGCGGGTTGAGAAGGGCGCGCGAGCTGTCCACTTACAACGACTCCGTAGTCCCAGGCAAATATGGCAAGCTCATAGAGACGAGTCACAAGATCCCACCGAGCAGTGGTGTAGCCAGCTACGAAGATCCCGAGGGTCAGGACCGAAAATGGGTGCATAGAATCGCGCTTCCTACGAGTTGCGCATGCCGCACAGGTCTAGACTGAGATTGACGGAGGGTTTTGAGAGGGTTGGACTGGTTGCGGAAGAATCAGAGAGTCGGCATGGCAAAGAGGTTTAACAGGGTCGTCGAGTAGACAGGGCGGAGGAAGCTGGCTAGAAACATCAAAGAGATCGAGGGGCATCGCGATCAAAAGCTTGTTGTCCACTTGGTTCGACGATGTGACATTTCAGTGGACCGCAATAGTGCAGCAAATTAGCCAGGTCGGTACCTCTAGTGAGCCTGATAAGGGCTCAGTTAACTGGTCTGTCCAGGTATTTGGAAGTACCCGCTGTCGCTATATAGCGTCATTGGCGCCGCGTTTTGTAGCTGAGCCCCTGTTGTGCCGCCCCAGACGCGCGCCCCTGAGAATCAAGCTCCAGCACGTTCCCACGGCAGTTGCAAGCCCCGTGCGCCGATCAAAAGGGGCCAATGCAAGCCACAGGTGCCAACATCCAGCTCTGCTGGAAGCTGAGCAGGTTGAGGATTTATAGACTCCTTGCAATTTTGAATGGCTGGGACGATCCCAATCAAGTAGGTAAAGGCATGTACGTACAATTATCGCACAGGTTTAATGCAGATGTTCAAGGCAGAGGCAGCAGCATGAAATATAGTAATAGGCTTGATCTGTAATTCTAGAGAGGCCGTGAGACCAATGCAGGCGAGAAGCTTTGAGTGAAGTTGAATCTAATTACCCCGAACGCCGTAGTGACATGCCCTCAGTATCACGACATCAGCCGGTCCCAGTCATCAAAACATCACTTGACCAAGGCTTTCCCTGGTCGGGCTAGGTTAGCAGAGGTCTCCTTTTGCTGCCGGATGGAACAGCGGCTCACCTCATCTCTTTGAGAGATACACAGCATCGTTTTCTTTATTGTCTTCCCTCGCCTCCTCGACCAGCTTATCGATGCCCTTCTCCTTCAATGCCACCTGGTACGGTGATCAGCAAGGCTGTGCTCTAATTTCTGGAGACGGAACACATACCGTCAGGCACTTTTGGTATTTTTCGAAGAGATCGGCACACTCATTGTTGTCCGTCTTGCCGGTGCCCCTCAGATACTCTTTTCCATCATCAATAAGTTGCACCACCAACAGCTTGAACCTTTCAAGGCTTATACTCACTCTCGCTGTACCATTTGAGAAAACAAGTATCGTACTTCCTATGTTAGGGTCAGCGCAGTACATTTACACGACTTCGGCGTCCGATCTCACTCTTTCACCTCATTGCACTCCGGCGCTAGCGAGGCCGACATTTCTATCCGAGCTTCAGACAAGTTCTCGTGAGTGAACCGGCTTTTTCTCGGAACACGGCGCCTTTTTCAAGACAGGAGTCCCAGTTACGCCGAAGAATTCTCGAAATCTCAAAGAATGAAGTAGGGCTTGTCTTCAGCTAGCCACCAAGCGTCCTGTTTATTTCGAGCGGGCCGGGTCTCATCAACTCGTACACTTCGTAAACGGGAGTTTCGCGAAGACTCGTGCCAGAGGTGCAGGCGGCCTTTATCTTATCTGCTGTGGCGAAGACACAGCAGGTGGCCCACTGTATGGACACCCTAAAACAGTGCCACTTTTGCAATCGACCCTGGTGAAAGCTCCAGTCCTTGGGTTGTCGCTATCGATAAGATACTTCGGGAAATTTTCTCGACTTCATGTGGTAGATACCGCGCCGCCGCACAACGCGATTTTGACCGACAGCCAAGGCCTCGCGCTGGTGATCTCGCCATGGATCCTTCATCTGACTTCAAGTCTGTGCAGGACAAGATCCAGAACGCCTTGGTAGCGACCACGAAGACCACAAATCGCATTGCTGGCCAGGACCTCAGCTTTCTGCGAACGCTAGATTCCTCCGTCGCCGATCGACTCGATGAGAGGACTGGAAGACTTCTGCGGCTATCCAAAGGCTTGCTTGAGGCCGCCTCCAAGACCACCGGCCAGGCAGCTCCCGACCTGGAAGATGTCGACGACATAGATATCGCCTGGCGCGGGACTGTCGATGTGATAGACTCTCTTCTGGAAAAGGCCGACACATGCCTGGACGAGTACACAGGTCTCATCAAGAGAAAAGCCGCGCCGTCGGTGGATCCTGTGAGAAAGGTCGCTCTTGTTCTGGGCAGGGATGCTTTGTAACTAACATCAGCACAGGGTCCTGCCTCGAAGAAGCCAAAGCAGACCGATAGACTCGATCACTCGCTTCGCAGGGCGAACATGCTCAAGCCCCAAAACGGCTTCGAACGCAAAGCTGACAACTTCCCAAGCGGACCATGGAAGCCCCTGTTGAGCACCAAGCCTCATGCGTCCGTTCCACTCGAAAATAGTCTGGGCACGTTCCAAGACGAAGAGGACAATACACAGTACGACCCCACCATTTACTTTTCTTTGATTTTGTCACATCTTGCAAAGGCTTCAGCAATAAAGGGCGCCAAGAAGAGAAAGACGACGCCTTTCGACAAGCGGAGAATGCTTCAACGGCTTGGCTCAACTAGAGACACTAATGGCAACTTCAGATACAAGCACCCGTACGAGACCGAGATCAGCAACCTGAAATACCCCGACTCTCTCTACGAAAAGCGAGATCCGATTCCGTATCTACCAGTGGAGAAAAGCGCAGCCATATGGGTCGATACATTTGAGGGAGTCCTGGACATGCTCGAGGACCTCAAGCAGGCACCCGAGATCGCCATCGATCTTGAGCATCACGATTTCCGCACGTACAACGGCTTGTTGTCGCTAATGCAGGTGAGCACTCGCGACAAAGATTGGGTTATAGATACTCTCAAGCCCTGGCGGCACCGGTTGGAGGTTCTCAACGAGGTCTTTGCCGACCCTACCAAAGTCAAGGTTTGTACCGACCTTTTGATATATCGCAGACTCCTCGACTGAATGTTATAGGTTTTCCATGGCGCCTACATGGACATCATATGGCTTCAACGAGACCTCGGGCTATATATCGTTGGGCTGTTTGATACTTTCCATGCCTGTGAGGCTCTCAGTTACCCAACACGCAGCTTGGCGTACTTGCTGAAGAAATTTGCCGATTTCGATGCCGACAAGAAGTATCAGTTGGCTGATTGGCGCATAAGGTCAGTACACCTCTCTCCACGGGCTGAACAATCTAACCCTTTGTAGACCGCTGCCAGAGGAGATGCTCTACTACGCGCGTTCTGATACGCACTATCTCCTTTATGTCTTTGACATGCTCCGCAACGAGATTCTGGAGCACACTGATCGCACGAACCCTGACAAGGATCTCATGGGCTGGGTCCTGCAACGGTCCAAGGAGACGTCTTTGCAGCGCTACTCGAATCTGGAGAGCGATGCCGAGACTGGCCGTGGCGCTCGAGGCTGGCTGGCGAGTCTCTCCAAGACATCCGTTGCTCTGAATGGCCAACAATTTGCCATTTACAAAGCCGTCCATCAATGGCGGGATGACCTGGCACGTCGAGAGGACGAGAGCCCTGGATTCTACATGGCGCCGCACGCAGTCATGGAAATCGCGAAGATCATGCCTACCGACATCAAAGCCCTGCACAGTTGCTTAGGACATTCGGCGTCTGCCGTGAAGACCTCGATCAACGACCTCTTCAAGGTGGTACAAGACGCCATAGCAGCGGGCGGCGCTAGTGGGCCCTCACTCATGGAGTTCTACCGTCAGGATTCCGTGGCACAAGTAGCCAAGCGAGAATTGGGAGATGCACGGACATATAGCCAGGCACCACAGGCGGCTCGAGATCCAGAGGTCCCCCCGATCGAAGAGTTGAGACTCGAACAGTCTCAGTTGCTTGGAACCGTGCCTATCAGCAGTCTCTGGGAGCAACGCACCGCCCGGCGGGCACTACCCACCAGGGATAGGGTCCCGGTACCTTGGACTTCATTGGTGGAGAATGCAAGCGTATTGGACGGGTCGAGTCTGCCGCCTGCGGAGGCAGCCGAGATTAATACGACAGATGCGCCCACGGAGCGATCAGCAGAAGATGAGGTCGCGGCCGATCCTTTCACCCTGCGGAGAGGCACGAAACGCAAGAGCGACACCATGGCGCAAGAAACTGCACAAGAGTCCGACACATCGTCAGAGGAAGAAGACACGTCCTCAGAGGAGGAGGAGGAGGAGGAGGAAGAAGAAGAAGAAGAAGAAGAAGCTGAGCAGTCCAAGGAAGCGCGTAAGGAGGAACGCAAGAAAGCAAAGCGACTAGCCCAAGAGGAGGAAGAAAAGCGACGGCTCCAGCGCAAGGCCGAGAAGAAGAAGGCGAAAGAGGCACGCAAAGCTCAAAAATCGGGTGCCGACGAAGAGGGCAACTTTGTGCCCTTTGATTACAACAGCGCGCAGTCTGTCCTCCATTCTCAGCGTGCCAACAGCAGCAACGTCGTCAGTGACGACAAGAGGAAGAAGAAGAAGAAGGTCTTCGACCCCTACACGGCGAAGATCGCGGATGGACCGAAGGGCGCGAGACGCATGCATGGAGAAAAGGCAGGCAAGAGCGCCACGTTCAAGAAGTGAATTCTTCCTTCAACAGCTGCCACGAGACAGCTGTTCCGGCCCTCCTGTGTATAAGGTTTTCAGGGGCTTCTATTATGGTAGCTCTTGAAGTGAGATATGATGATTGAGGAAGACTATCAGTGAAGAACTACAATACAGCATCGAGGCTGGGAATAAACAGTCTCTTTTTGAGGCTCGCCTTCTCAATTCCTGTCCCCTTTTTAGAAATCCGAAGGCGCGTTGTCAGGCCATTCTTGCGTAGATGATAGCTGCAGTATGATATCAGGGTAGCTGCTGAATGAACAACAAGCGTCGTCGCTGAGCTCGGCGACAGCAATCGGCTGTTAGAATTCAGGGGTCCACCACCACCAAGAGGGTTAACTCTGTCAGCGTGGGTAACAGTCAAACACCACTAGCAGGAGACGATACCCGACCCGGAAACCCTCCGGAGGACACCATGCCCTCTCTGCCTCAATCTATGCAGCTGCACCGCATCCCCCTACGCTGGAAATTGAGGCTAAAGCGGTACGATGTCGTCACTGCGTGGGCCTCGATGGCAGGCAGTTTCAGAGGTATGGGTTACATGCAGGCAGCGATTTGTATGCCAATGGAGCAAACCCCCACGGTATTCGGCCTGCCTCAATGCCTCCTCGTTCATGCTCGTGACCGGAGCTGGGATCGACGCAAACTTACCAAGTCAGTTAACTGGCTGGCTGCTGCCAATTACCTTATTCCGCGTCCCTCTCTGCTTGATGTAGCTGGTCCCTGGATCCGTGCGGCGCGCGACTACCACCCACCTTCAATGTGACTCGTGATAGCGAACCCCACACCCCGCATCACTCGAAGGGACTCCCATTCGGTTTCCAACCATCTCGCTCGACCCTCCATCACCACGACCATTGACGCTGCTTGCCACTCCGAGCCGACCAGTGCAAATGCAAGGGCTGTTGTGAATCGCTTGGTCGAACGGGACTCGAATGCCGATGCTCTGAGCCCCTCTGCGAGTCTAGGTGAGTGTATATATTTCTTCACAGGCATCCGTACGGGCAACCCATCACCCGGACTTGTACCGTTCACTATCGTAGCCGTCACCACTTCGACTTCGTCTTGACTTAGTGTATACGCCTGTGCGCCTTGAAGGGCTACTGTTACTTGGTCACCTGCATGCGTCTTATGGGCAGCTATAGACACCTTCACTAGCACCTCATAGCATATATCCTGCACCGGATTTTTTTTTTTTTTTGCTTTTCTAACTCTGCGCTTTCCATCATGGCTTCATCACAGGTTTTGACTCCCACTCACGAATACCCCTTTGCGTTTGCAGGACCCAAACCCATCATGGACCCCAAAGAGCGATTCTACCGCCAGTTCCAACAGGAGGCAGTTAGTATGTTTATCCCGGTACTGCAGCTCTGAACGCGTAGTGCTCACCAAAATTGTACAATAAAAGATATCCAGGAGGCCATCGGCCAGCTGAGCTCCATCCCCAAGATTGGCGGGGAGCGGCAGGATGCCACCGACTCGATTCTTGCAAGCATCTCGCAGCTGTCAAATGAGGTCTCCGATGCTTCAGACTTTGTCCCAGCATACGACCTGAGGTCATACTCTCAGGTATACTTGCATTTTTAACATATGAGGCCTCTTGGCGATCTCAGGATGACTGACAACAGCGCTAGGCGGTGAAAGCATTGACCGATCAACTCAACGAAGAGACTGCCAAGCTTGCACCAAAGACCAAATTCCAGTTCAAGCCGCGAGCCGCAAACATCACTGGCGTCCCCAAGGCTGGCGACGATGAGTTCGTGCCCCTGCCGAGCGTCCGCGGCGTCCCCTCGGGGCTGGCCGGCCCACAACCAGCAGCGGACGCGCAGGCATCCTCGTCCATCCAGTCGGAGAAGAGGGACTCCGTGGGCGCCCTGCCGTCCTTCCCCAGCAAGGATTACAACGCCGAGATGGCCAAGCCGGGCAGCTCGGGCGTCCGCAAGCCCAGCTTCTCGGCGGCGCGCGACGTCAACATCTCGGACCACACCGGCCTGCACATCATCCTGCCCTCCACCGCGTCTCGGGCCACCTCCTCCGGCAGCCTGACCGGCCTCACGGGCTGCGTCGTCGACATGTCCGTCCCGACGGCCGGGCAGTCGGCCTTTGCGGGCCTCGCCATCAAGAGCATCGCCAAGAGCCTCATCGTCGCCGGCCACGTGAACGGCCCGGCGCACATCACGGGCGTCTCCGACAGCATCGTCGTGGTCGCGGCTCGGCAGGTCCGCATCCACGAGTGCAACAACGTCGATTTCTACCTGCACTGCGGCAGCCGGCCTATCATTGAGGACTGCTCCGGAGTCCGGTTCGCGCCTATCCCCGCATGCTACGTAAGTCGTCCATGTTGGAAGGGCAAAGCGAGAGTGCCTCAAGAAATGTGCTAATGTGGCCCCTCTCAGCTGGGTGAGGGTGTAGATCCCTCCACCAACCAGTGGGATCAGGTCGACGACTTCAAGTGGCTCAAGGCTGAGCACTCGCCGAACTGGAAGATCCTCCCCGCGGTGGAGCGCCTTGCCGAAGAGGCCTGGACCAAGACGGTCCCCGGTGGACCCGGAGTTGGCACCGATGATGTGCTGAAGAAGGTTGGCATCTCGAGCCGGTAAGGACCTGGGATGACCATGGGAGGACAGAGAGCAAGCAAAGTTGGTACATCTTCACGTTGGCATATAGCGTTGTCCTTTTGTTCAGAACTCTTTCCGTAATTCAGGGGCATAAAATTGGTATCATAATCCGCTCCAACCAGTGAAAGTTCCCGTATCGTGTCCATAAACGCCGTAGTGATGCTCCGTCCGTCGGTGTTTCGGGCATCTCCCGAATGCTCCAAGCCTCGTCGTGCAGCAGAAAACAAGCCAAATTTCAGTCGGGGTCCAAAAGTACTCCATATGGTACTCAAGTCTCTAGTGAGACCTCAGTAGCACCTAGGGTTTACGTCTCCATCTTGTCGCCAGCCCCGACCTGCGGCGTCGGCGCCGCGGCCTCCTCCTCCTCGCTGCCGAAGCGCACCCCGACCTTCTGCAGCTGCTCCATCAGTACCTTCTGCCGGCGCATCCGGTCCTCCAGCTCCCGCAGCTCCTCCTCCTGCTGGGCCACCGTCCGGCCGACGTCGGGCAGGCTGCGGATCTGCGCCCGCGCGCGCTGGAGCTTGACGCGCAGGGCGTCGGTCGCCGAGGGGACGTCCTTGAGGTGCAGCTCGCCCTGGGCGCCCGCCGGCGCCGGCAGGGGCGTCGTCCCCGTCACGGCGGGCGGCTGGGACCCGTGGTGCCCCGGGCCGCTTCCGGGACCGGCAGGGCCGCCGGCGCCCTTGCCGTCTGCTAGGGTGCTCGCGGACTGCGGGGGCCGGAGGCGGGAGAGTGTGCTTGCGAGGTCGGTGAGGGCGTCGAGGGCGTCTGGGGACAGGGTCTCGGGGAGGGCGAGGGGGTGAGGTTGTTGCTGGGCGTCTGCTGTCATGATAGTGGTGTGATATTTTTTCGACAGAGGGGGTGTGGTTGATGCGACAGTCGTGATTGGAGATTGGTGGTGTGGTTGGATGTTCCCCTACCGCCGGAGAGGTGCCGACAGCAAATAGGTAGTAAACACTGAGGAGAGCACAAAGACGAGTCGTCTGGGAATTGAGACAGGAATTGGGGAAGTGCGTTGAAAAGGGCAAATAACAAGGGAACTTCCTCGGAGCCCTGGGTTTGGCTGCCAGACCAGTATGCCTGCTGCCCTTGCGATCGAGTGAAATCAATGTTTGAAGCAAAGATCCAACTATGTGTAGGTAGGTACCTGGGTACTCTCTTCCATTGAAGTCAAGAGATGCTCGCACCAGGAAACCTTTAGCGGGCATGGCCTTATCGATAGCGGTTATCGACCCGCCGTTGAGTGCCTTATCCCGCGAATTATTCTCGACGTAACAGCAATCACAACCGTAAAACCGGCCCTGGTCCTGCATTGGCTGCTGCGCTACTACGTCAAAAGGAAAAAAAGCTGGAGGCGATTGCCTGATAACAAAACCCCCACCATGAATTCTCAACGTGTAAAACAGTCTTGTCCTCCCATTCCTCGTAGAAAATCACGCAGCATTCTCTTTCCTGATTGTTGCCAGTTTGCATTGTTTCTCTGAGACACACATTGCGACCTATTTTCTTTTAATCAATTCCGTTTCCCCTAGACAAAAAGAACGATTTACACAATGGTCAAGCCGGACCACAAAGCCTGTCTGAGTACGTCCGCCTCTGTTTCCAGAATGACCCCACCATCACCTGTCGAGCCGTCCCCGGGAGCTGTTGAGGACGAGGGCGAGCCCAACGTCGAGGTCGAGACGAGAGCCCAAGTGCACGAGGAGAAGCGCAATTCGACTCCGCGCCCCGACTACATCCTCGTCTCGGCATATATTCTCGTATATCTAGAGGTCGCATGGCTAATATTTGTGCTCTTGCGCATGTACAGTCGTGATTGACGGCTGGGGTATCCCGTCGGCTGAATCCCCCAAGAATGGCGACGCCATCGCTGCCGGCAAGACTCCGGTCATGGACGAGCTCTCCCAGAGCAAGACCGGCTTCACCGAGCTCGAAGCTTCCTCCCTGGCTGTCGGCCTTCCCGAGGGCCTCATGGGCAACTCGGAGGTCGGCCACTTGAACATTGGTGCTGGCCGTGTCGTCTGGCAGGATGTTGTTCGTATCGATCAGTCCATCAAGAAGGGCGATTTCAGCAAGAACGACGTCATCAAGAGCACCATGGAGCGCGCCAAGAACGGCAACGGCAGGCTGCACCTTTGCGGTCTGATCTCCCACGGTGGTGTGGTATGTCGCATTGCTATATCTCCCATCCATCGTCTCGGCTACATGCTAACGCGCAAGACCACAGCACTCCAAGCAGACTCACCTCTATGCTCTTCTCGAAGCCGCCAAGGAGTACCAGATTCCCAAGGTCTACATCCACTTCTTCGGCGATGGCCGGGACACCGACCCCAAGTCCGGCGCCGCCTACATGCAGGAGCTTCAGGACAAGATCAAGGAGCTCGGCATCGGCCAGATCGCCACGGTCGTCGGCCGTTACTACGCCATGGACCGTGACAAGAGGTGGGAGCGTATCGAGATCGCCATGAAGGGTCTTGTACAGGGCGAGGGCGAGGCCAGCGAGGACCCCGTCAAGACCGTCAAGGAGCGGTACGAGAAGGGCGAGACGGACGAGTTCCTCAAGCCCATCATTGTTGGAGGTGATGAGGGTCGCCTCAAGGGTAAGGAAGAACAGGTCTCCCACACCGTGCGCCATTTTCCAGAGCTGACCAGGTTATGCAGACGATGACACCGTTTTCTTCTTCAACTACCGGTCTGACCGCGTCCGACAGATCACTCAGCTCCTGGGAGATGTCGACCGGTCTCCTCGCCCCGACTTTGCCTACCCCAAGATCAAGCTCGTCACTATGACTCAGTACAAGGTTGACTACCCTTTCGAGATCGCCTTCAAGCCGCAGCACATGGGCAACGTCCTTGCCGAGTGGCTCGGCAAGCAGGAGGTCGAGCAGGTGCACGTCGCCGAGACCGAGAAGTACGCTCACGTCACCTTTTTCTTCAACGGCGGTGTCGAGAAGGTCTTCCACCTTGAGACCCGCGATGAGAAGCAGGACCTTGTCCCTTCCAACAAGACCGTCGCTACGTACGACAAGGCACCTGAAATGTCGGCCGACGGTGTCGCCAACCAAGTTTGCAAGCGCCTCGGCGAGCAGAAGTTCCCCTTCGTCATGAACAACTTTGCACCTCCCGACATGGTTGGTCACACTGGTGTCTACGAGGCCGCCATCATTGGCTGCGAGGCCACCGACAAGGCCATCGGCAAGATCCTCGAGGCCTGCAAGAAGGAGGGCTACATCCTGTTTATCACTTCCGACCACGGCAACGCCGAGGAGATGAAGTTCCCCGACGGCAAGCCCAAGACCTCGCACACCACCAACAAGGTCCCCTTCATCATGGCCAACGCTCCCGAGGGCTGGAAGCTCCAGACGGGTGACGAGGGCGTGCTGGGTGACGTCGCTCCCACGGTGCTGGCCGCCATGGGTCTGCCTCAACCCGAGGAGATGACTGGCAAGAGCCTGCTCGTCCGATCTTAGAGCCCGCCAAGGCCGGCTTGTTTATGAGTTGATGAGGTGTTTAGTGAGGTGTGGCTTGCATGGGTGTGGGTCGAGATTAGGTACGAGTGGTGTTCTATGGTGCACAAAAAGAAATGAGAATTATAGTAATAGACGACTGATAGATCAGACGAGAACTTCCCGAACAACCCCCAGCAAGAGGGTGTTTGACGGTACAGCTAAGCATTTTACAAGAAACCAGAATCATGCATTTCAACCTTACTGATAACTACATAATTGACCCGAAGCGGGTCGGATCCTACTGGGCTTGCCTCTCTCTCTCTACAAGTACAAGTACTTGTCCACATCTCCCAGCGAGATCCATCTCCACGTTCCTTTCTTGCCCTGAACCCACCCCAGGATGGCTCTGCAGAACAGATTTTGCCTCCAGACAATATAGAAATAAAAAGACAAGCTGGGTTAGACTTGGTGACTTCCTGGGATACATAATGAAAACCAGAAAAGAAATAACAGAAATCACAACGGACAAAAACAAGACCAAAAAAACGTACAACACCGAGGATTCCCCAGTCGTCACCGACCTGAGTACTAGTTCGGCGATTACCAGCTTGTCTATGGGAGAGCGGACGGGATCCCGAATTTTCTGGTATCTATGGTCGTACGTGGAAGACGGAGGACTCTTGTTGCTTTAAAACGGTCCGTTTTCTCTATGTTTCAAGTACTCTGAGCATGCTACAATTCCAGAGTCCTTTCCCCCATAGGGAGGAGTGAGCAGAACCAAATCAGCTACATGTTAGATCCTGAGATCTGTGATTTCTGCAAGGCTGGTGCCGGACTTTGGCATGAACCGACCAACTAGCAGAGCCATGCTGGGGTTCTTCCCGATTCCCTTGCTCACCCGATGTTATGGGAATCTGCTAGACCCGTCGATCTGCCGGCCGGTTCCGCGATGGGGGATTGCAAATTTGCGCATGGCGGAGGGCATGGGAATGTTCAGCAGAGCCGCCTCCCCGCCACAGGACCTGGCTTGCCTGGGTCTCCAAGATGCGTTGCCCTGATCAAGATTCCTATGGGACCCGGAACATAGGAGAAGATCAGCGGGAGTGGGGCTTGGTGTGGCGAGGCGAGTTTCCGCGGCTGAAGAAACTGGCTGGCTAGAGGCAAGCTTACAGCAGGTATCCGACTGAGACGGTTGACCCAAGGGGATACAGATGGTCGTCCCCAACGCAGAGCCGCATTGGCCTTCGCGGGCTGGGCTCGAAGCGCGGGAGGGGGCGTGAGGGTATGGAGGGCTGAATAGCTTCAAGCGCTTGGGAGGGACACCGGGGTGTGTTTCAACGATGAAAGATGCATGAGGTTTGACATGGTTCACCGATAGAAGTGGAAATTTAAAACCCGTGGAGGCTGGCAAGCAGCCTTGTCTGGACTCTCTCAAGAGGACACTATCCCTCGAACTATGTCGAGTAGTCGGGCGCCAGTTTGACTCACGGGACTCCCTGATGGGACACGTGAAGTGGCTGCCGATGCCGCTAGATATGCGTGTCTGTGAAGATCGGGACGCCATGGTGGAATGAAGGGTGGCGTACCCGGTGAGGACGGGGGCTTCTTAGGGTGGGCTGGGAGTATCCGAACCCCCGGGCGGGCCGGAGAGGGCTGTCGCCAACCTCGAATGGGGGCACCAAGAAAGCTTCTTCGTTGTCGCGTCTTGGAAGGAGGTTTTCCAGATCTGCAGGTCTGACAGATCTAGGAATGAACTGAAGTGTCTTGGGCAGAGTAGATCCGACGGCTTGCTGAGAGTTGTGGCAAAAACCTTCAAAGGGGGCAGGCAGGCAGATCAATCTTCAAGATCTGTTCATGATGGATTGATAGCGCAGATCGGTGAGTGTCTCCGAACATTCTAGACCGATGTAGTCCCCAGGAGGAGTGGAGGCTCCCGGAAGACCGGCCGCGGCAGTTCGCCTCCGCACGTTCCAAGTGCCGGTCCCGGCAATTGTGGGCCCGCGCGCGGAACGGAGCCGGGATGGGTTCGACGAGTTCGTTTTGTTTCTGGAAATGAGAAGCATTGGATCATGATTGATCTTCAGGGTTTCTGCATCGTTATTGCAAACGTGGATCTTGATTGGCGCCTCTGGGTTCTGTATCTACTCCTCGCTGGACTCGCCACCCGTTTACGCAGTCCGTGGTGGTGTTGGCCTACGACATAGAGAATAAACTTCATATGCGTGCTTGCGCGCATGCATTGCATTGCTCCCATCTCCTTCCATTAGGATTGATCTATTCGTTTGAGCGGAATTCGGAGTACACGCGCCATGTCTGACACAGCACCAAGGCTCTCGGCGAGCACAACATGATCGTGGGTTACGTGTGCCAGTGACGTGCGAGAGCCCGACAATGAAGAGGTTGACAAAACCGAGAGTTCGCTCCCAACGTCATAAGGATAGATCTTAGATACGGCCTATTCCATCGAGATTGTCGAACAGGAGGTTGAGGAAGGGTGACACATATTCAGGTGCATGTAGTGACACGAGTGGGGATGGACAATCGCCGATTGCTCTGGCGTTGTCTGCTAGAGCTCGGGCCACCAGTGCCTCCCCATTTCGTCATGCTGAGGTGAGATGGCGTGGCTAGCTGTCAAACACCGACAATCTTCAAGTTCTTCCATGATCTTCAGGGTCCTGCTGCGTTGGGCAGTGGAAACTTCGGGTGCCTGACCAAGAAGCACTCTTCCTAACTCGGGGTGTTGATTGTCTCTTCGTTTTGCATCGAATCTGATGGCTGGCATGATAGCTTGGAATCCTGACACGTGATTGCACGACGGCACCAGACTGTCCACTACCTAGGTATTTTGTCCCCAGCCAAGACCCCCAACCCCCTACCTCCCCCTCGGTTCAATTGGCACAAGCGAGGCTATTGATGCCTCTGTCGTTGTTCAATGAATCAATCACGCACTGGCGGATCCCCCCACGCTTCTTCTGGTCTTCGTCACGATGATGATCGGCGCACATTCTGGATGGAGGAAAGAGGCTGAAAAACTAGGGGTACTCTGGCAGGCTCATACGTCATAGGGGACCTCGTTCCAAACTACTTTCTTGTCCCAACGAGGGAATTCTGGCGCAAATCAACACGCCCCCTCCAGTTTTTTTGCGCGGCAGACATCGAGACGAGGCCTTCTCGCGGCCCTAAGACAGCCTCACGACTTAGGGCGTCCGAGGTGGGCCGGGCCACTCTGGAATCTGCCAGAAACAAGATACCTAGGTATGTACAGTCGCCTGGATGATTGGCAAAACCGCACCGTGGGTGGTGATATTCAGTCAAGCGGGACTCGGGATCAGTGGACGGAATGTCGACAGACGTACTTTACAGCCAATCTATGTTCAGTGCCGACTTGCCGTACGTACTTTACGGAAGTACCGTGCGAAAGACGAGAGGTGAGGGAGGTGGCCATGTGACAGCCCAAGGTGCAGACAGTCTCCTTCATGCAGGAAGCGGGGGCTGCAAGCTGGACGAAATGGACCTGTTGGTTCAGCGCATCCACGCAAGCATCCAATGCGCCAGACCCTTGCGCTAAACCCTGCTTGCGCTGGCTGTCCCCCACCGGGGCGTTCACTTTTTAAGACACTGTACGTGCGTACAGAGTGCACTAAGAGTATGCGGCGGAGTGAACTGGCCTCCCGAGCTACCTAAACCCGCCCTGACAGCTTCCCCCTACTGGAATGTAAACGTTTTTTTTTAGCGCGGGTGAGTGAGCTTTCCCCATCAAAACGCTCAACCACCTACTTTCTACCCAAGCCACCAACGATAGGGCGCTCTGGGCGACCGCTACTTGTACAAGCCCAGCCAGCACACCCCAAGCGCCGGGTGCTTTCGTTGTGCCGAATCCTGGAGAGGGCGAGTTGGTACACGCGACCTGGCCTCGTCCCTGCTGACGAGCTTTCTTTTGGAGGACTCGACTCTCTCTGAGCAACTCTAGCTGGCTAACGTGGAGGTCATGGCCTGAACCTGCGACGGGCGCCGGTCCATTGCCTCTAGTGCCTCTCAAGCCTCTGAAGGTACCTACCCAGCTACCTCTACCCCATCTGCCAATATGCCGGGGCCACTGGGGCTGTTGTGCAGGGGTTGGGCGACATAACCAGGGCCGAAGGCATGACAACCCTGGCAACCTCCGATCACAGGGCAAAACCGAGATCTGAAGATGGGCAGGCCGGGCGGTACCACCACTCTACGGTGTGCGTCTAGAGTCTTTGGTGCGCCGCGGTCAGCATCCGACCCAGACCCCATCTTTTCTTTTCGTCTGCGGGCCACAAGACGAGCAATTGAAATGATTGGCTAGGATGGCGTTCCTGTTCTATCCTCCACTGACCTCCAGCCAGTCGCGAGCAGGCAAAGGTCGCCTGTCACATCCCCAGTTCCGGGGGCTATGACGTTATAAACGAACCATTTTTTATTGCCACGCCTCCCCACCCTGGTCCCCTCCAAGTTTCAATCAGAAGCTTTTGGCATCAAAAGGAGGTACACCCCGGCCCGTCGCTGAGTCCCTAGTCGCGATAGTTTGCTGTTCTGGTGTCTGGCAAGTCTGGCCACAGGCATAGCATGTCCCACAACTTACGCCAAGCGGCAAGTGATGCCGGGGCAGCTTGGACAGGTCGGTCCTGTCGCTACGATACTCGGCCAGGCTTGATCACCCGGGCAGAGCCCACAGAGGACGCGAGACGCCAGGCCGAACTGAGATTTTGCCTTGATACCTATCGTGATACATTCTTGGATGATGGAGGGCGAGCTCAGGCGGTCCAGACCCGCTCGGATGAGGGAAGGGTGTTCGCAAGATGGAGGGCATGTCTTCTGGGGAACCGAGCGAGGAGATGATCGGACCATCGTCGGCCTCTTATTGCTTTACGAGTGCTGGCTGACCTGCACCCTGACGGAAACAGTTGAGGACCATCCATCAGACAGTACAATACAAGTACTTTTGGGGAGGGGAAGGCTGTCGCCGGCGGACACTTAGCACTGCTATGGCCTGCGGGCCTCTGGGACAAGTTTGTGGGCCACCACGTCCACCATCTGCAGCGCCGCTCTCCACTTGCTTCAGTCCATGTCCTAATCCAGCAAATCCAGCGTTGTGGGAGGGGAGTGCGAATTGCACAACGATGACAACGATGGGGAGTGGTGGCGGCGAACCGTGCTGCTGCTAGCCCTACACCCTCCACCCCCCCAGGGCGGGCGGGAAGGTTCAGAAAAATAAAAAGGTCTACCTAGGCGGACCCTTATTTTTCGATCCGGCGCGATCGCTGTCCTCCCCTCCGGGTCGTGGGAATCGGGGCAATCAGCTTGCGATCTGAAGGTCCCGCTGCCACCGTCCTCACACAGTCGATCTGTCCCAGGCCTTTCCGCCCGCCTCTCTGCCTCTCTATTCCTCGCTTTATTGCCCTGAAACAGAGCAAAGAGCCCTTCATCTCGATTGCCCCCTTCCTACTAGGTAATCAGTATTGTACGAGCCTCTCGGCTTTGGCGTCATGTTTGCTCACCCCCCCAAGGACCGAGACGCCTAGCCATCGCTGATTCCATTGTCTATCGAACCGCCTTCTCCTCGAGGAGGGCTTGCGGCTGGATATATACATTTTTGCTTGCAACTCGGCCTGCCTCCTCCACCACCACCCAGCTTTCCCTGATACCATTCAATCCTCATTGATCACCAACTTGGCAACAGCCTGCAACAGATTCGCAATTGATACCATTCTATTTCTTCCTCTCCTTGTTTTTCGCCAACCGGAAACCAAGTCATCACCACCAATCTCTCCAGTCTGCAACCGGGCCTCAGGTCCCGCCTCTAATCAGGTGAGCATGGCTCTTCGTTCCTCCTGGTGCATGCTTTGTTTCTTGTTCTGCCCCCGTCCGCCCTGCCCGTGAACATACCCCGGCCCTGGCCAGCTTTTCCCAGACCCTCGTCGTCCAGTCCACCCTCGGGGCCCGCATGGATGGCACCTTTTGCAGATGTGTCAGTGGGGACGAGATGCAAGCAAAAACCACGCCACACATGCCGGATCACCCTCAGGCCTGGCCATCTCGCCGCACCCTCAACCCACATCAATCCACCGCCTGCCATTGCCTTCTACCGTCGCGAGATGTGACTTTTGATTTCTGCTTCAGCACCAAACTCCCCAACACCAGGCCTGCACCGACATTTATCAGTGCCGAGTCTCACAAATGCGTCGTAGGTATACGTACGAATGACAACGACCTCCCTTCCAACAGGAGCTTCAGCACTGCAATCCCAACGACAAGGACTATGCTCTATCTAGAGCCTACGCATAGTCCATCTGAAGATCGTTTGCCGATTCACTATGGCAGACCCCCCAAAGGGCGCATCGCCCATCACGCATCCGCCGCCTACGGATCGGGGCCACCCGCTCCCACGGCGAGCATCACCTGAACAGTCCGTCACCCTCCGTCATCACAGACTCGCCCGTGATGCGACTATGAAGGCCACCGGCGCTGGCCCGGGTCCCGAGCAGCACAGCTCGCCCCGCAGAAACTCGTCTGGCGAGAGCCACGACGCCAACGACCCAAAGCGCTGGTTTGACCGCTCCAACAAGAATCCAAAGCAGACCTTTGACCCCAATAATATGGATGGTAAGCCGGTTACCGTGCCGCCCTGGCTCTCTTCTCTCCCTTTCCAACTCGCTGACACACAAACTTGCCTCCAGTCGACCCCCCATTTTTCCAGAAAGAGAGCGGTGAGTCGTCCAACGACGACTCTCGCTTCCCCCTGGCTGATAAGCCTCCCTCGTACCCTTATGCTCCTGGAATGCTCGGCCACCCCTCGATCTTCCGTCGCACAACTACGCAGAGTAGCAGTGCCGACGACTACCGGAGCGTTATTGATGATCTGACCATCGAGAACAAGAAGTTGAAGGAGGAGTTGAAGAGGTACAAGCAGTTCGGGCCCGACCTTATGCGGAGGGACAAGCTCTTCGAGATCAAGGTGCACGGGCTTCCGGGACGGAAAAAGCGCGAGCTCGAGGCGACGCTGCGCGACTTTGCTGCAGGGTTGGAAGGCGATTCAAGCGTGGGTGCTTCCTCGCAGAAGCACAAATCTGCGAAGCATGCCAAGCGCATGCAGTCTTCGCGGGGCTCCATGTCGAAGCATGCGTCGTCTTCGTCTTCCCACTCGCGCCCCGTTGACTCGGCTTATGCGTCTGCCTCGACTGGCCCCCATTCCTCGGGCGTCTCGATGTCTCGGCCTTCGATGAGCTCGCGAGCCAGATCCTCGGAGCAAAAGGTGGAGCACTATCTCGAGGACATCCCGGACGGCCTCTACCCTCAGCATCTGTCGATGACCGACAGAGAGAAGAAGAAGATCGTCGTCAAGAAGTTGGAGCAGCTGTTCACTGGTAAGATCAGCCCCTACCGAGCAGCGTCCCGGAACCAGTCGGCCCCTTCGATGGAGGGCGTGCAGCCAACGAGCTCCTCCAACATCGCTATCCCTCCCAGCCTCGAGGCTTCGAGAGAGGCTCGTATGCAGCCGCAAGCCAAGAAATCCAAGTCGCGCGAGAACATGTCTCGGGAAAATGTATCGGGCTCCAACAACTCAAATGGGGACCAATCCGAGTCTCGCGGCAACGGAAATGGGAATGGCAGCGGGAGCGGCAGCGGCAGCGCTGAAAAAAGCGGTGGATTTAACAATTCCCCCCCTAGCGCCGACCTACCAGAACAACGGCCGACTCGGCCCCGTGACCTCGACCCGGACCGGATGCAGGTACCAGCCGACAACGTGGACTACATCCGTCACCTGGGTCTTGTGCCACCCGAGCTTCTGAACGGGACCAAGACCGACCCCCAGGATGTGTCGATGGACGCCGACGGCTGGGTGTACTTGAACCTCCTCTCCAACCTGGCTCAATTGCACATCCTGAATGTGCCACCTTTACTGATCCGCGAGGCCGTCAGCGAGAAAAGTACAAAGTTTCAACTGTCTCCGGATGGTCGAAAAGTCCGCTGGCGCGGCGGCACTGATGGCACCAAGTTTAGTAGCGACAGTGGCGGTGGAGACTGCTTGACGTGCAGCTCGACTGATGATGAGGACGGCTCGGACAAGAATGGGCAGCGCAAGCGACGCAAAGTGGGTGCTTCGGGTGACGACCTGACTACTTCGGGGGGTTCGGGTCGCCCTGGTGGTGCCGCCTCTTCAAGATTTCACTACAAGCCCCTCTTCGTCCACCAGTCATCCTCGGAGGAGACCTCGTTTGACGAAGCTGGATCCGGCTCGGAAGAACAGGTCGAAGACAGCAACATGGGTACGCTCTCGCGGTGGAACTACAGCGGCTCAGGTTCCTCGCCCCGCAAGAGGCGCCGGGTCGATGGCGCTATCGTCTACTACAACGGGGCCCCGTTCTGCATTGATCTCTCTGGAGACCCTGCAGCGGGCGAGACCAGCCCAACCACCTACATGACTTCCACTGGCCCGCAGGAGTCGGAAGAATCGTTCCGGCCAACCACGGTCCGGTCACTCTCCGGCTCGTCCATCCCCTATCGGCCGCTCACTGATAGGGCGTCCAAGCCGGCAATGGAAGCGGACCCGGACAACGTGCCTGAGCTTACTACTGACGAGTCGGACATGAGCGACATCGACAGCGAGTTTCCTTGGTGCGATGGTCTGCACCTTCCACATACGAAGCCCTTCGGGCCAACACTCGAGCCATCGGGTGTCGGCCGGGTCTTCCCGGATGACCATTTCGCGGTCATCGTATCTACCCGCCGGCCACGATTCCAGGTCAAGGGCAACGGCGTCAACCCTCGCCCGACATTTTATCGACATGCATCGGACGGCACGGCGGACTCTGTCACTGGGCTGATGGCGGCAATGTCCACGTCCTCTCCCCAGCCGCCAGCACTATTAAAGAACGGTACACTTGTGGTGGAGATCGAGTATGTGACTGGAAAGATTCGCAAGTTCGACCCGGTACCGCTGCCACCCCCTGCGACGTTCTACCCGCCGTTCACGTCGACTTCGGATTCCGAGGGCGACAGCGACCTGGACTCTGGAGAAGAGGCGGATGGCGACGAAGAGGTCCTCACGTCCTCGGCCGAGGAGCTGATCTCGAGGAAAGCCAACCCTCACAACTCGGACAACACGTATCCCGAAGGCATGGATCTCACCTCTGCCGACGAGGAAGACGAGATCGGACCCGAGCACCGTGGTGACAGCGTTTCGCCCGACCTCAACAACCCCGGGCTGGACGAACTCCGCCCATCCCTTGGTGTACGGGCTGATGGCAGTGCCAGCGGTACCAAGAGTGGTGATCTGCTGCCCACTGGTAGCTCTGTCGCTACTGCTGGCGGGGAGGAGAGCGGCTACAGCAGCAGCGCCGAGGATAGTTGAGAGGGGTTTTCCCATTGCAGCGGGTTATCTCTGTTACTTTCCGGGACTTGTGTTTTTGTTCTTTCTGCAGCCTTCTATTCTTGCTCACATTTACGGGGGTCGGAAAAAAAATTACGGACAAGCGAACGCGAGAGATCTACCTCCTTAGCGAGATCAAATTGGTTCTTTGTTTATATGACGCCTCTTTGGGTCTGTCTACTGTTTACTGGTTTTTGTGGGCGTTTTTGCTGGAGGATGCGCTGATTTTGTGGGAAGGCAGAGAGAGAGAGAACAGGACAGCACTCTTCTCTGCTCTGCCTTGGCCCGATTTCCCTACAGATCCTGACAAGTTGATCAGAGATTGAGTGATGAGATACCCCCAAGATTCTAAAGAATTGAATGACTTTTATATAAACTACAAATCCTCACTTGTGATGACTTGCATGGCTGTTGTATGGTGAACTTGAGTGTCTTGTTTCGAATAATCAGTGTCTCGCGCACTGCACTTGGTACTGAGTTCAGTGAACGCCAGTGGACATTCCGTCGGCAACCCCACTAATTTCGCCCTCCTCCACCGCCAAAATTCTCACCACACTTGGTCCCAGCTAGCTGCCTTTTGAGTGCTTCCTACCTAAGTGCTCCATCCTTGGCGCTGGGAAGCTTGACATACCCCACCATCAACGACTTGCCTCGAGGAATCGCTGGGCAGGCACATGGTAACTACATGATCACTTTGCGGCCGTCCCTTTGATCACAACAAGACTGTCACCATCATCCTTGATATAAACCACCAGCACCGGGCCCTGAGCTGCAAGGGAAAAGCTGGTTGCCCCGCTGCCCACAATGGCGAGCAAAGGCAAAGAGGTTGCTGCTGCTGCTCCTCCTAGGTAAGTCCGCGCTCCGGGTGATCCTGTGAGAGAAAACGGGGTTATCGTATTGCGCCGCCACCTCGGGAGGCAGCTGACTGACTGACTGACTGATTTTTGGGTAATCTCGAACAGCAGCAGCAAGGAGACGACGCCTGCCAACCCGCGCGGCATCCCCCAGGCGCCGTTTGTCGACAAGGTCGAGGACTATGTCACCAGCAGAGAGGAGGTCGAGCCCACGCTCCGGCGCTTCCAGGAGATGATCTCGTAAGAAACCAAGACGGTCCAACAGCGAATACTACCCCCCTCACCCCCTTGCATTGCCTGGAGCAGAGCCTGCGGGAGAGAGGAAAAACAAAGAAAGAAGAAAGAAGGGAAGACATAGAAAGCTGACCATTGTGTGCGCGCCCCCCCCCACCCGATGCTAGAAAATACCAATTCATGGAGGTCAACCTGCAGCGCCGGCTGGCCGGCCTCAAGGACAAGATGCCCGACATCCAAAAGACGCTCGACACGGTGCGCTTCCTCAAGACGAGGCGGGGCCGCCACGGCCACGGCCACGGCCACGGGGGGGAGGAGGAGGACAGCGAGGAGGAGCCCGTCGAGCCCATCGAGACGACCTTTGAGCTCAACGACACGCTCTACGCGCGCGCGCAGGTGCCCCCCACCGACGAGGTGTACCTCTGGCTCGGGGTGAGTTTCAATTCAACAAAAAGCCCCTGAACATCCCCCCCCCCCCGTCTGTTTAGGGTAGCAAGGGGGAGTCCGTGAAGCGGGCTTGCATATATATATACGGGACATGCAAAAAAAAAGACTGACCCGTACCCCCCGGCGTCTAGGCCAACGTCATGCTGGCGTACCCCATCGACGAGGCGGAGGAGCTGCTGCAGCAGAAGCTCACGGCCGCCAAGACGAGCCACAAGAACTGCGAGGAGGATCTGGATTTCCTCAGGGAGCAAATAACGGTACGTAGATCCTACCGACCCGAGAGAGAGAGAGAGAGAGAGAGAGCGATCCCGAAAAAAAGAAAAAAAGACACGCGAGACTTTTCTGAAGCCGTTGGCTAACCCACTCACTCGTCAAATAGACCATGGAGGTCGCGGTCGCGAGGGTCTACAACTGGGACGTCGTGCAGAAGCGCAAGGAGAAGGGCGAGGAGGACGGCAAGAGCAAAGACAAGGAGAACGGCGGCTCGCCCAACGGTTAAGGGGGAGGCTGGGAGGCTCGCATCTATGGGAGAATCCGTGCGACGAGTAGGAAAGAGATGTGCATATTGTCTGATGTGCAGCAGACATACTGTCTATATGAACCAACTCCTGTGCTCAGTGCGTTTCCGTACGAGCGAGTTGGGCGACACTAGGTAACATCAAAAATGGGAATCATGAGGACGTTTACAGTCAGTATCTGCCCCCGGACAGTGTTCAGGCCTCCGAGGGCACTAGTAGCAACGACCGAGCAGGACGACTGGATGGGTGAGAGTATCTGATGTGTCTTTTTTTTATTTTCTACCTCTATTGCCCAATGGTCTCAACCGACAAGAAAGGCCTCGACAACGACATTGGGGATACCTTTCCCACGACGCAGCATAGCACCCATCATACCGCGCCCTCAACTCCGCCGGATTATTTAAAAAAGGCAGCATGCACCCCATACTCAGTCAGCGCTTTTCACGGGCCCCCTATTCTTCTTTCCCCCTGCACACCACCTTTTCAGCTGCCCTGCTTCGCCTTCCACTCCTCGTGCAGCTTCTTCTGCCTCTCCCAGTCCTTGACCAGCTTCTTCTTCTTGGACTTGGCCACCTCCTCGCCCTTGGCGTCCTTGGTGGGGAGGCCGTTCTCGTCCCACTCGGAGAACTCGGCCGTGCGGAACATGTCGAGGTGGCTGAGCCGGGCCTTCTCCTCGAGCAGGCGCCTGCGCTCCGCCTCCTCGGCCTCGCGCTTGGCCTTGGCCTCGCGCTTGGCGGCGGCGGCCGACTCGCGCTCGGCGCGCGCCGCGAGCAGCGCCCGGTCGACGGGCCGGACCATGGCGTGCAGGGGCCCGTCGCGGTCCTCGAGGTAGACGCCCAGGTTCCAGAGGTGCGTGTCGCGCAGCTGGTCGCAGAGCACCAGGAGGTCCTTGGCCGGGGCCCTGTCGCCGGCCAGCTTCTGGACGTCCGTCTTGAACTGGCTGAGCACGGCCTCGTACCTGGCGGCGGACTCGTCGTCGCCGCCGCCGCCTGCCGCGCTGGGCTTCGTGCGCTGGGCGGCCTGCGATATGCTCTCGTAGTCGAGCGAGCCCGAGCGCGCCTGCTGTCGCACCTCGTCGCGGAGCTGAGACACCGGGTAGACGTACGGCTGTGCCGAGGCGGGGATGTCGATGCCCGACCACGCGATCCTGCTGGCGTCCTTGAGGTCGCCTTCGGCGTCGAGACCCAGTATCGTGACTATCCTGGTGATCCAGCGCGCCGTGGTGAGGACGGCCTCGTCGGACACGCCCTTCGTGACGTTGAACTCTGACACCAAGTCGGAGATGGCTCTCATAGCCGCGGGGGTGTTGAAGGAATCGCAGAGGGCGGCATCGAGGTCTGCCTTTGCCTTGTCGAGTGCACCGAGCAACTGCTTGTCGCCGGCCTCCGTAGAGCCCTCGGGCTTGGTAGGATGCCTGGCCACGTCTATGCTCTTGAGGAAGAAGTTGTTCAGCTTATCTTCCCAAGATGCGGTGGTCTTGAGGAGCTCCTCGGTGATCTCGATGCCCTCTTGCCACGCCCCCATGAGGAACGCAACCCGCAAGGAGCGCTGGGTGTATTCGCCCCGTGACAGCGCTGACCGGACGGTGGTGAAATTCTTGAGACTCTTGCTCATCTGCAGCCCCGTGTTAGTTGAAAGAAGCATGCGGCTTGCGTTTTCTTTTGATACTGACCTTCAAGCCCTGGATAGACAAGTGTCCTGTGTGGATAAAGTAGTTGGTCCATAGCACCGAAGGTCCGCCCTTGGACCAGTATGCCGTTGATTGTGCCAGTTCGTCTTGATGGCGGTTAGCAAGCGTTTTCGCAAGACATGGAGACGTCATGAACTTACTATCGTGATGAGGGAAACGAAGGTCAACGCCACCAGAGTGAAGGCTATGGGTTTGTTAGCTGTGGGTGGTTCGCCATCGGAGCATTGTCACTCACTCAATCTCCTTGCCTAGCACCTCGGATGCCATGACTGAGCACTCGATATGCCAGCCAGGACGCCCAGGACCCCACGGACTCGGCCAGGCCGGCTCACCAGCTTTGCTCGCCTTCCACAGGGCAAAATCGGAATCGTTACGCTTGACCGTATTCTTGTTGGTCAGGGATCCCTCGCCATCAGCCTGCAGGCTCTTGTCATTCCTGTTCCACGGTTCCAGTCTGGCGTAATCATGGCCAGCCTTCTCGAAAGCCTCAATGTCAAAGTAGACCGAGCCGTCGGGAGTAGCATACGCAAAGCCATTGGCGACGATTTGCTCAATGAAGGTGACAATCTGAGGCACAAACTCGGTGACTCGGGTCAGAACGTCCGGGTACCGTACATTGAGAGCCTCCATATCCTCGAAAAAGCGCTTCTCAAACTTTTGTGTCAGGCTGGTAAAGACGGAATGGTCATTGGCATCGATATCCGAGCCATGCAATGAGTCGAGGTAGGGCAGGAGCACATTTTCGGCCTTGTCAAAGAAGTCGGCGGCGTCAATCTTGCTCGATTTTGACGCGATAAGCAGGGCCTCTGCCGCGCCAGCAGCAGTGGTGATGTGCATCTTGATTTTGGCTTCCTTGTCGCCAGCAGGCTCGTTGTCGCCGTCCAGCGTCTTGCCCTCAAGAACACTCTTGTAGGCCTTGTCGACCTCTGCGCCATAGTTCTCTGGCTTGATATCGGCGGGCAAGAGCGGCAGATTCTTCTTGATGTACTGGTCAAAGCCGGCCTTGGTTGTTGAGAGGACGAATTCGTCGACTTGGGCGTGCTCTGCTCGCAACTTGCCCAACAGATGCTGCTGGCGGCCTCGAAGGATGATTTTCTGCCACGGCGGCTTAGCGCTCATGCACCCTCGGCAATGGACACTGGGGGATGTACTCACGTCGTCAACATCGGTGATGTTCATGACAAACTTGACCTGGAAGCCAAAGTAGTCTTGCATAATCCTTCGCAGGACATCAGTCGAGACGTAGTTCCTGGCATGGCCCACTGGCGCGAATTCGATATTAGCTCAGACGTCAATGCGGCAAGGGAGGAAGGGCTTTCTCACGGTGAGCGTCGTCGTAGACGGTAGGGCCGCAAGTGTACCAAGTGACCACCTTGCCCTCCTCGTCGGCGGGGACGAAGGCGTCTTTTTGTCTCGTCAAGCTGTTGTAGATCTTGAGCGGCGGCAGTTTGACGCCCGCACGCGGGCCCTTGGGAGGGTGCCAAGCGGGCATCTGGCGAGTCGTCGCGGTCGTCGCCATGTTGCGAAAGCGCCAGCAGGGGCGAGGAGGAGAGGGTGTCCTTGTCCGGGCGGCAGGTAGTTTGTGTGCTCGTGTGATTCCGAGGTCGGTTGTCGAGTATCGCAAGCTGGAAGCAGGAGGGGTCAGCACCTACTCAAAAATGAAGCGCAAAACAACAGCGCAAGAAGCCAGAGACAAAGTTCTTACCAAAAAGGACGAGTGCGCAAAGGGCCGAGACTGCTGGCCAGGGATCTTATGCCACTGTTCATGAGCAAACGGCGCTTACATGTATACAGGACGAGTCTGGACCCTGAGTCACTGAGCGCTGCGTGACAGCTTTTGCTATGGTGAAATCGAGGCGCCACTAGCATTGCAGCTGCCCCGCGGTGCGGTCCGGTTTTGCCACAGTTGACTGGCTCAGTTGCTGCATGTGCTGGTACTATAAAAAAACCGTGGCCTTATTTAAAGTAGGTAGGCCAACATAAGTTGACATTGAGACGAGGCACATTCCATGACTGACATCAATCTGTCCCTGCTCAGCATCATTTGATTCACACTCAAAGGTCAATGCTTTCAGATATCGCAGGTACCCAGTGTTATTTAGCACCTCTTATCAAGATGAGTCAGTGACAGGGATTCTGTACTACTCCTTGTACAGGTAGCCGCCAACCTGCTTCAACCACCTGTATTGCATCTCAGCCTGTGCACCTATGGTAGTCTGGAACCTGACTGCATCCTCCCTTGACTTGAAGGCCTCTACCGTGGACATCTTGTTCGGATCAGCCTTGTTCTGCCCGACAAGGAATACGAGCGGGCCTTCATCTGCTGCACCGGCCTTGGATGAGAGGGCATCATTCCAGTGCTGCAGCTTCTGTGCCATGGTGCCCTCGTTGATTGTGTAGGTACCGAAGGCAATGCTACAGTTCTTGTGCTGCCCGACCTCGGGTCGTGGTGACAAGGAGCACCCTTCGACAATATCGTAGTTCTCAAGCAGGATCTCACCAGATAGCGGGTGTTCCACGGCAGCCTATTTGAACATGTTCTGCGTATACTCTTGTGACATGTGGAAGTCGAGGTCGGCCTGTGACAGGAATCTATCATGTTGAGTCACAAATAGGCTTTGTCAACCTTCCTACTTCTCCCTGACAGAGAATACCACCAAGGTTGGACTGACTCTTCGATCATGTAGACGCAGAGATCATCGGGATCCGTGCTGCTAGTGCAGATTCCGTACTTTTTGTTGTTTGGTTCGTTCTTCAGCATAGCCTGGGCAGAAGTAGACAGGAACTCGATCGCCTTGCCTTTGTTAGTTTTGATCGGGGGTTACGAATTTGTGGTGATCCTGTCCAACCTTCTGTTGAGCCTCGCGGCTCTTACACGGCAAGACGGTGAACACTAGCAGTGACGGAGCCATGGTGTTGGGCAATGACGCGAGAGAAGTCTTGGGGAACAACACATCATATCAAGGATGAAGTTGGTGAATTCCATGGTCTTTATACCGACTCGTGGGAACCGGCCTTGCAATCCATGGCTCACTCTTGCACACCGTCTGATCGAGTGGAGCAATCCCTGCTCGAGATGCTGATTGTTGACCTGTCATTCCCTATCTGGGACAAATAGCCACGCGATAGCCCGGGCTTCACCTTGTTCTTGGTCAGATTCAAGACTGTGCCAAGATGTTGCTGTTGGGAATGGCATTTCCTGGTTCCATTTCTTCAGCTTGGCATACAAGGCCGAGATCTTTCACCAGAAGATAACTACAGTCCCTAGGTATCCATGTTCATAGATTCAACCTGGAGTGATTGGCTTGCACTTTGACAAGCCGAGGCCAGCTTAAAGGGAAATGGCGATGCAGTCCCTTGACACAGAGGAAAGACGGCCAGCAATCCCAAAGATGCACATCACTAACAATAAGATGGATGTAACTCTGTACCGCCGCCATGGATGGAAAATGCGGGGTGTGAGCAAGTTGGCACACAGAGCAGCACAGCCGTGGAGGTGGCTGGCCGGCCCTGTTTTGGCTAGTTCCAGCGCATACTTCGTACAGGCAAGGTACCTATTGTATGGAGAATCCGACAAAAAGACCCCTTTCGCCCCCCTCGCTATGACGAAAACCCGCACCCAATTTCGCTGAAGTCACTCCCTGAAACCCCTCGCCAGGCCTCCGCCAAAATATTTCAAAAGTACAATTGTTGATTTGGCACCAACCTTCAATCAACCCTTGCTATTACCAACCCCAACCAAGGCTACGTGTTTGTCGAGACCACAAATTCTCAACTTTCCTTTCGTGTTTCTTTTTTTCTTCATTCCTGTCTTCTACCAACAGCCGCGGTACTTTCCCGCTGCTTCTGCACCTCCTGTCCAGCGCGCCCCAGACCGCCTCGACGACCCTCAGCCATGGCTACCCCCGAGAAGAGAGAGATGGAGCTGGAACCCAAGTACGACGACTATGACTATCCCATCACGGCACCCGAACCGCGAGATGGCCACCCAGGCTATCTGACCGAGCAGCAGCAGGCCCAGGTCCACCAGCTGAGGCTGATGCTGGAAGCTCAGGGCTTCAAGGAGCGCCTGGACACCCTGACTCTGGTATGGACCAAAATACACCGCATCGGCGGTCAAACATGAACGCGCAAAGTTCTGACATGTCCTTAGCTACGATTCCTGCGAGCTCGTAAATTCGACGTGAACCTGTCCTTCCAGATGTGAGCCAGCCCCTTTTCACGAAGCTCCCAACCCTGAAAGAGACCTTTGCTGACTTGTTAAACTCTCATAGGTTCGTCGACTGCGAGAAGTGGCGGAAAGACACCAAGCTCGACGAGGAACTGCCCAACTGGGAGTACCCCGAGAAGAAGGCCCTGTTCCAGTACTACCCGCAATACTACCACAAGACCGACAAGGTGAGAGAGAGTCACCGACTCGGGCTTCTGTACCCTTCCGAGGATCGGGGCCCCTGACAGCCGCCAATACCCATGGCTAACTAACCCTTTCTCCCACCCCCTACAGGACGGCCGACCAGTCTACATCGAGCAGCTCGGCTCCATCGACCTGACCGCCATGTACAAGATCACCACCGCCGAGCGAATGCTGACGAACCTGGCCGTCGAGTACGAGCGCGTCTCGGACCCCCGCCTGCCGGCCTGCAGCCGCAAGGCCGGCCACCTGCTCGAGACGTGCTGCACCATCATGGACCTCAAGGGCGTCGGCCTGACCAAGGCGCCCCAGGTCTACGGCTACGTCCGCCAGGCCTCGGCCATGTCCCAGAACTACTACCCCGAGCGCCTCGGCCGCCTCTACGTCATCAACGCCCCCTGGGGCTTCTCCACCGTCTGGAGCATGATCAAGGGCTGGCTCGACCCCGTCACCGTCCAGAAGATCCACATCCTCGGCAGCGGCTACCAGAAGGAGCTCCTCGCCCAGGTGCCCCCCGAGAACCTCCCCAAGGAGTTCGGCGGCACCTGCGCCTGCGCCGAGGGCTGCGAGAACAGCGACGCCGGCCCGTGGCACGACGAGCAGTGGGCCCGGGAGCCCAAGTGGGCCAAGAAGGGCGATGCGTCGACCACGATCCAGGGTGCCCCCTCCGAGGTGCAGGAGGGCAAGGCCGCGGCCGAGGGCGCCGCTGCCGCCCCTGCACCCGCCGAGGATGTTGCCGGGGCCAAGGCAACGGCTTAGATGCGTTGCGTGGAAGTTGGTGATGTAGTAGAACCGGAGTGCGTGGCGCAGGCAGAGTTCGTCTTGATTAGGTCGTCCTTTTGGTGTGCATTGACGGTTGGCGATGGAAGAAATTATAGAGAAACAGAGCGGTGGAATCGGAAATCGTCCCATTTGGGGTTCTTTACAGATAACCTTCAAGCGTGGGTCTGCAAGAAACACGGTTGGTTTTTGATTGGGGTTTTATGTATCTCGATACATCCGGCGATGCGATAGAACGTACCTGAGCCTCGTTCAACTTGTCACACAAAGCCCTATCTCCCTACAATGATGCTATCCTTCGTGATCAGCTCTGATCGACTACCGGGTCGTCTTCTCCCCCCGTCCAGTGAATAGTCTCCCATAATCCAGGCACTCCGTCTTGTCAATAAACAGGTCCCGAGTCGCCCGTCCTCGCGGCCGCGCTAATACCGCGAACGTTTGGTCCTCTGTGATGCGAGCCGTTCATTCCCACCTAGTCGAGTAGGGGTAGGGAGGCTATCATTGAAAAGCCAACCAGGCACCGCGGCTTTCCGATCCATAGTCTACCGCGCCGCGACAACCCTTTCTCCCTTGGTAAAGAGACCCCATGGTCTTCGTCGTGATTTCAGGTTTCGTCTCCGCCTCCGCCTCCGTCTCCCGCGGGCCGGCCTGCCTTTCAGCCCCCGGTCACGACGTACCCGCCCGCCACCCTCGCCCGCTCCATCCGCGCCACCGTGGCGGGCATGTCCCTCTTGAGCCGGCTCAGCGTCTCGACGACGCCCCTCCACGCCTCGCCCACCTCGTCCGCCCGCTCCAGCCTGCTACCGCCATCGCCGCCGAGCATCGGCTTGCCGGCCGCGGCCGCCGAGGCAGCGCGCGCCACGACCTGCTCGCGCGCCGCGGCGAGCGCCTCCTCGTCCCGCGCCAGGGCCTCGCGCATCGCGTCGCGGCGCCGCGCCGCGGCCGCGCCGGGGACGCGCTTCTTGAGCGCGGCGATCTCGCGCAGCAGGTCCTCCTCCTCGCGGGCCAGGTCCTCGACGCGCTGGCGCTTGCGCCCGTCGAACGGCTCGTAGGCCTCCTCGGGCGGCGGCGCGCCGGCGGACTTGGCCGTCGTCGTCGTCGTCGTCGTCGTCCCGGACAGGAAGAGGGACGGGTCGACGGGGAGGCCGTTGATGGTCAGGTTGGGGCTCGCGAGGGTGAAGGTCTGGCGGATGTACTGCGCTTTCTTTGTTAGTTGGGGGTTTCGTTCTCATCATTCTCTTTCTCCTCAGCGTGTATCTCAAGTGTATATATTAGCACGTACCTCGTTGACGAGCTCCTCTATCCGTGTATGCAGTTCGTCCTTCTCGCCGGCGCCCTCCTCGACTTGTGGGAAGGCCTCGCGGAGACTATCGGCGGCGGCGCGTCGCACATTGTTGATGAGGTATGTGAAGTCTTCCGGGCTCTGGAGCTCAATCTTGCGGTGGGCCGTGTTGGTCTCCATGTCGGTTGGTCTGTGAGTGTGAGATACCGCAGAGATCGGATGCAGTTAGGAGGCGAGAAAAGCAAGGCATCAGCCAATCTGACCAGCTACGGCATTCAATTCTTTGGCAATAACGTTGTAGAGCCAGCAAGGTTGCCCGTCGTCGTGGGTGTTGATATGGCAATGTTTATGGGTGATCCCGCTTTGGTACTTAGCGCGCTGGTCTTGCAGCCCATGTGGTCCCTGCCGAGCCAGGAGCGGGTCCGTGCCACGGTACAAGTAACTACCTACCTACAACAAGTCATTGTCACTATCACTTATCAGCAGTGGGCAGCCACCTCCGATTGCGGGGTTCCCTGTGGCACATTCACACCGTCTCGGGGAAAACAGGAAGAGGGTTGGTTGATGTCGCCAATGAAGGGTAGATTCTTGGTTGGAGGTCAGGCTATGGTCAGTTTCAAGGAGGGGTGCTGAGAGTCATGGCATCAAGGGAAGCAATCGGGGCAAATATCCTGGCTTTTCCTCCTTGCCAGGCGCTGTCCAAGTCGTGTGGGGAGTACCATAGGGACCTTGATAGGCAATGGTCGATGACTTCACACAGAGGAGCCTTGCAGAATGGGCAATACTACTTCCCAGGAACGTATCATTTATTGCGAATACCGAGCGAGGGACGCACGGGCAGTCATACTCCAACACCAGCTGTGTGACGCGAGAACAGATATAATATAGAAGAGCCTGGACGAGCTGCGAGTGTAGCCTTGCCATGGCCATCTTCCACAAGATGTGTTATGTATGGACATGGGTAGAAGGAGACTGAGGGGGGAAAGAGAAATACAAGAACTCCTTTGCACCATTCATGATGTCCTGGTCTTGAGTGACCAACCCGATTCTTCCCATGAGTAAAACGGAAGAACGAAAGCATCGGTATATCTCGCGCAACTGCCATGTGAAACCCAACCTACGAATTGCTGACAAGCCGAAAACGCCAATAAAGGAAGAAGAGGATGCAGTTGTGCTCGTGAGAATTAAGCGATCTAATGATGGGGGACAAAGCGTCCAGGGCCGTGATGCGGTATCCCGAAGAGGATATCGAGCTTCAGTTCGGGAACATGTTCTTGATCTCCTCGTCGCTCAGGGTGATCTCATGCACAGGCTCTCGCTTGTTCTCAAGAGGGGTATAATCGTAGTCGATGTAGGAAGGCAGGAAGATTTCTGCAAGCACGCTAGGTCAGCAGCTGCTTTCGAGCCATGCAGGAGCGACAACAATACATACCCGGATTCCAAGTGAAGCCCTGGCTGGAAGAAAGGTAGGAGATCTGTTCCAGATAGAGGAGGTGAGCAAGGTTGAGCCAGGTACGGGAGAGGACGGTTTGATCCAGCAACATACCAGCCTAGGCGGGCCCTCAGGGTCCCCGATGTTGATCACGGTGGCTTCTTCCTTGGAAATGGCAGAACCTAGCAAATCAAATCAGTACATGGCTCGAGCAGTCAGACCTGCTAGAGAACGCCTGTTGAGTCCGGGTAAGGATAGACAGCAGGTCAAGATGACATGCTTTGACTTGTTGCCTCATAGGTATGGCTGGTCAACTTACTCAACAGGCTCGGGCGGCGCTGATGCACCGCTTTCTGCTTCTGTGCAGACGATGACGATGACGGCGACGACGACTTCGCGGTCGGAGGCGTGAAGGGGGAGCCGCAGTACGAGGAAGACGACGAGCTGGACACCTTAGGAGTGCGAAGAACATCGAGGCGATCATAAGTTGAGGCCGGGCCAGCCGGGATGGCGATCGACGACGACATGGTCTCTACGTCCGAGGTTGTCCACACGAGCGGCGGCGGTATCGAACGGCTACACAGAATCTGATGGCGGTCTGATCCTGTCGGCCTTGGGCGGCAGGCAGCTCGAGCAGCCAAGGTCGGGCAGTGATCAATGAGGGACAGAGACAACAGACTAGGCCGAGTGGCGGGACGTCAGAAGCGGTGAATGTTCAAGAGAAGGAGGAAGCTCTCGATCAATCAGTGTGGTCAGGAGTCATGAGAAGGTGACAGAAGAGAGAGCGGTCGGTTCGAATGCTTGGGCTGGGGTGGAACGATGCAGGAGGGAATGAATGCCTAGAGTCACAGTCGAGATCGTGGAGTTGGAGAAGACAGACGGACGGTTGGGAAGATCAAATTGCGTGGTGGTAGAATTGTTAGTAACAAGCAGGTGGTTGAATGCGCTGGCTGGCTGGGCTGGGCTGGGATGAAAGGCAGCCTGCCGAGGAGTGACTGCATGTGGTGCAAGGTGCAAGCAAGTCAAGTCCGGGGGGGCAGCTTGTAACTTGGTTGGAGTCAAGTCACTGGTCAGTGGTTCAACAATAGCCCATCCGAGCCAGTGATTCACCTTCACATCATCGGTAGCCTTGAAGGGTGGGTGGGGGCCTGTGGCATGGGTATCGGGGTACCGGCTACCATCAGTGGGGTTCGATGTTCGATGTGTCCTATCACTGAGACCTGGGGATGCCTAGGTAGGACTACGTAGGTGCCTATACCTACCTACAGGCTGCACTAGCAGGTCCCTGCTGCTGGAAGCACAATAACTACCTAAAAGCGCGGTGCAATATCGACGGCACTGCTTGGAGGAGATGAGTGCAGGAGGTGCCTGGAAAGCGACGAGAGGGGTCTCGAGTGCGTTGGTCACAGGCCCAACAATGACCCTTGAAGTACAAGTACGGAGTACCTACGAGAGTGGGGTCGGGGAGTGGGGTTACAGTTGGGTCTCGTTATCTGTAGACAATACCTACCCGCCTTGAAGCCTATTTGGAGGGAGTCCAGGCAGTCCTCTCTGGAAGCGGCAAGACCCTGCATTTGTCTTGGACACAATGGTCAGCACGAGTGTGAACCACGCAACTACATTCTTTGACACTTCGAGGCTTTATTTTCCTTCTTCTTCTTCTTCTTCTTCTTCCCCCTGAGCACCCCGGTACGCCGGTTAGAGATCCTGCTTCACTAGAGCCCGGTGACGGCGGGAGCTCCACAGGCTACTGACTTATGGAGTACCCATCCATAACCATCTGTTCAGTCAGTACAAGTAGAATAGAAACGAACCAGTGCTGCTTTCGAGGTCCAGAACGATGCAGGTTTGGAACGTTCTACTTGTATTTTGATAGGTGCCTTTTCTTTCATGTCTAGCTGTTTCCTTGCTTCTCTCAACCATCATTCAACACTGTGCCATGAGCCAGCTCGTAGTAAGTTGGGCTGCCTCTACTTGTAGAAGCGTAGGAGCACTCCTCCTTGTACTTGTCCCTTCAGTCCTCAGATAAGTACCCGTAACTGAGCCGAGCAACTCATCGGCACTAGCGTCCCTGCAGGAGGACGGGACGCTTTCTTTCGCCCTGCCAGAGTGGCACCGCGTCAGCCAATCACTTTGCAGGGTCAGCACGAGCCAATTTCCAGCCAGAGCACCCGCCCGGAGCACCTGAGAGATCACGTGAGAGCCTCTGATTGAAATCAGGCTGAAGCAGCTGGCGTTGACCATCAGCTCCACAGGAGGCAGAATTGCCTTACCTAATCGCGCCGCCTTGGGGAAGGTCGAGCTAGAGGTGTGCTACGCGACGAGGCCATCATCCGTCCGCTACCAGAACCTCATCGAAGCTTCAATCGACTCCTCTACACACAAGCCATACAACCATCCTCAAATTTCACCCTGTCCACGGTCGTCCATCCGCTCTTGTCACATCCAAGCATTACAGTTTCTCTCGACCAGATCGGACCTCGACCACGACCATCAAGATGGGTGACGTGCTCGTTGAAAACCCGGCCAACCATGTCCTGCCCCAGAAGAAGACGGCACCCTCAACGATACCGAGCATCGAGAACTTCGAGGGATTGCCCACCGACGGAGGAGATGACTATTCCACATTGAAGAAGCTCCAGAGGCAACTAGAATACATCCAGCTGCAGGAAGAGTACATCAAGGATGAGCAGAGGTAGGCATCTGCTTGAGTACCTCACAGACTTGACCCGCGAGAGAGAGAGAGACTGACACTTCGTCGCAGGAGCTTGAAGCGAGAGCTGGTGAGAGCGCAAGAGGAGATCAAGCGCATCCAGAGCGTGCCTCTGGTGATTGGGCAGTTCATGGAGGCTATTGACCAAAAGTATGATCCGCTTCGTCACCTTCCCCTTGTCCCAGGGTTTCTTTACTAATCTCTCCGTCCAGCACCGGCATCGTCCAGTCATCTACGGGATCCAACTACGTCGTCCGCATCCTCTCCACCCTCGACCGCGAGCAGCTCAAGCCGTCCTCCTCAGTCGCCCTCCACCGCCACTCCAATGCCCTCGTCGACATCCTCCCCCCCGAGGCCGACTCCTCCATCGCCATGCTCGGCGTCGATGAGAAGCCCGACGTCACGTACGCTGACGTCGGTGGCCTCGACATGCAGAAGCAGGAGATCCGGGAGGCCGTCGAGCTGCCCCTGACCCACTTCGATCTCTACAAGCAGATCGGCATCGACCCTCCGCGCGGTGTCCTCCTCTACGGGCCCCCCGGCACGGGCAAGACCATGCTGGTCAAGGCCGTCGCCAACAGCACCACGGCCAACTTCATCCGCGTCGTCGGCTCCGAGTTTGTGCAAAAGTACCTCGGCGAGGGCCCCCGCATGGTCCGCGACGTGTTCCGCATGGCGCGCGAGAACGCGCCGGCCATCATCTTCATCGACGAGATCGACGCCATCGCCACGAAGCGGTTCGACGCCCAGACGGGCGCCGACCGCGAGGTGCAGCGCATCCTGCTCGAGCTGCTCAACCAGATGGACGGCTTCGACCAGACGGCCAACGTCAAGGTCATCATGGCCACCAACCGCGCCGACACGCTCGACCCGGCCCTGCTGCGGCCCGGCCGCCTCGACCGCAAGATCGAGTTCCCCAGCCTGCGCGACCGCCGCGAGCGCCGCCTCATCTTCAGCACCATCGCCGGCAAGATGAGCCTCGCGCCCGAGGTCGACCTCGACAGCCTCATCGTCCGCAACGACCCGCTGTCGGGCGCCGTCATCGCCGCCATCATGCAGGAGGCCGGCCTGCGCGCCGTCCGCAAGAACAGGTACAACATCATCCAGAGCGATCTGGAGGATGCCTACTCGAGCCAGGTCAAGGGCACGAGCGACGAGAACAAGTTTGACTTTTACAAATAGACGTTACGTAGGGAGAGAGAAGAGGAGAAGAGTGTCCCCCCCCGCCCCTGCTGCTGTCATGTGGCGGAGGAGGAGGAGGAGCGAGGTTCAAAGGTTCCGAGGAGTCGTCTCTCTCTCCCCTGCGGAAGTTGGTTTGGAAGATTCATGGAAAAAACATGCTAGATCAACAACGGGCGTCCTTGGGGTTTCAAACTAAAGTCAACGGGCTGGGGGGTGGGGGGCATGTTTGTCTGTTGACGAAGCATAATTACTACTACTACTACTAGGCTAGGGCCATCCAGCCAGCTAGATGTACAATACAAACAGAAGCGTCCTGAGTTCGTGTTGCCCCCCGTGAGGATAACATGCACAGTTCTTTGTGTGCTTGTTTTTTTTTAAAAAAAAATCTGACTATAGTGTTTATGGACACTCAGGAGTTTCTGTTGCTGTACTCTGTACTCACTCACTCGTGCATGTACGGTCGGTCTGACGGACAACAGAAACAAGGCACACATCCTATGTCAACGCAACCCACCAGCTGCAGCAAGAGGTAGAAACAGACTCAAGCAAGAGAGAGAGAGAGGGAGGGGAAGACAAAGATCAAATATGCACCTGTTCTATAATTCCGGTCTATCCTCATGTGTGCAAATGCCCCCCAAAAGCAGGACCTAAAACTCCCCAAGTCCTCCTCCTTCTTCAAGACAAACAACCCAACCAAAATCTTGGGGTCTGCCGGAGACAAAGGAGAAAACTCCATAAAAAGGGGGGAAAAGGAGAGAGAGAGAGAGAGAGAGAAAAGCACCGTCGTGTTCTATCCCGTCTTCCCACTGTGCTCTTGTGTTGACCAAGTCTGGTTGAAAAAACAGTCTATCCCGTGATTAAGAACCCCCCGGCCCCTCATGTATGATCCCATGCCGTTGTTTCTATGTAGCACATTTCCGAAGAAGAAAGAAAAAGAAAAAAAGACTCCAGAACGCTCCCCCCTTCCCCCTCCAAAGGAGCAGTTGTAGACCGACAAATACATGTTGAAGCGTTAAAACAAAGAACCCCTCAAGAGAAACAAGGAGCGCAGACCCACAGGTCCCAGGCGTCAGGCCGGTGAAATCACCCCCCTCCTTTTTTTTGTTCTCTCGAGAAACTCTCTCTCTCAAGGGGGTATATCCTCCGACGAATGCGTGCGGATGTGCAGTGCAGAACATGCGACAAAACAGATGTAGGGGATAAGCCAGTGTAGATGGGGGGTGGGAGAAAAAAATACAGAATACGGGACTTTGTTTCGGGAACGATGCCAGCCGCGCTGTTCTCCGGCGGGCCTTGTGTGTGAAAAGAGTGCATTTTGCCCATTAGTCATGACCATTATTTCGTGATAGAGTCGTATCTCTTGCAAGACACGTGTGTGTGAGTGTGTGATTTTGTACAAGCCCCAAAAGTGTAGAGGGATCAAGTCCACAGCATGGCTTCCCCCCAAGGCGAGCCATGCTGTGGAACAAACGCGGTTCGCCGCGTTTTTCTCTTTTAGATCCTGCAGATAAACCGCAGGAAATTCTTCAAGAGTTGAGAACCACACCGAGCTCCAACAGAAGCCGGACGAAGCGGGAGTGGAGCTCGATGAAGAAGTCGGGCATGCCGACAATCTCGGCCAGGCCGCGCGCCTTGAGCGGGTTCCCCGACACCCCGAAGCCGGTGCCCATGCGGCGCGACAGGCCACCGCCCGCCGCCGCCAGGAAGCTGCTGCCGCCGCTGTTGTTGCTGCTCCCCTGCGGCGTCTGCGGCGGGACGGGGCTGAAGGGCGACGGTCCGTAGTTCGGGTTGGCCACCACGGGGCTGCTGGTAGCCGAGGACTCGTTGAGCGCGCGGTCGGCCTCGGCCTCGGCAAGCTGCTGGATCCAGACGGCGAGGTCGTGGAAGGCGGCCGCCACAAAGCCAAAGGTCTTCATGGCCAGGCGCTCGCGCTGGGTGCTGAGGGCCAGGAAGGCGTAGACTCGCTTGTGCCCCCGAGCGTGGATGTCCGGGATGCGAAAGATGTACGCCGTCGTGTAGCCGGCTGCGGGGTCGCCAAAGAAGATGGGCCCGCCCGACGCAGCAGCGCCGGCACTGTGCGTGGTGACGAAGGAGGGTGTCTGCGGGGAGGCGACGGGCGTCGCATTCGCCGAGCCAGAGGCCGCGCCGGCGTTGCGAGGGAGCATCTCGAACGACAGGGTGCGGAGGCAGGAAGCCCGCACGATGGAGAAGGAGTTGGCAACCATGGGCTCGTGGGTAGAGGTGTAGTCTAGGTAGTGGGTGTGGCTGTTGTACTGCGGTGTGGAACTCCCGCTTGACCGGGAGGTAGAGGACGTCACCGTGGTGCTTCTGCGATGCGCATACGTTGCCGCCTTGGGGTTATCGTCCCCATCCGTGTCGGAAGACGAGGCTGTCTGGGAACTGGGAGGTGACTCGTCTCCCGAGGCGCTGCCAAAGACACGAGCGCAAGGGGCGCGGGTGCGCAGGGTCGGGTTGCGAGAGTCGCCGCCGGGTATGCTCTTGCCCTTGCGAGGCCCAGTGGCCGACGTCTCCTGGCGTCGCGGGAGGGTCATGGCGCAGTTGTCGCAAGGGTTGGCACGCTTCGTGACATAGTCGTCGTAGGTCTTGCGGAAGCTCGAGTCGCGCCGCGGCGGCAGGGGCCTCTCCTGGTCGGTAGAGCGACGCGGGCTGACAGGCGGTGTCTCGACGGCTGATGCCGGGGCGTGTGCGAGCTGAGTCGAACGCAGGAGGGCAGCCCGATGGGTCTGCGCTTCCTGCTCTGAGACGGGGGATGACGAGCTGCGATGGAGCCCGCCGAGGTCCATCTTCTTCAATACATCGGTTATAGCAGCAGTGGCCTGCGCCGAGGGCACTGCCGTCTGCGGCCTGTCGCCATCGAAAGATATAGAAGGCGAGTCGGGATCGTAGCAGGCACTACAAGGGACGGGCAAGCCCTCCGTAACCATCAACGGCGTGGGGCCGTGGACGTCACAGTAGTGAGCCAAACACAACTGCATGTTGGAGATCAGCATGACGTCGATGCATAGTTCGAGTCGAGTAATGTACGGATGTTGGTGCAGAAGGGGAGCAGTCTTTTAGAGACGGTGCAAACAACAACTCAAGTTATGGAGAAAGGAAGGGGAGGGGAAGAAGGATATGACAGATGAGATCCTTTAAAGGAGTTGGCAGATGAAGTCAGACAAGCAACAGGGAAGCAGGCGCTCTGCCAAAGCACGGCGAAGCAGCGACGACATGATAACGGGTCGGCCGGGGATGGGCAATTGCCAGGGCAAGGCAGTTGGGAGTCAGAGGATGGGCTGAGTTCAAGGGTGACACGGGTGGCACTTGATAAAAATGCCGAGACCCGTATATACAGGCTCATTTCCTGCCAACGTGGTAGTCTGACAGCCTGTGAAACGACCGGGAGGGAACAAGGAGAAAAAAAAAGCAAGAGATAGGAGGGAGCGGCGCGCGCGCGTGTGTGAGTGTGAGTGTGCGGGCGGCGGAAAGGCACGTTCGGGGTGGCGCCCGTGGTGAGCGAGGCGGTGAAGAACCAGACAGAGTGAGAGAGAGAGAGAGAGAGAGCAGTAGGATAGGTACATGTAGCAGGTAGGCGAGGATGTGGGATGATGCATGAGAGAGGACACAGGAGGCCGAAGAGAGACGAATGAGGGCGCGCGTTGTCTCGATGTCCATCCCAGTGGAACGGCTGATTGCGCCGGGGTGGATGAACGACAGCCAACGGGAACAGAGAGGAACATGGATGGATGGAATAATAGCCATAATAAGAAGAAGAAGAAGAAGAAGAAATGAAGCGACATGGTAAGGTAAGGGCAACAACTTACAATCGACGTCATGATAACCACGGTATCGGGTATCTTATCTCGCTTTCTGCGTCTGGTGTCCCTCTCAAATCATCGACATTCTCCCCGGGGGGGTGTCAAAGCCTCGTTCAGCTGCATATGCACACACACACACACACTACTCGGGTCGACTGTCGCTTGGGCAGACCCCGGATTTGGGCGTGGAGCAAGGCGGCGGGCAACCTTGAAGAGATAAGGAAGCGAGAGTGGGCGAACTGAGGGGGGGGGAAGGGTTCCTGTCGGGCAGCTTGGGAGGAAAACAACAAAACACACAAAGTTGTCCCTTCACTCTCGGAGCAGAGCACGAGAAACTTTTTGGAGGAGGGGACAGGCCGGCCGGGAGTCGTCGTTAAATTCCGCAGAAATGGCAGGCCGCCGCACCAAGCAAGCTAAGTGGGCTCGTCGTGTCTTTTTGTAGGTTTGGAAAGCAAAGCATCCCAGGTCGAGGTGTGCAATTGGTAAGCCGGAAGTGGTCAAGCCCTTTACGTGGTTTCTTAGTGGTGTGGACGGGATGGCCTCGTCTCCTTTTTAGTGGCCTGCCCGGCCCATGGTCTAGTGAGCGCGGGTGTTCCTCCGGGGAGGGCCTTAGGACACACTAAGGAACTGTTTCCGACAACAGACGACGATGAGGACCAAAGAGTTTCCAATCCAGGATCCCGGGGGAGAGAGAGAGGGAGGGAGGGCGAGGGCGAGCTTGCTTATCCGACATACGACCCAACTATAATACCTGACTAGGTACTGCCTTGTCCATGATCTCCCCTCCGCTACCTACCTAAGCTTACAAAGTACCTACCTGCTCGCATGCACGGGGCTGACCAGAGATGCCAATCCTCTGGAACGGTGGGCGGAGGACGGAAGGAAGAAGAAGCGTAACCAGGAATGCAACTCTGTGATCTAGGTCATCGCCACCTTGCGCGCTCCCGCTCCCGATCCCGCTCCTCCTCCTTCTCCTTCTCCTTCTCCCGCTTTCGAGTAAGTACAAAGTAGTTCCCAAGTAGGTGGACTGGTCCCAGGGACACACGTGCCTTGGAACTCGCCTGCACATCCCGGCGCCCTGGTCCGGTCACATGGGAAATAAGAATAAGAATAGATACCGTACATATAACACAAGAGAGTACAAGTCCCAGCCGCACGAAACGACAGGGGACCGGTCAGGCACACACGTGTCGGACCGTTGCTGTCTCCATCTTGTTGAGGCACTAGCGCGAATCCGTTTGGGGTGGTCCCGGAGGAACGCGGAGGGAGCAGGAAGAGTACTTGTATCCTTGTATCTTGTAGAGCACGAGAATCGACGAGACTGGAGGACTGGAGGACTGGAGGGCGGCACAGCCCGGCTGGATGGGATGGGATGGGATGGGATGGGATGTGAAGAGGGGTTGCTCTGTGTGTGTGTGTGTGTGTATGTGTGACACGACCCAAGAATGGGGTTACCTAGTATCAGCAAGATGAAGATGAAAGCTAGTGATGAATGGGGAATCTGATCTGCAGTGCAGTCGTGACTCTGTGCGATCATCGACCCTTGGTCAGTGGCCTATCTGTTCACTCCAAGACATTGGGACCGAGCGAGTAAGGCAAGACTTCTCTCTCCTATTCCGTAAAGACGAGCTCGAGGCTTGGGATGGAAGGCTTCCAGAAGGGTTTAGAGGGGTGTTTCGAAAGCGGGCCAACTAAATGATGCTGACAGCGAGTGGATCGAGGCATTTCCGTCGGGTACCTGGACCAGGATCAGTGCGCCCATGCCGGCTCTGGAGGTGCCTAAAAGCGGCCAGGTCGACAGGGGAGGCACGCGTGAGTTGGAAGCGACAGGGGCATCTGCACATGAAATAGTTACCTACTTGTAACTAGGTACCTCTTCGGTAGGAGGGGGGACATCGACAGAGGGACAAATCCCGTTCCGTCATCGTCCCTCGTCCCTCGTCCCTCTCTCTGCAAGTCACCTTCACTACAAGTACTCACCGCTTCATCCCTCGAGAGTACCCCGGATAACAAGTAGCCGAGGGGGAGAAGAGCTGAGAGTTGAGAGCTCGGTAACCCACTCTCGGTCCGCGGTGGGATTCTTGAGAATGATCAAGGTACGCTCTGGTCCCTCCTCCCTAAGAGGCAGGCGACAGGGGGACTGCCAGGAACCAAAGCAGCGGATGTCTGTGCTCTGCAGTCGCCATTCATGCTCGATGCCCGATGGATCATCCCGCCAGGCTCGCACTCCCGACGACGACGAACAGTCAAGGATGGTTTCAGGTCGGCAAGTCCTCTGGTCCTAGACCCCCTTCCATTTCATTTACAACAAGTGCGTGACTACCTACATCAAGTAGCTCGGACTCGATCATGCCGTCAGCAGAACAGGGATGCCAATTTCGATACGCACTCCTCCCTCACAGGCACTCCGATTCGTTAGTGAATGCAAGGAGCAGCACAGATTATCGCTCCTGAGCACACACTGCAGCTGCTTCCCGCCGGGATCCTCGTCAGTGACGAGTACGCCTCGGGGTCTTGGCCCATCTGTGACAGAGCAGAGACCATCTCGAACGGGGTTCAAGTCCAAGATGGGCAATTCCTTAGGCCCGCGCGCCTGGACCTACCTACCCCAGGATCAGGTTGCTCGTCTCGCGCCAAACAGCATGCATTTTGTCTCGGAAATACCGACCAAATTCCCATTCCCAGGTACGTCATTCTCTTTTGATTGATAACGACCTCCGCGTTGTTGGCTGTCGTCCCGAGTCACGACGCGAACCTCAGGTAGGGACGTAGTTACAAGTAGGTTTATGCAAATACCCTCACCGCCCTTCGCCATTGTCCCCCTGTCCTGTGATGTACAAGTAAAGGGCTGATGTGCCAGGCACCCTGCATTTCGAGATGCGTCTTTGTCTGGACCGCCGGCCAGCCCGCCATCGTGGTCACCTGCTTGACGACCCTGCCACTAATTGGAGCGATGTGTGCTTTTTGGCGCCACTCCCATGTTGCTCTTTTCTTCTTTCTGTCTGTATTGTCCGTGAGAGGGTGCGACGCGGTTTATGCTTTGCCCGGCCTCTCACATCGCTCATCTACTTGTACCTACTCAGAAACTCAGAATAGCTGAGACTTGGTCGATCTGGGCAGGCGCGCGCCTTACCGGAAGCATACTGGTTCACCGGCCCCGGGAAGTTGGTGATGCTCTGCCGCCGCCGCCGCCGCCGCCGCTGCCAAGACACGAAGGGGTGCGCCACACGCCCACGACACGACGTACATACCTACTCCGTCCCAGCTTCGTGCCACAGCGCTACCAAACTCTGTCGTGACTGACTGTTCGGACGGCAATGCTGTGCATACGGTACGGTCCCCTTTGTGGCCTTGACCTGGGTCCTCGCTTCTGCTCGCCAGGGTATCTGATCTCCTCTCCCGCGTTGCTACCCATTCTTTACGGACCGGGCGGGACCAGTCTTTGGATAAGAGGCAAATGCATGCTTCCAAATCCGGATGGTAGCTCTCCTGGAGTAGTACATCAGGCCCGCTTTGGGACGCGATATACGATGCAGATCTGTTTGAGAAGGTGTAGGTATGCGGATAAGGAGATGGGATGAACTCCTGAATGAAGACCTGGGGCGCGTCAAGGCGGCGTCCTATCGAACCGGGCCGGTTGAGTTGCTGGGGGGGGGGGCGTGCCGAACCATATCTCGCTTCCGAGGGAGGGGGTTCGTGCTGCATGGGCAAACTACCTAGGTAGGTAATGCACGACAGGTTCTCGGCTACGTAGCCACGGTACTCGACCTCTCTGGAGAGGAACTGACAGAAGTGCGAGTGAAAGTCCATAGCTGAGACGAGGTATGGTTCATCCCGAGTTTCTTCCCTCCCACAATCTGTCAAGCAACCATGCGTGCTTGTTGTTACATGAGGTTCACGTCAATCCAAAGGCAAAAAAAGGGTATGGAGCCTAAAGAGAAAAAGAAAAGAGCCGGATGGGCTTATTATTTGACAGGCTGCTCTCGGACCAGATTTGTATCAGCCGTGGTTGATACTTATATAGAGAAGTTTACTCCTTCAGGCTCTCGACTGCGTCTAGAACCCCTCCGCCCCCGGATGAAACCCTCCACCGTCCCCGACAGAAGCAAAGATGTACAAGTTACGCGTGAGGCTGTTCGCAGTCGAGGACCTTCTCAACTCTTTAACCCGGGGAGTTGGAAGGGGGTTACATCCCAAACGGTCGCTTCCAGCAAAGCGGGCGAACTGCGACTTTAGCCGCTGTCTGCGGACCGAATTGCCCATGTGGCCTGCCTTGGCTTTGGCCGGGGGCCATGAGCAAAAAAAGCCAAGGGTTCGAGCGTGGGTGGAACGGGTAAAATGGTGTAAAACTACAAGTACTTGTATTGTACAAGGTGGTAGGTAGGTAGGTAGGCTAGAAGGAAGATAAGATCCCTGCATTTGTCTTTTGACGGCAGGGTCTGTGTGCTACCGGCAGCCTCAAACATCTAACTACGGAGTACGACGCGAGGGAGCTTGCCAATGACGACTCTGGGGTGACAAAAGAAGGGACAAACAAAAGAGGCGAGCAGAAAAAGAAAGGAATTCTTCTAGAAGCCCTGCGCAGGTGCTGTCCCGCCCAGGGCTGCGTCTCCACTTGGGAGCTCTGATGATACGACTGGAACTACTTGTACACGTCCCAAGAGTACGAGTTGTCATGATACCTAGCCCTCATCCACGTCCAGTCTTGATATAATGGGGATAGGCTTACTCGAGGGAGTATCGATCTACCTTCCTAGTCTCCTACCTTTCCAGAAACAGGGTTGATTAGTCGAGCCCGGCGGTGACGGGTCTGGTAGCACCGTGAAGCTTGAAATATCGGCCCGTTGTCGGACGGACCCTTCAACGGACATCACATCAACGATGGGGTTAACCTACGGCCAAAAGAAGTTTCTCAATTCATATCAGCAGGTCGTCGTAGGCGATCTCTAGATGCTGTCTGGCGGTTCGACCCGGTGCCCCCCTCGTCGAACACGTCCAAGTATTCATTAATCTTTCTCAACTTAACTAGTGTCATCGTCTCTTCCTGAAAGAAAATGCGATTCATAGTGTTATGCATCAACGCCGCATGATACGCTTCCAAGACTCTGTACACCGATTCGGATCACAGAGGACACACTCTCGTCCTCTCAACTGTTGGTTAAATGGCAGGCGCTGCAGAAAACAGACCAACATATGTGTGCCATGGTATCATCCCAAAAATGGAAAAAGAGAACCGCGATGAAAAACCCTAGACTTAGTAGGAAAAGATCCCCCTTTTTCGACAGGTGGAATAAATCAATAAATACCACTTGAACCCGCCCCCAGAGGTAATGCTCTCGTTCGCCGCTATGCTTTGTATGGGACAAATGATCTCGCCATCCATGGATGCCCTTTTTTGTTTCGAAATCCCACTCCAGAAACGCTATGCTGTGTTTTTTTTTTGATGACCTCTCCGCTCTGTCTTTTGCTGAAAAAAAATGACACTTAATTGTGCGCCATGTATATGTAGCTGTACGCACCCGGATCTCGAGCGGCCGAGGACATGGGTCCCCGCGGGCCGCCGCCGCTCGGCGCCGCAGCAGCAGCAGCAGCAGCAGCAGCAGCAGCGACGACAGCGCCCGGCTTCTCCTCGACAAAGGGGTCGACCTCCTGCCGCTTGGCGGCGGGCTCGCCGACCTCGTCGAAGACGCCGTACTTGTCCTGCCACAGCTTGCGGAGGACCTGGTACAGGAAGAGGTACTGCGCCTCGGCCTGGACCATGGTGCGGCGCTGCTCGCGCAGCTGGTTGACCGTGTCGAAGATGAGATCGTCGGGCTCGTCGTCCGCGCTCCCCGCCTCGCCGGCCTGGATGCTGTCGCGCTCGTCGTCCGCCGCCGCCGCCGCCGCCGCCTTGGCCTCCTTGGCCTTGAGGCTGCTGCTGTTGTGCCCGTCGCTGCTCGTCGTGATCCCGTCCCCGCTGGCGGTGGTGGTGTTGCTGGTCGTCGTCGTGGTCGACGCCGTCTTGGGCCGCCGGCCGGCGTCGTCAAAGTTCTCCAGCACGCCGGCCTCGAGCTCCCGCATCAGGTGCTCCAGGGCGATGAAGGTCCCCGTCCGCCCGACGCCGGCGCTGCAGTGCACTATCCGCGGGTTCTCCGGGCTCGAGCTCTTCTCCCTCGACAGGCGCATGAGCTGGAAGAACGAGTCGAGATCCTCGAGGGCGGGCACGCCAAAGTCGGGCCACTTCTTGTACAGAAAGTGGTAGACGACTCGCTCTTCCTCCAGCTCCACCTCACGAGCGGGCTCCGCCACGTCTGCCTCTGAGGTGCCGTTGGACGTGCTCTCGCCGTTCGCCGAATATGCCATGGCCACGTGCGACGTCTGGGTCGGAGGGGGCGACTTCATGACGACGTCCTGCGACTCGTCCGTAGCCCCGTTGGTGCCGCCGCTCACGGCGGCCGATTGCTGTTGATTCTTGTGAACCCGCACAATGAGTTTGCGCAACTCGATGGCCTCGCCAGCCGGGGTCTCCTCCATGCCCTCGCACAGCACGCTAGCCCTGAAGCCGTCGCCGAACTCGTCCTCCTCGTTGACCTCGAGAACTTCGCCCACCCGCCGCGGGAAGTAGGGGAAGCATTTCTCCATGTTCGCCTCGTGGGTCTCTGTCAGCATTACGATGACGGCGGGCGAGGTCAGCTGCTCCACCACCATCCTCCAGACGTGGTCTGTGGAGACCTGCTTGGGCCCCTGCATCGCGATATACCGGTCTGGCGGTCTCGAGGGGTTCGTCGAGTGCGTGGGCGTCAGAGTGATCGGCGAAGCGTTAATGTAGTCTACATGGCCCGAGGGGACCTGTAACTTGACTCGGTTATTGTTGAAAGGCTGGATGTTCATGTACCGGTCTAGGACCCTGAGGTGAGGGCCGGTAACGCGGGCCCAGCGGAAGTCAGGCGACGGGTTGGCTATGCTCTGCATTTGGCGGTTGCGCTCGAGCCAGACGAGGTCTTGGAACTTGTTCTCTATCGCTGGAGGTCGCCCGCGAAGTTAGCACTTAAGTCACAAGCTGCTAGGGAGGTCCTTGGAAGCAGTAATGCACACAGACGAACCTGCTTGTGGGAGAGATAGAAACTGCGGCATCTTGGGCTTGCCGTCTCCGGACTGCAGCTCGCCATTCTGACTCGCGCTGTCCCTGTTGATCGGCGACTCGGTTTGCCTCTTGAGAGCGTCTTCCAGCGAGGTCGCTGTCGTCGTGGGCGACTGCGGTTGCGGAGACTCGCGCGCACGCTTTGCAGACGAACGCAGGTGGAGGCCGCGGAAGGGAGAGCGCGAGTGCTTCTCTCTGGGGAGTTGGGGAGGCGCGGCGAGAGAGCGCCCCGAGGGAGAAGGGGTCCTCGAAGCTGCAGGCTTTGCATCGCCGGCCTTTGCTGTCGCCGGCCCGGCGATGTCCTTCTTGTGCCGGCGGAATCGCGAAAGGCGATCCATGGTGGTATGATGTTGCGCCCAGTCAGCCTTGGGTGGAGCTGAGAGTATTCGAGGTCGCGTGTGGTGTGGTCGAATCCGGAGTTGTGGAATGCTAATGGACAATACAAGTCTCGACCCCACCGCCAGGTTTGGATCGGCCAGACAGAGACAATATTATTATTGAGGGTACGATTCGACTGAAAGAGGCAGCGCAGTAAACACAGTCGAGCTAAAATCGAACAGGCTCGACCGGTACACGGTGGCAGACAACGAGGGGGAAGAGGTAGGGAGAGATAGAAGTGAAGTGGTGGGACTCGATCGCGATGTCGCAAGCGGTTCAGAGTGACGGCGGAATTCAAAGCAGCACGTGCTAATTAAAGGTACAAGTAGAATACAGTCCGTCAAGAACTAAAGAGAGTAAACAGCCTCGAGAGGGAAAGTAAAATAAAAGTAGATGGAGAAAGGAGAGAGGTAGCTTCCCCGGGAAGTCTAGTGTTATTAATGGGGGCCGAAACGTTTTATACCTTTTAGCAAGTCGCAGGCCGTGATTAATAAACCCCCATTCCGCAACGCTGCGAGACCCTCATTCATTTGCGATCGTGAGTCGTGAGTCGTGAGTCGTGAGTCGTGAGTCGTGAGTTGTGACTTTTGCTCTCGTGCTCGACTGGGAACCACTCCGTAGAGACAAAGAACGCCCGAGATGCTTGTGTGCAGCAACAAATCCCATCCCAGTCATCCATCCATCATGCTCAATGACGAGACCTTGTGGGACCGGGGGGTGTTGCTGATCAAGTCCATGGGTGTTGTTGGTATTTTTATTGTACAAACTGCTCCCCTTTTGCCCTTGTGACTTGCAGGACTCGGCGGCACACAATCACGGCTCGAGACGAACTAGCCTGTCCCAGGGCAGAGATGGCGCCTGGGCACCCTGGCGGGATAGGAGATTAGGAGTTAAAGCTGAGCCTGCAGCTTTCCATAGTGTGCAATATTACAGTACAAGTAGCTGGAGGAGCCTCCCTGGTCGTCAGTGACAGAACCCATGGTCTTGGTTCCCGGGTCCACCTTAGCTTGTCCTCGAACCCTGGAAAGCCACGCTGCAGGTGCCCGCTTCGACACCGGCGGGGCCGTTGATTCCCTGTATTTTGCCTCGGTAGGTACATTGTGTGTGCCTAGGTACCTAATGTAGGTACGGATAGATCGTATTTGCTTTTTCCTATTGTGTACCCATGTCTGATGTGCGAAGAGCTGTCTACTACTTGTAGTACTTAGGTGGCTTGTGAAATGGGAGCACAACTACGAGACAAACTGATTGGCTCACCATACACACTCCTGACTCTGTAGCTAAGTAGGTAGTCGCTTTGGATGTTGAACACTGCAACTCGTTACCAGTACTTTTGGCCAAGCAGCTACCTACCTGTCACTCGGTATGGCTTCGACAGCCGCATACAGGAAACCCTGTCCTGAACTCTGAATCGTAAGTAGAGTATCTGTGTGGCACCCTCATTATTACGTCGCTTGGCTTGGTAGTGTTGCATTGTAGGATTGTGAGAAAAACAGTGAGCTAAGCTGTGTTTGCTACAGTAATATACAGCCCCCGTCACGGGGGCCGAGAGAGAGGTTATTCATATACGGTATTGGTACATATAAAAGTCTGGTGGCATTGTGCCCGATAGCTCCCTCCTCCAAATAGCCACCAGTGTCTTCTTCACTGAATATGATCAAAAAGAACAAACCAGCCGTCATACACTCGAGTACACTGCTGTCACGTATCTGCCGCATTCCACGCGCTGCTCCATCTGCACCTTGCGGCCCTTGCCTCCTTCTCCTAGCCGCACTGTCGTTCGCGGCGTGATCTGGAACCGGTGAGCCTCGCCCTTGCGGCCTTTGGCAGCATCACCTCTGCCGCCATCCAACGGCCCGATATACATGGGCTCGTTGACATTGTTTCTCTTCCCCGAGCCCAACTGGTAGAACTCGTTGCCGCCCCACCAGACGATGTCGGCTCCCCAGTTGGTATCGTTCTCCGACTTCTGTTGAGCCGCTGCGAGGTTCGTGACGTTGTCCATAACGGCGGCAGCATGCGTGCTGCCCACAGAGATGTCGGAGAGGCGGATGGGGACGACGCTCTGCTTCTTCTCGTCGTATTCAAATAGGTTGGAAAGAGCCTTGATCTTGGTCGGGCCGCCCGAGATGTGAGTCCACTTGCCGGTCCCGAGGCCCCCATGGATGCCCTCTCCACAGGCCCAGGTGTCGGCGACGACCTTGCCCAGGTTCGACCTGGAAACCGTGTCATCGCTTCCTTGTGCGGCTACACGTGTGGCGTCGACCGTGAAGAAAGAGTTCGCCCCGCCAGCTGCAATCGAAGTGACTTGTGGAAGTAGATTGGTGCCACTGTACAGTTTTGTGAAAGGCAGCATAGACGGGACGTCAGTCAGAGGCGTTTCGGGCTGCACTGGGAAGCCGAGTTGCCCCACAGAGTTGTCGCCAAAGCTGAAGACCCTGCCTTGATTGTCCAGAACCAAGGAGTGATAGTCACCCGCAGCCACTTTGGTTATCTTGAATCCCCGCAAGGCAGCGATCTCGTGCGGCTGGTCAAACGGCCCCTTAGGCCTAGTGTTCCACGTGAGGCCAGGGACACCCATCTGACCCTTATCCGGAAAAGCCTCGCTGCTGGAGGCCGCGGAGAAGACACGTCCACTCGAGGTCAGCAGAAGACAGTGCTCCAGACCGCTGCTGATGTCGACTACCTTCTCTCGCCAACCAAGATTTGCTGGCAGAAGGGTCCGGTAGCTGACCGGGGAGGCATTGGACCAGAGGGATCCGGAAGACGATTGCTCTCCCTTCTCTCCCTGAGTTTGATCGTTCTGAGAAGCAGGGATCGAGTAGACATTGCCGCCGGAGGACAATGCCAGGATACGGTCCCGAGATAAACTAATCTTGACGAGATCTTTGCCCTTGAGTGTTGGGATGGGCTCCGAGGCCTCGGTGGAGAATGCATTCCCCCATTGCACGAGGTCACCATTCTCCAGAATCGCTGCTCCAAAGTCACGATCAAGCTTTAGGTCGCGGAGCAGTTTGCCGTCAAAGTAGGGTATTCTCCGCGGCAGTTTAACCACCGTATCTGCCAAGCCCGGCGCGGCCACCTTGCCCGAGTTGGCACCCCATGCGTACACTCCAGGGTGCTCCCAGCTATCCTTGACCTGGAGGTGTTGCGAACTGATCAGGTCGCGATTGTCCTCCTTGGACTTGGGCCGTTTCCTCTTCTTCTCAAACTCAAGCTCGGCCTGTATGGGCTTCGCAGGTTCTTGCTTCTGGAAGACGATAGGGTAGGCGACCACGGCCCCTGCTGAGAACAGTGCGGCAAAGAAGAACATAACCAGCCGCCGATTCGACCCTGCAGGCTTCTTGGGTGTGCGGGGAGGCACATTGATGTGGCGAACCCACCGGGGGTGCATCGGGAGGACGGAGTGTCGAGCGGCAAGGCGGAAAGCCAGAGGGCGCAGTGCGCCTCTCGATAGATTGGAGGACATGATCAGGGTGATGTTGTCTGTAGCCAGGCTGGTGTTGTCCGAACGTCAAGCTGCTCTCAATTACATGGAGAGTACATGGTGTATCAAGGGCGTCAGATCGTATGGTCTGTCGAAGCTATTCGTCGACAAATGGTGAGGTCATGGCGGTGCCAAAGAGTGAGATGAACTCTCTCCGCAGCTAGTAGACTCTAGTAACAGCAACAAAGATCGAGTCGAAGCGCTAGAATTTCCAATCAACTGAACCCTTGTGACTGGCCCAAGCTCCCTGTGACCAGCTCGTCTCGGACCCACACTGGAAGCTCAGAACCGCTAAAAAAGGGCTCTCCAGCTGCCCCACAGCGGGATTCGTTCATTGAGGCCAGCTTATTAGGTACAACAAATAGGCCTACCGATTGCGGATTCTACGACGACATCCCACTATTGCGATACCGCACACCCACGACGAGGGGTTCACGAGGAGCAAGCCCACCAGCGCCAGGACAGAGGTCAGGGGACATCTGTCGACCATGTACGAAGATGCGTGGTACAACTTTGACTTCCAGCACAAGAGGAATCCCTCGCAGAGTCATGGACACAAAAGAAAAGAGTCCTTGTTGCAGCAACCGAATGTGCGCGCCCCCGGCCTCAGATGCTGCCTGCCCATTGACTGGTGCTTGCTGACCTGTGAACCTGACATAGGGCGTGAGCCAGCCGGGAGATGCGACTGAACCATTAGAAGAGCTGTTTGAGGACGAGGCAGACCCGAACACCCCGGCCGAAGCAACTATCGCCAGAAGAGCCAAGTCATATTCCGACTTCCACGACCTTGTCCGAGAGCATCCGGTCACACAAAGCTCGGAACGGAGGAGAGCTTCAAGAAAGCAAGACAGATATTGGGATGCGCTGGCAATACAAGAGCCCAGACACAGTGCTTTCGATCTAGACACACCCATATTCGAATTGTTGCAAGACGATCTGCTCGAGGCGAGCCAACAGGAATACTCGTACGCCCCAGCTGCTATGATCCCAGCGAGAGGGAACCGAATCGCTGACCACAATACACCAGGCTATATCGAGACCAGCTAGCGTTGACAGAGAGGCACCTGGATACTCTCATTCAAGACACCAATGGGGCCCTAGATATCCTGGCCTCGCTAGCCGACTCGTTCCGAGCAGTCGAGGACCAGACCAGCTCCTTCAAGTCTCAGTGCGACGACCTCCTCACTGAACAGAAGCGCCTGCAGAAGCTGGCAGATGAAGTTGGGACCGACCTCTACTACTACACCTACCTCGACAATGTAACGCGGCGGCTCAATGCACCCGGCGCCAGCCGCCTTGTGGATGACGAAGTCTTTGAGGAGATTCTCACAAACCTTGACGCGTGCATAGCGTTCATGACAAAGAATGTGAGTATCAAACCAGGCCGGGTCTCAGTCATGAAGCGTCAGTCTGACCTGTGTAGCCAAACTACCGAGACGCCGAGTCGTATCTGGCTCGATACCAAGCCCTTTTGACCAAAGCCCTGCACCTGCTAGAGGTTGGATTTGTGAGTAGGTTAGACAAGTCTTCTGCCGACATGGCGAAACAGATCGCGGCCACGCAGTCGGAAGCTGCTCGGCATGCTCTGGCATATGGCCGCTTTGAGGAGCTGCTGCTAGACTCTTACTCTCTCTTACCAAACATACGCAATGTCCTCTCAAAGGCCTTTGATGAGTATGGCAGTCCCAAGTCTGGACAGAGTGTTGACATCTACAGCAATACTGCCAAGAATATTTTTCTGGCGTACTTGGGGACACGAGATCGGGATCTAAAGCCAATAATTCAAAAGGAGATCGAGGCCTTCAGAAATGACGCCAAGGAAACCTCGCCCGAGACGGCCTCAAGGAACTTCGTCAAGCAATGCTTTGAGCGGTCGTATCACGAAGCCCAACTATTCACCAAGCTCTTTGAGATGGAGCCGGGATATAGTACCGACACGGCTTCGGCGTTCATGGCCATCAAAGGCCACAGGAGCGACCTGGTCAACGGTGTCAATGTGGCCCCTATCGCGACCCAGCTACAGTCGGTTCTGGTTCCCTCAGAATTGAAAGTCGCTTGCAATGTTCTCGGATGGATGACTCATGAGTACCTCGTGTTGGACTATGACGAGGACGAGACGCCCTTCGCTAGGCACTGCCGGGAACTCACAGCACGCCTTCTGACCGAGCACCTGTGGGCGTTCACGGATGCAGCATTTGAAGCCGAGATTGCCAAGTCCATTTCCAAAGTGCCTGTGGTCGTGGATGCTCTAAAGATTGGACCGGTCGTCGACGGGGTGGCATCGTCCAATGCATATCCGCCGGTCAAGCGCGCCTTGGAGCTGCTCGACTTGTTCGATCAGTCCATGCCCAAGGAGCGATGCGTAAGTCCTTCACCGTACATAGAAGCACATGATCTCCTTGCTAACGCGACATGTCACAGCAACGAGACAGCCCGGTGGTTTTCAAGATCGTCAAGGAGGCCATCCAAGCGCTGCACCGCGCCGAGGCTCGCCTCAAGCCCCTGAAGACGGGTACCGACTCGGACCTGTTCATGATCAAGAATCTCCTCATTCTGAAGAACGAGTTGGTGTCCTTGGAGATAGGAGACATCCGCAGCCAGGATCCAGGAATGCAGCATTTTGGGCAGATATGGGATGCCCTGAGTGTGGCGCAGAACCTGGTGGGCTACTTCAGCAGCTTCATCCCGGGCTCGTCGTTATGGTCTCGTGGTTCTCCCGGCCCGGGGGGTGCCAAGAACGGCACGCCGGCGGTGGCGCCGGAGCAGCAAGACGCCAGCGACCAGCTGGACGAGCTCCTGAGAAAGTCCATCTACGCGTTTACGCAGCGGTGGGGCGATGTGATCAACGAGGCCACGGGCAGGCAGCTGGGCGGCAAGAACCTCGTCAAGGTGGAGAGGGAGCTGGAGGCGATGCTGCAGAACGCATTCAGCAACCAGCCCGAGGTCATCGCCAAGCTCAAGGAGGCGATCCAGATGCATGCGCAGGCGCAGAACGAGCGGAAGGGGAGCAAGATCACGAGAGTCTAGAGAGTCTAAGGGAAGGGAAGGAAGAGAAAGGGACAGAGGGCATGTTCCGCCATAGACAAAAGAGAGTATTCTTCATGCAGAGATGAACTTGAAATTGTGCACCCGGTGATCAGATGTGTTGAGCACTCGCGATAATCCCAACTGTGTCTTATCGACAGATCGAAGAGCACTTGATTTGATGGGCTGGAGCACGCAATCCGAGACGGACTTCACGTACCGAGAAATGGGCTCCACAAGGCTTGTTAACAAGTACCTGCTTGATGGAGCAATAGCTTGGGGAAATTGGAGAAAGGGCTGCACAGGCCCAAGTACCTCGAGTTCCCCGCTTACCTCACAGTCCCGAGTTATCGGTGTCTATCAATCCAATTATTTTATATCAAAGGGCCTGCGTTGTGTGTCTGAAATCTATCGGCCAATTTTCCCTCCCGTCCAGCCTCTCTCACCTAGCACGCCTTTATAGGAGAATTTTCTCAAACAGAGGTGCAGTCCAATTCTTGTATCCTGCGTAGCTGCAGTCGAACGCCAAGTGCCAGGTGGTAAACATGGCGGACTCGGCCTCCGACGTTGAGGAGCACTCCAAGGGAGGCGGAGCTCTGCAGACGGCCAAGGATCTGTTTGCTGGAGCTGCCGGAGGTGTAGCTCAGGTCCTGATCGGTGAGCTCATATCTCTCCCTTTTATGTTGGCTCTTGGGACGGCGCGTTTGAGACTGCGGGATGCTTCTTTGAGAACAACAAAGGAGACGCCGGCATCGGCCTGGCCCTCGCATTGAGCAAGGCGGCCTAGCAGCATCAGAGTCACGAAGCACCACTGTCTATTATGCTTAGGACACCAGACCTTGAAATGAAGCCATACCTTTCCAGTCCAATACGCTGACTGCCTTATCAGGACAACCCTTCGATATCGTCAAGGTCCGGCTGCAGACCAGCACGGCCTACTCATCCGCCCTCGACGCCGCCACCTCCATCTGGAAGAAGGAAGGGCCCTTGGCCTTCTACAAGGGCACCCTGACGCCGCTCGTCGGCATCGGCGCCTGCGTCTCCATCCAGTTCGGCGCCTTCCACCAGGCCCGCCGCTGGTTCGAGGCCGCCAACGCCGCCAAGTCGCCCGCGGCCGTCTCGGGCGGCGCCGCCCTGCCCTCGCACCCCACGCTCTCCTACGGCCAGTACTACGCCGCGGGCGCCTTCGCCGGCGTCGCCAACTCGGTCATCTCGGGCCCCATCGAGCACGTGCGCATCCGGCTGCAGGCCCAGCCCCACGGCGCCGGCCGCCTGTACGCGGGGCCCCTCGACTGCGTGCGCAAGCTCGCCGCGCCCGCGCCCCTGGGCGCCGGCTCGGCGCTGCGCGGCCTGTACCGCGGCGAGGCCGTCACCGTCCTGCGCGAGGCCCAGGCCTACGGCGTGTGGTTCTGCACCTTCGAGTGGCTCATGAACTCGGACGCCCGGCGCAGCGGCGTCGACCGCAGGGACGTGCCCGCCTGGAAGGTCGCCCTCTACGGCGGCCTCGCCGGCGAGGCCCTCTGGCTCAGCAGCTACCCGCTCGACGTGGTCAAGAGCAAGATGCAGACCGACGGCTTCGGGCCCGAGGGCCAGAGGTACAAGACGATGCGCGACTGCTTCGCGCAGACGTGGCGCGCCGAGGGCATGAGGGGCTTCTGGAAGGGCGTCGGCCCCACGCTGCTCAGGGCCATGCCTGTCAGCGCCGGCACGTTTGCCGTCGTCGAGTTCACGATGAGGGCGATCAACTGAGCGGCGGGGGGGGGGGGGGGGGGGGGGGGGGGAGAAGAGGGGGGAGGAAACATGTCTGCGTTGGGCAGTCAGTCGATCAGCAATAGTGGCGACGAATCGAGATATTCGAGTCCCAATCCGTAGTGGCTGGGAGTCTTTGGCGGTGTACAGGCCTTTCGTAACTTTTGACATCTTCAGGGGTATGAACCTTCCTTCCCTTTCAACATACGGGGAACGAGAATAAAAGCAAAGGGCTTCACTTTTGTCTGCGGATAACTTGGTTTCATATAGACATGCGTGGGAGAAATCGATGATTCTTTTGCATAACCAAACCTAAATATTCCTCATGCTTTTTTGATCTATGTCACCAAAGAAAGGGGACACTATCCAGGGTCTAAAAGACAAATCCCCTCTACTCGCTGTTCTCAACCCTCCTCTGCAGAATGTTCCTCGCGTTCGCGGGCGTGAGGGTCCCGATGCCCAGCTCCTCGAGCACCTTCTTGGCCTCGCTGTTGTCCGTGAACACGCGGTCCGTCGCCTGCTTGAGCGTCATCGGCGCCGGCGCCGCCGTGCTGCCGCCGGAAGAGCCCTCCTCGCGCGGCGGCTGCTCCAGCGGCAGGTTGAGCAGCACCGCCCCCTCGGTGAGGGTCTCCAAGGCGCCGGACCCGCCGTCGGGGATGTACCTGTCCACGAGGGACGCGACGGCCCGGATGTCGTGCAGGAACTGGGCGGCGCCGAACGTGGTGAAGCTCTGGCGGGTGAGGATGTCGGCCCAGAGCGCCTCCTGCAGCTTCTCGAGGGCGTCGCGGAAGATGCGGCGGAAGGTGGCGGTGCCGAGGGCGCGCGAGAGGAACTCTAGGTTTCGTTTCAAGATCTAAGGCAGTGTGGCGGGAAAGTGTTAGTAAGAAGGTTTTATTTTTCCCCGCTTTGAGGCCTGCAGAGAGGTATGTGCTTCTTTGCTTTTGCTTACCCTCAGCGGTTCGTCCAGCTCTGCCGTGATGGCAAGTTGTTGGGGGTCGATGGCGGCGGGGTCTTCGTTGATCGTCGTCCACTGGGCCCTGTAGAGGTAAGGCCGGAAGGCCTTGTAGTGGGAATCTATCAGCGCAGAGACCAGGTACTCTTGTGCCGACTTGCGACGGGCTGCGTAGGCAGCTGTGGTCTCGTCAAACAGGGCTCCTCCAGCGTCGTCGGTGCCGACGGCTGAAGACGTGCGGTCCTTTACCGCATCATAACTCATGCCGCCCGCGAGGTTGTCTTGACCTTCCACCTGCTGAGCCTTGCGTTGGAGTTCGTCCCAGAGACTAACGAAGAACTAGCGGCCTCGTCGTCAGTTACATTTACGCCTGTGGGTGTGAGCCGGCTCCAGGCTGCAGGTACGACTTACCTCTTCGTTGCTCCAGTCCCTGAGGCAGTTGACAACATGATCCGCGCTTCCAAAGACCTTGCACAACGTCTCAAAGGTACCCACTCCCTCGAGGGCTGCAGCTTGCTCCTTGCTTACGCCGTGGAGCGTTCTCCCAACGGTCGACGTGATCGAGTAATAAGCTTCCAGAGACCCCCTCAAGCGGTCGTGGTACGCATCCAGAATGTCGATCTGGATGTCGATCAGGAACTTGAGCTTGTGAGAGAAGCGCCTCACGCGCTCGTATTGAGTTGTGATTGTTCGTAGCAGGTCCATCACCCTGACTGCGTGATAGGTCGGCTTTGTCTTGCCCGGCCCGTTGTAGTCATAATCGATGTTCCGGCCATCCAGGTTGCTCATGATAGCCTCGAAGCGCCCGAGAGCAAAGTCCCTCTCAGCCTGGAGCCACTCATCAAAGTGCTTATCGAGAACCTCGGAAGCCAACCCACGCCAGCCCTTCTCTTCATCGCCGCCGTCATAGCTGAACTTTTGCCGGATTTCGTCATCAAACTTCATGAGTTGCGCCATAAGGCTGCTCAGGAAACTGGGGCTCTTGAGGGCCTCGGCCATAGCCTGATCAATCTTTTCCCTCATCACTGGTAGAAGAGCTGTAATGAAGGCGCAGACCGGGTCCATGTAGACCATCTTGCCAGACACGGCGGTGTCCTGGAAACGCGATACCAGGCTGTACCCGAAATTATCCCTGAGAAAGTCCTCCCACTTCTCCACGCGGTCGATGAACCACGGGAAGCACACCTCTCCGATCTGCATTGGGTTGCTCGTCCTCCTGTCGCTCAGAAAGTGGAAGCGGAACTCCTTTATGAAGATCTGCGCCATGACATCGAGTGGGAGGAGAGCAACAATCTGCTCCGAGAACAGTACCTCCGGGACCTGAAGGTCGACCAGCTTCTCGAACGAGCTCCTCCACTCGTCGTCGACTTCCAGCTCCGCGTCCACGTTGGGCCACTTCCTCTGCGACAACACGCTCTCGTACTCATCCCACATGGTCTTCTTCATCCCAGCCCACAAGCTCTCAGTGACTTGGCCGACGTGACGGACGAGATGCCCCGCCGCCTCGTCCGCCGGCCCCTGCAGCTCCCTCAGGCGAGTCGACATCTGCTTGAGACGGGAGTACGGCTCCAAGGCGGCCTTTGGGTCCTGGGGCAGGTGCGACTTGGCCTCGGCGGCCAGGGCCTCGACGTCCTGCAGCAGGAGCAGGTACTTGTAGGCCAGGTCGACCTTGCGCAGCTGGCCCATCGGCGCCTCGAGGCGGCGGACGGCCTCGTCGGGGGCGTCCGACTTGGCGACGATCTCGAGGCGGACGTCGATGCTGCGCTGGAGCTCGCGGAAGCTCTCGATCTGCTCCTGCAGCGAGCCCTGGCGCGAGTCGGCCTCGCGCCGCGCGTCCTCGAGCTCCCGCGTCGCGGTGTCGAGCTGCGTCTGCAGCTGGCCGCGCTGGAGCTCGACATTGGCGAGGAGGTCGTCGAGGTTGTCGAGGTCGGTCGACGACTGCAGCTGGTCGTCGAGGTAGTCTTCGACGCGGACATCGCGGTCGTCGGCCGAGTAGCGGTCGGGTTGGAGGGACAGGGTCGACATTGTGGCTTGTTCCTTTTATGGGCTCAAGAAGGGAGTAAGTCGACACGCGTGTTGGCAGTTGATTCCCGTACTTCTCACACCGTTGGAAGTGCGACTGTTAAGCTTGGAAGTGGACAGCTTGGAGCTCAGTGATGCTAGCCCGAGCATTTAGTGGGGTATAGCTCCAAATTGATGCTCCAAATGCTGTGGAGCACATTCAGATGCAACACAAGGATTCACGTCTCATGTCAACCTTCACGCTTCATACAAGGTATGCTATGGTTCAGGGTGTGAAGATCGAGAAATGTAAAGATCGTATCTGTATTTCAGACCGTCGTCAACACTATCCTCCTCATCCATCTCCATACAAACACCCTCCTCGCCATCAACCTCCATGCGATCCCAAGGCCATAACTCCATGTTTAATGAATCTTCTTGCCTCCGCGGTGCATCCCCAAGCGGGCATCAGAATAGTTGACAGAAGTTCATCAGGAGCTACCTCATCGTTAACAGTCGATCTCCTTGTCATATCCTTGCCCTGTAACTCGGAAGGGCTACCTATCCCACTACCTAAAACCGATGGGCTTGATGGATGCCCAAGTACTTCTGTTAGCAGTCCGTCAACTAATCTGACCATCACTTGATCCCTACTCCTCACGCCTCACTCCTCGGGCCTACTTCTGACGAAGGGTGCAAAAAGGGCCATGCGCCTTCATGACTCTCTCCAATGTGTCATCATCATCGTCCCATTCTTTGACCAGTGTCTTCAACTTCCGTCGTGCAAGCCCAGCGTCGCGATTCCTATACACAGAATCGATCTTGCGGACGTCCGTCTTGTCACTGACGAGCCACCGCCTCTCGTTGTCCACAAAGCGCATATAGGTCATCTGCTCGTCGCCATATGCCTTGCGGACATTGGACTCGAGTCGCGCACGCAGACGGGCCTGCAGCTGTTCTCGCTCCAACCTGAGCTTCTTCGCCTCTGCGACCTTCATTTTCGGGTCCTCCTCTGGGAGGATCGAGAATGACGAGTAGAACAAGAGCGACGGGCTCTGCGCCACAGCGGAAGCGATGGTGCGTAGATCGCTCGGTTTGATGGCGGTGTGGCCAAGATCGAGGTAGTTCAGCTGCCCGGCATCGACGAGCTCGAGAATCGCCGGAACGGCGGCGCCGTCGATATAGTTATAGGCCTGGCGGAGGTCTTGAGTCGCCACTGCCTGGCTGACGTCCAGCAGGCGGAAGCCTGCCCAGGTTTTCAGAACTGCGCAGAGTGCTCTCATTCCTCGTGAGTTCAAGCCGGTGGACTGCAGGCAAAGCCGCGCGAGCGAAGGCGATGTCGCCTTGCCCATGGCCCCAGCCAGTGCCTCCGCACCATCGTCTCCCAGGGGGTTGCATGACATGTATAATGACTGGAGCTGGCAATGCGGCGAGGCCAAGAACGAACCTATCGCCGATGCACCTGCAACGGAGATACCGAGGCCGTTGAGGTAGATGTGCTGCAGCGGTATCCTGCCTCCGTTGGTCGGTACATGCTTCGCGAGGAGAGTAAAGAGCTCTGCGACGCCCTGGTCACCGAGCTCTGTCTGGTCGAGATCCAATGTCCGAAGATTTGTCCGCGTGATGAGCCTGAATATATCATGGGCAGCACCACGGCCGAGCGGGTTCCGCTTGAACCACATGTTGGTGACGGCCGGCGACTTGACCATTGAATCCGTGAGTATGCTGAAGCTAGGTCCGTCGATGCAATTGCCGGCCAGGTACCAAGTATCCATCCGGTCGGGAAACTCGTCAACGAACCGGGCAATCTCACGGGCCCCCACAGGGCCGATGATGTTATTCCCTAGCAGAAAGTGCTTGATGAACGTGTTGGTCCGCAAGCTGTCCATGAGTCGCCCAATATGGTCCGGGCCTACAACCTGTTTGCAGAGGTCCATACGCTGGTCCTCGTAGACGACGCCTCTGGTGAATTCAATTCCGGCAACGCCATAGTGAGGCTCCCCGTAGCCCTCGTCCAGGGGCGCGCCCGCGTCGGGATTCCCTCCTCCAGCAGCGGCGCCATCATGTGTCCCTCCAGAGGCCAAGTGATCAAAGAAGGGGCTGAGCGTCTCGGCTTCAGCGACAGTAACAGGCATCGGTAAGGCCGGAGCGCCATCTGTAGATACATCGAATTTGGTAGGATCCCAAGGCCCCTGCGCGAGAATGCGAGCGGTCCAGGCCGGGGCGCCGACACCGGGGCCAGCGCCGACAATACCGTTGCCGGTACGGCCATGGCGCTGCGTTGATACTAGGGTGTCGTACTGGCGCTGTAGGGCGGCCCATGCCCGAAGCTTGCTGCGGTCTTCCTCGTATCTGATGACTGAGCTCAATGAACCCTCGTGGCATGGGTACAGCAGAGAGGCAATGCCAAAGGCCAAGGCTGCCCGGGCTGTCTTTCGCCGGGGAAGTGAGTGAAGCTCATCGTCTATACGGAGGGTGTTTAGCGGGAGCTGAAGGATCTCTTCCACGGTATATGGCGTCAAGGGATCTATCAGGCGGTAAGCTATAAGTTCCAAAGAAGAGGAGGCGCAAATGATGCCTTGCCAGAACTTACTGAAGTCTGTCGCGTCCGTCGATCCGAGAGTAGTGAGCGCGGCTCGGCACAGTCCTGCGAGATAGATGGCCTCGTGCAGGTTGAAGGTTTGTTCGGGCAACGGGAATGCGCCGTTCGGCTCACGGTTGTGAATACCTAACGCCAAGGGGGCGTTCCGAACAAGCGTTGCGGTCGCCATTTTATCTCGACTTGTCCCAGGCCAGGTGATGCGCAATGTCGCCTCTCGTCTTCAACCCGAATGCAGGACTTATGAATCTGTCCACAAAGAAAAAGAAGAAAACGGGTGAGTTAACGGGTGCAAGTTTGAGTCAGAGCTCTTTGGATGGGCTGAACTTGATGATGGACTCAGCCTCTCTTAGTCCTCAGCTTAGACCCGCCTTGGTGGAGCTGTTGTGAGGAGTTGCTGTTCGTGACAGACGATGCAAGACGATTAAATAGGTAGAAAAAGAGAAGCTGTGAATAGGACAGACTAGCTTGGCGACTCACGTCTCTGCTAGTGAACTACTTGCTATTTGTTTGTAGGTGAAACGTGACTTTGTAATGGTAGTGAGTCACTCTCGCATGGGTCAAGGCACCAGCTTTTGATGCTGAAGTGAGGAGGTTTGCTTCAATGAAGAAGAGCCAATAATTTTGAGGCACGGCAGAACACATTACACTCCCAGGCAATTCACACCACATTGAAGAGGGTATCTAAATGTCCAAAAATCTTGTTCTTTCAACCACCAGACGCCCTCCGCCTTTCATGTCAAGGGCTGCTAGTCATTCGCGCCCTTGCCCAGATCTCGTCTTACTCTCCAAACTCGAGAACCAACGGCCCTCTTCTGGTTACCATGCAGCACCTCGACCCATGGTGTTTGCAGATCCTGAGGAGAGAGCTTCTCCTCCTCCTCATTGTTCTCAGATGAGTCGTCATCAGTATCCTCGTCTGTGACCTCTACAGCCCCATCGTTGTCGTCCTTAACATTCGACTCGTAGGCCTGACTGTAGAGATCCTCTGTGTATGCCCAGCTTGGTGGGTCAAACTTGCCAGCAACTATCACGATTGACCTCCCGCTCTTCTGCACCTCTTGTATCTTCTTCAATGGTACAGGAGTGAGAAGGTGAATAACCCTATTCTCCATATCTATACCACGAATGAGGCCGAGTCCCAAGGCCCTTGAATGCTTCGGATCCAACGTTCGCCCGGCGTCATTCCTGATCAGAGGTAACACTCCTTGGCTTCCGCCTTCATGACAAGATTCTTGTACTCTTGTCGAGCTGAGGGAGTGGACTCTGCTGAATGCTTCCTTGCTCTCAACATCCACCAATGCAATTATCGTCCCATTCAAGAATTCTCCCAGAAGCTCGATTGATGGTTGATAATCATAACATAGGATGCCGGCAAAACCATTGGTAGAGCTCGTGAATGGGACCATCAGAGGAGCGCTCATAGTCAGTGGTCTTGTGTCCCACCGCAGGTGTTCCCGGTCGGTCGTCTCGGTGTCCTGGTGAAAGTATGCCAGCATTTGCATGGTTCGAAAGTGCAGAGCTGTTCGTGACGTATATTCGGTGGCTTGGGATGGCAATGTAGAGAGCGCTGAGCATCTTGTCTTTTCACAAGCCAGACTCAGACCTTCCACTGTTTCTTCAGGGCCATCCTTCGACATGTACACGACTTCGGTGGGCTGGATCTCCTGTATTAGGTCGACGAGAATATCAAGGCCCGTTCCTTGGACCCAGCCCGGGGTGTTGATGATGAGCGGGTACTTATGAGCTAGCTTGCCCTGGTACTCGGCATACAAATCCAGAACACACTCGAGGTAATGGCCTGGATCCATAGCTGGTGAAACGGCGCATATGGCGTGAGACTTGAGCAACCCTTGCTGTTTTGGAGGTCCGTTGGGATGGCAAAAAGACGGTGATAAGTTTGGGCCATCCATGTGAACAAGAGAAATAATGCCAGGAGGCGAGAATTCGGGCTGCCCTGGGTCAATATCAAGGATGGCAACCCCGGCGCCAGCTCGGGTCTTTAGTCTTGCCTCATCAGTGGTGAGTCTGTTGGTAAGAAGTCTGGCAAATGTAGATTTGCCTGAAGACTTGGGTCCACAGATGAGTAATACTTGCTGCTTGCTGCCTTTTTTTGAGACCAATCCCGCGATCTTTTTGTTCCATTCTGCTGGCGCCTTAAGCTCCTGCAAGAATGCCCTTTTAGGTCCATCTGCCGATGTGTAGATCTACGAAACAGCATTAGATACCACTCAGTCTAAAGAAGAAGGCCCAGCTTACGATTTGAAAGGTCTCTCGCCCTCGCTGCTTTGGTGGGCAATCCGGTTGTGGCTCATTCCAGAGTCTCGCAAAAGTAGGCGAAAGCCTTGCAAGTCCTCTCAGACTCTCTGCAGCTGGGTGCGGGCATAGTTCGATACTGGTCTCTTCCGAACATCTGAGCACAGGAAGAGCATGACAGTGTGGGGAGTGCACCCAAGAGATATGGTCCGATGGCCGCAGTGTTGCGCCTGCTATCGTCGCCTGGCCGCTGCAGATCTTGATGCCATAACTGCCAAGGATCACCAGACGCTGCCGAACGTCAGTTGCTGCGAGAGACATGGCACGAAGCAAAGCACGCTCACCTCTCCTTCAGGAAGCCTCAGCACAATGATGCCGTTGCCCCTCCGAGTGAGGTTCTTCCTGTTTGGCCTAAAACTTGAATGCTGAACGACCCTTGGTCGAATCTCGGCATCAGCATCCTGAGAGGGGGTGTTTCTGGTCAAGTCAGCGAAGGATTGCTGCTGCGGACGAGCTTGGAGAGACTCACTCCTCTGGTTTGGCTTGGAGCACCTGTGGTATGCTCTGGCCCGACTCGGGGCCATCATCTGGTCGAGATGATCTCGACTTGGTAGCGATGGACCTTGTCGTCCTCGGGGTTTCCAGAGCTGGATCCGAGACAGAATCTTGGTCCTGGACCCCTGGTGCTGGGTCATTGAGATTGCTCGGGGCAGACTTATTCTCTTGGAGCAATTTGCGTCTCAAAGCAAACGCACTCATGGCTAGTAAAGACACGCTTTAGCACGAATATGCGAGGTTGGTATTTTGTGTTTTCCCAATCTCACCTTGAGCTCCAGCTCCGGCCTCCAGTTTTCTCTTCTTTGTCGAAGCCATTCTGAAAGGGTCTTTGGTCTCCAACGCCCTGCCAAACAAACGCGTCGGCCAGCAGGTGGAACGCTTTCAAATCAGGTCGTGACCACACCCGAGATACTGGCAGCTTTCAAAGCCAGACGGCCTACCCAATGCGGTACTCGAGTGACCCTAAGGCTTAGTCTTGCCCAATATCAACGGGAGTGTTTCTGGCTGCAGGTGAGTTTTAATAAGCTTTGGGTGGTGGTAAACGGACCCATCACAAACTTTAGCACCCCTGATCCCTAGCAAGCCAATCAACGCTGCCAATTCCAGCCATTTCGAGCTGGACCAGACCACTAAAACCACTATAACTCTACCCCAGTAGCACCGCATGAGCTTCGCGCCTCCTCTGATCTTATCGCAATTTTTTCCCTCAGACGCGACTCCCCAGCTCCAGCGTCCCCATCCCGAAGGCCAAAAAAAATCCAATTCCCACCGCCCCGCCGATTTCTTTCCAGTACGAAGCAGCAACAACACCGCAGTACTCGGCGACGCGTTCATTGACAGACAGCTGCCGTGTTGACCATTTGACCACTCTTGCATTGACCGCGCGTCACGCTTTCAACATTCGGTCGCCGCTGGATTTCCTCAAGATGGTGGGGCCTCGTGCACCTATCGGTTCACTGGCGAACCACCTGTCCAGCATCTCGGAATGGATCCCAGGTCGTGGATCTTCGAGGGCCAAGCAGACTCCGACCTTCAAGTCTAAGGAACTGGTCGAGGAAAGCGAGGACGAAAGCAGCGGGAGCAGCTCAGATAACTCGGACAGCGATGGGTCCGACGGCGAGGGCACGCAGGCCTTTCTAGACAAGATCAACAAGTCCAAGTCAGCCGCCTCCAAAACAAATGGAATGAAGCACGAGCCGAAAGCATCACCTGCGGCAGGGGCCGCCAAGGGAGGGGCCGTCAAACCCGCGCCGAAGAAGGATGCCAGTGCAGCAGTCAAGGGAAAGCAAGTCCAGCAGCCCTCAACTTCAACATCAGAAACGTCGTCCGAAGACGAAAGCTCTTCTGCGTCGGCCAAGAAGCCGAACGGCGTTGCAAAGAAGCAAGGCAAGGCCTCCGACACCAGTCCATCCTCCTCTGAGGAAAGCGAGAGCGATTCAGAGCAGGGCGCGAGCGTCACTCGTCAACTGAAGGCCGACTCTACCTCCGACGCGAGCAGTACTAGCGACAGTGACGGCGATGATGAGTCGACCGACGGTGAGGTCGAGAAGAAGCTGGCTACCAAGGCCAAGAAGGCGTCGAAACGCAGTCCCTCTCCAGTCAAGCGGACAAAAGCTGCTGCCGCACCCACCCAGTCAGAATCGTCATCAAGCAGCGAGAGTGAGAGTGAAGAGTCCGACTCCGAGGCAGAGGGCTCGAAAGCGGTGGGCAAGGCTGTCTCGACTTCCTCAGAAGACTCATCATCCGACGAGGAAATGGCCGACGAGGCTCTCGAAGTAGTCAAGCAAACCAAGGGCACCTCGCAGCTTGCCAAGCGGTACGTGCAATTGTACTTGTGTATATACATCATCTTACTGACTCAAAGACCACACAGATCGGAAGTCCCGGAATTCATTGCCCCCGATTTCCACCTCAGGAAAGCAGAGAGCGGAACCGATGCCTCGGATGTTGCGCGTATATTCAACCAAGCCAAGCTGGAAGGCAAGCAGGTCTGGTATTTCACAGTGCCCGCATCGGTCCCCATCAGCGTGGTAGAGCAGATGGATATTCCGACAGAGAAGGCGCAGAAGGGGCTTCCCATTCTGTCACACAACAACGACGAATACGGCCTGAACTTTGAAGACGCTCTTACCTCCAGATCTATCAAGCTGCTCATCCCGAACAAGGCTGGTGATAAATATTCAATGCGTAAGTTCGGCCCATATCAATCAGAAGATGCATAGCAAGCTGACTTGAGCCTTGAAGTTGATCGCGGCGTTGATCAAACTATTCACCTTAAACGGGTGACGCAGCTATCCCAGGATAGCCAGCCCGTAGCCAGTGGCCCGCGTCCAATTTTGGCTCCCCCGAAGCCTCCTCGGCCCCAGCCCAAGAATTTGCAGGCCCGCTTCCAGCCGATCGGCGTGACTGAAGCGATGGGCAACATTGGCTCATCGTCTCGAGCTGGGTCCGACGTAGAGATGGAAGATGCTGGATCCAAGGCGGCCGAGACACCGAAGTCCTCCAAGAAGTCCAGGAAACGCAAGCTGACTGCTGAGGAGGATGCCGAGGCCACGCCCAGCGCGTCGGCGACTGACAAGCAGCCCAAGAAGGCCAAGACGGCCGGCGCTACGCCCTCGTCCTCGCAGGCGGCGAAGATGACGCCGATCCTGCCGCCGGCACCGCCGAGCTCGGCCAAGGCTCCTGCTTCGTCCCAGCCGGCGTCTTCCTCAACGAAGAAGCAGAAGAAGGTCAAGGCTGCGGCGCCGAGCGCATCGCAGCCGGTCCCGCAGACCAACGTGCCCGTGCCCGAAGTCAGCAAGTCTGCTTCGCAAGGAGATGCCCCGCAGCAGACGCCCTCGAAGAAGGGCAACAAGGAGAAGAAGAAGAAGGTCCAGAAGGAGGCGGATGCCGTGTCTACGCCCGCCAGTGCGCCTTCCCAGGTCAGAAAGGAGACCCCCGTGCCTCTCCCGCCTCATCTCAAGCTTTAGAAACAGCACCAGGTGATTAAGCAGGAGAGAGGTTGGTAGTGGGATGTTTTCCAAAACCGGGGGGAGGGGTGGGTTGTGGCCAAGGGCGATGACCGATGATACCCAATGCGATCTCGCCAACGGGGTCCGTGGCGAGCATTTCATATGCAGACAAGCGGGAAGGGGGGACCTTCCGCAATGTGTACGGCCGTCTAGCCGTGCGATTTTTTGTAGCCGGGCGTTTGAGTTTTCAAAGGGGGCAGTGGTGAAAATGGCCTTTGCTGTTTATGTACACAGGATACTTTTGATCTTCGTCAACGATTAATACAGTCTTGAGTTCCCGGAGGAAGCTCGGGCAAGGGAAGGTATGAACCGGTTGGGCGATTGCGATGACCCCTTTGATGATACTCCGAATACTATGCAAATAAGTTAAAACTCGTTCGAATTACGAGGGCATACTATGTCTCATTGCTCCGCGAGCTGCCTGACTCGCAGGTACATACATGCACATACCCATCCATCCCCATCCCCACCACACAACCGACCACCCCCATAGGCGGCAATGTCCGCGATACTTTGGCCGGCATTGACTTTGAAGCCCGGCAGGCAGTCAAACCTTATGTTGGGAGTATCGAGTCCCTACCAACTCACTCACTAGCGTGCTTTCTTCAGCTTAGTCTGCAGTTATGGATCAGATGTTAAGACGTACACCAAGTTCATGAGGCACACACGGGCACAAGTGATCGTGTTGTTTGTGTATCTTGTTTCTTTATTCAATATTATCGATTACGGCTCCTCTCTGAGAGGAAGCTCATATTCATCCACTGACTCGTCTTTCTTTCCTCAATCCTCCTCTCTTTCATCTCGTGGGTGGGGGGAAGGGAAAAGCATGCCCGTCTTGAAAGACGAGAGCCTCCATCCCCGTGTGTCCGTTTCTCACAACGAGTGTGTTGGTACAAGAATATTCCATCTCATACATCATAGCAACGCCCAGCTTGTCCATAAGCTGCTGCTTGCTGCTGCTGCTGCTGTCGGTGTATTTCAACTAATTGGGGGGGTATAAGCGATAGGACCGGCCTTGTTCCTGTGGGCGCGCGAGCGCCATGTCTAAAGACCTTGACAAAAAAAAAAAAAAAGTAATAAGAATCAGAGAAGAAGAGATTCCACAACCACAAACACCCCGTCATCGCGGAGGAGGGGTGTGGTTTCCCGCTCGTACGCCGGATAAAAAAGCCCTAGCAAAATGCTCCAGTATTGTGCTTGTGCTGTGTGTGTTTGTATTGTGTTTGAGCTCGTCGTCAATGGGAACCAAACGCCCTACAAGATGCAAAAGAATCTCAAAAAGTAGGTTATTGTTGAATGTATTTGGTATGAATTCGTCGTCAAGTTCCGGCGGATGGCGGAAAGACTCGGGAAGATGGTCGTAAACGGAGGGGGGAGGGCATGGTGGAATCTCCATATTAGCAATTAGATGTAGATCTCGAGATGATCGTATTAAAAGGGGGGTGGATATTCCGAGTCGTCCGGGTCGTTCGAAGCGCCAAAGTGATGGCGAGTAGGCTAGAGCTGTAGGCGAAGCGATCACCTCACAACGACGACTTCGCTCAGCTCGCTCTCCCGTCCGACACCCTGGCCGTCCCAGAAGTTGCCCTGAGGCGTCATACCGACCACGGTGTGGCTGAACCCGTCGTCTGACAGCGCTGGGCTCACGGGGCTGCTAGCAGAGCCAGAAGCGCTCGCGCTCGAGGAAGCAAAGCTAGAGCTGCTGCCAATGGTCCACTCGTCGCTGTCGCCAGTGCTCCTCCGCTGCAGCAGGCTGAGGTCGTAGTCTTCGTTGTCCTTGAATCCGCGGCTGTAGCTGTAGAAGCCGAGCTCCTCGTCGGGGATGTAGTTCTTCTCGCCGACCTCGACGTATTCGTACTCCCAGCGGTTCCTCTTGTCGAGCTGGCGGCGCGGCAAGAAGTTCTGACGGGCGACGTAGTAGAAGATACCGGCACAGAGACCGCCGGCGACCAGGTCGACGGCATAGTGGTGGTTCAGATACATGGTGGCCCACAGGATCCAGCCAACGTAGGTGATGAAGAGGGCGCGGAACCGCGGGAAGCAGTAGCTCAGAAACAGGGCTTCGAGGATGGCATCGGCGGCGTGCAAGCTGGGGAAGGCACCAAAGGGCACGGGAGCAGTGGTGAAGCTGGTAGTATACATGTCGACGCCAAAGATGGCATCGATGCGGGCGAGGCCGGCAGGTGAGCCCTCCATGCCGTAATGGGCGGGCTGGAGACCGTTGGCCTTCTCGTACCACGGCGGGGTACAGGGAAAGATGAGCTGGATCGTGACACCGAGCAAGGAGAGGTAGCCGAATGCCCGCGCAAAGACCGGTGTCGTGCCGGGAGCAGCGAAGAGGAAGAGGGCGACTGCAGTGAAGGCCGGGCCAGCAAAATGACCCAGACCGTAGGGGATCCAGGCCAGGACGTCGAGCACAGCGTAGGTGTGCTCCGACAAGATGTTGGACAGGTTGGCACCGTACAAGACGTTCTCGAGGGCTGGGAGGACCTTGACCCAGATGTGCGGTCGGTACTCGGTGGGAATAAACCTAGGCCAGTTAGCAAGATCCGCGATTTGGAGAATATTCGTTCGGTGCAGATGCACCGGAACAGCCGGGATTCTCTTACCTGCTGCAGAAGAAGTAGAGGAGGTACATCCAAATCGGCAAGCTGGGCAGGAAGAACTGCCTCGTGGCGGGCATCAGCACGAGCAGGGTGTAGACTGCAACGGAGCCCATCTTAATCAGGGTGGGTATCGGGGCGATCCAGAAGGAGAAGACCAGAGCGACAAGCAGCACGACATATTGCAGATCGTAAACGTTCCATCTATGCCTCTGCAGGGCTCGCAGACCATCCGCGGGGTTGAAAGAAGTCTTCAGGGCGGCGACGTGATCGGGACGCGCTGGCGTACTGGACGCTCCCGACTTTTGACGAGGCCGCCTCCGGCTAGGCCGGAGCGACTGTGGAATTGGGTTGAAGCGCGCCAGGGACAGCGTCCCGTGCCAGAAATGAAAGGGCATCTTGAGCTTCGTTTGCGAGAGAGGATCCTGGACCATGTTGCGGTGGTATTTCGAGGAGAGCAAGAGTGAGGTGGCGGGCGAGAATCAGCGAACTGCGCCGACTCGTGAGCAGAGTGGGCGAGCTGCCTGTTGCGGTGTCGAGTGACGGGCGAGAGAGAGAGAAGAGATAGACCGGGAGTGTTATATCATGCGCATGATCGATAGCAATCTGTCGTCTGTGAGAGGATTCGAGAAGCGTGAAAATACCAGGTAAACCAACGTCATGTAACGGCGAGCCGAGAGAGGAAGGGGGAAGCAAAATAAGCTCTCGCGCGGGTGGGAGGCGGCGGGATTGAGGTTGATATATCAGACTATTCAGGACCCTGTAAGAATGGCTGGAGCCTGTTGTGAGGGAGCGAGAGCGAACAGGCGGCTGGCGGGCGGTGGGCAGTGCGGCGAGGGCGAGGGCGACTGACTAGCGCTCGGTTTTTTCGCATTGCATGGGTTGCCCGGAGAGAAAGAAAGGCGGGTCATCGATCGGGCACCACAGGGTGGGTTCCTTCGCTCCCAGGCTTGCCAGGGTCTGGCTGGGCTGGTGAGCGGGCTGAGCGGGCCTGCCACACTGGCTTCAGGGAATCGCCCCCATCTCATTTTAGGGCTCATATCATCCTGGATGTACCTAAGATTCCCTTCTTGGGGGGGGGGGGGAACCCAGGAGGGATTCGCCAAAACCATGAAACGGTCTAACCGCCAGCCCTGTCAGGAGGAGTGAGGGAGTGAGTGAGATTGCGCCGTTATCCGACCATCCGCGGGTTTGGTCAGTTGGGTCAGTTACTTGTACTTGCTCAGTCAAAGCACTCAGTCAATCAATCGATCCTCCGTGCATCCTGCGCATCGGACTGCCCCCCCTGAACCTACAGGTCAAGAGAGCACGACGATGCAAGCAGCCAGGCCGCCCCAAAGACGGACGGTCACTCTGCGTGCTGCGTGAAATTGGTCAGTTACACAGAAGGAGGGCATGTCAGCTGTTTGGGCCAAAGCGCATGCTGGGGATTTTCACATGGAACCAGCACAGCTTGCGAACCAGAAACCAACCAGCGACAGGCCGGCCTGGAAGCTTAGGGTTTGTCGAGTCGCCCGAGAGTCGCGAAGACGGGTACCGGTACATGAATCGCTGGACATGCGACAGCGACAGCGCGCGCTCTCAATCGTGGGGATGCCAAGTCGGTGGGGCTCGCCTTGGCTACCTTAGGTACATCGACGAGGTATTTGGGCAACTTGTCGTGCTTGCAAGACGCGCCTCTCTGTCTCGCCGTCAGCAGGCAACCCCCCTGCTCAGCAAGCTCCCTGGACGGACAGGGCCTTTTTTTTTTTTACCCTTTCGCTTTTTCAGCGCTACCAGTAAACGAGTCGCAATTCTGCATTGCAAGGATGACACATCCGTGCTATCCGTGCCAAGCTGACTGCTTACACGCGACTCATTTCAATCTCCCATCGCATCGTCTTTTGCTCGCTTTTGTTGGTCGCATTTCGTATTACCTATGTAGGCACGGCGCAGGGCACAGAATGGACAGCAAAGCAAGAAGCGAGGCCTCTTGCATTCCAGTGGCGCTTATGTTTTCCCTCTGCCGTGCTTCAGGTACTTGACGGAGTACGATCATGATTGCTTTTCCTCCGCCGCACAGAGCGCATCTTCTTCAAAACATGAACAACTGCCCTAAGTCTTAGCTGCGGAAGCGTCGGCACCAATCAAATCGAGGCATGCAGGGATGCCGCCGCCGACACCACATGAGAACATCGCGAAACAGCAAAGGAATGGGAAATGGTGGCCTCCCTAGGGACCGAGTGCACAAATCTGCTTTTGCCATTTCTCCCCAATGATGACGACCTACCAAAGAGTCTGGTCGAAATCGCAAGTGCTTTTGAGTTCTGCCAAATTTTAGCCTCACCAGAGCTGGGGACTGTCATCATCATCAAATTACATGGGACGACGACTCGTATACGTAATCAGTCTGCTTGTTACCTAGGCCAACACAACTAGCGCGGCGGCGGTGGTGGGCTAGGGTGCAGTGGTCGTCACAGATCACACAGCAAACATGGCGTTTGTCGAGATGGCCAGTGCCGACCAGCATCGACTAATGCATGCGGCAGACAACTTACAACGTCAGCGCTGAGCATGTGCTCCATCTGCTAGCCCCCTGCTTTGCGTCACGGCGTCACGGTAGATTCCTCTCCAAAGCTTGCCTCTTTGCTTGTGCCAAGGACCAGCTCGCCAGCCAGGCGTTGGAGCCTCAATTCCCTACCTGGCGCACCTACTCCGTATAAGGAGCAAAGATGAATGGAAGAGAGCCTCTGATGCGGCCGGGACAGAGTGATGCCAATCAAACCAGCCGGTCCTAGAACGTACGATTGATGCCACCCGTTCGGACTTTGGACAGACTTCGTGCTGGTTCAATACAGGGTAGGGTAGGCCTGGCGCATATCTATCACTCTGCCCGACATCACCTCATCAGAATCTGGAGGATTGACACACCGGTCGCTTGATGAACGCAGGGGTCCCTGCTATGGTCTGGAGGGAGGGGACGGACAGCACCTTGTATGGGGAAAAACCAATGAAGGATGGCAGGTACCGATACACCTCGCAACAAAACCAGAGGACGGACTCTGACCCAAACGATAAGCTCACCACGCTTTGATGTTTCGAATCGGCCAAAGGGTCTTGCCCACGTTTTCCTTCCCGCGCTCCTCGTTTCACCGGGCCCTCTCCATCAGTCGGGACCTCCAGACGAGAGTTCAGATAATTATTCTAACGACCAAAGCTCGCCGCTCTGGAGTCGAAGCTACCTCTCGGTGTCTGGTCGATGCTCTCTCTCTACCTAGTGTGATGTTCGGATGTCACGGAAACACCGATGGCCGCTCTTGATGCACCTGTCAGTCCACATTCCAGTGACGGGGTCCTCTCGACCTCGCTAGAGAGGAGTCGGCGCCAAAACAACGCCGGTCATATCATCGTTCGTGCGGTATGCAACCACTTCCGAAAAGAACTTTGCTCAGCTACGTTCGCCAAGACGCTTTGCACCCTATCTGGTCCATCCTCATAGAGTACGATAGTTATAAGCTTATTGCTCTTAAGCTGCTGGCATCACAAGGCATCATGCGCTGCTGCCAGCACACCGTCTTCTTCATGCTTGCGACTCTAGGGCAAGTCAAGTGACCTCTCATGTGCAGATCATGCAGGAAGCTAGGACCTCAAGCACACCAACACACAACACGCACTTGTACATTAGCGACAAGCGGCGGTGAGTGATTTGCATGATGGTTTATGCCGGCACATGCGGATGGGCTTGGGCTAAGCACCCGCCGAGTGCACTACCTTGGACTGACTGCCATGTGAGGCTCTACGGGCCACTCCGGACTAGTTAGACGAGAAGCTATCGAGAGAAGAAGAAAAAATCCATCTCTTCCTACCTACCCGCCATCCATGATACTCCGTACAACCAAGAGTGGATTGTGGAAATCCAGAGACCGACTCCACTCACGAAATTGGCTGGCACGGCAGCATGGATGTCACGGTCCAGGCCGGTCGTTGATCTTTGGTCCCATTGGGAAAACTGTCACGCCTGTCAGGACGAGCAAAAGAGATTATGAACCAAACCCCGGCAAGGCGCTCCGCTCCCTCTTGGCGACCAACCTTTGGAAGCCTTCGGCCGCCAAAACCTCGCGATGGGCGCCGCCCTCAACGGCTGACATCCCCTGCCAAGGAGAAGTTCGGTGTGTATGGAGTAAACTACTTGGACAAGTAGGTACCTCTTTTCTTCCTTTTTGACTAGTCCAGTCCCATTTTCGTGGTCTCGCGTTCCTGGATCTGTCAATTGACCGGGAGCTTTGCCGTGCCGAGGAGGAACATGACCCACTCAGTTGGGCAAACTTTTTCTTTTTTTTTCTCTTTCTTCTTCTCGGCGGGAAGCAATTACCTAGCAATTGGAGCCCGCAAAGGAGCCGGGACGCTGTTCCTCTGTTTTCCGAGCTAGGTTAGGTAATTACCGTCATTGTCCACACTACGAACCCCCTTCTGGACCAGGGGAAAAAAAAAAAGAGCGGGCTTTGCTCCATTAACTACGGGGGTCGCGTGCTCGACGCGAAAGCCCGATCCTTTGAGTCCGAGTCCGAGGCCAAGAGCCCGAATCAAAAGTCCACGGGCCCGCGGTCGCCTCACGTAGGAGGAGCCTGACAAGGGCTCCTTTTCCCTCACCCGGCCCGAGGGTTCTCTACGGAAAGCCCCGAGACTGGTGTGAAAAAAGCCTTTGCAATGTCCGGCTCGAATTACTCCATGGCATTGCGTCCCCGAGACTCCCGCAGAGCTAAGAGGATACCAGGCAGGGTGTGCATCGAACCAAGCCTTGCACCCCAGAACCTGGCCGTTTGGCCAAACCTGCACTCACCTCCGGCCCTATTGTAAGGGTCCAGGTACGTACCGCCTTCATCTTTATATGTAGCTGGTATGTCGGGTGCAAATGGAATGGAATAGAGAGCTGTTCGATACTCTAGATAGGAGATGCTTAAACGCAGACAAAACGGCAACTTGCTTCTATGGCCTCACAGCCCATCCCACAGCCGGACCTAACTAGTGACATAACATCTTTCTTGGCGGTCTTATCTGTAGTCGCTTCGCTCTTACACAGCCTGCCGCGAGAATTGCCTCTTTCGGACATATCTGACTACACTACTGATGAGCAAGGCCGCCAGATTGCCATAGGCTGTGTTCAGTCAGCAGGGTTGAAAGATCTGGAAACTGAAAATAGAAGTATTAGAACCGGCAGCAGATCTTCCCCCCACGTTAGCTTCTCAATCTTGTCTGTCTTGCAGCGGCTGCGGCAACCACTTCGACCCAGTGTGCTAGGCAGACGCAGATCAGGTGCAGGCCAGATAATTGATCGTCAAAATGACAAGTATAGATTGACAAGCCTATGTACTTACACCCCGAGCGGAATTCTCGAGCCCTTTTCACGGCCCCATCTTCTGTGGTATCTATATTAATAACACCTTGCATATTATCATGTATCGCGATGCGAGGCAAAGTGCGAGCGTTGATACCTATCGACGACTTGCTGTGCCGCCTGATCAATTTCTCTGGATGGTAGAGATATCTCTTTGTCTCGGCCTCACGTACTCAATTGCCAATACGTGCCAAGTTCTGCCCAGGTGACAACACCGACTTACCCGCGACGAGACAACAGGCCAGGAGAAGACAGAGACACCGGAAGGTCAAGTATCTGTGTGTTGAAGTATGCTCTCATTACTTTTTCTGTTCAGTCATGCTCCCAAGGTATTTGTCGTGTCCCATGTATGCGTCTGTCCTTATATACAGCCAGAGGAAAACATCCTAAACAAATCTAGTGAAAAAAAGGGGGGGGGGGACGGGTGTCTCCTTGTGCGGCAACGTAAGAAACGCATCCAAGTAGAAACGTAGTAGTAGAACTTCGAGACCAGTCGAAAATCTGCTGAAAAGTATTCGAAAAAACAGCAACAACAGGGTTACGGAGAGATGAGGCTTGTACTCGCTTTCCCCCCAACCTCGCTTCCTTTTTTCGCCCCAAGGATTGTGCAAATTGTGGTATCATAGTCATCAGCTCCCCACAGCGCAGCATCAACATCCTTCTCCTCGTCGTCGTACAGATGCCAACCCGCTGTGCCATCATGGAGTTGTCGCAGAAACAGCTTTTTTAAAACGCCACCGGTTCACCACTAGTGCCGGCTGCCCACACCGTTCCACAGACCCTTGGAAGTCTCAACGACCTTGTTCACCTCCATGCCCGGCCGGAGAGACGCCGGGATGTTGGAGCGTAGAGGCGGCGCGTCACCCATAGTGACGTCCCCGCTGTTGTCCCTCTCCGCCTGTGTGCCATACCCGGAATCCTTGTCCTGACTGCTGCTGCCGCCCATCGACACGCCGCTGTCGTCCTTGCGGCCACCAGAGGCCGAATTTGCCGATGCTGCGGCGGCGGCGGCGGCAGGGCCCTTCTCGCGAGAGGGTTCCTTGGAGCGCGCGCCGTCCATCAAGCCGAGCTGTCCCTCACGGAGCTTGTTGATGGCACGAACCGTGTCGATAGCGGCGTGCAGCGTACGCCGGGCGTTGAAGTTCTTCTTGACCGTCGGCAGCAGGTTCGCGCCCTTCTCTCCGCCCTCGCGGGCGAAGCCGGCGACGAACGGGTGCTGCAGGGCTTCGTGGGCGGTCATGCGCTTGGCGGGGTCGATGGTCAGACACCGCCTTATGAACTCCTTGGCGTGGTCCGAGACGCCGCGCCAGTACTCGATCGGGTTGAACGAGTAGTCGGCCTTGAGGATGGCCTGCATCTCTTCAAAGTCGCTGTCGCGGTCGAAGGGGGTGTAGCCGCAGAGCAGGAAGTAGGTGATGACGCCCAGGGCCCAGATATCGACGGGCTTGCCGTGGCCCGACCGCTTGAAGATCTCCGGGGCCATGTACCCCGGCGTACCGCACGTAGTGGTAAGCACGTGGAACTGCTCCTCGTCCATGATGCGCGACAGTCCAAAGTCGGCAATCAGGAGATCAGCGTTGTCTTCTGGGGTCCGGAAAAGGAGGTTTTCGGGCTTGAGGTCGCGGTGCACGATGCCATGGTCGTGCAGGTACGCTACAGCCGAGAGAGTAGCACGCACAAGGTCGGCAGCGTCCGATTCGAAGTAGGAGCCTTTCCTGCAGATGCGATCGAAGAGCTCGCCGCCAAGTGCAAGGTCTGTCACAAGGTAGAGGTTGTTCATCGTCTCGAAGTAGTCGACAAGGGTGAGGATGTTCTGGTGGCCCATTGAGACCTTCTTGAGGACGGCGATCTCATTCCTGACCTGCGGGAAGGTAGACATCATGTTAGCTGACAGTCTCTTTGGCAAAAGAGCTCGCCAGGCCAGCCAAAGCCATGGGCTGTCCAAAAGTCGGGGAGGCCATGCTTACCATGTGCTCGCGTCCCGCCATGAGTCTTTTGTTAATGACTTTGGCGGCGTAGTACCGGCCAGTATCAATGTGAACACATTCCTTGACCACCGAGTATGAGCCGGCGCCCAAGGTCTTGCCCACCTTGTAGCGACATGGCTGGATCTGCGGATTGGCCTTATCGGCTGGTTGTGTCGCAGTCATCCTGAGCAGTTGAAAGGGGCAAGTGCTCAAAAGACCTCTTCGCTGGTGTTCTTGCTTGCCGCCTGGTAGCCCGCTGTGAGCACTTGGTGAAAGGGAAGACTGTGTACTGAAGTGTGCGCGCTCTTGGGCAGGGTCGGGCAATCGATTCACGGTCCCCCGAAGTGTTGGTTGGGAGTTTGGTTGGTTTTGGGATGCGACAATGACGCCAAGCAAGTGGGGATGGTCGAGATAGAGTGACACGAAGCCCAAAGGGCGGGGTGGTGGATGGTGGATGGCAATAAAGTGATAAGCTGTCTGTCCTAGATGGGATTAGGCAACGAGCTGCTCTTGTTTGTCCTAGCGGCGTCCTTGAGCTCTTGAGGGAACGGGACTGAATATTGTTGATGATACAGAGGTGCAAAAGGGCATCCTGGGAGGTCAAGAGGCGTCCCAAGTGGGCGTCAGAATAGTCGGCAGAAGTTCATCAGGAGCTACCTCAATCTTAACAATCAATTTCCTTGTCACATCCTTGCCCTGGAACTCAGAAGGGCTATCCCACCTAAGTCCGATGGGCTTGATGGATAGCCAAGTACTTCTGTTAGCAGTCCGTCAGCTAATCTGACCATCACTTGGCGTCCTGGGTAGCATTCAGGGTCCGTGTTTCTCAGCCAGGGTCAGAATTTGGCCAGACCCTTGAAGGCTTGGTGGAAAGTTGACACGAGTATGAATGTCCCATCTGATTCCACTTCCCTAACTTTGTTGGAGTGCCATGGATCAGCTTGATTCCAGCTTGGCATCAAAGCTGCTGCTTTGACCCATTTGAGAGTGACTCACTACCATTGCAAATTCACATTTCACCTACAAACAAGTAGCCAGTGATTCACTAGCAGAGACGTGAGTTGCCAAGCTAGTCTATTCTATTTAAAACTTTTTCTTTTCTAACTAATTGTCTTGCATCGTCCGTCACGAGCAACTCCTTACAACAGCTCCACCAAGGCGGGTCTAAGCTGAGGCCTTCATGATCATCGATCTATCAACCCCATCCATCCATTAACCCCATACCATCATCCCATCCATCCACCTCAACATGCCCAACAACTCGCCGCGGCCAGACTCACCACCGCAGCCAGACTCACCACCGCAGCCAAACTTCGCTCGGATCAGTAGTGCCCTCACGGATCTCAGCCAAGAGCTTCCTCATATTGCCAATCTTCCTTCACAGCAGCGCCTTCTTGAGCAAATCCTCAAGGAGCTTACAGCTATCAAGGACGACGTTGCAGGTATCAAGGGCGAGGTTACAACTATCAACAATCGCCTTGCTCACACCCAGAACGACATTCTAACTATTAATAATCGCCTTGCTCACACCCAGAACGACATTCTAACTATTAATAATCGCCTTCTTTACTCTGAGACAAGGGCCAAGAACGACAGGATTAGAACCACAAACGCTCACCGATTGGCTACTGACCAGGTCGACGCAAATTTGAGTCCTCTTCTTGATCTACGCACTGGGCATCCGATTGCAAACTGTCCAACGACAGTGGTCGATCTCAATGGACTGACTGGGGGAGAGGCCGGAGTGATTCTAGAGGCTCTCGACATTGAACTGCCTCAGACTGCCGCGCATAAGAAGGAGCAAGTTCGTCAGGAGCTGGTCTCATAATTGCTCTCAAACTCACACTACGTCGGGATCAAATTGATGGCTGCTTCAATGATCACCAGGCCATCAGCACCGGCATTGCTCCATTCGTTTCCGATCCCGCTCTTGGTTCGATACGTTCGCTATCAGGCACATGATGCTGCCTTTGATCCGGATGAACTTGCTGCAGCGAGACGCTGGCGCGAAACGTTCAAGATCACCAACATCCCGAGTGGCAGCACAACCTACGCACGATCAAGCGGCCCTGGCGGTCAGCATGTAAACAAGTAAGTTGGCTTTTTTTTTTCCCTTCTTTTTTCCCTTCTTTTTTCCCTTTCTTACCTTTTTTTCTTTTTTTTCTCTTTTTTCCCCTTCTCTTTTTCTTGTCTGTTCTCGGCCAGGGTCAAGGAACAGCGCGATGTACCCTGCAGGCACTGACAACTTTGAAGAACCGAAAGCAAAGCCATCACCTCGTGGTCGGTTTCTGAATTGATCGCCAATCTTCCACGTCTTCTACACGGAGCACTTCGCTCTTCGAAATACTACACTGTCCGGAATGATTCACTCTCGATACAGGCACAAACCCAGCGGACTAGGACCGCCAATGCCGAGGAGAACCGTCAGAAGTTGTTTGAAGAGCTCTGCAATATCTACAGGGACACGGTCCCCAACGAATCATCGCCAGACAAGGCCAAGAAATACGAGGCCCTGTAGGTTTTCTCCTCCACACAAGGGACTGCACAAAGCTCATTGCTGACCAGCGCTCGAATCAAGAGAAAAACGGGCCAATGAGAACCGGGTCAAGACCAAGAAGCAGCAAGCTTCGAAAAAGTCATTTAGGAAGGGCGGTGGTAGCCATGATTACTGATTCTGATGGCCGGTGGCTGTTTGCATCTTTCATTTCTTTCATTACCGAGATAGCCTTGTCAGGCAGTCTAGTTGCTAGCTGCCGTTTTCAAGCATAATAACATTCTGACAGAGGTCTGGTTTCTATTCAGCGCCCCAGTGAAATGCAAGGTAGCTTTGCACGTCCAACAATTATTATGTACCTACCTGGTACTTTAGGTAGAGGGAGCAAGTATGCAGGCCGGTTTCCTGTAAGAATTGGCTACGAAGGGGCTTGGTTCCCAGGCAAACGCAAGCAGAGGCATCTGGGCATCTCTTCTACGGATAGATTGAGTGGAGCATTCAGGTGTGTACAAGACTCGAGACTCATTCGACCGGCGGTGGGGCGAATCTACCTAGGTAGCTACTCCATCAGCCACAATCCTTAATGCTTGGTTCTTGCCTAGCCTCAGACTCGAGATTTCCTTTTCCTTACCTTTCACCTTTTCTCGAAGCCCAGGACATTTTGCGACCCATGGCCGGCCTTTCTTTGTAAACTTCCATCTGCATTAGATACAGTATTCAAGCTCTTCCGGCCCGCCATTCCGATTGTCCAGATCCTCCTCACCCTCACCCATTTTGTTCTCCTCCCCCGAGCGAGCTGGACCGGCCAGCAGCTGTGCAGATCTCTTGATATCTACCCCCCTTTCAAGTCCAGGGAGTGAAGGATCGCAAGACAAGACAACCCCATTTGCGACAACCTGCACCAAACCTCTTTCGATGGCAATTCCCTCTTCACTCTCTACATCCACCTCCATCTGTGAACAGCCATCATCAAAGACTCCCAGGACATCTCCTGTCCTTCCTGCCTGCCCCGCACTTGATGACCGAACAGACCCCGGAAATTGTGGCAGCAGCCGAGCTCAGCCCGCTGTCACCCAGGCCCCTACACACCTTCACCTCGTCACCCATCTCTGTGCCGGCACTCCAAGACCAAGCCGATAATCTGGACGTAGCATCGCTGGATAATCTTGCCTCAGCCAACCACTTGCCTATCATGGCCGCCACTCATGATGCTGATGACACTATCGTAGTGGCCGGCTCAGATGAATCTGACGCGAGCATCGCCGACGACGACAGCTTTGATGCCTATGGCGAAGACGATGACACCCAGCAGCAGGCCAACGAGCAGGGCGCTAGTAATGATGACTATGCGAACACCTTTGACTCCCCACCTGCACAAGAGGCAGATGCAGACCAAGCAGCCTCAGCTGCAGCAAACACCGCACCTGATTCCCTGAGCCTTGCTCAACCGTCTAAAACGTTGCCCAATCAAGCCTCAGCGGCCCTCACCTCTGGCGATGCATCTCCAGCAAACCCCTCCAGTGCGCAGTCGGCCACTCCCAGCCCGCCTCAGCCCACCGAAGTCGCCAAACCCACCGCCGACTCTCAGCCTGATCCTGTTTCCCGCGCAGCAAACCCAAACCTTCCCTCCCAGACAGCCCAACCAGGACCTGGGTCGGATGAGGATTCTTCAAGTGTTCCAATTGACATTGAGAAGCTGGTAGACGACCTTGCAGCCAAAGCTGCTGCTGCTCCTGCTCCAGAGCCTGCCCATTCTTCTGATGAGCCCAGTTCCGCCGTCCTCTCGCAGCCGCCGTCCTCTGCTCCAGGCCCGCCTCAGCCGTCTTCACTGCCCCCAAAGCCCACGATGACTCAAGATGCTGCCCACTTGAATGCGCTCCCCTCCAGCTTCCATCCCTCTTCCACTGGTGGAAATCCCGGCTATGGTGCATCATCTGCCTCAACGGGGACCGCTTCCCATGCTCCGTTCCACGTCTCCTCCGGCCAGACGTCTGCCCATGCCACTCCGGGTGCTCCAGGCACCTCCAACGATGCGGTGCATACCTTACCTCCTCCTCCCTCTGCCAATTTCCCTGGCACTCCGGGCTCCGCATCCTATCCCCAAGCCCAGGCGTATTCTAATCCCGCAGCCCTTCCTAGTCAAGATCCGCAACCACAAGACGGACAACAGAGCTTTGATGACTTTGTTGCCGACGAGCGGCGCTACATGGCCGAGGCCAAATGGGAACGATTCCCGGAAGGCTCTCGGATATTCATCGGTCAGTCCAAACCAATCACCCTCTCATAGGACTGGATTACTGACGCCATCTAGGCAACCTCTCCCAGGAACGAGTGTCCAAGAGAGATGTCTTTGACCTTTTTCACAAGTACGGCCGGATGGCCCAGATCTCTCTCAAATCAGCGTATGGGTTCGTGCAGTATCATTCCGTAGCCGATGCGCAACAGGCTATGGAGGCTCTGCAAGGCATTGATGTTCGCGGTCGCAAGATCCGTAAGTGTGAATCCTGACAGTGCCTAGGTTGCCCCTGCTAAAAATTTATCAGATCTGGAATACTCTCGTACACAGAAGAAGGACAAGGACCGCGACCGCGATCGAGATCGGTCGCCGGACCGTAGCAAGAATCGAGGCGCTGCTCGCGGCACCGACCGGTACGACGGCCGAGATAAACGAGGTCGGGACGACTGGCGGGCAACCAACGATAATGCTGCCCGTCGTAATAGCGAACGGTTGAGAGATTCTCGTTCCTCTGGGTACGAGTCCTTCGACCGGTCCCGAGATCGGTCCAGATCGCCAAACCGCTATGGTCGACGAGACAACGACTCGTACCGGCGTCGGAGCCCCAGTCCATATGGAAGAAGCCGCCACGAAGGCGATGGGCTCGACATTCCTCGGCGATACGGGAGCGATGTACCAGACGTTCAACTCCTTCTCACTCAAGAGGTTGAGAGGGGCTTTGTTGGTTGGGTAGAACGCGCTTTCCAAGACCGCGGTTTGAAAACCGATGCCATGTTCCTCAACCCACGTTTCCCCCGGGATACTCTCATCCAGCGCCAGGTCATCGAAGGTGTTCATGCTGTGGTCGAGCTTAATAGTCGCGCCCAGAACTTCGCCAAAATCCCGCTTCAACTCTTCGACCGGTCAGCGGGGACGCAAAACGTCCGGTTCGACATCTATCAAGATCTCGATCCGCCCATGGCCGCGGAGCTTGTTCTCAGGGCACGAGCTGGCGCTCCCTCGAACCAGCCTACCTACCCTCCGGCGCCTAATGCCTATGGTCAATCCTACGCGGCTCCGGCCCAGGCATTTGGTCAGGCGTATGCCAACCCGCAAGGCCCTCCTGCTCCCCAAGGGATGCCGGATCTGTCAGGGTTGGTTGGTCATATTGATAACGCCACCCTCCAAAAGGTTTTGGCCGCCTTGCAGACTTCACAGGCCCCTGGGTCCGGGATGTCAGTCCCGCCCCCTGCCTACTCGCCTCCTGGCCAGCAGATGGCGATGCCGGGTGCTCCTGCTACCTCGACGCCCCAGATTGACATCAATGCCTTGCTTGGAAGTATACAATCTGCCGCTGGGGGGCCTTCCCCTCCGCCAGGTGCTGGTCCCTACGGCTACCCTGGCTCCGGAGCTCCCAGCATGATGGCGCCTGCCGGGGCGGGAATGAACCCCAACGCCCCCGGAGCGGGCGCGGATTCTGCGCAAGCTGTCCAATCGATCATGGCTCAACTTGCTAAGTTCAAGTAGTGTGTTATGGGCAGGCCCGGAAAGTCTCTCGTCACTCTTTGCACCTCTTTCGTTCGTTGTCTTGATACCTTGATATTTCATACAAGTTCCCAGACCGCTTGCTCAAGGTTTGCAAGGAGAGTCATCTGTTGTTGCCGCTTGCCTCAACTCGCAGAGTTGCTGAGGCTGTGCAGAGGAAATGCTGCTTGTCCACGGTTGACATATCGCAAAGTGTACAGTATCCATGACTAGAATTCGGTAAAAAAAAGTTAAAACACAGTGGAGTGTTTTTTTTTTCATGACCACCAAGTAGCTGAATAAAGGGTTTTCTTCTTATTTAGTTTACAGGCCCAGTCCTTGCCGGAGAGATGAGCTACCTATGCGGATATGGTACAATGAGGAGGATCTTCGACATAGTCTACCAAGCCAGTACGCCAAAATGCAATTGTGTTATACAACCGGGATAGGGGAGCCAAGCACAGACGTGGGTACGGGCATCACCTCTTCTCCAGAGCGGGCCACTCCTCCGGCCGCGTCGTCAAGAGCGTATACACCCTCCGCGCCTGCTCCGCCTCGCCGCCGCCGTCGTGGGCCTCGGCCAGGCGCAGCCACGCCGCCAGGATCGCGCGCAGCTCCGCCTCGTCGCAGCCCAGCACGTCGACGCCGCGGTCCGCGCAGGCGAGCCGCACCTCGTCGGCCTCGAGCGCCGGGGCGCCGCCGCCCTGCCGCAGGAGCGCGTCGTCGACGAGCAGGCGCGCCACCCTCTTGTCGGCGCGGGCGCGGGCCAGCCCCGAGGGCGCGAAGCCTATCCTGTCCCAGAGCGGCGAGACGAGGTTCAGGCTCTTGGAGACGTGGACCTGCTGCGCGGGCGTCGGCGGCGCCGCGGCTGCTGCTGCTGCTGCTGCTGCTGTCTCGTCGGAGGACGAGCTGTTGGCTTCGGCTATGCCGAGGGCCTCGTAGGACGCGCGGCGGCGCTCCTCGGCCAGGCGCTGCAGCTTGGCGACCTGCTTGGGGATGCGGCAGGTGTAGGGCACGGCGTGGGGCAGGGCCAGGACGACGAGGGGCGTGAACTCGCCGCAGAGGAGGAACATGACGGCGAAGACGGGCAGGCGGCGCATGTCGTGCGCCCAGCGCTCGCGCAGGAGCAGGGCGGAGCGCGTGCCGCCGGCGAGGAGGACGGGGGTCGTCGTCGCGGTGTCGGAGCCCGGCTTCGCGCCCGGGCTCGAGTCCGTGGGCGAGGAGGAGGAGGCGCTACCCGCGCCGCCGGAGCGCAGGGCGTAGACGAGCTTCGTGTTGACGTAGAGGTACTTGAGGCCGGTCTTGTAGAACTTGAGGTAGGCCTTGCCCGTGGCGAGGAGGTGGTTGAAGGTCGCCGTGTCGGGGAGGCGCTCCGGCAGGACGAGGGGCGGGGGCCGGGTCGTGGCGGGCGGGTTGACGGCCGCGGGGGAGAGCACGGGCGCCGTCGGCTCTAGCAGTGGGGAGGTCGAGGAGGAAGAGGAGGCGAGCCGGACTTGGGCATGTTGGAGGAGGTAGTGGCGGTTGGAGAGGATGGGGCACTGCTCGCGTGCCGGCAGCAGCGCGGGAGCCCGTCGACTGAGGCCGTTACATTGGAGAGAGGAGAGGGATGCGCGCAGGGCGCGGGGTGGGAATGCAGCGGTCATCGCATTGTTTCTGCTCGGATAGCTGGGAAAAGATGGAGGGATGTTGTCGCAGCGCAGGGAAGAGAGCGATGGCCGTTAGGTGATTCACAAAGAATTGGAAAATTTCAGCCTCACTTACAGGGACTAATCCATTACGTCAACCACTGAGAGCTACTGGGTCGTTCGCTAAAGCTCACTAATAGGCCGCCTAGAATGGGGGGGTGATTGGCCTGGGCACTCCAACAAAGTTGGGGAAGTGGAACCAGATGGGACATGGATAAAGCACTCGTGTGGCCTTTCCACCAAGCCATGGATGTCTGTCCCTGGATCCTGACCCGGGCGGACACGTTCACTAAAATGGCGCGGCCCAATCACGGCCGAGACCAATGCCATGAGCTTCAATTCAAGGCCCCGGGAGTGGTTGTGACAGGCGGATCGTAACGCGCCCGTCTCTCCAGCTGTCCCGATGGCCCGCTGGATAATTCAATAGTTGACACAAAATTGTCTAGTTCAGGGGTCGAAAAAGATCTGCTTTTGATCTCCAACGCAAGGTTCCAGCCGTGCGTCTGTCGTGCAATCATATATCTGGGCACTCACTTGCTCTCCTTCCTGTTTTGTACATTACTTTGTCAAGACCTAGCAAGGTGGCCAAGTCGCAGGACGACTGACTGAAACTCCAGGTTGTGACCCCACTCCGGCACGCCCTCAGTCTCAGTTTTCCGTCCATACGTGAGCTCATTGATGGCCGGAGCTCCGAACCTCCATTCCAAGCTGAGGACCGAAGCAGTCTGAGCGAGCAAGAGGGCGACGGCGACGATGGCATGGCCATATGAGTTTCTCGACCTGACAAAGGACGAGAAGCATGCAAGACGCTTGGCCTTGGACAGATATGCATCTTTGGCACAGCTCCTGGTCTTTGCACCCACGTTCGTAGCTCTGCTGGCGAGGCTCTGCGTGTGGGCTGTCGCAAGAGCCAAGACCACCAAGGGCGACTACAATGCCATTCCGGCCTCTCCGTCGCTCAAGCTCAAACGGACGAGCATCCGGGGAGGATGGGCCGCGACTGCGAGGAAGTTCAAGTGGTGGCTGCAAGACGACATCGTCTTCCGCGGCCAGAACTGGGGCCAGCGGGATCAATGGATATTTGGGATCCTCTGGGCTGCCGTGTTACTCGTGCTATGCGTCGTCGGCACCGGTAGAGGTAAGGCAGCCTCGCAACGCTTCGAGTCTAAGGATTGCAGACAGACACTGACACTGCCCTTGTCCAGACTACCTGCATCTCACCAAGCGTTTCGGTATCATTGCGGCCTCTCAGATGCCACTGCAATATCTCCTGGCGCTCAAGTTCCTGAACCCTTTTGCCTTCGTTCTCCGCTCGTCTCATGAGCAGGTTAACAGATGGCACAGGGTGTTGGGACGCATCATTTACGGTCTTCTCTGCCTCCACGCGATGTTCTATCTCAACTACTTTTACCACCACAGCATCACCAAGAAGCGCCTTATCGCTCCTATCGTTGCTGCTGGAGTAGCAGGTTTTATCGGCTTGACTCTGTTGAGCTCTACATCGCTGTCCTTCATACGGCGTTACTCGTACCGGGTCTTTTTCATCACCCATCTGGTCGTCGCAGTCCTGATGCCACCCATGATTATCTTGCACGCCAGACCGTCCAATCTCTACATGGCGGAGGCTCTCATCGTTTTTGTCTTCGATCTGGCGGCGCGAAAGACGAGCACCATCGCTTCTGATGCGACCGTCGAATCGATTCCAGGTACCAATTTGGTCAAGATCTCGGCAGCCATTCCCTACAACAGGATCAACAGCTTTCGAGAGCACCCCGGATCACATATCTATCTCAGCATACCCGCGGCTGCGCGTCCGTCGTCGAACCCTGCTTCCATCAACTACCTTCTTTTCGAGTTCCTCTTCAACCCATTCACGGTCGCCGCCGTCGACGAGACCACGGGCGACCTCACCCTTGTGGCCCGTCATCGGACTGGGCCGCTGACTGCCGCCTTGGCACGCTTTGCCCATGGCAACAGTGGAGGCAATGCGAGCGCACCAATCGAAAAGACCAAGATGCCTCTGGCCATCGAGGGCCCTTATGGCGCAGTCACCCACTTCCCCATCCTTTCCGGCGGCCATTTTGACCGCGTGCTCCTCGTGGCTGGTGGCATCGGCGCGACGTTCACGGTGCCCATATACCGCGCGCTCCGGCAGGACAGCCCCCAAACGAAGGTGGACCTGGTATGGGCCGTCCGAAGCGCAGGAGATGCAACGTGGGCGCTGGCCGGACAGGAGGACGGCAGGGCTATTCTCAACGACAAGAGCATTCACATCTACCTGACGGGCGATATTGTCGATGCTGTCCCGGCAGCTCCTGCCTCGACGGGAGGCTCTTCGTCAGTTCCTGGTGACGGGGACGCGGTCGAGATGAACACTTTGCAACATGACCACAGGAGAAACCGCTTGACTGCCAACGCCAATAATAGGAGAAGACCGGACCTGAAGAAGATTATAGACGACACGTTTAAACACGGGCTCGAAGAGCGGGTTGCCATATTGGTCTGTGGGCCGGAGGCCATGGGCCGCGAGTTGCGGCAATATGTCGGGCCATGGGTTATGAAGGGCCGTTCTATATGGTGGCATAACGAGAGTTTTGACTGGTAGATGTGAGAGAGTTCTCAATTTGGATATGTGAGCGCCTTTTCTCAACGATAGAGTCTTCTTTCTTAAAAAGCGACTGCAGTGGGAGATGATTGGAGGCTTCTTAGCTTTTTCGATATGATTCAATATGATAGCACTGCTGATCTACGAACATTGGGTAAAACCAGCTTATACGGACCCATGCAAATTAAGATGACAGACCCAAAACCCAAAGCTCTCCATAGCGCCTTTCGTACACGGCTCATGTGGACTGCATTATCATCACCCTTCTCAATAAGTCGGCTCCACATTAGGTCAGTCAGTCCTCTTCTTGGGATCGTGCAGCTCGGGCTCCTTGCCCTTGCCCGCACCCGTCATGGCATCGACGACGTCTCCGCCGTCGGCCTCATCCCACACGTCCTCGGCATTCTCGTCCCAGTTGTCCACCTCGTCCTCCAGCGTGCGGCCGCGCTGCTGCCCGCCGGCCGCGCTGTTCGTCTCCACGACGCCCTCTTCCTGCGGGGCGGCTGCTGCTGCTGCCGCCGCCGCCGCCGCCGCCGACGCAAACGCCGCGCCCTCGCCGAGCTCGAGGTCGTCCTCGCCGCCCAGGTCCTCCTCGCCGGGGACGGCCGTGTACGTCTTGCGCGCGCGGCGGCGCTCGAGCATGCGCTTGTGGTACCAGGAGCACAGGCCGAGGGCGGCGAGGCTGCCGACGACGTTGGCGACGACGTCGTAGACGTCGAACTGGCGGCCGTTGGGCAGCAGGGCCTGCAGGAACTCGGAGCCGCAGCCGAGGCACAGCGTGCAGACGACGAGCGTCAGGTTCAGCGTGCGGCGGCGGTTGGTGTCGACGATCCAGTAGAAGGCGAGGGTGAGCAGGAAGAAGGTGGCGAGGTGCAGGAGCTTGTCGTTGACGTACGTGTCGAGCTGCAGGGGCGTCAGGCCGGCGTAGCCCGCGGCGAGGCACAGGAGGACGAAGACCCCGGCGAAGGGGAGCCGTATCCTCATCTCTGCTGAGCTATTTGTGCTGGGTCTCTGAAAGAGGTGGGAGATTGATAGGTTTAAGTAAGTAGGTAAGTGAGGTATGGGTCCAGCTGGTATATCAGATCCCTAATGCATGGCGACTCCCGGTGGGTTTGGTGGTTTCTGTGACAAGGTGGGGGGAGTTCTGAGGAAAGTGACGACGGAAAGTGTTGGAGATGGGTGCTGGTCGAAGCTCCGCAGCTATTTGCGATGGGATGGGGGAACAGCGGGTGCTCCGCAGCGGGCAGCCAGTGGATTGCCTTCAAGGTTCTACAAGTACCTAAGCTGGAGGCTGCCTGCAGTCCCAAAAGGCTGGGATTTAGGCGTCGTGTGTGGGGGGGACTGCAGGGGACAGATGGCTCTTCTTGGGGGAGCAACTACCTAGGTATGGCCCTCCAGGCTCAACTTGGCGGTGCCCCAGTTCTCGATCGGACGGACAGCAAAGTCACGTGCCAAATCCCGCACACACACGTGCAAGACAGGAGGGACAAACGGGGCCAGCACTGGCCAGCACTGGCCAGAACAAAGGTACTTAGCGTCGCTTATCAGCGCTGTGCCTATCGTCGTACAAGATACTTCCAAAGTATCTCGGTCGCGACCGTTTCGCAGCAGCAAACGAGCAATGAACAGACCGTAAAACACACAGTCGTGCATATGTAGCTCTCGTAGACCTCGGGACCTTGATCGCATTCAATTGCAGTAGCTTTGGGGCCGTGCATCTGCGAGCCCGCGCCCGATCGCCGTGTCGCTGTGCCCTTTGAGTCGGCGTAGCGGTTGAGCGCGAACAGGGAAAATTCCCCTTTGAACACTGGGCGGGCTTGGTACCTCCGCTGATGTGCACTACCTACTACCTCACTCCCCCAAACCCTCACAACCTCACCCCGTGAAAGACGGCCAAATCGCATTGATTGAGAATCATCAAGGCACCACCACATCAATCGTTTTTGTCGCGAGACTCGGTCCCCCATCTATATCGATGTCGCTCTTTACACCCGTGTGCGAATAATTCTGCCAAACGCCCTCCTGCCGGCCCAACACGACCAGGGTTTGCCTGCGCATGGCGACCGCGAGGCATCCCCTCCCTTGAATCACCCGGGCTCACAATGTCCATCACAAATGGCCAGCCTGGCTGGCCGCCTCCCGCGACCGCCGCGGTGAACGGCAACAAGATGTTTTCCAACGTTGACGATGCACCGGCGCGCACCCAGACGCCTGTCGATAACACCTCGGCGTTGATGCCTGAGGCATCAGATATTGAGGAGGACAACCGTCGCGCCCTCTTCTCAGAGCTGTTTCGCAAGTCCGAATCGCGGGTCGCATTGCTCTTTGCGGACGACGGCAGCTACAACTACCCCGCGATAGAGTCCCTCCGCCGCCACCCGACCCTCCCTGCCGCCCTCCCGCCGGCCACCGACCACACTCCGATTCAGGAGCCCCCCCTCAAGAAGGCGAAGCGCGTCATCGACGAGGATGACTACGGCGACGACGACGAAGACGACGAAGAAGAAGAAGAAGCTCAAGCATCTCCTTCCAAGTCGAAGGATGCGCAAGGCAGCCAACCCCAACAACTACTGTCCCCATCCAAGTCCGGGAGCTCCCCGGTCCACTCGGTCTCCTCCCCGGGCAAGCAAGCCGCCAAGTCAAAGGAGGATGGCGCACAAGACCAGGCCAAGTCCTCCGAAGACACGCGCAAGGAGCTCGAGGAAGCCCGCAATGCAACCGAAGAGGCTGCCAAGCGCAGCTTCCACACCCTCATCTACACCCTGGAGAACGACAAGACGGCCATGCTCGAGCAACAGCAGCTCGAGGAGTCGGAGAAGCAATTGCAAGCAGAGATGGAAAAGAACAACTCCAATTCTGCTAGCAACGGCCAAGCGGAGAATCACGGTTCCCTGAGCAATGCCAACCTCGGTGCTTCCAGCCTGACTCTGAAGCATCTTATTGCGCGCATTGACCTCAAGCGCAGCCAGGTCAAAGCCTCGGATGCCGAACTGCGGTCTCTGATGAACGAGGTCCGCAAGAACCGGAGCAAGTGGGCTAGCGAAGAGAATGTTGGCCAAGAAGAGCTGTACGAGGCGCTCGAGAAGGTTCTTAGCGAGCTTAAGGCGCATACCGAGTACTCGACTCCGTTCCTCCAGAGAGTGAACAAGCGGGACGCTCCGGACTACCACGTTCTCATCAAAACCCCCATGGACCTCGGCACAATGACCAAGAAGCTCAAGACCCTGTCGTACAAGTCCAAAGCCGACTTTGTCGCGGATCTTAATCTGATCTGGGACAACTGCCTGAAATACAACCAAGAAATGACACATCCGCTTCGCCGTATGGCCAACGGCATGCGGAAAGAAGCGGAGAAGCTCATTCCTTTGATTCCCGACCTGGTAATCAGGCCTCGCGCAGAGGTCGAGGCTGAGGAGCGGAGGAAACAGAACGGCGGAGACGATGATGGCGGCGATGACAGCGATGACGAGCCGATAATGTCGTCTCGAGGCAGGAAGGCTGGCGCCAAAGGAGCCACCAAGTCAAGAAAGGCCCCCAGTGATAACAAGGAGAGCACCCCGAGCATCGACCAAAAGCCTGTCCTTCAACTCAACGGTCTTCTTGCAAAGGGCAGGGAAGGCTCGGAGGTGGGCGAGGGGAGTAACGGCTTCGCGACGCCGCCCGTAGCTGGGTCCATTACCCCTAGCGGCCTCAATGGCATCTCCGGTATTGCAAGCAATGCGGATGCCATGGACATCGACGGGCCGTCTCTCGACGGGATGGCGTTAGGCCAAGCTTTGGGGGAAGCTGCGGAGCAGGCCCATGAGAGCGAAGAGTACAAGATTTGGAAGCAGGTTACGAAAAAGGACCGGGCGTTGGTTGCCAAGGAGCGCTTCCAGCTCTTCAAGAGCAACAAACTCAATGTCGACGAGCCTGCGCTCTTGAGAACAAAGGCAGGCATGAGGCGCTTTCTGAAAGGCCAGAAGCAAGCCGAGGCCAGTGGTGTCTTCAGCGCCAGCCAGGCAGACTCCTCTGTCATCGCTGCCAAGGAAGCTGCCAAGATGGCCGAGACCCTCGCAGAAGGCATGGAGGATGAGGTCGAGAAAGTCATCCCTGGCTACTACGAACCCCAGTCTCTTATTCCAGACATACCGACCAAGCTGCAGTGGATTGAGGATGGCGAGGGCCACGTCATCAACCAGCACGAGGAGTTCCTTAAGCTGGTGCCTGAAGGGCACTTCACTGCTCCCCCCAGCAAGTTCGCGAAAAAGATCGAGGCAAACATGCGCCAGATGCAAGAAACGCGCAAGTTGTGTTCAAAGATCGGCGTCATCAAGCAGATGCAGATTCAGACACAGGTAGGTGGCTTCCCACTGTGAAGCATCGGAGAATGAATGACAAGATACTGACATGTATTAGGTCTACACGAATCAATTTGCCAAGTACAACCCGGAGCCTTTTCTGGAGCAGGATGTCGAACGGCATTTCATCTCTGGAGACGGTCCCATCATGGCAGGCGAAGTGTGCCGGTCTGCGATGCAGCGATCGGTCGCCAAGATCTTTTATCACGCTGGTTTCGAGGAACTCCAGCCCTCTGCTTTGGACACAATCACCGACATCGCAGGCGATTACTTTACCAAGCTGGTACGCACCTTCAATATCTATCGCGAGGCGGAAAGGAAAGATGCCACTGGCGTATACAAGGAACACGGCTCCCAGCTTCAACCCCGGTTCACGCCCGAAGAAGTCATCCTTCACACTCTGAGCGAAAACGGGCACGATGTAGAATCCTTGGAGAGCTACGCCAAGGACGACATTGACAGACTCAGCAGCAAGCTGGGCGCGATCCACGAACGCATGAAGTCGCATCTGGCAGAGCTGCTTCGCCCGGCCTTGACCGATGCCGGTCCCGACGGTGCTGGGGCTTTCAAGGACGGCAGTGAGCAGTTTGTGGGAGGCGACTTTGCCGAAGAGCTCGGCGAAGACTTCTTTGGCTTCAAGGCCCTCGGCCTCGACAAGGAGATGGGTCTCGACATGCTTTCCGTGCCGCTACACCTGCTGCAGAGCCGCGTCAGGAACCAGTTCCAGATGCAGTCGCAGACCAGCGGCCCCGCGATCGAGGACATCCTTGAGGCCCTGCCGCCGGCCGAGCCCGTCACCAAGGAGAACATCCAGGACGAGATCGGCCTTGTCAAGAACTTCTTCCTGGCCAAACTGCACGCTAACGGCGATCAGCCGCTGGTCGAAGACGAGGACCTGCCCGTCAAGCAGAGGCGGCCTCGGCCAAGGCTCGGCGCCACCGGCAAGATCGTCTCGCCGCAGAAGCGGCCTCCCAAGGAGCAGATCGCCCTCGCCAAGAAGAGGAAGAAGCTCGAGATGCAAGCGGCGGCCGCTGCTGCCGCCGGCAAGGACGCTGCCGCCGGCGCCAACAACAGCCCCGAGAAGCCTTCGCCGGCCAAGAGGCTCAAGAGCATCTCCCTGGCCAACGGCACGGGGGGGCCCAGCGCGGTGCCGGCGCTGCCCGGGGCGCCGGTCATGGAGCGGATGGAGAGCATGCAGAGCATGGGCAACGCCAGCCAGACCGACAAGGACGACACCGTTGGCATGATGAGCCCCGAGAGCCTGCAACCATAGGGTGGTGCTTCGGGCGCGAGGAAGCCGTCGGGCAGTAAGAGACGACGGCCGAGTGAGCAGGCGGAAGAAGACCAGGCATCGTCGACGAGGAGGGAGGGGAATAAGCGGCCGAAGGTGAGCCGACAGCCATCCGGGCCCAAGAGGCCTGGGAGGTCTGCTCTGATGCGAAGAGGCTCGTCGGTCAGGCCTATAGTGATCGATTGATCGATGTGGTGTGGGAGGAGGAGGAGAAGGAGGTGGAGGAGTCTGTGCATATACCCTTTCGCACACGGGAGGAGAAAAAGCATCCTGTTTTCATTTGGTTGTCCGCATCTTTTTTTTATTCATACATCATCATATCAGCACAAACCACGAAGCGGCCCCCCTGGTCTGATGGGCTCGTCCAGCGTGGGGCGCATCAGGGGGGGGTTTGGGCCGAGGCAAAGCGGGACAAAAACATCAATGACCATTAGTTCCTTTCTTTTTACATCACACAATTGGCAATGAGTTTTGGTTGACATATTAGAGAGGGAGAGTGTGTGAGAGACGGAAGCTGAGAGACGGAAGCTGAGAGGAGAAAGGAGTACGAGGGAAGGGAAGTGGGAGAAGCACAAGCGGCAGCAAAGCTGCTCGAGCATGGTGGTTTTTTTTTTATTACGTGCCAAGATTATATGTACCATAGAGGAGAGGAGAGGAGTGGGAAAAAAAGCTTTCGCCCGCATCGCTTCGTCTTCTTTCCTTTGCCCATCCCCCCCTCATATTCTGGGGGTCACTATCTTCTTCTTTCTTTTCTCTTCTCTACTTCTTTCCACAACCCGAGGCCAAGGTTGCTGAGGGATCTTGGAGAAACTTGCTCCGGCAGGACGTGGCGTGGCTTTTTGGCTTTTGTATGAACAGAGGGGAGAGAGAACCGGGGGGAGGGAAGGATAGGGTTTCCTATTCCATCCTCCATACTAGGAGATCTTGCTGGGTGGCGGCATTGGGGAGGTTATCTGCACTTGCCAATCGGGCAGGGGAGACAGGTCCTTGACGTGCACGTTTGTGAGCCTTGTCGTTTATGAGCATTGTCGGGCGAGCGATGGGGGGGGGGGGGGGGGGGGGGCCCGCGAACCAGTTGTGTTGATGAAGCTATGCAGATAGGCAATTGACGCTGCTGGATCGATATGAAGCGCAAATCGTCTTTTTGTTTTGTCCGTTGTCAAGTAATCCGTGGAGTCCCGGGACGTGTCCAAGATCCAAGTCACAAGTGATAAAATGAGACAAGAGCATTGTGTGAACCTCCCAACCAGGGATTGTGGTATATAATTTCTCATGGTTTGCGTAAAGTGTATTAAGATCAAAATCATCCCAAGCCCATTGATATCATCTTCCCAACCGCGTTGAAGCAGTCCAGTACCAAACTCCTCACTATAAGTTTTTTCCCGATACGTGTGTCGTTTATTTTTCTCAATCGATTGCAACGCCTGATGAAATGCATGCAATTCTTCCCGCGAAACTTAGTCGCGGGAAGTTTTTACGACCCAATGGTTGAGACATTGAGTCAGCCCGTACAGTAGATTTCCTCCTCTCCCCCTTCTATGTTGAAAAAGTGAAAGTCTTTCCCGGCAGCCTATGGGCTGCTCGAACATAGTTTGCCCTCGAAACCCGGCATCTCACAATCGTTGCTTAAATGCCGGCCTCGTACCTCCAGCCCTCGACAGGGAGGGGGAAGGTGATGCACCACTCCGAGATCTCCTTCTTGAGCTCGTTGATCTTGGGGACGGAGCCGCTGGCAACCTTGGCCTTGAAGTCCTTGAGCTTGTTGGCCTCCTTGGGCAGAGAATCCTGGACCTCACGGCAGATCTTGATGGCTTGGTCGATGTAGTCACCGACACGCTCAAAGTCCTTCTCGGAGAAGCCACGGCTGGTCATGGCAGGAGTACCGATACGGATACCGCAGGGGGTCAGAGCGCTCTTGTCGCCGGGAATGCTGTTCTTGTTGCAGGCAATGTTGATCTGCTCCAGAACGGCCTCGACACGGGCGCCGTCCAGGTTAAAGGGGCGGAGGTTAAGCAGGACCATGTGGGAGTCGGTGCCGTCAGAGACCAGGGTGTAGTTCAGAGACTTGAACTTGTTCTCGAGCGTCTTGGCGTTGGCAACGACCTGCTTCTGGTAGTCCTTGAACTCGGGGGTGGCAGCCTGCTTCAGGGCAACGGCCAGACCGGTGATGGTGTGGTTGTGGGGGCCACCCTGGTGGCCAGGGAAGACGGAGAAGTTGATGGGGCCCTCCAGGTCGTACATGATCTCCTTGCCGGTCTTGGGGTCGACAGAGCGGACACCCTTGCGGAAGAAGATGATGGCGCCGCGGGGACCACGGAGAGACTTGTGGCTGGTGGTGGTGACGATGTCGGCGTACTCGAAGGGAGACTTGATCACCTCGGCGGCGATGAGACCGGCAATGTGGGCCATATCGGCCAGGAGCCAGGCACCGACCGAGTCGGCGATCTTGCGCATGCGGGCGTAGTCGATCTCACGGCAGTAAGCCGAGGTACCGGCAACGAGGACCTTGGGGCGGAAGAGCTGAGCATCCTTCTCAAGCTCATCGTAGTCGATGATGCCAGTGGCATCGTTCACCCGGTAGGGCATGGTCTCGAAATAGGTCGAGACAGCGGAGATCCTAGGTTATCAACTTGTCAGCAAGTCTCTCTCGGATACGCGGCCGAATTGGTGGCTGTCCACTCACTTCTTGGCGGGGGTCTGGTAGCCGTGGCTCAAGTGACCACCGTGGGGCAGGTCCAGACCCATGATACGGCCGTGAGGAGGCATGAGGGCCTGGTAGACCTGGAGGTTGGCAGGGCTGCCACTGAGAGTCTGGACGTTGCAACCCCACTTGGCGGGGTCGAGGTGGAAGGCCTCGAGGGCACGCTTCTGGCACAGAGTCTCGATCTCGTCAATGTGCTGGTTGCCACCATAGTAGCGGGCGCCGGGGTAGCCCTCGGAGTACTTGTTGGACATGGGGGAGCCGACGGCGTCGAAAACGGCGCGGGAGGTGACGTTCTCGGAGGCAATGAGGATGATGGACTCGCGCTGGCGCTGGATCTCCTTCTTCTGTAGACGGGGACGACGTGTCGGGTCAGTCAATTGATCAGAGGATCAGTGCCGGAAGATACGAACCATGATCTCAGCGACCTCGGGGTCGGACTCAACTAGAGACTTCTCGAGCATGTCCCGGTGGCTCTGGGACAGAGCGTAGGTGCTGTTGGCTGCCATGGCTGTGAGGTTGGAAGGAGGCGTTTGGGGAGGATTGACGAGCGGGAAGCAGATGATGGGTGATCAATTGATCGGGTTGGAGGGTACAGACGGAGGGAGTGAAGGGAGGAGAGGAAGAAAAGACACAGCTGAGACTTATAATCCCGCCAGAACGGGAAAAAAATCGAGTCACCACTAAGAATTTTTGGAGGGGTGGTGTGCAGTTTGGCGCTACCAAGGGAGGGGTCCTCAACTCAACTAAAAGTGGCGAGCTAGTGCCCCAGAGCTCTCCAATGGGAAAGTTTAGCAGGCGGCGGGGCAACTACGGAGGAGTACGCAGCGCGTTGGTCGGGGGAACTGGGAACTGTAGCGACACGTGAGCGGCCCCTGGAGGTCCAGTTCCCGACTTTGCAGGTGGCCTACGGGGTTCAATTGCCAGCTACCTAACTGGAAAGAGTAACGAGCTGGTGCTAGGACTGTACTCTGTATCCATCAAATCCACGGATGTTGATATATCATGCATCATGAGGAGTCATGATCGGCTCGATGCTGAAGATTCTGTCCCATGGAGCCGACGGGAGTTGGCAATGCTGCTTGTGTCCCTAGCGACATCTCTCTACCTCTCCTGGCTCCTGGCTCCCGGCTCCCTGCATTCCCAGTCACATCGAGGTCCAGATCAGAAAACTTCAACTGGTGATCACTCGCCCACTCACGGACCCTTTGAAAGCTGCGGCAACTGTGCACAACGCTGCTCCGAAGCTCCATCTGCTGCTTCTCGCTGTTCCACTGCGATACCAGGGGTGTGATATCCGAGTGGCACATGATGGACTGTCTCAGAGACTCGATGCAGTGCTCCACATGCTCAGTCTCCAAGTAAGCCAAGACCTGTCTGGCCTGTGCAGAATCCTTCTCGCGGTAGTATTGCTCATATCGCGACATGCGTAGTATGTTCTGTGGTGTCGGGCAACAACAGCAGCTGTCAGTGTCATGGACGGGTAGAGTCTTGCCGCTGGTGATGGGACTTACAAGACAATGAAGCTGGTGAAACACATCAAGCTCGACAGAGTATTTGCCCTTCGTCCCACCAATCTGGCTCGTTTTATTCCACAGCGAGCTTGCTTTTTCACTCGAGATAACCAGTTGGCCAACTAGAGTGACATTCAGGCTCGATTCCAAGGGCTTTACAGGGATATATTACTGACAGTCGTACAGGCTCTCCCATGCATTGTCCCTTGCGTCGGTTGGCGGCCCTTGGAACACGCTTCTGTAGTCCTCAAACTCGTCCGTGAATTTTCTCAGTTCATACTCGATGACACTTTGTGCTGGGGCTATCGATTTCTTAGTTTCTGGCACGCATTTTCCCTACTCGCGATACAACACGCACAGTACACAACCTGGGCATCCTGGCATGTTGATGTAATGGCCCCTTCTTTTGCGCCCGAAACGCTGAGAGAGACAACGAGCGCCAGGAGTAGCCAAGGAATGATGATCGCCAATTGCACCCATCGATCTCTCCCAGGATTGTTCGACCAACTGAAGCGGGTCACCGAGGCCTTGATCTCGTCTTCATCATCTCCTGAAAGGCCTTGTAAAGGTCTGTATCCGGTGGGACTGCTTGAATTCATTCTCTCGGTCGAGTTGACAATGTTCAGCTCGAGGATGTGTCCGTGACGGCTACAAGACCAAGACGGGACGGACTGAAGTCAACCAGGAGCGTCTTGAGCAATGATCACTTTGCGAAGTAAAGCAAGAGGGAACTGCCATGTTGCATCGCTGAGTGCGAGAGCAACTCAAACACAGCATCATCTTGACCACATACTACTGCCCCTTCAGATACTGGCCCCACGGCAAAAGATGCGTAGTTTGACCCGACTGCATCTGAATCATCACCAACGATGGTGCATTACGAATCCTGACGCCAGTCAGCAAATGGTAGTGGATTTGAGCTCCACGCCTGAAGACCCAATGGGCACCAAGCTGGCTCGGTTGGCAGGGCCGTGATTGCTGACTGTAAAACCTGGCGTCAGGTTCGACATGCCATCTGATGTCAGCACAGTCTACCTGCCCATGCCATGGGAAGACCAAGATCTTTGGATTGAAGACCCTGTGAGTAGAAGTGGAAGGATTTTTTGTTTGTATCTTTCCCACCCTCCTTTTCTGAGGCAAAGTTTTCAGCTGCTACTTGGAGACGCCAGGCTTGGACCTAAATGGCATATTGAAAAATTCGAGAAGGGTGCTGCTGGTAGGTCCTGGGTGTGCGTCTGGATGCTGTCTCCTTCCCAAGCCTTGTGCCATACGATAGTAAAAGTGATACATGTAGTGAACCCCCACCAGGCTGACGGCGATGCATGTAAGATGTAGAGTCATATGGCTCAGACTTCACATTAGTTCAACCAAGCAAGCTCCCATACATACTTTTTGGAGAATCTGAGCCGGCGGCTGAGCTGGCTTGCCAAGGTCTCTCTCACGTCAACATGTTGCGTCAAGTCGGCCATCCGGCTCACTTGCCATGGTATTTAAAGAGCTGCAGCCGACCTCCAGCAGTGAATGAACGCATCTTTAGAAATGTCTTGATGTCGCATCAACAGCTATGAAGACTACCAACTTGACCGTCATGTTTCTCGGGGCATTGCCCTTGGCGATGGCCGTCCCGGTCCCTCGATTAGACCGATCTCGCCGCCGTCGACCGCCACGAACGTCCTTCGATACAGTTGGTTGAGACGAGACACCTGGCAGGGAGGGTGCATTGTTGATTGAGTGGTGTTTCAGTATGCAGCCAGTGGCATGCTATGATACTCACGTGCGGAGAATCGCATCCGGGAAACTGCCGAAAAGGAATATTACCTGCCCTGGCTATCCTTGATACATCTTTTGGACTTCAGCACGAGGTAAGATCTTTGAACACCTCGACGAAATGGCAGGAAACACTGATATGTTCATAGCGATTTGATGCTAGCAGGCTGAGCAGTGACTGGGAATGTGTCGGTGCCATCATTTTAGAGGGGGAATAATCCGGCGAATCGACCTAATCAAGCTGGGATTTCCAGACTTTTGAGCCATTTACTAGCCAAGTGTAATGAATCGATGCGTTTGCAATTTCAATATCTTGGGCCGAACGAGTCGCTATTTGTGTTGTTTCGTCTGATCCGAGTCGTGCGCGGTGGAGCTAATTAGTGTAGTTGAGCCATCGGGTGTGCCTGGATGGAGGGCATAGCGGGCTATTCCTTGCATTGTTCAGGTGGATGATGCGCCTAGATCGGACACTTTCCTGATCATCTGGTCTGAAGACCAGGAATTATGTCAGCTGGTGCATTGGGAGCTGCAGGAACCTTGTGGAATCGGGGTGGCTGGGTCTGGGCGATACCGAGAACATTGAACAACTGCGCTAAACCCATCCTGTGCTCCCCAGTGGTGCGCTGCTTCATCTGCGTCATTGGCTGTTGTCACAAGGCAAGGCACCACTGGCGCACACGACGCAAGCTCGCCTCCCGCTTGTACCTCCAAACTCCTCCGGCCGCTCGCACAGTCGCACTCTCTTCCCCACTTACTCCCTCAACAGGTAGGTACCTCGACGCCCACTCCGCTGCCTTGGCGCTACATCACAACACAACCGCCTATCTAACCACTGACGCTGCCGCCTCCACTCTCCGTGTTTCGCTCTCTCTCTCTTCCCTCCTCCTCCTCTTACATCAACCGAGAGCTTCGTTGCATCTGCGCGTCCATCAACATCTGGTCTGCGCATCAAAGCCTCTGCCAGTCTATCATTTACTCTCATTGCCTCCATCTCTTTTTTGCTCTTTTTTTTCTACTCCCAACCTACTCCCTCCAGAGTTGCCTATCATGAAGGGCGCTCTCGTCACCGCAGCTGTGCTGCTGGCTTCCGCCGAGGCCGAAGTCCACAAGTTGAAGCTCAAGAAGGTGCCGCTGGCTGAGCAGCTCGTAAGTACATCGGCTTCTACGCACTTACTCAATGCGCGAAATTGATGGCATGCTTACGTTTTGCCCAGGAGACCGTTCCACTGAACCACCAGATGCGAAGCCTCGGCCAGAAGTACATGGGTATCCGACCGGACTCGCATGTCGATGCTATCTTCAAGGATACCTCGGTCCACGTTGACGCGAACCACCCAGTCCCTGTCAGCAACTTTATGAACGCGCAGTGTATGTTGACTGGCACCGCTCTCGTCCCGTTTCCTGATATATGCGTCTAACAAGGATCATGTGATAGACTTCTCCGAGATCACCATCGGCACGCCTCCCCAGACCTTCAAGGTCGTTCTCGACACGGGCAGCTCCAACCTGTGGGTTCCCTCGCAGTCGTGCGGGTCTATTGCCTGCTACCTCCATCAGAAGTACGACTCGTCGGAGTCGTCGACGTACAAGAAGAACGGTAGCTCCTTTGAGATCCACTACGGCTCCGGCAGCCTGGAGGGCTTCGTCTCTCAGGACACTGTCAGCATTGGTGACCTCACGATCAAGAACCAGGACTTCGCCGAGGCCACCAGCGAGCCTGGTCTGGCCTTCGCCTTTGGCCGATTTGACGGCATCCTCGGTCTCGGTTTCGACCGTATCTCGGTCAACGGCATCGTCCCGCCCTTCTACCAGATGATCAACCAGAAGCTCATTGACGAGCCTGTCTTCTCGTTCTATCTGGGTGATACTAACGATGAGGGTGACGAGTCCGAGGCCATCTTTGGTGGCGTTAACAAGGACCACTACGAGGGCAAGATCACCACGATCCCCCTGCGCCGAAAGGCCTACTGGGAGGTCGACCTCGACTCGCTCAGCTTTGGCGACGAGACTGCTGATCTGGAGAGCACTGGTGTCATACTGGACACGGGCACTTCTCTGATCGCCCTCCCCTCCAATCTCGCCGAGATGCTCAATGCCGAGATGGGCGCCAAGAAGGGCTACAACGGCCAGTACACTGTCGACTGCGCCAAGCGCGACAGCCTCCCCGATGTCACCTTCAGCCTGAGCGGTTACAACTTCAGCATCACCCCCTACGACTACATCCTCGAGGTCTCGGGCAGCTGCATTTCCACCTTTATGGGCATGGACTTCCCCGAGCCCGTAGGCCCCCTCGCTATCCTCGGCGATGCCTTCCTGCGCAAGTGGTACTCCATCTACGACCTTGGCCAGGGCACTGTTGGTCTGGCTAAGGCCAAGAAATAAACAGCTGCAGTCTCACGGGTATGATGCGTAGAGCACACAAGAGGAAGCAGGGCAGAACTGCTCTTGCCTGTACCATGAACCCGACATCGCATTAATACAGCATCTCGTAACTTATTGTTTCTCTTGGTTTCCTTGACTGTCTTTGGCTTTCTATTGTCTTCGTCGGGAGGGGGTCCAAGCCAAGTCTGCACATACATATGGCGAGAGGAGACGGGAGCAGAGTACAAGTTCTTTTCCTTGTGTACACTAGGAATATCAATAAATGACTGAGCCATCGACCGACGACTGACTACCGTACATATGCTGTGACAGTGAGAGCTCCCGCGACTTGGTAGAGGCTAACTTTTGGCGCATGGTGTGTAAAGTTTACTCCGCACCCCGTTTCTGTCTTGTGCATAACTAACGGTGCGCCATGTTGGATGTTGGGCCGTCCGAAGGATTGGATGAATTGGTGTGACTCGTCAGGCTTTGATAGCTTGCGTGGTGATTCCCTGTTAGCACGTACCGATCAACCATACTCGACGACCAGGTTGAGGAGCAGAGTAGAGAGGGGGTGGGCTCAAGTGCTTGCTGTGCTGCCTGGCAGTGCCTGGGCCACTCAAGTCGAGTGTCCTCCAAGCCTCCTCCCCACCCGGATCACGTGAAATGGAACTGTTTGCCAGGGATTTCGTGCCACGCCGAACGGGGACTAGCGTGGCTCACTAGGCTGGTCCTGGGTTTTCGCTGCTGCAGCAGATCAAGACACATCAATTCTGAGTGAGCGACAGCCCTTCCTCCCTCTCTCCCCCCTCTTCCGAAGAAACTATAGACGAGCTGGTGGGCTGCCTGTGACCGGTGAATGGCCTCATTGGAATCGTCTCAATTGTTTTATCCATTTATGTGGCGAATCTGGATGAAGTTGACCGCATAGAGGTGCTGCTCTCTTGACTGCCAAAACTTTTGGAGTTGCACCAACGGGGCCATTCCCCCCCTCGCAGACGCGAAGCGCGACAAAATCGACCGTCGCTGAACGACCATCACCGTCCATCCGCCTCTCCAACCGCACCACTGCCACTGCTGGCGACCGTCAATCTCCATTGCACACGATGGCTGCTATCGCCGTTGCGCCCGTCAACGGTGCCGTGCCCTCCCCGCAGCCCGAGTCTCCTCAATCCTCTGCATCCGCGACAAAACGCAAGCGCGACGTCAGTGACGATGGGTCGCCCGACGCCAACGGCGCTGAAGACGTCAAACCCCTAGTTGTCGACGCTCCTGTCTTTGTCCGAGATGAGAAACGTCTTGTTCGCGACTTTTTTGATGTTCTGCAAAGGTAAGGACTCGACTGGCCCCCCGAACCAACAATGCTCCCTGTTACATGCGTTCGAGAGCCGTCCTCGTCCTCTTATCATCGCATCGTTTACTCACATCTGCCCGTACAGCTTCGACGTCGAACCCCCAATCCTGAAGCGCCCAATCCCCGAACAATCCGTCGAGGGCGAGCCGCAAGCGAAGCGACAGAGATCTGACGAGAACACCAAGCCCTTGACGATCGCCGAGAAGGTCTCGCAAGATGCTTACAGCATCCTGGATGATCTGGTACTCGATATTAACGAGGTTGCCAAAGACCAAATCGCCGAATTGGAGCGCGACGTCGCCCAAGAGAACGGTGCCACAAAGGCCGATTCCATTGCGGGTGTCACCGGATTTCGAGAAAAGGCGCATGAGCTTTTCAGGCGCGAGGCCAAGTATCCTAAGGCCGGCTCGCAAGGGTCTAGAGAAAGCAGAGATGCGGTGCAGTCGGGTGCCGATGGTGGCCTGGTTTTGACCGTCTTTGGCAACGCGCCTCATGGCAAGCATCTCTTCTCCAGCCTGGAGCACCCGAGACTCACCGACCGTTCGGCAAAACCGCTCCAGGAGATCGCGCTTCCCAACGGCTTGTTGACCACCAAGGTGATCCCCGCTGGTCCGTCGGAAAAGAGCACTCGGACTCTGACTTTGGGAGAGCTCTTCCCGTCGCCCCGTGGACTCCCACCCCTACAACCGCCCAAGCCACCAAAGAGCAGCATGAAAGGCAACACGCTGGGCTTCTACCATCCGGAGCTGACTGAGAAGTCCAAGTATCGGACAGGGTCTTACTTCTCCGCTAATGTTTCCACCGGCCAGTGGCTTGACTACAGCAATGCCACTCCTACCATGCCTACCAAGACGAAGCAGCGCGAAAGAGCGCAAAGCCTGGCTGGGCACAAGCCCTCCACGACAGAGTTGGAGATGTCCGAGATGGAGGCCCTCTTCCGCGGCGCCTTCTCTAGCTTCGCACCCTCTAAGGATGATTCGGCTGCGATGGTATCCTCGGGTCAAATGAGTCGGATGTGGTGGCAGCGTGTCGGCCAACGCAATTTCCAAAAGATGGTCGAGGCCGAGGTGCCCACTGAAGAGGTTGAAGAGCCAGCCTCTACTGGCAGCGCTGTCGTCCCCATCGACGAGCAGGCAATCGAGGAAGCCATCGAGAACTGGGACGACATTATGATTGACCCCAGTCTCGAGGACGCAATGGGCCATAAATCCGAGCACGACAAGGATGTTGATGAAGTTCTACTGGAGGTTTCCGACTTGATCGAGACTCTCGCCTCCTACCAGCGTAACCGGAACCTCACGTTGCCGACGAGCCAGGACCGTTATTCGGCGGATCCCGTGAACGGCGATATGCTTCGAAACGGCTCGCTTGCGCAGCAGCCTAGCGAAGAGGAGATGGCCACGTACGAGGTACTCAAGGCACAACTGGCACTGATTATCAAGACCCTGCCTCCGTATGCTGTAGCTCGCCTCAACTCTGACAAGCTCGACGAGCTCAACGTGAGCACCAAAATCGAGATTCGCACAGAGGAGTACAAGGGTGTCATGGAAGAGGATGAGCAGGCGGCGCGCGCTAGGCAAGCTGCCGCGCAAGCAGCGGCTAACGCCCGGCCGCAGCCTCAAAGGACACCAAGCGTGTCTTCTGTGCCGTACTCTAACCACCAGTATGGCGCACCGCAGTACGGTACGCCAAGCCGGACGCCAATGGCTAATCCGCAGTACTATGGCCAGACGCCTGGCCGGGCACAACCGCCACCTCCTTCCCACCAAAGACCCCCCGTTGGTCCTGCAGCGCCATATACTCAGCAGCGACCACCGCAAGCTCAACCATTCCGACCGAATGGCTATACCGGGTACGCGCCACAGATGGCAAAGCCTCAGGTACCATATAGCCATCCAAACATGGCATACTCTGGCACTCCAACCCAGCCTCCTCGCATGGCGCCTCATCCTGGCTATGGCCAGCCTCAACCTCCACAGGCACCCGGAACCCCACAAAATCGCTTTCCGCCTGGGTACCCTGGCCAATATGGACAGCATCAGGAAGGGATGCCGGGCCAACATACTCCCCAGCAACCTCAGTACGGGTCACCGCACATGAACGGGGCGCCGCATATGCAGCAACGTCCTATGCCGCCTCAAGGCCCGGGTGCGCCGCCACAGCACTATAGCCAGTCGCCTCAACCGCAGCAGGGCCGCCCACCGTATGGTACGCCACAAGGCATGCCGCCTACCCAGCCGCCTCCGCGTCAGTATGGTGCCGGCAGCCCTGGCGTACCCACGGCCGGATTAACCGGATACCATACCGTCATGCCTGAAGTTCAGCAGCAGCGTCTGATGGAGCAGGCCAGGGCCCGGGCATCTGCACACGAGCGAACCATTGGCTTTAACGAGAAGATGTCCCAGGGCGTTGCCGGCGGTCCAGGTAACCCCGGAGCCGGCATGGGCCAAGTTGCCGGTCTCGCCGGCATCGGCTTGGGCACCGGGAATGTGGACATGGCCAAGCTTGCAGCTGCTCGAGCGAACATGCCTGGAGGTATCGGTCATTCTCCGAGCCCGAAGGCGCAGATGGCCCCCGTGGCGGGACCGTCGCCGGGGCCCGGATCCAACGGCATTGCTCCTCCGCCGAGCGCGAGCCCCGCCTCGCTGCCCCCGTCGAGCGTATCACCTGCGCCTGGGGGGCCTTTCCCGAGACCACCTGCTTGATAGCCCTGCCGTCTTGGTTCCGTGGTTCTTCGATATCACCTGTATTGTAATTCAATCCATATTTCATTTTCCATTTGCGGCAAGTGTCGGTGTGCCTTAACCTACCCCTTTTCTTTTGGTGTGTGGTTGAAAAAAGCAAACGCCGGCGGATGTCCGGCGCTTGCTGCTGGGTTGGTGTTTTCAGCACGATTAGGCATACTTTTTTCTTTTTACTTCTTCTCTTTGGCAGCATCAGGCGTCTGCTGCATCGAGAGATGGAGTGTGGGGGGTTATACACTGTTTTTTTTTTCTTTCCACATTCTCGGTGATTTCTGGCGTTTTCTGAAAAAATGGAACCTGGTTATGACCAAGATGGCCTGAAACGCTTGGTTGGGACTGTATCAAAATACCTGGGATGCTTTGCGATGGAAAGGTTCACCTTGATTACTGTTGACTTTCGTGAATAGAAGGCTTCGGCCAGATATTACTTCTTTTTACCCCTGATACTTCCTTCATGGTGATTGCCTTGCTTTCGAGTTGGAGCTCCAACCCACATCTTCCACTGGTGGTGCCCTTGCCATCCCATCTTCCTACGTGCAGTAGCGCCCATCTATCATTGGCGATCTTAGGCCAGAACCACGGTTTAGCTTGTCATCCGGGGTCCTTGCTCGTTCCCACCTCGGTGAACATGGCTTGGAACCCGACCCCATACTTGTAGTTACGGAGCGGTCCGTCAATCGTTCAGAACCCACTTAGTTCTCTCGACAAGGTTCTTTGTAGATCATCGATCCATCTCCGACGCCCGCCTGGCGTGCGGAGGAAGAAGTACCTACAAGGATTCGGTTGAGAGAACCTGCCAAAATCGTTGCTCTCTTCCCGAGAAGTAATAATGAACCAGCTCAAAAGCTGCGGAAAAAGGTAAACCACAATAGGGGGCTTGATTACACAAGTCTTTCGGCAACGCTGATGAGAGGGCGGTGTATCAGTTCCTTGTGCTCCTCGCACGAGCCAGGCGGCTCTTGAAAAGGGGTCCGAATGCTGCTGCCCTGCTGCCCCCGCGCGCAAAACTCTCAATTTCTGCGAGCTCGAGACAATGCAGGGTGGAGGGGAGCCGTTTGTAGTGCGGGGTTCACACGGGATGTAAGTCCGGCTTTGGCGGACCGAGTAAGTATCGGCTGCGGGCCAAACGATCAGATCCCCTCACCTTTGTGGGGAGTGAAGAGGCGGGAGGCACTATTGTTGTTGTTGCTGTCGTCCGGAACTTGCGGCCGGGCTTGCATGACCCTAAGTGAGAATGAATACCGAACTGCTGAATCGCACGGGATCAGCAGAGGATGCCGGCCGTGTAAGTCTCTTCCCAGACTGAACCTTTTCCGACCTCTCACAACCGCCAATGAACAGGGCTAGTCACCATAAGGTCGCAGACTCGCATCTTGAAGAGAAGGAGAGCGAGAGAGAGAGAGAAAAGATCAGTCCGTTAGACTTTTGAGAATTATCAATAGTAAGGGGTATACAACGTCATCCCAAGTATCATACAGGAGCGGGGATCTGCATCCAAATGCATGCATGCCAAACACCCTCAGGACGCAGACATTTCATGCTCTTCGGTCTTTTCGTGATAGACTCTTCTCAACTCAAAGAGCACCTCGACGGCAATGAGTATGATGATGATCCACTCGAGCCTGGTGCCGTGCTTCTCGCTCGAGATCTCGCGCAGGACAGTCGCGATCTCTTGCGCGTAGTCCATCTTCTGGTTCAGCGTCCGGATGCGCACGCCCACGTCCAGGGCGCGCCCGACCTGCTCGTAGTAGCCCTCGAGGCCGAGCTCCGACCTGCTGTCCCAGAAGATGTCCGGCAGGGAGTCGGTGAGCTCGCGGTAGTGGTTCAGCTGCGCCCGCAGGCTGAGCAGCTCGCCCGTCCTTTGCAGGATGAACTTCTTGGACAGGGTGAGCCTGGCGCCCTTGGCGAGCAGGGCGGGGATGCGCCGCGTGCTCTCAAAGTAGTTGGTGAAGGAGCTCTCCAGGGCCGCGAGCTTGGTGCTGCGGGCCAGGCCGGACGAGAAGGCGATCTTGGCCAGGGTGGTGTCCAGCCTGTCGCCGTCGAGCTCCTCGCGCCGGGTGCCGAGGACGACGACGTCCCCCTTCATGACGCTCGCTTCCCGCGACGGGTCCGACAGGAACTCGAGGTCCTCCGTCTCCATCCGCGAGACGAAGGGGTCTTCCGCAGCCGGCAGGAGCTGTCTGGTCGCCAGCCTGTTCACGACGTCTTGCGGCAGGGCCCAGGTGACGATGGTGCCGGACTCAAAGACGAAGATGTCGCCCTTGTTCTCGCCGCGCGCGTGCACGACCTCGTGCAGCTCGAACCCGGACCCGTCGGGGTCGATGAGGAAGCCGTGCGACTGCAAGATCTCCATCACCTTCTCCATGTCGAACGACTCCGCGACGCACACGGCGCTGATGGTCGAGCTCCCGTCCTTCTCGCTGAGCTCTGCCATGGCCTCGGCGGCCGTCGTCGACGGCTGCCCGGGCACCCTGCCGCCCGGCTGTTGGGCGATCACGGCGACCCTGCGCAGCGAGTTCTTGGCGCCGGCCGAGGGCCGCGGTTTCCTCTTGGAAGCTGAACCTTGCTGCTGCTGCTGCTGCTGCTGTTGCTCCAGCGCCGCCCGCTCCGTCTTCCTGGATCCTCCATTCTGGCCGGGGGAGCTCTCGGAGCCGTCCTGTTGCATCAGCACGTTCGAGGTGAAGAAGTTCCGGCGCCGCGGCAGGTATGCGGGCGTCGTGCGGGAGAAGCAGCGGCCGGCTCTGGGGAGCGAGGGTCGGCCCGCCGGCGAGGCGAGGGGGGGGAGGACGGAGGCGGTCGAGAGGCTGGCGCGCGTGTGGAGGCGGCGGCAGAGGGGAAGGGCTACCTTCTGCTGTAGCGAAGAGGAGCGCATCGTGTCTCCTCGCGAGCCATTGAACACGCAGAGGTTCAATGGGACGTAGTCGGCTTAAAGAAAGTCTGGAGTGAATGCTGTGCTGGGCGGAATCTGCCGGCTTTACTCTGCCTATCATCTGATTCTTCCAGTTGGGGAGACAAATCTAGGGCGTTATCGCTATCGCCTTATCGATAGAGCTCACTGTGACGTTCAATTGAAAACCCACCTGTCACTGGTAGTTACCTGTTTCGGCACTACAATGAACTACAACAGATCAATCATCTTACATCAGGCATCCGACTTCAATATCATCACGACATGCTCAGTTATCAGGAAGAGGTGTGCGGTCTTGGAATTAATTATCTAAGGAAGTACAAGAAACCCTTGAAAATAGCTGAGGGCAAGATCCTGGGGTTTCGTGGTGACAACAACTTCTTAATCCCTTCACATGCTCACTTGTGATTCGCCATTCCCCGTCATCCCTGTCGATGTGTTTGGAAATTGCTATTTGATTGACTTGTAAATAGAATCGTCTTCTGTTGTACTCTTCTGAACCGGTATCCGCATGATCCTGGGCTTTCTGATGGCCGATATCTCGTCCTCGGTCATGTCCGCGTCGTCATCAGACCAGGAACCCGGGACGAAAACGCTCGACTCTCTGCTGTCGCTCACAATGGAGCTCTGTTCATCTTCGTCCCTGCATTCGAGGTCCGGCCAGTCCGGAATCAGCAGCTGTAACGTTTTGAGGTCGCTCTTCAGCCGTAGCTGTTCCTCGAGACCGTCTTGTTGTTGTGCCCTGAGACGACTGCTCTCCTCCTGGGCCTTCTTCAGTTTGTCGGCCATCTGGGAGGCTGCATTGGCGCGGCGCCTGCTCATGATAACCAAGATCAAAAGGGTGATGGTAAAGGCTCCGAGCGCGCAACCCGCCACGACTTGCCAACCGAGCAGCATCTGTCTCATCGGCTCGAGGGCGAACCGTGGCGTGGTACTGGTGCTGTTGCTTTCCGTCCCGAGTTGACCTTTGGTATCCATTTTGGATGTTGTCGTTGGCGCTGTGGTGTCCCCGGTTGCGCCTCTCGCCCACAGAGGTGCCATGAAATGCTCCAGTTTCGGGGTGGAACAGGCTTTTCAAGAGATCTGACCGATCTCTTGTAGTTCTGCAAGGCAAAGACTTCCTTGACGATTGAGAATCTCTTGAGGAATATGACTAAGAAGGGATTGCGTTCAGAGATGTGTATGGTGCATAGGCGTGTAAGGGAAGGGATTTGGCTACAAAGGGCTTCTTATATGCTAAAATAAATCTCAGCGTACCTACAAAGGAATACATGATGAAGTTCTTGTTCATTGCTACTGTCAATCCTTTGTTGGAGACGTGCTTGTTCATGACCTTCATACAAAGTCCTTTGCCTTTGTCTCAGGTGGCCCCCCTATTCTCTTGCCCAGGGATATTGAAACATTTCAAAGAAAAAGCAGTAATATTCTGTTCGTATGACCTTTGAACCGGAAATCCATACTACAGAATCTTAGGGTTTGAATTTCACTCGCAAGTCAAGAGATTGAACTTTGTCACAGCTGCTGACACCAATTTCATTGTTCAGCCCTAAGCTCTATGTGTCGACTCCTTATTTTCTAACAGAAAACACTAGCAGAAACAAGTGTGAAGACTGTCAGAAGCAAGAGCCGCGCCCTTGGAGCCCCGAGGCTCTTTGCCGCACCACCCCTCCTGGTGACCTACACCTCAGGAGAGACGAGTCCGGGCGGACTGGGTCTCTGCGCCCTGGCTCCGACCTCAACTGTTCCCCGACCAATCGCGCCCGGAGGCTGCGGGGTGGCCGCCCGGTCCGTGGTAAAGGGGACCTTGGACTTGAGATTCTCTACCCGACCGAGCAGCACCTCGAGGCTCCGGTAAGCCACGGCCGGTGCATCCATCCCCAGGAAATGCCCCGCTCCGGCCACCGCCATGTACGTGAGGCCGCGCTCAGAGTGAGACGTACCCACCACACCCGCCTCGGCCAGGTTCGCGTGGTCATCGGTGCTGTCGTGGTGGTGGTACGGCACGTAAAGGGCCCCCGAAGGCCGGGCCTGGAAGCCGAGCTTGCCTCCCCACGTCATGTTCTGTATCACCAGCAGCGATCCGTTCGCAGGCAGCGCGAGGTCGCGCATCCCGTGGCCGATGATGACGTTCCTCGTGCGGTCAATGACCGTGGCGAGCACGTCGCGGCTGCCGACGCCGGCGAGAGACCCGTCGACGCCGCCGACAAAGACCGACGTGCGAGAGCAAAAGGCCCAGTCGACGTCTACAGGCGCATTGATCGCCGCCTTCACGTCTCCCCTGTTCAAGTAGACGGGGTCCGCTCCGCGATCTGGAGCGTATGGAATGTCGTCGTTGAAGCCGAGGGGGTCGAAGGGCAGGGGGCAGTGCTTCGTGATGTCGTAGATGCTGAAGCACGGGTTGGAAGCCTGGGCCGCCGCGACGACGGGGTGCCCGATATCGCAGCCGGGGGCGAGAGCACCGTCTGGCTGTATGCCTGGAAGCGTAGCTGGCTGGTGCTCCGTCGGAGGAAAGACTAGATATCGTCTCAAGTACTCCGAGTAGCCGCAGTTCTCAGCTTGGCTCCGCACAAAGTGCTCGACCGAGTCGTTGAGGGCGAGAAGGCTGCTCCAGGTTTCGGTAAAATCCGCGATGGGGATATTGGAGGCGAGCTGGGGAGTAGAGAAGAGCCCGTCGAAGATTTGCAAGCCTGTGAGGTCGAAGTAGTTCTTGTCTCGGGCGTCAAGCATCGCACTAGCGATGAACGGGCCGTACATGCCGCTGTAGGACGAGCCGGTGATGTAGATCTTGTATCCATGGAGGGCGAAGGTGTTGGCGAAGTTCCTCCAGAAACCCATGAACTGTGTGGCAACGTCGGTCTCGTGTCTAGCAGTCGCCTGGCCTTTGGAGAAGCCTGCTCCGACGGGCTGGTCGATCCAGACCACATTAGTGAGCCTGTGCCAGCTCCATGCGTTGGCGAGCGGCCTGGACGTGCCCGGAAGCCAGCTGATGGGGCCATTGCCACGCAGGAGTTCTCCGGTAGATGAGCAGCCGGGCTGTTACGCTCAGTAAGTGTTCGGTCATAGTGGAATGGGCGTTCGTCTCTTACCCCTCCAGATAGCCAAATCACGATCTCCTTGTTTGCGGTCGGATTCGCAGAAGGATAGAACCAGAAGTAGAGCTGGTCGGCGTTATCTTGTTCGCTGACGGGGAGCAAGCCGGCATATGATTCTCCGACATCGAAGTCTACCCCCGGGACGCCCGTGCCGTTGACTCTGAATTCTAGTACACGTGTATGATTAGTTTCTGAGAACTAAATATGCCAGGGAAACTCACTTCGAGTCTTATTCGTCAAAAATGAAGATTTCTCGTTCTGAGACTTCAACCAGGGATGTCTGGTTGGTCTTCCGGTAGCCTCTGAGTCGCCGCGACAAGCTCCGAAGACAGCTGCAGATGTCGAGGCAAACAGCAGCCAAAGGATCCACCACCGAAAGGCCATTCTGAAAACTCAAGATATTGGGAAAAGAGGCATAAACGCAGCCACACTTACTTTGTGTCACTGTGAGTCTTTTGTAAGTGGGAGAGATTTGTATCAACTCGCGAGGAGAGACGGCCGCGCTGGATCATGTCCGTCATTATGGATGAGTGTTCTGGAAGACGCAATTGAATAGGCCCATCTTCACAATAAGGTCTTTATTGATGTCAGGGTAAATGCACTGTTTCATCAACCGAAGGAATGATTCCTACATCATACGGGCAGTCGTGGAGACCTGTCCCCATGACGAGTCGATAAAAGTATCTGATTGCCTACTGAGCAAAGCAGCAGAGCTGGATCGCAGAGTGCTGCGCAAGATACAAGAAAAGACGTATGTGCCTCTACGGACTGATTGGCTGATGTGAGTAACGTGGAGTGCTAGTGAGACGAGCATGACCAGTTGGCGAGATTGGGGATCAATAGCGTCAGTTCAACAATAAAACGTGCACCACCACCCCTATGTTATTGAGAAGAATTTTGCTTTTTTTCAGCCCCTGATAAGATGAAGACAAGTCATTTGACCTACAAGCTGACGAGACTTGAGAATCAAACCCAGTGGCGAAGACAGTGTGAGGCACATGGAAAGGGAATAAGAAAACCGCCGCGAATTAGGCAGATTTTGTCCCCGCCCAAGAGTGTTGAGCAAGGAGGGACACCGCTGATAGCCCCTGACACCTGGAGAAGCGAAAGTTGGTCGATCGACCAGCTCTCAGGTCTCGTCCTTCGCTGCTTGGATCTGAGGATCTTGGAGAAGGATACCAGGGCGATATTGCGGAGCGGTTCGCTGATGGGTCGTCAATCTCACGGTTCCACAACCGATGCGATGCCACAGTCACCCAAGCAGCTAATCTAAATTAGCGACGACAGCTGCAAGGATAGGCGAGAGGAATGACGAAGCCGATGCAGGTTTACGGGACCGGTGAGCCCTGAGGTTCCATGTAGAGTTCCATGTAGAGCATCGAGATGTTGGTGCCAGGCTCCCGCACACTCTCTCGAGCAAGGCCAGGAAGGAAAGGAGGGATCCGCTGCCAAGAACACCCAGGACTTTTGTGCAGGCCACAGTTGTCGTTGACGGGGGGGAAAGTGATCATATGCTGTGTATTAAGCCTTGCGCTTAAGCAGGTTGTCCGATATGTGGTGGGACACGAGGAGACGTAATCCCATGTCTCAACAAAGCCCCGATGCCGTTCCTCAGCCTCCCAGGGACGCTGCGGGTGGTCAGACAAGGGGTAAGATCGCTTCTGGGCGTCGAATGAGCGCTGATCTGGCCCGCCGATGGAAGGCTTCTCGAAGGATCCGGACGATCTGGTCTGTCACCTCAGCTTCCCGGGACCCTGTCGCTGCCTGCCAGCGCTGTACCTGTTTCAGGGCAAGCAGAGCTCGCTAATTTCGCGATGCCAGACTCGCCCCAGTCTGCCAATCTTTATCCTGGCTAGTGAGTTCCATTGCCACGTGCGAATGACGCTCGCGGGCCCCGCTTTCAGCGCGACAGCCTGATCCTAGCGCTCTCTATGGCGGATACGCAACTAACCAAGGATGCTAGACGTGCTAGGGAATTCCCCCAGAGCGAGCCCTGGCGACCAAACTCTAGACAGCCGTCTCCTCCCGTTCCGGCTCAATTCCCCGGTCCCCTGGACTGTCAGTCTCTGTGTCTACTGTTCTTTCGACCTTCCAGATCAGGCAAAGCACATCCAGCCCGGCAAGGAATCACGTCTCTTCGGCAACGCCGATGACCCCAAAATAAAAGTCCGGGGGAGATCGAGCTAAAGTGGATGGATGGATCTGTTGAGTTGGGGAGAGACACCCTAAGGTGAGAACCTTGAAAGGGGGGCCGGCATGTTTCAGACCCCAAAGAGCAAGCGCCTAGCACGAAAGGCGCCTTCTGTTTTCGAGGTTGGCAGATCAGCTCGCGCTCTCAGGACAGTTTATTTGGGGCTCGACCGGCGAAATCGCCGGCCGATGTGTCAGACGGGGGGTGCGCCAGAGAGCACACTGGCGATCTTGGAGCCGCCAACAACGGGCATGAGCTGCAGACGGCGGTCAGCCGTCTAGCGCGGGGTGGCTGAATCCCGCATGCAATCTTTTTGGGCCGGAGCCAAGTTTAGGTAAGTTGAGGTGAGGCTGCTGCAACGGTCTGCGCAAGTAGGCCCGTTTCCTCGCAAAGCGCTGCAGACTGCAGGACATACATGAAGGGTCTGGGAAACGCTAAGCCATGCTGACATGTCCGTTTGGGGGTGAGTCCAAACCAACACGGGCTCATTTCCTTGTGCCGGGGTATGTTCAGGCTTGTTGATGTCGTGATGCATCCGATGGTATTAGTGCCACATCCAACCTGCCATGGTACTAGTGTCCCGCAAAGGTACCTACCTAGGCTCTGGAATGACCGACCAGGGCATCACCACTGGATCGCCTGCCTGCCTGCCTGCCTGCCTGCCGGGGTTTATCCCTAAGGTGCAGGTGTGGGACAACACATCAATTTCAGGGAACCCCTTGTCCAGCCCGGACAACCCTTGTCCATACTAAAGTAGCGTCAGTCAGCATCACCTGAAACGTTGAAACGCCGACGATGTAGATCTTCAGCACCTGTTATGCTGTGTGTGATTGCTCATAAAAAACAAAACGGAGCAAATCGATGCACGTTGCCCGTATTCAGAGGGCCAGACACAGTTCTAGGAGGTAGGTAGGTAGGTACCTTGCCTAGGTGCCTACTACGTACCTGAGACCAAAACTGCGTCCACTTTTGTGTAAGTCGAGGGAAGGATCCATCTCTGATGATTCCAGGGGGTCGTCAAAAGCTCTCCGGCCCATGTTTCCGTCTTCTGGCCCGTGTCTGGCGTCTGCTCCTACTCCCTGTTTTCCTGGTTTAACATCAACGGGCAGGCTTTGAATCTCCTCTGTCGCTGAAGTACGAGCAATCGGTAGCGGATCACCAACGGCACTCGTGCTTGACCCCGAGATTCCCGTTGACGACGGTGGAACATTGATCATTCCGGAGCGGATGCGAGCACACCCGCATCCAGAAGACTTTATCCCACGCTCCCACAGGCGCCCACATGCACCCACTGACGCACCCTCGGCACCCTACACCAGCCTGGCCCTGTAGGGCGGCGTGCAGGGGTCAGAACAGTCGACGGGACCTCTTCATGTCAACTGATCTCACATCCCACCCGTGGACCCTTTGGGCGGGTGGTGGTACAAGTAGAAGCACCCGACGCTACTGCACTCCTCCAGCTGTCTTTCGTTTGCTAGTGCTGCGGATAAGAAGCGACGCCCTGAACACAGCGCAGTGATGGGGGTGGTACGGGACCACAAAATTCGATTGTGAAAGGTGACAATCTCGAATCCCGTAAGACAAGTGCCTGTAAAAATGGCGACGCTACAGACGTACTCGTTGGATTTGGAATATGGCACTGGCACTGCCCCCACACTTCAACGACACATTTGCATCCAGCTTGCATGTTGGTGATCACTTGGCCTTGGCGGGGCTGAGTGTTCTCCCATATACGCTGTAGGTACAGGTACTTACTTTCACACTTTGCACGGTACCGGCCTTTTCTGAAATGCGCGATGGTGGAGCAGCTCTTTGCTTTCTGATTCGGCATCTTTCTCAAGCTCTCCGAGGACAAACTCCAGACGGTCACTGGCGAAAATGACCATAAAAAGGTAGGTCAGTTGCGGCGACCAACATGCCCTCCTGGCGGAAGGCCAGCGTATGAAGTACCAAGCCCGCCGGCATGGATGGCTTGCAACGGCCTTGCTTACCACCAGCGGTACATGTCGACTTCGATCTGAGTTTGTCTTACGAGGAGCGAGCATCCATGCATCGCCTCGGCTGCCCCTGCCCTGTCCCCCGGGAGGCGTCTCTCGCGGGCAGGGAGACTATCGTTCTTCTTCCGTTGACGCACCCACCAGGCAAAGAAAGGCTCAATGCCGGGAAGCAGCACTGAACTGCACATCAATTGATGTCGAGTCCACCTACACACCCCCCTCACCTCGACCCCACACGAGAGGTTGACTCCAAGGTCCCCAAAGATCTATCTGGGGGCCACCGTTAAGGGCTCGTCTGGCGGTCAAGGCCTCGAGTACATGCTCGGCCAATACGTTCCTGGTCCCCTGCAACCGACCAGGTCTCCAGACCACCTAGGTGCCGCACCTCCATCACTGACTTTCCTCGCCGCCCACCCTCCGTGAGATCGTCCAGCCGTTTGGAATCACAACAAGAGCCACCCCAAGGTGGCACGCACCTGGCGGTTCGTTACGGCCCTCCGTTCGGGTCTTGTGCTGAACTAAACGGTGGTCAAACTGGTGGTCGAGTGGACGCACTTCCCTCCCACGCAAAACTATATAAATCTCTCTCTCCTCTCGTTGTTTTTCTCCTTTGTTCTTGCCTTTTTCTCCATTCCCATCATCCTCCTTACCTCCTGGATCTGCCATACATTTCGAGCAAGAAGCCCGCCACGATACTCCTCATCTTCCAAATATGTCTCCTCCACAGAGATCCTCATCTGTTGACGTGAACCTTAGCAACGTTAGCCGGTTCGTATCTTGTTTTGTTCTCCTCGTTTATTGCTGCTCGTCGTCCGGTACAAGGACCAACCATCTAGTACTAACATTTCTTTCACACAACAGCACCGAAGAGACATCTATCGCTGGCAAGACCCAAGCGGATCATGCCACAAAACAGGAGAACGTCCTCCAATATCTATCTCACCCCGATCGGCCCACACTGTTCATAGAGGAGATGTGGGCTCGAGACATCAACAGTGGTGGTGTTGCTCCTTGACCCAGATGCCTTCGACTACAAGCCTAGGGCCTTCACACCAGGGCGAGGGAAGATGCACTTCTTGTTTCCCCAAACCTTCTCCATCACACGTCTACATAACAGATATCACGGCGGGTAGGCTAGGAGTATTTAGAGGTTAACAACACTTTACGTTAGGGGCAGGGGGCAGGGAGGGTATTAGACAACTTACAGCTTGGATTGTGGAGAACAACTTATCCTCGGGGAATGAATGACCTTTTTGGGAGGCGGGATTATGGAAATTTGCAGGTATAAAGTTAGTGTATTCCAAAGTATCAAACTCTCTTGCCTCTTCCACTGTGACTTCCTCTACTCCTAGAATGAGATTAGACTTGCAATCGTACATGGAACTTGAATGAACTGAAAGAGTCCGTCCGTGTGGAGACGTTCATGTCTGGCCTCATGTTGGGTCTGGCCCCAGATGGCCACGGGGGACCGGACGGAAGCTTCGACACAACGTTTAGAACACCGTATTTCCTCCACACGGGCTGTGGGTACCCTGTCTCTGCCCGTGGGCACGCAAATGGCGTCCCCTGCCGAGAGCCTAAGGTGAGGCGTTCGCTGGGATACACAGAAAAAGAAATGTTTCCCTCTCGGCCAGCCGAAAGGGGCCGAGTCTGATCTGTCATGTCTCGGGCGCGCCTGCAAAGTGGAACTCATGCAATCTTACACGCAATTAGGCTCTTGGTGTAAAAGAAGAGCTGCTGGACGGCATGAGGCCGGCCAAGAGTAACAAGAAGAGAATACAAGATACCCGTAGATCCCATTAGCTTTCAAGGGAGCCCAGAGCACGAGTTCAGCTGTCATACAGGTAAACAGCAATGGCCATTCAGCATCTAATTTTGGTGCTAAATACACCCCCATAGTCTGCAGGGATTCAGGTATGTCACTGATGCATACAAGCCATGCATGAGTTAGAGACATTGGCGTGGCCCACTTGGAACTCACGCATCTGCAGGCACATGAGACTGACAGATGACCAACATGGAGCCTATCTCAAAACGGTCGAACTGGCCGGCCATCTCCTATCGGAAAAACCTCGAAGGGTACTGCTGCATTGTTTTCCTTTCTTTTTTTGTTTTGTTTCAAGTGGCTCGGGCGGTCGTCGTGCCCGACTGACTCCTCGAGGCACCGTCCAGGCGTTGGTTGGCTAGGAGCGGCCGGCAATGACATCCAGCAATGGCAACCCGGACCAATCGTTCACGCTCAACACTCAAGCAACCGCGTGCGGACCGTCGTCGCTCTCGTGAATGGTCATTGAGTTCGCAGCACCCGCCAGGTGAGAGTTTCGATCTGCTTATGCCGTTGGAGTGCAAGCATGTCACTGCAGCCCAATGGTTCGCATCTCCGACTCACCGGTCGCCAGTGAAGCACGACGCAGGCCTCCACTGTGTTTCTGTCTCACGATGCCGCCGGAATGCCTTCCCCGTCCACTGAGTCTCCTAATCTCCCGCCCGCTTCAGCGCCCGGGTTGCTCGACATGTGCTGCTAAGATTATGATCGGAGGGGGGTTCTTTTAGGCCTGCGCATCATGATTAGCAGGCCTCGGCTGTGCGACTGCTTGGCAACGTTGTGGCTTCGTCGAGCCCCCCCCCCCGGTTGCGATCCTGAGAGGGATAAACTGCAACAAAAAAAGGCGTTTACTGTGTCACAACTTTTCTTTTCTTTTGTGCCTGCGACCGGTCACTTGGCCGGAAATAGATTGGAGCCCCGAAGGCTGCCATGTTTAACACCGCATACATAGATGCCCTGGCACAAAGTTTTGCTTCTCTCGTATTTCCTCAAAGGAGAGGAGAAGATGCAACTACTTCGCAAGGACCATCTTTGATGTTGTTGCTATGGAATATGCACCCCACGGACGAATGAAGGCCCTTGCCGCAAGCGAGCTCGCCAATCGGAAGCAATGTCAGCTTGAGAACTGTGCTGTGGACGAACCCCCGCGTACGTTCCACCATCCAGCACTGCTTTCCAAAAGGCGCCGCACATAGCCGTGAGGCACATAACCTGTCGCCCTCATCTCGTTGCACCGCATCAGGCAGCAACCTTGTCAAAAGTTCCCGGGGGGGGGGAGAGTTGTCACCGCTTTTCCTCCCAGGCCACATTATGAACAATCTCACGTTTTGGATGGACACAGTGGATGGGATGAGCTGAGTCGCAGATGTGCCAATAAAAAAGTTGGTCATTACTTCCACCACACAAAGACTTGCTCATTTCGCGAGAGACAGAGCCGTTGCGGTGTAGACCTGCGGTAAACCCTAGCCTTCCTTGGGAGGGTTACCAGTGCGAACAGCAGCCCGGCCCTCGGATGCTCTTCGAGAGGCTTGCTTGATCTGTCGAGGGGCTAGCTAAAGGCACACAGTCTTTTCATTGCATCTTGATTGAACAAATCACCCGCTTGGGAGAGAACACCCAACGCGTGCGAATCAGGCCTGAAGATATGCCTTTAAAAGGTTGTTCTTTGAGTTCGATCATCTTTTGCAGTGTCCTGGCGTCCACCTGATAGGTGGAGAAATGCAACGCATAAAGGATCTCGCTCGAAATAGACTGCGCTGTATTGATCACCAGGCAGGGTATTTCCTAAGAAAGGATAAGGTTCCGAACTGCTAGCGCTGGTCGGGGTGAGATGCGACGGTCAGCCACGTGGAAACAAGGCTCAGCTGGTGGATCCGATCCGGCCCGGCCCGGATCTCGTTCTTTGGAGTAGCCTCCCCCACAGTCTGAGCTGCTGGACGGCTTGCGCGGTAGGTTATCTTCCGCCTCTTTACCACCCATGATGCTTTAAGGACGGACTTTCCCTTGATTTCTCATACGGCTGTTAGACCTCACCGTACCAGTAGAGCCTCACTTAGTCTAGCCATCATGACGCATGACGGGGTTCTTTCCGGGAAAAGGAAAGAAGAAAGAAAGAAATTCAAGGTAGGACTCTTAGGGAACAAATTGTTTTGAGAGGAGAAATACACTTCGATAGCAAGAACGTATACTGTAAACGCACGGTCCAGACAAAAGGAGGGACTGGTTGATGAGTGCGTAATCTACGGGTGCGGGTCCTCGCCTCTAGACGACGACCGCATATGCGCTCGTGATGACATCCCTGCCACCTGAGAACGACGGGCTTATTCGCCCAATGACAACCCTGTTGCTGGCGACCTGAGCGCTTTGCATGGGCCGCCAACCTACGTTAGGATTGTGGCCCAAGACACGTGTTCAGGAAGGAATGCTGCTTTTATATTCCTCGGATTGTGCTGTTCATTTCCTTCAAGATTATGGAAATCTTCTACTTGGTCTGGAACTTGTATGTGAATTTCTCGACCAAGAAAAGCCAAGTCACTTACCGCAAATACATGAGGATCACAGTACAAAGTCCGCAGCAAAGGCAAAGATATGTCTGCACAAGGTGCAGATATACCAGAAGCTCGATCAAGTGCGGTCTAGCAGGTCTTCGTATCACCGTTCTTCTCACAAGCAAGCCGTCCAGCCCCTGACGTGTGCTGCTCCCTTCAAGAGCAGGTTCAATGCGCCGACCAGTTATTTGGACTGACCTCACAAGCAACATAAACGGGGCGCCGTCGAATGGACGGGCCAGTAGGCCTCCCTGGTCAAGTTATCGTTCTTTTCGGGCCGCGTTATCTCCCTCCGAGGCGAACTTGCAAACTTTGTTTGCATTATTCTGGAAGAAAATGGTAGCCATGGACGAGACTCGCCGGCCTTCGGTGAGAAATTAGGCGAATTGGAGGATGGCGAGATCTCATTCGGTACGCGAGCCGAGAATGTCACACAAAACACGCGGCACACGAAGTGCATGTGATCAATTACGATGCCCCTCCCCCGCCCCAAAATTTCGATCCAGGCTCGACCAGGGACAACATGAACAAGAGAGGACAGGACTCGGTCGATTCGTGGCAACTTGAATGACCTCGCAAGTCCTTTGCTTTTCGAGTCGAGCCTGCGCAGAACTCCCAGCTCGCCCATTCCCTGCTGTGGACAGGGACGCTGTTCCTCTTGGCATTGCGGCGACGCGGGGATCCTGGAGATACAGGGGATCCAGACCAAACAACGCAGGCACCAATCTCACCACATCATCGCCACACATGGCAACCCTTTCCGAAGGCCAGCCCTCGGAAGTCAAGCCACCGGCGAAACCACCGCGAAAAAGGAGACCCCATACGCGCAGCCGCGAAGGGTATGCACACACCGTCTCTTGCCCTTGCCCTTGATCTTTGCAGTTGGATTGCTGACAGCACAACGCCAGATGCCTCACCTGTCGGCAGCGACGCGTAAAGTGCGATGAAACACACCCGGTCTGGTAAGGTCTAGTTCTCTGGATCGGGACAAGGCCTCCAAAAGGCTCATATCGGAAGACGTGTGCATACGTACTGACCGAATCTGACAACCTAGTATCAAGTGCCTCGTGCTTGGGAGAAACTGCGAGTATGCCGTCAAGACAACAGAGCTCCAACTATCCAAGGCCTCCGCCAAACTCGAAAGCCCGTTGTTCGTTCTCCCGATTGATATGATACTTGCATCGCCTAGAGCCTTCCGTCACTGTAAAGCCCTCTCCACCTGAGCTCTACCTTTTGATGCGGTCCTCACTCACAGTCTCCTTCAGACATGCACCACCGAGACCTTGTCAGAGTCGAGCTACCTACAAATGCGCGTACTCAACGGTAACACTCCCCGAAAATGGCGAATGCAGATGACAACCAGACTGACTGTCGGTGAAAGACCGGGTCTTCCAGTTGCCATGGAAAAGCCGATTTTGCTTCGAAGCATCCTGGTCGTGAGCATTGTGCACCTGAGAAGGAGTGACGGCCCATCTCGGGAAATAGAACAGACCGACCTCATCCACAAGTTGACGGTCTTGGAAGACATCAAACAGCAACTTGCCAGCTCCTCTGCCCATGGAAACGAGTTCTTGACGCTCGTAATTGCAAGGCTTTCCATTGCCGAGGTAAGATGCGTATGTTCTACTCTGATCCGGTGCAAAGAGCTGACAACTTGAGCAGCTCGCCGCCGGGGACGCTGATGCAGCTGAGGCGCACATGCGCTTTGCCTTCTCCTCTCGCGAGACGAACCCATTTGATCAAGTCAAACAACTTCGTGAGAGAACCACTTTGATGTACGGCTCACTTTAAGACAAGCCTATCTCAACTAGGCCAACTGCTAATATAATCGCATACCTGACAGCACGTTTTGCATCTTGCGCAAAGCTTGGGTCTATTTCGTAACTCATGGCTCAGAGCCTGGCCCTCCGACACCACAGGGCACCATGGCGTTCATCCTCATGCATTTGCTTCATGAATTCCTCCTGGATCCCGAGCTGTGCGTGCTGAAACGGGTCCCGGGCGTCGACGTGGGACTACTGCGCTGGTTGGTCAAGTCTCTCAGAGACTGCAGGGACACTGGCACGCCCGTTCCTCTCTACAGTGATCTGTGGATATGGCAGACTGCAGTCAGTGCATACGCACTTATAGTAGGAAGTGTATGGGAAGAGGGCGAGCTAGGGAGCGCAAAGACTGTTCAAGCGGGAACGGAATTGCCAGACCCGCCGGCCGTGGATCAGAGCACAGAAATGGGAATGGGAAGAACTTTGGTCCTTCCGGTAAGAAGCTTGAACGAGACCCCGAGCCCAAGTCCGCATGAACTCGGACGTGCAGAACATCTAAAGCTCAGCACACTGGTGGAAGAGTGGCTACATGAGTGGACACAGAGTCCAAGGATGGTGCAATGGGCCAGAGAGGATGCCATATTCGACAAGATTGAGTGGTTCAAGACAGACGAGGGGTTGAACCTGCTCGAGTACATTATACATCGCGACTCGGGGGTTGAAGACTAGGAATACACGACACTCGACTATTCGAGACTGATTTAGCAATCGCAAAATTCTACTTGAATTATAGAGTCTGGTATTGGTGACCAACTCAACGTAACGTTCAGTGGTCCCGCTTGTCTTCTGTTACCAAATATGCCGGCCCCAAGGCCAAAACTATCGAGTCTCTAAGAGTCCAGGCCAAAGGGGGCCGTGCTTACTCGATGACATCTACTTACTTTAGAGCCGGCAGAGATGAGTTCAGAGCGATAGCGGTGGAGCTGTAGCCCACAAACACAAACTTCTCATGCCCGTTGATCACCCAGTCCTGCTTCTCGGTGTCCCAGTTGCTCACATCCCGCCGAGTCAAGTTGAAGGTGACGGGCTTGGTCTCGCCCGGCTCAAGGCTCACTTCGTCAAACCCACGCAGCACGCCCCAGGGGTTCTCATCACCTCCTAGTTGAACGTACTTTCAAGAAAAAAGGGAATATGTCAGCTACTTATGTGCTGCCTTGTAACAATTTTGTGTGGAATGTGTGTGTTGGGGGAGGGGGGAGAAACTCACTAGCTGCGGGATGTCTGTGCCGGCAACCTTGCCTTCATTCGTGACGAAGAAGTTGAGTGTGTAGAGAACATCGTACAGGCCCGGGTTTCCGCCGGGGGCGCCTCCGGCCGGCAGGATGGGCTGGGCGGAGCCGTTGGTCGTGGTGGTCGGCTGGCTGACGTTGGGACGCCGCGGGTCGAGCGGGCCGTTGATCCAGGGGTAGACGTACGGCTTGACGGGGCGGAAGCCCTCGGGCTGCATGTTGGCCGCCGCCGCCTTGTCGATCTCACCGAAGGTCGGGGCCGCCGGCGTCATCACGCCGCCGCCCGGCCCGTACGGCGGCGGCGGCTCGTGCGTCGTCTCGACCGTCAGGTTTGCGTACCTGAAGCGCGTGTAGCTGAGGCCGAACCCGAACTCGTACACGGGGCCGATGTGGGCCCGCTGGAAGTACCGGTAGTCGATGAAGACGCCCTCGCTGAAGTTCTGCGCGGGCGGGCTGCTCGAGGGCGGCGGGGCCTTGTACATCAGCTGCGCGCCGTAGTCGGCCGCGCTGCGGCCCCACGTGAAGGGCGACCGGCCCTGCGGGTTCACCCTGCCGTAGAGCACGTCGGCGAGGGAGCTGCCGGACTCCTGTCCGGGCAGGCCCGCCCACAGGATCGCGGTGATGTTGGGGTGCGCCTTGGCGTAGTCGAGGATGACCGGCCCGACGGTGTGGAGGACGACCACGGTGTTGGGGTTCGCGCCGGCCACGGCGCGGATCAGGTCGTCGCCGCCGTTCCACAGGGTGAGATTGTTGCGATCGCCGTTGTTACCGTCGATGGTGATGAATCCCTCGCCCGAGTTGGCGTTGGCAAAGACGAGGGCCACCTCCGCCTTGGAGGCCGCCTGCCTCGCCGCGTCCAGGTCCCAGTTGCTCTCGATGTTGACCAGGCTCGTGTTGTCGGCCTCGGCTTGCTTCCTGATGGCCATGATCGGGGAGATTAGGTATGGGAAATTTGCCGTGGCGGACCCATAGCCCATAGCCAAGGTCCCATTGTTGCACCTCCGATCCTCGCAGGCGTTCGGGCCGCCGGGAATGTCTTGAGCATCCTCGCCGATCACAGCTATGCTGCCGGGCTTGACCAGGGGCAGGGTCTGGTTCACGTTCTTGAGCAGAACGATGGACTTGGCGCCGATCTCGCGGATGAGCTCGGCATGGTCTGCCTGGACATTGACATGCTTGTTGACTTCGGTGATGGTGCTGTTTGCCTTGAAGTACAGCGGTCCGACCGTCTGGTTCGGGCTCATCCAGGCCGAAAAGTTGATCTCTGGCCGTGTCGCGAACTTGCCGGTGTTGACCTTGTAGTATGCAGCCATGATGCGGACGACCATGTCGTCCAGGCGCCACTGGGGGACCTCGCCACGAAGCACAAGCTCCGTGAGGCTCCCGCCCCAGAACGAGGTGTAGTATCCTCGGGCGCCATCTCCAGGCATCGTCATATCCAGGCCGGCGAGGGCGGAACGAGCATCGGTATGCTGGGCGTTCCAGTCCGACATCACTGCATTCGCATGGTCAGATGGCATATTCTCTCCGCAACACTTGCTGAATTAGAAGACCTCACCAAAGCCTTGGAAGTTGAGCTCATTCTTGAGGAGGTAGTTTGTCGTCCACTCGTTGTCACAGCTGTACTCTCCGCCGATCTTGTTGTACGAGCACATGACTGATCCGACGCCGGCTCGGACCGCGTCTGCAAACGGCCTGTTTGCCATGGTTAGAGACAGATCTAACTCGAGGGAGACACGCCGGAGGTCTTACCAGAGATACAGCTCGTGCATCGTCCGGTCATCGATGGTCACATCAACGCTACCCCTGTAGTGTTCTTGCTCGTTCAAGATGTAGTGCTTGGCACAGGCGATGACGCCGGCGCTCTGGATCCCTTGGACAGTCTCGGCCATGCCCACGCCCGTGAGGTACGGGTCCGGCGAGAAGCCCTCCCAGTTGCGGCCGCCGGCGGGGACGCGACCCAGGGGTCCTGCAACGGGGCCGAGCTGAACATCGATGCCCTTTCCGCGGAACTCCTCGCCCATGGCAACGCCGCGCCGGCGCATCAGGTCCCTGCTCCATGTGGCCGCGACATTGATTCCTGCCGGAAACGCAGAGTTGCCATCGGCTGCGAGTAGGTGTCAGTCCCAAGGTACTGTTGCAGTGCTGAGGAAGAGATGAAGAGGGGAAAACCAAAATGACCTACTGTATCTAACACCGAGTGGTCCATCCTCGAGGCAGAATCCGCGGAATCCCAGGCGTGGGACTGACCCCGTCATTCCTATACAACGGTCGGTCATCCATCCCGTGCCGGTGGTAAGATTGACCTTTTCGACGAGAGTGAGTTTGCCGACAAAGTCTCGCGCCTTTTCGTATGCCTCATCCCAGCCATGGCCACCAACACCCCAAGGAGAGGGGAAGCCGACACCGGGTGGACCGCCTTGGGCCTGGATGGCAGGAAGGAGGGCGCTCAGAGCGGCAATGCAGGTCGTCAGGCGTAGCATCATGATGAAAGCTCGACGTCGATGGGCTCTGCAGGAACGGTGGGGAGCAAACCAAGTGAGCGCAAACGGATTGTTGACGTCAATGGAAGGTGAGTTGCAAACGAGGTCCTTGATAAGACAAGACACCAGGGATTCTCATCACAGTCTACGCAGGGAAGGATCACGGGGGGTTATCATATGCCGCCGTTCAATTTAATCATCCCAGGCAGGAACCCATAGTTAATTGTTGCATTTCGTCTGATTCTTCTCCCTCGTCGGCACTCTGCCTGGCCGCTGCCTCTGGCGACGCGTTTAGCCGTAGGTCAGATTGAATATCTGCAGACGGAACGCTGAAGCGGGGCGTTGCATTCTGACGTTGGTCCCATTCGTCGTAGCCCGTGTGATTATTGATGAATCGATTGATGTCCAAGTTTCTGTTCCTGCATTACCCGCCGGCTGATGCCGGTCCGGCCACTTAGACGACGAGAACCTTCCTCGCCCACGTCTGGTATATGGGCGCCCGCAATAGTAGACATAGTCGACTGTGTATTTTCGCCGTTTCGGTAGCTCTATTAGTCTACTATAAGAAAGAAAGATACTGGCAGGAAACAAGGCTGTCTGACTGAGATCCATAACTCAAGCTATTCCGAGTGATTCCCTCATTGGTGGGTTACACGTGAAATCGTTGCTTGCGAGCGACGCGCAACTCGGGAAACTATGGCACGAGACTAGGAGACGCCGATCTCTTCAATTCAAAGCCTCGTGCATCTCACTCTCTGTCTGGTAGCATATGCGCTTATCTGGTCACAGATGGCGGTATGGTCGGTTCGCTATCGTGCAATTCCAGGCCGGGAACATAGCCGCACTCTGGTTGAGGCAGCATGCCCACGAGGCGGTCCTTTTGCAATCAGGTAGGCATCGTCTTATACGGGCGGCCGTTTGCCATTCGCTACAGTATGTGAAGCTTCATTCTATTGGACAAGTCTGACACAGTAGAAAAGCTTAATTCACGCCGGCCGGGTGACAGTCGCTTATTATCATCGATCCGGTATGATATTGAACACACCTCTGCATCTTCTGGGAACCCTTCCCCGGCCTCTGATGCCTCCTCAATACTGTCTTGTAGCGAACGGCCTATGAAGATCCTTGCCGACGCAGGAGTTTGTTATCTGGGGCGCGGCCCGATCTTGACGCTAAGTCGGAAAAGCCCCTGGTCCCCATAGAATTAGCGAACGAGCTGAGGTTCTTGGATCTGGAGAAATTTCCAGAATGGGACTAGGTGATCCCAAGATAAGGAAGGGGTCTGACATCTACAAGTACCGAGGCACCTTAGTTGATGATCCAAGTGCTTATGAGTCTAGAGCTAACTATTCGAGGACTATCGCAGCTCCACCAAGATAACACCTTGTCTGTGCGCTATGCAAAACCTCGAGGCGGTGGGCATTGTTAAAAAGGCCCTTGGCTTCCCCTCCCAGTCTCTCATCGATGACTCAAGGTTGGGTTTCTGAGAGCCAGTGCCGCAAATCGTACATACAGCAACAGCAACAAGAACAACAGCCAGCCATGGCTACACAAACCCAGGAGAAAACCGCCGGTAAGACGGACGATATCGCCATCCACCCTGCCCCTACCAGCGGCGGAGTCATCGCAGACGACTTTGACCCCAAGGTTCACGAGTCACACGAGGTGTTCAAAGAGACGAGCGATGGCGTCAACTTTCGAACCGTCAGCTGGCAGCGTGCTGCCGTCATCTTCGTCAAGATTCAGTTCGCCATGAGCATCCTCAGCGTGCCGGCGTCTCTGGCGACCCTTGGAGCCGTTGGCGGATCCTTGTCTCTTGTAGGATGGGGAGCGCTCAACACTTGTACGTCCCGCTGCTGTCCCAGCCGCACCTGTGACAGCCAACTAACTCAAACCGCCATATACAGACACAGCCTTGATTCTCGGTGATTTCCGGAACAGGCATCCAGAGTGCCATAGTAAGTGATGTAGAGCATGTATCCGAGCAACATAAAGGGGACGGACACTTTCGAGCTCACACCAAGCCTCGTAATTAGCTCTTGCGGACATGTGCGGCTACATCTGGGGCACGATCGGCAGAGAGCTCGTCACCTTCCAGATCCTCATCGCGCAGGTGCTCATCACCGCCGCCGGCATCGTGAGCTGCTCGACCGCGTTCAACGCCCTGTCCAACCACGGCGCCTGCACCGTCGTCTTCAGCGCCGTCTCGGCCGCCATCATCACCGGCTTCTCCATGGTGCGCACCTTCAGCCGCCTCGGCTGGCTGACCTGGTTCGGCTTCGCCACCTTCTTCGTCGCCGTCTTCATCTTCGTCGTCGCCGTGACGCAGCAGAGCCGCCCGGCCGCCGCGCCGCCCACCGGCGACTTCGACCTCGGCTTCACCGCCATCGCGTACCCGACCTTTGTCGCCGGCATGACCGCCACGGCCAACCTCTTCCTCTACAACAGCGGCTCGTCCATGTACCTGCCCGTCATCTCGGAGATGCGCCGCCCGGGCGACTACCGCAAGGCCGCGCTCGTCACCGGCGCCGTCGTCATCACCCTCTACCTCACCTTCTCGCTGGTCGTCTACCGGTGGTGCGGCTCGTGGCTCGCGACGCCCGCCTTCGGCAGCGCCGGCCCGCTGTTCAAGAAGATCTCGTACGGCATCGCCCTCCCGGGCCTGGTCATCGGCGTGGGCATCTACAACCACGTCGCCGCCAAGCTGCTCTTCGTGCGGATCCTCCGCGACACGGCCCACCTGCAGGCCAACACGGTGGTCCACTGGTCTACGTGGCTCGGCGTCAACCTCCTGCTCGGGGTCCTGGCCTTCATCGTGGCGGAGGCGGTTCCGATCCTGAACTACCTGCTCGGCCTGGCTGGTTCCGTGTGCTTTGCCCCCTTCAGCCTCATATTCCCGGCCATGCTCTGGATGTACGATTTCAAGCACATGCGGTCCGGTAACGCGGCTGCCAGGACGCAGTACTGGCTCCATGCGCTCATTGTGCTCCTGGGCCTCTTCATGGTCATTGGCGGAACGTAAGTCTCCAAGCAGTGCCCAAAGCCCTTTGTTGGCGTACCCAAGACGTTTACTAATCAACTCTCTCTAGCTATGGCGTCGCTGTTGCCATCAAAGAAGCGTATGCTAGCGGCATGATCGAAAAGGTCTTCAACTGCGCTGACAACTCGGGATCGTCGTAAAGGCTTGTGACATAATGGAGATGAAATATTGTGGAAAGCCGTGAGTATAAGGAGCTCAGACATGAGGTGCTATCGTTGGAAGAGAAGAGGAAACCTTTGAAAATGAATATGGGACGGGGCAAATGTCCTTCTAGCTCTGAAAAACGTAAACTACTCCGATCTGTTTCTTTGCAAACTCTTAGGTACTTAGCGCAACAGTGTAGAGCTAGATCACCTAATTTCAGTAAAGAGACATACCGTTACTCCCACCGTATATAAAAACCCATCACCGCCGTTTTGGACAATTAAAAAGACCGCAACGCAGGCTGATCATACTGCCACCACGGCGAAAATACCTTGGTTTGCTCTTACTTCCAAACCCCCTTGAAAGCACCAACCCACATGCTGAGAGCGCTATACTCAGACCTAGTCATCCAAGCCGTCATCGTAGTGTTGTACTGCGGCTCTTGACCAGAAGCCGCAGTCTCGCCATCCGGCTGGGCCTGTGGTTTAGGAGTGTGACCATCCGCGGAAGTCACCCGCGTGAACATCTGCAGGCCCGTGAAGACGGGTAGCTCCCCCCCAGCATCCGGCTCGGTGACGCATCCGACGGCCAGAGACCTGCTGGCGGATCTGTAAGAAGCCGTGACCAGAACGTGATCGGACGGCGGGATGGAGACCACGGGCAGCGCGGCTGTCTGTGAGAGGCGCCCCTGTGGCTTAGGCAGGACTCTGCTGGGGCGCTTGTCAATGAACATGAGCTGCTGTAATTCGTACGTGTTTCCACAGAGGTCGAGCAGAGGCGCAACATGGGCAGAGATGGCATGGGCAACCTGATTTTCTCTTGACCCGACGAAAGCGCCACACGAGACACATTTATCTTTAATTTGCCCAACTGGGCAGTCCATGTTATGAAGCGGCTGGGATCCGGGAGCTTCGACCTCGTAACCAGCGACGTACAAGTTGGACAGCGCTTTGCATTCAGGACATATTACCAGCGTATCGCGACTATGCCAGGGAAAGCCCATGAAGGCAAGAAACAGTTTCTGGGTCTGCGACATCGGCTGCTGACTAAAAGCATGATAACGCTGCTCGGCAGAAGCGACATGCTCTATATAAGCGTCACGCCGCCCTGGTTCCGCAGCCGCCGCGGACAGATTCGCGGAGCCGGCAGGATGGCTGACTCGAGGCCCTTCCCCTGTGTATGGGGTAGCCCCCGTGCTGCGCGCGTTGTTCTCTGGACTCGGAGACGTGTCCTGGGCGGATGGATAGACAGGTGTCGGAACCCAAATTACCCTATTGTCAGGTGGTGGTGCAAGCCAGCGTGTGAAATGGACTTCATGGACGCGGGCTGGAGCCGAAGCCGGCTGCGTGGATGGCTGCGTGGCGGAGGCGACATTGTGCGACTCTGCGGGGTCTGCGCGCGTGAGCTTCCCATCCTGCTACTCGCATGAATGGGCGGGCGTTTCCCCTACTGTCACCGCGATCCGTTCTCTGATTGGCGTCGCTCATACTGATATTCGTCGTGCGCGCTTCAGGATGAAAGATGACGTAGACCGAGAAGCAGTGGTCAGTCCCGGGGACGAAAAAGACACTTCTGTCCTTCGATAAGAGAAGTTCTCAAGTGGCGGTGGCGCCGGGGAGAAGAAAAGAAAGGTGAGCTGCGAGTTCAAGGGTTGCTGCGCGTCCGTCGAATCACAGCGCAAGGTTGTTATCTTCGCAGCTGGCTAGGGCAAGGCTCGAAATAGCTCCTTCGTCGGCTCTGATGACTCTTGCGCTGTAGTTGTAGACTCAGTCTCAGTAAACCGATATTCTGATTAAAATGTGTAGTTAGTCTGCTGAAGAATACAGAAAGACTACAACAAGTTCCACTCGACATCCCTATGAATAGTGCTATACCCATCCGGCTCTCGAGCTCCGGCATTGACCAGCAACTGAACCATGTCCGGCCATTTGTGGGACGCTGCAATTTCCACAGGTGTCACCTTTGCGCAGGAGCCGCACTCATCGCCATGTCTTTTGTTGATACATGTCAAGGGTTGCACCAGTCCGTTGACATCCGCGCCAGCCTCGATCAGCTTGATGGCCACGTTGACGAAACCCAACGACGCCACAAGCCCCAGAGCTTCAGTTGCACTGGAGCGAACGTCAAGAGACTCGCTCTTGCACGCCTTTATCAGGACATCAATGATTTCTGCTGTGTCTTTGTTGCACCAAACTCCGTCGTAGAACGGTTTGATGAGGATCCGGCTGCTACCAACTTCGGCGCCGTGTCTGAGCAGCAATAGGACGAGGGGAAGACTGTTTTGAAGGCAGGCGACTCCTAGGGGCCATTTCCTAACGTCTTTGTTGTTCTTCTTGTATAAGTATAGTTTGTAATCCTGGTGCCAGTCACGCCGCACATGCAAGTTTGGATCCGCTCCGGCTTGCAGCAGTAGTCTGACGGATTTGGTCGCTGCCGAACCCAGTGATGTAGTATAGGCCCCAGACCTGGAGGTTGCTAGCATAAGAGGCGTCAAACCTCCAAAGACTGAGTTGGGTTGCGCACCCTTGTCGAGGAGAAATTGGACCTTGGCAAAATGGTCCAGCTCGATCGACGACGCACAAGCACGAAACAGCTCCAGGCCTCCATTGTGACCCGACTCAAATCTCGACCCCCTTTCCCACAGAAATTGGACAATCTTTATCGTGCCGTGACCGAGGGCAAATTGAAGAATCGTGTCCTTTTTGGTGACTTCGGGCCAAAAGCTGGAAGTGAATGAATCGTTCGACTTGAGTCCTTTGTCGAAGAGGGTACCAATGAATTCTGAAGAGTTCCACCGCACGGCGAGCCGGAGCAGCTGAGAGCCATATGGCTTTAGAATTTCAGGCCGACAGAGACTAACGATTAAGGAACTCTTCGAAAAGGAATCGCCAAGGAATTTGAGAGTGTCAATAACGTCGCCCGTCAAAGATGCACCGAACTTCATCAGGCAGGTCAAGATTGGATACCTTGTCGGATAAGATATTGCGCGCCTGGTGGCGAATGATATAGCACGAAAGCTTCTTTGAAGAAACCCAGTGTTAATCGTATGCCTCGCAATGGGACAATCAGGGTTTATGCCCGCCTGAAGAAAGGTTTCAACAAGATTCGCAGAACCCACAACGATAGCGCCAAACAACGTTAGCTCCAGCACTGCGGGAGTGACTTCCGCGTTCTTTACAAACGCCTGGAGCTTCTTCAGGCCAGACCTGGCGGCTTTTGTCAAGCTGATGACAGCGCTCCCGGCTGAGTCCGTGTACCCGAGCTGATTCAGGAATGGTGCGTCCATCAGGATACACATCTCCCATGCATTGAACTCCTGGAAACAGACTCTTGAAGGATCATTTCCGTTATCCAGAAGGATTTGAATAACTCTTTGAAAGTCTTTAGTTGGATATTGCTGGACAGGAGCATGGTCTGGACCCTCGGTAGAGCCAGTATCTTGTCTTTCTGACCATTTCAGAAGCGCACTAGCAAGGTACGACTGAATACACCCGGTAGGGCTATGGGTATCTTGCGGCTCTCTCTTCATATCAAAGCCAGCTTCTTCGGTAAGGAATTGGAGTATATCTGGGCCGCAGTCTAGGATCGCTTCCTCTACTGGGTCTGGAAGCATCGTCGCATGGTCCAGTTTTGGACCCTTGAGGACTAAGAGTCTGCAGATGTTGACCTGGCCGGACTTCGTTGCCACGCTGAATAGTGCTTCTGGATCTGCCGGTGAGACCTGAGACACATGGTCCGAGGATAGAACATATTCGATCCTTGCATACATGTTGGCCTTGGTGGACGTGTCCTCCGTGCTACTCGCAGCATAGATGGCTACCTCTATCCATCGCTGCACAAAGGAGCGGAGGAAGGTAAAGGTCGACGCCACAATAGAACGGAGTAGACTGACATGCTCAGCGTCTGAGAACCAGCATATAATACCGCTGAATATCGGTTCGAGGATTGGTATGGATAGTTCCATGGGGTTGTTTACGCTCACAAGCGCACAGAGGACGAGATCCAGCAGCTGGAAGGTATCCGCCCTTTCAACGTGAGCTACCGAATGCCAAACTCGAAGAAATGCATGCCCTCCCTCGCATTTCTGTATCTTCCTCCCGAGGATGATTAAACCATCGACGGACCAGGAGTGAGACACGTGCGACATTATGGGCGACGCGGTTGAAGGAGAGGCGAATGCAGACGCCAATGATTTGCCTAGGCCAGGATAGGAACTTCCTGCGCAACAGTCAGTCAACAAGGACGGAAAGCATAGTTACCCAATCATAATGTGACTAAAAGTCCTGTATCGACGTACCTTGTTCATGCAGGAACATAAGGATTGTGTGGAAGCTAAGCCGTTCTGTCCAGAATTCACGGTCAAGATCATCAACATCGTCGATATTGAGAGGTGACATTGCTTCGTCTTCTTGATCGGAACATCTGTATCTTTCATTGAAGGCTTCGCCAAATGCGACTGGTGATAGGACCTTGGTGCTGTGGATGATTTTCGCAGAAAAGAGCGGTGTTACCGCCTGAGCCCTTGTTCCTTGCACTGCTGTGTAATTATCTCGTCAGTATACTATAGGCACTGGTTTCCCCATTACGGTGCCTTCTCAACACCTAGATGTCTGGGACCCCAGGTCGAGGAAAGAACCAACCTGTTACATGACTATAAGTCGAGTACCGTTGGAGCTCGCGCTTGAGCTTTTTGGCATCAATCGGAACACCGTTCAGCAAAACCTCAGTCTCCTTGCCCTCGTATTTTCGCTTCTCGATAGCACCACTGAGAGCGACCCACTCGGAGGACTTCATCTGCTTGTTAATACCCCATTCTTGCAAAATGCCCTTGAGCTTTCGTGCACTAGAAGCCAACTACAGTGAGTCAAACGAGCAAGTCTGAGATATTTGGGCTGGTTCTAACCCTGTCTCGAAGCCATGTTTATCTTTGAGAGCCTTGACTACCTGTGTCACGCCCAAATTCTCCTGTACGTACAGTCGTATGATCGACTGTTTCTGTTCCTCCCAGTCCTGCTGAGTGTGGTGATGACGCTTCTTTACTGAGCTGGACGCGACTGTCGGCGGACGGGCCGGGCCGAAGCCACTTGCCAGCCCGTCAGGCAACAATGCCTTGGAGGCAATATTTCTGTATCTTGATGATTCCATAGATGCTGTCCCAGTGCTTGGATTCGAATGTACTACAATTTTGACAGACAAGAGATAGAAGCACAGTCTGGCAAAGATAGCGACAACTTTGTGGTCCTAGAGCGGCTCATCTTCGGTATTGGGCATGAGGCTGCTAAGATTTTCACTCTGGTAGCATTGGGTATGGGTGGCTGTGCACCTGTAGGGATGGCTGACCATAGACGAAAGTGCGGCATGCGCAAGGAAACATGCTTTGCAGTCATCAACCAATAACGTGCCGAACAAGAGGGCATTACAGGTCGTTATCCAATCAGGCTTCAAAAGACCAACACTTGCATGTATCTTGCCCTCGCACGCCCTCTCCAAAGGTCAGAGGGAGCGAATGAAACACATAAGGACAGTAGACCTAGTCGGTTGACGCTCGGTGTGCAATATGACCTGCCGTACTGCAAGCAAGAGATTCGAAGTATAAATTGCCTCTGAAAGTCCGAGGAGACTGATCGAAGACGCCCTCAAACTCAACCAAAGTCTCTTCCGTTCTCAAACACTTCCTTGCCATTGAACCCCTTTTCTCTCACTGATTTCGTCTTGCTCCCGTTCAACATTCCTCCTGAGCCCACTACATAGCAGATTTTCCTGTGCAAATCCACCACCAATATATCGTACGCAACAGCCATCTTCACACATTACAACGAGTCCAAGCTGTAGCAATGTCTGCTGCCTTCTCCGTCCCTAGATCAACTAGACTCTGTGCTAATAAGTGTTAAGGTCTTCTCAAGATCAAGAGCATTACCTCGCTGGGATCGGAGCTTGGGCTGACGAAGCGGCATCTGCCCCGACTACGGGCTCGATGGAAGATGAGCTCCTCCTCATTGAAAATGATATGAAGAAGAAGGACAAGAAAGATGGCCGTGAGAAGGGACCTAAGACTAAGAAGCAAGGCCCTAAGAAATAGACCACCGTCATGATATGGAGTCGATGCAAGGATTTCTGATCCAAAATCCCCGGCCTGGACATGTTACTACCAGGCTATCAGGAAGGAGGTTTCCATATTTCATTTATCTTGCTTCCATCAGTCCTATCTTCCCCTCTTGTTCCATCTTTCACTCCTTTCCCTTACCTTTTCTTACACTTGCCTACCTTTTCCTACTTTTCCCTACCTTTTCCTACCTATTTAGCCTATACTGTGATTGATTTAGGGAGTTATCAATACGGCAATCGATGAGTTGGATATGATCAGTTATGTTATGAGGTCATGCTACTAAATTTATTGTTTGCGCTCAAGACATAGCCTTCTGCCAACTATGAATCTCACATAATTAGTGCCTGGAGTGTCGGAGACTTGAAAAGCCCGCAAGATCAATCACACCTGTCAAGTGTGCGCCGTGACATCAACTCAGAGCTGCCCTGCCCTGCCCTTCTTGCCTTGCAAAAGTTTGATTTTGACCAATTTCTAATCTGCATCCTGGACATGAATTCGAATCTGCCTCTTTCATGGGCAAGACGCAGGAAACGAACGAGTCTATAATTCAATAGAGATTTCTGCTCTTGATTGCTTGAGCTCCCGTATCCGTACGGGGAGAAGCAGCCACTCCCTCGGACGCCAGTAAGCAACGAAAAGGTTTGGGGGAATACAGCCTACCACTGAAAGCCAAAAGGAAGAAAACAATTTCTTTCATCATCACCGTCCACCAGAAAAAGAAAAAAAAAAATTGACCCGCAATATTTTGCTAAAACTTGCCCGTGATGCTGCCGAGCAAGATGTTGCGCTTCTGCTTCGACACAAACTTGCTCACGTCGTCGGACCACGCCTGGCTCTGGTTCTGCAGGTTGTCCATGCTGTCGCCCATGATGTTGAGCTTCTCCGTCCTCTCGTTGAGCTGCCGGGTCAGGTACTCGCCCCAGCCCTCCTGGCTCGTGCCCGCGCGGGGGCTCGACGGCCCGCCGCCGCCGGCTGCTCCCGCCGCCCCACCGCCGCCGCGCGCCCGCCGCGACTCTTCGGCCGCGGCCATGAGCATCCGCTTGCTCGGCGGCCTGTCGGGCCCGCCGATGAGCACGTCCAGGTCCGTCGGCGAGACGTACTGGGTGCCAGACACCCACTGGAAGTTGCTGATGGTCGGGCGCGCCGGGATGGCGAGGTCGGGGTTGATCATCTTGTCCTTGCTGTTCTCGTTCCCCTTGCCGGAGCCCCAGACAGGGAGGACGACCAGCTCCGAGGGGCCGGCCCACCCGAAGATGTCTCCGGTCGAAGCGACGATGTTGCTAGCACTCCGAGAGGCATCGAGCATGTTCAAGGGCGCCTTGTTGATCTCTTTGAGGCCAGGCAGACTGAACGCCCGCGCAGTGCGATCGCCAAACACGCCCACGAGAGCAAAGCCGTGGAGTTCGAACTCTGTGACCGCAGCCGCATCGCAGAAGACGTCCTCGAAGGATTTCGAGGCGCCTTTGGCAGAAGCGGGCTTGAAGATGCGAACTTCGGATTGAGTTACTAGATTTGAAGTGTCAGTCTCGAAAGTTCAGCCAGCACAATGTTGCGGTTGACGACTTACCAACGACTAGCGTTCCGTTGACCTGTCGGCCTTCGCGTAACCCCGAGACTGTCGGCCCGGTAGCACCTGCAGGCGCGCCGGTGTCTGCAATGATGGGGTTGATTGACACCACTCTACCCTTGAGCTCTGCTATGCCAGCTAGTTGAGCAGAGTAGCCACCTCCCGAAGGCAGGAGTTTGAACGTCGCCACCTTGCCCTGGCTTGTACCCACGAAGCACAGAATACTCGAATACTTGTCTCCCTCGAGTGTCATAACGCCAAACTCGATGACAACGGGATACTCCTTGGTTGACGAAGAGGCACTCGAGGAGTGACGTCCGAGAAATGACGACCTCTTCTCCGGCTTGCTCAGTTCGGCCATTGATACCTGGAGTATGATCGAAGGGCCGCGCATGTCAATGATGCTGAAGAAGCCGCCCTCTGATCCCGCAGCAACAAAGCCGACATCCGAGACCTGCAATGCGGTGATCGGTCCTTGCATCATCTCGTACAGTGCAAATGGTTGCAGGCCCTCTTTGAGGGACGGCTCCGTCCGCGAGCTGATGTCCGTGATACCGCCGGGATTGGACTTTGGTTCTACGGGATGATCCTGACCAAAGTACTTGTTGCCTCCCCACCTGTAGATGATGACCTCGCCATTGCTAGTTCCAACAGAAAACTCGCCAGTGTTTGATGCCATGGCCATGGAACTGACGTTGACATTGTCGTAGCGCGCTAGGGCCCTGGCGATATCGACCTGGAGCAGATAAGGGTTCTCCATTTCGTCGCCATGCCCAACATCCCATATCCTCACCGTGCCATCGGCGTGTGCAACCTGGAGGATGTTGCGTCCTTCGTACCGGCGTCGCGGCTTCGTTGCCTCTGCGCCTCCTTTGAGAAGAGGCTCCCCTTGGTTGCGCTTCTCCGTCATGCCTAGCCACCTGCCGCGGTCGAGTGTCGAGACCGCAGCCCGGGTAACGAAGGGATGAACAAACACCAAGGAAGGATGCAATTGGTTGGTGGGGCTGATGTGGTACCCAGAAGGAAAGCTGAGGGTGATCATTTCGCCCGATGTAAGCAAGACGAGGACAGCGATAGGGTTCTGCGCACCAGCAAAGTGCGGCGACAAGCGAGGAATCAGACAGTAGTCTGCAACTTGCGCTCCCTGCGGCGTCTCGAGCAAGCTTTGACTCTTTGCCTTGAAATGATCCGAGAGTACCTGCCACGACGACGTCTGGTAGACAGGAGTCTGGCCAAAATCAAGAAACGTGAGACCCTTCTCGGGCGCATCACCGAGAAGTCCACCAGCAATCAACAGGCCGGTGTCGTCAGGATTCTCCTTGCAGCACCATGAAATCCTGGTGAAGGGGTCCAGAAATTTGGGCCGCACGCTGTTGGGGATGGGCTGATCCACCTTTGTGTCGTAGAGTGACCGGGCCATTACCACGCGCCCATCCCGAGGATCCCAAAAGACAAGGCTGCCGTCATCGTGGGCGGTCAGGACGAAGGTGCCCGTCGGGTGCCAGAGCGCGTGGGTCAGTCTCGGTTTCCGGAGCGTGTCAGGCGACTCGCCGTTGCCACCGGGTGCTCCCGGCGGCACAGTGTACTCGAAGTACTTGACTGGCTGGTTCTGCTTGAAAGAGTAGATGACAGCCCCGTACGTGTATCCGATCAGCATCTGTCCGATGTCTCGAGGGTGCAACTGCATCGAAATCAGGTTTGCACCTCTTATTGTCGGGTCCTTTGCTTTCCAGAAGTTCGGGATCCGGAAGGGCGAAAGGCGTTCCCTATCCAGGTCGTAAGCTACCACCTCTCCGTTGGTCAAGCCGGCAAACGCCCAATCAAGCATGGGGTCCGTCAACATGCACGCTACTCCGCCGGCAACGGAACTGCCAGCTATGCGCTCTCCGCTATCCAAGTCCCATATTGCTATCTCGCTTTTGATGTCGAGGCTGACGAGGCGGTTCGCGCAGAATTGCAGGTCCCGGAAAGAGGTCGGTCTCGAGGGCTGGATGATCTTCTCGACTCGGATCTGGCCAAAGACATAGATCTTGCCGTTTCCAAATTTCGTCTCGCTTGTCCCGACGGCCAGAAGAGACTGGACTGGGTCATAGGCCATGCAACTGTTGTACGAAGCGGTTAGCAATAGTTGGACGATGAGCTCAGGAGTCAAGTCAGGCCGCTCGGGTTCCAGATGGATGCGACGGACCTTATTTGCGAATTGATGCCGAATCGCTCTTGCTCCTCCGGGGAGAAGAGGTGTGGCAGAATGGAGGCAGACAGGTCATTCTGGATACCCGCCTGCTTGCCTCTGAGAAAGCTTGCCATCGTGACGGTACTCTGCTGTGGCGATGCTGCTGTTGAAGATTGGACAGCAGGAAGAGGGAGCTGTCGGATGCTGGCGGGGTTGCTGGGTGAAGATAAACTGGACCTGGGGCTTATCGGAACCACCAGGCAACGTCATCAGGCACTAAAAACAGCCGCAAGCGCCCGGTTGAGCCTAACAGATCATCTAGCAAATAGTTAGCGGACCTGCTAGCCAAGGATTGCCGAGTCTGACAGCAACCCAAAACTGGATCCGCCTTGGAAGAGAAAGTCTATGCTGTGTCCGGGCGGCATCTAAGATCTGGAGATGGCATCTCAGGCCTTTGGTGGGCACCGCAAACGGTTTTGATGTGTCAAAAAGGTGTGAGGCCTGCTGGCAAACATAGGAGCGTCATGATCCCCACGCGAACAATTTCAGTGACTGAACCACGGCCAGGTTCAAAGTCCATGTCATGTTCAAGGAGAGGGCAACGCCTGGAAGAAAGGACACTGCCTGACAAAAGTATCAAAGCTTGAGCATGCAACCTCTGCCATGAGGCAAGATAATCAGCTAGCAATGTTCACAGGATTCAAGCAAAATGCAATTGCGATTGCGCAGATGCTATGAATCTCATTTGAAAGATTATCTCAGGCAGAGATATGGTATATTTGCTTAACTAGGGGTATTTCTCGAACCCGGTCATAATTACTTTTTCAAAGAGATGACAAATGTGATGAGGTACTCTATCAACATCATGGTATAATCCAAAACAGCCAATCTATTCATGCACGACGCACAAATGCACACACAGAAAACACTCTCCCAGAGCGAGTATCACAGCCCACCGGGAAAAAGACACTTTAAGACGACTCACGGTCGCCAGTCTTCTCGGGGTTGGCGGCAGGCGAGACCTCGGGCTCGCGGGGGGTGGCGGGCTCGGTGCCGCCGAGCTCCTCGAGGGTCTTGCGGGCGGTCTCGGGGATGAGCCAGGTGGTGAGGAAGCCGCAGAGCATGAAGAGCGCAAAGATCTCCATGATGTGGTTGAGCCAGGGGTTGCTCCAGCGGGCGTCGGTCTTGGCGAGGGTCTTGTCGGCGCCGCGGCTCTTGAGGGGGCCGAAGACGACCTGGGCGATGACGGCGCCGAGCTTGCCCGAGGCGGCGGAGATGCCGTGGGAGGTGGAGCGGTACTTGGTGGGGAACACCTCGGCGGGGATGACGAAGGTGGTGGAGTTGGGGCCGAAGTTGAAGAAGAACTGAGACAGGGTGTAGAGAGCCATGAGGGCGCCACCCGACAGGTTCCAGAAGTCGAAGCCGATGATGCAGAACAGGAGGGTGAGCATGAAGAAACCAAACAGCTGGATGGGCTTGCGGCCGATGGTATCGATGGTAGCGGCAGAAACCCAGTAGCCAGGAACAGCACCAGCCAGGACGAGAATCAGGTTACCAACAGCAGTGTTGTAGTAGACCTTGTACACGTCGGAGCCACCAGACCAGCCAATGGCGTTCAGGATGATAGGGTTGTTCAGGCCAAGACCGTAGAAGGCAATGTCCTGGGCAGGCATGTTAGTGTAACCTGCTCGGGCACAGGAAGAACCACGTCGGAGAACTTACCAAGAAGAACCAGGACAGAGCGGTACCGATAAGGACTCGCAGGTTGCGGAACTTGCCGTAGTGACGAGCAAACTCCTTCCACGAAGCCTGCTGCTCCTCAACGGGCTCCTCAATGTCCATGTGGTGAGCAGCCTCGATGTCGCGGGCGGTGCGCTTGACCTCCTTGTCGACATCGAAGGTGTAACGAGGAGTCTCGGGGATGGTGAGACGGAAGTACAGGGTGATGCAACCAGGGACGGCACCGAAGCCGACAATGATACGCCACATCTTGTCAATAGCAGAAGCGCACACCCAGTTGGTGCTGCACTCGCTGGCCTTGGCGGAGACAGACAGAGAGTCCTTGAAGCCAGCAGTGACAATGAGCAGCATGATGGCGGCAGTAAGCTGACCAATACCCTGCATGGCGAAGACGGCGTTGATCATGAAACCTCTCCACCGGGTAGTGGCGAACTCGGAGGTGATGGTAGCGGAAAGCGGGTAGTCACCACTGCACATATGTGTTAGGGATGTGGTCGATTTTGCATCTAGGTGGCAAGGAGAACTTACCCGACACCAATGCCCATCATGATACGCCAGAAGACCATGAGGCCAGTGATGGAGACGGCAGCAGACTGAGCAGAAAGCGCCTGGGCGAGGGTGGTGAAGATGATGATGATAAGCTCAAGACCATACTATAGAGAGAAGTCCGAGTCAGCGAATTGCTTCATTTCAACCAAGGGTAAAATGGAACTACTCACGATGCGCTTGCGACCGAGCAGATCAGCAATGATACCGAAACCAAGCTGACCAACGATGGTACCAGCAGAGGTAGCAACCTTGATGGCAGTGTCGGCAGAGTCGGTGATAGAACCGCCGAAGTAGACAATACCAATCATAGACGTAACGAGACCGATGGCGAAAATGTCGTAGGAATCAGTGAAGAAACCGACACCAGCAATGAGAATGGTGCGAACATGGTACCAGCCGAAGGGGGCGCGGTCGACCTCGGCGAGGGCGAGGCGGCGACGCTCCTCAGTGTTGGCGATGTGAGCAAACTCGTTGCTGTGGAAGACAAACAGTTAATACGTGGACAGAGCCGCGCGGTGTTCTCACGGGCTGGGCGCACTTGTAGTTCTTGAAAGCGGCGTTACCACCCGAGGTCATGTTGGCCTTGATCTCGATGGCAGTGAGGCCGCTCTCGGCCTGGGCGCCGGTGAGGACGCCTTGGGGAGGAGCCATGGCTTGTCGCTAACGTCGGTGCGAGATTGGGAAAGATCTCAAGCAAGCCAATAGAGATTGACTGGCGTTTGGTGAGCGGCTGACGGTGCTAGCCAAGAGAGCGATGAGGAGAAGAAGACGGGAACAGACAAGGGACGGAAAGGAAGAGCAGATCTCTTATAGATTGGGGAGGGCCCAGCGCCATGCTCTCTCACATCCTTCCCGAAGAAGAACCGCGCTACTGGATGCTTCAGCTAGCCCCATGCCGTGGGCAGAGCCAAAATTTGGGAGAAGGAAAAAAAGAACAGATGCGGCTAGGTATGCCGTGTCCTGTCGTGCACATCGAGCCTGTTGGAGCGTGGGTTTGGGAGCACGGGGGCGTCTTCTAGATGCGTACCTTGGTGTGGAGCAGCAGCCCATCTCCACAGGACGGACCCTGAATCAAGCTATCGCCAAGGACTTGGCCAATGGAAGCCGTTATACCTTGGCACGCCTTTCCACATGCTCGCCAGGTCCTGAGCATCGAGGCGGGCTTCCCGCCAGATATTCGCTGGCCGCTATTATTACTACTGGATACCGAGCAAGACCTAGTCCAATAATCCCAGCCCAGGAATGGGGGCTAAGCAAAGGCACAGGTGGACTCCCTTGTCGACTTGCGCCGAATCAAGGTTGCTAGCCTCGGAATAAGCAGCCCAAAGGGAGACCCGCCGCCTGTGTGCAACGCGTGCCGTGCATGATTGTAACCCACAGGAGGAGACAGGGAACCAACGAGAGATTCCCACTTTGGCTTGAGGAAAACCTTCGTGATATACAGATAGAGACTGCTTTATACCGTTTGGGGCAAGTGGTCACGTTTGCTCTTCTTTCACTTGCACGACGCTGGGCGAGATAGGAGAAAGCTGATACTGACAAGGTCTGGCCCATCAGAGGGATGTCTGACGTCTAGCATATTACCACACCCATACAGTCTGGTCCAGTCGATCAGAGAGTTCCCACCTAGCCCACGACAAGACATGGCTAGAGCCAGCCATGAGGGATTGGATTTGCGCTTCTCATGGCTCGATTGTTCGACCGAAGCCGTCGCGTGCCTGAAGGAGTAAAGAGAAAGGAACCGCCCCCCTCGGTGTCGAATGTTGTTCGGTGGGACATTGTCGAGGTGGTGGGAAGGCAGGTCGAGCTTGACGAGGATGCAGGTCAAAGGCACATTTCGATTCAGCCTCTGGTGGGCTGCGCTAACGTTAATCTCCACGCTAAGGACCCCGGCCGGCTACCCCCAGCCAAGGCCCAATCAGATGCAGATTGGCCAACACGTGTGTAGTTTAAACCAACTGTTTCGCCAACCTCGTTCGCAATCCTGGCGCGAGAATTCGGTCCTGCTGGTCTGGATCCTTTCGCAATGAGAAATGCCCAGACTTTTAGGAGCTGCCTATTCTCCGACCAACACGTCCAGAGTCTCGTCAGCCAAGGCGGCAAGCATCAAGACGACCGAGGGCCAAGTCAGAGCCAAGTCGAAGCCAAGTGTAGCCAAGTGAAGCCAAGCAGATCTGTCGCCAGCTTCCGCTATCACGACATCGTCCTTGACACCTTGGCAACGTCGAGAGCACGCGACCACTGTCTGCTTGAGGATAGCTCAGGGCGCTCCCGTTCACCTGGGAGCAACTTTATCGAGAGGGGGCCGCCTCGCATGAAGCAGGACGATAGCGATAGGGACAACAGACATGTGCCCCCAGCAGAGCCAGACCAATGAGGACCAGCGCTCATAGCACGAAGCTTAAAACTCAAAAAGTCGGACCTTGATCCCCAATTTCTCTGCCTAGTCTCAGAATAACAGGACCAGCTTACCAATTTACGAAAATGTAAAAGTTTGGCGAAGGCCTCCCTGACGGCGCTGATCGCGTGCAAGAGAATAAGCTGTGGGCCCTGCGAGACTGTGCTGCCCAATGAGGCCGGCGTATTTCCCCACGTGCGGTGCCCAGCTCCGGGCACCAAGCTGAGGTGGCTGCTGTATCCGGAAGGCTCCGCCGTGCCGTATACGGACGGTTGGCTGAAGCTGGCTGGCTGTCGGCGCGGTTCCTGCACCGAAGGCTTCTAGCGACAACACCTCGCATGGGGGGTTGCAGCGAAGCTGTACGGCTGGTCGCATCTGCATTAGAAGTAGTCCTTCCGTCAATATCGCGCTCCGTCATTGGGCGCGGAAGTTTCGTCCATCACCACTATGGAGTAGCCGATGCCATATTTGGATATGACCCCAGTCCTGGAACAATTTTGGGCTTCTGGAAAGACCAGAGTCGACCCTTATTCGATGCCGATTTTCCGTTTAATATTGAAGGCACGTTGCTATGGTTCCTCCTAGACATCCCAGAAGGGGGGCCTCAGTGGTGGTCCTCGTTCAATCCGCAGCCGCGGCCGATAGCCGCCGGCATGTCGGGGAACGCAGCTGAGAGCCACATGTCGAGAGATGTCGTCTCGTTGGCTTGAATGTCTTATAACTCATCTTAAATAATGGAGCGACCATTGGCCAGCTCGGACAGGAGACACGTAGGTTTCTCGTTATCCATTTTGGGTGTCTTGATGCGAGGTGGATATCTGACATCGACCTTGCTTAAGTGATATGCATATTTGGAGCCTACCAAGTGGAAGCTCGGCAACTAATAAGAGTCTAAATGTGCGCTTTTGTGTGAATTAGTGATTTTGCAAGAGTCAACCGTCCAGTATGGATGGAGAATGCTACACCCGCGAGTGGCGACGTCGCCCACCCACAGCATTTTGCCTCGCAGATATCCAACAGATCGGCTCTGCGCTAAGCAATGCATTCGTGCAACTTTATTTTGTTATGCTCGCAGGCAGTGGGCCCCTCGAAAGGATTTCCCCCGTTTGCCTTCTCTGCTATATCCATCAATATCTTCTGATATGTTGGACTGCGCCGAAACCTCGGCACTTCTTTTCCCCTTATGTTGACATGTCTGAGTCCTCAGACATACCAGTTCAAAGTTCATAGGTCTGTCAATACGACGGTCGACACGCAAGGCTCATTGGATGGGAGTATACGGCACTCGGCCGAAACGAGAGGTAGCGCCGAGAATCACACACACTATATCATGGCCCTCGGGAAAGAGGCAACATTTTGCTAACATCTCTACCGGCAGCGCATCCCGAGTACAACCTTAACATCTAAACTCCAGGGCAGGCACGACTGTATTAAGAAAAAAACAAAAGCTCTCGTGCTTCTCCAGTGTTCATTCAGCGATTTGGTTCCAACGATAACAGAGCTTCATCAAGACATCTGTCTCACTCTATTGACATGACTCCTGGTCCATTCCCAACGATGAGAGAAATAGACGGTAGTTAGAAGGCGAAGGCGGAAGATGAGGTATGATCACTTCTAAGGACGGCACGAGATGCAGCATCCAGATGAAGCTCGAATGTGTGCCTCTGAACAAGGAGCAGTGATTGCTGGAATGTGAGGCATAATATCAGAGACACGTCCATGATGAACTTCAGCCCCAAATACGCATTAGATCACTCTGTCGTCTCCTCGGAGCAACTGTATTATGCCTGCATTCTCCTGTCCGTACTGCAAGAGCACAAGAATTTGAGTCATTTTAGCAATCACCCAGCCCTAAGACACGGGTTTGTCCATTGATCTACACTTCCAAGTCCCAAAATGACCAGTCCATCTCGATTTTGATTAGGAAGAGCCTCCATCGCTTGCCATAGACCACAATCATCTCATTATTCATAGAGAAGCGTGCCAGGACACGGCGCTGTGCTCGAACGCGCTCCACAATGTGACCAATCAATAGGTGTATCGGAAACCAGGGTGGTAGTCGTCCTGTCAAGGGAGTTCAGTCAGTACATGTTTCTCCTTGCGTGTGGTCGGGAATCCCAAAGCTTACATCGCTGCCCTCCAGCTCCTTCTCGCCGCGATCGGCCTTGCCGTTCTCAATGTGGATGACAATAGTCATGATGCACACCAGGACGATGTTGAAGAGTGCGCAGGCAATGCATGCCCACAGTCCTGGAAGGTACTTCGGGTTGTCTTGAGACCTACGGGAGCGCGGAGCGTCATGTCAGCGGAGTTCATCCAAATGGTCCACTACAGATCAAATGTCTGATTGAGGGCGACAGAATATACATCTGATCATGCTTAGGATGGGATGACAACGTACCTGAAAACCAGACTGCCGGCGATACCGCCCACACCACCGAGACCGACGAGTGTGGCGCTGCAGAATGCACGCTTCCACTGGCCACGGATGTTGTTGGCTTGGTACGACATGGCGGCCGGGACATTCGAGTTGGCTCCAGCAGTCACCAGGAAGACCCCAAAGTATCGGACACCCGGGTTGGTGTGGTAGCCGACGATGGGCAGGCCGATGATACAGAGGAGCATGTTGAACAGAATGACAGGCCCGCGGACCCGGTAGCGGTCACCGGCCCAGGCAGTCGCGTACATGACGATGCCAGCAAGGACGTAGGGCGGCGCGACGAGGCACTGAGAAGTGCCGGCGTCGAACTTCATGTTGTCTCGGAGGATGATGGGCATGAAGAAGGCCAGGGCATAGGTGATGGTGGTGGTGTTGAAGAAGATGAGTCCATAGGCCCAGATCTTGAGGTCGAGGCCGGCGCGCAGGAACTTGGCCAGGCTGAAGGGCTGGGGCTTGGCGTCACCCCGGTCGGCGTTGACGCTGGCCACGACCCAGGCACGCTCCCGTTCGTTGAGGAAGCGCCAGGAGGCACGCTTCGAATCGGGGAAGTCGACCAGAAGCCAGTAGCCAGCGATGCCGAGGAGGCAGGTGACGAGGCCCTCGATGATGAAGATCCAGCGCCATCCGTTCAGGTTTGCAAGGCCCCTCATATGCATAAGTCCAAAGGCCAAGATGCCGGCAAAGGCCGATGCAACACAGCCCAAGAGGTAGAAGAGCGAGTACTTCTTGCCAACCTCGTCTACGCGACAGACAACATTAGTGCTGGGCAGTTCTGAGGTGCCGACTGGAGTGTTGCCAGCCGAGGGCAGTAGTCAAGCAAGCACTTACATCGAGTATACCAAGTGCTCAGAAGATAGACGCAACTCGGGAAGAAGCCAGCCTCGAGGATACCCAGGATGATTCGACAAGCAGCCAGGGCTTGCCAGTTCTTGACAAAACCCATGCCGATCATGACTGCACCCCAGAAGAGGGTGATGAGTGACAGATGGATTCTCGGGCCGATCTTGCGGATGATGATGGTCGAGGGGGGCTGGAAGACGATGTAGGTGACGAAGAAGACAAGGGTGACGACGGACTAAACGTGCTGCGTCTTAGAGACCACGTACTACCTTCAAAGACTGGCTTCCGAGGAGCTACTCACATATCTATTGCCGATCAACATCAAATCCTTGCCCATATCGGCGAGGATGGCGGCTCCAAGATTGGTGCGATCCATAAGCGACACGCAGTACATGAAGCCAACCGTGGTGATGAGGCGGCGGTCGATCCGGCTGATAATCTTCTTTTGCTCCTCGGGGCTGAACTCGGACTCGGTGATCGCGACGGCGTCAGCCTTTCTCTGGACCGGATCCCGCGAATTGGTCAGGTCCATGTTGATCTTCTCGCTGTCATGCTCCATTGTGAGGATTGGCGGTGGCGAGCAGTTGAGAGAGTATAGCGTATATACGTTTCAAGATAGAATGGAGAGGTCGCGGACGCGGCAGAAGAAGAAGAAGAAGGAGCCAAGGAGGATGTCGCCCAGTATTTGAACGCTGAGAGTCAGCTGAGGTGGACGTGACACAGGTCTCAACAGGCCAATTTGACAGAGGCGAAGGTCCAGTCTCCGGTGGGCACGGACATTCTTATGTACGAAAAGGTTATGTCACTCTGCCAAGGGACCATCACAAGGATGGGGATGGGGATGGGGGGTTGGGGTCCGGATACATCCATGAATGCAGAACAACGCACCACCCATGCACATACGCACTGCCTACCTACTCCGTAGGAATTTTGCACTCCCAGGCCACGACGCACGCACCCACACGGCCGAGCTGTGTGTGTGCTGTACGCCCATCCTTTGTCTCCCCTCCTTCCTCTTCGCGTAGATGACGGTCCTACATCCATTCCTGTCGTCTTACCGGCCAACAGGAGAGCCAAATCAAAAAATGGTCCGAGGTTTGGCCTTGATTGGGCGCAGGCGGCGACGGGCAGCCGGTGGCTTTGCACGCGGCAGTAGGTCGACGTATGCGGGGTAACCCCAGTCCCCCCCAGTCCACCACCGTTTAGGACCTGGGCGGGAGCGCTGGGAGTGGCCGCGCTATGCCTGACTGGTCCCTAGCAGATGAGCTCCCCCGCGGCGCTGTCGCCCTTGGCCCAGACCAACTCCATTCATCTCCATCCATCTCCAGTCAACTCCATGCAACTGCCGAATGAGGACCCGTCGAATGGCCTGCCAAGCCCCAGGTGAGATCTCCCCGGCCAGCTTTTCCCAGTCTGTGAGCATCTCCGTCCTCTTGGCAAGCTAATCTCGAAGTCTAAACACACATGGCTCGATACTCATGCGCTGCCCGGTCTTTTTAGAGATTGCGACCCCTCAGCAGAGGCGCGAGAGGGACACGCAAAAGATCCAGCACCATGGTTCTGCCTGTGGTCGGGGAAGCACTCGCATGCACCGAATACCTGGGATCGGATGGGGTGATCAACATGTCTGCGGACTCTTGCGCACGCGCACACTGCTTGTTGCGATGCAGCCATGCCCTGCACCAGGACGTCGGATCCCGGCAGGATGGCAGTGGCTGTCCGCGAGGTTCGTGACAGGGTGTCTCACAGTTCTCATACCAGGTCTCGCGCGGCCAGGCGCTCACCTAGCACTGTGTTGCACATCCCCCCTTTACGACCCTCTATTCCGGTGGAAACCTCCCTTTCGAGCATCTGTTCCGGTGGAGAAACTGCGTCGGTCAAGACACCTCGCCAACACGTCAGTATGGCAGCAGCTGAACCGAGGCACCCCGTAAATGTCTCCGCCCCCCAAGATGCGGAGGTTCGCTAGTCACTCCTTGGCAGATCAGCCTCCAAGGTCTCGAACGCCACCTCGTCTCCTCCTCAGACCATCTGTGTTTGACTGCATTCCATTTTGCTTGCTCAGGAACACGACACACACAATGACTACCTCGGATCCAACAATCAACGCTTGTCCTTCTGCATCAATGCAGTGACCCCAAGCCCAAGCCCAATACCAGTCTATGTCCCACCATTGGTACTCCAGCGGCCTGACCCCTGTCTCACCCAGGAACAGGGGCGACACAAAAACCGTTCAATAGATTGCTTGTAGTGCATCGTGATCATGTCACACCGGATCGGCTGCTCACTTTCAGAGCCTCTTAGTGGCCAATGGGAGAGCGATAGGTGGCGTTGTGTGTGCACCGGAGAGGATGGAAGAAGTCACACAGTGACGTTGAGTGTTGAGGCAAAAGGGGCTCCCTGATGGTCCCGCTCGAATGCGGCTGTGGGCATCCACTGACTCAAAGGGAATGGATATCTAGGGGTGCTTGACAGTACAGACATTGTGCTAAGTGATTGCTAAAGCGGCAGTCGCTGTTCATCGCATTCTGAGTCCTGACAAAGCACAACCAAACTCCAAGAAGGACTTCCAGCGGTTCGCCTCGACTAATGCATCAAAGTTCTTGGTTCCACATTACCAGAGCAGAGCGTATTACTTAAGCATATGACCTCACATGTATTCCCAAGCCTCACCATGGAGTATGTGCAAGCACGTTTAATTTCACCTGCTTGAACATCTCAAAGCACACGCACTCCACAGTGAAGTGTTGAAGCAGTTTTCTGACCTCTATGGCGGCAAAGAACCTGCCTCACAATGATCTGCCATTAATGTTATTTGAGCGCCATCAGAGCCCAGTACAACACACACTGTGAAGCCATTTTAAACATCTCGACAAGTACTCCTGAGAGTATTCCTCCATGATGCGTCCTTTGGTGTCTAGTGTAGTCAATCATTATTGATGGTGTACACATTTATCTGCACCTTGATACAAGCCCCTCGGCAGCCCAGACCCGGCCATGGCTATAGTTGCATGAGATGCCGCCAAGGAAGAGGGCTGAAAGGGTCAAAGGAGAGAACAAACCCCCCTATCTGCTGCTTATTACGCATCGCCCCTTTCAAGCTGGCTTGTCTCCCTCAATCATCATGCAAGCGTGTGAATGAAAGCAATGGAACAAACCGCAGGAGCCTGTCCCAGGTTCACACTGAATGCTGAACTGTGATCAGGAGAATATAGATCTCGGGGTCTCTCACACATTGATGATTTTCACGCACGTACAGATCAATTGACAAGAACTCCGAACTGTGAATGAAAAAGGCACCACCGAGAACTGCTGAATCTGTATACTTTCATCATCTGATTCTGCCCAGTGACAGCCGAGGCAGGAGTGAGTGCCTCATGTTACAATATGTACCCAGCTCCCAAGGCAACTTTGCCGCTGTCCGCTGCAGCCAGTGAATCCCATGCCATGTTGTCACTCAGATGCGAATCTAGATGTTTGGGGCAACAAATCACTACAATTGTGATGGCGTTATTTTTATGAGTTTCTTTATCATTTGAACAATAGCGTATACCTGCAGAAGTGTGTGTTAATACCGAGTAAATATAATTTACAGAACGAGTCTTACAGGGAGATGTTGTGGCCGACGACTAATTGTTTGCTGGTGGGTGAATTGCAGAATCGCATGCCCATGGCCAGGTTTGCTTGCTCAGATATCAAACTATTTGCCAGCACTGACAATTCTGGCCATTGACGCACCTCTGTTTTTTGTTTTTATTTGCCTGCCTTGTCAGGTACCTAGGTATTCTCCAGACGCGTAAAAAAGAACGAGCGTCCCATTCATCGACCTCGTTCTTCCCTCCAAATCCTTTACCAGTTCTATTCAGAATCTGCCTTTTCGTTCTCACGAGACCAGCTTCTCTCTGCTCGCCATTCAGGCCTTTTATCTCTCCCTCACTCCATCCTTGAGAATCGAACCCATCTGGTTTTCAATACCATTCTCATATCCTCAATACCTGGTAGGTACCTGTCCCTTCTCGCGTCTTCTCCTGCCCTCCATCTCGATTCACCCTCACTTCCGACGTCACAATAGCCTCTGATCTCGTTCCAATTGAATCGATCCAGATCCTTCCCTATTCACTGCCTGCCGTTGAGGCCTTCTTTCTTCCCCATCCCAGCTATAAAAACCCTCCTCCTCCCCGCCCTTCCTCCAATCTCTCCCTCCTCCATCCACACATCCAAACAAAAATCACCACCCCAAGCAACAAGCCCTCCAAGGCGCGCCTGCTTCCTGCACGCCTGCTTCCTCTACCTATCTTAGGTACTTGTTGCCTTGCAAAACATCTTCTACCTTTCTTCCACTTCATCTTCTTCCTCTCTCCCATCTCCACCAATCCTGTCTCATACCCATCGCACCTAAGCTCATTCTCAACAGCCACTGTATCTTCTTCGTCTTCTATCTCCACACCTTGTCCTCAATCATCAGATCAATCATCATCGGCTTCCAAGGTAAGCAGGCCACCACAAGCCTCTCTGCTGTCGCGTCAAGACCTCCTCCATCCCACACCACCCATCCCTCTCTTGCAGCCGACCCGCAGTCTTTTTCTCCTCATCTTCGACTTCACCTTCACCTTCACCTTCAAGTCAAGCCAGCCTGATCAGACCCTCTCCTTCCTGTCCACTTACCTCCTCACCCTTCCACATCCGCGCCTCCCATCTGCCTACCTTTTTGAGTGCGATCTTGTCAACTTCCCACCCTCCCAAGCACTTGACCTTGCACTAAACTCCCTTCCCTTTCTACGCTTACCCATCCTCACCCTTCTTCTCTTTCTTCAACAACATCTTCCTACTCCTATCTCTTCTCCATCCTTGCTAACCACAACATCAGAAGCGCATCGGCAATAGCCTTCAATCATCCATCACTCTTCTTGATTGAGAGTACTCGAGGTAAGCATCATCATCTGTGCGCACTGCATGAGGCAATCTCCTCTCCTCATATCCATGCGCCCATCCATCTCACTCCTTGCCGACATTCCTTGTTTCTTTCCAACACTACCTATAAATTGTCTTACCAAGCCCTCTTCTCGCCTCTTGTTCACCTTGCTCTATTTGTTCAAGTTACTAACCAGTCATGCAGACAAGATGCCGAGGAAGAGCAAGAACAAGAACAAGTTCAAGCCCCTCGACTTGTCGGCCGTCGGCGGCTACGATGGCGGCTCCGACACTCGGTCGGACCGTGGTTCGCAGCACGGCGGTTCGCAGCATGGGGGCTCTCAGCCTGAGGGCTCCCAGTCGGGCACACCTCGTCGCCCCACCCGTTCCCGAGCTGGCTCCGGCTCGTCGACCCACTCGAGGACTTCGCAGCAGTCCTCCCACGAGCAGACGCCTTCTCAGCCGTCTACTCACCAGCGGACGCCTTCTCAATTGTCCACTCCCCGGCGGGTCCCTTCTGGTCCTTCTGGTGGGTACTTCCCGCCCGATCCGGTTATTGTTGTGCCCCACCCGGGCATGCTCGGGGCCGTTGTGAGGCCACCTCAGGTTTATCCTCCTGAGATGACTTATGACTCTCTGGAGGACCCTCGTCCCATACCTGTTGATCCTGCGCAAGTGGCCGCAGATGAGAAGAAGGCCAAGACTCGACGTCTTGATCTTCCACCCGAGGCGTATGCAGAGGTGAGAACTTCCTGGAACTCTTGCCACTGGCACATTCTAGCTAACGTCTTATTTAGATCGGCAAGACTCCTCGATTTGCCCCACGCCCGGGTCTCAACACTACTGGACAGGCATGCCGTGTCCAAGTGAACTCGTTCCGTGTTGAGACTATTACTCCTCACGTTGTGCACACTTACGACGTAAGCTCTCTACCAACTTCAATCCTCCTCTTCCTTTGCTCTTGCTGACCCTCTCTGCAGATCCAAGTCTCGCCTCCTCCCACGAGCCTCGTCGTCTACAAGAAGCTGTGGAACTCGGAGCCTGTCCAGCAGACTTTGAGCAAGTACACCAACCTCTGGATTCATGACGGCAACCGGCTTGTCTGGTCCAGGAACAACGCCAAGGATGGCATCCGACTTCATGTCGATCTCGATGCTGAGAGCGGCCAGGACCCTCGCACTTCCAAGGGCCTGAACAGGTTCCAATTTACCTTGAAGCGCTCGGGACATGTCGACCTCACCGTCTTGAAGGCCTACCTGGAGCGGAAGTGCGACTGGAGCGAGAAGGTTCTCGAGGCCATGAACTTCCTCGACCATGCTCTTCGCGACGACCCGAGCAAGCGTCTGGTGGCCATTGGCCGCAACTACTACGACGAGACCTTCTGGCACAAGTCGTTGGACAATTGTATCGAGGCTGTGAAGGGCATTTACGCCGCCTTCCGCCTGGGGAACAACCTGAGCGTCAAGGGCTGCACTGGCCTGGCAGTGAACGTCGACGTAACCAACACTGTCTTCTGGTCAGGCCAGGTCATGGAGCAGGTGTTCCAGAACTTCTTGGGAAACCAAGACAAGATGTACTACGGCAAGTCCATGTTTGAGCTGTCGGACCTTCTCATGGCGGTGAAGGAGCGCAACCCCAAGACCAAAGAGTGGGAGTTGCACATGTCGCAGTGCTTCAGGGTTCTGCGCAAGATGCACCGGCTCAAGTTCAACGTCCGTCACCGTGGCAAGATGGAAGACAAGAAGCTGTATACCATCAAGCGCTTCGCTTTCGACCCTGAGCGCTTTGGCAGGGAGGGTGGACACGCCAAGAACTACACCTTCACGATCAAGTCCACCGGAGAAGTGCGATCGGTCTACGACCACTTCTTCAAGCAGTACAACATCCGCCTCCAGTTTTGGCGACTGCCCCTCATCGAGTCTACCCGGGGCGGAGCATTCCCCATTGAGGTTCTTGAGATTCCGCGCTTCCAGCGGTACTCTTACAAGCTCGGCCCGGACCAAACGTCCAGCATGATCAAGTTTTCGGTGACTCGACCCAAAGAGCGACAAGCAGCCATCATGACCAACGTCAATTCTCTTGGCTGGGACAAAGACCCGACCCTGGCCAACTTCGGCATCCGCATCTCGAAGAACATGCCAGTCGTGAATGCACGTGTCATCGCGGCTCCCGAGATCGAGTACAAGGGCTCGAGGGCCAAGCCCGGCACGTCGGGCCGCTGGGATCTGAGAGGCAAGGTGTTCATGAAGGCCAACGAGCGTCCACTGTGTGCATGGGGCATGGCAGTCGTTGATATGGAGGTTGATGAAGCCTCCGCTCTGCGCTTCGCAGATGCCTTTATCAAGGCCTACAAGAGCCATGGTGGCCGGGTCACAAACCCGAGGCCCTGCCTCCGGTACTCCGACTATGGCGATCCCATGAATGTGGTCTTCGACGGCATCTATGAGGCCACATGCAAGCAGTTCAAGACCACTGTGCCTGACCTCATCTTCTTCATCTTGCCGGTCAAGGAGCAGTTTTCGTACGAGCGCCTGAAGAAGAACGCCGAGTGCCGGTATGGCACCTTGACGCAGATGGTGCTCCGTCAGCACGTTGTCAAGGCGTCTCCTCAATACTGCTCCAACGTGGCCATGAAGGTCAACTGCAAGCTCAAGGGCATCAACTGCCGTACCGTTCCGCCCAAGGGCATGAACACCTTCTTTGGAGCCCCGACCATGGTCATCGGTGCTGATGTTTCGCACCCTTCCCCTGGTGCTGATGATCCGTCATTCGCAGCAATGACCGTGTCCATGGATAAGGATGCAACCTTCTTCGCGGCCTCCTGCCAGACCAACGGCTTCCGCGAGGAGATCATTCGGCCTACCAACATTGAGTCTATGTTGACTCACGTCTTCCAGAAGTGGGTGAAAATGTTTGGCACAGGCCCTCAACAGGTCTTCTACTTCCGTGATGGTGTTTCTGAGGGCCAATTCGAACAAGTCCTCTCATACGAGACCCACCAGCTTCGAGAGATGCTGCTCCGGGAGACTGGCGTCAAGCCAAAAGTCACCACCATCGTGGCCACGAAGCGCCACCACATCCGCTTTTTCCCGGAGCGCGGCGACCGGAACGGCAATGCTCTGCCGGGAACTTTGGTTGAGACGGAGGTCACTCATCCTTTCCATTATGACTTCTACCTCTGCTCGCACGTCGCCATCCAGGGAACCGCCCGCCCTGTCCACTACCACGTTATCGAGGATGACGTGAAGATGCCGGCTGATCGTCTTCAGACCATGATTTATCAGCAGTGCTACCAGTACCAGCGTTCTACTACGCCGGTGTCCCTGCACCCGGCAGTCTACTACGCCCATCTTGCTGGAGCCCGTTGCCGTGCCCATCAGGACATCTCGAGCGACATGAAGAACCCGTTCTACATGGCGCCCAAGAGCTGGTTCGCAAAGCACGATGAGACTATGACCCCCAAGGTCGGTGACGACGCTCGCCCCATCCTGCCTTTCGGCACTGAGAAGGCGGACCAGCGCAACGTGGAGTTCCTCAAGTACTCCATGTGGTACATCTAATCATCCCCAGCACGTCTGCGCGATAGACTAGGCCGTGGCCATCACCACAGCTCCCGTCTTGGCACCGCATCCCCCCCCCCAAACATTCACACCACTGCACCTTACACCCCCTTCTTCTCCTCTCCTGAGCAAATCTAGAGATAGCTCCTTGAGTTGTCTGCATGTATGCGCGATGGAGGTACGGATCTGATTGACACAGCACAAAAATAGCCCCAAATAGCACACAAATACAACAAAATCGTTGTGAAAAAACCTTGCCAAGTGAAAGAATGTGATCACGCATGTGTTCTATCTATCTGCCTAGAGTGACTTGACCCGGACCATGTGTCCTCCTCCGCAGGCTTGAATCGGACATGCCAGGATGAGGAGACTGGCCTCAAAGAACGCCCAAGTCTGGTCAATGATCCTGAGTGTAAGTCTGTAGGAATGTAAACTCTGCTTGTGCAGGAGTGCTCTGGATTGAGGGTCACACTTGGGGCAACAAGATGGCGGGTCAAATTCCCTGCCCTTGTCATGGTGGTGAACAGGCTATGTGCAATCGCTTATTCACATCTGTGCCGGCAATTCTATGGATCTGCTACGGCAAGGTGCCCATGAATAACTACGGGCTAGCCGTGATATCTGAAGGGGCCGAGAGGCGTTGAAACAGCTAGGTTAGTGGCGATCAGGGGATGTGGGCACAGAGGGTACTGGGGACGGAAACCTTGTGAGATGGATGAATGGGTGAGTGGCTGACAGCTGGAGCATGGACAGGAGGAGCGTGAACGATTTACTGGGCCACCTGTGATCACTGTGAAGTCTGCTGATGTGCTGCCGGTCCATGGGGGAAGCACACAGGGGGGGTGGGGGGTTTCTTTATTGGCCGAGACGGGCAGACTGGTGGTCTCTTTTGTGTATCTCGCAAAGCTAGATGGAATAAGAGCCATCTTGGCGGTGCCAAAGATCTAGCCATTTTCTTATCCTCTCCCAATTTTGGTTTTATGGGCGAGAGTGCTGTGTGTTCTACACAAGGGAATAAAGGCCGAGAAGAAGAAGAGGGATGCTTGCTGGCAGAGGTTGTGCTTTGTCGCGAGCGAAGAGAAGAATGTGTTTCTCCTCCTGCAGAGTCTTGTTTGGGCAGATCTCTTGTCAACAAGTCACAAAAAGCCCTAAATGAGCCCACTGGCAAATGAATCACGACAACAAGGCAGAGCTTAGATCCCTAGACGAGATAAGATGTAAAGCATCAGGGGAAGATAGTCGTGCATTGCCACAGAGGCGCCGTGGCCCATCTCATCAAGATTATATAAAGCTAAGTAATACAAATGCCTGGCACTCCGGGAAAAAAAAAGAACAGAGGCTTTTTCAATTTTCTTTTAACCCCAGCGCTGCCGCCTCATGGTCGAAAGGCCCGCGACGACAGCGTCTCCCTAATATCTGTAGCCACCATACGGCGGCTGTCCCGGCTGCGGCGGGGCCTGCTGCTGGTACTGCGGCACAGTGTAGCCGCCGACCTGGGGCGGCGGGGCGCCACCGTACACCGCGCCAGGAGGCGGCTGCCACCCGGCGGGCGGGCCGCCTCCGTCGTATCCCGCCGCCGCGGGTGGTGGCTGCGCGTAGGGCGCCGCGTATCCCGCCGCGGGTGGAGGCTCGTAGGTGTCGCGCGACTCTGGGCGCAGCGACGACTGCCGGTACGTCGCCGACGACGGCGCGACCCTGCCGCGGTCGCCCGAGTACGGGCTGAGCGGTCTCGCGCCGCCGCCCAGGCCAGGCGAGTTGCGGCCGTAGTCGCCCGAGACCTGGCGCGCGTGCTGCGGCTGGGCCAGCGGCCGGCCCTTGCGCGAGTTCTCCCAGCTGATGAGGTCGGGCACGTCGGTCTGCTGGACGAGGCCGACGAGCTTGGCCGGGTTGAAGCGCGGGCTGTGGGCGTAGGCGGCGGCCGAGGGGATCTGGCCGAGGAGGAAGGTGAGGGACGTCGAGATGGGCGCCGGCGCGCCGCCGGCACTGCTGTACGCCGAGGAAGATGAGGGTCCCTGGCCCTGTAGGCGCCGCTGCTGGTCGAGGCGCCTGCCCGCTGCGCCCTTGAGCGGGGACTGCTCGCGGACGAACTCGCGCTGGTCGCCGCGCAGCATCTTGCGGGGCGGGTTGGCTGCGTCGTCAAAGTCGTCGGACGGGAAAGGTCGCTTCGGCGAGTTGGTAGAAGCCGGAGCGGCTTGGATGAACTGCGGGCGCGGGCTAGCTTGTTGCTGCGCTGGCAGTTGCGTTCCAGGCAGAGGAATAGGGATGGGAATGCGCATGGGGTTAGGGTCGTTGATGGAGGGTGGCTCGAACCCTAGAGGCAGCTTCGGCTTGAGCTGGGCCGCGGGGGAGACGATGATGAGGGCGTGGACGGGGTCGAACTTCTCAGAAGAGTAACGGGCACTGAAGCGCGCCAGCTTGGGGTCTTCTGGGTAGAGTTCGGCCATGCGCTTCTCGAGCTCGGCGACGCGGGACAGATCGCCATACATGGACTCGTGCTTGTGGACATAAGCGATGAGCGGCTTGGCCTTATTGACCGTCTCTGGCTTAGAAGCGAGTCTATTGACGCAAGTCTCAAAGGCGACGCGGGAGTCTGTTTTGAGGAATTGTTAGACTGCGTCCCGCACAAGGTGATATAAAACAAATGCAATACTTACTCGTCTTATCGTTTTGTGAGATCAGGTACTTGATGTACTCTATCATGAAGTAGGGATCTTCGGGGAAGAGTTTGGCGCCACGCTCGAGGATCTTACCGCCAGACTTGTCGTTGTAGCATTTCAGCTCCATCTTGGCAACGGCAACGTAGATCTCGCTGCCGAGCCTGCCTCGCTGCCGTGCTTCGTAAAAGACCTGACGAAGGCCGACAATCGGACCCTTAGTGTCGCCCTTGCCGTGAATGCGACGCATAGCCCTCGCCAGTGCGATCCAGACGTGGGTCAGTGTCTTGGAGAGGAGGTCAGCCTGGACGGAGAACCCTTGCTTGATGAGCTTGATCTTCTCCTGCTTCGCGTTCTCCTTGGCCCCCTTGTCTGAGCCAGCGCCGTCTTCGTCATACTCGTCTCCCTGATCAGCTTCTGCCGAATCGGCGGCGGCTAAGCTCTCTTCCAGCTTGGTGATCTCCAGCTTTTCCTTCTCCTTAAGATTCTTGAGAAGAGTGTACAGGGTGTCGAGGATGTTGTTGTAAGGAGCTCGGACGGCGCCTGCAAAAGCTATCCTCGAGTCCTCTGAGTTCTCCACAGGGTACGTGGACTCGATCCGATCGGCCTGCTTGAGTGCCAGTAGAACACTCTCTGGGTTCGCTTCGATACCATCGGCCAGGAATTGCGATCCGGCCTCTTTGCCATCCTTTGTGATGTTGTTCTCGAAGCACCACTCCGCTGCGTCGACCCACATCTCAGGCCAAAACCTCAAAGCCATGAGAGCCTGCTTGTAGCAGTAGAGGATTCGCTGTTGAAGGAGATTCGGGTCATCGCCCTGTAGATCCAAGGGATCTGACTTCTCCCACTCGATCCATCGTTTCCAGATCTGCACTTGTTTCGTGAACTCCTCATCGCCCTGAAAGCCGGGCGCTGGGGGCAATCTCGGAAGGTTGGTGCGCTGTAGCTCGCGGATGATGTTGTCGAGTGCAGTGTTGGCGCTCTTGGCGGTCATGTAAGAGGGAGAGCGCTCGGCGAGGAACTTGCGGCCAGTCATTTTGTTGAGACCCATTTCAAACTGGTCGTACTCCTTCCACAGCTGGTTCACGTTGGATATGGGAACACACACTGCCCTCTGGTAGGCTTTGCGAAGCTGGTCCATCTTTTGCTGATCTTGCCATCCACTGCCGCCGATGGTTCCGGGTCCGGAGCGGATGAATTGGATGTAGTCCTGCCATATCCTGCCAGAATCCTTGTCCATGCCAACATTGTCCAGTACAAATTCGTAGGAACGGGTGACGGTGAGGCGGGCCTGTCCGCTCGTATCACTCAGGTCGTTGCGCCGCCGAATGTAGTCGAGATAGACAGTCCACAATTGCACGTTCGGCACGCTTTGAAGGGACCGGGTGAAGATGCCTTCAGCGGCTTGGAAATCACCCAATCCCAGCTCCATCTCAGCGTATTTGACCCAAATATCCGCCTATGATAGTTAGTTCAGCTTGCTCTTCGCTTCTCATGGGGATCCAGGGACCTGGATTGGCATGGGCTGACTTACAGATTGAGGAAACACCTCCAAGAAGCGATTGTAGACAGACCGTGCCTCATCTAACCACTGCGTTCGTTGATGCTCAGCGATGAGGGCGAGCCACGAGTCCAGCGCCCCACGTGGGTCATCCTTGATGCGTGCCTCCAGGAGGGCAGTCGTGTCGGTCATCTGAGGCGGATTGGGTTCCGCCACGGACGCAGATGCACCGGGGGCAAGGCCATATGCGGCCATGCCGGGATGCGATATCATCTGAGGGGGTTGTGGAGCGTTGGAAGTCACAGCGGCAGGCTCCTGAGCGAGCGCCTGAGTCTGAGCAATGGGTTCTGCCAAGAGGCCATTAGGGACGGGGGTCTCGTCGTCCTCAGAGTCGGAGTCTCCCACTAGGAAGCCACCGGCGGTCTTGCGCTTCTTGGGAGCGGGTTGTGGTTCAGGTTTGGGGGACTCGTGCTCGGCAGGATCCTGAGGAGGCTCGGCCGCGATTGTGACGGACTCTGGGTCATATTCACCCACATCATCGGCAGCACCATCATTTGATGGAGAGTCACCAGAGGCACGCAGAGCTGAGTCAACTGAATATTCAGGTTCTTGAGCTTGTTGGTCGCTATGCTGTGTATCAGAGGGGTTGCTGTCCCCGGTAGTATCAAAACTCTGCTCCCCTTCCCACTCAGCAGAGCCCTGTGGCGCAGGGTCACCCTGGGGCATCTGCTCAGCCATTTTGTGCGGCGACCGTAAGATCCAGTGGGATTCGAAGGACGCAGGTCGGCAAAAGGGATCGATAAATGTTGTCGGTCGGATAGTGGAAGGTGATAGGAAGAAAAGATTGATTTGCGCGTAAAGGTGGACTATGGTGTCAAATTCAACATGACAGTTGGGCGAGTCAAATAGATTGAGGGAAATAAAGGCGCTGAGACGAGAGCCCTGAAGCGGCCCGAGGTATGCCAAAGGACAAGAAAGAGCCCGTCTGATGGTTGAAGCGCAACAACGAAATGGCAGACAAAGAAGATGGATCTGGAACAGCGCTCCTGCGATGACACGTGCGAGCAGTCGTTCCAGGATCTTGTGTTGATGCTCGGCGAGAAGGCAGATTCCGAGGACCGGACAAGTGCTTGCACAAAGTGCAGATGCAGATGTCGGCAAATTTCTCGACTTGTCGTGTCGTTTGGAGAAAGGAGGGCGCGAGGAAGGATGTTGGGATTGCGGGTTTGGACCTCGAGAAACAAGCCGTGAAGCATTTGCATGGATGCATGTCATAAAATTAGCCTAAGGCAGGGAGAGGAGAGCTCCTTTGCGCCGCGCTAGACCAAATCCAGCTCTAGTGGATCCTTGCACCAGCGCTCTCTATTGTTTTATTTGGGGGAGGCTGGCAACTGCTGCTATTGATTGAAACAGGTGGCCCGTGCTGTGCTCCTTGTAGTACTTGTAGTACCTACAGTACCTATGTAGGTAGGATAATGTGCCCCACGTTTGGCGCGTCCCCCTCTGCCCCCCCAAAAGGCTGCAACCACTTTACGCGACTTTTTTGAGCGAGACAACAAGAAGGCGGTCACCACCAGGCGCGTCCTCCAACTTGCGACCAGCCAACTCCCATTTCTTTTTTTGACGCTGCCTTCACTTATCTACCAGATCTCGCCTCGCCCTCTCTCCTCCATCAATTCCACTCTCTTCTGATTTTCTCTATTGAAGCAACAAAAGGGCTATTCAGCTTAGCTGCAAGTCTGATCTCTGTCCTCGCTGTGCCCGCCCTCTTCGACACCGGCTTCACCGCACAACTGGAAACAACACCAGATCCAAACCCGCCACCATGTCTGTCGTGTCGCTCCTCGGGGTTCAGGTGAACAACAACCCCTCCAAATTCACCGACAAGTACGAGTTCGAAATCACCTTTGAGTGCTTGGAGCAGCTCGAGAAGGGTATGGCAGTTGCTTTTGTTTTGCGCCCATGATTCTCTCCAGTACATTCGCTAACATTGGCACGCATCCAGATCTTGAGTGGAAGCTGACTTATGTGGGATCCGCCACGTCGTAAGTAGCCCCCTACCAGTCTGTCTCTCAATAAGAGCAATCCCCTGACTAGGCTGGACAGTGATCAATATGACCAAGAGCTCGACTCGCTCCTTGTCGGCCCCATCCCCGTCGGTGTGAACAAGTTCATCTTTGAGGCCGACCCCCCAGACACGAAGCGCATCCCCGAGACCGAGATTCTGGGTGTTACTGTCATCCTCCTCACCTGCGCTTACGATGGGCGCGAGTTTGTCCGTGTCGGCTACTATGTGAACAATGAATATGACTCGGAGGAGCTGAACGCTGAGCCCCCGACCAAGCCCATTGTGGAGCGGATCCGGCGCAATGTGCTCTCGGAGAAGCCCCGAGTCACCCGCTTCGCCATCAAGTGGTAAGGAACACTGTTTCTAGACGCTGTACCCATCATAAAGACTAATCAACTTTGGCACACAGGGATTCCGAGGCGTCTGCTCCCGCCGAGTTCCCTCCCGAGCAGCCCGAGGCCGACCTGGCGGCTGACGAGGAAGACTACGGCGCCGACGAGGCCGCCGAGGACGAAGAGGAAGCTACCGCTGAGAATGGAATCGCCGAGGCTGTCAACGGCGAAGAGGTCAAGGGCGAGGATTCCGCCATGGCTGGCGTTGACGAGACTGCCGAGAACGGAGCCGATGAGGACGAGCTGTCCGATGAGGGCAGCGAAGACATCGAGGGCGAGAGCGAGGACGAGATGGAGGAGGAGGAAGAGGAGGGCGAGGGCGAGGGCGAGGCCGCTGGCGGTGATGAGATGGAGGTTGACACCGACGTCAAGGCCGATGCCGCACACCCTGCCCAGGTTGCTTCGCACTGACCTGTCTAGGCAGCTCTGCACAGCCTTTCCCTCCTTCCCTCCGCTACGATAGACCCTCCACACGTTGGTCAATGTTTCACTGCTCTCGAGTTGTTTGTCTCAGCGCTTGATGTTTTACGAGATGGGATTAGGTATTCCACGAGGCTTGGGAGTGATAGGGGGAAGCTGATATCAGGAAAGTAATGTCGTTATGTGGATTATGCGTGGCAGTACAAAATGGGGGCTTTGAGCCGAGGTAGAACAAAGATATCCTAGTGGTGGTAGACGATAGATGAGATGACGAACCACAATGCTTTTCCATATCTGCCGTTGCAACTTGAGGGAGTGATCAACGAGGTCACCTGGCCCTCGTCGTGTTGGATTTACTTTGCGCCAAGACCCTACCTAGTCTAATGTATGTATGAGTCTTGGGGATGATAGCGGGCTAACGCCAGCGTCGGGCGCTGAATTCCGCGTCCGTCAGACAACTGGAGGCTGGCAATGGACACGCTGCGGATATCGGCGGGATTGGCGATCTAGGGATTGGCCCAATGCCATGTGCACCGAATCCGGGGCCTGGGAGAGGCAGTGGAGGGCAGCCTAGCGCCACTGCATGCACGCTCGTTAGGCACCGGCTGTGAGGTGCACATTGCATCCATTTGATCAGACATGTGCATTCAATCAACACGAACCTCATGGAACACCCAGGGCGGGATTGCTGCCCGTTGGCTTCTGATGACGTGCCCGATCGTCAATTGGTAAGCATCCTACCTTGTTACCGCATGCATGTGTACATGTAAGTTATGTCACCCAAACAAATTGCATGCGCCCCTCTCCTGCAGACACCCGATGCGGTACCCACAGGCTCGCTCGGTCGACTCTTTGGTCCCGGTGTTGCTCAGTCTTGGCCAAATACTTTATCTACCTGTACCAGTCGCGACCAGTTTCACCTCGTGCGAACCCCAAGCTTCGCTGAGAGGGTATTACGACATGCAGGGCGGACGATGCATGTTTGCCGAGAGCTCCAAGGTGTGCTCCCAGCCAGTCGGATAGGCTCGTGCTGTCCCCCGTCGCGCTCCTAGTTGCACAGCGTGATCAGTCGGGGCGTGCCGACGACACACACCAGTGCGGCTGAGCTGCTACTGCTCCCTCTCCCAAGTTCATTTGCTCTCGACGATACCGGTGGTCAGAAGAATTGCCAAATGGCAACTGCCGACAAATGGAGACGCGAGCCGGCCTCTACCTAGTCAATCCCAGTGGTGCTCAACTTCTCAAGGTAGGGGCCGATGCCCGCCTGTGTGCCCGGCCGCCGGCCACTCTCAACTCCAGTCTGGTCTCTCCCTCTCTAATTGACCTGTCATTTCTCCTCCTCTCCGGCCTAGGCCTCCTGATAGCTCCCCCACGTTCGAACATTCCCTTTTCGTGCTGACCGACGGCCGGTGAGGCTGAGCCTCCTTGGTCAACCTGCCCGACCTATCTGTTTGTCTGACCAGACTAGGCACGTTTTTGTTTTTGGGGCATTTCCCTGGGCATTTGGCAACGCTTCATTTTCTTCAAATATGGCAGATGGACCAGGTTGCTTCGTTCTTTCCAAGATTGGTCTACTACACCTTCCATCCTCTACTCCTGTCCTACCTCTCGCTCCTCTTACTTAGCAAACCTGCCATCACGCAATCACCCAAGTCAAATGATTGCACATTGCAAAGTTTGCTGCTGCCTTATAGGTTATTGTTGCTAGTTGTCTCACAACCGTGAATTCGTTATATCAATACCATCAATACAACAAATTGCTTCGGGGTCCGTTCTTCAGTGACCATGGCGACTCGTCACCGGAGTCCGGATGAGCTCCTGCGTGCTGTAGAGCAACACCAGGAGCAGTACCTCCGCAGCCTCAGAGCCCTGCACGAATCCATGTTCGCCGTCCGCCAGAGGACCAACAGTGGCGGGCTGAAGATGGAACGCACGGGCAGCAATGATATTGCCTCGGGCTCTCCCACGCTCGCCGCTCTCCATGGGCCTCCTTCACCCTTGCCGCCACCCGCCCACACCTCGACCGGACTGAGCACTTCGTCTCTTCAGTCCGGAGGCCACAAGCGGGGACGACGGCGGACGAACGAGCTCGGCGACCCGGCCATGGCCCTGGCCGCCGTCGGCGAGAAGAAGAACATACCCGTCTCGCTCTATGAGGCAGACTCGGATGTGGACGATGATGATGTAGCTTTTATCCCGCTCTTGCCACCGTCGCAGTCCACTGCCATTCCCGAGTACAAGGTTCCGTCTGTGCAGCGTCCATTGCCCGCCTATGCGCTGACTGAAGATGAATTGGACTTGCACTTTGACCACATCGAAATGTCCCCCCAGACGGAGATCTGGAGGAAGAGACAAGACATGGCTATGCCCGACGTTTTCCGTGACCTTTCTTTACACTCGGACGATGCCGACCTATACAAGAATGCCACATATGAAGTCTACGATGTTGGACGAGAGGCTTTCCCCAACGCACTACATGACAACCGAGGCAACGCGGACAATGAGACGCTCGAAGCACGCGATGTGTGGAATACTCTCAAAGTCAGCACCCCCTCTATGCAAAGCCCAATACCACCTGAAGCGGCCGGAGACTAACGTTTTGTAGGAAGTCAACACGCACGGCGATGCTGTTGGAAGAATGACGTATGGAAAAGTCTCCCATCTGGTCTCTAGGTCCATGGTAACAGTCCCAGCATCCTACAAGAACCATCTCCTGCCATACTCGGCATCGCGCATGCAACCCTGAGCCGGCACTTTGATATGAACGAGCTTTATCAGCATCTTATCACGACCGAGGGCAACAAGGGCAGGACTAAGGTAGGCTGAGGCTGACCGATACCATTCAGCGCGGCAACGAGATGCTGATATGCCCAGGCTTACATGAACCGGCTCTTTGAGCCCGATCCCATCAAACGGCAAACCTTCTTCTTCGTCTTCAAATACTACACCGTCGTCAACCCAGGAGTCGCGCCCTCCCCCTGGCAGCACTACGACTACAGGCCTCCCGACCGGAAGTCCATTGATCATATTGACATCGCAGAGTGCAGCTCCGTGCTCGCGCTTGCCCTCATCGGCCCGACGATCAAGGAGATACACCTGAGGAGCCGGAAAAGAAAGCCCGTGCAGATCGGGCACGTCTCAGACCCGTTTGCGCCGTGGCATCTACTCAATATCCAATGCTTCCCTGACGACCGGCACTCGATCAGAGTAGAGGACGCCAACCGACCGCTCTACTCGGGCCCGTATGCCTTTCTCGACGCGCTGGCGTCGGAGTACAAGGATGCCGTCAAGCGCAACATGCAGCTCAATGAACTCATTACTGGGCTGATAACACCTCCGGTGCGTTGATGCTCGCAGTCATCCATGAAGTTTCTTCTTTAATCGGCTACTGACACCAAATCTCGGCACGCAGAATCAGTTCATCTTTGATGTCAAGTTGCGAGACAAGCTGCTGTTCGAGGACAAGGACTTTACCTACTCGCGCAGATATTTCTGGGCCTACAACTCGCTGGGCGTCATCAATGACGGCATCAAGGCCATGAGGGATGCGTACACCGACACGTTCAACGACGACTTCTGGACGGGTCGGCACCAGACGCTGTGGCCCCTGTTGGAGCTGTCTTCGACCGAGTCGCTCAACTACCTCGACAAGCTGAGCAGCTTGAGGTACGAGCTCAACAAGGCCGTGGAGGACTTGGAAAAGGTCCAGTTCAAGAATGAGCGCCTGCGCAAGGAGATCATGAGTCTTAGGGAGCAACTCTTCTCTGGCAGCAGCGTCAAGGAGAGCCGGCGGGCGATCGAGCAGGGAGACAACATCAAGATACTCACAATGATCTCGATGATCTTTTTGCCGCTGACGTTTGTCACCGTGAGTCTTTTCCCTTTCTCTTTCCTTGTCTTTTGGTTCCCTCTCAGTAGTTTATTGGCCACAAACTATCCCCATGATGGAAACTGACAATACGCTTTCCGCAGTCCGTGTTCGGCATTACAGAATTCCACTACTCGGCCGAGGACTGGCGCTTTCCCGTCGTGATGGTCTGCGTTTGCGTTCCCTTCTTCGTCTTTGTCGTTCTCCTGCAGACACGCGCCGGCATGGGCGCGCTGAAGAGAGTCGGGCACGCCTTTGACGGCCTGTTCACGGGCGACCGGGTGCGGAACCGCCGCGAGAGGCGGATGCAGCAGCTCGCCCTCGAGGCGCAGCAGATCCAGGCGGCAGCACAGAGCAAGGACGACGTCGCCTCGGTCAGGGCGGGCCGGAGGAGGGCGAGCGTGTTCCGCGCTCGGTATCCGCGCAGGGGCCGGCGCGGGGCGAGTGCTGGAGCCGGAGCCGGAGCCGGAGCTGACGAAGGGCGGAGTGTGAGAGCGAGCAGCGTGAAGCGGTGGTGGAGGTGGAGTCGGCAGGGGAGAGAGAAGATGCGGGCTATGGAGGAGGGTGGTGTGTAAGAGGTTCCTTGGCTTGGTAGTTTTGGGCATCTCGACGTTCATCGAGGTGGTTGATGGTGATGATGATGACAGCGACGATGATTGACTTATGTACGATTTACGATTCTTCATGACTCTATACGATATCCTAATAGCTGACCCATGCATGATGTAATGAATACAGGCGCGAAGACGTGCGCCCATTTTTGCTTGCGTTGGTTCCCCCTTCTCTATGCAATAATCACACCCTTCCGTAGAGTGGACCTCGTTCCATCTGCCCGTACATACAAGATATCCATGCGCGCGCACGAGAGAGGAGGTGGTCGCCTCGACCTCCAATCTCCTATGATGAAACCACGACCTCGAAAGAAAGCCTCTTCTGCCTCATTCAGATTTTGCTATTGCTTGACGCCGTCGACCTTGCCGTCGACCGTGCCGTCCATGGGCGGGCCCTCGGTGCTGCCGCCGGCGCCGGCCGCGGCCTTGTCCCGCTGCCACTCGTCGGGGGTCTGGCACTTTGCGCTCCAGGCGTGTATCCGGGCGATCTCGTCCTTGAGGGCGGCGTTGACGAGCCGGTGGCGCCTGAGGGAGTTCTTGCCGGCGAACTCGGGGGAGACGATGAGGGTCGTGAAGGATTGGCCGCAGCCGCCTGTCGTATAAAAGCTTAGTGAGCGTTCTTCTTCTTTTCTGTTCTGGTTCCTTTTGTTTGCAAAGAGATAAAAGGGCAAGGGTGTGCGGCGCATTTGGAGGCAAGAAGGTAGGTAGGTAGGTACCTACCGGACATGTCTGTGACCTCGACGTGCACGGCCTTGAGGCGCTCCTCAATGGCGGCCTTGATTGAGGCCTCTGTGATGTCTGTTGACTCCATCTGCGCGCTGGACTGCTTTGCGACTGTTGCGCGCACGATCTGCTATAAGGTAGCTATGGGGGGCGGGCGTTTGAATCGAGGAGGGAATTGGGATGCCCTGCAGGATTAGGTAGTTGGGTGATGATCTGATACGATTAGAGTGTTTCTCTCCCGTAGTCTCCGTCGTCGGACCACAGACAATTCCCGTCGCGTGTTTTCCTGTCGTAGAAGTATTCTGGCTATTGATTCAAGTGATTGCGCAGAGTGGTTCGGCATGTCGCAATCTACCCCACGTTGGATGATGGGAAAAGAGACCCCTGCTTTTTGTCAGCAGCATTTGCGGCAGAGGGCGCCGAGAACTCTCGGGGCGTTTGCGACGTCATATTTTTTTTTTCGTGGAGCTCTCTGGCTCTCTGGGATCAACTGTAAGGTTCAGAGTTTCAGTGGGCCCGAGCTTGTGACGGAGGGCCCCCATAATTGCAATTCAGCAGAGCTTGGGCACCACTGAGCTTGAACTCGGAATCCCATGTGTGTGTGCAGCTCAAAGAAGATACTATCGACAGCTTTGCTCTCAATGAAAAGTGCTCAATGCCATCTATGAAGCTGGCCTTTTCATTTCTCACTCGACGGCCAATTCCATCTCGAAGTTTCCGCGCCATCTCTGGTTCTGCAGCGCTTCAATCGCCCCCTCTGGCATCTCATCCAGGCTGTCACTCGCGTCGTCTTCATCCTCCGTCTAGAAGCCGGCCCTTGTCCACGACTGGCAAGATGAACATCCAGAGCTCGACCTTCACCGAGCATGTGGTCAATGCTATGAGATCGCTGTGAGCCGCATTGGCATTTCTTCACTCTACAAGAAGCACATACGCTAACATCTCTTCTTCAAGATACCCCGAGGAGCTGGCAGACCGTGCCTGGGACAACGTAGGCCTCCTCCTCGAGAACTCCGAGCAGGCCTCCGAGGCTACGCCCACAGTCCTCCTGACGAACGATCTCACCCCCGAGGTCGCAGAGGAGGCCATCGCCAAGGGCGCCTCCGTGATCGTCACTTACCGTAAGCCAGAAGAAGCAACCCGTGCGTGGGGTTGCCAGCAGCAGCAGCGCTGACAACCACCACAGACCCCTTCATCTTCCGCGGCCTCAAGTCCGTCACCCTGCGCGACCCGCAGCAAAAGATCCTCATCCGCCTCGCCCAGGCCAACGTCGCCGTCTACAGCCCCCACACCGCCATGGACGCCGCCCTCGGCGGCATCAACGACTGGCTCGCCGACATGGTCGTCCGGCCCGCCGACGGCTCCGCCCCGGCGGCCCGCGAGGCCGAGCGCCGCGTCGTGCAGCCCGTCGCGCAGCCGCCGCCGGGCTTCGAGGGCACGGGCTACGGCCGCCTCGTGCGGTTCGAGAGCGCCGTGCCCTTCGGGGCCGTGGTGCGGGCCGTGGCGCGCGGCGTGGGCGGCATGAGGCGCGTCATGGTCGCCGCGCCCAGGAGGAGGCGGGACGGAGGAGGAGGAGGAGGAGCCAAGGCGAGCGCGGACGAGGTGTCGTCCGCGGCGGTGTGCGCGGGCTCCGGCTGGGACGTGCTCAAGGACTGCGACGCCGACGTCTTCGTCACGGGGGAGACGAGCCACCACAGCGCGCTGCGGGCGGTGATGCTGGGCAAGCGCGTGGTCATGGTGTTCCACAGCAACTCGGAGCGGCTGTTCCTCAGGCAGCGCCTGCAGGGCCAGCTGCGGGACCACCTGCGCGGCCAGGGCGTCGAGTGCAGCGTGCTTGTGTCCGAGGCGGATGCGGATCCCTTTGAGATCTGGGATGTGGATGACATGCCTTGATCGGGTGGGGGCTAGGGATCCGAGTTGTTTGGACAGGTACATATCATGGCGAGGTGGTTTCGGGGAAGAAAAGTAGGGGGGTTATATGTTCAGGTCAATAATGCCATGACAATGAATGATCAAGCGCTTTGGTTCCATTTCGTCATATTTATGTGCACTCGCGGTCATCAACTCGTAGCAGAATCCTCTCCTCTCAGTGCTGCATCTCCTTCCCGCAGGCAGGCCTCTACATCCGCCCCGCCGAGGCCCTTCTCCCTCCACGTCTCCAGCAGCCTCCGCGGCATCGCCCACGCCTCCCGCGCCTCGTCCTCCCGCCCCTCCCGCACGAGCTTCCGTATCCTCTCGGGCGCGGCGAGCACCTGCACCGCCAGCTCCCGCGTCCTCTTGCGCCGCGCCGCCTGCTCGTCGTCGTCGTCGTCGGGCGGCGGCACCGCCCTGCGCAGCTCTTCCCTGATGGACGACGCCTGGCTGTAGATCTGCGCTATCGCCGGGTCGAGCGTCGAGGCCATGGGGTTCAGGGGGTCCATGTTCTCCCTCATCTGGCGTACGAGTTTTCGCTTCACGTCAGCATACATACATACATACATACACGCACGAGACGTGTGGCACACCCGTGTGAGGGTACGTATCTCACCTTCTTGATCGTCTCGGTCGCCGCGATCAGCTTGCTGTAGTTGTCGTACACGAGCGCCTTCTTCTCGGCGTCGAGCGCCCGGATCTCGCCCAGCACGCGCGCGTACCGCCGCAGCAGCTCCTCGAGCCCGCAGCCCTCGAGCGCGCGCTTCACGTACCCCTCGGCGTCAAAGTCCGGCCGGTCCATCTCGGACGCCGGGGCCAGGCCCGCGGACCGGGGGCCCCCATCGCCGCCGCCGCCGCCGCCGCCGCCGAGGCCGATGCTGATGCCCAGCGCGTCCTCTGTGATCTCGACCGTCGGCGTGTCGGGGTTCGCCGCCTTCTTGAGGTTGTAGTACTCGCGCAGCGCGGCGCGGTTGCGGCGCTGCTGCTGCTGCTGCTGCTGCTGCTGGCCCGCGACCGGAGGAGGTGCAGAGGAGGACGCACTGTTGGGGTTGGGTGAGCCGCGCGGAGTGTCGAGGCTGGGCCGGGTGGAGGACGTCGGTGTCGTGAGGATGTTTTGCGAAGAGGGGACGCGGCGCGGGTGGCCCGGCACCGAGTGGTCTCGCGGGGAGGCGATAGTAGACATCTTGGGAGGTGGTCCTCGAGGAGGATGGGATGTCGAGGTCCTCCTTGAGAGGGACTGGCCGCCGGTCAAGAGCTAGGGGTGTAGGGGCTGTCGGAACTCTCTTTGATGATTTGGATATTTATCTCTAGGATATTCGCCGGGGGGGTAAATTGGCTCACACTCGTGCAGGGAGAGGTTCGGGAGTTGGCGAAGATTGAGTAGGCAAGGAGAGAATTGAGTGCAAGCTCCAGCCCGGAAGACACGATGTTCATGGCAGGCAGGCCATCACTGCACGCTGAAGGGTTGGAGCTAATGCAGCCGGAGGAGCACTGACCTCTGCGGCTGCAACGCTAAATGGCCGACTAGTCCAGCGCCCCCGCTAGCGGGCCGGTTCCCAAGTTCCGGGGTCCCAGGGTTCCAATTGTCTCAGTAATAAGCCCTTGCACAGCACAACTATCACGGGCTCACATGAAAACACCCCTTCGCTCTCAGTATCAAACTCCATGCCCTCCATGTAAAACAAGCTACCACGACACAGACCATTATCCCTACTTCCCTGCCCGCATTGCCCAACCTCTCATCCCTCCCCCCCCCAGAACCGCCGAAAAGAAAAGAGAATGGACCTCCCCTCCCAGATCCGCACAGCCCTGACAACAACCCACTCCCTCCCTCCCCCGTCCACAGCCTGGCTGCAGGCCCTCCTCTCCTCCCAGCGCCACCCGCCCCCTCCCCTGCCCACCCTCGTCGCCACCGCCCGCGCCCGCCTCCTGGCCGCAGACCTCACGACGCCAGGCCTGCTCGACCCCGCCGCCGCCGCTCCCAGCAGCTGCTTGCCGGCCGTCGCGCCCAGCGTCGCCGAGGCCCGCCTCCCGCGCGACGCCGTCGTGCAGGTCCTCGACGTCGAGAACCTCGCGCGCAGCCGCTGGGACCAGGTCGAGGAGCTCGAGGCCATCGAGCGCGGCGAGCAGACCCGCGGCCGCGAGGTGGTCCGCCTGCCGCCGCCGGGGAGCGAGGAAGGCGAGGACGACGACCGGGGGGGCGCCGCGCCGACGCAGCAGCAGCAACCGCGCGGGCCAGCTGCTGCTGCTACTGCTGCTGCTGCCACCACCACCGGTGCAGGAAGCGCGGGTAAGCCCGCGGGCAAGAATGCGACGCACAGGGTCGTGCTGCAGGACTGCAAGGGGCAGAAGGTGTTTGGCCTGGAGCTCAGGCGCCTCGATCGTTTCGGCGTCGGGGAGACGGTCATCGGGGAGAAGATCGTGCTCAAGGCCGGCACGGTGGTAGCCAGGGGCGTTGTGCTGCTCGAGCCGGCGACCTGCAAGCTCTTGGGCGGCAAGGTCGAGGCGTGGCAGAAGAGCTGGGTCGAAGGGAGGCTTGCGCGGTTGCGTGAGGCCGTCGGTGCAGATCGACGATAGGTTGGAGGAACGTGGCATTCAGGGCATGGCATATCACAGCGTTACAGCATAGAACAAGGCCCGGGAGGGGAAAGCGTCAATGATACCCATTTGGCATTTTATTTTCATTCGTTCCACGTTTCCTAACACATGACTGATGTGCTTCATACATACATATGGACATGATCAAGGTCTGTTTACTTGTCACTCTTTGCTCAACGCCCAGAAATGGCATCTACCATCGACTCCCATCCTGCAGCAGACCAAGGGGCGATCATGAGCGCCCTCTGTGCATCGGCTGCCTTTCTCGTGCCAGAGTGCGCAGCCGCCAGCTCATCCGCACCGAGCTGTCCACGGGGTGCAATACCCTTGAGCGCAACGCGGAGCGCCATGTCGGACGGGTAATCAGAGTCGCCACTGATCTCGGCCAAGTTTGACCAGCCGTGCGGCAAGTCGGGGTGCAGCATGATGTCAGTCTGAGCCTGCGTGAGAACATCGACGCCCACGTCCTCCGCGTCCTTGGACAGGGCAGCGATGGCCTGCAAGACATCCCCAATCTGCGATTGCTCGATAGCTGTGACCTTCTCACTCGTCCGCAGCGTCAGAAGCTCGGCTACCACGGCCTCGAGACTCTCGCTGTCGTCATCGAGAAGTGCAATGATTCCAAGGAGGATCACCGACTGCACATGCTCCGGCCGCTGCTCAATGACCTCAAACAGCATGGTCCGCGCCTTTTCCCGCGCGTCTTCGGTACCCGTGGCCCATAGAACTTGAGCAAGAACGCAGACCGCGTCCGGGTCGTGGTTCGACTCCTCGAGAGCAGTTTCAAAGTAGCCGACTGCTTCGTTCACGTCCTTCTCATAGTAACGCGCCAAGCCCACCGTCAGATGCGCCGACAGTCTAGCCTTGTTGCGTTCCTCCGTAGACAGCTCGCTGTCTGATTCGTCACTGGTGAGCTCAAGCGCCATCTCGCCGCACTCTACGGCGCTCGCGTAAGCCCCTGATGCCAGGTATGCCCGCGCCAGATCCGTCTTGGCAAGTGCAAAACGCTTGAGTGACAAAGTAGACTCGGACACCTCGTAATCAGCCTCGAGTTTGGTGCAAAGTTGCTCCAGAACCTTGACCGGATCGGTAGAAGATCCGATGCGCTCCTGGAACATGGAGAGAAGGTGGCCGTACTCCAGGTTTTGTGGCTTGAGTGCTTGAATCTGGGTCAAGGCAAAAAGTGGCTGTAGCAACGACATGATGCGTAGATCTGTGGGTGCCGTCATGATGTTGTCAAAGACAGCAATTGCAAACTGCTCTCTTGACACCAGTGATGATGACTCTGATATCTCCATTGCATGCGTGAAGAGCGCACGAGCTTCCTTGATATCGCCCAGGAGCAAGGCAACGAAGCCTTGCCCAACCCAGGCGTGGGCGTAGTCATGGTCGTTCGACTGCGCTCTGGAGAAGGCCTCGTTGGCAAACTGAACATCATTCTGAAGGAGTGCTAGTGTTCCGAGATTGGTCCACGCGTGCGCGCTCCTCTCGTTCAGGAACAAGCTGCGAACAAAAGCGTGCTGAGCCACGGACGGGTTCAGCTCGCTCGTGGCGACACCCAAGGCATTCCAGAATTCAGAATTGCCGGCTTCTAGCTCGATTGCCCGCTTGAAGCAGCGTATCGCAGCTTTCTGATACCGGCTCGCCTTCTTGCGTAGCTGATCTGGGAGGCTCAAGTGCGCCCTATATTCAGCCCAGCCCAAGTTGTAATGCGATACTGCCTGCGCGTGAATATCATGTGCTGAGCCATGCAAGGCCCTCTTGTGAGCTACCAAGGTTGCATGGATGCAACGAGTCAACTCGACGCCGATCTTTTCATCGTCGGAGAACAAACCCTTTGCAAGGATCACCTCTGGGCCTACATGGTCGATGTCTTTCATCGTATCATAGTCGGCGGGTGCAAGACCGTCAAAGAGTTTTTGTACAGCCTCGAGAGGAAAATCGGCAGTGCGGCCCTGCACGCTAGAGAAGACTGAGCAGGCGTCGGCCACGGCCTTCCAGAAGTTGAAAGTGGTGGAGATAGCCCCGGGAGCTGTGGTAGCATATTCTAGGGTGTCAACGGCGAGTTTGACTGCCTTGCCATACTGCCCCTTTTCCAGGCAGTCCAATGCGTTGTCAACCATAGTCTGCATGAGGGCAATGGCCACACCCTCCTCGTCTGCCCGGCCAGTGATGACTTCTTGGTAAAGCGCGATGGACGCATCGAAGTCTCCGAGCTCTCGCTTGATGTTGGCAAGCATGAACTTCGTGAACCACGTATCGCCAAGTCTCTCGGCTCCTCCAGACTCCTCCAGACTCTGAGCCTGCTGGATGGCTTTGGTAGCAGCGACATGGCGACCTGAGCTGTGATAGCTCTCGCCAAGTCCTACCCATGAGTGATAATCGTTCGGCGCAATCCTCAGAGCAGCTTGGAATGAGACGATTGATTTCGCAAAGTCTTGTTTGTTCAACTGCGCCACGCCAAGGGCGGCAAACGGCCAGCTGATACCTTTTCTCTTCGAGCCCGGAGGGGGCCGCACTTTCCCAGAGTCGACGACTCGCTGTGCGACCAGCTCAACTCGATCCCAGTCCCCATCGTCGGCAAATGACCGCGCCAGCCTCTCTGCCGACTCGACCTCCGATGATGACAATTCGACCGCCTTCAGAAAACACGACCGTGCGCGCTTCTTATCGTTATTATAGTCGGCGTAGAAAATACCCAGGCTCGTGTAGGTCGGTGCGTAGCTAAGATTCGTCCGCAGCGCAGCCATGAAGTGAGCGTATGCTCCCTTGCGATCCTTCCTTGCCGCCTTGGACGTGTCCAGATTCCAAATACACATTCCCAGCCTGTAGTGTGTTTGCGCGACAAGATCCTTCGAGGCCCCTTTCTTCTCCTCGAGGAGGGAAAGTGCGCGCTCCAATTCGTCCTTGGCAGTTGCGTGATCACCGTTGAGTGCCTTGACCCAAGCAGCTTCGGCCATGACACGTAGATTGTCCGGTGCCCGCTTCAATGCCCGTTCAAGAAATCCTATCGCTTCGTCATACTCCTCCTCCTCTTCATAGATCAATCCGATACCAATCATGGCCGGTGTCGAAGCCGGATCGTGCTCAAGAACAAGGTCAAAGAGCTTCTTTGCCTCTTGGTGGTTTCTCGGTGACTGATAGAAGACGAGAGCGGTGCCGAGGTGTACTGAGAATGCATCTTCGGTATTCTGGAAGGATAGCCCGCTCTTGAGCCTCTGGTCTTTGACATGGCTTTGCGCCTTTCGCATCAATTCCACGTTGCTCTCATGTTCCTCCAGGAACTCGTAGTATTCACCCATCATTCGGTAGGCCAACAGAGAATCTGCGCCGGTGATGCCTTCGGTCATGATGAACAAACGCTCCTCGTCAGTTGGCGGTATAAAGGTCGACGGTACTCCTCCTTCCTCGTCATCTTCGCTCTCATCCTCCGCACCATTCGGCGATGATGGGTTTGCACCTTTCTGTTCTAGGAGCTGTTTTGGGAACGGAGAGATGTCACTGGACAGATAGCCAGTAAGGACGCGGCATAGGTCGCTGTCAGGGAAGAAGGTGCAGTAGTCGGCAAGCACGGTAGGATCCCATTCCTTGACCTCTTTATGATCTTGCCAATCGATTGTGATGTCCCAAGCGAGCTTGAACGGGTGTTTGATGATGACCATATCGTTGGCGAGTTTGATAACAGTCTTGAGCTCCTCACTCTTCTCTTTCCCTTGAAATACCAGGAGACGCTCGTAGCAGTACTGGATCAACTTCTCTTCGTAGTTCCGACGCACATCATCATCGGTGGCCCAGTCAATCATCTGACGGTAGATATGCCCCAGCTTGCTCTCCGTGTACACCTCTCGTTTGACATCGAGAGTCACCTGACTGAGCCTTGCGCCGATCCTCGTCCTTCGTTCGCCAATCAGAGTGTTGATGAGCTTCTTGTCCTCGGCTTCAACAATTTGAGCCATGATGTCGTAAGTCTTGGAAGGGTGAGGGACGCGGGCTTCCAGCGCGGGATAGATAGGGCTTCCAGGGAGGATCACGTCCAGTGCAGCGACATATTGCATACGGTCTCCCTTCATCCTGACAAAGTCGACGAACTTGTCCACCAAGTCTTGGCACTTGTACATCTGATCCGCGTCGCGGTATAACTCAGCCAATTTGACAACTGCCGATTGGTACTCAGCCAGCTTCCTTGTGGCTTGCCGCTCGTAGCCTTTGATGAGGCCCTGCCATGCTGGCAGCTCTGCAGGCCGCAACCTGGTTGCCGCTAGGTAGACTTTTTCTGCTTCATCTGCTTGGCCCTTCTTGTCCAGGGCAAACCCGAGAAATATGTGGCTGTGTCTGGTGTCAGTCGCAAATGAATCAGGCTCCTGGGATTAACGAGAACGTACGCCTGATAGTTCTTAGGATCCTTTTGTACGATAGACTCGGCTTGTTGAACGGCCTCGTCAAACTTTTGCTGTTTGATAAGCTCATTAATGGCCTTGAGCTGGGCCTTGGCGCTCGACATGCTGGCGATGTGCTTGCATGAGAAAGGGCGTCGTGCTTCACCTGAGTGTGAGTGTGGGTGAAGAAGTTGGTGGTGAGGTGCGAATGAGATCCGAATGAATCCCCTGGACCTGAGCTGAAGTATCGAGGGATGACTGTTGTTGACTCCAGGGCTTTCTACCTGGGTAGGTAGCCAGGTTGGCAAGAAACAGCTGGAGATGTGAGAACAATCAAGTGACAGCCTCAGTCCAGTCGCGACGCTCAAGCTCAATGCAATGTGTTCCAGGTCCGAATGATGCTGTGGCCCCACCAAAGACCGCTCCTGGATAGCTGGATAGCGCTGTAAACTGCCACGCCTGCCCCAGCGTCAGCAACGCCCCCACTATAAACTGTTATCGGTCCCGCCGGAATGGATGATCTATTGACCCAGCTCTTATCGCCAAAGACCCTGGTCCAAAATTTGTCGATAAGATCAAAAAGTTCAGTAGGTGGATCAGCTTGGATTGAAGAGAGTTCTGGAGATCTCTTGCTCCTACAGATGAAGGCCTTGCATTCCCGGCCCTTTTACCTCAGGAAACACGGCGGTACTGCACAGTATGGAGGAAGCATCTCCGAAAAGGAGGAAACTTGATCACTCCTCCAGCCACAGTCATGCGCAGTCCTTGACCTACGACTCGGCTGCCTCTGCTGGGCTCTACCGCCCAAGCACCTTCATCCTAGAGACCGAGGAACTCCTGAAGGAGATCCGAGTCGACTATGGCCGGGCTCTTTCTGGAGCAGACAGCTTGCTCCATGACCTGAAGAATGCCATCGAAAGCAACATTGAGAGTCATGCGCCTACTCCCGTATGCCAACCCCCGAGCCTTGCACTTGCATCTGCCTGTCGCTGACAAGATCAATCTCTAGATTGCCGAAGCCACTTCCAAGTTCGAAAAGAAGCACAATATCACGATCCCGTATCCAGAGCCGAAGCCTGCGAAGGATGCGCCTTATAAACTGCTGGTCGAAAAGCCGTCACAGTTCAATGTTGTCGGAAGTTATGTGTCCAAAACGATGGTCAAATCACAACAAAACCCATCGGTCGACATGATCGTTGAGATGCCTAAAGAGCTGTTCCAAGAAAAGGACTATGCCAATATGAGATATTTCTACAAGAGGGCGTACTTCTTGGCGAATATTGCGGCAGCTGCAAAAGGGATGGGACAGTCTACGAAACTGTCTTTCGAACTACTGGGCGAGAATCCTCTCCTCCCGGTGATCGTTTTGGAGCCCAGTGCTACGGACAAGAAAGGAAAGAAGTCAGATGCAAATGCCTCTTCGAAGGCGAAGCCGGGAACCGCTTATATTGTTCGCATTATTCCTTGTCACCCGGAAGGTGTGTTCCTGAACTCGAAACTGTCACCTTCCAACAACTGCCTACGGCAAGCTTCCAATGAGGATGAGAAGGCAGCACAAACACCGACGCCATTCTACAATTCCACATTGAAAGCTGACAGCACCTATCTCGCATACCTGCGCTTCCTACGGACCGTCGACAAGTCGTGCGCTGCGTTCAAGGATGTCTGCTTGCTTGGCCGCACGTTTCTTCAACAGAGAGGGTTTGGTGGATCGGTCTCTCGAGGTGGTTTCGGCAACTTTGAGTGGGCGGTGTTGGTCGGATTGCTACTGCAAACCGTCAACAAGAAGGGAGCCTCTGCTCTGTCTCCTTCGTTGAGCAGCACGCAATTGTTCAAGGCTACAATCCAATTCCTCGCAACAACAGATCTTTCCAAGAAGCCCTGTGTTCTCGGATCTCTGCCCGAGGGAGCAGAGAGTGTCCGAGAATCTGGACCTGTCATCTATGACGCCCAGCGCCACCTCAATATTGCATACAAGATGAGCCCGTGGTCTTCTACAGCATTACGACAACATGCTAAGTGGACCTTGGATCTCTTGAGCAGTACCGGAGTCGACCAATTCAACCCGACCTTCATTGTCAAGGCTGATGTTCCCCTGCAGAGCTTCGACCAGTTGTTTCAGATCAACATACCACGCTCTGCCAGCTCCGCAGCGGTTGTCGACCGTCGAGGTCACACGTGGAACGTCGCGGACAGGGTGTTCAGGATCTTGAAAAGAGCGCTCGGGGATAGAGTGAAACTCGTGGACATCCAACTACCGTCGAAGAACGGGTGGCCCTTGGATAAGAAGGTTCCCTCAGACAGTACCTCAGCCCTCACTGTCGGGCTACTCTACGATCCTGCAAATGCTTCTCGGCAGGTGGATCATGGTCCATCCGTCGAAGAGAAGAAGGAGGCGAAGAAGTTCAGACAGTTCTGGGGCGACAAGGCCGAGCTGAGAAAGTTCAAGGACGGCAGCATTCTGGAAACCTTGATCTGGCAAGGCACTACTCCAGCTGATCTCTGCGAGGAAATTGTGCGATACATCATGGGCATCCACCTGCGCCTTGACGATGATGACTTTAACTTCCTCGGTGGTGACTTCACCGCGTTGGTACCCCTGAAGCAGACAGATCCCGCACTCTTTACCGGTGCTCGGGAGGCTTTCAGCCAAGTCGAGCAAGATATTCGAGGTCTTGAGGACCTTCCATTGCAGGTGCGACAGTTGGCACCCATCGCACCCCAGCTCAGGTCGGCGTCCGTCAAGCCTCCTGTCCTGGGGTCCGCCAAAGTCGTGCTCTCCCCTATGGATATTGTAATTTTCTTCGAGGCGTCAGGGAAGTGGCCAGACAACCTTTCAGCCATTCAAAGGGCTAAGATCGCGTTCCTGCTCAAGATTGGCGAGTCGCTGGAAGAAGCCCGGCCCGGCGTCACCACACACATCGGTATGGAGGAGATTCAGTCAGACATCCAGAATCTGGCGTTCCTCGACATTGTCTACCCTGAAAGTGCCGCCTTCCGCCTTCGCATTCACGGCGACTTGGAAGAGGCCCTTCTCGAAAGAAGGACAAAAGACAAGACCCTCGACCAGAACGTCCGCACAGAGGCGGTTCACCTTCTGGCGACATTCAAGCGCCTGTATGCCACACTTCCTCTACACAACCAGATGATCTCTACCGCCGTTACACGATTCCCCGCCCTGTCCCCGACGATCAGACTCGTCAAGTCCTGGTTCAACGCGCACAAGCTCTCCCACCACTTCAACGAGGACCTCATCGAGCTGGCGGTCCTTCATGTCTTCGTCGAGCCCTACCCCTGGCAGGCGCCCTCGAGCCCAGCCACGGGCTTCCTCCGCACCCTCCTCTTCCTCTCCCGCTGGGACTGGCGCACGGAGCCGCTCGTCGTCGACGCCTCCTCGGGTGTCGACGACTTTTCCCCCGCCGACCGCGCCGCGGCGGCCACCCGCCTCGAGGCCTGGCGCAAGATCGACCCGAACATGCACCACACGGTGCTCTTCGCCGCGACCCCGCACGACGCCTCGGGCACGGCCTACACCACGCGCGACGGCCAGCCGCACCCGTCCCGCGTCGCCGCCACGCGCATGACCACGCTCGCCCGCTCCGCGTGCCGGCTTGTCAAGGAGGCCGGCGCCGGCGCCGCGGGCGGCTTCGACCCCCGCCAGCTGTGCCAGACGCCGCTGCGCGACTACGACGTCCTCCTGCACCTCGAACCCCGGGTCGTCAAGGCCGTTCTGCGCGGCGACGACGGCACGGCGCGGCGCTCGCACTTCAAGAACCTCGACGAGCGCGCCGTCGGCGCCCCGCTGGCGCCCGTGCCGGCGCACCCCGTCGCCGCGCTGCTGCGGCAGCTCGAGGCGGCGTACGGGTCCGCGCTGGTCTTCTTCCACGGCGGGCCGGACGACGCCGTCGTCGGCGGCATCTGGAACCCGCAGGTGCACCGGCGGTCGTTCCGGGTCAACATGCCCTGCTCTTTCAGGCCTGCTAGCGATGGCGAGGGGGACGACGATGTTGATGATCATGATGTGATGGAGGTCGATCGGGAGGGGATACTGGCCGAGATCGCTAGGGTTGGCGGAGATGTCATCGAGAAGATTGAGACCAGGGGGTCTTCCTGAGAAGATACGGCCCGTGCTGTGGGCTAGGAGAAGGAGGGCGACCTGGCGACATGTTCTTTCGTACCCGTGATACCACTGAATAGATGGAGAAGAATGACGTGAACGGATCCTTCAACAACGGTCACTGTGCGAGCATTAGGGCCCCTATCATGCATATATTGCGGCATTGAAGTGTGAGAATCAGACGTGAAGATACCAGTGACACTCAGGGGAGCATGTTCACGACAAGTGGGAGTACGTGTAAACCGTTTGAGCCTGATTATAGACCGACAAAGCCTCTCACATAAAAATCAATAACATCGTCTCCCTGCCTATCATATCGTATCACACATGCCAGCCTCCATCAGGATGGCGAGAAAAACAAATAGGAACAATCCACCACTATAGAAGAGATGATGTGGTAGCCGGGGAAAGACAAATAGGAAAAGGAAATCATCAAACAGGGCCACCGGTCCAGCCGAAGAACGAGAAACTAGGTATTGAGCAACCTCTCAAGTGATATCCCCCCACCCATCTCCTCAATCAGTCGCCGTTTAAGAAGAGAACGAACAGAGGCTTTGCCCATGTGAGCTCTCAGAAACCTGAGACAGATGACCATCGGTCGTCTCTGGTCGCCACCGCTTTCAAACTCTCCCCTGTCCCCAATCAGTCCTCTCTCTTCCCCTCTCTCCTTCGTCTGGTATCTTCGTCCCCAGAATTAGGTATATATGGGCCTCCCTAACGGGCTTTGGAGCCCGGGGACCGCGTTCGTATGGTACTAGTCGAAATCAAGCGCAAGTGATGGCGTAATATCGACACCCGCCTTTGGCTAGTGCGCTTCCGAATAGCTGTATGAGCTTGGGATCATTTCCTCGGTCCCTAAACCATGAAAATGCGTACGAGATGTACGCCCTGTCGAGATCGCAAAAGTCTGAGAAGGAAGGTGTCGAAGAAGGATGTGTGTGTGTGTGGCGGTGTAAGGCGGCATAGCTCGAAGGCGCCGCGGAAGGAATTTGCAACAGTGGTATCATAGCTCCAGAAACTCCCGAACCCACCTACCAGAGCCAAACCATATACAGTTGTTGACATATCGGAAATAAGAGATGCTGTCTCTACCAGCCCTTCTTCCTTGCGAAGCGCTTGTTGAGGAGAGCCAGAACCTTGGGGACATTGAACTGGACGTATTCGAGGTCGAGCTCGTCCTGGTTGTCCTTCTGCATCTCGAGTAGATCGTCGAGCTTCAGGTCCAGTTCAAGTAGGCCGCGGTTACGTCCTGTATTCAAACACCAGTTGTTAGCGGGGCGCGTCAATAGTGATTTCAGAAATGTTTGCGTACCTTTGTAGTGCAACGAGATTACAAATGTACCTGGCAGGGGGCTCGTGAAGTTGAAGTAGATGTTGGCCCTCCTATTGTCAGGCACGTTGCTCTTCTGGATGACACCCTCCTTCTCGAGCTGCTGGTGGGTGAACTTGTAGGGGCCGAGCACCTGTTGCTTTTGCTGCTTCCTCTTGGTGCCCTCGCTCTGGCTACGCACATTGTGCAGGTAGCTCTTGTAGGTCTCGAGCTGACCAACGAGGTATGTGTTGTGGTCTCGGATGGTCTTGTACACCTCCCCAAGCTTCTGCGTCTCAGCAATGACACCGTCCTTGAGCGAGCCAAGGTGCTGCAGTTCTTGCTCGACTTCGTCACGCAACAGACTGAACCCGTCCGACTTGTCAATGACTTTGAGCTCCTGTAGCTGACTCAGAAGCTCCATCGCGCGGATACCCTTGCGCACCATGACAGCGTCGTTTCGCGACGTGGCTGCGGCATCTGCTATCCTTTCGAGGCGTAGAGGCCGGCGTGCTACAGACGTGTTCTGAGGCAAGGATCGCATGATTTGCACGAAAATCGTCTTGGCCTCCATGAAGAACACCTCCTCTTGAGTGATGTCGAGCGCGGCCGTCAGGTCATCTATAGCGGTTTCCCACCTACTGAATAGGGGCAGGTTGATGACCCTGTTCTCTTTGCGCGGGACCTGGACCGGTGCCGCTCCCAGCTCTGACATGAGGATCGCGAGGTGCGAGTTGTCATCCTTGCAAAGCTCCGTATTATGCTTCTCGATAAGAGCATGCATCGCGTAAATCTCATTGAGCGTAATGGAAAGCTCAAGATCTTTCTTGGACAGGGCAACGTATCGGTCCATTTCAAGGCTCTCATAGAAGTCCTGGACGTCACAGAGATCCAGCATGAACTTGTTGATGCGATCCTTGTTCTTCTCGATGAAGGGCTGAAGCTTCGCCATGAATGGTTCTTTGGCATAAGATGGCTTGTTGGCAAGGTTCTGCAGCATCTTCGCGATGTAGGTCAGGGTTTTCCTCGGCTTGTCTGCAGGCTGTCCGTCGATGAGCATGTACGACTTTGGCGTAACGATGGCTGGGTTGATGAAACGCAGGAAGAAGAAGCCTCCGATCAGGGTGCAGATGACCTGATCGTTGGCATCGGGGTATTTCCGCTTGGTCAAGCTGCGAATCTGCTTGCAGATCCACCTGATGCCGTAGGGCGCCTCTTCGAGCCCATCAATAATGGTAGTCAAGAAGCCATTGGCAATCTCCGTCAACATGGTCAGTCGAGGCTCGATGATGGCCTGGACCTGCGGGTTCTCGGCTGCTTGTTCGCCCGTGATTCCCTTTGGAAGTGACGCGGGCAGGGAGCCAGTGTCCTCCTCAATCTGCTCAATCATGCGCTCATACACCTTCAGCGGATTGATTTCGAGATCGAGATCCTTAAGCTCGATCAAGCTGTTGATCCTGTCGGCAAGAACAGATTTGAGGAAACTCTGGCCCGGTCCTCTCCTAGTGTAGGTGGTCATCATGCGAGACACGGGGGTGTTAGCTCGAAGCAGCGACGAGTACTCGGGAGTATTGTCGAACTGGTATGTCAAGACAGACTGGCCTCCAAGTTAGTGCCCTGTTCATGCCATGCTCAGCATGGACTCGAGATACTAGATCATCATACCTGAAACATAGTGAGCAAGAGATGCTCCTCACGGCTCTCGTATTGGTTACCATAGATGGTAAACATGACTGTCTGCAGGAGAGAGTCTATCTCGGCCATGGACACAAGTCGGCAGAGGTGCGCAATGTGACGAGGCTCAGACTGCAGTAGGAACAATAGGTTTCCGTACTTTTGGGTCTTGTCGTCGTTGGGGAATGCGCCTTCTTGCATCTCAGTGGCGTCTTCGAGGTGGTTCGCAACTTCATTTTGCTATTGTGGAGGGAAGCTGACGTTAGTGACAATCGGGTTTACCAGCGGTTGGTGATGATCAAGAAGCTTACCTCCTCTAGAGCCATGCGATTCTGGATGAGCAGTGCAATCCGAGAGTCCAGGTAGCGCACATCTTTCTCGAGGACGAAGTTTTTCTTAGATTGCGAAGAGATCTTCGACTTCAGGTCTCTCAGAATTTTTTGTGCTATAGAGGAGGTCAGTACAAAATGCTCCAACACAAGCCAAGCAGGCTAGGAAGAATTGGCTTGCGCACCTTTGGCCAGGTCATCTTCAATCTCCAACTCCGATTCGTTTGCCGACATGGACATGTACAGCGCGGACATGGAGTACCGCTTGGACTGGCGGGCCGACCGCGAGCCATCGTAGGAAGACATGGTGTTCTGGCGCGAGATAGGTTGGAAGGAGGAGGAAGAGGCGGTGGAGGCTCGGGAGGGAGTTTGCAGCATGACGGACATGATGCTCGTTGCTAGTGCGCAAGAGCGATCTCAAGTCTTGGGTGGCCTCGAGGCCTGAGGAGAGACCAACGCCGTGTATTTGTAGACAACCCCCCTCGGGCCAGGCGAATCTCGCAGAGGAATCCGCCCGACAACAGGATGGTTGAGTGAGCCTGCTTGTTTGTGTTGAGTCGAAGCGCTTCGGGGGCTGCTGTCGTCGCTCTCTTGCCCTCTCTCTCTCTCGCTCGCTTGATTTAATCGCAGGGTTGGAGTATTGTCGCTATGTTGCAAATGATGGCCCGATTGGGACAGTATTTCCAGATATGCTCGGGATCAAGTGCGCTTGGGTCGTCTGAGGGGTGTGAATATGCTGTCACATAGGAAGGAGGGGATTGATTGTGTCGTCGTGTCAACGGGGTTCGTGGAAATCTCCCCTGCAATTTCGAGGGCTGTCCCAGCAGGTGTCGCAGCCTGCTCCGGGCGAGATTTCGCTATAGTATAGAGAGTCAGAAAGCTGTCGCGCGAGAGATGTCTTGTGTGGCAAGACAAGTCATCAGCAACAGTGTACCTGGACTGTCACAAAGAGAGTGTCGGGAAGGTGAAATGAGGGCTGAGGGGAGAGATTGAGGAGAGTTGAAGCGGCGGTGGTGGTGGTGGTGGTGGTGGTGCTCCTTGGAGTTGGTGCGACCGAGCGCAAAAGCGTCCTTCTCTATCTGAGTGCGGGTGGGGGTCCTTTTTTCTCTGCTGGGCAGGCTCACTCCAGTCCTCATTCAGGTAGACTGGCCACCCCGTTGCTTGCTGTGTGGGAGGGCGTCTCCGCAATACGGTCCGGTTGCAAGCGGTCCCTGCGAGCTCGCTGTGAGATAGGTTCAGCTCTGTTTGTACCTGAAGGCTGGTGTTTATGGCGCAAGGGAGGGCAAGAAGTTGAAAGAAAAAAGAATCTCCTCATTTACAGCGCGGGGGTGGACGATGTCTACACTTCCTTTTTTTTTTTTCCTCTACTCTCTTTGAACAAAGGAAAATTTAATTCGTGCCGAATGGGTGCGAATACTAAGGTATGACAGGCAATAGCTTCGCCAGTCTTTGCAGCGCGTGGCTCCAGAAGACGGATGCAGGGGGGTTCGTTTGCAGGTACCTACCTACCTACTTGTAGACTGGAACAAAGGGAACTGAATGCTTGCTTGCCGCTCCCCCGGCCTGACACAGGACAGACAGATGAGATGGATTGACAGGCACAATACTGGAGGGTAGAGGTACAGTACATTACTTGGGGTCTAGCGGCACAAAGAGTCACCCATTGCATTATTTGGCGATAGCAGCCACATCCACGTCCATGTGACAGGAACAAAGCAAGCGGGCACCGAGGATGAATGGAGAGGCATTCCCGGTCGCTCTGGGAAAAGGCAGGGGTCTGAGTTACATGCCTAGGTAGGTACCTTGAGCAAAGGAGGGGACGGCCATGGTGATGTTTGCGTCGCAGTCGGCGAATATCGACTCTGGCAGCAGCGGTGCATTGGCTGAAGCTCTGTTCCGTCAAGTGATTCGGTCTCCTACCTAAGCAGGTAATATTTCCAGGGCCTGTCCTGGATGCCGTTCAACAATGGGCTTCACCAGTGTGTCGGACTCTGCGATACCTCTCCTCAGATGAGAGGCGCGCTCTGTATCATGAGTTGGGGCTTATCATGCAGCCGCTCCTCCATCAGGTCTCCTTGGGGCCACGTCAATTGTTGATCGATGATCTATGTATAAGTATATCCATCTGTTGTAAAGCAATGGGCAATGCATAAAACATTCTGTTTATTGGCATGGTAGTATTCTGGTCAGGCACCACACATTCAGCGATGTGCCTTGGTTATTTCCGTTGTTCCATCAGTCTTGTGAGCAGGCCGAAACACGAGAAACCGGCGACGCCGTTGCAGAACGGACCAGGGGTTTGCTACCTATTGATGGAGATGTATCAAACAGCACGAGAGGAGCCAGACAGAGAGCGCTGGACTGCGTTGCGACTGGACTGGAGTCTGTGGTGGCCGCGTCGGAACGGAGGAGCATGTTTGAGAACTCTGCAGGGGTGAGCATGTCACTCATGGCCCTCACCTGCGACTGGCGGGCCCACTACTTGTACCTCAGTCTAAGTACAGAGGTACAGTCGTGCCAGTGCCAATTGAGCCATATGGCTGGGTGGGGCGCCTGCCTTTGGGGGAGAGTGATGGGCAGAGCGGCTCAGGGGTAAGGACGCTAAAAATGGTACCTGAAAGGCAAGGAGAGGGGCGTTGAGGGGCCATTGCCACCGTTTTCCTGGGTTCTCGTCCATTCCCGCCCAGCAATGACCACCCAGAGCGGATCCATCCCCTCTGGAGCCCACCACGGGCAAGGTGCGGGCAAGGTGTGGGCAAGTAGGCACCCGCATTCAGGTACAAGTGGGCGGGGAGCCGAAACGTACCTACCTGCATGTACTCATAGCCAACCCAGTTGGTTTGGCACATTGGGGAAAGAGATAACATTATGCTTGCCTGCCAAGTATCAACAGGAGGGCTGAGATACGAACACCATAAAAACCAGACGATCCAAGATTTCCCACCCCATTTTGCCGCGCGTCCCAATGCGTGAGTCCACCGACCCTTCATTACGGCATGAAAGTGATATCGTCGACTATTGCACCCGCAGACGAGCGGCTGTTCCCGCACGCGCCCCGACCAAACCAAGTTCCCGCTGACCGTCTTGATTGTTGGCTTGAGTACATTATCAATCACCCGTCCCAGCAGGGCCCGGAGCAGATGAGCATTCAACGCCCCCAACTCCAAATGCCGTCAAGTCATGTCGAGGGAGCGTTATCGATGGGGTAAATGATAACATGCTGCGGCCAGGGAATTTCCAAGCCAATGCCATCCAGCACTCTCCCCTGGGCCCGCCTCGAGAACGGGAGATTCACGTCTCACAACAACAAGCCATTGTCCTTCGATGCACAACTCGCTAGTTATCAGGCTGAGCAAATCGAAGGACCACACATGCAGACTTTATCCATACGCGCGCGCGCGGAAGGCGTCCGGAATGCCAACCGGGTCCTTGCATCTCCCCCATCAACCCCAGGTGCCGCCGCCACGGCTGGGTGATTAGCAACGGCAGTCCGTCTTTGCATCTGACTCGCCGCCTCTCATCTCCTTTCCTCGTCCCGTACCAACATGAAACATCTCTTTTGTCCTGGGGTGGTATGACAAATCTGAGTCGGATCGAGGCCGCCATCCCTCCTAATCCCGGACTGTTTTTGGTCTCTGATGACCGCATTTTCGTCCCATCTTGGCCCATGTCGAGCCCACCTGGCCTTGCTTGTCTAGCTCGTCTAGGTATCCCCGCACAGATTCCTGTCTGCCAACCCTGCCAGGTATTTAGTGGCTGGGGTCGGGTTTGACCTCTTTTGTCCGTGTCTGCAGCCGAAGCAATTTAAATCACACGTGTCCGACGACAAGGGAAGGGTCCCTCCCTCGTTCTGGCGGTTGGCCAGACCCTCTCTGGCGCTGATGACGCTGAAACAGGAGGAGCTGATGTTTCCCGACTTGTCACAGCCGCATCCGAGTTGGCGCAACCACCACGACGATAGCAGCGACCAGACGCCGGTCACATCTCGCCATGGATCAGGTTTTATGTTGGCCTTTTTTGTCGATACATCCAAGGCGGGTTTTACTACGTTCTACTGAAAGCTATGTGTTGCTGTCATCTACCCTCCTCGTTCAACGATCCGGTTGATCATGCTCGTTGTGTTAACATCGTGGCTGGTGGAATCTCAACAAGAAAACCCAAGCGGCAGCCGTATTGACTTCTCCGAGCAGGCTCACATCCATGTCGAGGGCCTGTCTCATGTCGGTCAGGCCCTTGTGCTTATCGACCTGGGTGCTTATCGACCTGGGTGAGGAGCCCTGCTACCCATGACGGCGATCCACCTCAGACTGTGTTCCGAAGCTGGCGACTCTGTGATGAACCTGACATATCCTGTCATCTGAAAAAAAGAAAAGAAATGAACCTGTTTTGGATCCTGGCACATGGCGATCCTGCTACCCTGGTACGGGTGACTCATATGTCAGCTCTACTCCGTACAGGTACGTACAGGAAGAGATCCAAGACGTTCTTCAAAATACCAGTAGGCCAGGCTGTAGCTGACGATAGCTCGAAGGTCAGGACGATCTCCACAAGGCCAGGTCGGTATCTTGCTAGTCATCCGTACTTATTCGCTTACGCCAACATACGTAGCCTTCTTGGGTCACACCAGCAAGCTCCATCGACCCGCCTTGGACAATGCTGGGCGAGAGTAATGTACGTAAGGGTGTATGTACGTGCTGATAGGCAAATGTACGTCCACCGCAAATGTGACTGGTGTGCATATGCAAGCGCATATCTTCGATGGTCTGGCGTTGATCACGGTAGGGGGGCCGTGCGTGATCGACGTCCTGATGAAGAAAGGCCTGCTGCTCTCCTCTCGTTACCGCCAAACAAACGGGCACGAAGAGCAAGACATCAGACAATACGACATTGGCCCATTAACCCAATATTCCGGGGAAAGCCCAGACGGCCATTTCCGAGGTCTTAGGCCCGCTGCCGATGAGAGCTGATGCCCGTCAAGTCAGTGGGTTGGTACCTTAAACATGATCATCATGGCCCGGTCGGACTTTCATGCCGATCCCATCTCATTTGCTGACCTTCCACTCCGTACGCTGAACTTGCGCGAAGTTGAACACGCCATAAAGCTGCGCGAGGGGCTTGCTGGCGTGTTCAGGGCTTCGATCATACCCAACTACCAGTCATTGTGGCTGTCTCGGCTGTCCACGGATCGCGGAGAGACCACCATTCTGGCCCTCCCGGGTCCCGAATGACAAGACACCCAGAATATTGGTTCCGAGTCTGCAATAAGACATGAAACTAACGCAGGGGTTTCACACCCTCTTTCCTTCACGACACCTCGTGCCAATAGATGTCGTGAAGGAAAGAGGGTGTGTGTTAGGTGGCCCAAGGTAGTGGCGTATCGGGATCATTGGCTGCTGCTGCACTGGCGTCAAATAGTGTGTGGCCTGGGTGGTGGTGCCGGATGCGGGCATCACTCGGTCTTGGGCCAAACCAGAAGAAGGTAGTCCTTTGGAAATCGTGCACTTTGCTTCTTTTCCATCCAACCCCAGGTGGTCTAAAATGCACTTTGTAAACACGCTATTGCAAGCATTTCCTCTCGTCACATTACCATCTCGGCCTGCGCTTCCCACCCAGTCTGAATTCGAGGGTCCGAGACGTGGACAAGAAAGAAGAAATGTTGACCTTGCATTCGAGCTATCTAGTACAAGTGCAGCTTTGATCTGCAGGATGTCTGTCACCTGCACGTCCGCTAGAAACGCGCGAACGAGAGAAACCAACGTCGTCTCTCGAGACGAGGCCAGTATGATGTTCTGGGATGGGTGACCTGTGTTTCTCTGATGCCCAACTCCAATTCTCGCCCTGCTTCGCCCCAATCCTCCTGCACCGCCAGACTTGGACCCTGGGTGGGTGACCTTCACCGCACCGGCACCATCAACCGGTCCACATCGGGACCCCACCCGCCGTCCACCCCGGAGATGACCACGGTGCTACTGTTGCCGGCCAAGTGAGGGTCAGATTCGTTGACGGACTGCGAACAGAAGTACTTGACTATCCATCTAGCTAAACGGTTTTAGATAGCGGGATTAACCCTTCTGAGAGCAAGCATGTCATTGATGGCAAGGGTATCCACTGTCAACATTGAGGTAATAGCTCCTGATGAACTTCGGTCAAACTTTTCGGACCATCACCTACCGGCCCGTAGCTGCGCGTGCAAGCATCCCGCTCAGCGGGTCGCCGGTGGCCCTGCACAAGCGCCAGCCGGGAATGGTCAAGAAGCATTGTCAGATATTTGAGCGAATGCGTTGCTTTGTCGGACCGGACCTGCTGGATGGACGCGGAGTCCCAAAGGCATGTCATGTCGTCCATTCTAACCCCAGATTCCCCAGCTCGGTGTCGCGATATTATATATCAGCCGGCTTTAATACCCAAGATCGTTGCCGCCTCCGGGGAATGTGACATAGAGCGGCGCCCTTGAACGGGGCAAAGATATCGGACGGGGGTACATCGGATCTAATCTCCAGACTCCACGAATCCCGGTTGGCGGATGGCGGGCCAGGAACGTAACCGCAAAGGTGGTATTTAGCCGCCATCCCCATCTTCGACGAACTGAACATTCATTGTTACAAATCCACAGTGGTCAGTGGAAGAAGGGATCGCAAAGCCAAGGAGAAGCTGCTTCAGAAAAGCCATCATTAGTCCGTCTATTACCCAAGGTATCTTCAGTCTATCTATTCAAATTTCATTTGATGCTTGCTCAAATCACTGTACGCCTGCAATGCTCAATCCAGAGAGAAAACACACCGCCACGCCATCAACGGCTTTTCTGACGCGTCACCGGATATGATTCGCACTTTTCAGGTCTTCCTCACGCAGCAGTCTCCTCCTTGGCTGCCGCCGCGGACTGCAACGGCGGCGCCGACTTGCCCGCCTCCTTCTCCACATCTCGTTCCGCATCCGGGATGCCCATCTGCTCCTCCCCCTCCTCCTCATCCTCCTCGCCCAGGATCCCCGCCTCCGCCCGCCGCCGCTGCTCCGCCTCCTCGGCCTCCCTCGCCGCCCTGCGCTCCATCCTGGCCTGGTGCCTCGCCCGCCTGCTCTCGTTCTTGAGCTGGTCCTCGCGCATCTGGCGGATGACTGGGCTGCGGGCGCGGATGCGCGCGCCGTAGCGGTAGAAGGCGAAGGGGATGGGGATGAGCAGCACCTCGAGCAGGCCCAGCAGCGTGCCGGCCCACTGCGGCGTGAGGCGCTCGTACATGGCCGGACCCGCGAGGGGCAGGACGGCGCCGAAGACGGAGCGCATGACGGCGTTGCTGGCGAGGGCCGAGGCGGCGTAGACGCCGTAGGCGCCGGCGAGGTAGTTGCTCGCGTAGATGAAGGCGAGGGTGTTGCCGGCGCCGAAGGGGATGCCGAAGGCGATGGGGACGGCCCAGTGGATGCTCGTGGGCAGGCTGGTCCAGGCGAAGACGAGCTGCCCCACGGGCGTGAGGACGGCGCCGACGCAGATGACGCTGGCCGTGGCCTCGGGCACGGCGCGGCCCGTCTCCGGGTCCTTGGCGTGCGAGTTGATCATGCGCCGGCAGAGGGGCTCCGCCGCGATGACGAGCAGGGTGCCGACGCCGATGCCGACAAAGGACAGGCCCGTCGTGCCCGGGCCCCAGCCGCGGTGCTGGGTGAAGATGATGGGGTAGGCGACGAAGCAGAGGTAGAGGATGCCATAGATGATGGAGATCCTGAGATGATGAGCGTCAGCTAATCTGTGGGGTTCAAGCAGGCCCAAAGCGACATCCGGCGGTGCGAACGAGTTGCCACTTACCAGATGTTGAAGCACCACAGGATGGGCTCAGTAAAGGCCAAGACGAAGGGGCGACTGAGGTTGAGCTTGAGCAGGTGCTTCGTGGAGATCTTTTGGTCGTAGCGACACCACCACCGGTCATCGTCGGTCTCCTTGCGTCTCCGCGCGGCCTTCCTCTGCAGAATCTTCGGCGCATACGTCTCCTTGACGGTGAGGAGCAAGATGCACGACACTCCCGCCATGATCATCACGAGCCAATTGTCCCAGCGCCATCCGAGGTACTGGAAGACGAATCCGCCGATAAGAGGACCTGTTCCTGGAGGTCAGCGGGAAAATTCAAGTCAGGGCTAGGTTTACCTTATGCCTACCTGTCGTTGGTCCATTCAACGGGGCGATGGACCAGAGAGACATGTACAGAGCACGATAGTCGTCGTCCGCAATGTCGACGACCGTGCCCGGACTGTTGGCGATCAAGGCCGATGCGAAGAATGCACTGAAAGGAAGGCGCGTCAGCGATCCGGAGATCTCAGCTCGGTCTCAAAATGGGGGGGGACACGCGATAACATACCCTATGAAGCGCACGACCAGAATCTCTGCAAGAGATGTCGCCATAGCGCACGGAAGGACCAGCACGGTGAAGAGAAACATGCAGACCAGGTAGACGGGGCGGCGACCATACAGCTCGCTCATGGGCGCGATGATGGGGCTACCGACGGCAAGGCCGAGCAGGTAGGTGGTCACGCCGAGAGTGACAATGGTAGGGTTGTTGACATGGTACTCCTCCATCAGACCTCGCGTCGACGAGGTGTAACTCGTGCTGTACAGGACGCAGACCCAGGTCGAGTACGAAACAACCAGCATGGTCCAGCCCTGGTACCAGATCGGCCAGTTCTTGGGGTTCTCGGGATCGTCAGGGTCGAAGAAGACTTCGAATCCGGGATTGCGAGAGGCAGTGCTGCCGACACTAGTGCCGGTCCTGATGTGGGAGATGGGCTCACGGGCGGCGTGTTCAGCTTCCGTCTCGATGTCAGGGGTGAGTGCCCGTGCCAAGGCCTCGAATGGATCCGAATCATCGGAATGCGCTGATCGGGACCGAGACCGGTGGCTTCGGCGCGATCGGCGACTCCTCCGGCTGGGTGTGATCTTGATCGGCTCCAGTTTGGTGTGCGAAACATCGTCGGCCGTCGACGAAGCCTTGTCGGTGAGTGAGGCCGAGTGGCCATCGTCGCCGAGGACCTCTTTCTCGTGGGCCCGCTCCGTCATCTTGACAATCGGCCGAGACTCGGAGCAGGAAAGGGAAAGTACAGGGTCAGGGTGTGCCTCCTGACGTCGGACTCTTTGCCGTTCAAGTGTAGCGCAAAGTGACCAGTTGCCGTTGATCAGTGACAGTCACTCTGGTTCACGAATCAACTTGGACAGTCCATCTCACGACTTTCGCTCTCACTAGGGCGTCCGACTCACTCAAAGGGGAGAAGAGCGGGAGAAAAATCAATTTCCCTTTACGAAGTAGGAAAACCAGACAGACGGATGGGCGAGCTAAAATGCAACGGGCATTCCAAAAGCGTCAGAGCCGCCTCTGTGACCCACCCTCCCAAGCATTTGTTCCCCAGCACGCTCAACATCCACGGGTCACACACACTCACTGGCAAAAGGACGCGATCCGTCAGAAGCGGGTCGCATTGCCAGGGTCTCAATTTCTCACCGAGTGGGATGGATGTTGACAGTGTTGGACGGACCTGGCCGTGCTGGCAACGGAAGCATCCACTCCTTCCATCCCCCCTTGCGGGCCCAGCTTCTCTCCCACGGATCATCAGGGCATGCACCAAGCAATACTACCCTAGTTGAATATGCAGTGATGCGATTTAACGTCTTGGAAACGAAGAGCCTTGCATCGGCAAGATCAATGGCATCATCACCGGGACCGAGGTAGCTGTTCAGCTTGGCGGGAGCGCTAAGCTCGCCGTCTAAGGACAAGGAGCGGGTGGAAGAGCGGCAGTTGATCCGGGTTGGCGTTGCTTGGCGCAACATGAACTGAACTGCACATAATCAGCATTTTCACTAAAGCATTCCCCCGGAAAGGCCCAGGTCCGGAGGGTGGCACAGCAGAGTAATACCCAGGTAGGCAGGTAGGTCATAGAAGAGGGAGGTTTGCTTCGGTGCAGTACTTTTGACAGGCGTCGTAGCTGGGGCATGTCGATCATTTGATGATCTGACCGTGTGGAGTGGGAAAGTGCACCCTATGAGGGTGGCACAATATGACTATTTAACCAGAACGGACTGGGGTGCCCACCCCTTAGCTTAGTCTATAATACATATATCTCAAGCTGTTTTATTGCTATATCTATCTATATACTGTTTTTACGCTCTTATTTTAGAGGACTTATTATAGATCTTATAAATTCTAGATCTTATTATTATCTTCTTTATTATACTAATCTTCTTAAAGTTATAAGAAAATTAAGCCTCTTTTTTATTAATTATTAAGATCTAGATATTAAGTTAATTTAAATATTATTATTTAAATACTTAATATTATAGATAGTACTTATTAATACTTATTTAATATATATTTATTATAAGTAAGTTATTATTTTTACCTTCTTTTTTTCTATATTATCTTCTTTCTTTTATTATTAGTATTATTATTATTTTTATTAAACTAAAAGAAGGACTCTTCTAGATATATAAGTATATTAGAGAATTTATCTATCTAATTAGATTAAATAAATTTAATAGAGAGTAAGAAGAGTTTTTATCTTATAAATTTAGAATAATATATACTTAATAATTTATTATATAAATAAGAACTATTAATTTAAAATAATTTAGATAATTTTAAATAATTTAAAATAAGTATAAATAATTAATTATTAGAACTTTTCTTATATTCTTCTTTATTTAAAAATCTCTTTAAATTATTCTTAATAGAATCTAATTTAACTACTTCTTATAAATATATAATAGCTATTTAAGTATTATTTATAACTATCTTCTTTAACTTATTAGATAAAGATCTTATTAAGTATATTAAAGATATAGAACTCTATATCTTATATATAATATTAGGCTTAATAAATATTATTTTAATTCTCTATATCTAAGAGAAGTAAGTTATATTTTATATTAGTCTATAGAGAATTATTAAAATTAATTAATATCTCTAGCTATTTATTAAGAATTATATATAGTTTAGTATAAATAATCTCTTTAAGAAGTACTTTTAAATTAGAGCTTTAAACTTAATATTATTAGTAGTAATATAAATTAACTTATTTTATTAATATATTAGTAAGTCTCTATATACTTTTATATAGAGAGCTATTAAACTATTATATAAGATAATAAATAGATAGCTTAAAGATCTTTATTAATACCTATATAAGAATATATATAATAATAAGATTAATTAATATATCTAGAAGTATATTAATAACTAACTTTATATTATTAAGAAAATAAATAATATTAAATAACTTAAGAATAAATATATCTTTAATAATATAAAAGAGTCTTTAATTAAATATATAGTCTATCTAGATAGAATAGATAATAATCTCTTTCTATAGAATATTATTTTAATAAGAATATAAAGTATAATCTAGAAGTAGGTTATATATAAGATAGTATTAACTCTTAAGACTATATAAGATAAGCTATAATTATAATAGTTATCTTAAATAAATATATATTATAATTAATACTACTTATAGTTATAATAATATATATTTTAAAATACCTAAAATAGTTAGTAGTATATTAAGCTAGTAAATTATATTAGATTTAATAATAACTAGCTAAAATAGTTATAGTAAGAGGATTAGTTTAATTTATAATCTTATATATAATAATTCTTTAATCTAAAACTATTTAAAATAATCTAATCCTATCTATAGATAAGAAGAAGAATAGTCTATTATAATTATAATATATTAAGTTATATTATTAAAGACTATAATTTACTTTAGAAATTATAGATAGATAGAGAATATATTTAAGCTAGTATTAAAGCTAGAGTTCTAATCTTAATAGATTTAAACTAGATAAAAGTAATTAAAATTAAAGATAATATATAAGAGACTAATCTAACTTTAAATAAGCTAGTAAATTTAGTTTAATTAATTTAATTAAAAGATTTAGACTTTAAAGATATATATAGAGTATCTATAATAATTAGGAATACTTTTATTTAAGAGATATTTATTATAATAACTAATAATATAGATAAAGATAGATTATTTATTATAGACTCTAGAGGTTATAAGTATATATAAGTATTTAATATTCTTAATAATAATAATAAGTATAAAATAAGTAATATTAGATTAAAGTCTTAATAAAATTAATAACTAAACCTATTTAAGAAGTTAGTCCCTCTATCTCTAGAATATTCTAGATTATAGATCTTTAAAGCTTACTAGAAGCTATTAATATATCTATATTAAGAAGCTTAAATCTAATTAGATAAGAGCTAGATAAAGCCTATTAAGAGAACTAATATAATTATTATTAAAGTAATAACTAAAGAGGACTATCCTTCTTCTTATTTTAATATTATAAAGCTATTATATAATATCTTAATTATAATAATTATAGCTTAATATTTAGACTATTACTTTTAGGACTATTTCTAGCTAATATAGGTAATATTACTATTAGAATATTATAAGTAAAAGAATAAGATTAATCTAAGCTATAAGTAATAGATCTCTTTAGTTATAATAATCTTTCTATACCTAGATATTATATAGAAGAATAATAGTAAAGCTATCTTAAACTTTATTAATAGATAGATAGTTAATATTAATATAGAGATTTAATAATATCTTATAGATAATAACTCTCTTATTAAGCTAATCTCTTTAAAGCTAGTAAAAATATATAAGATAGAGTTAAAGCTATTTAGTAAATAATATACTCTTAAGTTAGTAGATAACTAAATCTTATTAGTTAAGTAGTATATTATCTTTCTATTTATAATTAGAGGAATTCTCTTAGTTATTTATATATATATCTATAGAGTAGATAATATTTATAACCTACTATTAAATAAGATCTAATTATAATATTATTAAAGTATTATTAACTATATAACTAATACTCTTATTCTTAGAGAAGTTAATAGATATATAATAACTGTGATAATCCTTAATCCTAAGAGGTAAGACTACTTCATAGGACCGGAGGCGTATGGGTTTATGTAAGCAGTCGGTAATGGGCGCTGCTAAGCAATGGTAGTTGACTTGATTGTAGCTAAGATAGCTTCACTCAAAGGTGCTTTATTGAATGAGATACTTTAAATACTGAAGAGCTATCTAGGGTAGGTATCTAAGGGTAGACATATATCTGTATATATAGATAATAGATCATAATAGATTACTATAATCTATAGTGACTGGATCACTTACAATTACTTATCCTGTAGTGATTGTATAGTCTATATGTTTCTGCCTATCTTATCATGCTGACCGCTCTTAAGGCAGTATCCTGTAGTAATGATGGTTGATTCTATGATATGATGTCCCCCTTCTAGGTTAATGTCCTAATGACTTAAGGCCATTCTTAAGACCTATCTACCTAGAATTAAAACTTCTACTATAGGTGTTAAACTCTCCCTTTGATTCTTTTAATGTCCTTCTGATAACATATCCTTAGGTTGTATTAAGAAATAGAAACTTTCTGATTCTTCTAAGAAACATAAGGCCCTTATTTATATAATTAAAGACTATAGTTATAAAGTCATGCCCTATTCCTAGTGCTTTAATCATTCTCTACCTTACTAGATAATAGAAGGGACAAAGAGGTATGCTAAGTATATCAGAAGAGGTCGGTTATATAATAGTACTAATGTCCTAGTAGGCTCTTATTAGCAATTGCTTCCTCTATTATTTCTCTATTGTATTAACTGACTTTTCTGCCTAGTATCTTAGATTTTAGCTAAATAGAAAAGACTGAAACAGTAAGAGAAAGTAGGTAAGAAAATAATTAAGTCTATCTTTAAGCATTAGCAAGCCCTTTAGAAAGAGTTTAATAAGGCCTCTACCTGTCTTTCTTATATTTATAAATAAAAATATAATACCTATAAGCATTTGTAAAAGATAGTGGCCTAAAATTTATAAAATCTAGATAAACTGGAGGAATTAGAGCAAAAGGAGTCTGAGGCTGCTATATAGGAATCTTCTACAGTTCTAGAGGTACAGGCTAATAGTGGTTTTAATATGATTGATTAGAATACTATTAGTTTAGGCAGTAGTTAGTTATTAACT